ATAACATATATAATGAATATTTTTAATTAAAATTTAATTTTATAAATATAATAATATAATATAATTTTGATTATTATCCAAATAAATATCTCGAAGTTAAGATATAATTAAATTTAATAAAGTTATGATATGTTGAATGTGTTGGAATTATTAAAATTTTTATTTTTTGTGCCGGGGGGTCGCTATTTCGCGCCATAACAAGCCAGTTGTACAGCACAAAAGATACAACAAGGCCTCAATGAACATGCGTTGTTCACCAAACGGTGCCCCGTTGGAGTGCCTGTCGATGTTAAATCAAACAATTCAAACTCACGGGTGTCTGACGACTGAATTAAATTGCATTATCCCCGTGATTCTTTTGCCTACCAAAATTGATGCCTGACAAATTTTGCATAAAAATATCATATTCCGGGTGAGATTTCATCTATATTGTAGATGAAATTCAGATGAAGCAAAAACACCTGCCTGTTCAAGCGAAACTTCTCCAACAAGCTCCCAATCTAGGCGTTAAACGATAACTCGGGCGAGCTGTTCAACTGTTGAAACATTTGTCAAGAACGCACCATTTGAACAAATTATTCTAGAAAGGGGTGTAGTTCCGAATGTCATTCGACTTTGAGTTTTCATGGAGAAAAGATTTTCAGGAATGAAATCAACAAGAAAAAAAATCAGTAGTATACTAGTAGTCACGTATCGATATATCAGTGAGCGGTCTAGGAGACCCGACTCTTTCCTAGTCACAAACCCCAGCTGTGCGGCAACTTGTGCACGAACCAACATTCTAATGGAATATCACCAGGACTTCGTTCGACGAATTGAAACTGTTACCGAATAGGATTAGTTTCATAGATTTGTGCCTGCATTAGTGGGCCCGTTCTTACCTATTATCTTACCTGTAACATAAGAATAATCCCCACTTCCACATTCTGCAAAAGGCTTCCTTATTGTAATGCGACTAATACCAGACGTCTAGGCGCCTCGATCCAGCTTGATCTTGATCGTGTCACAGCACCGCATCGGGATTGTCTTGTAGCCTATTTTGGCATTGAATTAATTACTGAGTATTATATTACTAGGCAGCATAATTCGAAAACCGGGCGGCAGTCTAGATTTCATTCACAGGACGTCAGATATATCCTAACCGCAACCCAGAGGGTTGAAAACGATTCAGGAGTACGACAACCACAGATTTAACTACACCATCCCCGTCTCCACATGGGCGCCGTGCTGGAAGTGCGCGTATAAAACTCAAAATACACCAAGGCTATAGCGCTAGCTAGGCCTCAAAAAAAAAGAATTGCTTGAACTGGAAAAACGCTGCACGTTTATATGGCTTCAACAAACACAGCGATAGCGTCCTGGACGCTGGGATACTGTGTAGTGGTGGCTGTCGTCGCCTTGAAGCTATACACTCGTATACGATATGTCAATGGTCTAGAGTTAGATGACTATATCGCCGTGTTCACACTAGTTCGTGCAGATATATATACCAAAAGGATGTACAGTTATATCAAAAGTCGCTGGCTAACAGGATATACCGATGTACACTTAGGCAATTTTGACCGCCGGCATGGGAGTAGTCTATACGATGCTAGTTTTGGGCCTCCAGGAGGACGAATCGCGTTGGTTGTTTCTATCTAGGGAAAAACTCGAATTGATGTTTAAATGGTAAGGTTCTTATCCGAGTAATAATCTCAACCCTAGTGTTAATCAATTTAAATTGATTTGGTCTAGCTACTTTATCTCGGTTCAGCTTTATACCTTTGGCATCCTATTCTGCAAACTGAGCATCATATTTTTATATAAACGGGTCGCAAAGCTTTCAAAAACACTACCTCGCCTAAACTGCTTCCTCAACGTCTTAGTGTGGATATGCGTCATATTTACGCTCCTCGGCTCAGTCTTAAACTTTTTTTGGTGTAAGCCGCTTTACGCCTTTTGGACCGCAATGCCCTTCCCAATGATGGAAAAGTACTGTGACACCAACTTGGTAGAGGGGAGCGTGTACATGTATTCCGCATACAACATCTTGACTGACCTTTGTAGTAAGTTCTAATCATCCTTCTCTTCGAGATTTTGTCTGGTCTTCAACGCTAATCAATACATGACAGTCATGGTTGTCCCATACTTTTTGTTATCTAGGGTCAACATCCAGAGCCGAGGAAAGCGAATAGCTTTGTTCGCTCTCTTTGGAATCGGTACATTTGTCATAATTTCGACTGTGGTCAAGATAGTGGCAATAGCACAACCTGAAAACTTCCACCCTCCTGAATTGGTTTTATGGAGCTTTGTGGAAGCCTGCGTTGCTGTCGTTGTTGTCTGCCTACCGTCTTTACCTCCCTTAATCTGGAAGAATTCTAGATTTCGAGACGTGACAGAGGGAGGAATCTCTGCACCCACGTGGGACGATACTGCGAGGTCTAATTTTCGTCTTGATGGGGTGGCTTCCCGTCTCGACCTAGGCCAACAGGCCGACGAATATGCTTCGTCAAAACTGTCGAATGCAAACTCGAAGCCATGGGATCCATCAAGCAAAGGAAGGAACAACAGCTCCAGCTCATCCGCCTCGAATGTGAATAGCAGTAAACTAACGCTTTCTGAATCTTCAACATCATATCGAAAATAAGTGGTCCCTTCCACCGATGAAAGAAATCGGAGGTCCAGGATGCAGATTCACGGAATACGCGGCTCAAGAGCTGAATCCATGAATTCATGAAATCCTTGATTCGGATTAATCAAACGCAATTCCCTAGACAGAAGAGCATCAGATACCGACAGTGAGCAAAATTTCTATGCAGGATTTCTAGATACTATACAGGAGTCTGGACTTTCCATACCTATCTGTTTCGGATTCTGGAAGCAGTGCCCCTGGAACCACTTCACTCTCCCCAAAAAACCTCTGCGTCCTAAATATTCTGTAGTGATACTTTTACCCTAAGCCCCACGACACCTTCAGAGGTAAACCATTTACAGTGCTATTATTATTGCGATATTGATATCCAGTCCTCAGCACTAGGTTGAAGGACACGAGGTGAGAGAATCTTACAAAAATACCACGTCCAACTTTCTTAAACTACCAAATATATACCATTTCCCCGTCAGAGAGGGAGTTAGAGATGAAATCTAGCGCTGAAATCTCTGATTCATTCGGAAAGGAACGCAACAAGTTTTTGAAGGCCCCAAGTTCTCAATATAGAATATAAGCTTTCGAGGAAGAGAAGGAGGAGGAGGAACATGAGGGTCTTTTTGAGTGTGACCACTCCCCATTCCGCAAATTGTATATAAATAGAGGGATACAAAAATGAGTACAATCAACGCATATGAAACTAGAACTTGAAGCCAAACCCAGTTAAAGGTCCGACCCGATCCCGACTAACCTGCGGGGCTCGTTTTGGGACATAAGTTAATTAGCCCAACTCGAATGAAACGTTGCATTTTTTGCGTTGTTTCCGACGCTAGCCTCAAGCTGCAAGTGATGGCCCACAGCACTCATAATCCCAGCCGCGTCATACATCATGCCAAAGATGCATCGATCCTGATATATAGCCATATCAGCCGCATCTAGATATCTGTACTTCACTCTGATTTCATCGATAAGACTTAAAACGAGCAAAGATATGTCTATAGAAATACTCCCCACCGAGATATTGGTACAGGTCCTCGATGACGCCAGCCTCGAGATCGGGGACCTTGCTATCATCTCAAGAGTATCGCGCCGGTGGCATTCAGCTGTCATCCCTGTCCTGTACAGGCGCTTCACATTCCGGTACTACCCTTCTTTAAAATCGGAAGAGTACAAAAGACTGGAAAGCTTCAGCAAATACGGCCATCATGTGAGGTAGGTCAAATCACACCAAAATTTCCCGCAATATAGACATAATTCTATAATAGAATGCGCTGCTAAAGTGAGGATAATTAGACATTTGAGCTTGCACATCAGAGATTGGGTTGATAAGGATGACACCGAGTCTGAGATGTCGAAGTCCCTTCCTGATGTCGCCACTTATCTTAGAATGCTTGACCCCTTTACCGAAGTCACGCATGTCGAACATTACGATATTGATATCCGAGGAGTAACCTGGCCGATTTTTTGGGCTATATTGAATTATCTCGTCTCCGCAAAACCAAAGCTTATCTCTTTGACTATCCGACGAAATCTTTATTGGGGTTTGGCTCCTCCCTCGGACCAGGATCTAGACCCTGAAACGCTATTACCGACGCCCCGCCTCTCCAATTTCACTTCCTTAAACCTCCAAGTGAACTACAAACGTACTGGACCCGAGAGTATCGAATCCTTTCCATTCCTCGTAAATAACCTTGTATTGGCTCTGGGGGACTCTTGTCGAAATGTCTCAAAACTCCAGCTCTATCTGATAATGGGCGAGAACAAGAACCTGGAAATACTAAAGGCCTTGCAGGAGATTGATTTCCCTTTGCTACCAGTGGATAGTATAAAGGAATTGAGATACGTTCTCCTACCTGGTATTGTACCGCCCACACGCTTATTCGACACAGAATTTGGGGATACCAAAGTTTTAACCGTACCAAGTTGGGTTTGTGGGCATTGGATGGGTCCGACTTGGGAACAGGTTCGTACCTCTATGATCGACATCATATTATCCTTCCCTTTTTAGAACATGATGGATAAATAAGGGTTAAATACTAACGAATCTTCCTCGTCAAGACACCGCCGGGAAAGTCATTGAAGACCTTCAAAAACGTGGAGACTCTGCGTATCACAGATGTATTCGAGACGGCCGAGGGAAACAATCTTGAAAGAAATCTCAAATTTGTGGCAAAACACCTCCCAAAACTCCAGTCACTCATTCTAGAAAATGACGAAAGGCAATTTTCGATATCCCGAAAGTCGGATGGGTCTATAACCTGGGAGGAAGTGGCATTTGTGGTTTAGATTTATGGCATAGAAATGGCCCTGAACAACTAATTCAAATTTTAGTTTCAAACTCAAGGCATGAAACATCGGGATTTCTCGATCTCAAAATGTTATTTGTTCTATATGTACACTGAGAAATGTATGATGGAACTTTTCCAGCAAAACAAAATCGCAAGGGTATACTATTTACACGATATGGGTATGGGTATGGGTATGGGTATGAAAAGAAAATCAAAAACGAAGCTGCTAAATGCATGGGTAATCGGAAACAACAAAAACTAAAGATGGTACATAGTGCGGTGCTAAGGTTTGCGCCGCTTGCTATATCAATAATAGCAGATATTATACACTAATGTTGGTGCTCAGCCTATAGGCAGTGAGTACTTAAGCCCAAACGAAGGGTTCGGATACCCATCGTTCGTAGTCGCGGCCAGTGTGCTTGCGGCCAGTCATCTTAAGAGCGCGGAAGACGAGCTTATAGGTGCCAGCTGGGACCTTGACGGATGGTTCACCCTCCTTCTTAACAATGCGACCAGTGAATGCAACGCGGTTGATATCATCAGGTCCAAGTGGGGTTCTTGGGTTCCAGTAGTTTGGAAAGCCTGGGAGGGAACCAATGGTGTTATCAGTGAAAACAGGGACATCGTTGGCTTCCTCGTTAGAGACGGAAACAACGTCGATGCGGACAACAGCGGAGCCAAGAGCGAGACTCCATTCGAGGATTGGTCGGGAGCCGATAGTGCTATTAGCTGGGGCAGTCACACTCTTGAAGTTGCGGAGAAGTGGGTAGCCCTGCTCGGTGTTAATGACGGTGGCCTTATTCATGGCAGTGGCGACACCCATGTATGGGATTCTGAGGCGGTCGACGCCGTTGCTAGCAATGTTGATCCAACCACCATAGACTGGGATTCTAGAAGCATCAAGGCCATCTGGGCGGGTGAGACGGACAACGACTCTCTTGGATTGACCCGGCTTGATGTTAAGAACATCAGGCTCAATCTTGACATTGGCATAGGATTCGACCATGTCTGGTGGGAAACGCTTAGCAAGGGTAGAACCTTCAGCGGTGGTGTAAGCGGTAGCGCCAGAGATCTCAGTGAGCTTGTAAGTAGCTTGCTTGTCTCCGTTGTTGGTGATCTTGAAGCTCATGGATTCGCGGAAGTGCTGGGTATCGTTGAACTCAAGGAGTTCAGTGTCAACAGAGGTCTTGGAGTGGATGAACTTGTATGCATCGACGATACCGGCACCCTGTTGGGCAACTGGGGCGAGGAAAGTGGAGTTCTTAGCACCATCGTTGAAGACTAATGGTCTACCAGTAGTAGTGAGACCGACACGGAGTTCAGCAGGAGTGACCTTGCGACCTTCAGCCTTAGCCTTCTGGAGGTAGAGACCAATGACACCGGCAACATATGGAGTGGCCATGGAAGTACCAGAGAGAACAGCATATCCACCGAAGATGAGTGGGTATGTGGAGAGGATGTTACCACCTGGAGCGGAGATGTGTGGGCGTTGGTACATTTCATTGGTAGGGCCCCAGGAAGAGAAGACAGACATGGTACCTCCGCTGAGTGGGTTAGGGACAGCATCGATGATACCAGCAGCCTTTTCGTCAAAAGCGACGGAGATAGCTGCCTTCTCACCAACAAGTTTCACCCATTCGGCACCAGTCTCTGGAGTGACCATACCAACGCTAACGCCAGGAGCAGTAACAGTAACATCAACAGCACCAGGAACGTTGTTGACGAGCATGACATTCAATGCACCCTTGGCGGCAGCGGCAGCGGCCTTAGATTCAAAAGTGCAAGTACCACGACGGATGACGACCATCTTGCCCTTCAAGTCACCAACATCAGCTGGAAGGCCAGCGCAGGCATCAGTGATTTGACCGTCGACAACTGGGACAACGAGTTCATAAGACTTAGTTCCGAAGCTTCCAGTTCCAGGAGTGTATCCGAATTCCTTGCCCTTGATATCGCCAGAGGAGAATTTGGCAGCAGTGAGAACGACGGGGGAGTTGAGATTGTTGACGGAACCGACACCGATGGCGCCAATGGCATCAGCAGCACCGGAAGCATAGAAGAGACCTTCGGCACCCTCATTGCCAGCAGCGATGCTGCATGGAGTACCAGCGTCGACAATACGGGTAACAACCTTAGCCCATGGGTCCTCAGTCCAGCCGCTTGGACCACCAATAGAGGCGGTAATCAAGTCAGCACCGTCAGCCTGGGCCTGGAGGAACGCAGAGATGAGAACATCGTTTCCGACGGAAACACTAGGGCAACCGAAAACCTTATAGGCACCAAGAGTAACTTCTGGTGCGACACCGATGAAGTCCTTGTCGACGGCAGCAATGATACCAGCGACGTGAGTACCGTGACCAGCGCAGTCAATTGGGTCATCCTTTGGAACTGGGGTGTTTTGACCGTTATATCTATCACCGACCAAATCGAGACCAAACGCAACCTTGTTTCCAGGACCGAACTTGCCACCGAGGGATGGATGGGTGTAGTCAATACCAGTGTCGATAACAGCGATCTTGATACCCTTTCCGTCCAATCCTTCAGCGTGGAGTCTGTTAACTCCACCCTGAACATGGGGTGGGTAGTTATCGAGGGGGCCACCAGCGCGCTTGTTCATAAGCTTGGTGACATCTCGGGTGACATGTTGGGCAATTGGCGCAGCAGCATCATACAAACGAACTGGAGAAAGTTCGACAACTTCACCCCAGGAGTTGATCTTCGCACGATTTTCAGGAGTATCGTCTTCGAGGTCGAAAGAGACACCATTGAAGATGCTTGTTTCCTGGTTGAGAGTCATACGATGACGGACCTTGACACCGTTGGTTCTGGCTTTGTTCAAGAAGCCATTGGTATTCTATAACAAAAACAGTCAGTTTCCGGACTTACTTCCATTTAGTTTCCCCAAGACGGCGAAATACTTACAGTTCCCTTGATTTCTACAATGTATGCACCCGGAACAATGCGCTGGGCAAGCGCTGGGGACAAAAGTCCCACGAAGGTAAGGAAGGTCTTCAAATGCATGATTCCGTTTTATTTTTATCCAAGTATCAGTAGAATGAACAACTTGCAACCAGCCGATAACCCCGAGAAGATTCGCCGTCAAGATCCAGATGTTGAAAGGCGGGAACTCTTATATAAATATGAGATATAAGGTGTTCCGTCGTGAAAAGGAAGCCTTGTTCAACTTCTTGTCCACGTTACACAGATACCACGAAAAGATTGTAGTATACTGTAGACCTTTTTGCAAAGGATAGAAGAGATGATGAGGATGGGATGATGAATAGAAACCTCGACTACTGGCGATCTTTGGTCCTTTAATATAGATTTCCCATCCCTATGGAGGCTCTATCATATTCGAGGCCGAGGCGATATCGAACCATGCTGGCCGTCCGGGCGGTAAGGATATTGCACGATCATTACCCTTTCCTGATAATAGCAGCTAAAGCATGAGGGTGGCAGTATACTCCACAAGAAGGAAGCAGCTCTCTACTGCTAGACCAGTTACATTCGGATGTATCTAATGGCTGGGGAGCAACCAGGGCCTAGGGTCATGCCGGATACCAGCCCATGAAAGCCTAAACTGTGATTTCCAATGTCAGGTCCGACAAATAGGCCAATCCCAACCCGGGAAGTAGTAGCAATAACCCAACTAGACTGGTATACAAATTGGGAAGTCGCGATTGCGTGTTATGGAGATACGGAAACCCTGTTAGGCCGCCATTCCCGTGCGAGGCGTTCTCCCCATTGTATTATTGCGGCGCCGAATTCTTTATGATGATCGATCTCCTGCGTAGGGGAGACTAGCTAGAGCGATAATGCAAAAGGGTTTAAGCATGTGCCTGCTGTCCCCACACCGCCAAAGATATCAAATGCTTGTCATGTCGCATGTCCTTGAGGCCGCGGGACGTACGTAGGAATCTTATCATGGAAGGCAAGATCGTCGGGGTCCCTGAGCACAATTGCACAAAGACGGTACTTCCTGTCGACACGGACAGTTCAAAGACGGAGATCTATAGTATAAAATGATCATGAGCTCAAGAAATACTAAAGTTTCAAACAGTTTGTATGCATGGCGCGGATTAACCGGCCCCGTCGATTCAAGTACGCGACGAAAGTCCGACCGTCTTCAATTCATTAATTGATTCACAGGATGAAATACTCACCATTACAGCAAGTAATTGGGCTCCTGTTCAATTGATCAACCGCATTGCCCCTGGCATCAATCTTGCCCGGGATGGGCAAATGTGAGGGCCAGGCTCGTTAACTCGTCAGGGGTCCAAAAACGCGAGCTGCCCCTTTGGGACCACCATTCTCCGAAACCGGGAAACACAACAGGAACGGTGCGTATCGACGAACTAACATCCATGGGGATTTATCGGCTGAAACAGAAGGTATAGATGTCTACTAGTTGCCAAAAGGTGTTTCATGGCATTGAAGCATCAACTTTCGCCGTCGCATTAGCAATACACCGGAGTTGTTCCGCGAACTCGCAATACTCAATTGCTGTTACGCTAAATTTCGAGGGTTGCAGGCATTTACTTTATGAATTCATATGACGACGATTCAGTTGATCGATCCCTTCAAACGATATTTCCTCCGGTATAATTGGATCTCCTTTTGACGCCCCCCCCGTACGTTAATTTCATTGGCTTGCCAGCCGTATATCACTATTAAAAAGCTTATCAGCATACGCATGCGCATGAATTGTAATATTGATCATGAATATCGCATATAGTTTCACAAGGTCTAAGGTACCTAGGTGTCAAAATTTTGAGAAACATCCGCCAGATGTTTAATGATATTGTAGTCAGATTATCAAGCGACCAGATTCAATGGCGCTTGGCCATTCACTGTCTCCTTTCGTGGTTGCCGTGCGGGGAAAGCTCTATTGAGAAATCGCGCTACGGCAAATGCATGTATATGCGAAATTGCCCGCTCCAAGTAATAACTTTAGCCTTCCAAGAAAGGCCGCTTGGCCATTTTCCCTTTGAGATGCCACCGAATTTCCGAATGTTTCCCAGACTTCATGCATGTTGTCTTTTCGTTATCAAATACATGCTGGAACTTGGTTTCTGTGACCTCTCATCATCCCCATACATTATATTAGTAGTAGCACAACAGCCCGTAGAAAAAGTGAAATTTCAAAATCAAGAACTGACCTTTCGGAATTAATTTCTAGATCACGAAAACAACAATTCGCTTTCTCTCAGAAAGTACTCGAGGTACTTACATTGTGTTGCAAGGTATATTACCAAGCCTTCTTAATTCTTGCCAGGCCGGGATCATATGTAGACATCGATGCAATGTGGGCCTCGAGCGCAGCTGGGCCTGGGTGCTCGGTATAACCCCACCCACCACGTTACGGCTGCGCGATCCCGGTATGTCAGGATCACTTACAATTTGTGTGCTGTAAATTTACTCTATATGTTTTATTAGCGCCAAAGCATCTCATGCTTTCCAGGTGTTTGTTCGATTACTTTACAAGGTAATGCTGGACCGTAAGTGCTCACGAGGACAATATTATCACAGCGAGCTTCCTAAACTCGACAGATATCAACACCTAACATTTCCAGAAGGTCTCTGTCTTCGATAATCCCGGTCTAGCGTACCATCTACTATAGCGCTCGCCACTCTTTCCTTACAATTGATACGGTTTCTCGGTTCCACGAATTACACCGGTCTTTCGTTCTGATAACCTTAGAATTCCAAGACATGTATTGCCACACCCGCCTGCTACATCAAGGTATGTCACTCGTGCAGTGTCTAAGAACCCCACGCCCCCCAGCTAACTAGCTAAGTCTAAAGGTATTCGCTACTATTCTGTAATCTACGATATCTATGTCGCAATTGATATCACTTGGGGCAACAATGAATCCTAGCTTCTTAACTAGATGCCCTGGTATGTATCCGCAAAGAAGGTGTTTCTTCGGCTGCTTACACAAAACATATTCACTATCACTCATTCTTTTGGATTCGTATTGCGATATCGGAGATGATTATGACGGATTGGAATGTAAATTAGTAACACCTTATAATGTTAACTTTCGAGCCTTTACACAAGCTTGCGATTGAGAATTCCTTATGCATATGGTTAAGATACCCTTTGAGAAAGTGGTATTGAATGAATGTCTCGATCTCGTGAACCAAAGTTCAAACTTGTCGTTAAGTATAACTCGGCATTCACCGACAACCACACAAGCTTTCCGCCGAATATCACGGCATGAGCGTCCGCGAATTTCATATGCTCCATAATATTGCAGATCAAAAGCCACCAGGTCGGATATTACCACAGTTGCGTCCATAAATCTGCCTTAAGGTTCTTCTCGAAAATCGTGGAATACCCACTTTCCTAATTCGTCGAATCGTGGACAATGTCCGTGCGCAACCCTGTGTGTGGATCAAACTATTGCACAAACCCAATAGAGGGGTAGTTGCTGCCTACGATATCAACAAGTACGAGGGCGATCATTATGCGCGCCATATCAGCTTGAATATATTGTGTGAAGAGGATCTATTAGGAGCCTCTACTATCGAACTTCCTATGGTCTTCGTTCATGGAATGATCGATTTGGTTCGTACTTGATACCCAAAACAGCAGCTATTCTTAACAATACCATGCAAAGGTATTATCTACCCAAAGTAAAAGCGTGAACCAAGCAACGGGACGGATGATCGCTAGTGCTCGGGCGTTCATGGAATGTGCCGACGGCAAATAAAGTTAAAATATCAATACCTAAATTCAACATATCAAAACTTGGTTGCATTTTAGCACGTTTAAGTTGAAGGATTTAGATAGTATCGCCGCCATGTTTACAATTTGGACCACTTCGCGACCCTTAGTTAGTTTGTATTGATAAACCACCTTTTTGAATTCCAGGAACAAGGCCAGATATATCAATAGAGTTCTCTTAAACTTAGATCTTCGTGGTCAATTTAACTGAATTATATATCGATATTTGGAGCGTCATTGATACTTACCGAGCCCCTTACCTTGTGCGCGCACGCGATATAGACTAACAAACCGTATACCACACCTAGGCGCATATCCAAGGCTTGGATCTTACTTAATGATAAGACCGTTTAAAGTTCCATTGAACCCCTTTTATGCAAGTATCCTCTGGTCCTCCTTCCAAATGCGTGTACAGCGTTCCCCAAGTTTACCAATTAAGAGAGTGTGTCTTTATAATCCGAGATTGAGGCTATGTGAATCCCCAAATTCCGATACAGCCATTCCTAAGATCGAATTATGGGCGTACTCATACTTCGATGCCGAAGAAAGGGGATCCGAGATATGCAGAATGCAGCCTGCCAGCTTGCAGTAAATCTAGAGATGCAGTGCGCGATTGTCAGAAGTTTTGGAAGAAAGATTCCTGCAGGGGCCCGTCGGGTTTCATCTCATAGTTGTTCATTGATATATCACGATAAACTCCATCCAATATCAACATACCCTAAATTACGACTCCTGTCGTAGATCGATTCAAGTAGAGTGATATAGATCGATACTTAATTCTTGGCCTCGTGGCTAGATGTATATAGCGTTAAAGGTACAGTGGCGCCACTGACTGCTAACTACCTCCAACTGCCTATTCCCGCCTTTGAGGAATATTCAAGAACAATCAACTCGGAAGGTAGTACTAATGGCGTTATCGGAGCCTCTCAAGGATCGCCCAGCCGGGCCCTGAAGAGTTGACCCGGGATACGGATACATTTTAGTCTGTGGAGGTACATTTATGTAACCCGGTGTTTCTATATCGAACTAAAAAAGACGGGAGACCGGCCGAGTCGGCCTTGGTATCGAAGTGGAGCCACCTGGATCCCGGAAAATGGGTAGTGTCGATCATCTGTGCCTGCATATAAAAAGTGACAAATGCATAGCCGCCGCATTTATACCACTTTCCAGAACTGATTAGCTCTTCTCCACCCTTTCACATCGCGAACATGGTACTTTTAGAGTAGGTGCAAAGATCCGCGAGTTCGAGAATGCTTGGCTAAGCTGTCGATTGTGGAGAATACAACCAGGTTGCGCATACAGCTTTTATCGATGATATATGATTGATCAATTGAATTCATTCGACCATCAAACCAAAGTGTGGGCTAGATTAATCGACTGTAGCACGGATCCTAGATCCAACCATAATCCTGTTAAAACTGGAAAGAAACCCTCTTAAGATCTTAGGTTTCATAAGGAAGAGACTGGGCGATAACTTACAATGCCACCTCGATTGTAACGTTATATTTAACGGTTTTCTTGGGTTGCCACCGGCTAACTGATCAGAGGAATCCGAAAATTATCTCGCCACTTCTCCTACACATGGCCAAAGCATAAACTATTCGCAAATCTGCAGCTGCGTATCGAATGTAGTGTATTAACTAAAACCTACAAAAGTTCGGCGCTTATGCTTTCGGATTCCTTTACCTGCAATAAATTTATAAAGGCCAAAGAAATTACCCATGAGTCCCCTACAACCCCATATAATATTCGAGATTGCAGCCAGTTCGGCGGTAATACGTGGCCTCGCAGTGAGACCATAGCTGATATAAAGCGATATAAAGTGATGCCAAACAAGCAATTGGATCCGGATATGCATATACTCTTTGCCCGCAACGTCTAGATATCTCGATATCCTCATGAATACCACATGAAGAGGATATCGAGTGGTCAACCCGAATCGAGGAGCTCTCGAGCTCTCCAGTAAGGATGCCTCGATTAGAGAGCTCTATGGGTATACATTTACATGTCAATTACAAAAACAAAGGATCGATATCTACCTAGGTAAATTGCTCCCCGATAGCTTAACCATTCACATTGGTGTCATGGTTAAATTAAAAACGAGAATAAAATATATCCGGAGTCGGTCGGCAACTGTTCCCGCCAAAAGGTGTTGGATGTTGGATCATATCCACTGTCCTTTGTCTCTCGAGAAAGTACTAAGTACCTGGCACACCATGTTATACGTATAGTATGAGAGGAATATCTCTGCGAACATTCGAACTGTTGTGTCGCATATGCGAATGAATTGCCAGTAGGAGGTACTGATACCCGAAGATTGGGTTGCGAGATTAATACCTTATCATACCAAGTATACAGTCTCGGAGCCGGTCGCAAGACGGCCCAAGCACAGCTTAAAACGTAAAACCTACCGCTTCTGCATCGGTGTGCTTCGTTTGTATGATTACTAACACTCGCCATTTGGTCTGCTTACCTTGTTTTTACATAATCCGCTTTTCCACATCCAGTTAGACTCAAAACCTTACGGACGAGAAATTTAACCCAATCCCGAGCTTTTATCGTGCGGATTACATGATCTGCTGCGGTCACACATTCTGAACAAGCTTTTGTTCCCACAGGAATCCCAGCTTCTCTCCATATCGGTATTGTAATCATTTCCTAATGTATTGTCGTAGATTCTACGCTTGGTAATTGGTTTAGAAATAATTGAAGTAATAGCAACCTTTAATTTCAATCATTAAGAGCAGAATGAGTATCTACAAGAATTGAATATTTAAAGGGACCTATTTGCCAATTGATTGAGTTTTCTCCATCATCAGCATCATCAGCATCATCCATCAATAGCATCCAGCTTCTTAGCTTCTCTTCTCTATTACTAGCCAATCCAAGCTCCTCATTGTACCTGCAAAGCGAGCAAGTTTAGCCTCAGCCTTCCATTTAATTAAAATATCACATAAACAACACAGTCCTAAACCAAACCCCTGTCCACTATAAATCCAATGGCGTTCGGAAAGTCCTCAACCAAGTCTGTCGCTGTCATCATCAGCTCAGTCCGCCCAGGCCGAAACGGCCCCAAAGTTGCCGGTTTCATTATTGACACTCTCAAGAAAACCCTTCCTCAAGACGTTTCTCTCAAGATCGTTGACGTCGCCGAATGGAAATTGCCAACATTCGAGCAAGCCGAGATTCCATTCCTTATTCAGAGTCCTGAACTCTACTCCAATGAGCTCGCCACTCGATGGAGCCGTGAGATTGGCAGTCATGATGGTTTCATCTTTCTTGTTCCAGGTTAGTCAAGTTCCTTGAGTTATATACATTCGATTTTCCTCAGAGATTCTAACATACATATATCATAGAATACAATGGCTCCTACGCTGGCTCTCTTAAGAATGCCTTCGATTACCTCTATCATGAGTGGTCCGGAAAGCCAGCTATGATTGTCAACTACGGCGGACGCCCAGTCGAAATGCTCTACGGTGGCAAGCATTTCACCGATATCCTCAGCCAGCTACAAATGAAACTCCCCAGCATCCTTCCAAAAATCAGTATTGCTACTATGGACCGCGAGAAGACTGCTGCAGGTCAAGAACTAGTGTTCTACGAAAAATCAGTCGAGGAACAAGTCCGATCCGATATTTCCAACGCGTGGGAGGATATTCTGAAGAATTTACAAGTTTCGAGCGTCTCTCCCGCCAGTGCTTAATTAACCAGCACTAGAACCGAAGCCCGTCACACCACATTTTTCTTTTCCTCTATTGCACAGCGTTCACTTTTTGGATTTCCTCGTTTAGCATAGCCATGGCGTTAAGATTTTGTATTTAAATACACTCGGGTGTTAGAAGCAGTAGAGTATCTCATGAATGGCACGTTTAATCTACAAAAATCATTATTCACTCGTGGGCCCCAATAACTAGACCAGTCCCCAATTAAATTCCCAAGCATAGATTGCGTGATCCCCGGTCCTCATTACGGGACAACATGTATTCTTTCGGCAAAATCGCACAATTGTAATACCCCTTCGACCCAAGGACATAATAATTACAATACCACAAAAAAAAAAGGTGGAACTTAAAAGGCTAAAAAGAAACCCGAGATACAGTCGACGACCTGGGTCGAACAGGTGACCTTAGGATATTAGTAGCAAGACTGCAATCCTCTGCTCGTACCACTGAGCTACGCCGACCTTTCTGGCAGGGAGTTGGATCGTGTATTCCTCTCGTATAGTAGAATTGGACCCGACAAACCCAGCCCTCGGAATTCGGAATGCGGATGTGTTGACCCGCAAAAGCTGTTTCACTGAACGCTTTAGTCATTCAGATCCTGGGCTTTGGCTTCGTGTAATGAGTGGCGCGTCAATCCAAGTTGGCTAAGAGAACTTGTATAGAGGATTGAAGTTTTCTTCTAACCAACAGAATGAGCTTATGGTTAACCCGTCATAAATTTTCTTTTTTTTCTTTTTGAAAACTTTCGGTTAGGCATACTGGAATAGCAAGACGTGACACAAGACGTTCCAAATACCGAATACGTATTCGACCCACGTGCGGGCTGGATCGTAATATATTAATATCAATATATCGGTGTCAAAATTATTGTGATGGATTTATAAACAATTCAAGAATTCTTCAAGACGGCACGTACTAGGCACCGAGCAGCTCGCCTATATAAACTGGCAAAAATCTATAACAGCACCCTTGACAATTATGCCTTCTATGGAGGGCCTGAATGAATCCAGTTCATGAAGGAAGGCAGTCCTGACGTGGACCATCCAGCTGAACTACCTCCTGAGCCTCACTAATATATGTATATTTCCACTTGGGAAAAACCCCCCCCCATTTTGCCACTACCTACCGTCTCTCCCCTGATGCCTAGTCAGTAAGGGGTCTCGAAGTCCACAGGATTGAGGATTTAGACGCATCAACTGTCACAAATCCGGTTCGCATGAACTCCAAGGCGCTTCGGTGGCTAAAGTTGTTACTGAGCCGCTTGGTAAAAAGACACACATGCACAACACAACTTTCTGTCTAAACGTGCAACCCGGTGTGCCGAGCCGCTGCCGCTGAGTTAGTTCCAAGACGTTGGGAATATGAGCAAACTGTTACTGGAGGCGAATGTAAGGATATTGTATTGGAGTGTAATATTTTGCTACGCTAAACACTTGAATCAAAAGACGAAGAAAACAAAGAAGAGAAACGGGGAGAAAGAATTAGTTGGTGTGGTAATGCTTCCATGCTATAGTCCCAGTCACCCCGTCGCAGGTAGATGTGCATGTACTCCGTACCGGTATCATCATCATCCTGTATTTGAAAATTTCCGATGGGGATCGCATTACAAGAAGGAATAGAAAATAGAAAGGATATATGGGTAAACCCCAGAGAAAGGATACAAGCTCATAGTTATGGTAAGGAAGTGGGTAAGATAGGGAAAAGTATGATAAGAAAAATAAGGCCGCTGATACTTGACAAACTAACATTGTAGAGAACTGGAAAGGTACAAAATTATAATTATTGGATTTCGAACTCCGGTAAACATGTAAAACAAAAAAATCAGGGTATAAATGAAGTTGGATGCGTCGAGGCTAAAGAATCAGAGCGCTCGGGGTAGCTCCATTCACCAATGTATGCAAGGTCGAGGATACCACTGGGCCTCGCCGACAAAGGAACTTCAGTATTGTATTCATTGAGACCGACTCCAGAATCGACACTACCGCCGGGTGCACCAAAAGCTATATCCACAGCTTCGATGCGATCTTGGAAAATATCTGCTGCAGACGCGATAAGCGGCCACGATGCCCTCTCGGTAACTGGAATGCAAGGTGAATATTTTGGATGATAGTAGTGACGGTCATCATCCATAAACCGCGTAACTTTAGCTGCTCGGCTAGAATTGAAAGAAAATTCGAAGGAAGGACTGGCCGAGGGTTGGTTGGAGGGAGCGCTTGGAATTGAGCCTCTCCGCTGTCGTTTTGGTGACTTGATTTGAGTCGAAGCGCTAGGCTCATTGGTGCTAAAAAGCGGACCTGATCTCTCCGAACTTGATCTACTAGCTGCACGTTTGCGGTAATTTCCAGAGAAGGGTAGCTCATTATCAGGAGATGATATGGGAGCCTGCTGAAGAGGGTAGCGGGCGGTATGTGTAGATGGCACTTCATGGCTGCTTAGAGTTCCACTCTCAGAAGTGTGGATTATCTGCTCATCTTCATCCATTGCTCGCGCTAATCGATTTGGAGTATTGCTGCAATTGCCCGAGTTTGGCATTATGAGAAAGAGTTTTGGTTCCGGGTTGACCGATTCCGTAGCGGTTCTTCGTCGGGCTCCCCGAGATGAAGGTTCTTGATCAGAAGAATAAAATATAAGAGGAACTATATTGGAATGCTAAGATATTGAACAATAGCTTGTAAAGTTTGGTTGGATTACAATCAAAGATGTTGAACTAAATTCTTTTCGGTTTAGGGACATATAACTCGGAGGGGTAGACGAATCCTTATAACTTTTTTTCTTCGCTTCAGCTCTCCCTTATTTTTTTTCGCCGATTTCCTCCATGAGGATGCCATCTGTGCATGCAATGCATAGCTCGCAGCGCTTGCAGTGTTGACGATGTTGCCGAAAACCCAATTCTGGGGAACCGTCCAAGGAATCGTATGGAAAGGAATCAACTAAGACCAAAAGGGGAAATAGACTTTGAAATTAACCAATGATAGGACGCGCCATCATCCCAACACACCCGTCCAACGGCTGGATGGATTTGTCTGTGTGCATAGCCTTCCACCTCAGAATCCGCAGGGCCCAGCTCCCTTTAGGTGAATAGACTTTTTCCTTGGCAGAGATTTGGGAAAATGGTACATACATAGACCTCGCTGACAGTTCGCTTTTGTTCTTTTCTTTCTTTTTCCTTCTCTTTTTTACTTTTTTCTTGTCCCTTCCTAACTCTCATCCGCGAGACCCATGCTGAAAATGTACCTTTTTTTTTTCCATTCACTCATAGAATCCACGTATTTGCCCGGGTATTAGGTACCCAAACATACATATCTAACTTATGAGATGAAAATACCCCCAACTACATGTACTAGTAAGTTGACTTTACTATCCTAGAACGCAGATACGCGAAAGCCATAGCCTCGGGAAGCAAAAAGATAACATGGAAATCGTTCGTATCGTCTGATGAAGCTGTCCCCTGGTCTGCTGTACGTAAATACATCGTAAGGCACAACTAGCTAGGCATAGCTATAGCACGGAAGGAATTAAAGAGAACATGGTAGCATCCCACAATCTCAGAGAAAAAAAAAAAAAAAACCGAACCTAGCGGTTTAGAAAATCGGAGAATGATTACGCAAGTTTGCCGTCCGTGAAATCATAGTACTATACGGAGCAGTTTCCACCCTCATTGTTCGATTGCCAGTCGAGTAACAAGCATCGTAAAACTTCCCTAGCCTTCAAGCCCCAAGGCTGCTTTCCGTGCCACATGCAGTACCGGGCAAAATCCCTCAGCCATCGAGTTTTAATTAATGAAACAATTAAGTTCCCCAACATGAAAATTTGAAGATAATACTCCGTATACATTTATTTCATGGGCTCATCTGATATCTCGTTATCAAGCAAACAGTTCGGACCCCGCGCAGGTAGCCAGGAAGTATTCCGCAAGCTTGCCGAACCGACCGCCGCAAATTCGATCCAACAAATCTGCGACCTCAACCTCATGGTAAAGAATGGTGTTCATTGGTTGGGTTGCTAACCTTGGCCGCGTATGAGTGATCATCATCGATCTATCATCAAGCACCGCAAAACAAAAAAAAAGAGGGGGGGGGAAACAGGAAGTGGAGAAAAAGAAAGAAAACAAGAAATCGAAGCTATAACAAGGCGAAAACTACAGTAATACATGGAGCCTTCCTTCCTTCAGGTTCATCACGGCTACAAGCGAATCGAGGTCTTCAACGAATCGGGACCCGGCGTGCCAAGACAGAGGTAAGCGTCTCCCAGACTAACCTGCCTGTGACGGTTTATATAATTACATATGTATGTTTCTATGTTTGAGCTAGCAGTCGGATTTTGTTTCCGATTGTTGAATTTCATCATCTGGCTCACCACTAGTGTGGATGTACGTGCGGATGTCTATAAATATGGTAGTACCTGATTAATTGTCGTAGGCTTAACAAGTTAAACGGGGGCTAAATTAACTTAACTAACACTTTCATATACGTATGTAGTTATAGAAGTCCAGTGCTGTTCAACCAAAATCGATATAAATCGTCCTTCAAACTTAAATCTGGTTGATTCTAGTATCCAAGTCCAAAACTTTAGAGAATAATCCAACGAGATAAGTACCAGCTTCACTTTCTTCAACCCCTTCCGGTTAACCTCGACCACCACCCCGTATTATCTTTCTCGTCCCTTTTTGCCTTTTCTTCACAATCCTTCGCTAGTCTTTGCTTCTTACATTGTCTACAGTCTGAGAATCGCCCTTCGTATACTTTATCCGGGTCTCCGCAGGAGCAAGGCATCGGGTCGATAATCTCATGCCCGCAGATTAGATCAATATGTCGATGTTTGTGCAAAGATGGCTTTTCCCACGGTGGTATGTATTTTTTCATTTGGGGCTTTTCATCTGGAGATTTCGAACCCCTCAAAGAACCTTCCATAACTGGACTTGCTGCCCGGTTAGGTTTTTTCTTTTCCTTATCTTTTCCTGGGGCTGTATTTCGACGTTGTTCTTGACCACGTCGTGGTCTTCCGGGATATTTATCCTGTGAATTGTAGTATTTACGTGCACTTAATTGATCTAAGGAAAGTCTTGCCATTTGCTCCTCCCAATCAGTACGACGGGGTAGACTGTCGATTCTCCATTGGCTGCGGGCGTCTTTGATTGGAGTTTCATCTTGTTGTTTGAAGATTACAACTTGATCTTCGCTCGAGAATGAAACGCGTGGTTTGGATCTTGGTCTTTGTAGCTTAGAATCCGATAGCCTTAGGATCGGCTGAAGAGGTCGAGATGCTGTTCTACTGGGAGATTCAAAAGAGTTTGAGCCTGATGAAGTGCTCCTAGAATGTGACACTGCAGAGGTCATTGGTATCGATGGCTGGGGACTTGTATTATTCTCTGAACTACGGGCTCCGATCCTGGTCCCAGGTTCAAAACGTTTGCGTGTGTATATGCGTCTCGGGGTGTCTGTGTCAAGGAGTGAAGTATATTTGCGACCTAGATGGGGCCGTTTACTGGCATCGTTATCGGATTTTTCCTCGGAGCCCCGTGCACCAGGTGACCTGGCAGTTGGCATATCCCGCAAAACTACATTTTTCTGTTGAGCAAGCACACATCTCAAATCCTCAATGGTGCAAGTCGGTGTCTTGGTGTATATTTGATTGCAGGGTGACGATGACCGCGACCGGGATCGAGATCTAGATCCACGACTTGGATATTCGTCAGACCACCGATTGGACATTGTATTTAACTCGTCGTCAGCGAGGAACCCCTCTAGATCAGATGTTAAATGCTGCCCGCAATCTTCAGATCTAGGGATATCTTGAGGATATTTCGGTGGAGTTTTAGGCGACTGATAACTTTCGAATGACCGAAGATGAGCAAAAAGTTCTTGTTCGGGACCGCGAAATGGCATTAGCGTTGCTGCCATCTTTGTTTATTTCTCTCCTTTCCCCTCTTTTAAAATTTCTTTGTTTGTGATTCAGTATAGTAATATTAGTGGTATCTTGTGATTTTGAAAATGTTTGGAGGATTCGAACATCGGATTCTAATCTAAGAGTCGAAAGTGGGGGAAATATATAACCACGAACTTGAGTATAAGTCAATAAACCTGCAGGCTTGGGATTTATTATCTCGTCCAGGTCCCCTCAATACTTGTAGTTTTCCCCCATAGAAACAAGATAAGTATAAGATTGTCGTCAGGAATGTCAATATGTGATACAGAACAGAACAAAGAAAGCGAATGTCGTTTCGGAGCCTCCGTAGAACCCGACCAAGACGGATTTTACAGAAAACTCCGAAATCGAATCAAACCTCGAAGATAATAATACCAATAACGAGCGTATATCCTCCAACGATTTGCTGTTTCCCAAGTTCGATTTCTCCGTCTATCTCGCCATCTTCGTGATTATCGAAAAGTATATCACCGGCACTTCGTTCAACCCGTCCCGACGTTGCGATTTGAACCAGTTGCCGGCCTGCCGAGTGTACTGTTGTAATGTTCGATGATTCGTAGGTTTTATGATCGTACAAAGATGGCTTGGAAGGTGACACTGAAGAAGTGATATGACAGCTCGGCAGTATGTAGCGCAAGCTGTAACCCTATCGTCCTTTTATTTCCTTGAAAAGGGATATATTGGATTGTCACTCCCGCCCACATGTGTGACAGGTTGAGGTCATTTGTGGGATCTTCGATAGAGTTCAAAAAGCTTATGTTTCGGGCACCCGTGGTAGGGTCGCATTCATAAGCACATAAGCTTCGTAAGTCATATAAGGTGAAATGAGTCCGTGCCCAGTCATCTTTGAGCTTTAGAGCTTATCTACTTCCCACGCGACTGAATTTCTGCATTCGTAAGTCCCGGTCCTTTGTCGCCGAATTCGCGGAATTCTCTCATCTAAGGTGCACAGATCCAACCAGTTGCTGGAGGGTTGTTTCTAAAATTAGGCAACTCAACTGGTTACAGTCAATAGAACGTAGAAAACATTTTTAACCGTACTGTCAGTGTTACGGGTATGATACATTGCATATCCTTTGAGTCGAATGAATTGCGACAGAAGATCATATGATACTGTCAGTCCGAAATTGAATGGAAAATCTAGGAGGCTGCTTCGGACGAAAGTGTGTTGTTTGGCTATTATCCAACAAGCCTGCATCCCTGAATTCGAAGCTGATGGTTGAATTCATATCTAAATACTTAGAAGGCACTACGTACTTCCTAGATCTGGATTCAAACGGGTAATTATAATTTGGACATTGCGATACCATGAACCCTTCAACTGATCATGAATCCGTCGCATAGATGTTCTCACGATTATCGCGGTCGGCCAACGCCCACCTAGTACCTCATTCCCAGGAATGGAATTCGAAGGCTTCGGAATGTCCCGCTGAACAATAACTTCTAATATTAAGGCGTACCGTCGCATTGCATTGCATTAACGCCGGGAATCAGCAAGTCTATATCCGGTCATTGTGAGCCCCAGGCTACCATGGTCAGACTAAGGCCGTCGTACTATCTTGGCTGCAAAAAGTACGGTGAAGAATCCCATCTGATATTGGATTGATCAGCGATGGACTATTCGACTTCGGGATATGATTGACTATTCTGACAAGTCCGCCGAGGCCAGAGAAAACTACCGCATAGCCTACGGGTGTCAAATGATATCTATGATATCAAGACTACAATATTAATAAGTCATATTGATATAGATAAAGATCCAACCGTAGCATTCCTACGAGATTTACCAGCCATTTAATTTCTGAGACTATCATGTATATTCAATTATATTGCATTACATTGACAGCTGCACATAGATATACGTAGATCAAGACCATTGGAAGTATGTAAACTGAACAGTAGATGTAAGCTCACGTGCCCGCACGTATATGCGGAGTCAGAATATATATATTTTTGACGAGAATTTTTACGAATTCACGCTGTGCCCCGGTAATATCTTTTTCAATTGTCAACCATACTTATAAAACGCCCATAATGATCATGAACTAGTGATAATATGTATAAGGGTTCGATAGCCACAAGATTCTCCATATATTTGGTCCGATTGGCGACCGATGCGTGAGTATGTGCGCGCGGGAAATCCGAATGGAGGTATTCACAATACAGATATTACGTAAGTACTCAGTATGTATGTCAGGATTAAAAGTATTGTTTTGTCACCATGTCCCGAACGGAAAACTATTTTCCTAATTACATGTTCGTCGAATATACTTACTTATCATGACATAAATATTATTCCTCCGTAAGGTTGGCCATCTAGACTGAACCATGGTACATGGCTAGGGAAATGTATACTTCGGATCAAGAATAGATCGGAATCCGGATCTATCACACTATAGCTGTAATATCGCATCACATACTAGTGGTGATCCGGCACAAAGATCGGACAGAAACGTGGGCTCTCCTCAGCTCAGCTGCAGCGCTCGGAATCGGGCAATCTTTAATATAATTTGTTAGATCGGTTAGCGTTTAAAGTTTTTTCCTTGGATCTCGCGCATTGTTAGTCTGTTGGTTTTTTTTTTCCCTCAGCGAAAAAAAAAACCTGTTCGGCCGTCAGCCTTGTTATTGATACCCGTCACCCGTGCATTGTGACCTGTCAAGATCAAACTCGGTCAAACCGTCAAAATAAAGCATTCCAAAGCCTTTCCCGTGTCGAAAATCCTCGTGGCCTACTGTATACTCAGTGCCCATCCTGCTTTTTTGGACACCTTAGGTGCCTCGGAAATTAAGACAGTGCACACAATTGAATCCTGCTAGCCTCCTTTGTTACTTGCGCAAACAGTGACCGATCGCCAAAGGCAGGCGAAAACTTCGCGTACTAAAAGCGGTTTCGCCAAGAAGTGCCATGATAACTTGCTTTCGCCAGTCCGGAATGTTGGCTGCGCACGAACGTCATGCGAGTCTATCAAGCTGAGACGCCAGGCGTTTCCTCGACCACGCACACGGCGATCACAGTACCAAGGAAAACAAAGGCCGGATAGATCATGGTGTGGCTAGTTAAGCAACAGCAGGTTTCCGTCATCGATACATCATGATGAAGGGAGGCATGAAGTTTTTATTGTCTCGATCGATGGATTCGAGGCCGGTCGGGCAGAATGAGCAAATCATTCGCTTCAAGTGACCTGCCACTTTTCGTCCCCACAGACAGGGGAAGCTGGGAGAGTTCCCCACACCCAGGTAGCCCCTGTGAACTTCGAAGTCGTCCAAACAACATCTTGGCGATTGGCTGCCATGAAGGACCAAGGACATGCGACGGATAACAGCTTCCTGTTATTTTTGGTTTATGGAACAAAATTTCGAAACGCTTCATGGCACAGACAAATGTTGCACAACATAGGTTCTCCCAACCGATGCAATGCCTCTTCAATCTTTTCTTGAATTCAATGCACCCGCCCCAAATTTCCCTGGGCCATGTCTTTGTTTTTATGTCAAACGCCAACGGAAAGATCACCTTCATTTCCATCGCCTGCAGGGACATATACTGAGGGCAGCTATATGGAGACTTGGGCAGTTCCCAAAAAACTCTCTCACACTCACAACTGCCGTTCAAGGGCTAGGAATTTTACCGCGCTAACGGGCCAAACATTCGCTCGCGTCTGACCGCCAGCTGTTCGCAACTCCACGACCAAAAGTTTGTGTTCGATGGGGAACTTCCCAAGCTCCTTATTCGTGCACGAGAGAAAGTTGGCAATTAAATCTCACCCTTCCTCCTACTGAGAAGGGTAAGGAGACAACGGTTCGACTGGTTACCGATTTTCTTTGGAATTCGGAGTCCGAAGACTAAAACCTTAACGGTTTGCGGTGGAAATTACAAGAAATCAGTTCATGGTGGGACTGGAAGAATCCTTCCGTCAGACTTCGCAAGTTGTCGACCGTAGATAGGGAGAGGATCAGGTGCCTGACTAGCCACTTTGATTGGTCCAGGCCCCCGATTAAGGTCTAGCAATCTCCGGACTTTAGTCCAATTCAGCCAATTATCCACTTCGTCCAGCATCACCGATTTCTTCGATGCGAACACAAAAACAAAAAATAAAAAAATATAAAATCCGCATTCGTTGTGAGACCTAAAATTCCTAGTCGATTAGTCCAGCGAAGAGCAGCCAACGCTTCTAGTGTGTCGAGAACCTGCATCTTGCAGGTCTGACCAATTAATTCACGCATGGTGCTGTCATAAACCTGCTTGAGGAGGTGTAAGTCTGGCTAAAGTTCTTAGTTGAGAACAATCCCAGCCCGCAAATTTATGGTCCGTATGTGCATGCATGGATCCAGTAGCAGAGACAATACTGGCTGATTGGACACTAAGCCAAGCAGGGGGTTGGCCGTGGCGTATCGCAGTGACAGCGCAATCTTGGAAGTCCTCCCACACCTGAAGAAAAAGGAAATCCCAGCGAAGAGCAGAGAATTTTGTGGGATAGTATAACCACGATGCGAATGCACATGTAATATATAAACCAGCCAGGTTCCGCCCTCCACATTTTCGCTTCTCATCTCTCACTCTCATCCTCCACAGGTAGTACTTCAAGGACATTCGTTTCGATCAATCGATCTTACATTCGTTACTAGTCGTTTCAAAGGATTCAACTAAGCCACACAAGCTCCACGCTTTTTATATAACCAACAAACTCAATCGATCAAAATGAAGACCTCTGGTATCCTCGCTGTTGCTGCCGGCGCTGCTCTTGCTGTTGCCCAGCTTGATCAGATCCCAACTTGCGCTCTCACCTGCGCTATCACCTCCCTCTCCGGTACCGGGTGCGCCCAGACTGATATCGCCTGCATTTGCAAGGCCTCGTCTTTCTTGACTGGCATCCTCTCCTGCATTGAGGGCACCTGTAACCCAGAGGAAATCCAAAAGACTCTCGGTGCCGCTCAGGTTCTCTGCGCCAGCGCTGGTGTCACTATTACCCCTCCCGGTTCCGAGCCAACCACTGCTGCTCCAGAGCCAACCACTGCCGCTCCAGAGCCAGAACCAACTACCACCGAGGAGTTGACCACTGCTCCAGGTCTCAGCACCACTTCTGCCGCAGAGCCAGAGCCAACTTCTACTGAGGAACCATCATATGAGCCTTCTACTGAGGTTCCCGCCCCAACCTATGGTGCCTCCACCACCAGCGATGTCGTTACCTTGACCACCACAACCACCATCTGCCCAAGCAGCACACATGAGGTTCCAACTTACGTCCCACCACCAGCACAGAACACCACTGTTGCTGTCCCGCCACCAGCCTACACTGGTGCCGCCGGTAACATTGCTGCTAACGCCGGTACCGTCCTTATCGGTGCCGCTTTGGCCATGTTCTTCGCTTAAATAATTTAAAATCTCTAAAGCAAAGAACAAATTCTGAATTTCCTTCGCATTATGGGTGGTGTAAGATATATTGATTGTTCCGGCGATGTTTTAATTTCTTGGACCATTTGGGATTTTTTTTTTCTGTTTCCATTGATGTTTATACATACTTTGCGTGTAGTAGAGTAGCTGCTACGAGAATACATGAGTAATCCTAATGACCAAAAGTTTCTTGCCTTTGGTTTCTTCAAACCACAAGTCTTCACACTCTATCTGTGATATCTATACCTTTGAAATCTCAATCCGTACATTTAAACTAAATATCATGAATGTTCGTTTTATCGATACTCTTCCCGTATCCGTCAATGAGATTTCTCCACATTCTCTTCCCCGTGTCGCCCATTTCTTCCGCGAAATTATTGTCTTGAAGATATTCAACACCATGTTGCAACACCATTCTCGCTCTCCCAACCTGTCCTTCCTTCCCCAGGCTTCCATGGAGTGTCACTCGTTTTTTAGTATCATACTCCGCACGGTGCAGGATATCATTCTCATAAAACACTGCTTGATTAGGCTTTAAAACTACCCTTATCTCATCCTTCAATGGCGCTTTCTCATTCTTCTTAAGCGTTGTGACCTCTTCGTCCGTTTTCGGTCGCTTGTGCGAACCTGGGACGACAATCAGACAGGCATCGTCATATAATGCCAGATTATACTGTGTACCGGTACGAGGCCGGGTCAACAACTTTGCCTCTTCCTCTGGAAGGGTTGCAGCAGGAATAGTATCCCTGTGGTACGGTAGGGAGAACGGAGTCGTGTGTGGGTTAATTAGAAGATTGAAGAGCTCCAATTGAAGATTTTCGGCCGAGGGTAAGGAGAGGATGGCACAGGCTGTAGAAAGGAGTTTTGGGTCGGTATATATCTGTTTGAAAATAGGAAGTTTGAGATCCTAGTATAATAATGAACAGGGGGAAGTGTTAACAGATTTGAAGTGGTTGTAACGTTATAACGTTATACACATATATATAACGCCGTCGACTGAAATCGTATGATCATGGTCTTTGGTAATACGTATACGTACGGGATGCATGAGATGTTGGATGCCCCAGATATCAGGACCCGATGGCGGCCATGGAGGAAACGCTTTGCCGACAATTCGCCTTTTGACATAGAAATTGAACAGTTGTTAGCATGCTCGACTGAGTACTTTAGCATAATGATATTTCCGGTATCCATCCCCGCCCCAGCGCTCTATAATGCATAGTGCCCACATGGCCCACATGGCATGAACATGTGCATTATGCATAGCTAGCTAGTTGACTGCGTTGCTTCGACTCCACTTGTGTTGGAATTTTATAATGTCGTCAAGATACCGCATGTCGACTCGGCTCGAGCCCCGCATAATATACATCTCGGATTCGGTCCGGTCCATGAGAAGTACAGGTGTATGACTGTTGACTACTGCTAAATTAAGCTTACCGATGCGGCCATTCTTCCTTTCTACCTTTCTCTACTGCTATCTCGCAGGCCTCTTTGGCAGCCTCTAACATGTCCAGAGAAAGGACATCATCGACAATGACAAACCCATCCCGTTCGAAGGCCGCGAGGTCGATTCCGGTCGATACCCCATGTGGTTTCCTGCTAGAATCCATTCTTTAGCCGCGATTGAATAAAGAGAGCCTAAGTATGGTATTATAGAGTAGTTTTTCTAAAGAATTCGTGAATGTCGCCTCGACGGAGGAGTATTGCTGTATCTAATACGGTCCGTTTAACTTTAACTTAGATATATCGATTGCATTGAGTCGTTCACGAAGCGGCTCTTAAATTAAGCTATTAAGCTTTTGGCTGAAAATTCTTGACTAAGGCCCACATAGAATGATACGGTAACACTAGAACAAATGATACCCAAACATAGAATGTACTCCCGAAACATAAATTTCGAGTTTCCCATTTTCAACTTCTGACTAGGTTGGGCCCGTTGACCTTTCAAACATCTTAACAAGGTTCGGTCGAAAGCTTGGACTAGTACGGCACAGGTATGCACAACGCACAAGCCCGGTTCGATATCACATGATTGTAGCTAGCTATACGTTTCGTGAATAAGTCGTATTGGCTTTTTGGCGGGTTTTTAATCCGTCAGGAGCGACGCGAGTTTGACAAGGGTAAATATAGTAATAACCGCGTGAAGGCGTATACATTGTTGATTTCATAGACGGCTGGTTGTCTCCTCTGCTTCGCGAATTCAAGAGCGCCTGGATTCGAGGCTATTGTCCCATGGATCCCACAATTGAATATCAAGTACTTCTCCGCTTCGATTCCACATATGCACGTATCCTTCAAATTTCCGACCGAAGTACACGGTTTTTGTATTTTGAGAGCATCCAACTACGTGGATTTTTTGGAAATTCAAACACCTTTTTAAGGCGTTTGGTCTAATTCTTTGGGGTCAATATAAAGTCTAATGATTAACTTATTTTGTTCAATGACAGGATGGATTGCACTAGACTAGAGTCTCGCCTGTCACTTTATAAACTTACAACAGGTATAGTTTCTGAAACCCTAGAGTTGCGAGAAAATCGCAGGCATTTATGTTTGATATCGAGAACAACCTATAGAACCATTATAGAAAGGAATATTTTGAAAACTCCTGCACAAAACCTAACTGAACTGGTCTCGTAACAACTGAACCCTTAGTGCGACAATGGGGCGCATGTGCGATTTGACGGTTAGGTAGACTTGGGAGTCAAGGCCTCTGTGAGGCTTATGATGGCTTGGGCTTGGGGACTATCTGTGCCAAAGCAGCTCTGCAGGACTTAAATTGCTGGGATGCCCATCCCTCAAAGAGTCGAAAGCTTGTTGGTCAAATAGGCGATGGTATACTACTCTACCTAACTCTAGATCTAGTACAAAAATTCTATATTATTCAATACATAAATCCTCCTCCCCCCTGCTAGATCTTGCAGTTCTCATCGGTTAACTGTCTTTGATATATACATATATATCAGATTGCTACATCACTTCTATATATTACTACCGGATCTTGTCGCCAACGTCTTTCCCATCAATACTCAGAATACCTTTCAGCTTGACCGCGGGGAAGCCTAAGGTCATACAATCAATATGCAAGCCCCCACACAAACCCCACCAGATATCATGTGTGCATTCCGCGCAGGTCAAGTAATGGGAGGCATCGTCGCTGGTCTCCTCGGCCTGGTCTTGGTGGTTGGATTGGCTCTTTCCCTAAACAGGAAATTTGGACGAAAGAAGGCTGCCAATGACCCCGAGACAGGTGAGGATGGGGGTGAATCCGCACGTATCTCACTTAGCACCTGTACCTACATCGTGGATGATAGGGAGGACGCAGATACACTCTATAGTCCGACCGAGACTTCGCCGGCATTGCGCCCCTTGCGCGAAAAGCTTAGTAAAGCGGAGCTTGAGCTTACCGAGAAAGAGGCGGAACTTGCTGTGGAGCGAAGTAATCTTCCACCACCTTTCCCCACCTATAAAGAAATGTCGGTGTAGATCATTGTTTGTGTTAGTCTTAAACTGGTCCGGTAGGGCTTGTGTGAGGGGATTAGGTCGCGGCAGGCCATTGCTTCTCGTCTTCTAGGGAGTACATGTATCATCGAAATTTTTTTATTTTTTCATTCTTTCTTTCTCTTGTAATATATCTAATAGTCACACGGTGTATAATTCTCATTCGGACTGGGCGGTCGGCTTGTTTAGGAAATTCGTGCTGCGCGATAACATCCCTCTCTGTTTCTTGATTCAAGGCTTTTGTACTTACTTTTCTTTCCGATTGCCATGTATGCTCAAAGTGATTGTTATCCTACCAAAGTTCCATTTTTAAGATTTATCAAAATACGGAGACTCGCAGGGTTCTGGAGATCCTATTTGCGAGCTTCTGCCATGGCTGCATTTTCTAGGCGCCCGGTAGCGTGTTGTTTGTTGGAATTTTAAAGTTGTATCCTAAAAGTTTGTCTCAAACCAGACTTCGAAAAAAAAGGTGTTAAAAGTTGTATCGGGCGAGACAGGCAGCCTCGTAACCAAACTCTGGTCGAGAGAGCCAGGACTCGGCTAAGGTAGTTCTTCCCCACCCTTGCGATGCTTCTAAAGGAACTACTCCTGGGGCGCTTCAACTGCATTCGAAACATATTTAATTAATTATAAGGTTGGAGTTGGATATAAACCCAAATCGTTTTGTCAACCGGAAGCATCGTATGTCATCTATGGCAGTTTTCCTGGGCCAAGATGGTTAATCAATAGGATTTCTATTCCTGTCAGCGAGTAAGCGCCAATGTCGACTCCACCCTTGACCTTATTTTAGTCTGTCAAACCCTCCATTCGATGGGCAGGGCACGAAAACGGGACCGGGGTATTGTTCGGTTATGTATGCTGAGCCCTCCAAAACCCCTCTTACTCAACATGAGCAGCGAAGTCAACTTATTCCACCATGCACATGCATGCTGTACCATCTGTGCCTCGAGTTTTCTCACCTAAGCCCTGCAGTTGGGCGCTGTTTCAGTGGATGCACTGTTTGGCAAATTTCTTGGTGTCCTCCAATCTTGATCATGACCAAGTTCCTTAGTGTATCTGTGCCACCGAAATGACAGTTTTTGACCATGTCGAAAGGCGCAAACGGTACGAAGAGATACAAGAGACAATGCATATCCTGCACTGAGCCGCACAAAAACTTCCATTTGAGCCGTTTCAAGAACTAGAGTAACACTAAGCATTTGTCCAAGCCTTCAAGTGGTGTCCACTCTCCAAAACTTATAACATCGACCATGTCTCTCTCCGTTGCAGTCACAACGATTGTTGAATCTGGATTCACAGCCCATCAGAAAAGGTCTTTACCACTCTTTACCCGGATCCTATTCTCATTGCCACGACAAGTTGCTGTTGGAAGCAATTCATGGTCCTAATTCTCAGGAATACGCATTAAATTTATTGATCCGTCGTGCAACTTTTAATACTTTTACTCCGCCTCTATATCGTCTGCGAAGCGGATCCTTACATTCGAAATTCGGACAAATCAAAACAGAACTACTGCGCAGCCATTGTCTAGGCAATACACGAGACATATATCCAATGGAGAATATTGGTAAAATTCTCGGCCCGGCCTTTGGCGTCATTTTCCTCATATTTATCATGGTAGCGATTATATACCTCTGGCGCCAAGGGTATCAATCGGAAAGGGAAATGGAGAAAGAAAGAGCGAACTTGGAACAAGGGAACACGAGTACTCAAGGACCAGAAGAAAATGCCACTTTCAAAGCAGTTCCATTTGATAGCCTCTCCCAGAACAGTTCACCACCACCATACACTAGACACGAGCCGCCGAGAATACCGGAGCCAGCTGTTGTTCGAGTAACCTCATAAAGAGAAAGGATTCACAGCCTCTCAAATCCCCGAGGCCATATTGAAATTAGCTATTAAAGACATGTCGACTCGAATACTCTTGCAGTTCTATATCTTAGGACAACCTATCATCAATAACTCCCATCTCATTTATTACCATTCTCGGCCTTGCCGGTAGTCCTAATTCAACTACACGGCGGGTCGCTCATAAATCCCTACCAATTAATTCGAAATCCTCATCCTTATCTTTGTTACTGGAGCTTGGGCTCGATGTTTGGCGAGCGACCCGACATAATCAACATTTTGTTCAACAGTTATTAGCACAGCAGTCATACTTTTTTTTCACACGGTATCGGCGTTTGGAGGCACTCAATTTTACCACATTGCATCTTTACCTACGACTTTAATTCGAGTCAATCTGCTCGAGAACGTGTACTACCGCCCGAAAATGGTATCTGGGTTAAGTGGCCCGGAATTCTTTGGACATCGGGCTGAAATGCGCTAGAGGAGCCGATATGTGGCGCTTAGATCGTGTACAGGCGACGTCACGTCGACTTAAACCTTTTCCTTTATGTATAATAATACAGTATTAGCAAGCTTTCGAGATCCACTTATTTAAATTCAAGTTGGGTGTACATAGTATATATATTGCCCAAAGTTAACAATTAAACCGGGATCTCGACAAAGTATGTCAGGACCGCCATTAGTCTCGGCACCAAGACTCGGCCGCTGCACATATGCTGCACGCTGCAGCTGTGATGACTGTGTGATAGATACGGGTCCAAGTTACGCAATCACAAATCAAAAAAAAATCCCCCAAAAAATGAAATAAGAGTGTTTCTGGCTCCTCCGGCGCCAATCTTTTAATTTCCTTTCCACTTATACCCTGAGCCCCAAATCATATTAGTTTGATCTGCATTGTAAAATATATTGATCATTGGACCGTCGGCTGACCGGCCTTCGTAAGGCTGTGGAAAATGCAACATCACAACGCAGATAGAAATCTCACGTGGTTTTGATAGGCGCCCCGAGCGGATCCCGCGTTTTTACGTATGGGGAAACGAATCGGCTTAATGGATAAAAATACCAGGATAAACTCGGTAAATTTTTGGGTTCGGCACGTCTGATGGATCGTATCTGCAGCTATATTTGCTTTGAACGGTTCAAGCTCCCGGTTCGAGTTCGGAATATGTCTATAAATGCTGCCCACGAGGCGCAAGTTCGTACATTTGATGCACACTGCTATAACCTATCATGTCATGATGGCCGTAGATGTACCTAAATTCGGTTCTATCTAACAACTTAAATGTCACCTGGACTTAGTATTCCTGAGGATCCTAATTTTGTAAATTCAAAGATCGACTTCCCTATAATTCTGGGGGGATATAAAAGCCCCTCCCGCCCCCCTTGCTTCTCCCTCTCTTCTTTCCTTTCTTCCTTTCCTCCCCACCACATACAGCTTCCACCTTCAGTACGCAGTAATTACTACCGACTTAACAACTTTGATCGAAACCAATTGATAACTTATGGACAATACCTACAACCTGACTATCGCATCGACCTCGGTTGAAGCCCTTTAGTCGTTGATTCGTTTCGAAATAAGAGTTATTCGGCTTTTACTTCGTCTTCTTACCTAGTGATTATTCACTGCTTTCTTCAAGTCTCCGACTTGTTACAGACTACTTCTGTCTGACCACCTCTCTAAAGCTTTATAGCTTACTTGCTCTTACTCGCTTTGAGTACCCGGTATTACCAATCAAGTGGTGATATATATTTTCCCTTTTCGAGATATATATTTTCCAGTTGCACCACTTCACGATGGCCAATTCCGTTGAAGAAGAATGCTGCACCGGCCTTTCAAACGGCCTACGCAGACAGGCCCGCTCCTTCTGGGAGGCGGCCTTCGAATTTCGCAACCACAAAGAAATCGACTTCGCCTATTCTAAGTGCGATCCACACCCATTCCCTCATCCAGAGAGTGACCGTCTTGAACATTGTTACAAGTATGGAAAGGGTTCAGGGAAGTTTTACCCAGTTCTTCTTGAGCAAAAGCTCGGAGACTTCGTTGTCAAAGCCAAACTTGGCCACGGAAACTTCGCTTCCGTCTGGCAATGTGTTCTCGATGAAGGGAAAGAAAGAGATCTCCCTTACGAGTCAGTTGCTGTTAAGGTCTGCACCAACAGCAAAAAGGACAGCAAAGACGATGTCACCGAAGCCAAAGTCCTCATGAAGCTTGGAAAGCGATCTGATGGAAAAGGTGACTTCGGAAAGAAGCACCTCCAGAAAGTTGACGAGTGCTTCCGCGTCCCTGGCTACTTTGGGGACCATTTCTGCATCGTCGGAGAAGCCATTGGACCATCCCTTGACTACTACCTCAACTTGGTCCAGAAACAAGGCCTTGGCCACTTCGATACTGAAGTTTCCAAGAAGGTCACCTTCCAGCTTCTCTCATCAGTCACCTGGCTTCACAAGGCAGGATATGGACATGGAGATATCCACCCACACAACATCCTCATGAAAGAGATGGGTTTCAAGGCTGGAACCAATGCCAAAAGACCAATCTGCATTCAAAACACCAAGCCCGAGGATGTTCCATATATGCCTCCCTATCTCGTCTCCTGTATTGACGACGATCTCACTGTCCGAACGCCATTAACAGTTGAGAACTGCGATGCCAGATTGGCAGACTTCGGTCAAACCTTCAAGAAGAACCACCCACGTCGACTCTACAAGATGACTACCCCCAAGGGTAATAGATCTCCTGAGTGGGTTCTCAAGCACACTCCAATCACCATTGGCATCGACATCTGGTCGATTGCCTGCATTGCCTATCGAATGACCACTGGTAAACACCTCATGTTTGTTGAGGAGCGTTACAAGGATGATGAAGGAAAATACACTCAAAAGAGAACCAGAGCTGACATCAACAACGACCATATGCCAATGATGGCTGAGCTCCTTGGAACGCCTCCTGCTTGGATGATCAGAAAGTGGAATATCTCTGGTCTCCCGAATATGGATTGGAAGTCCATTACTCCAGAAGGCACTCTCCATGAGCGCATCATGCAAGATCGGCCAGCCAACATGTCCAACGCTCAAGCTGCTCTCTTTGAGGACTTCATGAGACAGGCCTTGACTTGGGATTATCGATATCGAGCCACTGCTGCCGAACTCATTCAGCATGAATGGTTCGAATCAATTCTTTCGGAGAAAGATAGACTTCATCTTTCAAAGTTGGCTCAGTCGACCTCCCGCTGCTCCAAGACATTCACTAAAGTTATCAACGAAGTCAAGTCTTGGCCAGGAAGAATCATGAGTCTCTGTATCAAAAAGAAGGATTACGAATCACAGTCTGATACTGAAGTCAAGGCTCTTGGTCCAATCCTTGGTGCTCGAACTTGGGAAGAGATCTAAGAGTATCTCACCACAGATATTTCCTTTGTCTTTCCTTTGTCTTTCCTTGGAAAGGGAATTCACAGATCGGTATTAATTCTTTTTCTCTTTTTTCTTCCTTTTCCTTTTCTTTTATTCTTCGTTTTATTATTATTGAATAGGGAGTGGGATCCCTTTAGATTATGTTAATTCTTCTTTTTTTCCTTTGTTTTATTATATTGGCCAGGGAGTGGGATCCCTTTAGGTTATTACCATTACATTGGTTTAATGGTCTCTACATTAGATTGGTCTCTTTTCATTCTTGTTTCCTTTCAAAATTGATACCCTCTATAGACCATTATAAATTGCTTGTATGTTAACAAAAAAGTCATTGAAAAGTCATTTGAAAATACCATGCCTCAAAAGTTTGAGGGCATGGGTTTCCATCATGACCAATGTGACCTTGCTGTAATACGCGCGCCTTCTATGCATACTAACTATCCAAACTATCACTTGCAGTTGTAATTTACTGACGAACCTCTCTTCCCCGCTTTCTCCCCTTCTTACTATGCAAATTCTCGAAACTACTTGTTAATCCCTCATTTATTCTTACTAACGCTATAGCGAAATATAGGGAATTCCGACTCATACAAACACTAGTTAAACAGATACTAGGCAGGGGAGTACTTCCAACAAGTATACACTCTAGCTAACTTACGTTAACATACGATAGCCGAAAGTAGGGCGCCTAGGAGGCCCAAACCCCACCAAGGACCGACCCAACTTCTTCCTTGCAGAGCGGGGGGGCCCGCCAGCAGCAACAGAACGACATGACGCAAGCAGAAAAACTACCAAGGTGACTCATTCTTCAAGTTACAAATGATCAGCTGAGTACTCCTATGCATTCCCGTTTAAATGTTCTATTTTTGTAGTTTGGATCGAATTATGATCAAACTAATATAATTCACAGCATATCATATATACTTTATATATATATATCGACGATTTTCATCTATTTTTTTTCAAAGATCACCCGAGACCCTGCTCCGATCTACTCTTCCCGAGATCTAACCCTCATATCTAACAACCCCCCCATCTTTAGTCCTGCATGTATACTTTTAGGTAGTTACATTGGCGCGCTGATCACCATCGATCGATCGGTGGTAGATTGCGTTGTACTGTTGCACTTTTAGACTTGGCATTGATCAACAAGGTGTCTCAACAACCTCTGCGATTCGGCTAAATCAACTTTATCCGCAGTATGCACTCAAGAACTTCAAACGCAAACCCCAAAGACCGACCATCTTAAGCCTGAGATGCTGAGATTTGGAAGTCCGGTTCGCCGGAGCTTAAATTTCGGTAATTTGTTGTAAATATTTTACAAGAAAATGTTAAGAATCTCGGCTGCTAAGCTAAGCTAAGCAAACCGCTTCGAGATCTTAAGATCTTCAAAGATCGAGTTTAACCAAAGATACTAGTATACTGTGTATGCGTGCTTCTCGATGTCGAGGGCAACAGCGCTCGAAGGTTTCTGGCTGAATGAAGGTCACGGACGCATGCAATGGACCCATGTCTGCAGAATACAGCATGGACTCCACTTTTCGAAGCTTCTGTGGTCCTTCTGGCCCTTGCATGGTTCCTTGTCCTAGCTCTTACCTCCACTTTCCTAGCTAACGGAAAAATGGGATTGCAAACCGAATACCATATGGTATCATTATTCAGACTGAAAGAAGCTCGATTGGACCCAACTCCGGATCCCCATGCTAAAACCATTTCTTCCGCTGAATCCGAATACGAGGCTGTAAGTGGGCCTCATATTTGCTTCCGTGGAATAATTGTAATAGATACTTAATATAAGCTCTCCCCCGCATCCAAAATCCAGTTGCATTGTTCCTTACCTTTTACAACAACGTCAGTATTCGCAAGTCGAACCATGGTTTCAGTTAGGTGGCGTGTTGAGGCATAATTATTTTCTTAGGCTTATGAATGCAATGAAAATAAATCTTGAAATATAAATTTCAATAAGAAGCAGCTAGGCGACTAAAAAGAACGGGAAACATGGACCTCAACGTTATTATCGCTCTTATGTTCCTTTGTGCTGGTCTGGCGATACTATTTGTTACCGCTCGTGCTTATTTCTCCCACCAAGCTTCTAAACATGATGTTGCGCTTTCCACTTTCCATAGTCGTCGAAGAGACCGAAACTCCCCGGAGTCAAAAATCGTATCACCACGCCCCTATGCTGGATTTGGATGGAGGTGGGAAAAGAAATTTCTGAAGAAACAGGACCAAGTCAAACAGATGCTTGAGAGAAAGTTGAAGCTATTACACATCATGGCGACCGTGAAATATCAAGATAAAGAAACGAACGAGATTCTGGATAGCTGGAGGGATATATCGACATATACAGCGGATAATCCGATAGTATGCTTCCTCCGGCTGGGTAAAATTTTCAAAAACCTACATAACTTACACATATATAATTGAATAGTGCACCTCAAAACTACCCTCTCAACCACCAGTTATACAACGACGCCTCTTGTGAGTATCTTATGGATTCATCTGAATATGAGGTTTTAAATCTGACAAAATTTCAAGCATGTTTGACACTATTCGATACCTTCGGCAAGCTAAAAGCAGAGTTGTGGGCAAGGGAATGCAAGAATGGTACACTGAATTCGAGAGTGTATTCTTATTGGGGGTTCTACGTGTCGACTCGTGGAAAGTTTTTCTTGATAATTGTAAAAGATTGACGCTAGGTAAGTCTTAAAGTGGTTCTTAAATTAAACAAGGAAGCCATACGATAGGTCTGGAAGTGCCTGCTAACATATGGGTTCCTAGCAACTCCCTGGTTTAAAGTCTGGAACTATCGAGCGCGGGAACACCTTGATTTTTTATTCATGCCGCTTATTACACCGGACAAGGGCAAACTTGGGAGTATGTAACCCTTTCCTAGTACCCCGCTACATCATCTTCATCAAGAATAAAACTAACGCATTCTGTCGTAGTGATGGGCCGTTTCGTGATCTCATTCGCAGATGTCACACTCCTCGAAACTCCCCAAACGCCCGATCCATCGCGCTGGGCCAAATGGTGGCCCTTTAGTAGTCCTTGGAGACGCTCTTTGGACTGGGTGGACCTCGCTATTGACCATAAAAAATATTGCGAGTCAGCCCCGCCGAGCGTTCCGAGCGAAGAACTCCTACTCGAAAACTCGTCTATTGCAGTTACACGAGTACTCAGCCATAAAAAATTAATTGTGATGGACATCTGTAAACCATCCGATGGAAGCGACATGGCATTTGATATAACATCATCCGATCTGAATGCTCATTTGTCGCTACTACCCTTACTTCATGCGCCAAAAAATGCACCGATTCCAATGGAGTTGGTGCTCATATTATTCAAGAAGTCTGTGCAATCATGGAGTCAAGTTCGTGACGCTTTTGTAGAGCACGTCGTATCACTGGTGAGTCTTCCAACCCTCCCCTCAAATTCCCATTTGTATGTTTCGATTATCAGCTAATGACTTTCAAATCTTGCTTCATCAGAAATCATATATTTACGACAACCGTGCTCAGAAGGCTATGATAAACACTATTATGTCCTCCTTAAAACTTACCCATAGCCTTGGTACAGTCTCAGAGCACAACATAATCATCCTTCAGAAATTCTTAAGTACTAGCACGAAGACCATTGATGGAAATATCTCTGCCTTTTGGAGCTGGGATACTAACCCTCCAACGTTAAGGGAGGCATATCCCGACATTGCTGACGATTTAACAAAGGTGATGGAGTTTTTTGAGACGGCGAATATCGAAGCAAAAGACTGGGATAAAGAATTGAGAGATATGATGCAAATGGTATTTAGTTTGGTATCAATTGATGAGGCATATCGATCCAGAGAGCAAGCTCAAAGTTTGAAACGGTTGAGTTGGATTACGGTGAGTCCTTCTACACATTCAGTTTCGTGAATCGCCAATTGTAAGTTGAACGACACTGATTCATTTTATGCAGTTTATCTTTCTTCCACTACTATTTGCAGCGTCGTTGTTTGGTATGAACGTCGATATTTTGGAAAATAACCCGTCTTGGACATGGTATCTCGTCGTTTGCGTTCCATCCCTTCTCATAGTATGGGTTGTTTGGCTCGCATATCGGTTTAGCGATCGAAAAAGAGAGATATCAGAGGAAATACCGTTTAAGTCTGCTTAAATATTTATCACCAGCTAGGGCTTGAGGCCTTCTAGGTCTGGGTACGAGACAAGCTTGAGGCTTGTTGGTTGCTGATTTGATTTTGATACATGTAAAAATCTATTGTTTAAGATACCCTTACGGCGGGCGTTTATGTATTTCAATTTTATGAGAAAACGAATATTCGGATACAAGAAACTGAATTGGAATGAAATGAATATCTACAAGCAATTGATGTTCCTTAAACCTTTTATCTATTTTATCAGTCTAATAAGTACAAGTTCTCTATAATCTGCCCTCTTGCAGGCAATTTTAATTCTGACGTGTAAATACTCTTTGTAAAATTATCCACTACTACCCGAAGGCGAAAGACATAACTAAATATAGGGCGTATAAGCACTCTAGACTTCAACGGCTTTCACATGTGCACTACTCTTCACTCCCTTCTCTTCACTAGCGTCTTCGTCCCTTTCGGTGGTAGAAGGAGCATCCAACTCATTCATCTGATCTTCCATACCGTTCAATCTTCTAAAATTCCACCAGAACAACCATCCGCTAACAAGTGCCGCGATAGAAATCCCCACATACATCCATAAGATTGTTGGATCACCGGCAATGGGGCTTAGGGCTTCACTAATCGCTGCTCCAAAAGCGTATGTTAATAAGAACACGGCTTGAACAAAACTCCTCATTGATTCTGGTGCCTTCATATATGCATATTCAAGACCGGTGACACTGGCTAGAATTTCGGAGATACCAATAAGGACATATGCTGGTGCTTGGACTGCGATATGAACCTTGTTGCCTTGGGCCACGCCGTTAACTTCGGATGCTGGGCAGAGTGGGGAACTGTAACAGGGGCCAGCTGAGTATATCAGATGCTGGACGATAGCGGCGTAGGCCATTGCAAAAGAAGCGATGGTAAACCCCACGGTTATGCGATTGATTGGTGGGAATCGGATACGGGCCCTTTGAAGGAGCGGATAAACAACCCGGTCAAGGATAGGAACAAAGATGATGATGGCGATAGGGTCGAAATTTTGCATAAGATCGTTGGGGATGCCATGGGTGTCCATTTGGCCAGCTTCGCACAAATATTAAATTTATTATTAGCCAAAGGAACAATTTAGCGACCTGGGGACAAAGCTGGCTTACCCTGAGAGATAAAGTTTGTCGAGAACTGATTGTATACTACCCAGAAAATCGGGAATACCGCGAAAACCTTGCACGCAACCAAAGCTCGCTTCAACTCCTCAATGAAGTGGTCGTTCCATGGTAGATTCGTCAAACCACCTTCTTTGCTAGCCTGTACGGAGGGCTTTGGTGCATTCGTGTCTCGGTTCCTAGCCATAATCCAGAGAGCCTTGAAAGCATCCGTAACGATAGACCCCTTTGGTGGCCGATCCACATACTTCTTCCTTCCCAGAATAAGAATAACAAACCCAACGAAGAACATACAAAGACATAGCAGATATGCGCTTGAGAAAGACCATGAAAGCTTGTACTCCATATAGGGTGTCGCTAGAACTGATAATGAACCGACGTTTACTGACAAGTAGAAGACCATGTAAATTCTTTGGATTGTCAACGCTGGGTCCAGAATAACTCTTTCGCCGGATGGGAGAGTCTTCACAGCCATTTTCTTCCTGGTGTATTGCTCTGCAATCAGCGGACTGACATTGGCTTTGATCCCACCTGTCCCGAGACCGATAAGAATGATGGCGCAGATAAACCCTCCTAAGCCACCACCTGCTTGGAGGCTAAATGGGAGAGAAGTAACGAAGAGGACGACCAAGCCGAGAATGTAAACCATGCAGAAATAAACAATTGTTCTGTACTTTCCGAGGTATTGATCCGCAACAACAGCTCCGAAGATTGGGGTTACTGTAAGGTTATCATTTCAGTCAAAGCAATGTAATCAAAGTATCTCCAGAAGAAAAATGACTTACCGTAACACCAAAATTGGAAGAATGTCCCCAGACCGGTGGCGCCATGCTGCCCTAATCCCAAAGCACCGGGTCCTTCTCGCCCATTATATGGTCTCTGTATGAAATTCTGGAACAACCCTTGGCAACCATAATACGAGAAACGTTCGCACAGCTCGACAATAGCCACAAGCCAGGCTGAAAGTGGTAGATTCTCCGCTACATGCCGTAAAGCCCCCTTCTCTTCTAATGTCGGCTCAGGGTAATCTTCTACTTCGACTTCCGGAGGGGATGAAGTAACACCATCTAGATGATACAATAGTCAGTATAAATGTAGCGAGGAGCACTGCGATGGCCCTGTTATCCTCATACTAGATCCTAGATTGAATGCTGTTCCGTTTGCGCTCGCCATTGTGGATGTTGGGAGAGAGTATAGGTCTTCCTTGGTCCTACAAAGCCGCCGTTTAAAAAAAGTCAGAATCCACATCAATTGATAATTGATTATGTTCAGAATAGTTCTTACTCAACGACCTGACTAAAGTGATCAGCCATAGTTTTGAAGATCACCTTTTAATTCGCAGTCGATAATTGGCCGATTGGCGACGATATTTGGATGATGAAGACAAGTGTAAAGAAATGAGTCCGACCTGCAAGATCGGAAGAGCTATTCATATTCTAAGAGCACATTAATTCGTCTATCCCGTTGATATCCGCCATTTTGCCCTATGGAGAACGTGGGCAAATAACGTGGGTAGAGGGCGTGGGCGCTTGCGCGCAGATTTTTCTTGTCAAGGCGTACTCCTGTTGATACATTATATTTTGACTTTTTCCTGGCGGTGTCTTTTAAGTTATCTCTACTATATTGGAAAAGATCTCAGTCTGCCTTCTCTATAAGAACTGGTTTTTCTTGTCTAATGTCTTGGATGTCTGTTTGAAGCTTATTCCAGAGACAAAGTTTCCTGGCCATTGCGTGTAGGCGGACAGTTAGGAGAGCTCACCAAATTGCAACAGCAGATATGTGTTGTAGACGCTTTGGAGCTTTTGTGTTACCAGAGCTCCGAGACTGCATTGTTCCGCCTATTCAGGAAATCGTCCCAGAATGTGCAAGTGTTCATGTATGCGTCCAAAATGGGTTTTACAGTATCCTCTGCGGGGTACCGGGGCTCCATTTCTAAGGACTACTTGTTGGACTTCAATTGTCCAAAGCTGCTTATAGAAGAAGAAAAGGGTGCCAATAAGAGTACTTCGCATAAGTCGTAACATCATTCAATTGATCAACCAGAGCTCCAACTAACCCCCTGTCTACCCATTTGAAAGCCAATCGCAATGCAACAAAAAACAACCAAAGACTCGCAGGCGTGGTGCGTCCAATAAGTGCGTCCAATAATATCGAGATCGCAAAAACTATTCCATCAGCTTTGCCAGACCTCTGTTGACATCTTCACTTTCACCCAACTTTTCACACATATCCTTAACCCATTCTCTGACTCCCCAGTCACATGCCATTCTCAAAAAACGTAATATCTGGAACGTCCCTAGGAAGCTCCTCGATTGCCCGATTAGGAAAGGGCCGAGGACATGTCTAGTACCAGTAAAATCTCGAATATCATCCGTATACACTACGTTATAAAACCAATTGGCGCCGATAACAGATAAAGTGAGGATTAGCGGTGAAGGTTTTATCTCCACGGTAGCATCTTCATCCAATAATTCAGTGGGCGCTAAGTCGTCTGTTTGCATCATGCTACTGTTAAGATTTATAGTACTAACAGTAGCGGTTGTTGCGCTGGCAGAGGACCAGGATGCTAACATGGCAGATGCGCAGAGCGTGGTCTCATATTCTGCGGCTAGAGAACTGCCGGTTTCGTCTTTGACTTTCACCGGAATGATAGGAAAGGGGATAGAATGAGTAAAGGCTGTCGGCGCACGAGTTCGGCACATGGCTTCAAGGTCCTTCAGGAACTCTGTGACTACAGGGTCCGTCTTGTCAAGGCCAATAGTAATGTCGACTTTGGCGGGAGTAGTGTCATATTGGCCAGTGTCGCTTTCAGTGGCTGAGGATATGGAATTCTTGCGAGGTCTTGTGGTAGATGTTTGTAGGCGGGGTGGCGCCGACAATCGGCCCATATCAATTGGTAGAAGAGCCGGTTCTAGGTCAACCGTAGTCCTGATAGGGCGTTAGTGCGATCCGGCGCCCCGTAAAGGATTATGACGAACTTACGCTACCAACACCGACACAGTAGATTCGTACGATTTGAAAGCATGTTCTAATAACAACTTCGTGTGCATCACCCATTCGGTCTCCGTACTTGATGCCACATGGAGTTTCTCTGAGTTTTGCACGCTCCGGGTGACGAAATCCAACTCGGATCCCAAATCTCGTTCCGACCAGTCATCTGCAAAGCCTCCGTATACAAGATCCGGGAGATAAGCAAAGGGGTCAAGCCTTTCGATATCATCCTATAAAACGTCTAATTAGTCTGGGTCCTTATTCCACCGCACGGTGTGTAAATTTATACTCTGAAACTCGTCGGAATACATCCTTGGGCAGAGCACCACCCGCTCAATCGTTTTAAGAAGCCTCCAACACCTACTCCGATCGTCCTGGTTGCCCTTGAAAACTTTCCCGCTCCGCCGCTACACCCTAAAAACCGAAAACTCGGCCGTGTTCGATCCAAACCTTCCCTCTTCATTTTCATTAAGGTATTCGGACTATGGGTAACTGGTGTTGTAGGTCTTTGGGTTATTGTTTTCTCTGTAAGTTGTGTTTGAGATTTTGACTCGAGGTTAAGTCGTCCTAGACTGATTCTTGAAGCCGTCCCCTCCCGATCTCTAAGTCCCACCATTCCATGTTGGTGGTGACTAGGTCGTAAATCCTTGTTACTGCTTTTCCGGCGGAGTGTATGCCTTGAACTAGTATCTCCTGGAGTGCGGTTGTCGCGGTCGGCGCGGTGTTCTTTGGCTGTAGCTCGTAGATTCTCACTTTTGCTGCTCTATAATTGAATCCAAAGGAAAAGTTCCCCAAGGAAAGTTGGACACGTCAGAACGGAAACGACGGATTGTTTTTTTGTCTTCAAAAATTCTGGTGTGATTTTTTGCATCTGCCATGTTTGCATTGCAGGAAAGAGGGGCAAAACCATTGGATTGATATCGAAAGAAAGTACGATAAGTGAAGTCTTTCGATTTGCGAATCCAACTGGTTGAGGTGGGAAGTGGGTGGATATCGTCTCTCGCATTGGGCAAGGGAGGAAAAAAAGTCTTGGAACTTTAGATAACTATTTTCTTTTCGTTGTAAGATGGAAGCTACCTTTGATTTGTGCAGCACCTTTCTCTTCTTGGGCACTGGTGGGATCTGTGGCGGATTGTGCGATTGAACGTCGGCTTGCCAGTCTGATATCCGACGCTTGAATGAACGAGTCATAAAGTCGGCCGTAGGCGACGGTTGTTCTCCAGCTCCATCCATTGCGCCGTTTGTCGTGAATATACTTGCGCTTCCTCTGAAAATTCCTATGCTATCTGACTGATATTTGAAGGGTACCTCGAGCTGTCTGTGTCTGGTGTATGAGCAACAGTGAGAGAATGATGTGGTTGGTCTCACGACAAAGGATAGTGGGGAAAGGATAAGTTGCTAGAGCAGAGTCCGTGCTCTAAAACCTCTCTTCAAACAGGCCCACGTCGTCTCCGTATGTAGTGTTCAGGAGCCCCGTATCAATGCGGTGAGGTGGTATTCTGTGCTGCCAACTGTTCAAAAATTTTTTTCTTTCTTTCTGTTTCTCCTGCTTGCCTTAGATTGCCTCTCTTCGCTGCTCGGTTATGACACCAATCTGTCGCTATTCCCGCTTCCCCGTGCCTTTTTCCTTTGTTGTATTGCGCAATACCCGCTGCCAAACTGGAAAGGCGGTAGGGAAAAGGTTGATCTTATGCGAATTTCAGGGGCGAGGAAGGTGTCTTGCGGTCGACAATTCATTGATAACAGGACATCTTCTTTCAAGGCGACCTCTAAGAGCATATATTGGCGAATACTTGTTCTCTGCTCCTTCTGAATCTAATACGCGTCCTCCTGTGATCTCGTGTTACTTCATTTGTTTTCCTTTCTCATTCTTAGTAGTCTGGCATTCTTAGGGCTTTCTTGTTCGCCGGATTTGGTTGGGCTCATTTGGTGACATTCGTTTGAACTTCCAGCGATTGTTTTGCTTTTTCACAAACAGTATAGCCCTGAAACTAAGACTTCTCTCTTTCGACCATTATATTAATTTGGCTGCAGAAAGCATCGATCATATCATATGTATCATGCAGTGGTCATATGAACACTCACCTCGCAGATGCATCTTAGCGTCTGATTCGACTCGTAGACGACAAGGAACTGCTCCATGGATCGTGGGTCTAAATAAAACCCGAATCGACTGCGATCGAGTGCTTGCATATGCGAGAGATTTGCAGGCCGAATCGGACACGAGCGTCGGCGAGGAGGTATTCCATACGTCTCCCGACAGCTCCAATTCTTGGATCCGAATGCCTTGAAATCGCACTCGCTCCAATCAGCTAATTCGGCCTAGCTGCCGGCATTTGTTGGTTTGCCTCGAAATTTCATCTAGGTTTTTTAAGCGCCAACGATTAGCTGGGAGCCCCGGAACGATTAATCGATTGACGGGTCCTCGTATACAAATCAGCACCGGCCTCGTAGTCTCATAGAATATGCAAGACATACCTGGATATAAAGCGGACGGGGACATATAACCAGACTTTTGCGTTGCGGAGATCGGGGACTGATTCTAGCCAGACTTTTTTTTATACCAATTCCGATAGCCAGCAATGAATCGAGTCGGTCCAATGGCGCTCCGAGCCGTCATGATTGAGCCCAAAGGGAGAGCCCCAGGCTAGCTAATATTAATAGCTTCGCAGTTGTCATTGCGGAGCTTCCCTCAAAATATTCTCCGCTTGAAACATTTACGTTGCAAACGGCCCATTTAGTATTTTCCTCAGGGCCATTTGGTGCCCATTATTCTTTCGTCCATCGGGCGGCTCACCCAAGCTTATATCGCATCTTTGTTTGCGATGCGATGGATTAGAAAAATTATATCTTGAACCAATATCGAGAGTAAGTACCTACATTTTGCATAAAAGGCTCAGAGTTATGTCCTAACCTCTCTTTTAGGGAGCTAAGATAATCGCAATGCAATGGATAGCTTACGTACTCACGCAGCGTTTAAACGTTTTAAAAGTTTTTAGATTCTCGAATATAAATTGATACAAAAGTTCTTCTCGAAATGGCCGTGAAAGAATTCAAAGGGTCATCTAGAGCGGGTGGGCTCTACGAAACTCTTTATACGTCTGATATATCCCTCTCTCTCTCTCTGCATCCCATCGAATCGATTAAATTTTCTGTGATCAAGGGTCACTGGGGATGGCACTAGCCAATAGGTGTGATGCCTACCAATGGTTCGTGCTCGACCAAAGGGTCCTGCTCGCCAAAGAACTTCTTTGGACGCAGAAAGCTAATACCATGGGTCCCATCGAGAACGGGGAGTTAAAGATGAGCCAAAAGCGTGAAGAAGAGCAAAAGGCCATGGAAGATCGATACAGCGTCGAACAGAACCTTTTAGTACTGGAGAAACGCGGCGAGATATTAGTGTCAGTGGTCAGCAAAACCGGGGAAACATCTTCCAGGGTGCCAGCCGCTACGACAAATTATTTTTGATGATTGAGGAAGGTAGTAAGAATACAGATGCATCGATGGCTATTTTGCAAGAGCAAAATGTAAAGCTCGTCTTAGCTTAGTAGTTGAGGAGAGCAAGAGGATAATGTCTAAGCTATTGTCCTCCAGTACCAGCCAAAACCCTCTACTGGGGACCCATCGAACTTACCACAACCAATCTAAGGGCTTATTTATTTGGACTACACCCCTTTAAATCTCCAATAGAGCGGGGCAAACCGGTGATCTTTATCTTTTATTTTCACCTTCACTCAAAGACTCTGTTACCATACCCGTTTCTATATCACTTAGTTTTGATAATAACTTGTTTTTTTTAACAGCTGCTATCTAGAAGCTTATCTCGTACCGCCTAAATATAGGTTTATGGTGGTGGTGGTGGTATCTTATAGCTGAGTGGGAATCGACTCTTTGCTAAGAGGTTTGTTGATGGAATCTTATGGCCCGGTTTCAGCGTTTAACCGTTTTTGTAAATGCATTAAGTTCCTGCCAGTTGTTATAGAGTGTGCTTATAATACTAGTAATCAAGTCATTGGGGGATATCTGGATTCAATATAAACTCTGATCTACGTAGCATGGGTTTGGTATAGCCTCGGGGCCAGACGCTTGCACACCGATCAGAGCTAGAGGGTTTCATACATGTATTTAGTGCTAACGTTAGCCCCGAATATAAACCGGGATTTAAATCTCAAAGTAATATAGCTGAGCACCATATGGAGTTGGGCTACAGATAAGGTGCGAGGGACTCGGTGCGAGGGACTCGGTGTCGCATGAGGCTCTATCTGCTTGCCGGGTCCAATACGGTAATTCTATTATACTCCGGCTTCGACTTTCAACCGAATCGCTCTTCAATAAGCCGACCGATTGATGCGCGAGAACTTGGTTCAGTATTTTCTAAGATATCTACCCTAAGTTCGAGATTCTTTCACTAGGGTTGTGACAGTCGTCCCATCGTCGAGTACTTCTGGCCGCTCAACTAGTTCGTATCTCCCTTTCGTGGGCAAATAGACAGTCCAAATATACCAATACGACCCTGCCACGAAGAACACTAAAACTGTGGCGACCGCATATGTTCCATACCAGAACCTTACATCTCCCTTCCCACCTGCCGGTCGAATGAATGGTGCAATTAGAAGAGCCACACAGGTCGCGATTCTAACGACCACTGCGGCAGATGGTGCTTTGTACGGTCGTTTCAGGTCCGGCTGCTTTCGACGTAAAAGTATCAACCCAATGACGACCGCTAAAGCTACAAACTGTTGCGCATAAGATTGAACATCTAGAATGAAGGCGTATATATCTGCTGGGGGCGTGAAAGTGATGATGAAAAATGCCTGAATAAAGTTTATGGAAAGGGCTGCTAGCGGGGCATTGAAGGGTTTCGAAGAAGCGAAGAATTTGCTAAATGGTATAACCCCTTGTCGGGCGACTTCTTGGTTCAGACGAGACTAGCCAAGGCAATTAGGCGAAATTCAGCGTCCACGAGAATCAACCAAACTTACCTGTGAGAATAACCCGACCATTACATTGCCAGCAGTCGAAACTGCAACAGCCAGAGAGAGTACTCGCCTGCCGACGCTATAACCGAAAACACGCTCGAAGAATAGACCCGCAATTAGTTCACCACTATTTCTTATGTCCTCGCCGTCAACGACAGAAAAGTATGCCATATTGACGAAAAAGTACATTAGGCACACCGTAGCAAGGGCAGCCGTTGTCGCAGTCTTCAACGTCCGGACTGGGTTCTTGATTTCGTTCATGACATCATTTGCAGATGCAAACCCCATGTAGGCATAGGTTATTTTCAGAACGGCGGTTGACATGCTGCCCCACCCCCAGATGCTCCCTTCAAATAGCGAACTTCGATCATTTGTGCCATCCCCTCGGGCGATAACAACCAGCGCTGTTAGTGTTATCAATCCCATCAAAAATATTTTAAGGTAACCCAAGCCGGTTTGTATAGCGATCCCGGTACGTAAGAAGCAACCATGGATAAGGACCGTACATGTCAGTAGGAGCAATGCGAATCCTCTGTTCGCTAGCTTGGTAGGTGGGAGGCCTAGGGCGAATGTCAAATATTCGCCAAAAACAATACAGTTGCTCGCCACTGAGTATAAAAATATCGTGTAAAAGGCGAAGACAATACTTGCCAAGTATTTTGGCTTCGAATACGTGAACTCCAGATACACCTGTCAAGAGACCACTAGTCAGTCAAGAACTCTTATCCATCTAGCTGGTATTCTAATGCGTGCCATGAGGCGGATCATACCTTATCGCCTCCACTTCTAGGCAGCATACAACCGTATTCCAAGCTAACCGTTAGAGCACATACTGCAATTGCAGCTCCAACGACCCAGAGTATCAGTGACAAACCAACACTTCCGACGGAGCGATAGATACTCCCAGGCGTGGCGAAGATTCCCGATCCGATGATTCTCGAGACGACTAGGCTGTAAACATGGAACCAACCTAGGTTCCGACCGAAAGTAGCAGTCTCTGGGAGTGTCCGAGAAACATTGGGCTCTTCAGATGCAAAGGGATCAAGGGTGGGAGAGTGAGTAAGCGGGCTAGCTGGCCTGGATTCAGTGGTGACGACGCCTGAAGACCCGTCATATGCAGCAGCATCCTCCTCCCTGTAGTGCGGGTCTTCGTGAAGAAGTGGAACATGGTCGCCTTGTCTATCATACGAGGACATTGTTCAAATAGAAGCGAGGCTGGTAGATGTTGGGGTTAACGTTGGAGATGCATTTTGTGGCCGTTCTGGAATGACGGTCATGCAATACATCCGAGAAAACGAGTGAAACCAAATATTTGCACTGGCTCGAAATCACGATCTCACTTCGATTACATCGCAAAGCCACTTCCCTCAAAACGTACCTCTCGAGCTCTCGTAGCATCTACCCATATCATCAAGCTTTTCATTCCAATCTAGATGTCTACGACGAGGCTGGATTAGGTACATCTTCGACCTCAATTAATTCCAAATATTAACCCTTGCATTGCAACGCATAAAATTTACGGAGCCGCACCAGCTAGGCCGTGATGATAGAGGCTACTGATAGGCGAAGTTTCAGTCTCGAGCCGTAGTTCCGGTAACATTTCTCTATGAGCACGCGCACAAATGTCCAAGCTTCGATCCATGCTTTTGCAACCTCGCGTTTGGTCCTTTCGCGGAGGCCCAGAGGCCTAAAGCTAACTTCGATAATGATAATAAGTACTTACTGATGTACAGTGTAGGTAGGGCCCGAAAATGAAAGGGGGTGACAATATCAGAAGCCTCTGGACATGCCAAAGAAAAACTAACGTTCAATGTCGAAGCTTTTTTCCCGGGATCAAACGATGCAGCCAATTACTGCACACATGCATAAATTCCAGAAATGGCGTCTCAGCCCTTGGCAGGGCAAATGAAGCTCTGCAAGGCTGGCAGCTTCGATGCCGAACGAAGGCTCATACTCTGTCCAACCTTGCAGCCCGCTCGAGATCCCGAATCCAAAGCAGTTTTGAACTGCGGGGCTGGCTAGCACTAACTCAGTCCATAGTCGCCTATTCACCTGCAGCTAAGACCCAGCTTTCTGTCAAAACCAGGGTGCATCCATATCCTTCCCGCCTGTTTTGTTTCGACGTTTCTTATTTCCTTTGCTCCTTGAGGACAACTACAATTCGACTACGTAAAGTAAATGCAAGGTCCCGCTTAGTCTTCTTCTTGATCTTCAGAGCCAAGTTAGACGGCTTTTCTGTTGCCTGTGGCCTAGCTTTCAAGGGCACAAGTAGTAGTACAGGCGATTCATCGGCTCTAACTTCTTATCTTCGGCGGCATACGTATCCTATTACAATACTCACTACACACATACACCCTTCTAAAGAACTTGCAGGTTACGGGTAATAACATTCCGCCGTACTTCTCTTTCCCGAGTTAATATCCCAAAACCAAACCCCTCCGCATGTTAATGCCCGACCCGACGCACCTCAATCGAGAGCAAACCGATTCGCGCACGCGAGCGAACTCGCCAAAATGGCGACGGCGGTTATGATAGACAACGGCCTTTCACTCGGCTGGGAGACCAGCCAGTGCCAAAGCTACAAATATTTCCTCAAAATCGTCACAGTCGAGCAACCAAAGTTCCCGACACCGCGAGAACGAGGTAAAAACATCGAACGACTGTTTTATCCAAAATCAGACCTCCAGACGATTTTTATGCAGGATGGGGTACTTAGAGATATCGTTTGCTGCACGACTTGTAAAGGGTGTAGGTTATTCCGAGGGCCCGAGACGACAGCAGGGAATAAGTTAGAAGAGAGTCTTATTATCAATAGCATTATCGATCCGGAGCGTCCTCGGTTTATTCTCCTGGCCATACTTGTGTGTATGGGCCAGGCGTATCTCATAAGATACTTAAATCCTGAGAGATTCTCAGACAATAACCTCGATAATATTACGAACGAGATGGTGATGCGGAGGGGTCATTTAGAGGAGCTTTTGCCTCAAACATTAAGTGTAGAACATTTTTTGGATCGGTTCCAGATGTTAAGGCGAAGATTCGATTTGAAAACATTCGATCAATTCGTCAAGGGGAGACGACTAGAATTCGACGAAGAAGATATTCTACCGTTCAGTGTCGACGAAGAACATAGCTCAAGCACATATGGAATTGTCCATAAGTTCGAGATCTACCCTTGTTATAATAATATAACAAGAAATGGGATCAAGGTAAGATTAGCCTTGGTGGGAAATCGTATTCAGCGATAAGATGCTAATTCACTAGAAACTAGGTCACGAAGTTCGCCCGGAAGATACTACGCGCGGAAATCGCAGAAACCGATTTTCGATACGAGCGCGACAACTTAGCCTTTGTCAACAGCCTGAACAACCCCAACATCATCGAAATGTTCTGTTGGTATACCAGGAAAAAGCCTGGGTATAAGAAAGAGTTCACCTACGTATTCCCTTTCATGGAGGCTAGCCTACACGATGTTCTCTCCGGGAAGCCCAACACCCCGGCTGATCTCAAAAATCACCAAACGACGTCGTTATACAATAGTCCAATGTGGCAGCAAATGGTAGACGTAACTTCGGGTCTCGTTGCGATCCACAATCCTGACCCGAACTTATTGAAGAAACGGGGGCTACAACCGGCGCCAGGTGGATGGCTTGGGTACCACTTCGACTTCAAGCCTAGTAATATCCTTGTAGATTCCGACGGCAAATTTCTTATAACAGATTTTGGCCTGTCAGTTTTCAAGCGGCGGGGAACAGACGATACTGCCACTTCAACAAGGGGCGAGGAAAGTGAGATGTTGTACGACCCTTTAGGCACCCCAGCATACCAGCCCCCAGGGGTTCAACCTGCCCCAGGAATCCTGCCCATTGGAGATGTTCCGTATGATATCCCCAGAATGCGTCGTACATACGACGTCTGGTCTCTCGCTTGTGTGATGACTGAAGTCGTCACCTATATTCTCGGCTACGATGGGAAAAAGGGCGCAGCCGCCGTTTCCCGCTTTAAGGAAATGCGTATGGCTGACTCAACGCGAGATAGTTCTTCAGCGTGGCATTGTAGGTCAAGTGCGGCGAATAACGAACCTCGTCTAAAGCCTAGTGTTGAAGACTGGTTCAAGTATATGAAAATTCTAGCGGGCACTGAGGATCCATACCTCAGTACTATTCTTGATTTACTGGAGGAAATGTTTGGGATTTATTCAAGATCAAATTCGAAGGACGCGGAGCAAAGACTAAGAGCTGCAAATCAAAGAGAAAAAGAGAGACAAGAGTCGATATTCCGAGGGTCGACTATACCAACAGAAGAGGTTCAATTCTCAGTAACGCAATGGATTAAAGCAAGAGGGAAAGAAAATCTCATTTACGACAGTGAGCTTCAGGCCAAATATATAATGTTCGTCCAGGACTACCAGTAAGTACCAGAGCCGATCAATATCTGCTAGGATCAACGCTAACAGAAAGCTGAAGCCACGACCGGTCAAGTATTGATTATCGGGGAGATAGACTGAAACTTCGGCCTTGGATTGAAGTCCAGGCCTTGAAGGTATTCCAAAGCGAACATACTAAGTCACGCCTAAGAGTTGTTATAACATTCAAAGAGCAGAACCGGCTTGTCGCAGAGTCAGAAGGCTGTAAGTCTTAAGGCTTCGTTGGATATGAATTTTCTCAATATATGCTAACATTATCGTTCAAATTTAATAGCTGTATATAGTACGGAACAGTTCATCCCTCTATACCATTATGAGGACCTAAATGAGGATTTTGCCAACTCTTGTGCCTTCAGGAACGCTTTTGTAGATAGGCTCATCGGCTTTGAAGACTTTTCGGACTTGCGTCAGTTCCAGGAGGCTATTTTAGGGTACAGAATCAAATCAGAGTCGGACCAAAACATCCGTTTTTGCTTTACCGACAAAGAAGATTCCAAGTGGAAGTCTGAGATAGATGGCGCGCGAGTTGAGATATGGACCACGCATGGACTATCGGTAAGCTTACTTGAATTTCCCGAGTAAATATAAGTCTAACAGCTTCCTTCCGACAATTAGAAGCCACCCCAGCTATATAATGTTGGTCAAAAAGGTATCGGTTTACCGATGCTCAATCGGGTCAATAGCGGTCAAGGTTCGACACTGACCCCACCTCACACCCCCCGTGAGGGGTCAATTATCACACAAGCGTCACCCATACCTGGAAAGAGTCATGATTCTTCCGTAATTATTTTTCGCCCTTCTCACAGGGATATTCTGGTGATCCCTGCCCTTCAGCACAAAGCACGAATATGTGGTGGCTGCCCTGGCAATTGGAGTGACCCGAATTCTATCAGCTTCATCGTAAACCCGCCGCATGACAAGTTTGCAGTATTGAGGTTCAGATCAGAGTCTCTAGGACCACGTTTAGACCCGCTGGACCCAATATCGTGTATCCCTGGAATGCCACTCGGGCTCAAAGAGGCAGTACTCCGTTCGAGAGACGATGTGGACAAGAAAACAGTTTTCAATCAAACTTGCGTTAGTTTAAGATTCAAGAGTGAAAAGCGTAAGGAATTTTCTGCATTTATGCTATGAAATTATCACTTTCTAACCTATACATTTGGAACAGACTGCCTCGATTTTATTGCTGCTTTCTCTCGAGCGTTCCCTTGGAAGCACTTGTACGAGACAGGATTTTTCAATGCGCACTTTGGCAACAACCGGAATCCAGCACTAGCAGTTCCGATTTGATTTGTCTCGTTGGTACCAGACAACACGAAGTACACGATTTGGTCACTTAATGTGTAGTTTTGGCCCATCTAAGGGCATCACGATAAAAGGCGTGCGAGGAACACAGACTACTCCATCCAAACGACATCAATAGACAGATGACTCTCTAGAACCTGTCCTGTCCCAGTGCTAGAAGCAACCGCCTTCACTTTTCCCCTACCAACTCTGATATGTTTGCAGATTTACTTATCCCGGTTACTAATCGTAGGAGTTTTTTGATATTATTTTACCATGATAGCGAATTAGCAATATCGATATTTGCCCACACTCTATTTTGAACGAGGCTTTGGCTGATTTTCATACCTTTTTCTTTTTTTCCATTTCCTGTACATTTTAGCTTTATAATCATCTAATATACCCCCTCTGTATTTATCACGAGAACGCGGTTATCGAATCATAACCTGCATACTTTTTTTCTGTGCAGCCTAATAGCTTCTGTATTTGATAGATGACCAATGAGAGATTCTTTGTCTATGCATGTGCCGTTCATCCAGGAATTGCATTAATATGGGTATAGCCTCCTAGATTTCCTCCGGGTATTTCTCCGTTCTTTCTGGCCTCATTTGCTGTATGCAAGCTGCGAGATATCCCTTACCCTACCGGCCGCGCGTTGCTTGTGTAGTATCGACGCCACATTTTCGACCGCGGGATCGAGCGGCTTAAGGGCTGAAGATAGGTGAATCGTTAAAACTCAGACCTACATCGATGTCCCTCCCACTGCATATTTAAAGAATTTCACAGTAGTAGATTTTCCGAACCCGGTCTCGAAATTTGTCTCCTACTCTCGTAACCTCTTATGAAGGATTTAATTTAGGAATCAACAGCACATATTCAGGCACTTTTGACATTTGTGCCCGCGATATTCCATTAATCCTTCGATTTTTGATGTTCTTCTTGCATATTTCTGCATGGAAAGGAAGCATTCAGAGAGGATACAGGAATTCCGGGCACCAGCATACAGGTCATCACCCATAATCCTATCGCTATTAGGCCTATTTTTTGCTAGCAGAGATCGTAGAGTATAAATTTGGGTACTCGCTGCCTAGATGTATTGATACCTAGATGTTAAAGTTATCTGAGCCAAGAATAAGTACATACTTTTGCAAGTATCTAGCCTAAACCACGGCGATCTGGTTACCAAAACCTAATCATACGGCAGCCATTAGTATAGGTATCTGTCAATATTGCAACAAGCATGCCCCAACGGCCATGAAATGTGGGTCTCGTCAAAGCGTGGAATTTCTTCAATTGCAACTTCGGGCTTCAAGCCTTGCTCGCAGTTGCTAGTGTGTGCAGGAAGGCAAGTTTGTTCCCAAATATCGTTATGACATAGGTACTCCCTGCCTGGTGTCGCACGACCACCAGTTGTCCAGAAAAGACTGTAAGAAAGCTCAACGGCACTATCGCCAGGCAGCACTCGGTGGATCTCGAAGAATGACTCCCAAGCCTTTAAATACTAGGTTGGTGATCGTCGAACGCAAGAAAATGCGGGGTTTCAAATAAGGCTACTGACCTTCCTCGCCTAAGTTCCCCACTTTCGTGAAGCTGCATGATACGCAGCTAGCTTCGATTTTCCAACAGCAACGTACAACGTTTGCAGGCAAATTCCATTTTCGAGCTTAACTCGGATATATCTTTGGAGCGTGGGTGAAGTGTTAATTCATGGGCTGATATCCTATTCGAGAAAAGCAGCGGTCCCCATGACCTTGTGCTTCTAGCGGAATCAAATATGGTGGCGTTTGCGTTTTTAGGCTTCCAAGCCCAGACCTGCAGCTGTTCATGGATATTGTGGAGCTTGATCCCTCAATTCGCTAACAAATCTCGGAGCCTTCTTTAGCACAAGCTTTTGGCTGCATAAAAATGAGGCTCAAAAAAATCTCGGGCTGAAGAATCGATTTCAGGGAGAGATTTCAGTTCGGCGAAAGTGGACCAGGCACACGTATTAATTATTAATATCACGACCCGGAACGTCCCCGCATGAGCGTCCGCGCCTGGTGTATTTATCAAAGCGTTCGGCTGAAGATAACCCTAATCACCTTCGGCCTGGTATAAAGGGTTCATCTATCTGCTTTCCGGATCCTTTGGCGTATTGAATGTATAGCTATAGTTTAAACCATTTACAAACCGCATTCTAGAATTTCCAGAACTAGCCGTGCGTACTAATAACGATATCGCGGAAAACTCCAAACCCTGATTGCAGCGTAGTCCCTAGCGCTAGCTTATTCAATTGTTATAGCCCATTCTCTGTGTCAAGCTGGGACATATATTCGCAACCGAGGCGCTAGCCAGCTGAGGTCACTCAGCTTTATAGCATCCTGATATATTGTAAGATCACCTCCAGCCCTACAGCTTCACGCCAAGATCTTAAGATATATGAAGGGCAAAAACTAATTCACATACCTCATGGGGTCAGCCGATAGAACCGCAATTCGGAATTATCTTGGGCGCCATGGCACAGCCGTTAGGGGATATTTCAGGCTTCTCTGAAGATGAAAATGGGTTAGGTCGTCCAAGGCCACGCCCTCGCCGTGGGGCTTCAGTAAGATCGGCCACATCGTCGGGCCCTGAAAGACCTCGGAGATCCTCAGTACACTCCTCGAGCCTGGTATCCAATGAACTTCCTCCGATAGTCCCAAGCCCTGTATCATATACAGAAACACAGGCCGCAGAGTCTGCAACAGCCAGATCGTTAGCCAACTTGATTCCGCCTATAGTCGAAGCCCCACAGATAGCACCCATATCCCAAGTATCCCAGACACCACAAAGCCTCAATGAGGCCAGATATTCAATATCAAATCATAGCCAAATAGAAAATCGGCGGGCTTCTATAATTTCCGGGGACCATAACTCATCTTCAAGTCCCGCTGAGTCTCAGTTTGTCCGCCGTACAGCGGAACCAGCAGAACGAGGGACACAAGAGAAGCCACCAATGTTGAAAAGACAGGAACGAACCCCTGGGATTAGAATAGTTCGACCAGGGAGTGCCGGCTCAACATCGCAGGGATCTTTGCAGAAGCCTGACATAGATGCGTTGATTGTTGGAGGACGCCCAGCAAGGAAGTTAGGGACAATTGAAGTTGCCTCACTTATTATAAACAAGATGGTACGTGGGGATTGAGATAACTTATATCCCGCTATTTGTAGACTTAGCTAATATGTGGGCATAGATTGGGAGTGGAATCGTAACCGGGCCTGCACAGGTACTTCTCTACACGGGGCGGAAAGACTACGCCTTACTCCTATGGGGTTTGGGGTTTCTTTATACCCTTGTTTCTGTAGTCATATTCGTGGAATTTGGCTATAAATTCAGAGTGACTGGTGGGGAGTTGGTTTATGTAAGTTTTGATTTCCAGGGCTTTGTCTTACCGACGTTCGCGTTCGCACTAACCACACTCTTTCCTTCCCATAGCTTGACGAGCTATTCAAAAAGCCAAAGCTGCTGTTCGTGACGATATTTGCCGGCCAATTTATTCTGTTTTGGAACACGGCAACGAACTGCTCTCAGGCAGCTCGTCAGATTATTGCTTGTGCGGATAAATCGCTAGACACCAACAATGTCTACGACGGACAGGATACTCGCCTTATCGCTTTTATCGCGATTGTCATATCGTCATTCGTCTGTCTCCTCCACTACTTTTCTACAGCAGCTGGAAGAGTAACAAATGTCGCGTTCGCCGTTTTCAAAGTCGTTATGCTCCTCATCCTTCTCGGGCGTGGTGCTTGGTTTTCGGAGACGTTCAAACAAGGAGGGGATTGGAAGGCTCAACCAAACCCCATTGAATGGAAGTCCTTTACATACGCTACATTCATCGTCCTGTTTGCCTTCCAAGGCTGGGAGAATGCGTCCTTCGTGGCTGGCGAAGTCGACATTGCGAAGACAAGAGCTTTGCGCAATGGATACTATATCGCGGTGTTGCTTGTTGGATTTTTATATCTCTTCGTCAATGTTGCTTTCCTCACAGCTTTCGAGTTCGTCGTAGGGGGTACTCCAGATGGAGTTGCAGCTATCCTAAGTAGCGGTAGAGTTCCAATAGAGGTCCTTGCCAGTGACGGCTATGCGGCTCGGTATTGGGGTAGTACCCCTGATGCGGTAAGGGCATGGACTGTGCTCTTAACCTTATCTGCTCTCGGAAATGTCCTAGCTGTGACTTATACATGCGGTCGAGGTAAGTGAAAAGTCTTCGGAAGTACCAGTACAAAGGTCATTGTAACGGTACAAGTTCTTACAACCTCAAAGTCAAGCAGATGATTGGCCAGGCGTATGTTTTCCCCTGGTCTCGACTATGGGCGCGGGAATCAAGGTTTAACACCCCGTCTGGAGGACTTCTTCTCCACTGGATCTGTACCTGCATCCTCATTCTCATCTCAGTCAGAATTCCGAATTCAAAGGGGATTCAGCTGCCAGGATCTCTACAAGCGTATTCACATGCAGCAGTTGCCCGTAAGTTGGACCTATAGTAGCGTGACTAGATGCTCCGGCTCGGACTATAGCTAACCCACATTCTCTATCAGTTGCGGTCACGGTTGCCTTTTGCTTCTTTACAGCCCCGCTAGTAGATGGACAAGAAACTTACCAATGGTCTTGGTTGAAATTAAAACGAGTTTCCTGGCCAATAATAACGGTTTCTATTCTAATGAACCTTGCCATGATCTGTCTTCCCATCAAGTCCGCTGTCCCAGACTCCTCCGTTCCCGGCTGGGTCTTTGCCGCAAGCTGTTTCTCAGCAGTTATCGGCAGTATATTATATTACTTCATTCTTTTCCCAGTTGAAGATTACATGGAACCATCCAATAAATGGAAAAAGTGGAGTCTTCTAAGACTGGCAGGAGTCAGCTGGAGTATCCGCCTCGTTGAGGAAGACATTTACAATGAGAGATGGGAAAGATTCCAAAGAACTTCCAGACATTTTGAGGGTTCAACCTCCAAAGTGGGGTATCAAGACGAACAGATAAAGCAATTTGGCGAACGAAAAATGGTTTACTATACGGTAAGTGAAACCCCCAAAGCTGCAGAGGCGCTGAACGCTAGGTTACAAGAAAACATTATGTCAAGCTAACATAATATACTTCACTCTGCAGCTCGACCCAGTTATGATTGGTAATCAGGCACATCAGCCGAGCACCACTAGGAGGTTGGTGTTCTGGTTTTTCGGTGGAAGCTTCAATAACAAGACCTACAAGAGCCCTTGGACTGAGTGGGCCCTGAAAAAGCCAAACTTCCAAGGTGCAAATTTTCTCGCCATCTTTAGACAGAAGGAATCCGTGCCACCCGGTCTGAGTATGCAGGATGTCCAGTAACCAAGTTAATATCGCTCAAAACCTGTGGAAGACTCATACCTCCTATGGAAAACTTCTATGCCTTGATTTACATCCTCGGGATTGATCTAAAGTTTTTCACTACTTCTTACCATAGCCATGAAGAATTGTACATATCTTATTCTTATTTGTGATCATGATATCCAAAAACATTTACCATTAACTCCAAAAATGCTATCTAGTCGATGTCGACTACTTGGTCTTGAGGACTTAAGATACCCAGGGTAGTACCCCAAGACTTTCTGGCTGCAAGAGTTTGGAATCCATATATCCGAGGCTGTGAAATTTACGCCTTCAGCTCGTTAAAAAACACCGTCGACAAGTTAATTTACGTTAGATAAGCAACTATATACGGGTACGTAGACGGATGCGAGTAATACAAAGGTCCCCGGCCTACCCAGCCTAGTCAGCTGGCCGTCTTCTCCTTGAAATTTCCTTATTTGGATAGAAAGTATGCACAAGAGGCATATAGACGCACATGATGGTGATTTTTTGGCCTATCAAATCCATCGGCAATTTGATTACGAATTCTACTCTTGATATGATAAGAAAGCTTTCTAGGTTACGGTGAGGATAGTTTTTGTTTTTTTTGGAATTCTCAATTTATTTGAGATCTTTGAGATTGTAGATAGTTCTAAACTAAGTACAAACTCGAATGCTAGGTACATGCAAATCCAATATGGTTAAGCCAAAATGCATTCAGTCGTAAGGAGCGTAAGTAGCTGGTAATCGTCATAGGATCATTAAATGACAATGACAAACAAAAAACAAGAGATTATTTACTCTCTGAGGTATTTGGGTATATCAAGATGAGATATAGGAAATTAAGGGAAATGGAGGGTTTCAAAAACCATTTACTGGCGAGCAGCAGCTGGGACAGACTCAACAGATTGAGCGCCCTTGGTCTGGCTCATGTATGGAGTGGATTCGCTGTCAGCTGGCTTGGAGCGCTTGCGGAAGGCGAAGAAGACAGCAACACCGATGATGGCGGAGGCACCAAGGATGGAGCCAACGGCAATACCAGCCTTTGCGCCAGTGGAGAGACCATTGTCGGAAGCGGGCTGCTCTGGAGCGGCCTGGATGACGGTCTCAGTTGACTGTGGGGCCTCGAACTCAGAGGCGGTAACGTTGAAGCATGGAATGGTGTCAGCGAAAGCGGTGGCACCAACGAGAGTCTATTCATGTTAGTGAAACTGCGGCATTTGGAAAAAAGTCAATTTATAATCCAGTTCACTTACGATATCGGCGCAGGCGAAGAAAGACTCGTCCTTGCCAGAGTCGTTGGACCAGTATTCCATCTGGATGGTGGCATTAGTTCCCTCAGCGACATTGGCGATTGTGGGTGCCTTGTAGCACTGGTGACCAGGCTCGATCGCATCAACTCTTGCTGGGACGAAAGTATTGAATGCACTCTGAGTGGTTGGGTCTATTCACTTGTTTTAGGATCTGTGCGATCGATGTTATATGTAGGACAAGTGCAACTTACTGTTTCCGTAAGCAATACGGAAAACTACGTTCCATGCATCGTCAGCGATGGACAGAGCAACAGCTCCACCGACTAAATTATTCACACAAGTTAGTCACATATCTTTATAGAATTTGTTGCACTTTCTTCACAACTTCAAGAGGTTTATCTTACCAAGTGGGAAGTCAGCTCGGGTGGTTGGGCCGCTGACGGAACCACAAGGAGCCTTGTTGTCTTCAGAGGCGGACCATGGACGATCTGCGGGCCAGAGGAAAGCAACTGGTCCCATAGAGGCGCCCTGCTCTCCTTCACCGTGTGCCTGAGCGGCAGCTGGAGCTGCAATAGCGGAAACAGCCGCGGCGAGATACAAGGCGTTGCGAAGCATCTTGAAATATATATTAATTAATTAACTAAATCCCTTTGGGTTTATATATTTTATAATGCAAGTGGAAGGAGCAAGAGGCCGTACTAGGAACGGATTAATATAAGAGGGGATGTGAAGAGTGAGGTGAGGAGAAAAAAGATACAAGAGGTAATGTAGATGAGGAGAAACCGCTGGTTAATATATTGCTCACAGAGAGGCCCTCGACAACATACAACAACCAACTTGATCAATTGAGCATTCCCTCTGCCTACAAGTAGATAGTGTTGTATTGTCCCCGGTCCGGCATGTAGCCAGTGCTTTCGAGGGGCTCCCCTGCCGCTCTCTTCGCACATGGCCACGGTTCGATATAATATGACGAGCTACCTGGCAGACCACCCAACCCGCCTGCCCTCGCCTTCCGAGGAGCTACTTGGCGGGGAGGCGCCTCGGCCTTCGCCCACAGCTTTAGAGTTTTTTGCCATTTTAGACGGGCATCTTAATTCTCGTTGATTATACCTCGGTGTAGCGCGGTATGTAGTACAGTTGTCTCTGGGAAAAAACAAGAATGTTTCTCAGCTCAGGTGGATAATGGCGGCCGGCCCATTCATGCATACAACCATGCAAGAGAAGAACTAAAACTTGGCCATTGGTGGGATGTTGATAACTAAGACTCCGCAAATCCAGCCGTACTGTCCTAGGACTCAAAAGAGTGAGAGAGAAGTTGCGCATTGGCCATGGCTATCTCCGGGTGCCCAAGTCAAAATAGCATGGTTTTCGTGTTGCTAGTGTTATAAATCGTACCGCCATTTTTTTCTTGTTAAACATTAGTCAATTGTCACAAGTCCGAAAAAATTACATACAATGACACCTGCCCGAAAGCTTCTACCATCTAATCTGATCAACCGATTAGATAATTGATTGGTGATACCCCGAAATGTCTCTTGCAGTTGTGTGGGGTACCTTTGATCATGGAAAACTTTTGCAGGCGCTTTAGGCACGCCATACTGGAAAATTTTCACTTTCCGGCTTTTGCCAAGCTGCCCAAAACCCTTGCTAGTCCACATCTTTGCCTGCCACTCGTTATCAGATCGAGGGAACTCCTCTGAAAATTGTGACTTGGGTGGAGGTACTTTTGCAATCCCACTGCCAACCCTAGAAATCTAATCTGATCCGGCTGACACGGAATAATACCAAGACCGCCAAGTCGCTAGCAGAATCAGACCATCTTATCTGATCCGCTAGGAAAAAGCAAAGGAGCGTTGGAATCGGTGTGAACAACACCGCAAAAGTTGGAAATCTAGCCAGTGCTGGCCGGCCAAGATTCCAGGGTCGGTTCAAAGTTTGTGACTATGCAACCTCCCACGTTTGGACCACAGGTGGGTCCATGGCGATGGCTGGTTTAGCAAATTGAGTAGAGTTTTCCATTCTTTCCCACAGGCACCGTTCGGGTGGGCTAGAGTCCGACTGGTCCAACGAGCCTTGGAAGCTGTCAATGCATGCATGCAATGCGATAATAACTAAAATGTCTTGGGTATGACACAAAATTAGAGGCTTCATTCTCTCTTTGGGCCTCGACGGGACCCCCAATTTCCGACATCGCTCGTTCCTCTATCCCAATGTTCAAAGTTATGTCGGGTTAAAGGGTTACCATACATGCGCTTCCATGCAGGGGCCTGGCCTAGCGCGCGCTGGACAAGATGTGTAGCAGTACCTTGGGGACGTTATAAGTCGAGTCTTGCGACCTCACTGTACCTGTTCCAAGATTCTTTCCCCCCTCACTTCAGAATCACATTCACTCGCTATCGCAATTGTAGCTACACTTTTAGCAGGATTTCCACTCGTTAATCGCAGATTTCGGTCTATTGTCAACCTTCCTAAAAGTAATCTAGTATTCTACTGCTGCCTTGCGCCAATATAGTCATCATGCTTAATGCTCAGTTGATCCTCCTTGGCGCACTCGCCCTCCAGGGTGTTGCTGGTGTCGCTATCATGGACGATGAATGGCACTTGAAGCTCCTCAAGCGTCAGGCTCCTGGTACTCCAGCTTACAACTGCCACGATAACTGCGGTAAGCACTACACTATAGTCCCGAATCATATAATTCAATCTCTTGTGTAACAGTAGCATACTAATATGTCATCCCCGTGGTTCAGGTCAAGCTATCACTGCCTCCCGCCGTGATAACCACTGCGACGACAATGTTTTCAATAACAACTATGCCAACTGCTTGCAGTGCTCCGGTCCTGACAACTACAACATCTGGAGGTACTACGGTTTTTCTTTGGGCGCTGCTGGTGGGGAATGTGGTCTCTCAACCACTCCTCTCTCTGGAAAGCAGCCAGACGTCCCCCCAGCTCTGTCAGCTGGTGGTGAAATCCCCAGCGGTGTCGAAACTACCCCACCAGCAACTACCACCACTGAGCCAGAGCCAACTGAGGACCCTGAACCCACCACCACTGAGCCCCCAGCTACTACCGCTCCTCCCACTCAAGAGCCAACTACCGAGCCCACTCAAGAGCCAACCGCTGAGCCAACCTCTGAGCCTACTGCTGAACCTACTCAGGAACCTACTGCTGAGCCTACCTCTGAGCCAACTGCTGAGCCAACCGAGGAACCTACTGCTGAGCCCACCGAGGAACCCACCGCTGAGCCAACTGAGGAACCTACCGCTGAGCCCACCGGAGAGCCAACCGCTGAGCCCACTGCTGAACCAACTGGTGAGTCTTCGACAGAAGAGCCGAGTGTTGAACCAACCTACAACCCTACCTACAACCCCCCTACCTACAATCCCACAGTTCCTACCTACAACCCTACCACAACTCCTACCACAGCTCCTACCTACAACCCCACTACAGCTCCTACAAGTAAGTCTTCGACATGTGAAACCACTGTTGAATCCACATACAAGCCTGAGCACCCAACCTATGCTCCTTCATCCTCCGAGCATTCGTCTCACCCGACCTATGCTCCATCGTCCTACGAACCCCCACAACCCTCATATGAGCCATCACATGAGCAAACCACAATCAAGACGACTACTGGTGTATATCCGACTTACTCGTCGGTCGTTGTCACTTATACCAGTACGCCTTGAATCTGGATGCGCACTTCCTAATAGATGTCGAACCTAAACTAATATTTGTAACTCAATCATAGGTGTCACAACCAGCTATGTCGCTCCATCTGGAACCGCCACCGACGGCCCTACCCCTACCTACGGATCTGGCAACCAGACCTCCACTGTTGTAAGTTCTTTTAGTAATCCATATAGATATGCTCGTTTTCTAACTTTATATCTTATCCAGGTACCACCACCAGAATACACTGGTGCTGCCAACTCCCTTGTCTCCAGTGGATTCGCCATCTTCGGTGCCGCTGCTATTGCCGCTCTCGCTGCTTTGTAAATTTGAGTTTTCCGGAGTCATGAGGCGGGGATTAATTGGTATACATAAAAACGGATGACGGACAGGGTACGGTTTTTTTTTTCTCACATAGCCTTAATGCGCATTTAATCATGATTCTCATGTATAATAACAACTACCTAATGCATATTTACACCCTTAACAAACTCTTATTACTTTGAAAAGAATGCGCTAGTTTTGATGTCTTTTCAAGTTTTACTTGATTCTGTTATTAGCCGGTTAGTCTAAGCTGCCAATAGCCTAATATCAGCTCAGGCAGGTCTTGTATAATATAATAAGCTAGTACGTGCCATTGCGTCCGACATCGGTTGAGGTAGCCTCGAATCCGCAGTTGAGGATCCAAAAGAGTGTTGGATTTAGAGAGTTTTTGCGTTGTACAAAGGTCATACAAACCACAAGTCTAGTTACGACTGACACAAACGTTATAGACATCGATATCATATGTAAATGGAATGGAACGAGGAATATTCCGGAATGAGTCCGGGATAAGTGCGTTAATACTGATTAAGGGAAAGAAATTGAGGCTAAGCAACAAAACTGCGTATCCCAGCATATTCGGATATCCAACATCTAAATTAATCAACATAGCCTATCCAGCGATACGTACGCGATACGTATCGATACGTTGCCCGGCTTCTGTTTGCGCTCTAATCCGTTTTTCGCGATATTGCTCCAGTCCTCGAAGAAGCTTAAACTGACACATCCAAGCGTAACCATAACCCCCAAATACTTTTCCAAAAAAACGCCCGCTGCTGTCGACTGCAATTTGAATGATAATGTAAAAGGGAAATTCATTCTGTATCCACAAGTTAGCACCAACCGCTCGATAATAATAAAAGCAACGGACCAGTTTACGGTCCGCCACCACCGCCGTGAGACCTCCATCTTCTAGACCTGCGTTCCTTCTCCGTCAAAACCCCACAGACGCATATCACCCACTTGTCCCATTCATCTCCTATAGCTGGATTATGTTTGATTTGGTAGGTTCCGGCTTTTCTCCAGGTTTGAAATCCGTCATTTAGGTATGTTGCCATTATTTCACCGTTTTCGACATCCGTGAGCTTGAGACTAAGAAGGCTCGTTTTTCGTCCTCCAAGCGCTTCAGCTTCTTTCCCGTACATTCGCTCAAACTTATATTTCTTCTCGCTATCAGGAGGCGACCATGTCGTTGTCAGGGAGACCCAGTTTTTCAATTTCAATTCGGTAAATCGAGAACTAATGGCTGGGTCACCGAAGCATAGCTCATGGCAGTTTCCAATGATGTTACTCCGGGATGCGAATACTATAGGGCCAGTATTGTCACCACCTTCGTGTACTATAACATCCGGTCTCCCGCCACGAAATGTAGATGGGAAAGCTTTATTATCGACGTATAGGAAGGGTTTATCCGCGTCGTCTTTGATGAGATAGTCCATGTGAAAACTGCCCTTTGCGAACTCAACGGTGTACGTCGAATAACCGGGTAGCTGTGGAAGGCCTGCTGCACTTCCGGCGTCCTGGAAATCTTCCTTGGTATCGACAGGGTGCTCAGTCCGGGAAGCTGGGGGTCTTGAAGCCCCGGCGCCTGTTCCAGTAAAATCGTGATAACTCGGCGGGGGAGCGGCCCAGGCATATTGATCTTGGTTCATTTTATATATATTCTGTTCGCCGGAATAACGGTTATGCAATGCGTTGTATGTGTTATTTTTGTATGAGTGTAGAATTTAAACTCAGAATCAATAGAGGTTGCGAGTTTCTATAGTTCACTGAGATATTGCAAGGAAATGGTTTGACGTGACGGGGGCAGGTTAATTTATACCAGTTGCGATATGTCGTCACCACTCATAACGTTGGATGCGCGCTTCAGACATCTGAGCTCAGGCTTCGTGATTAACGACGCCAAGATTTCTAGTCAGCCTTTAATTTCGACTCACTAAAAGATGTATCAGGGAATTTGCGGCTTAGCTAATTCAGGCCCCTTTATCATCGGTTGCCACTGCCGATCGATCCATCAGAATCAATTAAACGCTAGCGATGTGCTGATAGAACTATGGTATGGCCTTGAGAAGCCAATGCATGCATTCACTGCATGTATATGTAAGTGAGCCTCGTGGGTTTCCTAGCTATTGATGCTCTGCCTCACAGCTAATTTATAGTTTATATTCTCTAGAAGGTGCAATCAAGGGATTGTGCTCTACGATAGCTGGTAGGCTAGGCTGAGCTCACCGACCGACCGTCGTTTCTAAGCTTCGACCCGGATATCAATGTGTACCGCCGCCATTCCAATCTCAATGTGCTCAACTGTGTGACATAGGGCTTGCGGTCGTGGCTGCGCCTCTGTCGGAATTCTTAACACCGACCATAACTAAGCTAGTTCATAACGTTATCTCCGGAGACCTCCGCTTCAAAGTGCTTTTGTCCCGCCTCAAAAACGTTTTAAAACCTAACCTTCGGCCTTCCCATACAATACCGGCCAATGCCACTACCAAAACAGACCCAGCAGATAATTCTGCATAGCCTTGCTAACATATGTTCATACATATTTCATGATATTATTCGGATTTTCTCCATTGGCGCATCAGCTGTTATATATGAATAGAGATCTAGAGAGTTAAGTTCGACGTTAACTACATGCATCAATATCAAGCTATGGTGTAATTAATTGCCTTAATTCCACAGCCGCAGTATAGGGCTGATGGTTCTCAGGAATACCGCGGATTCAATGTTTGAACAGCCTCCCCTTGAGAGGACCTCCTTGAATATCATGAAAACTACTAAGCCAATGTCGATTAATCTCTACTTTTTCTTAAAAATTAGGGTTTCTACAAGGAATTCCAGTTTGTAAATTAATCATCGATTCGTAAAACGTTAATTGGTTTCCCAATGCCACCACAGACACAAGCCCATATTTTAGGTACAAGAAGCTTCAAAATGACATTTAAGTAGTCTAGAAAACAATACAAACACTACCGAAGTTCGAAAGCACTCCAGGGCAGGTATTCAGTTAAATGATCTCGATGTCAAATTCGTTGACAGCAACACCTCTCTGGCGTTTCATGTCGTCGGTTTCTTCAGCTTCGGGGCTGTATTCCTCGGAGCCAATGCTATGCCTCATAGCCCGCGAAGAGGATTCTATCTCGATATTCTCTTCATACGTTTGCTCGGAGGCCTCTTCAGTGTCTTCATCAGTTGAATTCTTTCTTGTGAATTCTGTTGTAACCTTTGTTGTTACTTTTGTAAAAACTTCCGTGGTTACTTCTGTTGTTTCCTCAAGGACCTCTGTCACTTCCTTGGGCTCTTCTTCTCTAAAATCTGGGACCTCTTCCACATCCTCGGGCTTAAATACCGGTTCTTCCTCCGGCACCTCGACCCATTCGACATCTTCGACACTACTTGATGGGACCGTAGACTCCATCCCTGCCTTGTATCCAGATTTGAAAGAGTCCATGCTAGAGACAGATCGATCAGTTTTTAGATCAATGATGCAAATTCTGAGTATTAACTTACCACAAGCATCTTACACTCCACAACCCAGTATCCTCCCTGCTGAAAACCGCCAATCTCTCCTCAGGATCAAATTCATAGAGGTAATCGAGATCAGGCTTCTTCTCTTTTCTAAAAGCGAAGTCACAGTCCGGGTTTTTTCTGGCAGCCCTGAGACTTTTCAAGTCCACCACGACGCGGATCATCTCTGATTCAGGTTGCTCTGTGTCTAAAGTACCATAGAATCTGACCGAACTGGCGGGAGCGCCTAAATTATTTTTGGAAATGTCTTGTTAGTGATCCGTTCTTCGACGGAGAGGGCTGGTGCGTGAGTGAAACGTACCGATTTCTGCAGAGGTAATTTCAGCAAGCGTCAACGGAATATCCACGAAAACTCGTGATCGGTCAACACTATCAACTCGAACTCGGTCAACTTTGATGGTATCACCGAGAGGCCTTTGGGAGCCGTTCATAGTCGACCGGCTTATCATGAATAATTTGTTAGTATTCTGTCTACGCTGGTTGAGCCGTGGGTATAAGGAGCTTACCGACTAATGCGGGCTGGTGCCGCAAGTGTAGCAGTGACACACAATGACAAGACACTGGCAGTAATGAAGTGCATTTTGGAAATATATTAAGAGGAAAGGTTAAAAATATATACTAATATCGATACAAAAACACGTGTAAACTGTTGGTTAGATACGAGGTGATTGAATGAAGAAAAAGTCGGAGAATGAAATGAAGTGAAGTGAATAATCAAACGGAAACCAGTTCCTTAGTAAGAAATAAAATGCGCCAGGCAAGAAAGACTTGAAGGTGTGATGTCTGAATATTCGAATGTAAAATCTACAAGAGACTGTAGTACGACTATATATACATCCTTTATCAGTAGAAAAGTGCGCCACTAAGAAGCCAAAGCATGGAACAACAGAACAGAGGAAGCATAAATTAACTAAGTTGGGGTCTGAAACGGCCGCAGATGGTCAGAGACTGGCACTAAATACCACGTTAAGTTAGTCTATCCGTAGCCATGCGCAGCCAACGCAACGATATTCACGAATGGCAGCCTCCGTCTGAGACGTCGAGACCGGCGCCACATGCACATCTGCATGCACATGTGGGTAGCGCTATGGCTAATCCGAGATGGGATTTCGAAAATTTCATGATTTCATCATTCTCAGAACATTAGCTTATGTTCTAGATCAATTAGTTCCTCCTTCAACTTCTCTAAGCAAGTACAACCTGTAAAGCTTCACAAATTTAAAACTATACTACATGTATATCCTTGATAAAATTTGATGTGCAGAAAGGCTTTTCAACATTGTTTCAGACTTAAAAGAGGGCATCTCATCCGCAGAGGCAATTGTTTCCACGCGCAGAAGGCAGGTTGAGGCGACATAAACAAATACTCGGCTCGAGTTTTTTTGTTTCAAGCCGGCCTAGTAATCCTCTCTCAAATGCTAAGCCTCCTCCAAATGCTGTAGTTTTATAAAAAGGAATCAATTCTGGGGGGTTTCGTAAGCCAATTGCAAACTTCATGATCAAAATTTTAAAAGTGGCGCAGGTTGAGGTCGAGGCCATCCAGTTTATAGCAAGGTGCAGATCAAGGCATCTAGATTGGACAGCTCTAGTTATCTAATTATTGGTTGGCCAATAAATTTCCCACTTAAGAAAACCATTATACAGGCTGTGAGATACTCATTAGTGCTAATGTTCGTACACTCGCAAAGCCCCTTGGTCCTAGTGCACACGATGGTTGAGTTTCTGAAATTTTGAAAACGGATGTCATTTTCAGTAATTTTTCGAAAGGGATATTGAAGATATTGTACATAGATGCAGGAAATGTACAAAGCCTAGTTTTCTTTATACATTCGCAAACGATTTTTTATTGAGAAAGTATCGTAGTCCCGCCACCAAATATGAATTCAATTCTAACAGCCGTATCAACAAAAAGCCTTAGACAAGATATCCTTCCCATTTCGATCCAAATATTGTAAATCTATTTTTTGCAAGGGCGGCAAGTTGCTTGGCAGCATGCGTAGCAAGCATCGGTGGCGCGGCCAGTCCTCTTGCATTCATTCCAGCACGACTGCCAGACGGACCAGGATGGACAAGTAGCGCGCTCTATCATACGAAATATCCTTTAGTATCCTTTAAAGTCATATTTTGATATTGACAACGTTATTATCTAAGTGTATAGTACACACCTTCAATGGCATCGGCTGGGGCTGGGACTGCTGCTGCGAGGATAGCTGGCAAAGCTGCGAGGACGAAAAGGAAGGCCTTCATCTTGTCGGATCGGATGATTCAGTAATTGGAATAAGTTGGAGAGTTATTATCTTCAAACGCTGACTGGCGTGGTTATTGGGCTTATTGGATGTCTTCTGGATGAGTTTGAATGCTGAAATACATTCTAGATGGCAGAACACCGTCGTATTTATACACCTCGGCATTGTCGAGGTACTGTTGGCTCCAGAAATAATATCAGGAGTTCTTCCAGAAAATCAGATTCGAATATTCCCAAAATCGCACATTCGACGGCCCGGCGGTGCGACACACCGCAGAAATGATGTAGACATGTGCCTTCTCAGCTTCTTTTGAATTTTGTATCGTATGATCCTCGGCTCTGATGTCGCCCAGATATCTTGCTATGAAGAGCCACGGCCTCGTGCGAATATAGCATTAGAGTGATCCCCTTGCCTATAGCACTCGCGATCGGCGTTACCATGACCATATAGCCTGAGATTTGGCTCGGGGGGGGATCTGTTACACTATTATATTGCGGTCGATAAAGTAATAAACGCCAATCCACAAAATAAAACAGAATACCAATATATCCTAATAAATCCTGAACTTAGACATCTCGTCCTCTAGTTATAAAGTGACTGCATTGCAAACCTATGGCATATGTATGTATGCTGGTACCTGTAACGTTATAACAAGTTGATATCATTACTGGTCGCGACCTTGCACCGTTGGTCCGGAAAGCGCCACAAGCTATCGGAAGTATTCGCCTAGTTTTATGACAGCCCGTCAGGAATGGTTCTATGCAGTGTCGCTTCCCCCTGTCGGGAGCTTCCTATGGGCTTTAGTTGGGTTAAAATTGATATGCTGGTTATATAGCGGCGCATCGAATTTTCAAGCAGGTATGTTGCAATTCCCATTTTGGTCAGAAACGCTTCCTACACTGCGACTTTTCAACCGCCTTGGCTAGACGTGCGCCGAAAAGTTAGAGGGAAAAAACAAGCGATACGTGGCCCGGCAAGATTGAAGATAGCCTCCCTGGGGTCGTATTAGATAATGGAATCCGGGTGTTAAAAGGGCGTGAAGCACTCACTCTGCAGCTCTGTAGTGGCAAACCAGTTTGAGAAGATTGCCACAAGACGGAACTCGTCTTTCTTTCCCCGCCTAACGTTAAGGGGTTAAATTTGACCACAGCATACTGTGTAGAGGATATATTTTAAACCTGCAGGGAAACTTCTCAAGGTGCGTGTCGACCGCACCAATTGCAGTAGCGATCGATAGATTTTGTAGACTTATACGTATATACGTAGACATTGCCTCACAAAGAATAAGTGTACGGATATAATCATGATGCCCAATCCTTCTTGGAACAGAATTCGATCAGATTGTTTGACTATTCCTCGACCACTTTGACGGGCGGGCTAAAGCTTAAAGGCCACCCACAAAGTCATGCGATAAGATGCCGTATCCCCACTTCTGATCTGTTGCGCGGTGGAGCCACTCTCGGTTCTCGCCTAGGGTCCAGCTATTTCCTTAGTCCCTCATGACCTAACAAACAGAATCTTCGATCGATATTATCATATCCGAATAAACGGACCTGAGCTCGAGTACTCACTCTACCGATAGATGTGAAAGCGTAGCCCTCCTAAAAACTGACTAACAGTGGAGGCAGTGAATCCTCTAGAAGCGAAGATGGTCCCCGTTTTTCACTAATATCGTTATAAAATCGGGTTTCTTTTGCGCTCTGTATTTTAACTCGAGGAGGAAGGTTGAGATTCGGAAGAAGCTTCGATGTAAATTCAAGCAATTTGTATTTAGGTGTACGAGTGCGAGTGGTGTTAAGCTAAAATACTAGCCATCGGCCAAGCTTAGTTGAAAGTTTGGGCAAGAGCCACATGCACAGTATATAGGCCTTTATTCCATCGATAACATCGTTATCTACTCGCTGAATGGCGTTATACAGGATTTCTTCCGTCACCATATTTTTGGAGACATCACCAAAATCGCATTGCTAAATGTTTCTACAGGTGGGCCCAATTGTAATTGCAAACGTAGCTGTAATAGGCATTGCTTCGCGAGTCCGGCCCACCCTCGGATTGCGAGCCGAAAATGTTGGCCAGTGCACACCTTGACAATACCATCATGGTTTCAAATCGACCGCGATAAATTGAGTTTTACTGGCCAAAGCTCCAGTGAATGAAAGGGTAGAGGGTTACCATGGCTCACGCTGACGAACATGATGTTCAAACATCTACCGAGTAACTAGCACCTCAAACTCCATGAAGGGTTAAAATAGACAGTCCATCGTTTTCAAATCAAAAGGAATGGTTACAACTATACTACAACCAGGACAAGCAGTCAACCTCATATTGGATCGTCAGCGTGTGGCTGCAACTCCGCAAGATGACGCGCAAATATCGTGTTTTTGAAGAAACTTTCTCCTGCAATTGCCAATAACCACGGATAAATCTAGGGTGCGAACAGGCCCAAGGTCTTGAGGAAAATGTTCGCTCACTTGGCCGTGATAGTTTGCCAGGGCCTCCAGTTCAACCGAAATTGCAATTGATCCTACTCAAAAAAGAACAACATTTGCTTGCACTCAATCGTTTCCTATGGACTATATCACAGTAATAAGTTTCTCAGGTGTAGTTCGTCTACAGATAATGGTGTGCTGGACCAAGGCTTCCTCAGGGGCATGAGTGAGTTTCACCATGGAGAATTGTATTTAGCCAGTTATCCAACCCTTGTCGACAGCCCAAATTCCAACACACCATCTCGAGATCAGTGGACCAGCTTCGCAGTGGCCTGTCAGTTTTGCAGGGATTATGGAATATTCGATCGAACTTTCGATGGCCAAGCATTCTGCAGAACTTTGAGGCGTCGATTCTCATAGGCGCTCGTCCAGAAGTCCAGTCTTCAATTGGTTGACTGCAGAAAAAGTGAAGAAATACTCCTTCTGATCAGCTTCCGTATTCGCTTGTTCCACCCACCGGATAAACTCCCTGTCAAGATGAACCTCTGACGTGGGACAGCTGCCCCGATAACTTTTGCGATTTCCAGGTACCAACCAAATTCAAGACGACAACCCTGCTCGATTCTTCAACACCACACACAAAGTTAGAACTTGACTCTATATCGATGAATGTTATACCCTTGATCAATATGAAATTCTGAGTTTACTCTACCTGAGGACTGATTATGGTCCTGGAAGCGAAAAGTAGCCTGCTTGAAATTATTACTGGGTCGACAGGCGATTTAAGAGAGGATCCACTTTCCTCTCCAAGCCGGTGCCGTTCATATACTATGGGGATGGTACCGCTTGACAGCTGACCTTCGAACTTTTGTATTTTTCCGAACCTAAGCCTAACTACAAACTTTGACATTCTTGACTTCGTCGCCAGGGGCTTTCACGTCTAAGAATCACATTTCCCTTCATTCTTTCTCTTTTCGGACCGGGTTAACATCGAGATATGGATCTGAGCAACTGATTCGACGCCTTGGTTTCCTGCCAGCTCTATCACATATCACCACCGTCAAGTTTAGACGCAGAGGCCGCGTGATAGAAAAGTAGGCTGCTCTGCTACGACAGCGCGAGCGCTCAAGATACCCAATTTTGCCGCCAAAATTCAAAACTCACGTCACAGAAATAAATGTATTCAACCCGAGCAGCAGTAGAAAGATGGCAAGAACGAAATACCGGCTATTCACATGACACGTCGGGACACTCGATAGCTCTCGAGACGATCCAAATCAAGCCTGAGGTTGTAGAGTCTCGTGTAGCACTAGGAAAAGGCGGTTACCAAAAATTATTTTCTCCAGAGACCCTACAATGCTTCATCGCCATTGTAATCGAAGTTCTGATTATTCTTTTGATCGTTCTGTTCAACCTAGTTGAAGTCACGCTGACAATGCCTGGGTTATTCCCGAACGATTCGAGAGCATTATACGTCTGCGGGACAACGATATTTATCACTGCTATCACAGCTTTCGTTTCAAGGCAAATCAGATTGCAATGGATACAATATATCGAGGCTAGGAGATTAAGGAAATCTGACATCCTGCAAAGTTCAAGAAGAATAGAGAGTCTACTTGGGGTTGGGACTTACAGCGACTATTTTTATTATTGGGGGACAACGATCACACTTCTATTTGCATCATTAAGTACGGCAGCAATAGTAGCTGCTATTACACCCTCGATAGGGTTCAAAACCTTCGGCACGATCGTTCAACTTACACCAGGAGCCCTAAATTGTACGACAGTATCTGACGATCCCTCTCCTACAGCGCTCAGCTGGAGACTAGAAAATGGAACTTACATAAACTTCAGGGCCAAGGGTAATAATTGCCTTGCCAATCCTGCATTTTCGATAGTCAACACGATATCCAACTCTGCCATCGACAAGGATGGGTATGCCTATGCTGTCTCAGGCGTCGGTGTCACACGTTCCAGTATAGGCGTGCCATATGACGCTCATAACGGCCCAGCAGGTTTCGACAAAGTCTTTTGGGCTATGGGGATAAACCAACAAGATAGGAATATTCTCCAAGACTCTACTCAGTGTTTACCCGTCTTTATCGCAAACCCCGCGAAGTGTCGGCGCGCAGGGACCATTATCAGGGCTAAAAACAACCTCACCGTGCGGCTGGACGAAGATTGCAGTGCATCGACGCCAATATTCGGTGCCGACTTGGAAAGCGACGGTGCTTCGGCATCAGGGTACTGTACCAGCGGTAAATCCGTAGGTAAGGTAACCTACTTGATCGGATCCATAAATTCTCACGCAGGATTGCTTGCAGCAGCAGTCTCAGACTTCCCTGCGGTAAACTCCAAATCATATTCTGTGGCTTGCGATGTCGATATCGTATCTGCCGTTGGATTTCGCGACACCACAATTTCTAGGAACTATAAGCCACCTCATGAATCAAGTATCAACCGCGAAAACGAAAATCTCAAAACTCTCGCCGAATACACAATATCTTCCCCAGTCAAACAAAGGACATCGTCAAGTTGCTCGAACAAATCATACGTTCCAATATGGAACCCCGAAAATAAACCTGGTGTCATCTTAACACCCGGGGCCTTAGCAGTCGGTGCTGGTGCAGCCTGCCCGCTGTTTATGCAGAACAGATATAACAACGGCTGGTGGGATACTCTCTCTAGAGCTGTGAAAGATAGAGGCCCAAGCTCATACGCTTTTGAGGACTCTAAAAATGCGCTCGAGGATGTTCTCGGGTTAGTAGTTGGAGTCAGTATGGGACAATACATAGGTTCGTCACAACCACCAGCGTCGACACGCGATGCGCCCATGATCGTGAATCGAGGAGGCTCTGCGCGAGTTCTCGGGTATAGAATAGGATCTGGCAGCAAATGGGGACTCATTTTCATCGCCCCTCAAGTTTGGATTATACTTGTTCTTTCTGTTCTTTTGATTAAACGGCTACGGTTGTAAATTTCATTCGTCCCTTTCATTTTTTAGTTTTATCTCCCTACATCACCGCATTCACGATTACTATTCTTAATTTAGATTTTAGACTCTGGGGATCATTCATTCAATCGGTGTTTGTCATCGCTCCTTATTGGTTTTTCTTCGATGGCCAGCGACGGAAGTTTCAACGAAGGCGTCCTAACCTGTCTCTACATAATTTTTTTTGTTAATTGTTTTATATCTCTGCATAATCATGGGAAATGGGTTCCAGAGTTCCTAGTTTCCGGCTTTTTTACAATTACCCAGCGTTAGCTTTCTCTTCCTGCAATGAAAACAATAACATTTATACATCTGCATTTTCATCCTGGAGAGGCTTTTTCCCCTCCTGCTTCCTTTCTTTCTTCTTTCTTCCTTTACTTTCGAATTAACTCACGCTCAGAGCATAGTTTCAAATATAGCCCTTGTAAATATGTCGGAGAATTGTTCCTCCAGCTTGTTATAAAATAGCAATTCCACCTACGTATACCCCTGTGGGGTATTTGAGTTTACAATCCTAGATTGCTAGGATTTTAAGCAACCATTACTTTTATGAAACATACATATGTATGCAGTCCTGGGTGCCGATGCAACAAAGAACAAACCTGAAATTGACCAGGATACCCTTCACACATACTAAAGACGAATTCGAAAGAAAGAATTATAACGAAACAAATAAACAATAAGGTTTGTGGGCACATAAAAGCATAATGGTTGGTTACAGGCCAGGCTTGACACGAATCCGGATTACTCAGGCCCCATATCCACCTTGACACCATCATCCCAAAGGACCAACCCAGTATCCGGGTCTCCTCTCGTGATCATCATTCTCACGAGACGAAGGATAAAGAAATACCCAAATAGCATGCATGCTCTTCAGTCCAGTTGAACGGTTTCACCAATCCAAACATAAAACTAGCTTCCTTGATATACTCCAGTGGAATACCTTTACTTGACCTTGGGACTAGTTCAATGTACATAAAGTCATCATAAAAACGGGTGAAGATATTGAAACGAAAATTTGATAACATGCTCGGCGGCTCCGGTCCATAATCTTCGTGGGGAAGAGGAAGTGGACAATTTTCCGCTACTGCTGCTCTTTGATTTTGACCATGAGATTTTTGACGGTGTAGTTTGTAACGCTGAAGACGAGGTCGATCGAGATGCATGTCTCGGTTTGTCGGGATGAAGTTTTTGCGGCAGTTGTCATCGAGGGTGTGAACCTCGAACTGAGGGATAGGGCGATCAGGTTTCCTTGCTAGCCAGGTTTGGATATGGTTTGGAGGGGTGGGCGGAAGTATATTGGGGAGACTCTGGGGTTGGCCGGTATAGCTTTTGAGGGCAAATCCGTGGCTCGACGGCTGAAGATGGGAGTAGTGGCGGTTTGTACTTACGAGCTGGGAACTGTGAGGCATGGAAGCTGAATGGTTCACCTAGTAATCTTGCATAGTCTTCCTCGAACTATATGGCGCCAATTTCAAGAGTATAGATCGGTTCTTTCAACTGAATTGAAGCGCCACTATGGCCGATTTCGCTTGAGGTTCATTGAAGTCATTCACCATACCCTTTGGCTTCGGTGCTTTAAGGACTTTATGGACTTCTTTGGCGTACACCTCGATGTTCATTGTAACTCCCAGTCGAAAATCTTGAAATCTGACCTCTAATACTCTAGATGTTTTCAGCGCCTCTCCTTTTTGCGGTTTTTCGCCTTGCTTGGTTCGACTATGTAAATCTTCTTAACATTGATATGAAGGAGCTTTGTATCAAAAGTGCCGCCCACAGTATACACTTGTTGTTGCTGAGCGGGTGATGTAAACTTAAGGGCGCCCAAACTTTCACTCGAGGAGTTTTGGCAGACTAATTCAAAGGATTCGGAATCTACAGCTGCCAATAAGATCACCCCAGGCTCCGAGGGAGGTGTCAAGGAAGAAGCGGCGGGAGCCGAAAAGACATTCTTGGTTACCTTTGAGTCCGAACTAGAACGAGAAGATAAAAAGGAGACCAAAGAAAACGACTCTTGACTTATCCGTCCGGACAACCTGCCCTCAATACCATTTTGAAATTCACAGCGAACCAAATTAAGTTTATAAAATCGTTCGAAGTGGGCGAGACCCCGTCTTTCTCTAAGGTGATGACCCAGAATGTAAAAGTTGAGGATAAATAAAGGAATTTATACGCAATGCCTATAGGACATACGTGCAGTCTAAAGTCTGAATTGACGGTGGCAGTGTACCAGTACTCCAAGAATGTGTGAGTTTGCTTTGAATATTCTAATGAATTTGGGGAGTAATTGTTAACAGAGGTTTGTAGATGATACGAAAACAGACCCGAAGGCAATCATGAATCAATCATCAAATTAATTACTTAACAGTATGGATATTTTAATACTATTGGTAATAAAATTATCTATCAAGCCTTCAAAATCGAAAATATTGGAAGATAAGATTCAAAATTTTAATATCGTGAAGGATATGAAGCAGTCAGTGTATATTGATGACACGGTGGTTGATTTTCCGAAGAGAATCCTAGCTTGAAAGAATTGGGCTCCTCGATTGGCCAGGCTGAAGCTAGCACAAGTTGTGGCTATATGGGAGAAGAAGAACGATCTCATCAATGTGGTGAACTTATGGGCAACCAAGATGAAGGATCCCAATGGTAGTAAGATTAAGGGACCGAGACCAAGTAAATTGTTGGAGAAGTATGCCCAGATGGTCCCGGCGATGCCACTGATTGCTGCTGGCGGCGTATAGCCCTTGCCCTAGAGTCATTCGCAAATAAAATGTACGATCAACCCTCATGTCCATTCATTTTCAAAGGCCTGAATGCCATTTGGATTTTCACATACATGAATAATTTTAATATTTTGACCCCATTGTATTGTATTGTAGCTTATCTTCGAATCTTCCTACACATAATCCTGCTAGCATTATACGTCGAGAACCACTAGTTTTAAAACCCCAAATTAAACATACCCCGTTATTTAGATTTTCATAATCAATTGTGATAGATATGAAGGCTAGCCAGGAGGGAGTCCACATATGCATATGCACACTTGGACTTCAGATCTGACGATATAATATATGCGTGTCATATGATGCCGCAGCGAATTTTTGACTCGATCCCACGTGAGGCTTGCAAGCAACCTAATGAACTGTATCTCGATGGTTTCCGATGGCTTTAAGATGTCACGATAGTTGAGGGGCGAAGGTTACAGCCTGACGCGATGACATGATATGATGAGGATGGTGTCTTAGCAATGCAATGGCTGATCTCCATGCATTGTATGGAACACGACGGTCACAACACAAATGCTACTAACAGCTTTGTGTTCGCGGGTCCAACAATGCAACAAGTTCGTCTGGTCCCTGCAAGTGCACACAGCTTGACAGTACTGCGTCCGTCTGTCGACGGGACCATCCAGAGCCCCGCTCGCTCGCAGTCTAGCACATATAAATTTAAATCCAAAACCTCGTCACCCTTCTCGACTTCTCTGACAAATATTCTTGCCGTACGGCCCGAGTCATACCCGCAGGATATCACCGAGTCCTCAAATCAGGCATCGGCCCTTATAGTCACCGATTCCGGGTATTTTGTGACGTATCCATCGAGGGTTTAGATCCGCCCACGTTTTCCTTTCCGAGAACCCCTAGAGGCTTAACTCGGCCAAGCTTTTTTATTATATTTTATATTGTCTTCCAACTCTTTTGCCAACCCCGTGCAAGTTTGGTTCGACGGTTCAGGGATTATCGCACGTTTCCTTACATAACCAAAGTTTCATATCTCTCGGGTTGGATTTTGGAGTGTAAGTTTTGTTGGAACGTTGCCGAGTTATCCGTCCTGCGGCTGTCCCGTCTCCATTGCGGTAGACTGTTGGTATGTATATATCATCATATGAACGTTAGTATGCTTCGCTGTCGTTGCAAAACACCAATTCATGGATGGCCAATTGAGAAAAAAAGAATATAAAATATATAATGTTGGGAGTAGTTAGAGTTATTAATTTTGGAGTACGGCGATTAGACGGACATTATTCTCAAAATTATTCGATATCTTCCCCACGCGTCTTCAGTCAGATTGGACGACGCAATATGTCAACGACAACGAAGGAACCGTATCTATTGAATGTGGATGAGGAAGCTTCGAAGAGGTAAAAATGAACAAATTTGAATTTTTTATTTTTTCCCCCAAATAGACCTGCGAGACTATAGGGGTAGCTAAAGAATGCATGGGATCTAACGGCGGTTGACATTCCGATTCCCTTAGGTTAAACTTACAGCATGGTATTTTAACCCGAATGCTCGGTGGAATTCTTATCCCTGAGCCTGTGATTACACGTCTTAATCAAATTCAAGAATCGGGGAGGAGCCAATCCTATGACTGGCCGGCGTGCAAGGAAAACACATATGTCAAGATCGCCGATCTGGCGACAGGAACCGGGTATGTATACTAATACTTTATTGATATAAAAATATAAACGGGTGACATTCCTAGGATCCTAACTCTTGATATTCATATTAACTTAGTATATGGCTCTATTCTATACGCAAGCAACTCGAAGAATCCGGCCTCAAAGCGGAGCTCTATGGCTACGATTTGCATGACAACCAGTTCCCGCCGGAGGACAAGAGAGAAGATGTTGAGTTCCATAAGTTGAATATTCTGGATACGCCGAAATTTCAGGAGATTGGGCCGATTTACCACTATATCCATGCAAGACTGCTCACGAGCGTGCTCACAAAAGAAGAATGGAAAGTTGCTATCGATAATTGTTTGGAGATTCTAAGTATATAGTCCCACTTTTTCACATGTTTCGACGGCACGGAAACGAATAGTCCTTAGCTAATCTATAGGTTGGATGTAACCTTTTCTTAGAACCCGGCGGGTTTTTACATTTCGAGGAGATTCCGTTCGGAGAACTATCGATCGAGAAAGACGGTGTTCCTGCATCTGGTGGGGTGCTTGAGAAGCTGCAAGCGAGCATGAAGCTTTTGAAACGTGATTTAGAGTAAGGTTTCCCGAACCCGACAACCCCTTTCATATCGATTGCCGTTCGTATCGGTTTCAAACCAAAATTTAACCGGGGGGCTGTGTATAAATATAGCTGCGGGCATAATATTTACAACTACCTTGAAGAGCTCGAATTATGGGAGACTGAGCATCGCAAAATCGATTTACGTACTTGTGACGAGGAGACAAGGCAGATGCAGAATGTCAACGCTCGGCTTGGACTTGAAGAGTTCATTAATAACGCTATAGCACGAGGTCCGGGAGCCCTGAAGCGGCTTGGCTACGAAAGCAAAGAAGCGGCATTGGAAAGGATGGCAAGTCTGGGGAAGGACCCTGGAACCCAAGCATACTTCGTCCTGCATAGTATCCTCGGCAAAAAGCCTGGCGGTGTATTCTCAATGCAAATTTCGTGTGGTTGTCCACCACCACCGGTCGAAAGCGACCTCGAGGAGGCAAGGGAAGAGCCAGAAGAGATGTATGTACCCGATCCTGATCCCGTATACGATCAGGAAGGAAAAGAGGATACAGAAGAACCCCCGCTCAATTTCGTTGTGCCACGACGGGGACGCTTCCAAGTTTCTTATGCCGTAATCTCAGATAAACCGGACAGCAAATAAAGGAGCGCACAAAGCCGGTTGAAATTTGTCTCTTAAATCTCGCTGTTAAAATATGTTTAATATTATGAATTCCTATAGTTGAGGGCCTCGACGCCATAGTTTAGCCAGTCAGATGATAGATACTTTGAGTTGTGTAATGAAAATTAGAGGGGAACCGTGCCCCTCGATTTCATTTGTAGTTAGATTGCTGCCCTAACAGGTATATTCATACGAAATCGTTATCTCGGTTCGGGTATTTCCTCCGAAAAAGTACACTAAATCGAAAAGAACAATCGAAAGCCCTCTATCGTAGACAGCCTGATTTTTGGAAGAGCTCGTTGTTGGCCGAATCGGTGTTGTGGCGTCCTTGACAAGTCTCGGACGTCAGTGCGACACAGGCTTGCGACGATGCGGCATGAATTCCGACGAAGTTGTGGAAATGAAATTAAATGTCACTACATGCAAATGTGTACGTACTTACACATGATGGCATGCATACGCACAGAACATGGGGGAAATCTGCAGGAGCTCGTTTGAATGAAATGTTTGGATTCAGGTCGCAGGATGGATCAGATGGCTCGAAGGTCGGTCGAGAATTCGAATGTCTAGAATTCAAGTCCAAGTGTCTCTCCGGTTCTTAGCTAATTAGCTTATATTGCTAATATACTATGCTAATTACCAGCTAGTGAGCTATTAGTGCCTGTCTGTGAAGTGTTTCCCCTTTTTCCCCAGTTACTGTATGCATGCGGTAGCGAAATTTAGCCCTGTCAACTACTGTCAACCACACCTCCCAGATTGAACATAATACAGGTGTCCACTGTCGCGCGGGCTTCACCGAATCCCTTCAGCATGAATATGGCGGTGCGACTGGCGCCTCTCTCAACTGATGATCACGTCGGCAGCGAGTGTGGACATTCCTTATGCGGATACCCGCGATGGCTTCAATGAAAGCAGGTGAGCAAATGTCCTAGCTGCCTTCGTCAATCTCAAACAGCTCTATTCTTAGAGCATCTTGCAATTCAAATCTTGCCGTTGGCTAAAACCCCAACAATGGGCGCCTCGCAAGAGATCTCTATCAGTCGTGCCGCTGGGTGGTCGAATTAGTCTGGATTCCGGAACTCTCGGCATCCTCATTCAGGAAAAACTACCAAGCAGCCAAAAAGCCTCCATGCGAATTCGAGACTTGGCCGTGAAAATCCGACCTTTGACCATTATGCGATGGGCGTTTCCCGCCTTTTACGAGGCGCAATGTCCCCACCTGCTTTTTTCCGACTGCTGAAACAACTTTCTGGCCCAATGGCTTTTCCAGATGGCTCTGCTGCGACAACCGTCGTTCGCAGACTGAACACGAATTTTTTTTTTTTTTTTTTTTTTTTTTTTACTTTCCCCTCCTTCATCGTATGAGCTCGAAGGGAGCATGCCGGTAACGCTAACTATTACTGCGTACATGTGTAAGCGTACATACATCTTGCAATGCCGCAGGGATTTAATACAGGAGCATCAAGTAAGTTCTCCTGTGAACATGATGTAGTATTAGGGTGTGGGTTCTTAACTTACCCAACTCTGAGGGCATCCCTGACTCTCAAATTTTCGATGCTGATCGAATTCTTTACAAGAGAGACATGTAAACCGATTCACAAATTTTAATCTTAGGTGGGACCCCGAATTTATTTATTTATTTATTTATTTACTTGTTTATTTAAAATTGGGAACGCTCGAGCTTCGAGGGTCACGCCGACGGGACAGACGTGTATAATCTCGACGATTCTGCAAAAAAAAGCCTTACCTGCAGAAGGAAAGCCTCAACCAAGCTGTCATCTGCGATTACTTGACAGGCTACAGGTCAAATTCAGCATGTGCAGCTAGCAGCTTGCGGCGTTTAGTCTCACAGCACCTTTGAGTCCTAGCCAATCGGACGGTGGGGCCCCTATTCACATTTGGCGTGCCTAGCAAATTTTCACCCCTGTGCTGCTAGACGTTTCAACCAACGGGAACCCTGTGCTCCGCCTCCCAAGGACGGCTGTCTAAAACTAGGTATAGGTTCACTTCTAACCGCCCCACCAACACTTTTTCGAATTAACCCTAGGAAACTTCCTTCTGATAGCTCGCCATTGATTGTGAACCAGGAACAAAGAAAAGGTAACGATGACACGTTAATACCTGCCCAAATTTGGACTGGTCAAAGCAAGTTTGATTGGGCCGCTATTTGGGCCCATGGGAATGATATGATCTCCCCACAGAGACTCGCATTCGCTAGCATGGCTAACGGGGTTTCATTGGGTTTCATTATGCCCCTTCGCTGACCTTATTAGGACTTTTGATAGTCAAATAAGAAATTTATGATGGGCCCCTATCCAGTGAGGTCAGTGAGGCATGGATGCGCTCTCGTGGATGACTGTGCAGCGTGCTCGAAACCACAGTGCATAGGGTCTGGATGTCACTCATGCGCTAGCAATCCTGTGGTGCCGTATATTAGGAGAAGAGCCGCCGCCCATACCACTGAATGTTTCTTGAAGTATTCTCCCTTTGGTATGCCAGTTGGCTTCTAAAAACAACAACTTTTTATTTTCCTCCCTTCTCTTTTCCTTTTTGTTAACTCTATCTCTTATCGACGCAGTGCTTTTCAATTAGTAGCACTACGCCGAAGTCACTCTTTACCGTCCTGTTGTTTCATGCGAGTGTTGAACATTTTTTGCAACATCGCCAACAATCTTTACAATTCGTTTCTTTTTGACTAACAAGTTCGGCGAACTTTTATCATTATAACTGTTACAATTGCGTTAAAAATACCCGTTTCATCCGTCTCTAGCATACAGCACAGTAATTGATTTTTTCTGTGTCTTTCGATTCATATCCATCTCGTTTTATTTACATTCATTTTTCAATTTTGAGAAGTATCTCAAATTGTCCTGTCTGTTTTTTTATATCTAGCAACCATGGTTCGCATATCGACACTCATTTCTGCTGTGGCAGTCGGATTCAGCTATATCGACGCTTTACCGACAAACCCTTTCGGGCTTTCCGGACTCGGAGGAGGTGTTAGAGGAGAGATTGCTAAGAGAGAAGTTGTACTATCGACAATACCAGACGGTATCAAAGCGGTCACCGGCAATGGACCTGTCCCTGTCCGATTGGACTTCAAAGAATTCATCAAGGATGATACTCGAAGAAACCTTTACATTTTGGCGCTTGACAGAATGATGCGAAAATCCCAATCAGATCCAACTTCGCATTACCAGGTTGCCGGTATTCACGGACGACCATATGTTGCCTGGGACGGGGTCAGAGGTGGAAACAATGACGGTGGATACTGCACACACGCCGACATCATGTTCCTTACTTGGCATAGGCCTTATCTCGCACTCTACGAAGGTATTCTGTACGCAGAAGTTCAAAAGATTGCCAAAGAGTTCAGAGCCGGAACAGAAGACTCGACAAAGGCCTTGGCTGTCGCTCAAGATTGGAGGTGAGTTTTATATTTAACTTCATTAACTCGGTTGCGTTCAATTGCTTGCATTAGCCCAGCCTGGGCGGCTTTGCGTGTTTGGCTTGTCGCTCGCTTCCAAGCAGCGCCAAAATGCAACGCTTTTGACGTCCCGCAACACAAAGATAAGTAAACTAACCCTCGTTCTCGATTAGAATGCCATACTGGGATTGGGCTTCTGATGCTACTATCCCAGAACTCATTGGAAATACTCCTCGTGTCACTGTTCGACAGACAAATGGACAAGATCAAACAATCGATAATCCATTGTACAGCTACAAGTATAATTTCACAAATGCCAGGACCCAGCAGAATGAATTACCCAGTCAGCCATTTAACTCTGCAAGACAGACTACCCGTGTCTCAATTAATACTTTGAATGCACAGCTTGCCAACATTGGTAGCAATCTTAGAGATCGTGTGTTCAACTTGTTGGCAGATACCGGTTATGCCAACTTTGCTAGGTTCTCCAACAAAGGAACAACCACAGCTGTGAACGGCAAGGTCGACTCTTTAGAATCCGTTCACGATGTCATTCACGCCACTGTCGGCGGTGGATCTGGAGAAATGGGCTGGGTAGACTATGCTGCTCATGACCCATTGTTCTTCTTGCATCACGTAAGTTTCCGACAAACCAAACCAAACCAACCCTACCCGGTGAGCATTTCGAGGTGTACAATGCTAATTCAATCTTTCAATTTAGACCAACATCGACAGACTATTCGCCATGTGGCAAGCGGTTAACACGAACAATCCAAATGCATACATTAAGCCGAATGACCCGTATACCAGCACCTATGGAACTTTCGCCATCCAGCGTGGTTCTAAACTCAATTCTACCGCCCCACTCCCACCTTTCCGCAAAGCTAGTGGCAATAACTTCTACAATTCCGATGATGTCAAGTCGACCAAGTCTTTTGGATATGCTTACCCAGAAACCATTGACTGGGATAAAAGCCCTAGTGACTTTATTAAATGGGCCGCGGAACAAGTGAATTTCAAGTACGGCCAAGGCGCCCCACCTGGTGTCCTCACATCCATTTCTTCTGCCACAAATAGCATGTCGAGAACCTCTAGCAGGACCACTACCACCTCGAGCCGTGTTTCTACTACTTCTTCCCGAACCACCACAACTAGCGCACGACCCTCCACTACCAGTTCTACCAGGCCAAGCACTACTCCTGTTAGGACTACTACTTCTGCTCGTCCTACTACTACTTCCGCTCGTCCTACTACTACTTCCGCTCGCCCCACTACCACACCCTCCACCACCCCTGCTAGACCGGTTTCTTCTACTACCACCGTTCGTACTACTTCCGCAGCCCCACCTGTACCCCAAGTCCCAACCACCACTAGCAGGCCGGTAACTACCAGCAGACCAGCAACCACATCTTCTGTCGCTCCCCTGCCAACATCCCCAGTTCAAGGAGGAACCCGCCCACCACGTGGTCCACGAACCTGCTCTAACACCCCTTGGTACCTCTGGTTCTGGTCTGGTCTTTGGGACTGTTTCTTCGAGGCCCGTCGTCAACACCAGAACCAGCATCAGAAGCGCTTCGATTTGAGCGACATTGCTGATGTCGCTGGTGATGTTGTCAACACCGTCGCCACTGTTGTTGAAAATGCCATTGACAGCATTCCTGATATCAAGGACCTCATTGACCACGCCTCTTCCCTCATCAGCGGTGATCAATACACTGAATACGTCGCTCAGATCACTGCCGAAAACAACGCTTTGGACGGAACCTTCACTGTCTACGTCTTCATTGGTGACTATGACAAGGATCCAAAGACATGGCCGCTCTCCAAGAACCTCGTCGGTCAGCACTCCGCTTTCACAAACATTGGCGGTGGACATCACTTCACCGGCGCCGGAACTGTTCCTTTGACTTCTGCCATTATTAACCTTGTTGCTAATGAGAAGGTTGCAAATCTTGGCCGTGCTGCTGTTGTTCCTTACCTCAGAGATAACCTTCACTGGGAAATCGCCACTGCTAGTGGTGAAGCCATCCCAAGCAAAGACGTTAAGAACCTCAAGGTTGGCATTTTCTCTTCCGATGTTAGGTTGCCATGCGTCGATTCCTCCCTTCCATTGTGGGGAAACACAAAGCCCGAGTACGAAATCACACAGGGTAGGCCCGGTGGTCTCTGCAACGGCGAGAGCATCGTCTAAACAGAAATAACAAAAATCAAGTAGTTATGTAACACCATCCTCATTTGCGATACCCCCTCAATCGTCATTCATCGTTTTTCTTTTTTTTGTCAATGTGCATTTTAGCATCTTCCAGCCCGATAAAAGTACCTACTTAGCAAGTAAGGTTTACTTTTTTTTGTACAATAGTTATATTTCCTTTGTTTTTTGTGTGCTGATTTTGCTTTTCTCCATAATGAGCCGGTTTGGAAAATGATTTTGAAAGAATCTCTAATCCTAGATGTTTAAAAAGGATCTACATATATCTTCAAAGCTTTTTCATGTTCTCGATCTTCTTTGTTCGTTTCCTATGTCACTCACTCATCTCCTTTTCCATACCCCCCTTTTTTTTCTCTTTCACTTCTTATAGACCGCTGGAGAGGACTGGAATAGCTTTGAATAATACTTAATTCAACAAGAATTTGATACCTTCATACTGAACCGACTCAAGTAATCTTCAATCACCAGACATTTGGTTGTCGTTTCTAAACACGATGCGCATATAACATGACCCACTCGGTCAATAATTCTTTGGATGAGGAAAAAGGGGCGAGATAGAAAAGGAAATTAATCTAGGACAATATATATATATTTCCAAAAAAAAATAACATCTAATCTACAACAATGGGGATTCGCGTATCATCTCCGACTACACTACTAGCCCATCGATACGAAGCTTAAGTAAGGCAGAGCGGACGGGATACCCTGTGTGTCTTCGTTCTATGGTCGTAGATATCAATTTGTAATTATTGTGGTTATTTGTGGGCTTTCGGAGCTCTTGGGATGGTTTATTGAGCTAGGGTTTCTATCAAGCTAAGCGGATTTGGGAGTTGAAATTCGATGTGAAAAAATAGTCTAGAGAATTCCACACAAGTTTTTTAGTGCCGAGACTGAGAATTACAATCAGCTGCAGTCAAAAACAAGAACATGAAAACCCGAAACCTCGGAGATATATACATTATAGAATTCCTTAAAAGTGCCCCTCGCCCCCCCTTTTTTATTTTATTTTATCTTTATTTTTTTCGTCTTCTTTTCTTTATGTCGCTATAAACAAAGGCAGCTTGATGAAACTATATTTACATTGTTAATATTTGTTAAGGGCGAAAAATCGAGAAGAAAAAAAAACGATGTATTATTCCCCATACCAGCTCTATTATTACTGACCTGATTTTTTGATAATATATCACCGGCATCTGGTACGACCGTATACGCGTACAGTATTTCCTAGTCTCGTAAGTATCTCCGTGTATAATGCGGTTTCTAAATTTCTTCAGCCTGGTCAACGCAGAGAGGATTTTGTTGTATATTGCAATTGGTCGTGTTGTGCAGAACGATGTTAACATTCGATCGATGTACTGTTCGTGAATTCGGTTTCGGTGCATGTTCGAAGCCATGTAAATGTAGATTGGCACCAGCAGGTTTATCTCGTGGATATTTTTGTAGAGACTCCCAGTAATTTGAGTTCTCAAAAATAAAAAAAACATTAGCCGTCGCACTTGAGCTATTATACACGTGTATTCCTGGCTATCTTCCCTCTATATAATAGCAATATGGAAGCGATTTGGCATAGGAGGAAGAACGCGAGAGCTCGAGAGGCCTCGAGAAGGATTGGTCCAGTCGTAGCTTAGATACTTTCGCGATTTAACTACAATCTTATGTGCGTATCCGATTATTATTTTTATTATGATATATATTCGTTGTTTTTGGCCGACGATACCCTCATTATGTCAAAAAATCCAAACGGCCGCAGGTATCGATAGGGCAATGGCTTATCTTATTAAATCAATAATAAACGGGCACGTGCACTCCCTACTGTGGGCTAAGGCGATGTTTAGGTGCCGATATTTTCTCTGTAAATAAGCCGTAAAAAATACTGCTGAGAGTCCATCGGGTCTTATCACGGGTCCGTCGGGCTTTACACTGGTCCGTCGTTTATTAAAAACCAACTAACCGGATTTTCCACTCTTAACCATCTTCCCGCTATAATCTTGGGACGCTAGCAAAGACATTTTGCATGATTAATTACAGTCAAATGCCGGTAGATATCCATTTAGAAGAATATTATTATGGGAAACATACGCCGTAATCTATAGACTTTTTTGTGGGGTAGATCCTTTTAAGCTTAGCACTTGATAGATATTGGCGGGAGAATCTCAGTAGTTTGTGTGCGAGTTGAGGGCATGGAGGGAGACTGCCCAGAAGCGAGTCCTTGCGCTCCCCAATGAATTGCGGGAATACGAATATCCCAAATGGAATTGAAGTACCTTACCGGCATACCTCCTATATCGATGCTGGGCCCAATCGGAGCGCTCTTGAAAAACTGGTATAGATGTAAACAGGGCTTCAATAAAATTGTATTGTGCTGCCCGTAGTGCGAACCTTAGCTTTCACGGGTCTCGTATTGTAGACGCGGTCCACACTTCAAGCTTTCACTATGTGCTGGAATGCTTCCCAAACTGAGAGAGGGAGAAAATAAATCGATCACCCCAAGTCTAGCCCCATCTGTCCAAACTTTACCGGGCCCTGCGGACGTGCCCATAGCAGTCCACTGTTCCAAGGAAAACAGCCATGGGCGCGGGCTGGGGCATATTCTGCTAGTATCCAATAAATATTTTGAATTTTCCCGTTTGCCCTTACGAGTTATCTCGTAAACTAGAATTAATTGCTGCTGCGTGCCCCAGATTAATATTAATCTAGTCTACAAGGCTGCTGATAGAAAGAAACAACCCGGGCCCTCTCTGTCAACGTGCTAGGCCTGCAGCTGCGCGCATGCGGAGATTGTGGTATTTTCTCACCTGTAACGAGTTTTAGTAGGGCCTAGGGTAAATGCGGCGAATGAATCTAGTTCTATAAACCTTTGCTTGTATTGAAGCCACCACCATGCATATTGTTGGGTGTGACAATTATATGCGGGTGCTCAGGGGCGCAAATTGGATTTGAAGAATTCCCCGCGTAGTATAGTAGAATCACTTGCACCAAATATAGTTGGAGATTTGTCCAGTGCGATTTCTATCGACCACACAGCCGAATATGTTTTGCTTCCACATGTCGATACTGACAGCTGCTTGAGAGTTATTCACGAAAGCGGAGTATAACTGGACTTATCAACTAAATGGAGGACTTTCAAAGATTATGATTGAACCGATGGAGAAACTCCTTGGGATATCAGCTTGCCAGGGTGTGCTAGCACTATAATCATTGGAAGTCGGATGACCCAAGTGAAATGTTTCCGCTTGCAGAGCCAAGGGGGGAGGGCCATGTAGGTCTCTGTGTGATTAAGGGACTTGTATTTCGGCAGCTGGTTAGCTATGCCTCTAGCTCTGGGCGTGCCTGGTCTCATAAATCAGACAACAGTGTGCCGCGTATTGCTGAAATAGAGTAGTCTCGTATTGCATACTAGAAATGGAGCAGAGTGATACATATGATGTTAACTGGCTCTTAACCTGGGCGCAGCTTACGCGACTGCAGCCATGGTGGGCCTATATTTTCCACTTACTTCACACAGAAAGTGGACAACCCCTCATCATGAAATTAGTTGTGATTTATATCCATAATTTGATCATATCATCGTGGCATTATCGCAGGTATAGTGAACTAGGATCGAAAACTAGGATGATACTGTGTCCTCGGGTGTTGGCTAGTGATTTGTTGGATTTTTGGATTGACCAATGCTGCAACTCCGTTGACAAAAGCTAGAAAGGTTAAGACTGCGGCAGTTCCTTTTCTTTTCCAGTCCGTAGGTATACGTACCAATGCCACAATGTTATTGATACTTGTTTCATCTGAAAAAAAGCCAGAGCTAGACATCGTTGAGCTCTGCGCCGTGTAACCTTTGGGATTGGAAGGTAAAGGTGGTTACGTACGCCTTGCGCTTGGCATTTGAGGTTGCTGACATGGATCAAGTATGCGTATGGAGATAAAATGCAGTGATGCTGATTGGACTAAATTTCAATATGCATTGAATTAAATGTCTATCTGTCGGAAAACCCGACTATCGAAATGCAGCGCGCAGCACTATCGCAATCCTTCGGCCTTCATGTATACTTCGTATTCTCCAGAGTGACTCGAAAACGCCTGCGTAGCTGGTCGCACAACAGCGAGGAGGCTACGTATTCATTGCATAGAAACTCGCAAGATAGAGCTACTTTTGATGTCCAATGTGAATAGGTGCAAATACTCTCGTCACATGGCGTCTACAATGAAACGATTGCTGCTTACTGCGCCCCTCGGCGATCGTAGTCGGCCGACGCTAAGATTATCGCCAAGGGAGAGGTTCCTTGCAATGGAATATTCGCTTCGTCGGAAGTGGATCCACAAGGGGAGAAAAAATTGCTTACCTACTTCATGCGACGGCCTTGTTAAGCAATATAAATCGCTATAGACCCTTGGCGCCAAGTATTTGAATACGAGGAACTGATTAGTTTCTCCATTCATGGCAGAGATTGCACAGAGCAATGTTACATTGTTGATACAACCTAAATATGGGACTGTTTGCAACGATTTCCTGGCGTCTTTTGGACGCGTCACCCCCGGAATTTATGACTAACGATTGATAGCGACTAAAGGAGCTGGTGGTTTGATTCTTTTTCGATTCGAGGGAGATAATTTGCTATGTTGCAAGTTGCAGGTGCCGAATTTAACTGAAACGGTTTTTTCTTGACGAGGCCGGGGTACTCGTAAAATACATAAATAGTTAGACACAGCAGCTACCAGCCCTAATGGGGTTCCATATAAGAGCCTCTTATTCCGTGGCATATAGGCAGGCGCGTATTGTTTTTTGTTAATTATATAAAAACAGCGATTCCTTCACACGATCGCGAGCAGCCGAGTCTGAATCTTAAAGGGGCTATGTGAGGAACACTAAAACCGGCACTGAACAATCGATTGGCTATATTAGAACCGAATTATATAGCCCAATTAACCAGTTTTAAGTGTCCATTAAGAACGGGACGTAAAGAGAGGGTCAAAAGCGCATGCTTTCTATGTGAGTATTTACAAGTAGCCCCATGCATACTTTGCATTCGATTCCCATGCTATGTGAGCGTGGCACAGCCGCACCACGGTTGCATCTCAGACCATTCACTGCGGAGGCTCAGATATTTAATTCCTCCTCGGCTGTGCGCTAACTTGGCCGTTTCTTTTATAGTCTTCGACCCCGCGCGGCTCTTTGTGTTTTCTTATACTTACCTTCTTCTTCTTGGATTCTCAGATTTATTTTCCCTCCTTTCCTTCAATTATTCTTCTGTGATTTTTTTTGTCGTCGCGAGCCGGGCAGTCCTCGCCTAAAGTCTCAACATCCCGTCGAGCCAATCTGACAGGATCCTTACCAATTTGGAATCAACACATAATTTTCTCATTTTACAACAGCTCCCCTAAAACGACAACGACGTTGCAACTCTCCCTGTATGTTCGAGATCTAGAGAATCTTCTTCACAATCAATCAGGATGGAGGAGAAATCCGGTGCCCATCAAGGGCCAGAAGGCGTCTTCGGTATATATACCCGCCAAGTTATTGCCCTCTGTCATAAGAATCTCAAGCTTTTCCTTCGACGGCCATTGGTTATGATCATCAGAGTCCTACTCGTTCCCATCGCCATTACTCTCTTAGTATCGGAATTCAAGCACATCGGAACTTCAGTTGGTGGATTTGGAAATGATGATAGTGGTATATCTGATCTTAGACCCATCAAGACGATAGCTCAAGCCCTCGAGGGCCACGAGGATACCAAATTTGTGTTTGCACGCAATGGATTCGGCAGCCGGGTCGACCCAGTAATTGATAAATTTGCCCAGCGAAACCCAGTAGCGAACGTCATTAAAGTCGACAATGCAACCGATATCATCAAGGAATGTAGGGTGACACTTGCTGGAGCCAGCGATTGCTTCACGGCTGTCATTTTTCACAAAGTTAATGACACATTCTTCGATTACATCTTGAGCGTCAATCCTTCCGACTTTAGCGGTGATTCGGATTGGAGATCTCACAAGTCCACAATGCAAGACCGAGTTTGGCCCATTCAATTTGCACTCGACGCAGCTATTGCAGAATTCCCAGAGACTACCATTGTTAACGAACAAAGCTACAAAGAGGATTTGTCCAGTTATTACAAGTATTATGATGACTTGTACTCCGGCGGGGATGACAACGATGGTGATACCACATCTACCGGAGAGAAAGCAGAGGCAAATACTAACGGATATTACTACTTTGTTACCTACTTCCTTGCGCCTTTCTTTTTCATGATTTTCATCGAGATGGTTTTCCACGTCTGCGGGTTCCTGACTCGTGAAAGAGAAAGCGGCGTTACTGAACTTCTCACCACCCAAGGCTGCAGGCAAACTCCTCAGATTGCTTCTTACTTTTCTTCCTTCTGGTTACTATATCTCCCCACATGGATTATCACCGGTATCATATTAGGGGTGGTTTTATTCACGACTACAAACACCGGATACCTGGTTCTGTTCCAAGTTCTAGCAGGCACAGCAACCCTCTGTATGTGTGTCTTCCTCTCGACGCTATTTACCAAAGGACACTTCTCCAGCCCAGTCTCTGCCATTATTACACTTGCGCTAGCAATGATCATATTCAACTACCTTTTCAAGGAAAAACCCAGTCAAACAGAAATGAGCGCCCTATCAGCTGTGTTCCCACCATTTGCATACGCGTCTCTCATTGCAGACATCGCCCGTCTCGAGTCCGTAACCAGGCCGTTCGACATAACTAGATCCGCCGCGGATATCAAGATTCTAACGCTGTTCCGCTCGTTTTCGCCATACCTCTACATTATCTATTTTCTCATCCAGATCCCACTCTATCTCGGTCTCGCTGTTGCCTCTCACTTCACGATCTGGCATGTTCCATATATCGTTACAAAAGTGGCACCCGAGAGTGGTCTAGCAATGAAGACAACCGGTTTGAGCAAGACGTTTAAAAAGTCGAAGGGGAGAGCCGTCAACGAGCTCAGCGTTGAAGTACGCAGGGGACAAGTCGTATCGCTGCTGGGGCCTAACGGAGCGGGAAAAACCACGGCGCTGAAGTGTATTGGCGGAGTCGTGAAAGCTGATAAAGGGAGTCAAATCGAACTCGGCTGCGAAAGGACTCAATTAGGATACTGCCCACAGCACAACGTCATTTGGCCACAGCTTACCGTCCGCGAACATATTCAAATCTGGTTGGGAATCAAAGGCAGAAGGATGTCAAAAGACGAACAGGAGGCTACTATCGAATCAATGATTCGTGAGTGCGATCTTCTCGAGAAGCGAGACGCCCAGGCAGGCACACTCAGCGGTGGTCAAAAACGAAAACTTCAATTGGCTATTGCTTTTATTGGTGGCTCTCAAATAATCTGCATCGATGAAGCTAGTAGTGGTGTCGACCCCCTTTCACGACAGAATATTTGGCAGATTATCCAACAGGGGGTCGCACATCGGACTATTCTTTTGACGACTCATTTCCTCGACGAGGCTGATATCCTATCTGACTATATTATCATCATGTCCAAGGGCAAACTTGTGGTTGAAGGCTCCAGTACCGCACTTAAGGCGGCTCATGGTGACGGATACTCTATCTACGCTGATCATACCATGACCAACAAGCTCGCCCACACCAAGACATCAGAAGAGGCTTCCCAGAAACTCGAAGAATGGGCTAGAGAAGACGAAGCAGCTGTCGGTAAATATGAAGTCGCATTCCCTACCCTCGAGCAAGTCTTCTTAAAGGTCGCCGCCGGCGACGCGCTCGACGAGGAAAGCGAGAACGCCGAGGAAAGCGGCGAAGAAGCCACGACTGCTGCCACCGCCGCCCGTGAGAACCCAGCTCAAAATCTTGACCAAGGCCGTCCAATCAGCAAATTTCGCCAGATCTGGGTTCTATTCAAGAAACGCTATAGTGTTATCCCACATAACTGGCTGGCTATCGTTGTAACCCTTGCTATTCCAATCGCTGTCGCCGCGGCTGTCATGAAAGGCACTGGAACAGTCGATGACTATGGCCTTCAAAACTGTGCTGCTAATATTGAGAAATTCGCCAACCGCACGAATGCACTTCGGACAAGTGCTGCTCTCTCGGCTTCTGCATCTGCCCGTTTAGCTACTGCCACTGTCCGCAGCACCGCAACCACCACCCAAAGTTTATACTCCTACCGCACCTATGGCCCAGCCGACTACCAACCTTTCTACGACCCCATCGATGAATCTAGCTACCCAACATTGTACGAACAGGACAAATTAGTCCTCGGTCCAGAAAGCGTTTTTAGGCCGAGAACAGAAGGATACAAAATCGTTGAGGAACTCTTCCCGGTAGTCTACGCATACGACAATGTAGATAATGCAAAAAAACCAATATCCGACAATATCATCTACGTCAACAATGTCGATAACTACACTAAAACTCTCCCCGGGGCACTGGCAATGGTTGATTATAGCTACAGCACCAAATACGTCGGTATATGGTTCCCCAACGGCGAAACTCCAAGAATTGCCATGATTGGCCAGGACTCCTCCTATAGCGCATTTTATGCAGTTGATATTCTTGCTACGGTTGATAACATGCTTAGCGATGCCAACAATGGACCAGATATTCGTACCAGCGTCCGGACCCTACGCCGGATTGAATCATCCTACGATTTCCTCGCTGTTCCATTCGCTCTATTTATTACCATGGCAGTAATTGCCGGGTTCACAGCTGCGATTATATATCCAACTTACGAAAGAGTTCAAAAGACTAGGTCATTACAATATAGCAATGGCGTCAGCCCGCTAAGTTTATGGTCTGCATACTTCCTCTTTGAATTACAACTTATCCTTATCGTCGCAATCATAATGTACGCCCTTTTGTCCGTCGGTGAATATACCAAACTCTTCTTTGGACTTGGTTATATCTTTGGCGCTATACTACTAACCGGGGTAGCAACCGTTTTGGGATGTTATATCCTATCTCTATACTTCTCCGCTAAAATGGCATATTTTATGGCTATCGTCATCCACCTCGTCCTCCTACTCCTCTACTTTGTTGGAGTGGTATTGGCGGCAACATACGCCCCGCCCCTTCATAGATATGAGGTTCAAAACCAACTTGCCGCTGGACTAGGCCTCAGCTCTCCAGCTGCAAATCTAGCTAGGGCGTTAATGATAGGCACAAATGCCTACTCTCTACTTTGTGGAAAGTATGGTGAAATCCCGAGACCTTCAAGCGCATTCGCATTCAACCTTTACGGCGGCGTTTACTTTAACCTAATTCTTCAAATCGTCTTTCTTTTTGCGCTGTTAATGGCAATCGAATACTCCCTCTTCTCGAGAATTTATTACCGCTTCCGTCGTCCGACTATCCAAAAATCAAGAGATAGTATGGAACTTGAACTCGCTTCTCCCGCCGGAGTAACAACTAGAAAGTCTGCAACAGAAACAGTCAGCCCAGACGACAAACCTCTTCTCGAATGCTTCTCCCTTCACAAATCCTTCAAGGGAACCGAAGCCGTTCACGACGTTACCCTTTCTGTCTCCTCAAACGAAACAATGGCTCTATTAGGTCCCAACGGTGCTGGAAAATCTACAACGATCAACATGATTCGAGGACAATTCAAACCAGACAGCGGCGATATCTTCGTCCGTGATAAATCTGTACTATCCCAACTCGTTGAAGCCCGTGCTGAAACCGGTGTTTGTCCACAAGAAGACGCTGTCGACGATCTAACCGTCTTTTCGACTCTGAAATTCTATGCTGAAATCCGTGGTGTCCCAGACCCTAGCAGAAACGCACAGTTGGTCATGGAGGCTCTCGGGATTCAAGATTTTAAGAGTAAACGGGTTAGTAAACTTAGCGGTGGTACGAAGCGGAAGTTATCAGTTGCTATTGCGTTGCTTGGTAACCCGCCTGTGCTGTTGTTGGACGAACCTAGTACTGGACTTGACGCCGTCTCGAAACGAACGCTATGGAAGACTTTGAGGGCACTGGGAAAGGATAGGGCTACACTATTAACGACACATAGTATGGAAGAAGTTGAAGCGTTGGCTACGTCTGTCTCTATCATCGCGGTTAAATTATTGGCTTCTGGTACTACATCGGGTCTAAGAGATCAATACGGTGGATTCTGGCATGTTCGAGCTGTGGTTAAGCCCGAAACATCGGGAGAAGCGGAGAAAGGAGTGAAATCAGCCTTCGGATCCAGCTTGGAGGAATTGGTAGTACATGGCGGTAACGCACAGATTAGGTTTGGAGTTAAGAAGACTGGTAGTGCTGAAGGGTGGAATTTTATGAAGGTTATGAGGGAGATGGAAGCTATGAAGAAGGATGGAAGGATCGTGGAGTACAGCTTGAACGGAACTACACTTCAAGAAGTCTTCCTGAATGTTTGTTCCCAGGAAAAGTCGACGAACTGATGGGAGTATAGGAGGGTAATGGTATTTGGGTAGTATATTTATTTAATCGACTTGGATTTTTGTGTGCGTCAAGGCGTTAACGAAGGGTCTTGTTTCCAAAAAGCTCGACACGGCTTGGTAGCATAGTAACACTGTCTCTTTTTATGTAGCGGTGGACTTAGGCTTTTTTTATATATAATATCGAAAGTTACGTTCAATTGTTTAGCATGCATACAATCATTAGCGGATTTGTAGAAACGCCATGATTAACGGCGGAATATGACACCCAGTGAAATGCTCATCCATTACTAGTCTCGTATTGTAGACGCGGTCCACACTTTGACCCTTTGACCATTGCTAAGACTGATCATGGACCCTTTAAAAAGTTGGTTGAAGTATGGTAGGGCGGTACAGGGGAACAATGAACGAATTGATAACCATAGACACTATTTCCACAAACACAATAACAGAGATACCTGCTTGAAGACAACGCTACATACATGAAGTAAACAAGGCGGGGACCACTAATACAAACAAAACCGAATGAAAGAGAAGAACATAAAACCATATAATCATAAAACCACAAAATCGTAACATCGTCATCCTCGTGATTCGTAGAAATCCATAACATCGATCCATAGGCAGACCTAAGAGTCGTTACCAACTAGGCTCGTCGCCCGCGAGCACGACGATAATGCCAACGTCGGTAATGATACCCTCGGCCGCTAAACATAGGCCCATAGTTATTGGGAGATTTTGTAGGGGTAGTAAAGGTGGGAGTAGCATTAATCAAATCAACTGTGTTCGTGAAATCGGTAGGTGTTGGTCGTTCGCCGGTAAAGAAGTGGGTAACTGTAACAATATGGGTGACCGTGACTGTTTTTGTGCGTCTGTGTGGGATACGGGGATGCATTGTTGATGGCTTGGGAGCGCCGGTGACATAGACTGTTTGGACGACCTGCTTGGTGACAGTGCGAGTCAAGACCCGGGTGTGATGGGTTTCGGATTCCGGGGGGAGGAAGGATGTAATCCAGTAGGTGGAGGTCGTTGTCGTGGGGACATCGACTGTTAGTGTTTGTGTGACGAAACGGGTAGTCTCCGTTGAGGTAGGCCAAGGGATGGTGGCGAAACCATCTGGGAGTGTTGGGACCTTCTGTGGAGCTTTGATTGGATGCTTGGCTTTATCACTGCCGTCATTGAAAACAGCCGGTCCTGGAACTGGGCCATAGTCCGAGTAGTTATTGCGCTCAGGATACCAGATGTTGTAACGGAGACCAGGCATATTCATGTTTGCGTAGTCGCCGCTCGGGATTGGAACGGTGACTGGCTTAATGAACGGTGCCTCAGAGTTTTTCATTGTTACCTGAGCACAACTAGATGGCAAGGGTTGTTGTTAGTTGTGATACAGGTGATTTTGAGTACAGCAAAGATAATTTTGAACTTATAAGGACACTTACCCAACATACCACTGAGGCTCCCAATGCGGTTCCGCGGCGTTATTCAAAGTAATGGTCTCGGCACGAATGAGGTAATCCCCATTCTCCAGGTGCTTAGGAATAATACCGGTAAAGAATCCACCATTGAGCCTCATCTTCGAGGTGCAAAAGACGCCATCTTCATCAACCCCGTCCTCCCAAATTTTGAACCAATTGGGCTTACGGGGGTCCTCAGCGATGGCCGTGACCGAGTCAGAGACTTTGCGCATGTAGATTGCGCAGGGACCTTTGTGAGAGACATCAGTTACCCCTTCGGGGCCAGAGACGGAGGCACTCCAATTGGTGTGCCATTCAAACGTAATTTTTGATCCGGCTATTTTTCGAACAGTCAGCAGGATTTCGAGGGTGTTTAGGAAGTGGGAAATAATACGTACGCTGAACGGACGCCTTGTCCGTACCCTTAATACCTTGTCCGTTGCCGACGGGGAAGCCACAAGCAAGATGCCTGTTGTTAGGGTTCGAAATCGGGTTTAACGTCCCCGGCTGACGAATGACGTTGTCCTGGCGGACATTGTCCACCAAGAAGTGAGTGATTACATGGTGGGCCATGGAGACCGACACCAAAACAGCCGCGAGCAGAAATTTGATGATATTCATCTTGCCGGTAAGTTTAGAGTACTTTATATATATATATATATATCGATGTTGGTGATAAGGAAGCAATTGGTAAGCTGAATGTAGTAGAAAATAGAAGAGTTTGATGAAGGAAGGGGGGAAGGAAGAAAGAGTGGAGAGGGGATGGTTTCGTGGGGAATGAAATATACCTTGAGGTTGTTTATTCGATCGTAGAAAGCTAATGACGCGTTCTTTATTGATGAATAGAGAAGGAGTGATGTGAAAGGGGAAGGGAGGAAGCATGACCGTCGACGCTGAGAGGAAGAAGCCTTTGTGAATGGGTTTTTAGAAATGTGTTGTAATCTCGACACTAATGTGTTGTTTGAAGTTCCAATACGTGTTATTTCCGTATTAGGAATAATTGTTGCTGATCTTGCAGTGCAAACTTTCCTGATAAAGTAATCTTCAAACAATCCAACTCAATTTTCCAACATCACCATACAACGCAACGCAGTTTTGTGTTATTTTTGTAGACAGGTGGGGCAACACACCTTTTTTGGTGGCTGACCCGGCGTCTGGCTTCGAGACTAGCTAGGTGATTGTTTACGAGATGATACCATGTGAAGGTTTTCTAGGCTCTTACTCGACTTAGGCGTACACAAGCATCAATTAAATACCAATTCCGCTTAAGTGCTTCTATCTAGAATCTAACATCTGTTAATTTACTGTCGTCGAGACTACTACTTTGGGGTGGAAAGTATATCCATACTGGTATACTGAAGGCTTAGAAAGGCCCTTGCTCGAATAATAAGATATTGGGAAAGCTGATATCTAATGTGCTTCGCTATTACATGGTTTCAACTGCAAACTGATTTCCTTAACGCTATTTTACAGGTGAACGTTCTCTAGAAACAAAAATTATTTCATCTCTTCATCTTCCCCGAGACCACCCCATTCTTCGCCTTCTTCTTCTTCCTCCTCTTCGTCCACTTCACTACCGCTGCCGCTATCACTACCGCTATCGTCGTCCTCGACTTCTTCTTCATCGTTCTCATCTTTCACAATACCAGCTGCACTGTCTTCAACTTCTGCGGTTGTTAGACAGGTTATTCGCCTGTTGGTATCATACTCTCCAGCCATGACCGCGAACCCTTCCGCCTTGACATCGATAACGGCTTCTGTTTCAGCTTCTTTCTCCCCAGTTTTTTGCTTTTTAGTCGCTCCGATTTGTATTTGAGCAAAGTCAAGAGAGTAGACGCGGATAATCCCCTCACTGTTTGCTGTTGTTAGGAAGTATTTCGACTTTTGAGCTGTGGAAGGGTGAGGGAGGATGTCGAAGTCCTTTATTCTTGTCTTATCAGGAGTCGTAGGTGTGATAGATGCGAGGAGAACTGGTTTGATATCTTCTGACTTTTCTCCGTCTTCCTTCACCTTCACCTTCTCCTCATCCTCCTCTTCCACGGCTGGTTTACCCTTGTCTGACCTGGGTATCAGGTAAATCACGACCCTTCCATCTTCTGTTGCCAGAACACATAATTCTTGTTCTTCACGCCCTTCTCCAAGCGATACCTCCAAAAATTTAACCTGATGGACCTTCGAAACTGGAGTGGTGGTAAAGCTCCCGTGGACGACACTGTCAACGCCGAAGAGCACGACTCCTCTTTCAAACATGACTGCATATCCCTCCTTTCCACCGGGTCTCCAAACGACTTTGAGTCCTTCACCACTAACGCCGGTCACCAGCCTTGGTATCGACTTTGGGAACACCAAGGTACCAGCTTTTCTCCCCGTCATTAAATTCCACATCCTAACCATCTTCTCATGGCGGCTTACGCTCAAAGCGAGTTTTCCAGACGGGTGAACAGCAATAGAGTTTACTCCTCCGCCGGTTAATATCTGACCTGGTTTTGGTTTTGGAGTAGGGCAGTGAAGACTACTAAGAAGAGACCAATCTCGAGTTTTGAAGATGTGGATGTATCCAGCTTCATCGGTGGATATTAAGGTGGATTTTGACGGGAAAACGAGAGAAGTTGTTGGAGATGCTGAGGGAGGGGCGAGAGTACCCAGGTTTGTACGGGTGTGTAAGTGGTAGAGGTTTATTTTGGTATCTGGAGAAGACGTTGCGAGGATTCTCTTGCTTGTACCACCGTTGCCGTCCGAAGGAGGAGAGACAGCAAGGCAACGGATGGACGAGGCGTGAGCTGTGAAGAGGAACAACGGAGTGAAAGAGGCTGTTTCTGTGGAATCATTGACAACAGTGCCGGTGCCGGTGCCAATAGTAACAGAGGGCGGAACAGTTACTCGGAGGCCGTGAAGTACCCGGTCGTAGCTGCCAGCAATGATCTGGAAGGATGTTGTAGTTGCGGGTTTAAGCGACAGCTTGGACAGGTTGTCGGCGACCGCAACGGGAGCATCTCTCTTTCGTTTCTGGCCCATTGTTGGATCTTCCTATTGTATTTTCTACTAACAGCGGTATCTCCTGGGTACTCAAGGGTATATTGCGGTTGTCGGCAGAAGTTGTTGCTGTAACCCGGGGATGTTGGAGTAGCTGATAAGTAGCTTGGAGCTGCGACAGAAGAATTTAAATTTTTTATTTCTAATTTTTAATTTCTAATTTAAATTTTTTTTTTGTTGTCTTGGAGAATGAGATATATTGGCGTCTGGAAAGGGCAATAGAAGCGAGACCGCCATATTGCCAAGCCTTTAAAGGAATAATAACAAAGCTAACTACTAGCTGTTATAGACTGTTAAACAGGTCAATAGCCTGATTGGGAGTCAACTAAGTCTTGGCATACTAAGCTCTCTAAACCGTCCTCAGATTTCTTCTCATCGCAGCTTTCCGCAACACTTTTCAATCTTTCCTTCTTTCACTTCACTTCACTTATTCTCGTCATCAACACCTTCGACCATTCAACCATCTCGAATCCGATACTTTCGACCGATCAAGGACCAACCATCACCATCATCATTTCCATAACGGATTCCGACAGCCTTAAAGAGGTCGCCGTTAAGCCGGCTGCACTTCTTCATATTTGCTCGACTCTGTTCTCGTTCTCGGATCGTTCCTCTACTTCGACGCATTAATCAAATACCCAACAACCGAATTTTCAACAAAATATACATTTTTTATTTTTTATTTTATTTTTTACTTAGGGGAAATTTTTATTTTAGTTTTTTTGTTTGATGGTTTGATGGAAGTTGGAATACGCCTATTGGGACTCTGGAGTGACGACCATACCCTTCCACCGAAAGATGGCGTCGACAGAGACATTGATTCGTCTCACAAAGAAACGCGAAGCATTGGAGTTCGTTCAATCCATTCCAATCCGATTTCCCATTGGTTGGTAGTTTTGCCGTGTCGGTCGGACGGACAGAGAGACTGAAAGCGAAGCTGGTTGGAGGTGTTATGTCATCGTGCTTTGCAGAAATATATCTGCAGACATGCGTATTCATACACATCTCAATCACCAAAAATGGCCATCATCTCTCTCAGAGAAATCCACTGATGACAAAATTTGCCAATAGAAAACCTTGATTGATACTCAAGTCGACTAATCTGCTGTTTCTTCCCGTTATTTTTACTGGATGTTTTTATAGTAACCTCGTATCCAATCGAAAACGAAAACTACAAGAGCTGTACCGAGTCGTCAATCATGTCCAAGTCTCGTGCGCTACACCTCGACGCCCCGGAGGTTCCTCAAGTAAACTTTCAAGCTACGATGAGGAGGGCGAGGGGAAGTTCCTGGAAAGCACGGATATCAACTTGTCAGTACTATCGCCGTTCACCTACGACTCGAAGAGTGGAATTACTGATGTCGACTACATAAATAGAGGGAAAGCCTTTAACGCAAACGAGATGCTACCGAAATCCATATTGGTTGTACCCGATATTATAAGAGAAGCTTTAAAACCTATTGCTTCGTCTACTGCGCAGAATGGAGATCCTGTCGCTGTCCAAGTCGCCCCTTCCAAGACAGACAAGCAGCCACTGTCAAAGGATTTGAGTAGTACCGATATAAGACAATCCGATAATCTGGCTATTCCACGCTCCAACGGCGCGACTTCAAGGGCCACCACTCCCAAACTATCCAATGATGCCGATGAATCCGGTGTGAAGACTCCAGTTCGAAGATCTGTTAAGCAAAACGAGGAGGAACCCCCACCATTTTCTACACCTACTTCGGTATCAGTTACGGAAAATGTCTGGTCAAAGGAACTTTCGGGCCATTCTTCAAGCTTTACAGAAAAGTGTATATCCATGGACATTGTTCCTGTTTCTCAGATTCCGGATGAATCTATTGAGGTAGTCGGCCCTCGAGCGTCATCTGCTCAAGCCCCCATTTCACAGCCCCGCGCAAAGTCGCCTACCCCGCCACCACTGGAACGAGCCACATCACAGAAATCAGAGCAACCTAATCTCGCGATATTTACACAGGCTACACGATCTCCGCAAGACCACATACCAAGACCGTTTCCGACCCCAACAACTGCTACCGAGACCGAACACTCTATTTTGCCCCCGACTTCTGCCCCGAGAAAATCAATAACTCCGCCCAGCCCTGCCGAATCTGTTTCTGCCCCGGATGTGATTCCAGACGAACTACCCCACGAACCCTCCAGTGACGCGATATTTGATGATGCCACAAGCCAGGTTGGAGCGGAAGAGATGTCTGAGGTTGACCCGGATTCCGCCAAAGAAATGGATGTGTCCGACCAAATTGTGCTCGCAGCTGAGTCATCGGTAGAGAAGCCTTCGTCGGATGAGGTTATGGGTGAAGTTGAGAAACAGTTGCAAGTTGAAACGGCTCTTTCGAAGCAGCAGGATGAGGTTCCATTAGTCAAGCAGAAGGTCGAAAATTCACAAATCGAACCGAGCTCGAGGCCCCTAGCAACAGAGATTCAAATTCAGGGTAATGACCTATCAGATGACGCTGAGATGGTGGATGTCCCGGAAGAAGTGCATGCTGCTCTCAGGCAACCCGCAAAACTAGAGTTAGCTTCAGAAGAACCCTCGACAACTGACTCGCCAACTATCGAACCAAAGACTTCATCCGTTGAGGGCCCTATTCCTGGCGCGGAAATGGTTTCTGAGGGAATAAAAATGGCTGTTAACGAACAGGACAACGAAGCTAAGCATAAGCTGCAGGATTCACCCCAATCCCCTGTTCTGCCAATCAAGCGGGAAGAAAAGACGCCATTTGAGTCCCTTGAGCCCTCTTCAGCTACTTCCATGGGATTTGGTACCTCCGCAATATCCGGTTTCCCCCAAACCCCTCAAAACCTTCCACACGACCACGATACGATTGACAACTCTGCCATTGCAGAGACTCCTATGTCCGTGGATGAGGCCGGGACTCACTTCAACTCGCCAAAGGCTACTCAACCGCTTACTACTGCTGCTCTCGAATCTATTAACACCACGGTCTCCACACCAGCGACAAGAGCCTCCTCTTCCCGTCGTGAAAAGCGTCCGTCGGTCAGCGGCGGCCTGCAACTCGCTAAAATAGTCTTTCATGGACGCAGCACGGCCGCTACCTCGAACTCTAGGACCGAAACCTCAAATGAACTGTCGCCTTCAGCTGCTCCGCTCCCACCAAGGGTCGGGACACGCTCTGGCAGTATCAGCACCCCCGCACGTATGAACTCGCGGTCACTAGAAGCGCAAAGGATATCATCTCTGGCCGAGCTTAGAGAGCAACATCAAGCACAGATTCGACAACAGGTGGCGAACAGCCGTAAAAGAGACGACAAATCTCGACTCGATGTATTTGACTACCTCACCGCTGTTACTGCTTCCGAGCCTCTGCAGAATTCCCTAGCCACAAGCCACAAAACACTATCTACAGCGGCATTTCAACTTCTAAGGCGTGAAAAGCAGGCCATACAGGCTCTGACTGAAATACAGGACCTACAGAAGGCCGGGAAATGGAGCCTTACACAACCCGCGAGGGCTATAGAGCCACCAAAACAGATGGTACATCAAGACTACCTACTTATGGAAGTGAAATGGATGTCGAAGGACTTCAAAGAAGATCGCAAATGGAACCTTGTCAAATCAAAGAAGCTGGCAGATGCATGTGTCGCTTGGCATGTTGCTACACCCGAACAAAGAAAGGCAATGTGCATTCGTACAACCAGGGATACGGTGCCATCAAGAAACCGTCACGTAACGCAGGTTCCAACGCCTGATTTAATGCCCAGCGATGAGCACTCTGACGACGATGACGCAATGAGAGATGATGACGACGGAGATGACCACATGCGGGACGACTTTGTGCATAGATTACATGAAGTTGAAAATCCTGGGAACTTGTTCGCTCTAGGAACCGATGATATTATCTTTGAGATTCTACATAATTCGATGACGGATCGAATGTTGGGCGAATTACCCATCTTCGAAGCGCCAAAGGTCGCGGATGTGAAGGGCCAACCCATCTTCTTCGATGGGTGGAAAAACAATGAGCCGCTTGGACCTGGCGCTGGGCTTAAGAGAACTCTTTGGGAGGCGCCAGTTGAAGAAGGGCCACCAAACAAGAAGAGCCGATTCTCTTACGATCCAGAGTACAAACTTTTAGACTCGGATGATGAAGACGATGACAATAAAGAACCTGTTCGGCGGACATCGGGAAGCGCCAAGGGAGTTACTAGGAGCGGTAGCCCTGTTCTACAACCACAGAATAGTTGTGTGGCTTTGTTTAACCCAGACTTCCAGCCAGTGCTCCAGAGACTGCACAATGCTCACCCATTCCGACCCCCTCAGGAGATGCCACCCGCGACGTTTTTTGAGTACAGATCGCCTAGCCAGTGGACCGCGGAGGAGGATAAGGAACTAGTCGCTGCTGTTCGGAAATACAATCACAACTGGTGGTTAGTTTCACAGGTCATGCAACCCAAGAGCTTTTTGCAATCTGGGGCCGATCGTAGAAGTCTATGGGAATGCTTTGAACGCTGGTTCATGCTTGATCCGCAGAACCAGGAGCTTATTAAAGGTCCCTTCTTCAAGCCTGTTCAACAGAGGTTGGATCTCGCTGCTAGAGCGCCTACGCACGCTAATGCGGCTGCTCAACAAGCTGCCGCTGCCGCCGCCGTGGCTTCTACACCCGGAGGTTCTAATACCGCTGTCACAACCCCTGGCCAGCCACCAAAAAGACGAACAAGCCAACCGATGCGTGTAGAACGTAAGAGAAACACTAGGACGCTTAACATGATCGAGCAGATGCGGAAACTCGCGAAGAAACGCGAAGTACAGGCTAGTAAACAAGCTCAATCAGCCAATATCGCTATCAAAAAACAACAAGAACAATCAGCACAGCAAGCAACAGCACCGAAGTCAGAACAATATACACCAGCGCAAGTTAGCAGGATGAAGCACGAACGGGAGGTATTGCATCGACAACAGGCGCAGATGGCGCAGATGGCGCAAATCCAGAGGGTAGGGTTACCAATCCGAATTTGTGTGCCCCTCAACCATGTCTAATACTCACTTTCTCTATAGCGACAAGCCCAGGCCGCGGCCGCATCTCAACAACAACAACCCTCCCAATCAGGGACAACGGCTACGACAACGGCTTCGGCTTCGGCTTCGGCTTCGGCTACAGCTACGGCTACGGCTACGGCTACGGCTACGGCTTCGGCTTCAACGACTGCCGCTGCTACTCCCGGAGCAACAACTGCGACAACAGCTACCACGAATGGACAAACTACGAACAACGTCCCAGTCCAGTCAAGGAGCAGTCTCCAAGTTTCTGGGATGCAAGTTTCTGGGATGCAAGTCAACCCTGCTGCTGGAGTACCAACTACAGCACAACAATCCCTTCTTGCTGCTCAACAACAACGTACCCTTATGACAGCCGCGAGTAACACAGCGGCTATCCAGGCAGCTACTCATCAAGTCAACCAACATCTTCGCGCTCAAGGCCACACCGTTTCGAGGGATGGGCAGAACTCACCAACCAGCCTTACGCCGGAACAGTATAGAATGCTGATTCAAGCTAGAATGCAGGCTAACGCTGTCAAGCTCCAACAAGCTAATCTGTCCCAGGTGCAAGCGCAAGCACAGGCTGCCGCTCATGGTGGTAATTCCCAAGTCACGTCCGCTACCGCTAGTCACATTCATGCAATGCAACAGGCTGTTGCCGCTGCAAGAGCTCACAATAACACTACTCAAAATGGCCAGACATCTGGTGCTTCGGCTACAGCCAACACTCCAGCTGGGAACAGTGTTATTAGCGCTCAACAAGCAATGCTAAGGATTAAACAGCACTTCCCCACCATTGGTGATGAATACGTGCAACGTATGATCCTACAGCACCAGGCCCAAGCAAAATCCTTGGGACGGGAGCTGACGTACACTCATATCAGCAACCTAATCGCAAATCTCGCTCAACAGTACCAGGGGGCTACTGCTCAAGCTCAAGCAGCACAGCAAGCTGCCCATGCTCAACAACAAGTCCAACAAGCCCAACAGCAACAGCAGCAGCACACCGCTGCAAATGCCGCTACCGCCAGTGCACATCATCAAGCGGGGCATAGTCAATCACCACCTCACCATGCAGTTGTAGGCGTCAGCCATGTTGGTGCTGGGGGTATCCACCATCCACACCCCCCTATTAGCCGAGCTGGTGGTAGTGCTAGTACACAACAAATGTTGAATCAGCTTATGATGTCGCAGACTAGAGCTCCTAGCTCAAGCCCCATGATGGGGAATGCCACCCCAGTTATGAATAATGCCGGAATCGCAAGTAGAGGAAGCAGCGCTACGCCTATGCAAAGGGGTGGAAGCTATCACACTCCAACACCTGGGCCGAATGGTGCGACCAGCGCTGGGATGCAACAAGGGAGCCCAAGGGTTGGGCAAAGCCAGATGGGAGGTGGTAGCGGGTAATTATGTGGGATTGACGGAGTCGAGGGCTTTCTTTCGCGACTAGCATCTGAATATTACGGGCTTTTCCTTTTTGTTTTCGTTTTTCTTTTGTTGTATGGAGGGTCTACTTGCCCTTGCTAGTAACAGTAACGAGGATCTAGTTGAGATTTTACCTCAAGCCGGACCTGGTCCTCAAGCCTACAAATCTCGGCTATGCTACGATTATGGGTCCTTCTTGTATTCTTATAGCTATTTTTTTCTCAGTTTCTGCTCTCCCTCTTCTTTATCGCTACCAACGCTTCTTACTTACTTGCTCCCTCTCTGTTTCCTTCGGTACGGGGTTAAATGCTTTACGGCTTTTTTTCTTCTTTCTTTTACTTCGGAATGGGCGGTGTTCTGGCTTTCTATCCTCCTTCCTTCTTCTTCGATTCATGCTGTGTTACTATTATATCATTATCTCTTTTATTGGCTGAAACGTTTTCGAAAACGACTAAATATGAGGCGTTGCGCTTCCATCTTTGTTTTATCAAATTCAATATCAAAGGTCGATATCGTAGGCTGATCTTTAGAGTGCACGTGGTTAGGCATTAATTTAAGTATGCGATGATTCAGGCGCCTCGTATGCCCGTTCATTGCTTCCACACTTATATAGAGCGAATACAATATGCTATCTGCTAAAATAATCGCCTATTTTTTCACTTAATCTATAGATCTTCATCCATTTTCTCCTCCTTTGTCTCTCCCTCGTCTTCATCATCCTCCTCAAGAGCCTTCTTAGCCTCTTTACTAGCCTCCTCCAACAATTCCTTCGGTACGTCTTCATGCACCCAGCCGTTCCAAACCATACCCTTACCACCTGTTGCGGCAGCAGTGGCAGATTTACTGTCTTTAGTAACCCAAGTCATTTCTATTTCAAATTCCTTGTCTTTGTTGTCATCATGTGCTACGTAGATTATTCTGGCAGCTTCTTTGACTCCCTGGAGCAGAGTCAGTTCTGTAGGATTTAGCTTTTCGATTTCAGATTTTGCGGCTTGTCGGCCTTTCCCAGTTGCTGCGCCGAAGTAGCCCTGTATATATGCCAAACAATATGTTTAGCGAACCATACTGGTTTTCGAAAGAAAATCTATATCTGGTGGCGGGGACGGGAAGAAGAACATACCCAGTACATTCCACTAGGTTCGATCATATACAACGCCGGGCCATCGTCATCAGCACCACCGAGAATAGCAGTGATGCCGAATGGTCGTACGGAGGAGTATAGAGTATATGCTTGGGCATAACTACCCATACGATCTGCGAGAGAAGCGACGGGGACAGAGTCTTTGAAATTCCTACGCCATGAGATGGCTTCTTCGCGGGCTCTGTTGGTGAAGTGTTTTCCGTCTGGGACGAGACCTGATGTTGCCTTTTTGTTTGATATTACCAGTCAGTATTTCCTCTTTTCGTAAGAGAAATACTAAGAGTTTCTAGAGGGGACATACAATTCCGATGTGACGGTCAATGGTGGAGATACGCTTGTTGCTACCTGGAACTAGGAGTTTGGAGGTTATAAGCTTTTCGCAGGCGAGGATTATGCCATCTTTGCAACGGAGACCGATGGTTGTTGGACCGTTTTCGACGGCCTTTTGGGCGTATTCGACCTATACATCACCCCCCATAAACCAATAGTCGTTAACATCGGATTCCTAGAGTCTTCAATTTGATTTTGAGGTATGGCATAGACATGGTGGAGAAGTATGGTGGGGCGGGGAGGGAGATAAAAACGGACTTGGAAGTTACGGCCATCCGGTGAGAAGACGGAGTTGGAGAGATCGTAGCCGGTACCTATTGATGTCTAGACGTATATTCATCAGTCATTTTTTCTATTCAGGACTCAAAAAGATGATAAAGGACGTGACGTACCATGGCGGGCTACGTGAATCGGCGGGCGGCTTATGATTGGAGGGGGTTAATCGAGGGGCTGCGATGGTTTCGAGACGTGTAGGATATAAACACCTCTGAGTATATCCGTCGGAAGGGTATTATGAAGTCGGAAAGGCGGTTCGTGGATGGGGAAAGGTAGATGGCGATGGTGGTGGATGGGTCTCTTGGTGGGATTGCGTGGACAAGCTTGAAGGTGAGGTTGGTTGGAGCTTGAAGCTTGAAAGGCTGCAAAAGCAAATACGCGTGTGCGTGGGTATTGACAACGCATTTCGGAGCGTGGTATTTTGAACGCTGTTCTTTGGATTGGAACTCGGAAATTAATAGATTACGATAGAATCGATATCGCGATGCAGTTTATATTGCATGGGAAGTACTTAAATACAGTCAGTATTATATTATATTGATATATTATATTGATATACTATATAACAGTAAGCTAGGTTCTATTGTGCATAGGCTCTAATGAGGCACTTCGAGATCGAGTTTATATATCGATATATCTCATGAACAAAAGATGCAGATTAAATTATGTCGATTGTCTCCGTCGTAGCGCACAGAAATACTGAGTCTAATGAGACCAAGAACCCGAAAACCCTACCATGAGATCATCGCGCATATCTATGTGACTATGATTATATATCGATTTTATAATAATAATATATCAAACCCCAAAACAGCACTTTGAGCTATGTATGTATATAACCCAGTATCTTTGGTATGGCGGGCGCCGGGCCAAAACGAAAAAAATAGGTTATATACTCAAATCGATTTTATACACTCAAATCGGTACCAGCCATAGCTATATACACTCAAATTTATACCAGCCACATAATACTCGGCCTTACCACCTATAATAAATCCAACTTAAAAAATTTTTAAAACATCTATCTTCCAATTCGCCTAACTGTTTACCTGTTTAACTGCCTACTTGCCTACCTGTTTACCTGCTTGCCTGCCTACCTACCTATCTACCTACCTATTTACTTGTTTATTAGCCTATTTACTAACCTATTTACTGGCCTGTTTACTGGCCTATTTAGTAGCTTAGCTAGTTATTTTAGCAGCTATTCTAGTAGTTATTCCAGTAGCTATTCTAATAGTTATTCTAGCAGTTATTCCAGTAGTTATTCCAGTAGTTATTCTGGTAGTTATTTTAGTAACTATTCCGGTAACTATTCCAGTAGTTATTTTAATAATTGTTTTAGTAATTATTCCAATAACTATCCAAGTAATTGTTTTAGTACTTATCAATTAATTAATAAATTGCTTGTTAGTGAACTTTTTGTAAATAAACCCCACCTACCCAATATACATGGTAAAAATATATAAGTTTTAAAATTCTCTAAATTAGATTTACTATAAGTGGTAAAACTAAATATTATGTAGTTAGTATAAATTTGAGTGTATATAACTGTGGCTGGTGCCGATTTAAGTGTATACAATCGATTTGAGTATATAACCTATTTTTTCGTTTTGGCACGCTATATTTGGCTAAAGGGGATACAATCTTCGACGTATAGCTAGGAGATCTATTTGCCCGAGACTATTGAACAAATATTATTTTTAGGAACAGCGTGAACGCTGGGGCGATAAGACCTTAGTTGTTGCCTATCCTATAGGGGTTGGTATTCATACATAGGTAACTGGGGCTAGTCGGACTCAGGAGCTTTATAACTCGGCGCTACATATAGCTCAGGCTAGTGACCAATGTTGTAGTAGTAAGCCCATGGTATTTATTTCAAAGCCCGCTCACACATATATGTATGCATGTAAATGTGTACAACATTGTGAGGAAGTCGCCCATAAATACGGATTTAATCCTCGAATATTCTAGTAAAAGAGATAGGAAAGAAGTGAAAGACTAATTATAAGAACCTCGATCAAGGAAAAAATGCTGTGGGAGTACTAGTCTCGGTCCCTTAGTTGAAGCTACTTAGCAGGGGCAGGGATTCCGAGAGTCGGTTTAGTCGTAGTGTCTTATTTGAAGCTGTTAATTAGCCGTAATATCAATATCAATCTAGACCGAAATCTCGTCGCAACTTTCTAAAGAACTAGTATACAGCGGCATTGCCTAAACTATTAATATCAACATGATCTAATGGGGGTTATCTATCCGCGTAGAATCAAGTAAGGGCACTAACAATGCCTCAGTGCTAGCCCACCACCCGGTACCCCTAACAGAACGATAGGTTGTCAGGCCTCGAGTGCTAACAGGGTACTGAGCTAAGTCGGTTGTCTTTTACACATTTTGGGTTTTTGAAGAGCGTGGGATATATATTGATATTTGCTACCGGCTCGCCATTCTCACGAGGCCCTGTGCAGGTCTAAATCTATGGAATTAAACTTTTTGATGAACTTTCATAGATAGAATCTCAACCCGAAGTATTAGATTATATTATATTACATATAATAGTATATCTTATAGACACATAGACTACCTCTTATTAAAACAAACTTAACTATCTGCGGAGACTTTATCCGCAAGTTTGATCTAGATATAGGTTCGATTTCGTCAAGGCTAGCCGCGAAGGCGCGGGATGGTCACCGGGCCGACGTCATGGATCCATGGATCCAGCTAAAGTTTTGATCGCCTTGTTTTATTTGGTGAATACATAGGCGCAGTAGGGGGTCTTATGCCTGCAATGATCTCGTACGCATCAAAGACCCCAGGTCGTTTAGGAATTGTCAACGATCGCAGCCCAACAACACCCATATGATTAAAAAAAACACGCCTCGAGAACGGAACCGTTTCGCAATAGATTTCAAGCCCACTATCCTTGGCTTGACGGCATCCCCAATTTGCTAGTTCTGGCCCGATCCCAGAATCCTGATATTCCTTATCGACGCAGGTGAATTCAGCAACTATAGCCGGCAAATTAAGTGTTAGCAATCACGAGCTATAGATTATTTATTATGCACAACTTTAAATTCAAAAGGGCCTTTAACTTCACGGATATATCTCGAGTAATGTATGCACGGGCCATGCATCTCGGAAAAACTTACACCAATGGGGCCGGTTGCCCATTATGTCCCTTCTAAATTTTGCGATACCGCCCCAAAGCGCGTCTGCCACCTTCTCGTCCCAGCCCGGTGTGAAATCAGGGAACGGGACGTCAATTGACCCGTCGGGTTGTGGGGGTTGCCACCGAGTGAAAGCAACGACTTTCCTATCCTTTGATAAGTCTTCTGCAACCCATGTAACGAACACACTGGGACCCGCTTTAATGCCTAACGTCCAGAGCTCGTTCAGCCACTTTCGAGTAGCGTCATTTTCTGGGGTCAGGAACTTCCAGAAGTCGTGGGTTGCGTTGAACGAATCGAACCAAATTTGGGTGAGGGCCTCGACATCCGCGTAAGTAGCTCGCCTGGCTTCGAAGCCTGGGGGGAGGATAGGACGGCTATTCGGATCCATCTGGACAAATTGGGAAAGCTGGCTAGAAAATCGAGGTATACCCACGAAACTCGATTTATAAAAGGGGTTTGACTTGGAATATACAATTTAGAAATTATCGAGGCCAGCCAGCGTATTTATAGTTTTAATGCCCGTATATTACTTTATATCATTATAGCTATGGCTAGCTATTCAATTTCTTGCCTCGAGTTTGTGTAAAATTATTAAGAGAGTTGTGCGTCCCCCAGACTAAAAAATATTATCGCCTAGGCTACGTCGTTAACGTTGTTTGGCTATTTGCGAGTTTGTGTGACACACCGTATGCACTAGGCTGGTAAGTACTCGTGCAAGAAAATATTTAGCTTTATGTGTGCGAATGCATGCCATAAACTCGACTAGTCTGGCACAGGTGCGCAACCAATGGATTTCAATGATCCCTTTTCAGCCGAGTGAAGGTACGCCATGCATGTTTGGACGAGGCATATAGTGCCTATTGTTGTGAGAAAAAAAATCTGTAAAAAGAAAGCTTTAAAGAGAGAAAACCTACTAAGATCATGGCCTTCAGCTGAATGCGCATTCGCAAAAGCAATGATCAAGAGTCCCAATTATTGGAGCTCTTCATTAAACTTTCGGTATCTTAGATTCAAGTCGATCGAATTCAGTAATGACAAGCTACTTGTCAGTAGTTAAATAAGTAGTTGTAGAGTTCAACGCTCCCGCTCGTGTCGATTGGCAGTACACACAGCACGCAACTCTTATTTCTTATTTTATATTTCTTATTTCTTGTTTCTTTTCTTTTCTTTTCCTTTTTTTCTTTTTTCGCTGGAAGTTTTTAGTCTTTCAAAGTGGTGCCGGCCTTCTATAGTTTGCGTTAACGCATGATTTGGTGAGGTGGCGAAGGTATTCTACGATACTAAACGTTATAAACGGCATTGTATTTTCTGCAAGTTACCACTCATATTTTGGATAGGTTTAAACTCCCTTCCAAGCTGCAGCTACGGCGCTCAAACATTCCCTCGCCGCTAGCCTGTATTAAAACGTTCGTTTATCGTGAAAATCGTTACGTATACGTACATACGTTAATAGGTAGATACAAGTAAAGTGGTAAGAGGTTCTTATCAGGCTGCTAGAAGTTGCCGCTCGTTTCTGCCTGCAAAATCTAGTTGACATACATGTATACAGCACGCGAGCTAGCTTAAAACTGGAACAGAACTCAAAAAAATGCAAAAAATATAGCTCTAAGGGATGCGTTAATACTGATAACTCAGGATTAACTTTCTAGTATTTTACAAAATTAAATTGGGATCCGGGACTGGTACTAGTACTTGATTAATTAAGGTTAGGTCTCAACTATTATGTTCGCACAACTCGACTTTGATAGCAAGTTAGATAAGCACATGTATACATGTAGTACTATTGAGGCCCGCAAAGCGGTCATTTAAAAGGGCGTAAAGAATAATCCGTGGTTTAAACAGAGCTAGGATCATCCGTAAGGCGTAATTCAGGTTGAGATTCAGGTGCAATTTGTTTGGGCCTCTAGTATAGTACCATGCATAGATTCCGACTGAGATCCTCGCTAAACAATTGTGGCTCGACAGTCGCAATCGGGATGTGATAATTTAAGCAGTAAAACTCGATGACTAGCCGCGGCATAAGCTAAGTTATGCCGGGATTTCCGACCTAGATACGTACATGCACATGTAGTACGTGTGGCCTAACTACCCCAGTTCCCCTCTAGTGCCTACAGTTTTCATGCAATACATTTAGCCAACTACTAGTGCATTTATGACTGAAGATTTCCATTTTACTGGTAGTGAAAATCTGGCTATCAGTAACCATGCACTACTATGCTATGAGCCTACGTATTGTGGCGCGAGGTTCTTTTGAATCAGACTGTCTTACCATTGGCTTTTAATTTGGGTTACCGTCATGGGTTCCCTCCATTTGTTCTGACGTGCAGGAGACCCCTTGAAGATCTATTCGTGAGCCTTGTGTCTAAATTTAAGAGGTTAGAGGATATAATTCTTAGGCATGGAGTAGAATAAATATCCAATTATTTCAATGCAATCGCGAATCGAAGTTAAATAGGACCTGCACATTCTTCGAATTGGATTCGTAGCTGTATACTTCCGCGTCTCCCTTTAAAATAATTATCTCCCTGAAAAAACAAAATTCATGATATCAAAGATATCCTTCCAGCACTCTCCTACCGCTCTAACCTGAAAGTTCAATCCCTGTTCTAACTCACAAAGGATCAGCAGCATATAGCTTCCAATTCATATTATCGAAAAAAGAAACAAGTTACACTTACCAATTCGTTTCACCGAAGCTTTCGCTTTCATGCAGGTTGTGTCTCCGCTGATATGAGGAGCGAATGCAACTATCTAACCTAGAATTCATCGGCCGAAATACGCCACCTTCGAATCCTCAGTTAAAGTTTAAATACGATTACTAAAACTATCGTTTACATTTATAAAGATCTTAAGACAGCATCGCATTTTTAAACTGATAACTAGAAAAGGCACAAGCTTCAGCACTAAGAAAGCCCTGCACGTAGTATTGCGGCTACATTACGCATACAATCTCCTTGTACCGGAACCAATTTACCTCGCTGGATTCAAGTTGGATTTCGAAATCAAGGTCTAAGTATCGGACGAGAAGCTAAACGGCCCTGACAACTTAATTCTATCGAACCGACCTCCGTACATCTCCTAACCGACGACTGTATTACTAATAGGAACTCTTGTTGAGGTATGGGAGTTCCTGCCTAAACGAAGTACGGTTGGTTGGATACCTGCAAGAGCCGTTATCACGGTAGCCATACGGTTATTAAAAAAGGCTGACTATGCAATAGTATGCCGCCGTGCAGAGGAGTTTGGAACGGGCATCGTTATTGAACTCATACAAGATTGAAGCTTCGGCTCATAAGTTCATAAACAAATTGCGATATCGGTGTTTATATATCTTGAATAAAAATATATAAAGTCCGGACGTCCGCTTCTTGGTTCGCTAGTATACACAGAGTACACTGGCATTCTGCAATACAGTCTACGCTATATCTGTATAGCGGTATATATACAAGGGCTGCAAAATGGTTGCTCCGAACAGCCAGGTTATTACTGTCCGATCTGACTTCTCGACTGTGGAGTTGAAGGAAGATATAATGATAGAAAGCTTCAAGCTTAAAGGTTTGTCTTACCCATCTCCCTTCTTAGGCAAGCTCCGCACGTACCAATGCCTTCCTCCTCCGTCGATTAGGTAGACACAATACAACAGTGTGCCGCGTTGCTACTATTTCTACCATAATCTGGATCTAGCTGAAGGGGTTAATCCTCGAAGCGATTGTTCGGATCATACATGTGCAAGATATTTTATCATTCCGCCGATTAGAAGTGTATAAGGCTAACAGGACTGTCTCGATCCGATTTCAGACTCTAAGCCAGCAGTTACCATAATATCAGTTGCAGAATTACCCTCATCCACCTCGAGTAGTCCCTCAAATACCCCGAGAATATATCCCCAACTCTGCCCTCCTAAAATTGCTATCAGCAATCCAGTAAATCTCCAAAGTATCTTTGGATCCTCTCAAGTTCAATGGATCGATGATCCCGTCATAACATCCTGGCGCAACCCCAGCCACAAAATATACAATACCCTTGCCTCCGCAAACGAACTACTCGAAAAATGGACTTCAATCGCACCACATACTCCATTCTCCCCTCTTTCAGACCCACTATGGCTAGAAACAGGGCGTATTCTCAAAGACGTTGGTCTTCCGTGGCATAATAATCAAGTCGGAATGTCGGACGACTTGGATTCTAGTTGGCCTTTTCATTTTAAGTCTTATGAGAGGGATACATTACGTGCGAAGGGGTCTAGGGTCGGAGACCCTAATGCTTCTGGATATATTTGTCACCCAAGTGAGGCGAACTGTTATTGTATAAGAGCCCTGCAGCAGGAATTGAGAGAACAGTATCCGAAGTCACAGCCGTTGGTGGTGTACGATAAGTTCGACCAGGGGATATTACACTGCGTCGAGACATTTTTTGGACTTCAATCACATCAGATTAATTTATCTGATCGAATTGAAGATATTGTTGACAATCTTCGGGAGGCTACTGATGGAACCCACCGTCCAGTTATCTTCATAGCGAATTTGGCGACTGTGGATGGGAAATACGACAATATAAATGTGATTTCTGAGATATCAAAACATATACCAATGCTATTACATCTTGATATGACGCAAAATTTCGACTACATCACAACATTACCTCAACATGATCGGAAGCTCCTCGGAATCGATCGCATAAACCTGGGAAGTAAATCCCTAAACCAACCCCTCAGACTCCGTGATGGGTCTATCACCGCCTGTACAATTGTCGCTGGTGGTACGAATCATACAGATCCACCTCTCGCTCTCGCTCTAAAACCTACTTCGCTTGGGGGTACAGATTTCGTCAGAGTTTCTTACGTTAGAGGTCGGGACCAAACTCTTGCGGGCTCTCGAGACTCTATTGGACCTCTCTGGTTTTCATTACAAGAGGTCAGGTTTGGCGAGAAAGGGTTCCGAGAAATTTACGAACGGTGTAGAGAAATGAGAGAAAATTTAATGCAGGCTCTAAACGCTTACGGAATCTCTATCATACGACTTCCGTATTCACTGGATATCATTATTCGAAATTGTTCAAAAGAACAAGCTGACAAATTGCTTTCGCTTGGTGCTGTATTGACGCATACAGGTATTCTCCTGGCTATTCAACCATCCGTCACATCGGAAGACCTTGAACAAGTTGTCGAGATCATGTCTTCACACACTATTCGAACACACAGCATTAACCCCACATATATCGACTTCCCATCTCTCTACCAAATCCCCCAGAGCGTGACCAGAGATCTATCCTCAACAGTCGAATCCTGGAAAATATTGACAAGGTCTTCTTCCGGATATCCTCTCTATATGGGATCTCTCTCAGCTCTCGGGCCGGTGATCGGACAGTTTCTCGGGGTCGATATCCCCGCCGACTGGTTAAATACACAGAAAAAAGCATTGCTAGTGTCTAGAATGCAATCATTCGGACTTCTTACACCCAAAGATAGGGCCAACTTTGGAGCAGCCTTTACCAACGGGAGCACGATGGGGAACAGAATGGGCCTCCAAACCGCACTTAAGAGATTACCAAAAGCTACAATATATTTCTCGACAGAAACACACTATAGTGTCATTAAAACAATGCGAGATTGCGATATCATAACACGCCGCTGGTTAGACAGAAAATCAAAGTTCTCTCAGGTCCCCTGCAACAAGGACGGTAGCATATCTATAGATTTGCTGGTACAAAGAGCATTGGTCGATAAGCAAGAAGCTTTGGAAATTGGAGAGGAATATCAAATGATTTTGCTCGCAAATATCGGCACAACTTTTGTGGGTGCTCGCGACGGTCTTAAGGAGATATACCGCAAGCTTCGGGAAGTCGGTATTCGAATTTCGCATTTACACGCCGATGGCGCATTCGATTTTGGGTACAGCACCTCTGGCATCAAATTAGGATCTCCAGGAGCAGTAGGGCCGGATGGAATGCCTATGGTCCAAGGAATTACCCTGAGCAATCACAAAGCTATGGGAAGCATTGTCTCTGGCGAAGTTATTTCCTACAGCCCTGGAAACGAACTTTCTGCATTAGAGTGGACCGTCGACCCCCGAATTATTTTCGAAAGATGGGTTTACTCCCAAGCTTATCCTCCCGCTGAGTGCGAGGCTCTACTGCGATACTGTCAAGACAACGCCTCCCGCCTAGAGCTGTCGTTGAGAAGGATCGGAGTCGTAACGAAACGTAACCCCGGATCAATGATCGTCGTCTTAGAGAAACCACCAGCCTGGATTATCGAAGAGTTCGCCTTAAGACCTGAAGGGGACTGGGTCCACTTCATCACGGTGCCAGACATATCACCAGAGACCATTGATCTCTTCGTTGACAGAATACAACAATTCAAGAGCAACTGCCTCGCAGCATTTTCTTACATCACCCCATCTATTAACATAATAATGAATAGTCGAATAGAAGCCCGGTGTATCCAAAGTCGGGATCCACTAGCCAAGCAGGTCGTGGAATTGGCGAAGGGTGCTGCGCCTTTGGCCCCTGGTGGAAATTATGACAGCTTGGAATCTATGGTGATACCGTCTATGCGTAGTGCCTTGTCGATTGCAATGCTTAACACCGTCGGGCAAGAACTCGAGGCTGTTTTGTTGATAGAGTCATTCCGTGACCAAACTATGAAAGCGGGCGCTCTATTGATTAAATCATATCATGCCGAGCGTGCCGAGGCGATTGTCGCCGTGGCAAAGATTCTTTCTGGATTTATGGCAAAACATACGGGAGCTAGACTCATCAGTGATGGATCTAGCTATGCTTGTTATCTGATATAGGTTTTCGCTGTGGTTTACATACGTCTATTTCATGTTAAATGTATTTGTGCATGTGTACGATGATATCGATTGGAGTTTGTTGTTTAGCCCTGTTTCATTCTAGATCTACAGTCATATTTCTGAGCAACTTTTTTGGCCCTTTCTTCTATGCTTAGCATCTATGCTTTCCGCATGTATATCAACCCATTTTCATCTATGGGAATAGAATCACGGGGTACTAATAAGCCCCCAGTTAGCAGTCATGTCACCTTGGTGTCGGCGTATGTAGGACTTGGTATCTATCACTCAAAATGCAACAATCACTCGTATCGATATCCCGTGAATTTCTTCCATATAGGATTCTTCTTTCTCCTGCACAGGGTTGCCCCACAACTAACACTACTGTAATAACAAAGGGTAAGAGTAACTAAACTACAAATTGCCAATCTATGACTGTTAGATGAAAAGGGCGAAAGCTATAAACGGAAGCGGGAAGGCAAAAAACAACCATGTGGGGATTTTTAAATTGCGGAGTATTGGTATTGCATAGTGGAGAGAAGTTGGTTAATATCAGATACAGTGGAGGTTATACCGGTACCGGTAAGTATAAAATATGAACAGGGTGAGAAAGTAGTATGAGTCAGTCAAAAATTCGGGGGCTCGAAAAACCCCCAGGATATATCTGCTGTGGTATATATAATAAAGTAGAATAGAATAGAATATGTAGGAAATTGTGTCAGGTCGCTACTAAGAGACAATCGCGCAAGAGCAAGACAGTACTAGAAGACTTGGGAATAATGGAATTCAAGGTAGAACTAGAAAACTTGTAGTATTTGGTTCTTTGCATGTAGCTGTATTTGTAGCTATAAGCCTAGGTAGAAGGCAAATTTGGATGGAGAGAAAACAATGATAAAAGAATTTGCAAATGTAGGTTTGTTCGTCTACGCGGCAAAAAAATAAGAGAAACGATATGCGATCGCGATGCAATTAGTACAGCGAAGACTATTGGAAGAATAGTGCACAAGGCCGAGGCCAAAGCTAGAAGCAAAACGGTTGCAGAACAAGGCCTGGAAATGCCCGCGACGATTGCGAAAAAGAGTTAAGGAAAAGGAAGAGGAAAAGGAAAAAGGAAAAGTATGGAGAAAGTTGTGGAAGTAACCAAAAAACAAAAGGCGAAGGTAAAGCGATAGCAAAACATAACAAGCAAAAGCATTGCGGTGCATTCTTGAGAATCTTCAAAAACTCAATTTCGAGTATGGAAAGCATTCACAAAAGCAAATCTTGGAAAACAGATGAAAACGACGCCGTAGAACTTTTTGGGTCATTAAAGGAAGACAATTCGCTCATCCGTGCAAAAAACCCCATGATATCAAAAATCAATATAAGATTGAAAGAGACGCAAAAGAAACGAGAAGGGCATCAACTTCAATGACTTATCAAATGCGAAGGAATAATCTGCGCCAACCGAATACGAGCTCAAATCCATCAGTGCTGGTACACTGTTGGATGTAAAATCCCCGGTTCGTGTTCAAGAAGCTTCGATAAGAAAAATGCTTCTAGCCCAGTGAACCTCACCCTCCGTCAATCTCGGACCTGCTCACAGATGACTCACTTCAAGCCGTAAAGTCTGGCCAACTTCTCGTCCTCGTACCTCTCCTGTGCGGTGTCGACAACCCCTTTTAGGGCCTCATCTCGCTTCCTCTCCATTTTCCGCTTCTCAAGTTCCTCCAACCCCCGAGCGAGCTTACCCCCTCGAGATCTCTCGTTTAGCTGTTCCATCTTGGCCAAAGCAGCCATCTGGAAGTCAATGTCGCCTGATCTTTCGTGAACGTGCATTCCTTCCTCGACGTGATACTGTGTAAATGCTGCAACATGTTTCGCGTTGCCGCGCTTGCCTAGACCCGCCCCAGGTGTTTCATCGGCTTCGGTGCCAATCTTTGGTGATTTAATAGTAGCTCCTCCTCCGCTTCCGCCCTGGTTAGACGACGATGTCTTTCGCGGCTTCGCTGGGCGCGCCAGTGCATTTGAACTCCGCCGCCGCTGTCTATCTGTAGTATTTGTGGTGTCTCCTGTCTCCTCGGTCTGCTCTACTTCAGGTTGTTCTTGTATCTTCAACGCGGCGATCTCAGCCTCTGCAAGATCGTCCTCCCGCCGCCTGTCTTCTCTTTTCCGAGGATTCTTTACCGACTCCTGTGATTTCAAAGCCTTCTTCTTTTCAGCCTTGGCAGCCTTTTTAGCTTTCTTGCGAGCTTTGGATCGCTCTTCCGGTGACAATATTTTTCGCTTGTCTTCGTCATCATCTGATGGATAGGTTGGTTGAACGCCGGGATGAACCGGGGGAGATTGGACGGTATTCGAGGAAGCAAGTCGGTGAGGGGCTTTCTTGCGAAGCGAACGTTCACGAGCGAACTCGCGGCCCGGGGATCGGAGGTCGCCGTGTGTTAGATAATCGAATTCAGAGGGCTCCATTGTGGCTGGCAAGTCCTCTCCCGAGTCGGAGATGTCTTCGGTAGCGGTGGACGAGCAAGAAGAAGAAGTAGATGTTGGGGATGGCGGTGGTTTTTCTGATGGCGTGTGTGTGATTTGGGGTAGTACTATAGGTGGTGGTGGTGCCTCTGCCTCTGACATTGTTGGCGTATAGGATATACGATGGGAGAGGTAGGGTTGAAAAAAAAGGAGGAGAAGGTGGAATAGAAGAAAGAAAGAAGGAGAGAAAAGGGAAAGAAGGGAAAGAAGAGGAAGAGGAAGAAGCAGGAGGAGGGGAGTGGTTATATGTGATAACTAGCTAGGTGCAGCTAGTTTGTGTAGCAAGTGCTGTTGTGTATATGCGCTTATGATTCAGAGGGACGTGGAGTACGTGCACCTTGCAGATGCAGAATCAGGCGGCAGGATCGAAGCTCCAATCTGCAGCCCAGTTCCAGTTCCAGTTCCAGTTCCAATTCCAATTCTGGTTGAAGGGTCTGACCAAACTTGTTTCTCTTCGTCGCAGAGAAGAAGAAGCTTCCCCGTTTTTGGGAGACGAAAGGGAAGAGGCAGACTTGGAGGTGGACCGGCGGCGGTGGTGGAGGGATGTCTGACGGCAAGAATGGGTGCTTCCGCAGCCAATGGAAGCTGGCACAATCCTAATTTGGGAATCGTCTTTGGGCGAGGCTGTGTAAGCTTCGATAAGGTCTTTTTTTCTGCTCAGGTTTTATTTATTTTTATTTATCACAAAGGCCTCGAATAAGCCGAACTAGATGTTTAATTAGAAAGAGATCACGGGGAGGACGAATCGTGGACAGCGGAGAAGCCGTGATGGTTGATGACGATGGTTAGTTGGTTGGTTGATGGTTTGTGGTCAGTCATGGAGGGGAGATATGTGTGGGGAGAATCTTATGAAGGATCCAGCCCAGCAATAATTTATTTTTATTTCTCGATGCTCACCACCACCACCACCACTGCTACCACATACATAGCACATACATACATATGCAACCCCAATCGACATCGACGACAGGGAAGTAACAGGTACAAATACGAGAAGACGATAACCCGGCAGGTGCAAAGTAGCTGGGACAATTATTTCCCTCGTTTCCCTGGCCTGGTCGGCTCCATTCAAAGTTTTTTTTTTTTTACCCACAGAAATCAAGCATATCGATGTCCCTTTCAGCTAGCGCCTACCCGCTATGACGCTTGCTGATGCGAGGTGGGTACGCAACCCGATGGCAGCCCGCATTGGCAGCCTTGCGAAAGCCTCATCTGTGCCTGTCAGGTCGCGATTTCTTCCAACCTTTGGCCCTGATTTTTTTTTTTTTTTTTTTTTTTTTTGTATTATTATATATCGACGAAAAATTGCGACGGTTTGTCGTACAATTCTTCAGGCCTACAGGGTTATACTAACTAACTAACATTGTGCAGAATGGATTGGATTAGGTCGTGAGATACAAGCACTTGCTGTTTCAATGTTACATGCAATGCACCCTGCGCAGTACTAAAGTCATATGCTTGTATTTCACTAGCCTGCGATATCTTGAAACTTATCTTGAAACCGTCGACAAGCTTGAACCTTTGTCGCCGTCATGAACTGCGAATGCAGGAGATTGTTCTCATGATCACCTCGAACGGAAATTGACGCGAATAGTGACTCATGGTGCTGTAATAGTTCAGCTTCTTTTATCCTTACAAGGAATACTTGGCCATTGCAAGCTAAAAAAAGTCAAGGGAAAGCTCAATGTTGAATAATACGGTGCCGAACGAATAGCATTGGGAGAATATCCATATTATTTGTCAAAACTTTCAACGACTCCCACGAATGATGATTTGAAGGCAACGGCATGTGGTCCATGTGTCCCATTTCGCCTAAACCTTGAAATCCGATCTTCGAGAAAAAACATCGTCAAACCTTCATCATGAAAATGTTGGGGTTTGACTTTTTTTGGACGAGAAGCTTGACTCACTGACGTCGGCACATGCAAAGGAGTGGAGTAGCCAAGGGACAGTGAGAATTTGAGGCTTGTACGCCTGCTCAACAGCCACAAATAGCGCCTCACCTTCGATTATTCGGAATAAGCCTCAATGTATATTGGCGATAATATAGGCATGTGGACATAAAAAGCATGGAAAGCATTGGTAGATTGCGGCTCGCTGGCTCACTGATATTAAAACCCCATGATTATTCCACTGCATTCAAAAAGAGCCACATTCTTTCAGTATCGTGACCAAGTTTTTGAATAGATTTTATTCCGAATCCCAATCAAACTTTTGAGATCGCGTGGGTTGAAGCAAAGGTATCAACTCAGCGGACACTCCTTTGCCTTTTCATTCATTATGATTTTTGCTTGAATTTGGAGAATCGATGACTGCAACTCTTCGCGCCGCCGAGTAGCAGTATGACTTGTGCGCTTTTGGCCATAACTGCAGGTCTACGGATCTGGAACCATCCAGGGCACAAGCGTCAGCTCAAAAAAGGTCGAATCCTCTCTGCACTACAGCAGGACAGCTCTTACCAACGACTAGCAAACGTTTGATTCATGCAATGCTGGGTGTCGTGCGCTTCAAGTTGCAAAGACAAGTCGAATCGAGTTGCACAATCGATCGGATCGGGTTCAGCTCGTATCTTACGCTGTACATGCTTAAACACTCAAGCATCCGATGTTGAACGGTTATGGAGACATGGACAAGTATATCCAAGACGTCGGCCGAAGTTTGAAAGGCACTCAATCGCTGACGCCCGCGCCCTCTCACTAACAGAATAAGATGCACAGCCGGTACTTGTAATTTCGATTTATTTACAGAAGTCGCTTGTTGAGATTAGGGTATGCTAGGATAGGACCTGAGATATTCTCACCAAGAGCACGTCCAAGCTGACTTTTGTAACCTAAGGATATCCACAACAGCTCGATCATTAGCCCAAGTCAATGCGTGGCGGTCAGTGGGATAGACAGTGTTGCCTTCCGGTTAACGATTTAGAAGCGACGAATGAGAAGCCCTAACTACCGAGAGCTTGGCTTCGAACTTCTAGAAAAAGGGATCTTGAGATCAAAAACAGCCACCAGCCGTGAGACATGAACTGGGGGGTACCGCTGCATCTTTAATCACAGATTGAAGGGGAGGACATGTTAGAAGTCAAAGCGACTGGTCTCATCAAGATGGGCTTTCTGATGATGGCGCAAACAAAAACCGTTGATAATTTGGGAGAATCGAGATGGATGGTGGGCCGCGAGCTGGGGGTCTTCGGCCTGATACTGTTTCTTTTTTTTTTTTTTTTTTGGCTACCCAATTAATTTTTGGGATCCGACATCTCCCGCTCGGGTACCCCGGAGCACATGTTTGGATCCCGCGGGCTAATTCGGGAACACGGAAATATCGCGGGCCCCGGTTAACATTTCCCCGGAAAAGAGCTCTCGAGGAGGCACAGAATTAGAAGGGTCTTTCCACAAAGTTACTCCAAAGGAGCCGCTGACTTCATCATCTCTCTGCCTACTGATACTTCCTAGGAAAAATCCGAAATCTAGCTGCCGATTTGTGATTACTTAGGTAAAAGAACCTTATAAGTCTATATTTGGGTCGGGTACCGATCTCGTAATATATCTCGGAGTTAGTTAAAAGCATCTTAGTTCATGCAAATATGCGAGCCACGGACGGTTGTTCTCGAGTCGTGACAACCTCTGCAATATCCGCTTCTGCAGCCCGCACCCATCAAAAACTCCTTTCTTATTCCTCCCAGCTCGCGGGAGCGGGATACCCAGCCGTATGGAAATTCTCTTTTTCCTTCCTGCTCTCGAAACATGCAAAGAAACCTGGTAACAATCACAAAGGGAGCCCAAAAAAATTGCCCCAAAGAACCAAAAAAATAAAAATAAAAATAAAAAAAGAGATAATCTCTCCGATGCATGAAAGCAGTTTAAGCTGCCGCTCACGAAGCTCATCACACATTTGTGATGCATCGATTCGATTGAATGCTGTACGTACATGTACATACTATGTATTAAGTCAGTACTTAGAGGGCGAACAAACCCTGCAGCTGGGCAAGCGTCGACGAATCGGTTCAATTGGGGCCGTCAGTTAACATTGAATCGTCAGATGCCAATACTGCCGCAAAGCTGGCTTGGGGAACTGTCGATGTTGGGATTATACCGAGGTGCTATCCCGTAGGAAATTGAACCAAAGGGCTAGGCAGGCTCATGACAACTCAGAGATACTACCGGATTATAAATGCGGGACCGTCATTTCGCAGCAGCGGGATCTTTCCTTCATTTTTTTTATGGCTTGGCCACATCGGATGTCAGATTATATTCGTAGTCTGGTGAGGCAGATAGTCTTGAGAGAGCTCATATGTAATCTTAAATTAAATAGAATCATCGATCGTGTCGAACCGGAAAACCTTTTGCTCAGTCAAATGACCTCGAATACCACGTTCCGAACACACGACTATCTCGCGACATCTCTATGTAATATGACTTCCGAGTTCATCCTAAAAGGCTCGCATCTATGCGGCGGCGTTCGCCGCCAGATACTCTGTCCGGTAAGAACTTCGAACTGGGGCCAGAGGATGCAGAAGTCTTGGCAATACTAGCGCCCCCGTTATGTGTTAAACTGCACGTGGTATTTGGGGGGTGTGGGAGCAAGGGAGAACCGCACTCTGCACACCCTTTTTCCGATGGAGCCTGTGGCCTCTTCTGTCTAGGATCTGATTCAGCTTGGGGTTAACCAGGTCCCGCCCTTGCCTCAGAGACGTTTATCACTCCCTTCGCGAACGAGCAGGGCAAAGAATGAACGGGGGGAAACTAAAAATTGAAAGCTGGAAATTTTTTAAAATTTTAACAAAAAGAATTGATGAAGTTTAGAAGCTAAATTCAAAATAAAAAGTGAATGAACCAAGAAAAGAAGAGGAAAGAAAAGAAAGAAAGTAAAAAGAAAAGCAAGAAAAATAAAAAGAAAAAAAGGAGTTCGAGTTCGAGTTCATTCGAAAGACGCAGGTTTCCACCTTTACTAACCGCATCAACCTCGTGCCAGTTTTCGATTCGCCGTCCCGGCCTTGGTCTCGAGTCTCAGCCAAAAAATTCCATTCCGGCGCTTCTTTTTTTCGCTGCAAGATCTCTCATCTTAAAGATTCGTAACGAGGCGAGACAGAAATTACGTGCCTGTCCGTTTTCTGTATGCGGGACCGGTGCCTACATACAAACTGTGATTGAAATTTTCCGACCAGCCTTGAGACCTGGGCTAGGTTACTGGCTACTTTGGGGAGGGCCCTCGCGCTCGCTCGTGGAGGAGGGTGTAATCCATCCACCATTGGCAGTGCCAACCAGGGACGGTTCTGGCACTCTCCAACTAGCCTCGTCTTTTATAGTTCCTTATAACCATATCCCCTCAATTAACCTTCTCCAGCTTTTTATGGTTCGGACCTGATCCCTTTCACATTCTACATATCTTACATACCAAAAATATTACCGATCGAGTTTCCTCACCAGCATACCAGTATAATTTGTTTTTCAAGATCCGAGGAGGATATCAATAGCGAGCCAGTATCGAAAGACTATCGACTGATCTTTCGAACCACCACCAGCTACTACGCACCTTCCCACCACACACCCTTTCCCTAACTATACCAGTACACGCCACCCTGAATTTTTTTTCCAGTCTGTCCTTGTTACGGTCTTTCTTTTCGCACGTCAATATCTTCGCACCTAGTAGCTAGCTATACACGCAACTTCGCGACAAGTTATTATTTGGGTGACAATGGCAAGCGGACGGACAGGCTACGGATACCTGTCTCCACAGTACAGTATGCAAAACGGTAAGCTGCTCCCACGAAAGCCCGGTTTCTCTCGAACGCCCTTGAGTTTCTCCCACCAAAATACCTCTCGTATAATAATATGTACTCTCACCTCCTATAAACACATATACATACATACATTACATATACACACATATACACACGCATGTACACACTTGACTACACATACCCTTTCCATAGCAAGACAGGCCCTTTTCCATATATCATTGGATCGTCATCATAAACTTTATATCTCTTTATATATATATATATATATATATATTTGATATTTATATCTACATACGCTAACGTCTATCTCTCCTTCTTCTGTTCTTTCTGGTCATTCTCAGTAGAAAATAACGCCACAGGCATCTCTATTGGAATAAACAACGGCCAAGACGACTATCCAGACGTTGACTTTGGCCAATGCTTCCTCGACCAACCATCATACACGCCATTTGGAGATGATCTTTCGCTTTTCCCCTGCAGCACACATCAATCAGACGTTCCCGGTTTATCTGCTACAGTGTCTACACCTAGTGAGATGGCAGGTTTCGACTTCTCTTCCTTTTTAACTGGCGCATCGCCGCCCTGCGCGCCTGCTATGGAGCAGGGCTTCCAACCACCTTGCGCTGTTAACGCCAGTAGGCAGTCTTCTTCTATGGGTAGCAACCTCAGCGGAGGCGTAATGAAGAGATCTCCTATGAGCCCATCCCTCGATTATGAGATCGAGGAGTTACCTCCAGCACTATGGACTCTCCCGACGGAGAGTGTCAAGAACAGCATTGCTATATCCCATAACTCCCCGGACATGGGCGGGTCCTCATCTTCTACTTCATCCTTGCCCATGAAAAAGGACAAGTCTACCACAGGAGTATCAAGTACCTCCTCAGCACAACATCCCAAACACATCACTTCCACCCGCAAACTATCAAAGCATGAGGCCCAGCAAGTAAAGAAAGCGGCCCACTCGACCGTTGAGAAACGTTACCGAGCAAACCTAAACACCAAGATCACACATCTTCATGAAGAACTCGTCAAAGCATCCGAAGAGGATTCGGTATCCCTTTCCAGCGATCTCCGCGGTTCCAAAATCAAGGGGTCGGTCGCCGGACCTCCGAAGACAAGAAAAGCCGATGTGTTGACGGACGCACTAAACTTCGTCAACAGGACACAGAAAGAGAAGAGGGTGATGAAGGAAGAAATTGACTTCCTCAAGATGCGCATTATGACACTGGAGAAGTTGGTCAAGTGCGAAGACTGTCTGCTATTAAAGCAGATGGATCAAATGAGGATGCCGAGCACACAGAGAATCGTCAACTACTAAGTTATATCTCTCGACTCATTTTCTTTCCTCTTTTTTTCATCATTCCATTCCGTTACATCTTTTCGGCTTCGATTTCATTTCATTTGATTTCATTTCTCTATATATATCATATTTTCCTTTTTTTTTCTTTCTTCTCTTTTATCTGGGTGAAAAAAAAGAAGAGGTGGGACATCAAAGAGGGGAGTAATGGTGAGATCTTTGCATTCTGGCTACTTTCATCGTCGTTAAACCTGCAAACCAAAACTTGAGGGCGGATTTTATACGGTTGGGTATATATACTGTTGTGCTTTTAACAAATCATCTTGTATAGCTTCCTGTTTTTATATCGATATCATCATCATGTTATTCTTTCCTTTCTTCAACTGAAAGAATCCTTTGTTTTTCTCTACTCTTTTCTTTCTTTCTTTCTTTTTTTCTTTTTTTTTAATCGGGAAGGGAGTTCTGGAGTATATTTACGGGCATGTTACCACCAAATTAACCTACAGCTATTACTACTGTTTCGACGAAACGGACGAACGTTTAAACTACACGGAACTCTCCTTTCATTAACACAATTGCTTTCCTTGCTGCTACATACTACTAGTTTTGATTTTTTTTCCTTCCTTTTTAACTCCTACTGTCCAGGCCGATTTGTTAGTTTTTTCTCTATATTTTTTACTGTATTCTTTGCTTACTAAATGTTTTACCTGGCTGCTCTGGATATCGATATCATGATTGCATCATTTATCTGTTCAATATTGCAATGGCTTATTAGCAAAAGAAACCCCTCTCACAAGAATCAGAATTTTCAAATTTGGATATCCCCCGCCATGAATATTTTCCGGGAAAACCTCGTTTATCTCTCCATACACCGTAAATTTTCGTTTCAGTGTGCATGTATAGGCATCCAAATAAAAAATAAACTAGCTAGAAGTTTAGTATCATATGACGTTGTCCTCATTATCGTATCACTTTACTTTGTAAACCCAAAAAAACATAGAAATAAGCCAAAAGGGCTAATTGCTTTACTTTCCCACACACATTTTTCGCTTCCGTAATTAATATGCGGTAGGAAGAAGGTCCCGGCATGAAACGTATATATTACCAGAACGCCTTCTATTAAAGTTTGATATCTAACGCTCCTCGTTACGGAAAACTAGGTCCCCTTAAAGCCTTCTCTCTATCTCTCTCGTGGCTCCCTTGAAAAAAGACTTGAAGATGATGCAATAGCCATGCCATAAGGCTTTGTTTTTTTCGTTTGTGGAACCGATACAGGCGCTTTTTTCTGGAGGGCATAGGCAACATTATCCTCCATGCGACGATAAATTATCGCCTTAGTCTCGGGAAGTTTGATAATAAATCATACTTGTCCTCCTAGTTCAAAAGCCGCACGGCGCCCTCCGTATATTAGATTCATTCTTGATACAGGTCTGATATCCTAATTGATCTTAAAAGGGGATCCATGCCGCGAACTCCCAAGCTTTTCCTTCTCGTCTAAAACTGCTTTCCCCAACTACGGAAGGAAAGATAGGGCCATAAGGATAAAAAGAGAAGAAAAGAGAGAAAAAAGTAAACTGCTAAACACTTGTGAGACAGTGTATCGTTATAGCATTCCTTTGCTCCCTTGCTTACCCCGTTAAGCCTTACCGGTTGCTACTTCCCATCCGACGGAGACACACCTCCTTCGATCCGGCAGACAAAAGAGGCCGATAATGTACCGGGTTCCTTGACTCGCGGCCGCATATGTATAACGATAATTCAATCCACTCTTTTCGGCTTCTTCAAAGCAACTTTCAGCCAGCCGAAAGTGAACGAAAAAGAACTCGCCCCGTATGATATCTAGCAAGGAGGCATGTATGTAGTAGGTCACTCAAGCAAGGGGGTCTGTATACTTTATTTCTATAATGGGATTTGAACTTTTGTAAACTTGCTGTATATCCACTTTAATTATGAGAGAACAAGGCTAGTCCACAACCTCCTTGGAATGAATTTATTGTAAATCGACGATCTGGTGGAGAAGCTTAGCCACTCATTACTTCCTTATTTCTTTATTAATGCGCAGCGCTATTGCGGAATATGGTATGCTTTTGGAACACGCCTGCCTTCGAATCTATCACGTTACATTTTTGATCATGAGATATATTTGAACCATTTTTGCCATTCGCCATTCGCCATCCTACTCTTGCACTTGCACTTGCTCCTGCTCCTTCCTGCTTTCATGCCTGTTTATCCATTGCATTCGCCACCAACTCTCGTCTCCGCACGAGCACTTATTACGAAAATTTTCCAGGTGTGCATGGAAGACCCATAGAGCGTGCATATTCGTAAATGTCCTAATGGATGTTCTAGATCGTCGATTCGATGACAAAGAGAGCTGCGAGGGAATGGAGGTCTGCAGGAGAGGACGCAGATAGATAGCTAAATAGATGGGTTTAGGGTAAAAATGGCCGACGTCCGTTGCAAGGTCCTCTTTCGCATTTTCGTATACAACCGGCATGGACGACGTCCAGAGCGTATCTTCTCCTCTCATCTCCTTCTTCTCCTCGGCATGATAAGCGTCTTCTCGGGAATTCGAATTACCATATTGCCCATGTTCCCCCCCATCTTCTCCACTTCCAACTTTTGCGAAAAGTATAGATTTAGGTCCTCGCCGGTGTCGTCGATCTAGACCCTTTTCTCTCCTGCAAGTGATAGCTTTTGACACTACCCCCCTAGTTAGACGAAATATGCAGCTAAAAAATCTGTTGAGATGCGGACTGTTATTCCTTTCAGATATATACATGGGTGTGCGAATCTTGCCTCTCACACACCCGAAATACTTCCCCCGAGAGCCCTGCTGAACTGACTCTGGGGTAAGTATTATATGAAGTTATAAGCGCCGGAAAACGCTCCCTCCAATCGCGAGGGTTTGTTGGAACAAAAGTGGGAATAAAATCAACCCCCTACCCCGAGGCGAGTTCTTTTTTCTTTCTTTTCAAAGAAAACAAGTATGCAATGCAACCAAGGGGTGTGTGTGAATAATGCAGGAAAGCTATATATGTACAGTGAAGATCATTATAAGAAAATGGAAATATGTGCTGGCCAGTATAGTATGCACGTATAGCAGATAACGGGGGGTCTGAAGTGAGGGACCCTCAGTTGCAACAATGACAAGGGCTCAAGAGGAGAAAAAACACCCACGAGGAACAAAAACCGAAAAGCCGGAGATGGGGATCTGGATAAAAAGTAACGGCAATTCAAGAAAACCGTAAACTGAACTTTTTGTACGGGAATGATCAATGGGAAAAGAAACCAATCGCTTCATTTTTCCCTCGACGAAATAAAAGAAGAAAACAATCAAGTCGTGAACAATGCGATGTGGGTATCTCTCGAAAGCAGAAATATGACCGAGGTAAAAAAAAGAGAAGGAGGAGGAAGGGAACCCCAGCCATGCAGCAGAGTCCAGTGTCTTTCCTCTACCTGTTTCCCTTCCTCCTCTTTCGTTAAAATAACCATGAGAATTTTGCGCGAATCGTGGACATCTTTCTCAGCACCTGCCATACGGGGCGGGAAAAAAAGGTCAAGACAAAAAAAAAGAGATTTCACCCTTCGTCCCGGGGGAAGAACTTCTTCCTCAAGGGTTAAGAGATACAGGGCAGAACATGTCCACCGCCACACTCTTGAGGGTACCACCTAACCATGTCTCTCATCCACTGTGCTCTCCTATGAGATTCAGAAAACTGCGCGTTCTCTAGTTCTTTCTCGTAGCCGATACCGTAGTTTTTAATCGTAGCGAATCTCTCGTCGGATTTTCGTCGGCGGACGACTTCAGATATTAAGGCAGTCTCGAATGTACTCGAAGGTGCTAAGAATAAAGTAATAGTAGATTAGAATCTGTGTTCGTGTTTTCGTTTCGATCGCGACTCTTCCACTTCCTGATCTTCCTCTCTTCTTTTCATGTAAAACTTCGACAGGAAATTGTAGATTGGTAAGACGTACTGTAAGCAAACTGAACCCAGTCTTCGATGGATCCTTCATCGATTGCTTCCTCGTCATCAGAATCCTCCATGATTTCATCTTCATCAACTTTCTTCCTCGTGTCGTTTTGAACAAAACACCCCCTTCTTCTCCTCGTTGTCGTCGCGTTTCCCTTTGCTGCAGGGACTTGAATTGGTAACGACCTTGCCATTTTGGAAACCCCGGCTTCCTCGTGGTCGCAGTCGCAGTCATCGCATCCGCAGTCACTATCTGGATAAAACACCGGACTTTCGTACCCGCTAGCCATAGAACTACCGCTTCCGCTGCTACTTCCGCTGCTCGAGTAATTTTCGTATGTTCTTGTCCTCCTCAGTGGTGAGTGGAAGAATACTTCAGAAGAAGTACTACCCCTTCTGCTTGCTGTGTTCATTGAATGGGCGTATTCGTAATTTGGCAGTTTGATGTCTGAGTCTTCAATGCCCTGTGTTTGTAAACGAGCAAGACAAATCGATGGACGACGAGATGTATCGGCTGCGGTGGGGATATCTAAATGAATTGGTGCAATTATAAGAGCTGAGTTATCGTTTTCGAAATCTTCTGGGACCTCCTTTTGGGAGATTGTAATTGTTTCGTAAACGTTGGCGGGGAGGAACCAAGAGGCGTCTGGGGTATCAATGTCTGACAGATCTTCCTCTATGATTAAGGCGGAGATACGACGGGGAGGTAGGCCGTGAGTATTCACTGTGGGCCTGAGGGGTGGGGATTGGAGATATGCTTTAATTGGCATTTATATAATGTTGGAAGAGTAAACGAATTTACTCGTAGACGGTATATAATTGTTTGGTATGGAATTTATTGATACAGTAATTGAATAACTGTATGAAAAAGGTATAGTTTGAGATATACAAGTTTCGTATATCTGAAAGATAAGTTCCGTATATGGAAGTGACTTGTGTAGTCGAATTAGGCTTTGGATGTATAATATGCACTGAAATGCTTTAGGGCTGTGCCTGGCGGTGTACAGCCTTATATACAGAACCAAGGAATACAAGGTATCAGACCACAATCGGGACGGACCACGGGGTTCAAGACTTTACTAAAGTTGATTGTAGTTTATGACCCGGGACTGTCCAGCTGGCACCCCTCCCCCTCCCCCCTACGCCGTTCGGGGAAATATGGAGGAGGAAAGATGTCATAAAGCTTGATACTAGAATCATGTCATGGCGAGGTCATGCATGTGGCCGTCAGAGTGCATTCTAAAAAGATTTCCCCCCGTCCTTTTCGGGGGAGTCAGGTCTGTTTGGTGACAATAGGAACGGGAACTAAGACCTCTGATTCAGGTAGATCCATGAATGTTCCATTGTTCTTTACCCTTTTGATGAAGCTATTAGGGCTTCGCATAGTCATCCGTAGAGTACTATCGGGATGAATCGCGACAAGAGAAGTTTCGTTGTACGTAGTAGGTAATTTACAGGGTGCGCGGACCACAGGTCAAGGTGGCCTGATAGAGTCTATATGCAATCGTATGCAAGATCTGAGCAAGGATCAAACGGAAGGGAGGTCCAATCCAGCCTATCGCGAACCGACGTGCAAATCCCTTTGAGATCGGAGGGGACACAGATCGGGTTTATACGACGGTTGAGTGGAGGTCGGATGGTTTCGCCTGCAATAAAGGCGCTAGGATTTAACAGAAGTTTGCCCATTGTGGTGTGATATTTGGGGCTAAGCGGCGGTGGCGTGACAGGTTTTTGTGTTGTCTGCAACAATGTAGTCAACGTACGATACCGTATGAGCGAGACATATATATCGGAACTCCCTTCCCGCCCTAGCCAGCGCAGTGGTTTTGTTAGGGGGGCTTCTTACATGTTAAGTGCTATACGTCTCATGATCACGACGAAATTTTACTTTTCTGATACCTTTCGTCGCTTTCTATACCCCATAACGGGGTTCTACCCTCTGCCGCGGTGGATTCATCCGTTATCTTGAGCCCGTGAGGCGTTTGGTAATGGTCATGGCATCTGCTGCCTAAGTTTCCTAGTCCAAAGTATAGTCTTTTTTTCTCCCTTGGAGGAGAGTCAGAAGTTACCATGATCAGATGTTCGACCATGACGAAAATTAAAATATTTCGAATGGAATAATTTTTATTTTTTGAGGAAACAAACCGCTTCGACGGAATCCGACCTTGCGAGTAGAATTCGATTGCATCATTCGGAGTCCGATAGATTCTTCCCTTTTTTTCCCCCCCCCCCTCTCTTTCAAACTGTTTAAACTTTTTGTCGTAATCTGTCAAGAGATTTTTCGGACGCAATGATCACGGAACTTAACTCATTCGACTCGAACTCGAGTACTCGTCGTCTCGACCCGGCCCTGCCTACCCGCCTTTCTGCCACCACAGAACAGCCGACAATTTGACTTGACCGTGGAAAATTAGGGAGCTCTGGATATATTGTACATCCAGTAGAATATCTCCTGAGATGCCGTTCAGGACCTTTTAATTTCCTATCCGTACTTTACTGTTGCATTGTTACGGATAGAAATGTGGGAGAGAAAAAACAGGTTTATCCAACCACAGTCACCTTACACAAAACTATCTGTCTGTCAATCAGTACCACCACAACAGTTAGCATAAGCACTTCAGTACACACAGCCTGAAATTTGAAATTGCAAGAGAGAAAGGGAAAATAAGATCCAGACAAGGGGTATTTGGGATGTCAGGTTCTACAAAACTCCGGGGTAACATGAGAGCAGACAGGCTGGATTATTGTTACACAGAAAAGACTTCTCAGGGTCCATCCCGGCTCTGAGCTCTAGACTCGGTTGGCGGGTGGAGGGATGATTGACGACTTTTTTGTGTTGCAATGCCGTTGATCCAACAGAGCCCAACTCAACTCAAAACTCAACCCAATTCCAGCTGGAGATAAGACCTTCGAGACTGTGATCCGAGACTGCATACATTATATAATCTTAATATAAGTACGGGGGGTAAAATACAGCCTCCGGTAAATTTTGAAGTTTGCCAACAATGGTAGCTCAATTGGTGTCGAGATTGAGGAGTTTGGGAGAAAATAAGAGGGAAAGGGTTCCTTATCGTGCAAAGTACTTGGGTACGACTTACCTTTTGATAAACTCGAGTCATGAGAAAGAAGAAGCGACATTCTGGCGGTTCCCTGACCAAGGCCACCCACCCCAACCGCCAACTTTCTCCTTCGAAAGTTTCAACACCTCGATTATCGCCGACGAAAGGAATGCCTTCAAAGAGAATGAGAAAAAAAGTCACCCCCAAAGATAAACAAAAAAAAAAAACTAGACCTGAAAACCCCCCAAGCCAAGATAAACCAAAGACCACAGTTCCTGTGACCCTGTCTCTCAATTAAATACCTACCAAACGAAAAAATTGATCTCTTCAAAAAACTCCTGTTATCAATTACAACATCTTGCAGGAAGTTTTTGCTCTGTTGTACCGTGATAGTTCTGTGATGCAGTTTTCGCAAACAGACCACACATACATGATCCCTGCTTCCAAAAACATCCAACCCCGCAAATCTCCTGCACCTCTGATAGGGCCTCCGCAGAACAACTTTTTAGTCTGGTCACACCATGTGATACCCCAACCTTGACCTTTTTCTTCTCAACCGACGTGAATTCGAACCACCATCCCACAGAAAACTTGAACCTGAAGGAGAGATGCCTAGGCAAGAAGGTTTCTCATACATACCTAGCTCAAAGTGGTCGCGAGTAATGCGGAAACCTGCATGATTGTCTGTAGCTATTGCAGTTAATGGACTACTGGATTCGGTATGGATTGGGGGTGGGGAGCGCAGAAGCAGGATACCAGACTTACGAAATATGCAATGGGAGGAGGTCGTCGTGATCACTTGCGCGACCCTCCAACATATATTTGATCTAGCTAGTAGCTCACCGGATGCGGGGAAACTTACGATTTTCTTTCTCTCTCTCTCTTCCTTTTCCTGCTAGTCCATATGCATATTGTCCACTTATATCAACCCTCACATCCTGTTCTCAGCTCGTACAGACGAAAACATCTTAGCTAATTCATATAATTGTCGTATCATCGCCTAGTCTCGGATTGCATCAACGCCCAAGCAAGTCTAATATTAATACTTAATAATTTCTTCCATCCTCACACAACGACTTCACCAATCTCCATTATATTCTCATCACCAAAGTAAACAAACCAAAATACAGCATCACAAGAAAGAAGAAAAAATGTTCTACATTCCAAAAACCACACCTTCTCGTCGAATATCTCTAAAATCAAAATCTAACCAATCACCCGCCAGAACATTCCAAAATGCTAGCAAACGGGTGTTCGACTGCATGATCCAGTCTCTCGCCACAATCTCCCTGGCGTACGGCCACTACCCAGTTATGCCGCCACCAACCTACCACCATCAAAATCCACATCAAAATCAAAATCAACGCCAACGCCAACCTGCGAGGCCAAATACCTCCTGCGGGGTCCACTCGGTTCCTGACAAAATTACAAGAAATCACAATGAGAAGGAAAGACAGAAAGTCCAACTGGCTGCAAAACCTCGACCAAAGTCTGAGGTGATTTATATCAGGCGTAATGAATTTCAAGACTCGATAGATTCGCTAGCGGATATAGGATATCGAGAAGTTCACGCTAGGGAATTCCTTTGAAAGGAATAATTTTCTCTAGTTAGGTTTTCCTTTGGGTGGTATACTTTTTTCTTTCCTTCTGTACACTAGTCTATCATTACTATTACGAGTAGAGAGAAGAGGAGATGAGCGAAAGGAAAGTGGAAGAGAAAAAGAGAGCTTGATATCTAATGAACGAACCCAACAATCAATTACAATTGGGGAATTAGTGTGCTTAAGAACGAAGACCACCAGGTATGAAGAAAAGGCTCCACTCAAAACAAGCCATGACGAACAGGAAAGCAAACGCTCTATCCTAGTGGTCAGTCACTGATGCTCTAGCTCTAGTCTGCTATAATCACAAAGAACAGAGGAAACAAGCAAGTCTACAAAAGACAGGCCCTCCGACGACGAAAATCAATACACCGCAGCCATTACAAGTCTATCTTCGCAATTCCTTCCAAAGTCTAATCCTTAAAACTTCGCAATCTGGTCCCTTAGTGTCGCCGCCGAAGCCTCAATCTGTTCCCTCTCCTTATCATTAAGAGGAAGCGGTATTTGAGTGACGACTCCATTTCGACCAACAACGGCTGGCAAGCTGATACAACATTGATGCTCTTCGTGCCAGCAGCTGAGAGGGTAAACAGGACGTTGATCAAAGAGGATGGCTTCGCAGATATTGGCAGCAGTAGCACCGATACCGTACGAGGTGAAGCCTTTCGCTTTAATTATTGCGTTAGCTTTCCCCGAAACTAGCTTGCCAATCTCAACTTTCTCTTCTTCAGAAATATCGTCGATGAGAGATATATGGGCTCCAGAGACGGTGGCCGAGGACCAAGCGACCTAGATTAACAGAAACGAGTTAATAAAAGGATTTTTTTCCAGCTTGATAACATGTTGACTACCAATTGTAATACCTAAAAGGCCGAAAAGGAAAAAAAGAAAAGAAAACATATTTAAGGAAAGAGAGGCAGAAGTGAAACTTACACATTGAGAGTCACCATGTTCACCAATAACGTAAGCATTGATTGAATTATCCGAGACCTGATTTTGTTTTTTCAAAAACAAGCAAGTTAGTTATCTAGATCGACCTATGTCTAAAAATGGACCCGATCCGATCAAGGGTGTAGGAAATCCGCGGAGAATCAAAACTTACATTCAATCTCTGAGCAAGAAGCCCACGAAGACGGATGGAATCCAACAAGGTCCCAGATCCCAGAACCTGGTTCTTGGGAAGTCCACTCATCTGCTGGGTGAAGTGGGTCAATACATCCACGGGATTCGCAACCAGCAAGATGATGGCTAGTGGGTTGATGGGCTGCAAGCCCTTAAGAACGCTTCCGAGGACCTTGTAATTCTTCTCGATCAGGTCCAACCGAGTCTCGCCGGGCTTTTGCTTGGCACCGGCCGTGATGACGATAATATCCGACTGTCCGGCCTCCTGGGGGGTGGCGTATTTGATACGAACATTGGTAAGATAAGTGGCGTCCTGTAGATCCTGGACCTGAGCTTTGCAGAGGTCTTCAGCGATATCGACGAGACGAACTTCGGCGCAGACACGACGCAGCATGAGAGTGTGGGCGATTGTGCAGCCCACGGACCCCGCACCGATGATAGCGACGCTGGTATAGCTGTTTGATGTAGTAGCCATTGCTTATTATTATTATTATCGGATATATATTATCCCTGTGAGTGTGGATTTTCTATTTTTTCCTTTTCTCTCCGAGGAGTATGATATAGTATGATATAGCTGATGGTATTGATCTGGTATAATGTAGAGAGCGGCTGAGCTGGGCTTCAATTCGGTTATGATCTATAACGATTGAAGTCTCTGGATGAGGTTTATGATCTGGAGAGGAGTTCCAATCAGCCAACAGCCCCAAATAAGGCAAAATCAAAGCTAAGAAACAACTTACAGCAAAATTACGTTCAACTTGAGGTGAGACGATCTGCGGTGGGGTTTGTGTGTTGATCTGTAGACGACATGCAACGCAAGAATAATAACCAGAGAGTGCAGAGCTGACTTTTATATCCCGTCACTTGCTATCTCTGGACTTAGAGCTCTTCGAATGGGATAGTAGCTAATGGTCACAATCGTCATCCTGGCCTTTCGATATTCTTGGAGTTGAGGCTTCCAAGACTCCTTTCCCTCGGAGCTTCGTCGGATAATCTTTCTGCCTTGTGGCGGGCTTACATTTTGGACTATTGAATTCGTCCTGCCCAGTGCCAAATCGAACCATCTTCATGACAAGACACATACAAGACAAGTCAAGAAAGGACAGGACAGGACCGGCATCACGAAAGCGGCGGCGCGGCTCTAACAATTACATTTCAGATGCAACATGCCGAATGTTCTATTAACGGATCCACCGAAATGAATCCTCAGGAAAATAGGATGGAAGAAACAAAAAAAAAAAGGAAGAAATGACAAAAAAAGGCACAAAAAAAGATTAGAAAATTTCCGCTGATTACGATAGCTAACTTGGGCCATGGTTCCAGCTGCCTTGCCTTACTTGATGCAAATGCAAGGACCGAGGAGCTGGAGCGCTGGCCAAAGCTTAGGACCCAATTCAGAGCCTTCTAGGATTAGTATCAGTCTCATGTGAATCTCGAGACTGTATCGTTATACCATTTCTAGGCTGGCGTCATTCTTCGCCAGCGATTTGCGCGGTATGACAAAAGGCATCACCATCTTCGCCAGCTATTTCCTCGCACATGCGCGTATCGACAGGTTGCGGTTCGCTGTCCCCTGCACAAGAGCCAGGTTCCAAGATAGCTCCGGCGCCACAAAACCGTCCAGAGCTGTCTCTCGGTAAGGTGGGGGTTCCGGCCAGCAGGGTGGACCCAAAACCACGCAGACCCTGGTCGCAGTTTTCCCAAGGATGCTACCGAAAGCAGTGAGGTCATGCAAAAGTGGCCTGACCATCGTCCGACAGTCGACATTTGGTTGTTGCAAAAATTTTCAGCTTTGTTAGCGAACAAGCAAAAACACACCACACCAAAAGCTAATTTTGGCGAACCAACTGGGGGCGAGAGACCGGGGAGGATGCTGTCCACATCTTGGGACTTTTCCTTGGAATGAACCGCCCGAGCGTGGATCGTGCGCCCCATGCTGCACAGCACGTTGGGAGCGAGATGGTTTCGGGACGCTAATGCACGGGTAGCATGATATTTTACGATTCGCGAAACGGTTTTACGAAGATGGCTATCAAGCCTTGACCAAATGCAGGGCCCAACAGCGACAATCACCTGAGTGAGAACGATATGCTGCCTTTCTTGCGATTTTGGTGGCATTCCTTTCTTTTAACCCGGCGGAGCCCGTTGCAAACGTTGCAAACAGGCAGGATTTTTTTTTACTCACCTTTCCCCTTGCAAAAAAAATATGTACTATGTAGCTGCCACGACCGCCAATCTGTCAATCGGCTCTTATCTTGCAGGAAAAACTGCTATGAGGCCTAGGGTGTATGGTGCCATATGGTAATTGTTGAGAGAAATGGAGCTGGAAGAGGCTGGCGCTCGACGTTCTAGACGTCAGGATACGAAAGTCACGGAATTCTTCGAATCCGGGTCCGACATTTGCACGGCGTGGAGCTCTGACCCGCGGCTGGATATCCTTCTCCGGAATAATTCAAGGCAGCTCGCTGGAAACTGCACAGCTAATCGCGAGCTAGCAGCTTACCATGCCGTGCCTTGACCACATCACAAAAAAAGAATTCACCTCATACATGCTATCACCGTTGCAACCGTTTTTTTTTTCTTCTCCCTTGGATTGATATCACGGGATTGCAGATGGCTTCCTCATATATAAAGACGATTGGTTCCCGCCAAGGATGCATCTTTTACCATCATTGCAGAACAACAATCGAATAACATCTTTGTTATACATTCAAATCTAACTTTAACAATTTCACCACTGGTTGAGTCCATTTGGACGAAGCAAGCTTACCAAAATGCCAATGCATTTGCATATGCACATCAACTCAAAAGACCGAACAGCGGTCGCTTCGAATCCGGGTGCCCCAGATTCGGATGTTACAATCAGTCCGGCCGATCTTGAGGGCATGGAAATATGCCATCACGTCGAGACATTAGATGTACGCAAACTCACTTTTCTACAATTTAATATTTTTTATCTTTAGAAAATCTACTAACGAATGAATAGGAGAAACAACGATTGAGGAAACTCGATTGGGGTTTAATACCATGGCTTTCTCTACTATATTTGCTGGCTTTCCTTACTCGTATGTTAAAATTATCGACTTCACGAATATTAGATATTTGAATACCTTAGAAATCTAGCTGCTAACAAACGATCGTTTAGGTACAAACATCGGAAATGCCAAACTCGCCGGGTTTACAACAGCAATCCATCTCGACGCGAGTGGTGAACAGTACAATCTCGCCCTCGCCTTGTTTTTCATTTCCTACTCGCTTTTCGAACCCGTCTCCAATGTCCTTCTTAAGATGCTCAAGCCCAATCACTACTTGACGCTTCTTATGGTTCTTTGTGGTATTATCACAATCAGTACCGGTTTCGTTTCAAACGCTGGCGGCCTCTTCGCCGCTAGATTCTGCTTGGGTGTCGTCCAAGCTGGTGTTTTCCCAGGTGTCAACTACATTCTTTCTTGCTGGTACCGTCGTTCCGAACTTGGTTTCCGAAGTGCAATTTTCTTCTCCGCAGCTGCCATTTCCGGCTCCTTCGGTGGCCTGCTCGCCTACGGTTTACAGCAAATGGACGGCATCGCCGGAAGAGGTGGTTGGTCATGGATCTTTATCATCGAAGGTGTCATCGTCGTTATTATCGGTGCCATTTCTTGGTGGATGGTATTCAATTTCCCAGAGGATTACGCCAACAAGCCCAACAGCAAGCGTGCCAAACTCATCAGATGTGTCGAAGAAAACAGCCACAGAAGAGACTCTGTCCCAGCTGATACACCACCAGAGAGACCATTCTCCCAGACCCTCAAGCTTAGCTTGACAGATTGGAAGACATGGACTGGTATCATGATCTACGGTGGTGCCGCTGGTCCCCTCTTCGCCTTCTCGCTTTTCCTTCCTTCGATCATTGCAGATATGGGAACATACAGTACAACAACCTCCCAGCTTCTTACAATCCCGCCATACGTCGTTGGTTGTATCGCCACTCTTGTCATCGCTTTGATCGCCGATAGAACCGCCCAACGTGGTCTTTGCAGCATTTTCACCTGTCTTTTCGCCATTCTCGGTTTCTTCCTTTTGTTGTTTGGCAAGAACGTCGCAATGAAGTACACTGGTACCTTCCTTGCTGCCATCGGTATCTACCCATGTATCCCCAACGCTGTCGCCTGGAGTTCAAACAATATCATCGATCCGGGCAAGCGTGGATTGTCTCTTGGTTTTGTCATCGGTCTCGGTAACCTGGCTGGTGTTGTCAACTGTTTCGTCTACAGACAGAAAGACAAGCCCGACTACAAGATGGGACACGGTGTCGTTTTGGGTTTCTTGATTGTCTTGTTATTGGGTGGTAGTTGTTTGCAGCATTTCATGTTGGTTAGGGAGAACCAGAAGAAGAGAGAGCATTTGGCTTATATTGCCGATCGCGAGAAGAACGGTGCTCAAGAGGAGCTTAAGAAGATCGAAGAAGAAGACAAGAAGAGAAGAGAAGACGGCAATGAGGATAGGTAAGCCCCTTATTCTACCCCAATTTCTTTTTTTTTATTGAATTCGGGCTAATTGGTACTTTTCTAGTGATGACAACTTTGTCTACGTCGAGTAAATTATTTCGAATGATTTTTATTCCCGACATTCCTTATTTTTCATTTTACTACTTTTTAATCTTCACTCCTTACGATTCCCTTTTTTCTTTCTTACACGCACATACACGATATACCAATTTGTTGCATTTTAGCTATGGGTTTCAGACGGGCTTTTTCCTTCGTTTTTTTGGTCATCAAGACTACATACATTTTAGATTTTAGACTTGTCAATTTTTCCCTGTCATTTTTTGGGGAGGATTTTGTATAATAATTGTACCTGTCGATTCAGGTACTCCCGCAGGCATACACTACTGCGGTCAAAAGCTGAAGGCTAGATAGAATGGCTTTTATTAATGGTATTCTAATGACGAGAACAAAAGTGGTTCCGAGTCTCTACGTAGCTTTTTTTAATTTTTAATTTTTTTTAAAAAAGGTGACGTCAATGCAACTAGCCCAGCTAGCTTCAAAAGAGGTGTATATTCGACTTGGTCGTTCGTTTGTTCAATTATGATACATATCAATTCCCCGCGCCTAGACTTCCGATTCCATACTTGCGCCAAAACATCTCCCGGGCTTTTAATTCTTTATCTTGGTGTAACTCCGACCTCCTTCTTTTCATTTCCTCCCTCTGCTCCGGGGTGGCGTAGACCTGCCCTTCTTCGTCATCCTCATCATCGTCGTCTCCTTCTTTCAGAACCGAATTATTTGTGTTTTCTAGGGGTTGCGGGTGTGGCAAGAGCTCCTCCTCCTTATTATTATCATTTTTTACTTGTGCTTGCGGTACAGTAGGGTGACTGCCATACCACATTTGATCGGTTTCTTGAACCGGCGGGTGGGCATTCACATATTCCTGAGGTGGGTCGTCGTATATTCCTTCTTCTTCAGGTTGGTGGGGGTATATCCCGTTTTGATAGATGTTGTTATGATGCATATACATACCATCACCATCACCACCTGCACCGGCGAGGTCCATAGTATCCACCTCATCCATCAAGAACATCCCGCTCTGGTGGCGTAGATGGAGGAGATCGTTATATGTTCTTGCAATATTTGAGATGTGGTCGGCTTGTTGGTGTAATTCCATATTATCTTCCATCACGATATTAGTGTTTGGACCAGATCCTTCTCCTGCCTCTTGCATTTGTTCTCCATCGGCGTGAGCGCAACCACCATCTTCGGGGGGGCCATTGTGGTGTTGGTAGAGAGCTTCACGGAAATTGATGAGTTCGGATAATATCAACGAACGACGTTTCATTTCATCTTGGATTGTAGGGGTTGGTGATTGGATTTGTAAATGTTCGACTGGATGTTGGATTACCTGAGGAAGCTCAGAGGGGTCATGATGTTGATGATGTTGTAATTGGTTGGATGGGGAAAGAGTTAATGCATTGAATGCGTCGGACAGCGGGTTCCAGTCTGCACCGTCGTTTGTGGATACCAGAAGATTTGTAGATGTGCACTATTGGAAGTCTCTTTTTAACATTCTTCTTCTTCTTCTTCTTCGTCGTCTTCTCCTTCTTCCTTTCCTCTTTTCAATGAATAAATATAAATATATAAATATATATGTGTATATATATATATATATATATTACATTCGTGTTTTCTTATTTTTTTGATTTTGTCGAGGGGGGTGAATGTATAGATATGGGATCTGTGGTTTTAAAGTCAGGGGGTGAAAGGCAAGTACATACGATATCACAGAAGAGACCCGCGTTTCGGGAGGGCACTATGGATAAGGAAGCAGAGGCCCCGCATGAAGGGCAATATAAAATTGAGTGATGCTGGGAGGAAGCATCGTCTGGGGTATTCGAAGCCATTGGAATGGCCGTATCTTTAGCAAGAGACTATATATCGATTCTCTGGCGGGGTTGTGGATGGGGTGCGGCGGCTGGGCGGCTGGGCGGCTACCTTTTTTTGAAGCTGAGTTTTGCGAGTGTTGGATTTGGGAAAAGATTCTTTCCCCGATTTTGTACTAGTCACTGTTCTGGACATAACATGAAAATAGAATAAAATAAAATAAATAGAAAATACTTTAGAAAGATAGGAATGAAGATGTATATGTATGCATGAGGAAAAGGAGTTTTTCCTAAGCTGCATGTGAGGTTTACGCTTTGGCCCTTTTTGGAACAAAAAAAGCATTGCAGAGCATACTTACATAGGTAAGTCATGCATCTAGATCGTGATCTCGGGTTGGCGGGAGGCTGAACATTCCAAATTTAAAAGTGGGGTTACGCTATTCCACACTCGAATATAAGACATGACCAGTTGCCAGATGAAGTATGATACTACATAAGTAAGTACTTATATAAGTATCTATCTTAGAGCCACAAAAATAGCGCCGTCGAATAAGGTGTCTACGGCATATTTTTCCGGAGCTAGTCCGGTACATGAAACTTCTGTATCTGCGCCCCAATGTTCTTTTCTGATTGAAATCGTGATCTTGGTCGTTTTGTCGTTTTTTAGCGTGTAGAATAGTTTGACATCGATCGGTATCGATATCGATATCTCATCCATTAAACCTTGACTTTCTGAGGTATCTAGATGTGGTAATGTCTCTAAGACAATGCTTTTCTCCGTTTCCGGTATGACTCTTTCTGGAGGAGGATATGTAAACTGGCACTCTCTATTACTTTCTGCATTAAAAAGTTCCCAGGTGGTTGCAGAACAGTTTCTGAGGTGAACCCAGACGAATAAAGGGTCAAAGGAAGTTCTTTGCTTGAGGAATTCCGAATGACCTGTGGCGGTGGCGTAATCGGGGTAATAGGTAGCTTCGGTAAAATACTTGGCTTTTAGAACTTCCGAATCATAATTAACAGCTACTTCGGCCATTTGCATATTATCGGAGTTATCACGGATGGGGAGCCTTTGATTGAGTCCTATAAGGTCGAGGCGGATGTCACGGAGAGCTCGAGGGATTTCTATGACTTTGTGGCCGTTAACTACTTCGAATTATGTTATTACTACGAAGTCGACTCTGTATTTTAAAATTTCATACTTACGAGAATCCATTGCTTTTCCGTTGTTATTACAGTACATATTTGCATATGTAATATTAGGTTCATATGCGTAACTTGGAGTCTGAACTGATAGAGATATCGATCATATCATGTAAAACTCGAAGTATTGGGAAAGCAATTGCTTTCATAGTCATAATACCCCCGAAAAATACTAGGTATAAGTAGCAGAGAAAAAGGATAATTCGAATGTTTGATTATTATCTATATCGCTTTCTGTCTGTCATGAAGCTGCAGTTTTGGCCCGGCTTCACAAAATTTGATACCATGATGTCTAAAAATGTATATATACATCCCGCATCTAAAAATGGGGGTACCTCTGGCAGAAGCAGGTGTACATACTTACATATCTCACTCTTACCACAGAATGAACTGCTAAAGTACCATATACGCATACTCGATATGTTAGCAGCTTCATGGGACAATTAAAAGTCAAAAACCGAGTCACAATCTGCAAGCCACGCTCCTGACGATCACAGTCGTGCATGAACAAAATACTTGATATGTATTACATACTTACACTTAACCACTTACTGAATCCAGAGTGCTCAGATCGCGATACGGAGGTACATACGTACGCAAATGTCCCGAGTACCAGGTGACTCGCGGACAATAATAACGTTACTTCGGTGGTATTCGTCAGCACACTGTAAGTACAAAGCTGGTGCGGCGTCAAACCAGATTAGTCCTTCTAATCAAGTTATGCTGCCAAGCTCCTCACATCACCCCGACGTTTGAATAACAACCTCCGAAGGAGACATGTAACTATGTATTCGCATTCCTGAGGGCTGTGCGCAGGGTTTTTTCTTCAGATGTTTCGAAGGGCGAGGTTTGCGTGTTTGTTTTTGGGAAGCGGACAGGGGGCCACGTAAGGCCACTTTAACTGTCAGGTCGTAGTAATAAAGCTGTGAACAAACCACATGAGATTCTGTTCCTATAATAGCTCAGCTTTCTTCCTCGCCATAATTTCAACCTCAACTTCATCGCTCATCCATCTCACCCACGATACCCGTCACACCATTCCTGTTAATCATCGCGCCGCATCACAGTTGTTCTCTCCTGCATCAAACTACTATCTCAGGAACTACCGAATCGAGTTTAGGAACCAAAGCTAGTTTGATATTTGAAAAAAGCTAGTTGAGAAACGCCACATCAAATACTCCACCATCGACGAAAACCCCCTCGATACTCAGATTTTCCTTCTTTCTCTGCTTTTCTCGGAAGTTGAATACACTAGAATAAAATATATTCACAATGTCCTCCTTTCGGATACCAATTTCGCTGGTCACTGACCGCCTCTCCTCCGGCATGGCCAGATTCCAGGTAAGTTGTGTAGCCTCACACTGCTCCCGTGCCCGACTACCCCTTTCCAACAGTTCCACCAAAACTAACATTCTACCAACAGAACACCTCTATCTCTGCTCGCTATAACACTCTCCGACCCCTTTCAGAATTCTTCGACTTCCGACGGATGTCCAAACCTGCCAATCTCGGCGAAGCTCAAACACGTATATCCTACAACCTCGGCCAATTCTCCTCGAATTACCTCCTTGTCTTCGTATTACTTTCTATCTACGCGATAATCACCAACCTGCCATTGCTTTTCCTGATCGTCGTGATCGTAGCCGGAGTCTACGGTATCGGAAGACTCGAAGGAAGGGATCTGCAAGTTGGAAACTTCAGAGCTACAACAAGCCAGCTCTGGGGGACACTGGGAATCACGGGATTTATCTTGGCGATCTTGTCGGCTCCGTTTGAGACTTTGTTCTGGTTGATTGGTGCTAGTGCGCTCACGATCTTGGGACATGCCAGTTTCTTGGATAGACCGATTGAGAATGCCTTTGCTGAGGAGACTGTCTAAACTACTACAGTTTCACGATGCTTGTTAATACTGGTAGTGCGGGAGAAAGAGAAGAAGAAATAAAAGCTTTGGGAGATTGTGTTTAATGGCAATGTTGTTATTGGTGCGAACGGTACGAAGGATGCATATGGAATGAACACGAAGGGATACCGGAGTCTAGTTTACACTTTGGACAGTACAGGGGATGCAATGCAGACAAGTGATCGTGGATATTTTAATTCGATGTATTATGTTTTGATCCTCCTTTTATAGGTTTCTATTTTTTGGTACGGAATATCTTTTTGATAATTAGACGCAGCCATTGAGCTGCAAATCATGACTTTCCCCCCTCATAATATCTAGTATGGTTCTTCTTTTACTTTTACTTTGTTAAACCTTGTACTTGGATTTTAAGGATGAAGTATCTTAGGCTAGCAGCTTCTCTAACTGCGCCGAGGGGTGTTAATCCTGGAACGCTAAATGAGAGTTTCAGAACAACTACGCCATTGCAACGATCGATCAATAAATTAGAATCTTGCCCGGAATGGAATGGCCTCTGGCGAGGTGCTATATAAATATGTACTACAACATCCAAGCTAGAAGTCAATGCGCGCAGCTCCAGCGCAGGAATCGTGAACGTGTAAAATTACATGATGCATGCGTAGTTGTCAACTGAATCACAGGTATCGGAGCGACATTATATATATAGCTGTGCTGTGCTAGCAACATCACGATCCAAACGTCCAGAAGGTATGTTTATATATAAGTACTTAAGTATGTATATGCTGTGTATTTTCCAACTTTGCAATAGGCGAGAAATATAATTCTTTAAATTAATATTGCCTACTCACCCACAGACGCAATCTAGTATTGATTATATTATTGACAAAGCTTGCAAGTTCTAAATACTTTACACTAGCTTGCTATCATATGATCATGCTTTAAGCTACAGTTCCCGCTAGCATTGCATTCATTGTTATAATTAAAGGCTACGACCCCCAATTATATATATTGGAAAGGCCAATATGCTCCTTTTGGTAATCATACTCCCCATATTTCTTTTCAGAATCCCTTCGTTCGCAGAAGATCACAAGTCAGATCACAAACCTGCACACAACCGGACCATCGAATCTAAAATCCAAGAAATTTGCATCCAGCAAACCTGGGTTCCTGGCGACTGCGTAATCCAGCTCCTCTGGGGCCGCATAACTACTGAAGAAAGAGATACCCGCTGGAAAAAAAATAGCAAAGTCACGGAATCCATAGACCCCCTCGTTTTCGATGGCCACGGTAACCAGTTGGAAGTAAACCCACCGGGGTTTAGGACGTGTACTGGTCAGGAGGGAGAGGAATGTGTTATTGATGCCAACTTGGGGATGCCCATACTCCTGAGTCCGCAAATTCAAAATGATTACATGCAGTTTTATTTTGGAAATCAGGCGTGGCATACGGATCCTCATCCGAAAGATAGTTCGGTAAGGGTCTTTGTGGGAGAGGATAAGCAGAATTTGAGGCCGTATTGTGTGGATGAAGGGTGGACGCAGTGGCCGAAGAAAGAGGGGAGCGATGAGTATGATCCGCCTTTTGATAGGGAGAAAAATAGGTATCTCGATGTTAAGGTAAGCGCCTTTGAGTTGAAGTCTTTGGATATACTGCTACCTGTGCTAGCCCTCAAATATTACCCGGTAATGTTTTTGTCATGAAATTGTTTTGCTAATTTTAGGACTTTATGGATTGAAAAAAACAGGCAAAGAATTTGACATGCTGGTTCGACTGTCACGATATACGTGCAAAATGGGGGGATCCAAATGTCAAATTGTGCCATACTTCTAAGGGCTCGATGAAAACAAAATCGATAACTACTTCGCGCACTACGCACACCTTGGCTTCTAATACCAGCACATTAGGGTCAGCGGAAACATATACACAAACCATTTCGGGGATAATAAGGAATTCTAGTGAAAGTTCCTCACAAATATCTACAATGGCTACGACTTCAGAGCCGATGGCTACCACGACTGAACTCAATTATACTCAAAATCAAACTATCCCAATCGCCACGGGCCAAATAGTTACAACTGCAATATCTACAGCTACCATAACAGAATTTCCAGCGCAAAGAGTGACCAAAACAGAGTATCCGACGTCTACTGTGACCGAAACTGAAACTACAACTTTAACTTTGGTTTTGACGAAGACCGTTACTGATATTCCCATCGGTTATACGCTTGTCCCCTTTGAATCGTGGTATTCAAGGTGAAATGGCGAAGGGAACATTCATTCGACTAGTTAGGTCTCTTTTCCGCTTTTCTCCCTCCTTATTTTCTTAACAAAAAGATTCCGCAAAGTATTTTTTCTCTGCTTCGAGCTCACTGTAGCATAATTGATGGTATCAAACCGGTTTTAAAGCCTTAAGATCCTTTGAAACTGTTAGTGGAGAGTGGTTAATCCTTTTGGTCTGCGCATAGATATAACTACGAGAATATGCGCACAGAACTGTATTGGCCAATTGGGTTGATAAATTTATGCGTCTTTCAAGTAATCATGATTTTGTGATTTGCAAATTTGTTTGAGGTGAAAACCACCTCGGTTGGAATTGTTGCTATAGAATATATATTCAAACCGGCAGTTTAATTGAAAGTTGGGCTGTACATTCCCATTTATATCCTTTTGTCTACGCCTAAAATGAATTCTGTAACTTGCAATTTCTTGTAGCAACTATTGTTGGTTGTCTTAGACCATGGCTAGACTTCGCAAAAAAAAAAAAAAAAAACATTGTTGGATGTAAATAGTTAATTGGTTATACCATGGTACCACAGGATCTGACTGTGCATAATTAATTGCTTCCTGTTAATCTTCTGATCTAGCTAGGCTCACAGGGGCGGCTGGGTACGTACGGCAACACTTTTTTTTTCGAAGTCTGGTTTGAGACAAGCTATAATTGTAGACGGGATGCAAAAACTGAATTTAATTATTTTTAAATGGAGTTGAATTGAAACATATACTTCGGTGGGTTTCTGAGTCTGGTTTACGAGACAACTTCTGCTTGTTACTTAAAGAAACCCCAGTTTTTAAAGGGTTTAACATCGAAGACACAACCTCATCTGGTAAGAAGGCCTTCATGCTCCAACTGTTAACGCGAGTGGTTCATCGTAGGCTTGCCAGCATTATCTTATACGTCCAACCAAATATATTCCAACAAGTTCAAAATGTAGCATGGCGCAAACTAAAACGCAAGTTGTTCTAACACCAATCTGGAAACGTGGACCAAGACGAAAATACTCGAAGAGAATGTTAACCTCATGAGCTCAATTGAAAATGCTCTTTTATAGAATTAATTCTAGAACTATAGCGCAGTATCATAGGCGTAATCGGGAACGTGTACATACCTATAAATTACAACGCAATATCTATAATTAATGCCGAAGTTTCATCGATCATCTATAACATGTCTGGCCTCAGTACTGGGAAGAAAGTAGATATATTTAGACAATTGATTTACTATAATATCTGTCATTTACTAAGTGCGAAAATATAGTTTTGAGTAACTACACATTTTCTTCAGGCGCAAAAGAGTGCTAAAATATGGAGCTGTATCCTCGGGCCTAGGCGCCTCAGCCGCCAAATCTTTTTTTAACATACATATTGAGGCTTACATTATATTTGAGCGCCCTCAATTTCCTTAAGATTCCCGTAACTCACTCAAAAATAGCGATCGTTTTTCAACCTCTAGAGTGGTCTCATTTCTAGTGTTATAACAGAAAAGGATGTTTATCTCAGCACCCAGGTTTTTCGCCTTGCTGTTTTTGGCAACGATCCCTCTCGTCGTCGACGCAGACACTTGCTTAGAAGTATCAGGTGAAGAAGTTAGCAAACTGGGACAGTGCACCATCAAAATAGTATGGCAGAAGGTATATTACACAACCCCAGGCCTTGATAGCAATGGGCGGCCTGGGCTTCGGGACCGCATTTCAGCCGAAGTCTATGATGCAAGACATACTAAGATCTCAACACAAACTCTCGAGGATTTCGAGTTCTGCACCGGAAACCCGGGCGGGGAATGTAAAGTCCAATCTGGTTTGGAAACTCCGATTCTCCTTAGCCCGCAGCATCACAGAGAGTATTTGCAGTTCTGATTTGGGAATCTAGGGTGGCATACCGATCCCTGGCCGCAGAAGGGGCCGAGGTTTGTGGGAGAGGATGTAAAGGATAGAACACCTTGGTGTTCGTTGAATTGGAAGGAGAAGTGGGTGAGAGTTCCGTTTAACCGCGCTGATGGTGGCTTTCTTTCCGATCCAAACCTTTGTTCTATCCAGGTAAGGCTGAATATCTTTTTTTATGCCCGCGAGAAGAAGAAGGAAGAGGAAGAAAAAATTGAATATATATACACGTGCGTGTACTAACAAATTTCTTCAAAACCCTACAAAAGGAATCTAGATTTGAGTGTATATTCCAATGCGAGAGGGTTAATCTCAATGTAAATGATTTGCAGCCATGCGTAACACCCCCACCACCGACGACGGTGACGGCGACAGAAACGAAATTTTATACCTCGATGAAGACTATGACGATGGTTAGAACCAAGACTAAAACCGAAGTTACCCCGGTGCCAGTTATCCCGGAGACGCCACATCTTATTGGAATTTGACGAGATCATGATATCAAGGCTTAGGAGACCGATTCATGCTGCAGATATCTCAAAACAACAGGAGGAATAGGGATCAATATCTGAGAACCTTTTGCATTTGCTGGATTCCGTTTCCAAGATATCATCTGGACGAGAAATTGTTGGAGTTAATGCCGTTGAAGTGTGGACCTGGGGAACTTGTCTTGTAGGTGCGATCTTTGTATTAGCTAGTTTCATAGAGAGACTTCACAACCAAGAGACCAATAGTAAGAGCATGCTGGCATCCTAACTGGTCTCGGGAATCCCATACATATGATATTCTTATAAGAAGACATTTTTAACTTAGTCTCAAAGTCGTACATGCCGAGCACAATGACCCCCTCCAACACCCCATCCACCTCTCAACTCAACACTTCCCCCTTATATACCCCCTTTCTGTTCCTCCGATAACATAAAAAGGAAGGTCTGGTAGTATAATTGGTATACACCACGCTCTGGAAATCCTCATGCCCTCAGCCTAGGTTTGGCGCCTAGAGCCGACCCCATCGGTTACACTCACGCTCTTGACAGCAGAGGAACCAGGGTTGGTATAGAGAGGAAGTTGCAAAGTACGGTGGCTCACCAGTTCGATTCTGGATCAGGCCCTTAGAGATTGTAACTCACCATCTTTTTTTTTTCTTTTCAAAAAAAATCTTCTCAAAAGTTTTTGAAGTTCTTTGGTTGAGGGGTGAGGTTCGAGAAGGGTTGAAGTTCGAGACTGCCGTGTGCGTTTCTCTTCCCTTTTTTTCTCCTTCTCTATTTTATTAGAAACAAACAAAAGTAGAGTTACTGTGAAAATAATAATATCAACGATAACCTAATTCTGAGCAAGAAGTCTATCTTCCCCTTCTTCCAGTGGATGACATCTAGTCTCGGTGATCCTTCGTGTTGGGATGACATCCTGCATTTTCGATAGCTAGAGCTTGAAGAAAACGCGTTGGTGTTGCATTTCCCAAACAAGCAACCGCCCAAGCGAGTCGAAACCGCGAAACGACCACCTTTACATTTACTTGATTCTCCACAGGCGAGTTATCCATCCGATCTGCATCCATCTCCCTAAGCCAGCCAAGGGATCAGGAAAGGATCCTTCCCATCTCTCTTCACCCTCGACCTCAGCTTCACCGCCAATTGCCATCAATTGTGATCGCATTGTCATCTCGAATCTAATTGTCCGCTCCTTTAACACTCGCGATGAAGTTCGCAAATACATTGCTGCTGCTGGGTGCAGCGGCAAGCTTTGTCGCTGCTTGGAGTAAAGAAGGTGAGGCACCTGTTATATATACGATATACTCGACTCGAGATTTCTCAAGTGACTGGACTAACATATGCATCTACTCTATAGACCACGAGATCTTCCGTATCAAAGACGAAGTCGAAGCTACAGAGGGCAATATCAACTTCTATGGTGCATACATACCCCTTCCTTCCTTCTCCCCTTTCTATATATAAAATGCTAATTTTTGATAACAAAAGAATTCCTGAACGCTCCCTCGATCTACGCCACCCAAGACGAACTCAACAAAGCCTACCGAAAGACCTCCCGCCAAATCCATCCCGACAAGTTCACTCCTCCCTCAAAGCTAAGAGCGGCAGGAAAAACCCCAACCCACTACCCTCCAAAATCGACCTATCTCCCACAAACTCGTAAACAAGCAGACGAACGTTTCGCCCGTCTCGGTCTCGTCGCAAACATTCTTCGAGGCCCCGAAAGAGAACGATATGATCATTTCTTAAGAAATGGTTTCCCAAGGTGGAGAGGTACCGGATATTATTACTCCAGGTTTAGACCTGGTCTTATCAGTGTTCTGTTGGGATTATGGGTTGTTACTGCTGGTGGAGCACATTACTTGGTCATGAGGATGAATTATACCCAGCAGAGGAAATTCATGGAAGGTTATATCAAGGACGCCAGAACTGCTGCATGGGGTAACAGTAACCTCGGTGCTGGTCTAAACCTCGACGTCCTCGGAGATAGCGGCACTCCACCCCCCAGCGGTCCCGCAGGAAATCGTAAACAACGTCGGGCAGCAAAGGGAAATGGAGGATCCGGTACTGCCACCCCAACCGCTGAAAAGCCACAACATGTAGCCAAGAGAAAAGTTACAAGCGAGAATGGAAAGGTTTTCATGGTTACTAGCTTGGGAGATGTATCATTGTTGGAAGAGGATGAGGATGGAGTTGTTCAAGAGTATTTGCTGGATTTGGAGGAGATTCCCAAGGCGCAATGGTCGAATACTGCGATGGTCACAGTGCCTAAGCGACTTGTTGGGTGGGTTTTGGGAAAAGTTGGAATGGGAGGGAAGGATGCTAAGGACGCTTTGAAGGATGCGCCTGAGGTTACTATTGTGGAGGGAGAGAATGTTGATGAGTTTTTGGAGAAGAAAGGATTGAAGAAGAGGAATAAGGGACCTGGAAAGAGGTGATTATTGGATATATTAGAAGGAATTTGGATTTGGAAGAAAAATGTAGATACATTGATCGTGTTTTAGGGGATATAATGAATGTGAAGACGTACATAATAGATTTGACAGGGCTTCATTGCTTGCATAGATAAAATAACAAAAGTACTTATCCTTCCTGATTCAATCTCCTTGATCGAATTCGAATTTGTAGATATCAATAAACTCATTTTCAACCCTGATTGAATTCTCTAACGCGTACAACCTTCATTCTCTTGCTAGAGTACAAAGCCCTTCAAGACTAATATCAAGCTGGTTGAAATAAATATACTATCTGACTAGTTTTATTTATAAAGAAGGATATTTGATAAAGTTGAACGCTCCATGTTCACTCTTCCGCTCGGTCTTTTCGTACCACAGATCTAAATATACACACAAGGTCTTATTGAGAGGGATACCTGATCTGAATTTATAATATTTACATTTTAAAAAAACAACTGAAGGAAACAAAAAACCGAAGGAGAAGATTTTTGGTATTAGAACGAGGATAAAGGAAAGAAAAAGAAAGAAACTATGACACTCCTGCACAGGCGATGTACAAAGTCGGGTATCGGTACATATCAATATTATTCGCCTTCCCATCCATAAGGGGAAAAAAAAAGGAGTACAGTTAATCCATCCCAGAAATTGAAATCCACATGAAAAAGGACCCATTGACTATAGATTTCGAAAGGAAGTAGAAAAAGAGAAAAAACCACCTGATGGTATCATTATTCCTCCATTACCAATTCATAAAGGAAAAGGTAAATCACCCTTCCACCGCTTAACCATCTTTCCCCTCTCCGGTTCGAAATCCTCATCCACCTCCCTCTTAACCGCCCTTTTCTTCCTATAGAAAGGGAGCCGTTTTCTCTTATCGTCCCTAGGGTCGGGAATTTCGTTGCTGGGGTTTAAACAAGGACATGTCGGTTTCTTCTCTAATTCTATTTTCCTGCCTGGGTCTTCATTCCCCCTTTCATCTCTTTTTGGTACTTTATATGTGGGGTTGCTAGATGGTGGTGGTGGTTGTAGGTATGGTGAATGGTGCGGGTTGATGAATGATAGTAGTTTATTAAAAAGGGACGAAAGTCCTTCCCGTTTCTTTAAATTCTTCTTTGGCTCTTTTTTTGGTGGCGGCGGTAGTTCCGGTACTGGATACGGTTTATTCGTCAATCGTATTTGAGAAACCATTGAGGGACAAGGGCATGGCGTTATCCCCGGTGGTTCGAAGTATATCGTCGGCGGTCTCAGGAATTCTAGTGAACTCGGTAATGAAGATGGTGGCGGTGGAGAAGTAGGTTTTGGAGAAGTGTGTATAGAACCACTAGTTGTATTCTTGTCTTTGGTGCTTGAAGGTGGTATACTGATGGTGGTGGTTATAGTTGTAGCGATAATAGTGGTACTGACAACCTCCTCTACGTCGCTACTTTGAGCCGGTTTAGTGGAGTTTCCTTCGGTTTCTTCGGGTGATTTTGAGACAGGAGCGGGAGGGCTGGCGGGAGGTGGGGGAGGATGATGATGTGGAGAGGAGGAAGGAGAGAATGTGACAGTAGCGGTGGTGGTAACAACTACTGTCTCCGTTTTTGTAACAGTAGACCTCATAGACTTTGGTATCTTGATAGTCTTTACCTCCGTTTTAATAGGATATTCCGTTATTGTTACTACCTTCCTTTTCTTAAGAGTATGGATTGGTGTAGTGGTGGATGTCATCTCCGTTTGAGTAGTCTTTTCGAATTCGGGATTCGTACTAGTTGGTGTTATATAAGAAGAAGAGGAAGAGGAAGAGGAAGAGGAAGAGGAAGAGAAAGAGGAGGGAGACAATAAAGCTGTACCTCCCAGGTCCGTTGAATCTCCAAGAACCTTAACCCCTTCTTTAAGGTCCATTGAATCGTGGTTAATGAATTTACTACCCTCGCTTCTTCTTTTTCTCTTGTAGAATCCGCGGTATGGAGAGTATCGAAGAACAGGTGTGCGGACGGCACCTGGTGTATAGTAACGGAAATGATAACCAAAGAAAGGGGAGCGAGGTTTTAGATTCCTCATCTTTGTACTTGTTGGTTGCAGAGGAGAAGGGAAACATGGTGGGGGTAGAGGTGGGAGAATGAGTTCCTTGAAGAGAGTTGGTGATGATGGTGATGGTGGTGGTGGAGCCCACGCAGGGCTTCTGTGTAAATACTCCTCGTTAGTTTTTGTATTTATATCAATTTGTATGGTTAACTAGAGAAAGAAGCGTGATAGGAATGGCCATACGGGATAGGAAGCCCGGAGACCAGCGCCAAAGACGACACTAATATCCAGGCAATTTTCATGTGTAAAACCCTCTTTGTCTTCTTTTAATACCCCCCTCTATCCACACGCGGAGTTGCGGAAAGGAATTTATATAGTTTTCCCTTTATATCTATAGTCCTTTATATACTTATATAAGTTGGAGGAACTTTGAGTATAGGGGTATACCGAGGTCTATATCCCAATCCATATTAATATTAGTAAGTTCTTTTGCCAGATCGATATCAAAGATACACTTGTTAGGTGTATATTTGGAAGTACTTACTGGAAATAAGGTATCCCCCTTTCTTCTTAAACTCTGAATAGTTTTCCAACTTCTTACTGACGGTTATACAACTTCTTCTTTCCTCCTCTTGGAATAATAATAATCAAAAGGATTTAGACTTGAAATCGGTATAGCACACATGTAAGAAAAATAACTAACAATAGTAGTTTTCTCGATGCCTTTGTCTTTATACGATATGGCTGAAAGACGAACTCTTCTTTAGCGGGTGGGAGATAAAGGTATTCTTTTTTTTAATTTCCGTTCTTTCGTTCTCTCTTCGTAAACGTATCTTTAATGGGTTTGACTTTCTTGGCTTGTTATACTCGAACGAGCTAGCCTACCGTATCTGTCTGCTAGTTTGTAAGAATATAAAACAAGAAAAAAAGGATAAGAAAGTGCAGTAGTAGTAGTAGTAGTAGTAGAATGAAGAGATTACAAACTCTGTTGTCAGGATTATATTTTAAAAAACGGTGATAAGAGAAAGAGAGATATATCAAGAGAGAGAGAAAGAAGGAAAATAAAAGCTAGTTCCAGTTCTTAATAAACACTTTTATATTCCTCCTTTTTTCTTTCGACAGACAGAATATCTCCCTGGTTTTGGCGAGAAGGTATAGGATAGGATAAGGATAGAATCGGCTGTTGTTTTTGTGGTTGAAAAAGAAAAGGATGATTTTATTTTGATCGAATCGGACGGTTTTCGGTAAAAGCGGTATGAGTAGTGGTAGTAGTGAGGAATAGTAACAATGGCGATAGGATGTAGAAGCGAGGCGAAGGAAGTTTTGTGTAACTATTGCTTGAAATACTGATTTGTTCGGTACAGAAATGTATGTATAAGCAATAGTGAAGATAACGAACGAACGAACGAGAGAATGTATATTGAAAGTGATAAGAAAGAAGGAGGGAAAGAGGGAAAGAGGGAAAGAAAAAGGAGAACCAACCTTTTATCTCAACAGAGAAAACAAAGAAGAAGAACAGAAATCCAAATAGACAAAAAGTCCAGGAGAGGGATTTTGAAGTTGTGGGGGCGAAGTGAGGATACTCGCAATCAATAACAAGAGTATCAACACTTCAATCGGTGGCTTGAATAGAAGTCAAGAAAAAGAAAACTCATAATCCGTGAACCGCCAACAAAAGCTTTGACTCTTGAATAGAGGGTTTTTCTTGGCAAGGAAGGGACTAGAGAGTATCAAAGGATACTCTTTACTATAGCCCACTTCTCATTCAACCGCATTACTATCATCTTATAGAACGCACGAATTCGACTCTTCAAGGTGTTCTCATTCGTAGTCAAGAGGGAAGCCATCTCGAACGGGAATAGATGGAAATCGACTTGGTAATGATGAGAATTCTAATAGTTTAAAATAGAGGAAACCAGCTTTGCGCGAGTGGGTAGGAGGAGGCGTAATAGGAAGGAGATGATGTTTTAGTTGAAGATAGGATTCTGTCGACACGTTGGAAGTTATACAGAGCGTTGTAAGTTTTTTGAGATTGTGTTGTCCTTGGTGTATTTTAGTGTGGCTTGAATGGCAGTGTGGCTAGTAGAGTGTGGCTTGAATAGGTTTCAAGGTGGCCAAACTCTAAATCTGGCTTGGCTTGGCACAACACACAACACCTTTGGTAACTAGCGCTTTTGTGGCACCATGTTTGTGGCACATGAAGATACAAGGATTGTGACAACGTGACGACAGTGTCCAGTGTGACAACTTCGATGCCTGGTGCTAGCTCTGTGATCGATACTAAGTAAGTAAGTAGTACGTATCGCGATATCGACTAGTTTTTTAGACTTAATTAATAGACCAGCAGGACGAAACGGAATCTGTTGGATATGAGAACAGGAACCTATACCAGAACCTATTATGAATTCTACACAGGAAAAGTATACAGTGTATTGATGTCACGTCAATAGCGGCAAGACGATTTGATAGTCTCAAGATAATGTATCATACTTCGTATGCCTCATGATCATGCAAATACATAAACTAATATAATATACATACACCAAACAAAGATGCTATCAGATAATAAGGCGCCGTCCCGCCAAGAAAATCTTGGAATGAAACTAGCTAAAAGGAGACTAATGGTGGACGAGGTGAAATGAAATCTAACTACTCTTCATGTTGTCCCTTCATCTCCAACCCGTGACTTCGTCCCTCTGGATCATGATCCTTGAGCTCCTTCATTGCTTCCGGCCTCTTCGTCCTCTGCCAACCTGTTTTAAACAGTGGGCTAGGATTGAACTTAGGTAGAGGGTGGGCTTCGGTGTTGAATACAACCTCAGTCAGGGGGAGTAGATCGTTCGGGGAGAATAGAAGGTAGAAATATTTTAGTGTTTCGGCCTGTGTACATTGATCATTAGCTTCGTTCCCAATACCAGCCACGCGTATCGTATACAAGGAATAGGAAAAAAAGAACGTACCAACCAAAAACTCTCCATGTTATCTCTCTGAGATGGAGGGACAGTCAGGACAGTATTCAAGCTCGTAAAACCCCCACCTTCAACAGTAGTATGCTTCATGAACGCCTTAAATATCTTCCAGCCCCACTCCCTATAAATTTCATCCCCTGTCATCCTCCACATTAAGAACAAACTCTCAACCGTCTCGGGTCTTTGCAAGTTATGCGCGTCCTGGGATTTTATAACAATATCATCATGACCGGATTCATCCATGTTGAAGAACGCGATTTCGGGGGCGAGGCCCGTAGCTGTGACATTATACATTTCGTAGCAGGAACGCATTAGTTCCCTTGACAGGGTTAGGTATCCTTCCTCTCGTTGACCCCAAGATGGTGATTTTCGGGCTTCGGAGACGGTGGTGCCGTTTGTGGCACCGAGGAGGATATTACCAGGCATGAAGCAGACTAGATGGTCCATCTTTGGAGAGACTGTAGTCCCGACCCCCATTGGTAGTTCCGCTATGAAGGTGAACCCCGATGGATGGCTCTTTTTCACCAAATGTTTTTGAACGCCGGCCATGGCTTCATGATACATTTCTGCATATATCTCCTCGCCGGTTTGCAGATATTGTTTAAGAAGGTATTCGTAATAACTATCACCTCTACTACCTAGTCTGACTTCTCGACCCCTAAATTTCCCATTATTAGCGTAGATGAAGATGGGAACCAGGCCATCGGTTGGATGGTTGTCATCGATGATCTTAATCGCCTTTTCCGCCCGCTGCCAGTACACCTTTTCACCCATCAGCTTTGAAAGATATTTCATTTCTAATTGAAGCGTCGAAGTTTCGGCTGTTGACGAGGCTCCGCCGTCGGCATGGGATTCGATACCCTTTGATGTTTTCAGGTTCACCGATGCGTATGGAAGGCCTGAGTCTGAATTATAAGCTCCGAGAAGGCGGTCTGCTAGATCCGCTGCCTTTTCAAGGTATAGATCCGCTTCCTTTTGTACTCCCGAATCCATTTTATGAGTGGTCGCGAGATAATGTGCCGAAAGTAGCCCTCCTAACATCCGAATCGTTGTTTCGAAGGTATTAACTTCCTGGTCTTGGTCGTAAGTTAGGGTTGTTTGTACCCATTCTCTGGCCTGAGCGAGTGGTGTCGTAAGACCCATCAACATCATTGTATCAAGAGCATCGATGATAATCCATCCCAGACCCTTCGAGGCCATTTGTTTACCGGTCCGGGATATTGGGTGGAACTCGTCAAACCCCCAAGCGTATGTTTTGTAGGCATCCCAGGAAATAAGGAAGGCGTCCTTGACGCGTTCGCGACGTTCCAGCCATACTTTTTCCGGGGTGGATGATTGTTTTTTGGGTTTCTCGGTGAACCAGCCGGATTCCTTTTTTGGAGCGGTATCGTCATTTGAGGATTTTGGGAAATCTATATCACCGTCGTCGCCGTCTGTAGGAATATTGGCCGAAGAAGGACCGAAGAACCAATACACAGCACCAATAAATAAAATGGCAAAAACTGCGACTCTTTTCCTTAAAAACATATCACGTTTCCGACGTCGGTAGCCATATGTCGATGTGGTTGAAGAGTAATATGGTTTATCTTTATATAAGGGTAGATCCGAATTGGCTGACTTGAAGATGCCGCCTATACGGTTTTGGACACCTGTGGATTTGTGAACCGAACCGGAGGATGCCCAATAGGTATCCTCGTTCTGTCGCTGAGGATTTGTGAAAGAGGGAACATTTCGGGGAATCGAGAAGGCCTATATACTGGAGCATCAGCAATGAGAGGATTTGAAGAGAGAGATATATATACTTAAGTATATAAGGTCAGTATGGACATACCATAGTGGTGGACGAGGTCTCTCAGACGTAGTCGCGTGGTGGTGGATATTAGAGTTGGATACGTGCGCCGACCGGGAACTAGCATTCAGCCATTGTCCGTGATATATCCTGAAGCCTTGAATATAACCTCGAATACCCGTGCGAACAGGGATTATATATACAAAAGACGGGGGGATGAGGATGAGGTCGAGAAATGAGCGAGATGGAACTGTCCACGGTAGCTTCGAGAGGGTCTCTTAGATCTGTCCGGGGAGCGGCAGCAGCTGTTCGTTAAACGGGACTTGGACGGATTCGGCAGCAAAGACGAGACCGACAAAATCCCACCACCACCACCGCCACCACCACCACAACGTCTTCACAACATCTCCGTTGCAAACATCTGCTTCGACCTCAACTAGCTAGCAGTACCGGGGTAGTACCTATCGAGGGGAAAACAGACAAGATGGTGTTCCTTCATTCTATGATCATTGCCGAGGGCGTTCCCATATTCGTACGTACCTCCATATACTAATAATGAAGAGGAGTACAAACTAACAAGGGCGAAAAAAAACTCTGCAGTCAGCCCTTCAACGCTTCTACGGCATCGGCCCCAACATCGCCTCCAGAATCTGCGCAAAACTGACCATCTACCGGACTGCTAAGCTCGGAGAGTTAACTCAGAAGCAATTGACTCAAGTCCAGCAGGAATTATCGAAATTGACCATTGAGAACGACCTGCACAAGAGTATCGTGGACAATATCACCAGATTGAAGGAAATGGGGACCTATAGAGGGAGAAGACATGCTATGGGTCTGCCGGTTCGAGGACAGGGTACTAGGACCCAGGCGAAGACGGCAAAGAAGTTGAATAGGGTGGAGAGAGGGTTTGCAGGAGCTAGGAGGCAGGGTTGATCTATCTACGCTACCGTGACGGCCGTCGCTATCGGTTGCCTCCTGAACCCCTAGTCTCCACACCTCTCGCGAGTTCCATTACAAAGCAACTGTATATACCTGGATGGTGTATACATATATGGATTGGGTATTTAAGTAGCCTAGATGATTGGGTGGAGGTAGATAGAGAGAGAGAGGAGGAAGAGGAAGAGCAGGGCAGGCTATATGTGAATATGTACATACATACAATTAGCATCATATTTGGCGTTACAGGATAAAATTACTGCCTACTTAGGTACTTAAGTACTTAAATACTTAAATAGTTACACACTACGATAATATCCGTGATAGTTCTAGCTCTAAACCTCTGGCAAGTAGTTAGCACAGACCCGAATACCTGGTTCGTCACAAAAACCACGGGGTCTTGTCAAATATCATTGGAGGGATGCCTATAATGGGACTTAATAATAGCACAGCTTATATGCGCGGTCTTGGCTGACAGAGTCGCGCGATAAAGCCACTAAAGACCACATCTCAGCTACGTCACCCCCACAAAAACACCCTTCTCCCTTTCACTTCTCGTAACCCCATCAAACTTCGAAGATAATTTAAAAGGAGGAACAAGATGACTGGATCATGAACTCTTTCCTTCAAATATAACATCGCGACTGCCGAATATTCAAAAAATGTGGATTCTACCGCTCGTCGGCTACGTCGGCATTGTCTGCGGCTTCACTTTCCTCACCCTCGCTATCGGTAAATTATATAGATCCATCACTACCACAACTTGGCACCCTAAAACACGAGTAAAGGAAAGAAAGAAACAATGAAAGAAAGCTAATTATAGTTTCGTGTAAAATAGCATCGGGTCTTTATTACCTCTCGGAGCTGGTCGAAGAACATACCGTCCTTTCGAAACGGATCTTAACACGACTGATACAAGTTATTATCGTCGTTCATGTCGGTTTATTCGCCATTGACCGGTTCCCGTTTTTACTCACGCTATTCAGCGGAGCGAGTCATGGCGTTTATGCTATGAATTTACGACGGTTTCCGATGGTCGCTTTGACGGACGGCTGGTTTATTGGAAGCTGCAGTACGTCCCCCTTTTAGAACTATCCCTACATAGTCACTACCTAAAATAAGTAGGCACTGATGCTAACTAATTAATGGTGGTTATAGTCCTGGTAGTAATAAACCATATCCTCTGGTTCCGTCACTTCTCCAAGCCCCCAGAACCTCTCTACGACTACTCCTCCTCCTCTTCAGCCTACAACAGACACAGAAACACTTACGGGTCGGCAGAATACAAGCCTATACCGTCGTTCAGTGAGATTTCGGCGTTCTTTGGGCTATGTGTGTGGTTGGTTCCTTTTTCATTGTTCGTTAGCTTGAGTGCAGGAGAGAATGTCTTACCCAGTTCGGTGGGAGGGGACAGTAGTGCCGGTGTGGTCGGTGGAGATGGGAAGAAGAAGGGCAGAAAGGGATTGTTTAAAGGAGGAATTGATGGAATTGGAGAATGGTTGGTGGAGACCGGACAGGCCTTTGGGATCGGAGGCGGCGGGCGGAGAAGAAGTGCTTTTGACTGAATTTATTGGGTATTGTAATATCCTCTCAGCCTACGATTAAATTACAGCTGGTATTCCCAAAGTCCACTGGGAAAAAAGCCAGGCGGGTCGGCATTCTGTGCCATGGAGCCGGTTTAAATAAGGGTCTGCATTAATGTGATCTAGCTATCTATGCCTCCGGTTTACTACCTAGTTACAATGCAATGACGCCAGTCTCCTACCATTAATTCGAGACTACAGCAGTACTATGAGATTATATTAATAAATACTAGCTCTCTACCAACATCAAACCTCTTCATATAAACGACTTGATCGTGATACCCTTATATATCTGTAGGTATCGATAGATGGATATATGTATCAATTATCAGGCGCGGGGTGACGGCTATACAATACCGGTACTTGGAATAATGGTGCTCCCTCCATACATCATTTTTATACACCATGTACAAAGAGGTACTCAATAGTCTTTTGATCCTGACACCCCGACTAATTACCTAAATATACATATACTACCTTTCTACAAGGATCGCTAATTAAGGCATACAGTAAAAGAGCATTTTTATGTTATAGTGAAGCATGCACTCAAGACTTTAAAATCTTATATAGACCCACCAATATGAACATGCCTATGCATATGAATATGCCTATATGGACAGACAATTTCGTATATATATACGTAGAACAATATACGTTAAATAAATACTACCATATGGATCCATGGATCATACCTAGTCTATGAAACAACTGCTAAGAAGTAGCTAGCTAAGATCTATCAAGATTGGGATCCTCCATGCTAATTACCTTGGCCGCCTTGACCACCACCTTGACCACCATATGGATTAACACCGTGGCCAGCATTGACACCTTAATTACCATTTGGATTATAATTACCATATGGATTATAATTACCATATGGATTACCACCTTGGCCACCATTGGCACCTTGATTACCATTTGGATTATAATTACCATTTGGATTATAATTACCATTTGGATTATAATTACTATTTGGATTATAATTACCATGTGGATTATAATTACCATATGGATTATAATTACCATATGGATTACCATTTGGATTAATCTGCTGGTGCTGTTGGTTCTGACCCTGACCTTCAGACTTGAGCTTCTTCTTCGACTCTGGGTCAGGATCATTATTCCCTAGAACAGGTATCCCCTTTCCCTTATTATTTTTATTATTATTTTTTTTTTTTGGATCCTGTGAACTTGGGTCCTGGGCTTGACTAGAATAATGCTGGAATGGGTTAGGGCTTGTCTCACTCTGTCCTAACTGAGAATTAAAAAGTGGCGACATGTTTTTTGCTAGCGCTTGTTGGAGAAAACTCAGATTCTCGTTCTCATAAGCTTTCTTATTGGCTCCCGGATTATCGCCTCTATCATTAAGAACAGCTTTGATGAGTTTATTTGTATAAGGGAATCTGCCATTGATCAGCAGATCGATTGTGGCGCGGTCAAGTTTGAGCTTGTCATATGCCGTAATCCTGTACATTGCCTCATAGAGCGCTGCATCTAACAGATACTCGGCCCGATGAAAAAATAGTCGCGAGAAGGGATGAAATACTGTAGATTCGCTGACGGTAGTACCCGAGCGATCGAGAATTAAGGGTCGTTTTGTTTTGTATCCATCTATCCGAAGTGTGTAGTCGATTGTGTATGCCAGAAATTTGGCTCGCGCTGCAAAATTTGCCAGGTGGCTATCATCTCCAGGAAGTTCGACTTTCTCCCAGCTGTATTGGAAATTCTCATTGATCTTATCATGGTTCCGTTTCTTTCCTTGGGGGTTTCGTTGCACTCCCAATTGGCCTTTGGTATTCACTACCCCCTTGCTGAAACCGTTCTTTTTCTCAATGAGATTGGCCTCATCGGTAAATAAAGACTGCCATGCCGATTCGTATCTATCTATATGTTAGGTCTATATTCGAAGACAGTAGAAGAGTCATCTGCATCTAACTCGCTTACCGTGTCATGCAAGAGTTTGCTTCTGATGACCCGAATACAAGATTATCTGCTGTCTGACTGCTTCCTAGGTTATTTTGATCACCATCTGGGTTGAGGCCTCCCCAAGAGTATGCACATAAATGTAACCACTGTGCATCGTAACATAGCATTAGCAACGGTCGGTTGATGTCAGTACTTTCCGGATCCTGAACGCGTACCTCAGCCATATATAATCCGTTGCTAAGTTGTCTCTTTTTGCACCCAGTCTTGGTGTCGTCCGGAGGGGTCCATTTAAACACCCTCTCCGCCAGCTTAAGTAGAAAACGGTAGATTAGTTTCCCATACGAACGATTATTCCAAGAAAAAAAATTATCAGGAAGAAGCTCATACTCCGGATGCCGAAAGCCCCATTACATCTCTTTGTGATTTCTGCGTTTTTCTCGTCCCTTTCGCTTCGATAATCTTTCTAGAACTAAGGATAATACTTCCATGTTTTTTTGATGAGTGTCTCCACCCCCCATCTTGGGGGGTTTTGGGAAAGAGTTCCAGTAATTTTGATTTTTTGAATTCTTCTCCTTTTTTGCTTGACTCTGGCTTTACTCCGTTTCCTTTCAAAGGTAGCGAATTATTCTTTTTTGATGCTCCGCTTGTTTCCCTGGGATGGATTAGGAATATATCCACTATAGCGTATGAAATAGTTTTGATTTCGGAATTTCAGATGCTTACTCTTCCATTCGGCCCAAATTCTGGTTGGTTCCTCCAACCTGTTGGCCTCCATCAAGTTGTGCCAGCGCTTCCTCTGCTTCTTCCCCCGTCTTGGCATCCTCTTCATCCTCTGAGTCCGGATCTAAGGCCTCTCCACCTCCTGCGAGCTCGTTGAAGTAATCATACATACTTTTTTCGAAGTCGTCTTCAATTGGTAAACTTCGAAGTGGACTACAGTGAAGAGCCTTTCCGCTTGCTACATCTTCTGCCTTTGGCTCTTGTAGGTTCAATGCTAAGTCTTTCATATAGCTCTGTATTTCAGTTTTATGGATGTATGTTTGGAACAATCCAAAGGGATTTTCTGATAACTATGCCAGTGTCATTTTGGTGAGTAACCTTAGAATTCTTGATGGTATGAACGATTTTATGCAGAGGGTAGCTTTGAATTCAAAGAATGCAATTGATCTTGATCGGCAATGGAAATTGAGGCACTTACCAGACAATAATCACTTAGGTGCTTTTCAGAGACATCTAGTTCCAATTGGTTCGTCCTTGGGTTTTCCTTCGGTGTCGTATATATATCATTGATGGCCTTAACGAGTTTTGCCATAAAAATGGGAACTTCGTCGTACCCTTTATCCTTGAATCGGTTCTCAGCTGTTTTTGTATATTTCACAATGAGTGGGGTTTTGAGATCTCTATCATCATATCTCATTCTCCAAGTTCTCTTGTTGCCACTAGCACTGACTTTCGTTCGCGTATCAAGGAAAGATCGCCATAATTTACGATGCTCTGCTGGAACATCCGCCTGATCAAGCCCTTTTTGTGCTCGGCTCCAGTATAAGGCCCCATCCTCGGTTCTAAACGGAATTAAATGAAACTGATTGGATTTCAGCTTCGTTTGTAGCTTTTCCAGGATTTCGGAGATATATTTCTCCCCGGTGCTGGTACTGTTAGGATATGGAACTTTTATCTGCTTCTGGTCGAAATTTACTGAGACTTCAGAATTATCCAGGGTGATTAGGCCCTCATTTTCAGGGTTTTGCGGTGTAATTTTCTCTCCTCCATAATTTTTTGATACTCTCCTTCCCAGTGGCATCTTGAGGTCTCCCGTGAGCCTAGACAGTGACAATATATGTTGGCATATGTGATTTACTAGCTTTCGACCTTGAATGGATCGCTATAGCGCTATCTAAAGAAGAACTTTACCACATAGAGCTAGCGGTCCATTGGCGCCTAAGGAATCAAGAAGTTGACTTACAATTGGGGGTTTCCAGGGTATATACCCTTCAGCGGATATTCCACCGCAAAACGAATGTAGCGTAAAGGAACGTATATAGTTTGAGTGGGATTGGGTAAACTCCCAGGAGTTCCATAGATATTGTAAGGAGTAGCCGGCTGAAAATTGAACGCTGAGGATGCAGCCAACCTAGCGAACGTAGTTTTGGAGTACCAAGCATCGTCCTTTGTACCAGCAGGGGCTAGAGTATGATGGAAAATTGGCAGCCCCTTGCCTTTTTGTATCGGCTCGAACAGATAGATTTCTCTGCTGGTTGTTGTAATGTGTTTTTTCCACTGATCTTTAAAGCTAACTGGGTCCTCTAGTTGCATGGCCATGGTGACAAGCTAGTTTAGAACTCTTGCGGGGTTTCTTTGCGAACAATATATATATGTTGATATGGATCTTGAGATATATATATATGATATCGATGTGTATGATGAGAATTTGAAGTGTGTTAGGAAGAAAATAATACGTAGAAAAGCAAAAAGAGTGCTTGGAACGGTTGTCTCGTACCCAGACCTGGAAGTTGGAGCGGGTAGTTTTGTAATAATTTTGAAGACGATCTTGATGGTGATGCTAATGTAATAAAGCTTCGATGCCCGTCGCATTGCCTATATATACTTACTTATACCTATACTATACCTATACCCATAATCCGGTTAGCTTCTATAACTCAAATGCTTATGAGCTAGCCAAGAGGGAATTAATCGAATTTTGCGGCTAACGATGTCAATGCTGTAATTGATATCACAATCAAGAAGCCTTTGCAGACTTCTGCAGACTCCGCCCGCCAACTTCAATGCACGCGAGTGCCCGAGTCAAGCCGCGGGAAAAAACGGTTGAAGCTTTTGAGCTGAGACAGAACGCCATGGCGTTCCAAAAAAGTATATTGTTATGCAGTTAAGTGACCAAAGTCCCCTGCAGGCCTGTATGCGCAACCAATTGGAGAGCGTGCGCCAGCCGAAGTTGCGACTGCGATGTTCTTTTCCCTGCATAAAGCTGATAAAGTGTGCGCTGCATGCATAGTGCGGCTTCGGAATGCAACAACGGCGTATGCGTTGGTTGGAAACCCCTTTCATCCTATCTTTATAAGCTTTAGCGGCCGTTAGCAGGCTCATATTATAACATATTGTAAACAGCCTACCCAGGCGATTCAGCCCAACTTCAGGCCTGAGTACCGTGAGCTGCTTCTTTAATTCGTGGCCCAACGTGGGACAGGGTTTTCGAACGTTTCTGGTTCAGCCCCGAAGCCACACGCACGCCAGAAACTTTAAATATTCGTTGTTCCTCGTACATAGTATACCCGCACGACACCTTTGCGCATTTCGGAAAGCGAACGGCTGAATGATGCAGTATCCCATTCCGCATATAACATACGTTTGTCTGTACCTAACTCAGTTTTCGTACATATAAGCGATCGGTTAATTAATGTTCTATGCAGTCTTAGATTCTCCGGGTAGCTCGCTCGCAATGCGGCCCTGCAGCTGTTGGGCTTTACTATGTAGTGAATATGTAGGTGCCGCAAGCCAAAAGTAAATACGGGCTGAGAATCTCCACTTTATCACCTTGTTGATATTAGCCCAATGCAATGCAAGGCGCTCGCAACGTTTGGTTGATTTAATTGTTTTGACTGAATTCCGAGATGGCTGGTTTCCGCGAATTCCGTTGCGCTAAGATTGTTGTATTTTGTCTTTAGGATATGCTAGTCTGTGCAACGTTGACTTCGAAAGGTGTATGGGTGAATCGAGATACTTAAATGGGCGGTTCGACGTGATGGTTACCTATTTCCCCATCTATATACATATCTTAGGACCTTCTCGGTTGTCTCGTATTATAAGATTTTTTTTTTTAAAAAACAAAACACTTTCTATTATACCTTTTCTATACTATCGATTATAAATCTTTTCTAAATTTACAAAGATATAGCCTTTGAAATTGTTTTTCCTTTATAAGTCTCAATTGATCATTATCCCTTAAATTCTACATTTTAAAGGCGGTTAATCTTGAATATGGATGATATCCAAGACCGCAAGCGTCGTCGGTCTCGCTCTCCATCAGTAGATGTTGAGAAAAGAGCGACCAAAATTACGAAACAAGATGTCGAAGAAGCTCCCCAGCCCCTCAAACGAACCAGATCTGACTCGGTCAGGGATACTGACGATCGATCTAAAAGATTGCGTCAGGGTTCTTGGGACCTCGATTTGGATCTCAGTTCCGTAAGTCTCTCAACTACTACTTTGTATATCTATATCTACCGGTCTATCTAACAATTGATTATGATGTAGGGGATTAACCAACTCAAAGGAGCTGCCGGTTTATTGACTCCACCAGATGGCCCCAGTATTGAGTATGCGGGCTGCTTCGTTTTCAACCCATATTTTGCAGCTTATGGAATCGACGGCACCCTTGTCGCTCTGACACAGGAAGCGATAGCCCATTTGGCTCCATCCATGATAGCAGCACCTGAACCATCTGCTATGCAACCCACCCCAGAAGCAACACCAGGAGAATTACAGAATAACCCCCTGGAGAATGCCTCCCATAACTCAAATCAACAAAATCTTGGTCCTTCAATTGATATAAAAAATCTTGTAGTTATAGGCGACATCAACGCCTATGGCCTCGTCCCAGGAAAACTAGAGGTCTACCATAATGTTACCGCTCAACAACCCTACGCCGAGATATTCAGACCAAAGACCTCCTCTTTCTCCCTCGGAGCTTTCTTTCCGAGTATGAAGGGATATTCTATCGATTCAATCGAACTCGAAAACGTCACTTTCTCCTATCTGGCTTATGAGGTTGACCAATTCGAACTCACAGGAGTTTATTTGAAATCTGATGTAATTTTCAAAGGCGCTCTCCAACCAGTCTCAGACTTCCTTCATGAATACTTTGGTCAAGAGAATCCTTCAATCCACTTTTCTACGTACATCGGCGCCGCTAGAGATTGGGGTTCTTTTCCTTCGGTCAATCAATTGGTATTAACCGGATCCATCGAACACATGTCTGCCAAACTCTTCGATTTCCTAGAGTTCACGCGCGTCGGCGTCGAACTTCTCATGGACTCTAAAACCGATCTCGCCCGGCGAACTACGAGATGGGAATTTGGCTACGGTTTTTTCGGGGATCTTAATATCAGCGTTGTAGGATCCCTGGTGCCGTTACAATGTCATTACCATCTTCGAAAGTTTTCCCAAAGTTATTTGTTGTCAGTAACTCTGAGGGACGATGAATGGAAAGAAGTCTTTGGTATCAAGGGGTTGAATCTTTCTTCTGTCCATTTTCAAGCCATGATCAGTACCGCGACAAAGAATACAGCATTCAAACTCAGAGTCGAAGCTGACATGCAATGGCGACAGACCACCATTCCGGTTGCGGGTACGTATGGATCAGACGAATATTCTCTGGAAGCATACATCGGTAATCTGTCACTTCACGATGTTGGAGAATTATTCCAACAGATGATGGATGCAGAGCTCGATATATTTGACCACGATGTCGTGCTTCAATCGATGTACATCAATATTTCGAAGGACGGGTTTGTTCTAGCCGGCACCGTTATTATCAACGGCCACTCTAGCGCTAACGCAAAAGTCGCATTTAAAAAAGATGGAATCAGTATATCTGGTGGTGTTAGTGATATGTCCTTCAAGGGGATTGATATCCATAAAGCGGAGTTAGACATTTTCATTGGAACAAAGAGTCAGAACAGCTCTGAGCGAGAAACCAAATTCGCTATTATGGGAGATGTCTCATTCGCCGGTATTGATCTCCGAGTTGGCGTCTACACGAAGAAACCCGGTGACGGCAAAGAGTTACAATGGGCTATATATGGCGAGGCGCAAGGAGATCTGAAAACGAGTAGACTGTGTCCTGAGCTCGAGGGAACTTTCCTCGACATTTCGCTAAATGGTCTTGCTCTCATGGCTTCAAATCACGAGGATAGTGGTGGCAAGTACAATACTCGCGGGTATCCGCTTGCCAAAGGAATTCAATTCTGCGCTAGGATAGCTGAAATCCCGGCGCTCAAGACGATCCTGGGAACGAACGTTGAAGGAACAATCCTTAGAGCGAGTTATAACAACGGTGCCTTCTCGCTAGGCCTTATACTCCCCGGTGAAAGAACAATGACTTTCACCCCGGATCTTTATACTGGTCCAGTATCGTTTTATATTCAAACAGGAGGGGGTATAAAGCTGGGTTTGCAAGCAGAGTTCACTATCAAACTCAAGGAACAAGATCCGCTGAGATTTGATCTTGGTATTAAAGCCGGTGTTGAGGATGCTTCAGGGTATGGAGAAATGGTGGAAGGTTGCAAATGGGTCAACCCGTGCGGAGTAGGAAAGAATGTTGTCATTAGCGGATGTGCCGTCGATATCGGCATTGTCTATACCACTTTCGCTATAAGCGGTATACCGGGAAGGATCGGATTGAAGGGTCGAATTGACATTGGCGAGAAGCAGGTGGGGGGTGCGATGTTAGTGAGCCAGACTTCTGAACAGCTTTTGGCTTTCACTGAGAAGGATTTGGGTGTCGTCGACTTGGTCAAGTTTGCGTCTGTGATAATCGAGAAAGAGCTACCACGACCAGATAACTTCTTGCACATCACGGACTTTGATCTTTATTTATCTTCTGGAGCAACAATCGCCAACACGTACTACCCTCGGGGGGTGAGCTTGAAAGGTGACATGCTCATCCTTGGCAAAAGAGCACAGTTTGACTGTAAAATTGGTTCTGAAGTCAAAATCATGGCGACGATTGAATCCTTCTCCATCGGGCCTCTCAAAGTCACAGGAGCAGCAAATAAAGACCCTATAGTTGATGCCGAAATATCATCTACCGCCCAAAGAGTCTATATTGATGGAGCAGTTTCGGTTTGGGGGGCGTCCGCAGCAATACATTTGAATGCTGATTTCCATCCATCCCCAAAATTCGACTTTGCAATCCAATTGAAATTATCTGATCTTTTCCTGGTTCAGTTACAAGCTAGAATGACTGGCAATGTCAACTATAAGGATCTCAAGACTTTTGAGAATGCAGATTTTGCAGTATATGCTAAATTAGAACAGCATATCGTCCAGCATATAACGCAACAATTGGAACAGCAAATCAATTGTACACAACAAGGTCTAAAAGGCAGTTTTGATAGTGTCAAGAAGAGACTTGACGAACAAGAAAAGAACTTCCAGGAAGGATGTCAAATCGCTACTGAGAAACTGGCCGCTGCTCAGACTACCTGGAATGAAAAACGTAAATTAGTTGAGGGAGCCCGAGATAGCGCAAAGGAATACTTGGAAAGTGAAAAGAGAGAACTCCAGAAAGCAGTCGATGATGCAGAAAGAACTTGGAAGACACTCTGCTCAGATGCGAAAAATAAGCTTGATAAGGTTAAGAGTGAAGCAGATGCCGCTGTTGATCTGCTAAAAGCGAACCTCAAACTGGTAGAGAAAGAAAGCGACGAAGCCATCCGTATAGCACAAAATCTGCTTCAAAATGAAATAGAATACTTCGACCGGGTATTCGGTGCCGCGGCCGACAAATTGAAAACGGCACGGGAGGCTGTGGAGAAATTTCAAAGGGCAGTCGACAGCATTGAAGATGAACTTAATCGTAAAATCCGACAGTTGGATAACGCCAATGTTTTGGACAAGGTTGGAATTGCAGTACAGATTGCTGCCTTGCATACTGGGAGGGCGTCTGCGTTGGGGCCCTTGACGGCTGCCCAGGGTGCCCTCCTAGGTATTGAGGAGGGAATTAGGTTGACAGGGTTCTGGGCTGCCAAAGCCGGAATTACTGCGGCGGAGGTGGCCCTGAAAAGTGCGCAAGATGCTAAGAATTTGCCTCTTTCAGCACTTAGTGAGGGCCTAGATATGGCACTTATTTTTCATAAGAACAACATTGACGTCGCTGAGGAGGCGCTTACTTGCGCCGAGAAGTTCAGCGACGAGTTGAAATTATTCGATGCTGCTCGTGCGGCTTTGGACATTGGTTGTCCATTAGCGCAAAGCTCGCTCGATGTTGCAGAGGCGGCTGTGAAAGGACTCGGTAACTGTATGGAATTCCTGGCATTTGAACTTGCGAAGAAAGCCCTTGCATTCGCGGAGAGTAATACTACGGAGCTGAACCTGGCAAGATACGCGTGTAAGGCCGCAGAGGATGTCGCAAATCTCGGTTTAGATATAGTAAAATGGGGTATTAGTCATGCAGGAAAGCTAATTGATATTAACAAAATTGAGTTTGAGGGCTCGTTGAAGAGCTTGATAGCGGATGGGCCACCATTGCGGGTATTAATCCAGGGTGTGCTATGCGGGGGACAATTCGCCGTTGAGATAATCTGGCAGCCTCATTTCAATCTGGTGGCCTTTATCAAGGCTTTGTTCGACCGTTTATGGGAAATGATTAAGAGTGGAGCCAGGGTTGTCGAGAATTGGGCGAAGGAAGGGGGGTCTTCCCAGAATGAACCCCTGGACACGAAGCTATACGAAAACACCAAATATATTATTACCAACGTTGCAACTGGTACCGCTATCGACTTCTCAGGTACGGATGGTAGTTCAATTTCCGGTTGGAGTATGCATGGTTGGAGAACTCAACAAGTGAGTGGTTGATTCTCAAAGCGATTCTCGGATATTCGGTTTACGTGATTTAATGATTGAAAACATTGACCATATTAGTGGACCCTTGAATCCTATGAAGACCACTGGCGAATCCGCAACGTCGAAAGCGGTCGTTATTTAGCCCCTAGTGAACCATTCGAGAAGATTAACGGCGGAACCAGGATCATTAGTAGTACCGAGCCGGCCAATTGGAACTTAGGCACGCATATAGTAGATGGTTCGAAGGTAGCTCATCGGTGAGTATTTGACCAGACTTTCAGGAATACCTCTTAATACTTCTATTGCTAATCTTGTTATTCTCGTACAGAATGTTTGTACCAGATTACAGCCCGGCGATTAATATGGATCTGTGGGGAGCGGACTCCGCTGATGGGACTGAGATTAAGCTGTGGAGTATGGCGGATGCGAGAAACCAGCTGTGGTATTTCTCCAAGGGTTAGTCTTTATGCTTCTAAAATCCGATTCGGTAATTATCAATTGAACAATGCAATGCTAACTTTCTTCTCCTTCAGTATAATTTTGGCCACCTATCCAGGTACTATATAATATACGGTTATCTATATATATAAATCTCGATATTTATGCATTTGGGTGGAGTTTAATTTTTATATTTTATTTTAGCTATGGCATATATATATCATTTAATCACATGATGCATTTGTGTACTTACACATATATTCTCCTCTTTGGAATCTATATTATACTGTGATCAATCGTAAATATAACTTTGTCCAAATAATATAAACATCATATGGCGATAGAAACTAGACTATGGCGATAGTATTTTTGCGTTGTCTGTTGCAGTTTGAAGTGGGGGTAAAGTCCGGGCCGAGACAAATGTTAGTTAGCAGAACAAGGGTAAGTCCGGTTTATGCCTCAGTCCGGGAATGAATCGGGTCGCCGAAGCTAATTCTGGCTGGTCATTACGGTACAGGATCTTATCTGATCCTGTAACAGGTTCGGTCCTTCTCTTTCCAGCTGTCCTTCCGAAAAAAATCCAATCTGATAACAAATTCTCTCCCTCGCTCGGTCTCTCCCAATTATTCTCTCTTCTTTCTTCTCTCTTCCCTTCATCCGCTTCACATTCTCTCACCGACTCTCTCTCTCTCTTTCTCTTTCTCTTTTTCTACTATACCATCTCCCCCAGACTATATCATTACTACCGTCATCATGATCTCTAGACGTGCTTTGCAGGTATTTTCTCTTTTTTCCCCTCTTCCGATTGAGTTCCCCCACGTGGGGCTGCCTCATCGATTGTCCCGATTCAATCCAATTCAACACACACTAACTCTCGGCCCGAATGCAATCCATATAGACGGCCCTCCGTTCCGGCGTCAGACCCCAGGTCGCTGCCGTTCCTACTGTCGCCGCTCGCAGTAAGTTTCTTCTATCAATTCATTTGAATTAAATCTTTATCATGGTGTTTTTATTGATTGAGGGAAATAGCATACGCCACTGTCCCCACCACCGTCAATGAGGACCTTCTCAAGCCAACCAAGTACGGCGGCAAGTACGTCGTCACTTTAATACCAGGTACATACCTACTTCTTCTTGTAGTATATCATCATTATGGATTTTTGTTTATCTAATTGAGTGTAGGTGACGGTATTGGTATCGAAACTGCCGACGCTGTTAGAACAGTCTTCAAGGCCGACAACGTCCCAGTCGAATTTGAACAGATCGATGTCTCCGGTCTCGAGGAAGGCAAGAAGAATGCCGACGTTCTCTTCAAGGAGTGCATTGCCTCCCTAAAGAGGAATAAGGTCGGTCTTAAGGGTATTTCCTCCTCCTCCTTTTTATTTTGGGTTTGTTGTTTATACTAATTGAGTAATATCATAGGTATTGTCTACACACCCGTTGACCGTACCGGCCACGCTTCCTTCAACGTCGCTCTCCGTCAAGAACTCGACATCTATGCCTCCGTCGTCCTCATCAAGAACATCCCAGGTCTCCAGACCCGTCACCAAAATGTCGACTTCTGCCTCATCCGTGAGAACACCGAGGGTGAATACTCCGGTCTCGAGCACCAATCCGTCCCAGGAGTCGTCGAGTCCCTCAAAATCATCACTCGTGCCAAGTCTGAACGTATCGCTCGTTTCGCATTCAACTTTGCTAAGGCCAATGGAAGGAAGAAGGTTACTGTCATCCACAAGGCAAACATTATGAAGCTCGGTGACGGTCTTTTCAGGTCTACTTTCCAGAGAGTCGCTGAAGAATACCCTTCTCTTATTACCAACGACTTGATCGTTGATAATGCTTCCATGCAGGCTGTCTCCAAGCCTCAACAGTTCGATGTTTTGGTCATGCCAAACTTGTACGGTGGTATTTTGTCGAATATCGGTGCCGGACTTGTCGGTGGTCCAGGTGTCGTTCCTGGATGCAACATGGGACGCGAACATGCCGTTTTCGAACCAGGTTGCAGACACGTTGGTTTGGATATCAAGGGACAGGGACGTGCCAATCCTACAGCTATGTTGTTGAGCGGTGCTATGATGTTGAGACATTTGGGACTTGACCAGCACGCTGGAAGAATCTCGCAGGCTGTTTACAACGTTATTGCTGAGGGGTGAGTAAAAATATCCTAATTTGTAACTTTTTTTTCTCTAGAGAAGAGCGCTAACAAAGATGTTTTTGGGAATACAGCAAAGTCAAGACGCACGATATGCACGGAACCAACAGCACCGGCGAATTCACAAACGAGGTTTTGCGCAAGATGGATGAGCTTGCTTAGGAAAAGCTAGACCCGAGTCCATTCCCTGATCTCACGAACCTTAGTCCGTTAAACAACTTGAGAAGGTTGCCTTCGGTGCAACATTTTGGTGGGATGTAGAGAGACCATAAGTAGGAGAAGAGGCTTCCATGGAAGAAAAGATGGGCGACCGTGGCAAAGATTAAACCTTTGAAGATCGAGAGAGAGCAATGCGCGAGTCGTAAGACGCAGGTTTCTTTACCCCGTCTCTTCCACCTTTTCCTTCCAATTCACTTTTTTGTTATTCAATTCACAGTGTAGATAGATATTGGTATGGCGGGGTGCTTTTCCGGGTACCGCGCTACTTTTTTTGTGTCAATGTGATTTCAAACTTTTTTTTTTTTTTTAAATGGTCAGGCTGGCCTTTGATCTTCCATCTGATAAGAAGTATAGATCTATGACGTCATTGTTGGATAAAAGTAGTAGAACACAATAGACACAGCTGACAACACAAGTCCATTCCCAGTAACCTACCTAGCTACGGGTTTCTAGAACTAAAAGGATCTTTCTTTCCTCCTCTTTCCCTCTTTCCTTTTCATTCCAACTTCTTCTTTTCCTCTCTTTTGTCTCTTTTCTCCTCTTCTTCCACTTTCCTTGTTACAACAGCCATTTCTATTGGGATCCAAGTAAATTATTCCTTCTACCACTCAACAATCACTTTCTAGATCTCCTGTTCACAGCATGACAGCCTTACTCTCTTTCCCCTCCCTTCTTCCGTTCTACAACTCCTAAATTTCACTTTATATTAAGCCTCCCATTAAACTCATCATCGAACCTCTCATCGATGATGGATACCATGGGTTGGTTGTTGCATTTCTCTCTAAACACCCCTTTGCAGATGGTTCTTATATATATGACTTCTCTCTAGACAAAAAAAGACGACCTTAGCAATACCACCATCGAGACCCGTGATGCATTCTAAGTTGAGAGCTTCGAAGCTATAAAGTTATATACTTTGAATAGCTAACTTTGAATACAGGCTACCAGCAATACTCCCGATGATTATGGTGCCACTTTGGCTCATCGAACAGAATAGCAGGGAAATAATGAAAATTTTAATATCAGATGCCAACTAAAATGCTTATCACTCCGTGTTTTCCAGAGAAAACAGATGATAATATAATCTGAAAAACCTTGGAATAGGTATGAGCACTGAGGAGAAAAGCTTTCATATTCAAGAAGGCTAGAATGGAAGCTGTGAAGCGGCACTATTCTGATATGTGTCTAAGCTCTTGCTTTGGTCATCAGATATGATCGAAGGTGAAGATTTAGAGGCGATGAAGTCAATATTTATCTCCAATTCCTGGTGCCTTATAGTGGGTTAATCGGATTTCCCTTTGGGTTAGACGGTATGTATATTTGCTGATTAGTTGAATCTTTTCAATACAGACAGATGGACTTGAGATTTATTTTGGTGGATTACCACTTCTATATCTATCATATATGAACAACTTCTTCAAAAGATCATCACTGTGTGTGGCATGTAAAGGTCCTTCTTCTTCCACCTCAGAATTTTCTTCTTATGCATTTATCTACCCTCAGCAGTTACCCCAGCCCCCAAATACGGCAGCGAATTCATCTTGGCTATTACACTTAGCTATGCATATATGCGAGATTTCGCAAACAAAGCCTCGGCCGGATGGTTTTCAAGGAGGAGTTATCTTACTATCGGGATCGCGATTTTATATGTAAAGCCATAGGTCGATTCTTGATACTCTATGGATAAGAGCACTTCATCTGCTTCGGCAGAAGCCAAACCTCGTCCGTCGCCAGATATATCGATTCTTTTCTACAGATACCGGCGTGCGTAGATTTTTAATATTTAAGCAAGGATTCGGTCGATTTCTCGAGTACTTATCAAATCAACAATGAAATGATCGAACACAAATTATGTGTGTTCAGATTTATTTTCTGAATTATACATATAAATATATACTTACTTAAGTACATAAGGGTACTGCTGGTCTAGCCGGACCCAGGATCGATATTATATATAGCCAGGCTTTACTCCACGGAGAGAAACGGATATTTATGATGGAAGAAACGAATATCATCTTCTATCTTACAACGTTTTACTTTATAAAGAGCATTCCGGTGGATATGAGAGTTAGACCTTATTCTCGTGCTTTTGTCTTGAAACGCATTCTTTACTCAAGAGTTCGGAGCTCCCACGGATGAAAAATGTTCAATTATATCTTACATACATCTTATATCACTTTTTGAGGCGGGGGTCCAGGAAGCGCAAAAGATATGAACTGATCCTTAAGCTCCTAGGATCGATCGATATCACGCCGGTGAGTGATGAACTGTATCGCCCTATATGCCCTGCTTTAAATTCCCAAGTGGAAGAGGGTAATTAAGTAAACAAAAGTTTGTTATGCAGAAGAAAATGTCATGAGTCCCTTCCTTCCTTCCCTCATTCTTAATTACTCATTGGACTGGACTAGACCTCCGAATTAATTGCAAATTGATCGGAATATACAAATTGGCTACTCGGGTGTACATGTTCATATAAAAAACCCGAATAAATCGGAGTTGAGGTGGGCTAGCAATGGTGAAGGTCGTTGGAATAGTTTGACACTGCACTGCATGCACTCGACTCAGCGGTGGTGGTCGTATATTGCTGGCCAACTACTAAGCCCCCAAGATAGATGGGGTGCTGTGGGGCTGGAATCAATCACATTCTTGAACCAGCTGTTTTAGAACCCTGGACCAGATACCGAACACCGTGAACGTTGCAATTGAAAATGTCTAAGAACGTTTATGATTGGCTTCAATCCCTTAATGCCGATAATTGGATTAATTGGTCAGAGATTGTCAAAGATATATGTAAATTAGAGGGAAATCTTGGCTTCATTAACGGCACCGAAGCAAGGCCTCCTGGCGCAGGTACTAATACCGTCAAATAGGACACAAAAAGGGTCAAATCAACGGTTTGATTAAATCCAAAGTTAATGCCAATAGAAAGGCTATGATTTGCTCGAAGAACAGAGACCCACTATAACCCGACCGACAAGACCCAATGTCTTACGGAAGACTTTCGACAGCTGTACCAAACTGTCTCGCAACTTCAAAAATGAAACTTTATGTCCGAGACTACCCTAGACCCATCAATTCGAGGAAATGAGGAATTTCAAAATACCGAGTACTCGAGCACGGATTCGGCACACCAATTGAGGATTAAATTAAAGGTCACATCTAGGAAGTAGAAAACGAGGATACAGTGACGGAAAATATTCTACGATCAGAAGAATCAGTTAGTAGAAAGAGGCGACTATTCGCCAGAGACCAGGAATTTCCAACATGCCCTATGTTCTAGCAATGTCCGAATATCCTATCCTCAGTGATTCAATATTTACCGACGTACAATATGACGATTTCCCAGAGTTTGTTTGCGCAGCTCACAGCGATTTTCAGGGAAACCTAAGCTATGCAAGCTTTGTTTCTCTGTACTCGATTTCTAGTCTTAACCCTGGATGTATCCCCGATCGAATCTCCCTTTTGAATCGGTTCCGGAAGAATGAGTTCACGCATAGCTTTTATATAATTGTTCGTAGGGAAATTGTCAAAAGCCGAGTCATTCGAACCTCTGCGGTTTAGGGTGTCAAAACTTAAGGATTACCAAAATCAAACGCATGAAAACTTGGGCGTAATCAACCGCCTTAGTGGTGGTAGGCCCTCGAAAACAATATGAAGGACAGAAACCGAAGATATACCTAAGTAGGTATATATATTTCTTTCCCTAATCTCAAAGAACCGGCGAAGAACACTATATCACAGCGAAATATTATTGCTCCCGACAATTAATGGACAATTCACTATGTAATGCCTTGAGTTCGGAGAATAGGTAGTTACCCTTGTGAGAATTAGCAGTTCAGTCGCATGAAGAAACAAATATTAAGTAAAGGTGTCAGGTATCTCGAAGAAGGACAAGGGATCGATATATCTTCCCTATGTACGGATGCGCATCATTGCACATCCGAAACCTTTCGTCATAAATTCCTCTGTCCATTCTTACTACATGAGTGTATTTCAGCTCGATGAAAATATACAGATATAGATACCACGGCTGCCAGGTAGACACCTTTCAAGAAAATCCCTGCGACTCGATGAAATATTAACTCCTAATTTTTGGTGAATACGACCACTAATACTCCAACAAGAGAGATATAACATAAGTTGTTTGGAGGTAGAGAGGGGTTCTAGTCGTACCCAAGGCTCCGGCCTGTCAAAACAGCTACATCTAGATCTATCTCAACCCCAATGAGTCCCCCCATGGCTATGCATAGTGCGACTTCACAATATTAAAGCTATTTCACCTCTCTCAAATCCAAGTCACCGAAATTGTGGCGATAAAATAAGCGCCTCTGATGCAAGCGAAAGAATTGTCATGGCTCTTTTACCAGATTTAAGTATTTATCTATTCTAAAAGCTCAGATTGCCTGATGCTCACTTCGATTTGGACTTAGAACCCGAGAAAGGGAGCTAAGAAGCGCATGAAAAGCAAGGCTTGCACCCGGATAATACTCAAAAATGAATTGGAGTTTAAATTTATAAATATAATCGTATCTATATCTACGATTCGACGAAGCCTAGGGGCGGCTGCGGCGGGAAAACACGAATTCAATTTGGCCAATTGGCCTGAATCTTTCAACCTTCTAATTCTTTGCTTAAAATAACACGATCTAACTGTCATGAGCTTGGGTTATACTAACTTTATCTATCTCGTGTACAGTCATCCTGCAAAACCTACCAGCAAACACCAGAGACCAAAGAGTGACACAGATACTATTTAAGTCTTATGACGGGGCTCGGTACTATATATTCCGAGTCTGGTTTCTAAATATACTGGGCAAAAGCTTTATGAATATATATATTTCAGGCATGCCCTCTATATCAAGAGTGGGACAGGAATATTTAAAGAATATAACATATCAATACGGGTCTAGGGTACCGTTCTAGATTGGACACCAAAGGATCTCCCTACAACCCATGAGTCTTTAGTCTACAAAGCTAGTGAAGATACCCTGTCCTGTGGTCCACATATGACTTAAATTAAGTTAATCGGCTCCCCGGCTCCCAATGTTTCAATGGAGTCACCTATAACACTTTTGATAATTTTAAACCCAATACCGAGTGAAGAGCCCAGATCGTCTAGATCTCAACCCTTCTCAGTGGTCGCTCCCAGATTTTCTATAGATCTAGGGCGAACTTAGTCTTGTTCGTGAAACATAGCATTCGAATTTATCTCCTCGAGTATAATAGGACTAAATGGGCCCCGTCGAAAATACATATGTACCACCGCAATCATTTAAATATGGTACCTGTAGAAAAAAACCGCCGAAGATCGAGGAAATGCGACAAATTGAACTGTATCAATCCTCAGTATATATACATAAGAACTGTCGGAAGTTTCATCCGTAGGAAATATATAACCCTGTTCCACGAAAGTATTTCATGGGTATTCCAAATCTAGTTCTCTTATCGATGTCACACTCCCTTCTCTCTCTCGCCGGCTCCATGCCGGCCATGAATCCCTAGACATTTGACGCGGTGTCACGCTGATGAATGATCATTCAGTTTTCAACTACTAAGACTATAACCTAAAGGAGATATGATTTATCTATACAGCCTTCTCAGTTAAACCTAGATCTCGACGAGGACATACTAGTTCTAGACTTCGCTGTCTGGTAGACTTCTAACAGTTTATCGACTTACTATTTGAACTCTCCGTTGTTATTCTTATTTCTAAGTCGATTTCGCTTTGAAACAATCAATAAAATATATTCTACTACTCTAAAAGTTTCTCGGAACAGCGCTGCAACTCTGCTGATAGTACGAAAGCAAAAAATACGAAGATAAATCTGGGCATAGCTAAAGAGCGAGTCAAGAAGAATGGTGTGCACTTTGACCTAGTCTCCCGACATGAGACTATAATACCCACGCTAAGGATACCTATATACAGACCAAATATGTTTTGATAGTCGATTGGTTGTACTCTTTTCTATTACTAAATTTATGGATCCTCGGGTTACTTTCCCGTGCAAAGATTATTCTTTCATTCTATATACGTAAAATAGCTCCGTTTGAAAGTGAAACTTCACAAGAACAAGAAATTTACTACCAGCTAGCTACTCTTTCTTAACAGGAGGATCGCAATTATCTAGTTTACATCGGTTAATCTTTAGCAAATAAAGCTTCCATCGAAAGGAACAACTGCGGAGAGGGTTTCAGGCGAGATATTCATTTTGGGTTAATAATAATATATTAATATTAGTTTCGAGCTTGGTGCCAGAGTTGCACTGTATACACAGTTTCGTATTACCATTGAATACCTATTGGAGTATTAGTCTCGGAGCTAGAGCTGCCCCAGTTGGAGTATATAGTTCCGACAACATATATTTAGTAGGACAGAAGTCCGGCTATATATAGCTAAGACCCCGATTACGTTAACCAGGATGGAGTAGCCCCGATGGACCAGAAGCTTCCTAGAGGTCTTATGTGTGGAAATAACGGAGACACCTTTTAAACTCGACTGAGGCGATCCACCGAGGGACCATGATATTTCGATTAATGTTTAAGTCCTGTGCATCTTTTAGGAAAGATTTCGACGTAATTTTGCGCTGTTACGGGAGTGATAATTACAATACCTGGATTCATTTAATATTTTGGACCAGCCACCACATGTGTGCTGGAGGTCTTGAGACAGCTCCCAAAGAAACAACTACTCGAGCTCGTCGATATATTACACGTCCTTACCGCGCGTCTAGTTTGCATTATCAGCCACCGACATTCTCAACAGATGCGAACGGAGTATAATTGAAAACCACGATTCAAGATTTCAGGGAAACCATCAACTCGAAACCTGCTATACGAGGGGATTCCTCGCAGCCGAATACATGCCCTCATGTTCTAGAAGGGGCTGGATTAAACGTCAAATGTATACGTACATACCTCCAAGGAAACCTTTCAACCATATTCAAATTCAAGTAAATTATTTTTTCAGTATTCCAATTAATACGGCTCAAAAACCCAAGGCAGTACGTACTTAAGTATCTTTGCATCTTTTAGAGGTCTTTTCATTCCTGGAAATCTTATAGCTTAAACAGCCCAACCGGTTCACATTTGTGGAGTATGAAGGATTCTAAGCTACTATAAATCTACGATCAAAGGAATGAATACACTGACCGCCAATGACTGAGATCCTACTAACAAGCCCGCTACACCTGGAAGAACGGCATTTTCGAGAATCAATCCTAAACCTCCCCGGCACGAAAGAATAAAACAGGACCTTGCGGATCTGTGGAGTGCCGGTTGTCCCAGACGGGATCCGGGATTTCCAGTTACTTCTCCATAAAAGTTGCCCCTCTTTTCTTGTTTAGGCCGGGCTATGTCTATATATCCGCATCTTTATATATACCCAAAATCCGATAGATGTGAAGGCCTTAAAATGTTGCGAATATCTGAGTCAAAATTCGAAAGAAAGAAAAATTACTTCCATCATAGGATCCTCAGTAGCGTCCGATCAGATTTATTTCGGTATAATCATTTAGGGATACGATCAACCAAGTGCGCTTCAACGACCATCCCAGATGCCTATGGCCAGTCCACTAATGTTCTGACCCCAAAAAGACATAATCCTATGGATAATAAGCCGGTTATAACTATTTGTTGGCACGCTACCAACGCCATCATCATAATGGTTATTTGGGCACCGCGATTCAAGTCGGAAGGATTTATTTTTAAGGCCTCGAAAGGATGGAGCGGACATTTATTTACAGCTGAAGTCGGAAAATCAAGTTTAACTACTCAGTTTGACAATGGCTAGGAAGATGACATGTCGGCATGTCATGGTACCGACCGGTGTACCTCTATAACTTATAATTAATCGACAGAGTACTCAATTCTCGTTTGTAATAACTAAATATACAGAGCGCAGATACTGGAAAAATGTTAACGTGATTTTTGATTATTTGGTACGTCGACTTGATTTCAAGATAGCTACCAATGGCAACCTCCCTCTATATATACCTTATATATATATATACTTTTTTTCCCGCGTAATTAAAGGAGCGCAGAAGCCGATTTAACCAATTCTACGAACTCAAGTAGAAAATTCGAATTCAAACCCCCGAGCGTTCTCAGAAGTATTATAGCTCCCCAAATCATGATATCATATCATTCTTTGTATATAAACAACTCTATTAAGCAAAAAAGAAATCAATCTTAACTCGTGGCCCCCCTTGACCATCATCTCCTACCCCTTCAAGATCTGAAACGTATCGATCTTCGCTATAGACACGACTTCGACGACCCAAGCTAGAATCTTTAGTGTTCAAACTATCCAACCCATTTAAAAAGCATTCAACATGCCCATGAAATTCAAAACCCAACCGCTTCCTACGAACTCTAGAATCTGGTCGTGGCAGGCATATCCTATTGATCTTTTTGAACGCCATGAAAGGACCATAGAGGTCTTCAAAATCTACTTCGGGTTGGCACCTTGGCGTCTTATAGTAGTAATCCAATTTTAGAGCTTCAATGTTAGGAAATATTCCGGCTAGTGTGCTGATTTCAAGAGGAGTGAATGGTGTGTCTTTCAATATACTCAGTTCTTTTAGCTTTTGTGACTGGAACCACGGTGCCGGAGTTGTGAAGATTGGGGTTTGTAAACGGACATAGTGGTTACAGCCGTATTCGCATCTTTTGGTGGATTCTATCTCTAGCTCCTCCAAGTTCGGTGCCAGGGCTAGAAGGCGAAAATAAAATTGGGTGCTATCTGGCGAGTAAGAGTCATCCATTCAATGAGGGTTTGAAACTCCATGGATCGAGATTTTAGCATACTCCAAGGAAACTAACAAATTCCCTTTGGTTTGCATATCTTCAATAAACTTCTCCACATCATTTTCAGTAGCTTGTGATCCCAAAATTTCTCCGGTTTCAAGAGATTGATGGGACATTATACTCTCAAAAGAATTCCCACCACACCATCGAGCCCCGATGTGAGACACTATAACTTCCAAACGCTTGAGGGTTTGAAAGAATGGGTAGGCTGAAATATGTTTTATTATCATTAAAAAAACGCTTCGCTGTAGTTGTGGGGGGATATAGTAGCTAAGGGATAGGTGTGTAAGGGCCGGGAAGTAATGTAGGGCGTTGAGCTTGGATTGGATGTCTGATATCGTATGTCCGCCAGTAAATTCCGCAAGTGTGGCAGAAATATCATGAGCCTTCTCACGGGCTCCGCCTATATGTTTAGCACACCACGGCTTTGCGAACCTGACGGATCTATAGATGGTTATTTAGTTAATTCACCTTTATTTTAACAAATTCATCCGATTTGACGGACAAAGTATTACCATAGTCAGTGTAATAAAGCTCAAAGGGAGTATATTTCACTTACCCTATCCAGGGCATATTTTGCCGGAATATATCTGTGTCCCGAAATAAAATAAGGTTTTTTGAGTCTATGGTAAGGCTTCGGAAACGTCGTTGAAAAGTAATACGATAGGCGGGTTTCGAAGAACGAGCAAAGTTCTGTAAGTCGTCCTCAGAAATATAAGACAGTATTTCTTCAAATAACTCTAAAGGTAGATCTAAAGGGGATTTAATGGTATCCATCTTTGAAATAGTGGAGAGCTGGGCGGAAGGTATTTATGATAATGTGGAGGCAACTTATACGGCGGGTTGGAACGTTGAAAAGAATAAGAAGTATAGATGAAACTGGTCAGGAGCTGGACTCAGGATATTCTCGGCGCAATATATATACCCATGGTCAAGGAGAGATCACCTAAGCCGTACCCTAAATCAACATAAGATCCCCCCTAATACGGAATGATCTGGTTGTAATCGTATCAGTATGTCGAATAACAATTCTAATAAATACTTAAGTAAATATAAATACCTAAAAAATTAGCGTAGGATTCACATACTAAAAGGCAATGAGAACCTGTAGATAGATTTTCGGGTGAACTTTTTGTTTTAATTTATTGTGGATATCTTCTAGCAGCTGACGGGTTGCCCATGAAGCTTATTTTGAAGGTGAATGAGGATATCTAAGCTAAGGTTACAACATGCAGCAGGGCTATTCTTGAGTCCATAACACGAGGGCTATGATCAGCGAGGTTAATCTGTAGATCCATGAGACACGTTGATCCCCAAAACTCAGTAATTATGTTTCCATAATTCCAGAAATAATAGCAAAACAACAACAAGTCTCAGAGCAACCATCAGCCATCGACCGTCAACTACCAGTCACAGCTGCAACGGACCAATCAACCATATCGTGACACAAGTACAAGCCTCTCATGATGCCGCCAGTTACCCCATCTGTCATCTACGCTCTCTCCAGAGTCCTTCCTTACACTCAAACCTCTCTCAAACCTCGAGATTCAGAACCCAGCGACGACGATGACAAGGGTACCTTAAAGATCGAACCCGATGCATTTCTTAAAGCTTTGTCACTGCTACTTGTGGAATGGCCTACAAATGAAATTACAGCAGTGGTAATGATTCGAGATCTGCCACATACAACAGTCCTCTTTGCAGGGTCCAAACCGTTTAGTACATCCGAAAGAAATAATTTTGAAATGGTTCAGCATTTCTTAGGCAGTCCAGAAGTAGTTAAATCTGCATCCTTTCTATTTTTGGCCATGCAACATTGTCACGCACGGATTATATCTCGAGCAGCGAGGCTAGGAGGAGTCGGAAACGCATTGGGGATTACGCTAGATACAGCAGATAGGGATTCGATGTGGACTCCGGATAGGGACTTTATGACTACTGTTCCGGACAGGGACTTTACGATGATCTGCGTTCCAGATGAGGAAACCGTTTGGAAGTATATTTTGTCCCAGTATGGCACTAAAGGACTGGAGAAAAGCTCCTTGAGAAGGGAAATACAGCTACTATTCCTCAATGCGCCAAGGTTAGACTCGTATAGACACCTTATAGAGGATTATCTGCGGATGGCTATGTTACTCTCCGAGGTTTTAACCAACGGGTTAGAGCTTTGGAGCACAGGGGCTATTGCTGGATTACCTTTAAGTAATGAGGATGGTGGAAAGTGTGGCGTTTTCCTTGCTAAAAAAGAGTTCGGAATGAGTGGGGCAGAGTTGGAGAAGGTTTACGAAGAGTCTGAGGTGCTTATGTGCAAGGTTGTGGATGCCGTCAGGGATGTTGGGGCTTATGCTAAAGGTGCTGAGGATATAATGGCTTTCATAAACGCGAATCCGGAGTTTAGGAAGTCGCTTCGAGAGAGAGAGACTTTTTTTTACGAGGTATGCACTTCTAACCCCTTATAAAAATATCAATACTAACCGATCGATGATTATAGGTTCCACCGAAAATACCCTTAATACCAGTTGAAATCATAGGAAAACCCGTCAACCTGATCAACAAGTTTTTACGAAAATCTGGAAGGGCAGCTATTACAGATGCAAGAATCATGAAAGCTTTCCCAAATTTACCGGAGTCAAGACTTGGAAGCACTAGCCAAACGGTGGCATGCAATGCCCATTGCGGAATTCACCTTATCTTGTCTGCCATAAGAAGGGGGTATTCAAGGCACCCATCTCATAAGATAAACATAAGCTACGGGTTTTCAGAGAATAGTTGCTATCTCTGTGAAACTTATATCGAGGTCTTGAAACGTCACTTGGTTGGGGAAGAATTAAAGAAATTTTTAGCTCCTCCTGAGAAAACTGAAACACGTCGACAGCAACATGATGAAGATTCGGATGATTTGTCGATGATTATGTCACATTTGAAGGGACTCACCGTCCAGCCTGGAAAGACCCTAAGAGGCTGGTTCTCGGGCGTGGCACAACTGGCCCCAGGAGTGAAGTCTTCAAATAGTGACCCTCCAAGGGAGCTCGAGCTGTCCGAAGAATCCACAAGGCAACAAGACCTTGAGCAAGAAGAAAAGCTGGAGAATCCCGGTTACTCAAGAGGATATAGAGAAATATGTGGAGAATGGCGATTTCCGAAAGGTACGCCAGGAGTAGTGGTAAGGGAAGTTGAGAAAGTTATTGAAGAAAGACTGCGGTACATTTATTCCACCACGAGGGCTTCTGAGAAGAAATCCGAGGACTTGAAAGCACCCGAAGACCTACCACCGACGATAATGGAGGCTCGCAATAACTTATAGCCTTCAATAGCATCTCAATAGTATTTGGTGTCGAAAGACTCGATATCGTGTATATAACACCCAGCTCACTGTAATAATAAGAATTGGTGTTGTCCTGTTGGAGGCTGACTCAGCGCCAGGCTCTCCCTTTTCGGGCAACTTTGACGTTCCAAAATAAAATTTTATCGATAGCAAAGCTACGACTCACAAATCCCACCTTGTGCGACACCTCATAAGCTCATTCCAATCCCATCTATATATACATATAGGACACCAGGCTTCTGCTTCGACAAAGCTCACTAAAGAATCAGAAACAAACTACCATAAGATACGAGCTGTATTGTATTGTGGTGAGTACCTGCAAGTTCTTTGTAAAGTTGTTATCACACGAGGGGTTCCCAAGAGAGTGGTGGCCCTTGCAATGTGGGGAGCTCAAAAATAGAGTCTCTGATACAATCAACTGGGGTCCCCAATTATCCCCATCCTGGCCAGACTAATCCCCAAGAATGCTCTGACTAAACCATTAAAGGCATCTCAAATTATAATTCTTACTGGTTTAGGTAGTTTGAGGGGGGTCCATTTGGTGGATAATTGCAGTGTTGTCAAAGACTCAACTGCAGAAATTTTAGCTGACCTAAATTGGCTACTATCCAGAAATATCTCCATCGACACTTAACCACCATCACCACCATCATCAACATCACCCCTTCTTCATAAACAACCTAGACCGTCCTTACCACTACTCGCTATCCAAGCTACATATAGCAGACAGCAGTACCATCGATACAACAGTCACAGAGTTATCCGTTTCTCCTTGCTCTCTCCGCTCCTCTCCTCCAACTTCTCCACCACCGACAATATGTCTACAGGAACCTGGCAGACGGGGATGCCTGAATCCCCTACTAGCTCTCCAGAGCTCCAACCTACATCTGACCTCCCAGTCGACAAGTTCGGCAATACAATCAAAGATGGCGACAACCTTGATCTAAACCAGGGCGAGGACGGTAGCGAGGAATCCGAATCTGAGCCAGAAGAGGCCCCAAAGAAGTCAATCCTCAAGAACAAGAAGGGCGCCGAAGCTCCACCAGAACCGCCAAAGCCCGAGCTACCACCTCAACGGGATCCTACCACAATAGACTTTACTACTTTGGACCCTCTCCATCCCGAAATTATTGCCCGTCAGGCTACTATCAACATTGGTACAATTGGACACGTCGCTCACGGAAAGTCTACCGTCGTCAAGGCTATCTCCGGTGTCCAGACTGTCAGATTTAAGAACGAATTGGAAAGAAATATTACTATCAAGCTAGGTTATGCCAATGCCAAAATCTACAAGTGTAACAACCCCGCTTGCCCGAGACCTACTTCCTACAAGTCCTTCAAGAGCGACAAAGAAGTCGATCCGAAATGTGAACGGCCCGGCTGCGAAGGTTCCTATCAACTGCTTCGTCATGTTTCGTACGTTAAATTTCTCCCTTTAATTCCCTACAAAAGGCATGTGGCTAATAGATCTGCAGCTTCGTCGACTGCCCTGGTCACGACATTCTCATGAGTACCATGTTGTCTGGTGCCGCCGTCATGGACGCCGCTCTTCTCCTTATTGCCGGGAACGAAGTCTGCCCTCAACCCCAGACTTCTGAGCATTTGGCCGCCATCGAAATCATGAAGTTGAAACACATCATCATTCTCCAGAACAAGGTCGATCTCATGAAGGAAGCTCAAGCCGAGGACCATTACCAATCGATCCTCAAATTCGTTCGAGGAACCGTCGCCGATGGCGCTCCAATTATTCCAATCTCCGCCCAGCTCAAGTACAACATCGACGCTATCAACTACCACATCGTCTCCAAGATCCCAGTTCCAGTCCGTGACTTCACTGCCGTCCCACACATGATCGTTATCCGTTCCTTCGACGTCAACAAACCAGGTGCTGAGATTGAGGAACTCAAGGGTGGTGTCGCTGGTGGTTCCATCCTTACTGGTGTTCTGAAAGTCGGCGACGAAATCGAAATAAGACCCGGTCTCGTCTCTCGTGCTGACGGCAAGATCAGCTGTACTCCAATCTATTCTCGCATTGTCTCCCTTTACACTGAAAACAACGATCTCAAATACGCCGTTCCCGGTGGTCTCATCGGTGTTGGTACCCGTGTCGACCCCACAATTTGCCGTGCCGATCGTCTAGTTGGTTTCGTTCTCGGCCTTCGCGGCCAATTGCCTAATATCTACATCGAACTCGAAGTCAACTACTTCCTTCTCCGTCGGTTGTTGGGTGTCAAGACTGCTGATGGAAAGCAGGCTAAGGTTACTAAGTTAGTTAAGGGTGAGGTTTTGATGGTTAACATTGGGTCTACAGCTACAGGAGCAAAGGTGATGAACGTTAAGGCCGACGCCGCCAAGCTCGTTCTTACTGGACCTGCTTGTACCCAAGATGGAGAGAAGATTGCGCTGAGCCGAAGAATCGATAAGCATTGGCGTTTGATTGGTTGGGCTAATATCGTAAGTTCCATTCTACCTATATTTTATATCAATGCTTTATGGGCATCCAGGGTCGCTAATTAAATATCTCAATAGGTCACTGGTGCCACTTTGGACCTCCCACCAGCCCCAGCTGTCCCGGCATAAACCTTCTTCCTATGTTCTAATAAAAGATGAAGTTTTTAAACCATACCCGGACAGAGTCTCATCCGTAATGAACCCTATGCCAACCAAAAAAGTTCTTTTAACCACAAAAGCGCTTTCCTTTTTTCCCTCCCGCCTTACATCTTTAAGACCTCATTGTTGATCGATGCGCCCCCCCTGTCATCTTACTATCCTCTTTGTTATATTTCCTTTCACTTTTGTCTCAAATATTATGTCTGACATGCACTACGTGGGAGTTTGATGTTTTTTTTAAACAATTTAAAGTAACTTTTTTTCTCTCGATGCCCTACCCTTTTTTCTCTTCGTCGACTGGCTTTCTTCAGTCACGGTGGGGGTTTCTCTTTTCTTTTTCTCTGCCCTCCACGTGGATATGTCATATACGATTTTTCTTAAGCTCCTTAGATTACCCTCCGTTACTCCGTCCGTTCCTTCCTTAAACCTTTACTAAGACTTTGATTCTCGTGTATGCTCGCATTCCGACCTCCTTTGTCTTCTAGGTTGCCATATGCATGGCTGACGAGACGGCATTTAGGGGGATAGTATAATGAACCCCTTTCCCCACCGTTGAAACTTAAGATTCCTTTCTCAAGATCTCATGCAACTGGTACCCATAACACTACCATCGCAGACATTTACAGCCTAGATAATGTCAGATAACTAGATCTTTGGGTTCTAGACGTAGTAGTATTAAGTGATATGCATAAACGGGTAGGAATGATAGTATATGCCTGTACGTAAATCTTGTACAGTAGTTTTATAGTAATTCAAACGAGACCCATGTCTTCCTTTTTCTTCTCCTCTGTATTATTATAAAACACGCCTCTATCCAGTATTTCGACATATAAGAAAAGTTAGAGTACACGAGCATCCGAGAGCCCAGGAGAACGAAAAGAAAAGAGAAGGAACAAAAAGGAACAAACTAATCAAAAGACGCCAGTAGGAAAGCAGGGCCCAGAAGTAAAATAAAAAAGGAAGGGGGAAAATAAACCCCCAACGTGAATAGTCAGTACTAAATATGTATCCTTCCCTGAGGAGATACCCCATCCATGAACAGGCGAAAAAAATAAACAAAAGTAAAGGGGGGAAAAGACAAAATACTAGAGAGGAAGTGTGTATAATCTACATCTCATAATCCTCCATCTCCATATCCTCTTCATCATCCATATCTTCCTCTTCTTCAGTAGCATCCTCATCCTCCAATTCATCTTCATTATTCTCTCTAGCGTCTTCAAAGACATCGTCTTCAAATTCGACTTCACTTCCAAATCCTTCATCGTTATCGACCCTCTTCCTCTTTCCATTTCCACTCTTTTTGGTCCCCGTTTCATTTGTACCAGCCATGAGTTTGTCTTCTTCCGCGCCAGGTCCTCTCTTCTTCCTAGCTCGGTCCTCCTCTTCCCACCTTGGAAGGCGTCGTCGAATCCTTCGGAGGGCAGCAGCGATACCAGCCGCTTCTTCTCCAAAGTCATCGACTTCATCATCCAAAGGAACCAACCCAGCAGGTCCTTTAGTCGAAGTTCCATTATTGTACTTAGCCCTCTTCCTTCTTGCTTCCTTCTCCAACATCTCTTCCTCGGTCTCATCTATCCTAACAATAGGATGCTCCAAATCGACTTCATCATCACTCTTGGCGAATGGATCCGGGAGGTCTTTGATCCTTAGCCAGGTGCGCTTCAAAACACCTTCTCGATATCGAGCTCGTCGTACGCGGCGGTAGTGTGCATTGATCAACTTATGTGTTTGTCTTTCAACTCTTCTACGTCGGTGTTCTTGGACCGCAAGTTGGTGTTGGGTTAAAGGTCTTGGGCGCTTTTCGCCAGGCTTCATATCAATGGTGGTTGGGAGGAGCCCCGAGAGTTTCAAGAGCTTAGGGCCGGCTAATCCCTTGGATAACAAGCCACGGGACGAAAGGCCACCAGGGCGTTTAGCACTGGCAAGCGCGTCCGGAGACATACTACGGGCGTCTGAGTCTGAGAGTTGGCCATCTTCGTAGCGGCGTCCACGAGCTGAGAAGCGGCCGTAGGCTGAGGTGCGGTCGGGTGAAATGTTAGATTTCATTTTTTTTCTTTCTCACGGGTGACGGAAATCTTTTTGTAGCATTAAGGGTATGGGTCGAAGTGTAGAGGGTGAGGAAAAGAGGAAAAAGACTTACTTGAGGGAACAGGTGAAGAGACAAAATTAGCGCCTGGCTCAATATCGTATTCTAGGGCACGTTAGTTAGTAACGCTCAGACACGAAAAGCAATCACAGCACAATGAAAGTGAACTTACTACTAGGCCGCTTTGGTTTCTTTGCCGTCGAAGATTTCGTAGGTATTATGCCGGCTTCCAGCTCTGCCATTTTACCTGGAAGATCGCAAGCGTTAGCTCATGCCCCTATCCGTGGGTCGATGCTTTCGTTATAGGGTTACAGCCGGGCTATTGCATGAAACTTATGCGCGTATAGAAGAGCCTACGACATTCGCGCAAGGGTGTTGCATCAAAGATATAGGCCTGGAGCAGATACTTACGATATCTCTCTTCTTTCATTTCATTTCCGAATACTAGTTCCTCCTTTGTATCCACATTTTCAGTTTCCGCTTGTTCCTCCGTCAGATGTTCAAATTCCGGAAGAATGATTGGAAGTCCCTTGAACTTCTCGTCGATAAACGATGGAAGTGTTTTATCATCATCTCCCTTTGCTTTGTTCTCCTTTTCCTTATCATCTTTATCTGATACCGAAGCCACACTCCCGCGGCGACTACCCATATCTTTCGTTGCATCCTGGGAAACACCCACGCCGAAAGGGTTTTCAACAGCATCTTTGGCTGTAAATCCACTTTCAAGGTACCACCACATCAACCACAGAAAGGCTTTCGCACGTGAAGCACTACTCAAAGTCCATCTCATAACCAAATCGAAGAAATCCCTGGGCTGACCGAAATGGAGCTCGGTCACTTTGTGCGAGTAATTTGCCAGCACGAATATTAAATTGATAGGATTGGTCCGAGGTTGCAATGGAACCTTGATGATCCCGTCGAGCGTCGTAGGTTCTCGACGGTCTTCGCAAGCTCCTTTCAGGATAGATTTGAGACGAGGGGCATCTTGAAGCTGCTTGTACGCATTCGGATCGACGTATGTTTGAAGAGCAGGGATGGCATGGTACGTTCGTAGCTGGGCTCTCATTTCAGGGAAGACTGATTGACATCTGATTAGACATATCCAGACGGGAAATTACAATATCGGTAACTTACAATTAAGGGTAGTATTCATTCTACCAATGTTGACCAGAAGGCAGACCATTGCCATATTGGTGGCCTGAGGTCTGTCAGTCATCAATTTGTCGCGGAGAATTTTACTCGTCTTGGAACTTCGGGCCATTGCGTCGATGTAGACATCCGCGAACGATTGGTTCTTCTCGCCGGTGTAGCTATTGGTGAAAACCTTGCTCTCATCCGTGAATATCGCGTGCAGCCAGTCAAATTGGATGTCCTTCCGCCATAACGGCTCTCCATCCGCTTTCTTGAGGTGCTTAATCTTGGCACCAGAGAAGGAAGTAGTGTAGTTTCGACGACCAGTGCCGGGCGGGTCCTTGGATGGTGTATCTTTCTCAGCATTCATCGCGGATGACATTGAAGCATCCACGCCTGTGTTTGTGCCAGCCGTGTCCGGACGTCCATCATCATTAGGCCGAGGGGTGGCTACCGAAGCCGAGGGCGAACCAGCAGACCCTCCAGCCTGGGGCCGAGGGGGTGAGTAGTCGATATCCATGCTATCTTTCATCATGCTATCATGCGAGCGTTTAGGACTGCGAGGTGATTCTTCATCGCCAGATCTGCTTTCGTGTTCGTTTGCTGGGAAGCTATCGCCGTTTGTCGTAGCGAACGACTGTGTAGGAGTTGCCTGAGAATAGGCGACAGTAGATGGCGGCGATGCCATTGTTGGACGTTGGTAGTTAATATACAGTTAAAAATAGCGCGTCTATACAAGGCCAGATGGATAAATAGGGATGCAAAACCAGAGCTTGTTGAATAGTTCTAACCCTAGCGGTGCGGTGACATCAGACTCGGCCAACAGCTTCGACACGAGGAGATCCAGTCGCGATGTAGGATTGGCCGGGGCTCGGTAGGATGGAAAACTCGAAGAATAAATGAAGTCTAACCAGGTATAGTTGATTAGATGGCGTAGGTACTGGTAGTAATCGATGGCGCGATGTTGATGATGTCGGAGGTTTAGGTGATTTGTCGCGCTGGGAAAGATGACGGCCGGGTCAACGTTGCCGCATCGCAATGTTAATTTACGGAATTGACGAAGCGAAGGTTTGGAGATGCCGCTAAGCACCTAACTTAGCCTCTCGTTAACTCCGACTTAAAGTCCGACTAATGCGCCACATTACACAGGTCACACGCCACACCAAAATATCACAAATACCACACATGGCTCTGTGTTGGACGGAACCCAGAATGCGCGAGACTGTTCCTCAGTCCGGAGACAAGAGTCGACGGCCGGCATCTAATCCACACCATATATAATATACATTTACTAAGTACTCTCTATGCACAAATTCAGGCTTCTCCACTAAAACTTAATATAAGAACTTCAAATAAATGAATATTTATTTACACATTAGCCTCATTAATATACACCAGATCCGTAAAAAACTACCAGAAGTTTTCAACTGTGTTGAAGAGTCTGGCAACGGGAGAAATGCCGACCACATAAATTTAAATCAAAATTGTACAAAGAAAGTTTGGCCCAACTGGAGAAGCAACGTAATAGCTCGAGTCTTAAAGTTAACTCGAATGTCATATAAACGGAACATAGGGGGGAGTGTCAGAAACCGCAGGGGGCCCCGAGGGTGAGAGTTGCCTTGAGATGCTGGTGCAACATCCCAAAATTTGATAGTACTATCACCCTTGGAACAGGATATAAGAAGCCGGTCGTCAGGTGACAAGAACATACAGTCGACTTTACCTGTATGACTACCAACCCTGACTTTCAAATCCCCCGTCAGAGCATCCCAAAGAGAAATAATACTCCCGGACGAAACAGTAAAAAGGGAAGCAGCCAGGAGCATGCTAATAGTTGAGAAATAAATGCTCGTTAAAGTGTCATCCTCGGTATGATGGGCGAATTTAGCTTGTAAAGCTCCAGTGCCAAGATCCCAAACCTCAATTGCAGTTGTTTTCCTTTCCAGCCTTGGTGCGAGACCATTTTCAAGCCATGTACCGGAACCGGATGAAAATGCTAAAAATTTACTATTATGTGAGAATGCCAAATGGTTATAATAGCCCCCGGTGAATTTAATTCGGAGAGATTTGGTAACGATATCCCAAACAAAAAGTGGAAGCTCGTTGTGCATGTGAAAGGCTAGGAGCTCACTATTGGGTGAAAAGGAAAGGTACGTCCCCTGAAATTTCGGGATCCGGATTGCATCGATTGTGAACTGTGTGTGTAAAGCGCCAGTAGCAGTCCTCCAAACAGCGATCCTATCCTCACTATATCCATAGGAAACGAAAGCTATGAGTGTACTATCAGGTGAAAAGGGATTAGTTATAGCTATAGTTACAGCTACAGAAGGGTCGCAATAAATAGACTCGCCAAGCAGAAGCCTAGTATGGAAGGATCCATTAGTATTCCAAAGATTGATAGCATTGCCATATATGTTAACATTTGTCACATAGCTGGACCTCGAAGACATTAAAAATCGATTGTTGGGTGATAGAAAGAGATATCCAGCGATATAGTCGACTTCAAATTCACAATCGGGCACTTGAAATACGGTAGAGAGGCCGGTATTTCGGAGCCAAAATTTCCCGGAAATAAAACCTGAGGCGAAGCAGGATGCTACAAGCGTTCCATCCGGTCCAAGAGCGCAACTAGTCAGATAGGAATATGTATTTTTCCCGATTGCAAGCTCGGTGTGTAAAGCTTTGGCAGAAGTATCCCAAACCTTGAGAGTACCGTCTGTTGAGGAAGATGCTAAAAGCGCACTGTCAGGCGAGAAGGATATAGAGATGATGCTAGCGTTGTGATCTTGGAATCTAGCTTGCAAAGTTCTAGTGGCAAGATTCCAAAGACTGATGGTATGGTTGCCTAAGCAACAGGCGAGAAGCTCATTGCTAGGTGATATACTAAAGGACTCGATCCAAGAACTATCCTTTAACTCCCCCCGAGAGGTTTCCATGATGACATCCCAAAGTGTAATGATACTCTGACTCGAAACATATGCCAAAAGCCTGCCATCAGATGAAAAGGCAAAGACAGGCTCTCCCAAGAGACTAAAAGCAGTCATTTCGGCACGCAAAGCTCCATTGTCAGTACTCAAAACCTGGATAGTGTAATGAATGTGACTGAATGACTCGCACTTCAACAACGCCAAAAACTTGCCATCGGGTGGAACGATGAATGTAAATTGAGATGGATAACGGAAATTAACTGCCAGCTCGGCATGTAAAGATTTAGTAGCAATATTCCATAATTTGATGGCGCGGCGATCATTCGTCTGAGAGAAATATGCTAAGAATTTGCTGTCAGGAGAAAAACCAACACGCGATCCGGTTTCGGGCAGCTCAGTATGTAAGGCCCCGGTGTCAGTATTCCAGAGCGCAATACTGCCTAAGCCGTAACCAATTCTGGAGTGAAATATGGATGCTAGAAGCCTGCCGTCTGGTGAAATTATCGCATCCTGGGGCTTGTGAACTTTACCAAGCGGAATTTCAGCCTGCAAGCTTCCCATACTAACATCCCAAAGCCTGCAGCTTTCACCGAATCCATCAGAGCCCATTTCCATTTGAACTTGCTTCTGAAATGCAAGGAGCTTGCCATCGGGTGAAAAAAATACCACCGTGACGAAACGAGGTTCTCCGTGCGGTTTGGAGCTCCTGGAGTCTAGGCCTCGCACTGGCCGAGCTTCGAGTCCAGGCCCGGGCTGCGAGCAAACAATACCGTCATCGAACACCTGCAAACACAAATTCCAGTTTTCTTGAATTGCCCGTGTATTATTTACCCATGGAGAAACCTCACCCCAGTTTTGCTGTCTGATCACGCTCTGCTTAGGACTAAACAGAAGGCAACTTGAGTATAGTTGCAAAGGCATCCTCCCAATTATCGATTGGTGCATCATAATAAATCTTTTTGCATCATAGATGAATGAAGGCAAAGTGCCGGCTAAATTCTTAAAATATTTCGCTAACTTAGCCGCTAGAGGTGCAGTGAACTTAAGTCTTTGGGGCTGACTTACTTTACACATGAACAGAAGTGACTCGATCATTTTTAAGCCTTCAGCCGACATACCCATTAAACTTAGAGCCTCGACCCAGTGAAGAAAGTGCTTTTGTAGGAAATTCAAGATAGTATGATAATCGTCGTTATTCGAAAAGCAATTATCGCCGTAGTTTCCCTCGAGGAAATGCCCCACCCAATGGGTGCAGGAATACCGTACACTTGCTAATGGGTCTAGCTCCGGTATTTTGAGATCATTATTTACCTCGAACTCTGGTCGGGGCAAGCTATAGATGTTTTTACGGAGACTTTTTGACATAGCCTGCAGGGAGTATGAAAACATGGAGTAATGGATGTATTTTGGACGGCCGCTGAAGAAATTTGCAAAAGAATTTTCCTCGAGCAGGAAATCCTTGGCTGATTGATGAACGAAATAGATCGTATTCTGACGAACAGTTAGGAAGGAGCCACAATCTTTGACTAAAGCTTCAATCATATCCGGTTCTGTTGGGTCGCTTTCAAGTTCGGTCAAGGCCGTTAATTCGGCTAGCTGAAGGGGCCGATATGCAATCGCCATTGTTGAGAGAATTACCAGACAAAGCCTAGGGTTTTCTCCTCGAAGACTTTTTATCTTTTGCATCATCAAACCATATAGTTGAGGCAAACCGCTGGGTATTTCTCTAAGCTTCTTCAGAACCGTTTTTTTGTATTGATAAGCACCTTGTAGTTCCTCTAGATCCTTCATAACGAGAGACACCCAAAGGAAGGTGCCATCCGCCTGTTTAATAAGTTGCTTGCAAACTTGATTACGGAATTCTTCGTCTCGTTCTGAAGGCCACAGCTTCAATACTTGATCGCCTATATACGCTTCAACGGCGCGAGACACAAGGCTAGAGTTGAGTTCAAGGCTTAGCCTCGAACCACCGATAGAAGCTGGAAGGGCCAGCTTGCGCTCAATATCAGACCAATTCCGACTTGATACGATCCATTTGATTTGAGGGGAACTGGAAGTCGACACAAACTTTGAAATCAAATCGAGGAGCTTCCCCAAATCAGAAACACACTCATCGAGCGCATCGATTATCAAGTAAACGGTGTTAGTAGGCTCTTGAACAAGATCGGATAGAATCGCGTCAAAAACCTTTGACAACCGAAACCACGAGTTGACACCCTCAAATGCCCCCTCTCCAACCTGGTCATAGATCTGCTGTATATGGGACCCAAGTGACTCATCCTGAAGGATAAGTGAGAATATCAGACCCCGCAGCACCGCTGTAGCATTGTTAATGCGCACGTCCGTACCCTGGCAGAAGAAATACGATAGATAAAAGCCATCGGTCGCCGAGTTATCTCGCTCTAATTCATTTACGATCCCACATAGAAGCATGGTTTTGCCTTTGCCAGGGTCTCCACTAATCCACAAAATGTGATACTGATCGTCATTACGCCATTTCTTGAAATCGGGGTTGTCGAGTATCCATTTGTAAGAATCGTCAAAGAGCCCTCCTTTGGTGCTTTCAATTCGTTCTTTGTCCAACCGAGGATCGGTTATATGTAACTCCCTTAGGGCAGGGTGTGAAAATCTGTAGGGACTATTGACGCGATTGCCATCATCCCCATAGCTAGAGCGAATTTGTTTGTGTTTAATATCGTTCCCTACATATATAATTAGTTGATCTTATGTAAATGTCAAATTACTACTTGATAGAAAACTGCATAATAACGTGACACCGGACCAACATACTTTGGATCTGGTCTACCCCGTACTTTGCCGCTTCCAGAGTACTCCTAAGGTAGCTTTGAATTGTCGTGTATGTTGGATCCTGGCTGCTTCTTAACTTGACTATTGTTGAATGATTTCCTTCGGCACGAAATAATTTTTCGAGCGGTTCCATCCCCAATTTCACCGAATCCCTATCCACTACGATTATGAGATCTCTTGTTCGGCCAAAAGTGCCATCTTCTTGCTACATCCTCATGAGATTCTAAGGTCAGAAACATAGATATCTTTTCCATAGTATATTCACATACCTTAACAACCTTGGGGGTCTTCTCAGTCTCAAAAAAAGAAAATATTCTAGTCCCTCTTTTTTTGATACGATTCTTGAAGACGTCAAGAATAGTTGTATGTCGGCTAGTTTCATAGGCTATATACTCTATCATCTTTTCGCCTTGGCCTGTTGGATCGGAGATTTCCTCTACCATCGAGCGGACATCGTCCAAGTTGATGCCCCGAAATGGAACACCAAAAAGAAAAATATCCGTGATGGATTTGTAAATGTGTTCTAGTTCTGTTTTTTCGGAAGACCGAACATATGCCTGCCCATCAAAATAGATATCAGCTACGGAGCCCAAAACAGAACTTAGAACACGGGACCCAAGCCAAGGTCAACACCCGAGGTGGTATGCTGACGTCCGACCTCGAGACCAGGCGGGTGCATACATGTGTAACAATGGTGCCGCCAAAACTATGGCCGATAATCACCAGAGGTCTATCTCGTTCCTAAATATACAAGTTTAATTTAGTTAATGCCTTCTTAGACTTTCAGGTCAGCTTTGGGAAAAGAATACTTTTGGTGTCTTTCTCGCCTTATCCAACTCCGTCAGGAAGCTGTCACCGTGGTCTTCAATCCACATTTGTTTCTTGCTTCGATACTTTGTATCATATCCGAAAGTCATAACTCTACAATCTTTCAATATTTCGTCCTTACTTATGAAGTCGCTCAGCCACATTTTGTCGTTTTCGGGGACATCGCTGCAGCTAGTCCACGATCCAAAGGCATGAGAGTTGAGGCCTGAGATCGCCACAATACTAAAAGATAGGAAGTTTAGAATTATTCATGTAGCTCATTGATTATGCATTTAGAACTAGGATTTTGAATCTAAAATATTGATAAAAATTGCGACAGTACTCACTCAATCTTCACGTCATTTGGGTTGACTGGGAATAATTGCGTAAGGCCATAAAAATCGGTGTCAATGAAGACGTCATTTCCGTCAAGTTGGAACCATGGCTCCGGCGTGGCTAGAAAAGACGGTACTTGTGGGCTTCTCGTCGCAATTCTTGGATGGTATTTGAAGATGGCGACCTGAGCCTGCGATCTATTACAGGCGGGTACGAGTTGAAAGTGAACAAGAGAAAATTCCTCAAGTTCTTCTCCAAGTAAGCTGTCAAGCTTAGATTTAAGCCCATCTTTGGTGGTGTTATGACTGATACATTGGGCCCTAAAAACCCCGCGGTTTTTGACAGTTGCCATCGTAGGTACTTCCGGGGGCCTAAAAATGCAAAATTATGCGCATCTAAGATGATTAATCTTGTAGATTTAAATTCAATATCTCCTCTAGTAAACCGGCTCTCTGAAAATTCGTATCCTGGTTGGACAAATCTCGAAGAAACTTCTTGTACTCGGTGAAGGCTCCAACTCCCGACCCCACTTAAGTACTTGTTCGAAAACTACGAACCACGAGGCTTCGAGAATTCAACGAATTCAAGCGAGGTTGTGGCAGAACAGCACATCATGCATCAAGTATCCCATATTAGATACACAGAAGCCCGTATCAATTCCTAAAGTATCTTAAACGTATTCCACGCCCAAGACTCTTATCTCGTAAACCAGAATTAATGCTGCTGCGAAGCAAGACTATGTTGAACGAACAAATATATTAATATTAATATATGGCGGAAATTGCTTCGCTCGCGCGCGAGGCTATATCAGATATGATGCGGCGCCGAGCAGCTGCAGGTCCACCAAAATCCTGCTACATAGGAATACAGAAATATAAATTTCTTAGCGTTAATTTTAACTAAACTTGAAGATTCAGGAGCTATTCACAGCCCTTCACGCGGATCTTTTTTTTTTTTTGAAAGCTAAGTACCCATAGCCGCAAATATGTGAATACACCTGACCCGCTTGCACATAATATAAACTGCGTTGTGTTGTGGTTTTCTTTGGTGACACGGAGATCTTGCAGACCGATTAGTTTAGTGTTGAGACGTCGAGGCTGGAGATATTGATTGATACGCAGATTGATACGTCGGATCGGCCCAGAGTCAGCCCTCTAAGATATCTTATATCTAATCTTTAGCCAAACGAGACTAATCAACTTTACAAGAATAATATCTCTAACATTTTCTGGAAGAGAATGCTACCACATTGAAGAGAATATTAGTACCCTTGTCTATTTCTTCAATTTCAGCCCTACATGCGAGATGTCGACACCGGCGTAGTCCGCTCTATAGATCTAGATCTAAACGTATATTATATTAAAGTCCGCAATCGGAAAACATTCCACATTTAGGTTGGCGCTCCCACGACACTTCCACCCGTTCCTTGATTTTAGTAGATCTTTGAATCTATAGCTGACATGTACTAGCGTGGTGATAATCAGTCTTGCTATGCAGAATAAATCTCCAAATCTTCGGGGCTAACTTGCTAGCTAGGCGGGAACCTGTATGCATCACCAAAGGAATGTGAAAGCGAAAGTATATACGCACGGGGTCACACAACCACCACCGCAAGTGCCACGATATGCGTGTATTGCATATTGCGATATTATTCGATATTCCAAGAAATTTGAAAATCGGGGTCTAGCCAATTATCTAAACCCCCGTTTGCGATTTGGATTAGAAATGCAACAATGCGTGTATCCTTTCCCAATACTGATTCTGCGAGGCTGGATCGATGCTCTCCTGGCTACCCGAAGTGGAACATAAGAACTAGCTCCTGCAGTATAGTTACTAGTATTAATATTCCGAGATCCCCGCTTTAAATGTCCTTCAGCTCCGATTTTTTTTGACTTTGCTGTGCGACGACAATCTTAAGCCAAACACGTCGATTCAACATCTCGATCAATTCCAAAACATCCTCGAGTTTCAACACGAGGATTTGGCTTATACGTCTAAATATTATATATCTATTTTTATAAATTTATTACGGGGAGAAAAAATAGAAAGAGAAAATGCCTAATAACGACCGAACGGAAAGGATTCTAATATATATAGGCAGGTCTATGAAGAGATTCGCTGAGCTACTCGTGTTTCGAGAATAAAATCAAGTCGTTTTTCTAACTAAAAAGATTCGGTTCCATAGTATAGTTCGCCGCGAGCTTCGCTTGACCGACAACCCCATTCTCCACCACATCTCCGAACTTTTCTCTAAAAACCGCACTCCTTTTACCCACCTTCTCCCTGTATACGTTTTTCCAGCTCGTCAGATAGAAATTTCTGGTTTCCTGGCTCCAAATGTTGATATCACCGATGGAAGTACCAATGACATCACTAATACATCAGCCTCAAAACCCACTTCAAAAGTGGAATCACCATATCCACCCGCCCGCAGCGTAGTCGGTCAATTTCCTCGATGTGGACCCCACCGTGCAAAATTCTGGGCAGAGTCGGTGTGGGACTTTAAGACGAGTCTGGAAAGTATAGGAAGCGGACTTGCGATTAGAGTTGGCAGGATAGACGATATTCTGGAGAACATCCTAGACTATTTTAAAAGTGGGAAAGGAAACTATGCTGCTGGTGTTAAGTGTGAAGTAGTTGGAGTATGGATTACGGCTGAAGAAGGGGTAGCAGAGAAAACGGATGAAAGAAACGTTTTTAGGGTGGCTGGGATGAAAGGCGTAAACATCAGGACTTGGAAAGATGAGAAGTTCCTCGTCGATGAGTATGCTTGGATATACCAAGAAAAACTGCAATAGCCAAATTACTAACTTTTACTTCAGTCGAGATCTAATATACATGACACCGAAGGAAATCCCGGATACTTTCTCCGAATTCAAAAAGACCGTCGGCCCTCTTCGAGATGCACCGCGAAAGCCTCTACCTCCACCAGACATGCTACCTCCTTTACCAACAAGAGTTCCACCGCAACCAACCCCTTTCAAAGTCCCTAATACACTTGGGGGCTGGATATCCGGGCTCCTAAAGCCCCTGGAGGAGAATCCCGTGGCTATGATTACCCCTTCCTACCCAATTAGTGCAAAATCACAACACACATACCATGGCGGCGAAGCTTATGCTCTTGAACACCTCAAAAACAGTATATCGTCGGGTGCAATCACTAAATTCAGGGATCCACGTCGGGGAAATATCGGTGAGGACTATAGTACTAAACTTGCTGCCTGGTTAGCACTTGGTTGTGTTACAGCCCGACAGATCCATGACTATCTCGTAAATTTTGAAGAAGGAAAAACGCAAGTAGGTCAATACGCTCAAGGGTACGCAGAAGGTGAAAGTAAAAGTACATCCGGGATTCGGCTTGAGTTATTATGGCGAGATTATCTTAGACTCTGTTCCCGAAAATACGGCTGCAAACTGTTCAGACTAGAAGGACTCAAAGGAGAATTGGATCGGCAATGGAAACATGCGGACAATATTGATGTGAAAGAACAGATTCAAAGATTCATAGAGGGGGATACAGGAAATCTGATCATAGATGCGGTTCTTAGAGAAATGTACTTGACAGGGTATACATCTGACAGAGGAAGAGATGTTGTGGCTAAGTACTTTTCAAAACAGCTTGGAATAGATTGGAGGATTGGAGCAGAGTGGTTCGAATACTGTCTTGTAGACTACGATGTTAGTGAATTTTGGGGCAATTGGCAGTATTATGCCGGGGTGGGGAACGATTCTAGCTGGGAGGTTCCACCTATTAGAGCTGGCGAGGTGCAAGAGGCATATATAAGGCAGTGGATTGGTGAAGATTTTATCTGAAAAATTCAAATTTTTTTAACTGACTCGAGAATCAAGCTCCATCTAAGAGATAGTTCAAATCTAAGTATCAATAGTACATGCATCATTTGCCGGTAGACATTATTTGCCTTATCGATACTGCATCTCATATCTGAGGGAACTCGAAACCATCTCGACTCCCAAATTGGAAAAACCAGGTTTGTGTTGCCTTAAGTTAGATTGTTGCAAATTGTGCGTTGTATCCCACATCCCTGCAAATTACAACCAATAATCTTCCTTCGCCAAATTTTCTTCAATCTTGTGCGCCGTCCACCCTTGAAAGCTCTCTCTCAACGACATTTCGTCCACAAACCCACAGCTCTCTTCCCGCCTCGTTCCAATGCAATCAACCTATCTACACTATTACAGAAACCGAACATTCACCCGAAAGGTCCCACGCTGATAACTACCGTCGATATACTTCTTTTACCTAACCTTATAACGTCTATTACGTATTACCATCGTTTTCGTGGACTAGTAGCTACCTAGGTGCTACCCCAGATTCTTCAAGATGTCTCGACCAGAAGATAACCTGTACGTTTCTTAAAGTCTAAACTTATAGTACAGTCCAAATTATACTTACAATACCATAGCCCACCAGATCTGTTCTACAATGACACCGAATCTCGAAAATACACCACGTCCTCCCGTATCCAGAACATCCAAGCCAGCATGACCAACCGAGCCCTCGAACTACTTGGTCTTGAGACTCCTTCGTTAATCCTCGATATCGGCTGCGGTTCCGGTCTTTCCGGAGAAATCCTCTCGGACGGAGATCCGGCACATACATGGATAGGAATGGACATTTCACCGTCTATGCTTGCTGTCGCATTAGATCGAGAAGTCGACGGAGATTTGTTATTGGGTGATATGGGACAAGGATTGCCGTTCAGAGCTGGTACTTTTGATGCAGCAATCAGTATATCGGCTATTCAATGGCTGTGTAACGAAGACGAAAAGGGCGTAGATCCTAAGACTAGATTGTCGAGGTTCTTTGATAGTCTTTATGCTTGTTTGAAGAGGGACGGGAAGGCTGTTTGTCAGTTTTATCCGAGAGACGAAAAGCAGCGGGATATGATCTGTTCTGCTGCTATAAAGGCTGGTTTTGGAGCTGGTCTGTTGGAGGATGATCCGGAGACCAAGAATAAGAAGTTGTACTTGGTACTGACGGTTGGTGGAGAGGGTAATAAGGATATTACTGGCGTAGTGAAGAATATGGATGGTGTGGATGTCTACGATAACCGAAAGAAGCTGCTGGCTAAGGCAAAGGGCGAGGCTAAACATGGTACCAAGGCTTGGATTATGAAGAAAAAGGAAATGGACCGACGGAAAGGAAAGGTAGTGAAATCGGATTCAAAGTACACAGGCCGGAAGAGAAATATCAAATTCTAGATTACACTATACATCGGAGCTATTCCATTGATCGGTGGCTCGGGACGAAGTTACGACTTGCCAAAAGTTTTTTTTTTTCACTATACATTAGTATACCACAACCTATAAACGAATGAACTCATTCTGATAGATCGCACATTTGATTTCTGATTAATTAAAAACAAATAGACAAATAAATTTTAAAATTGGGACTCGGATTTTGAGCAAATGGTAGGATAAACAAAAAGCTTGTGGGCCCCAATGAAATTTCAAAGTCAGCCTCACTCATCGGGCTCTTACACTAGTTTCAAGATTGCTCATAGATTAAATGAGCATCATGCCTTGTAGTCTTATCTAGCCCATCCTCGACACCATAGTGGCTCACCAAAAGTGTGCTCATATCTCCAGTGAATCTCTGCACGAATCCAACAGGTTGATCATTATCATCGAGCAATGTCAACTCGACCTCTTGACCGTCCTCGATAACCCCGGTCTTTGCCCGGTCTCCGTGGATTCTGAAAACCCAATTTGAAGCCCGGTTCTCCTTGCAGTAGAAGCAGTACGCAAAGTAGCGGCCTCTCCAAGATCCGTGATCATCTGCAGCCAGATACATATTGAAGGCACGATTGTAGATACGGTATGGAACATTCAATTCCAACTATTTTCAGCAATATTAGTTAGAAGTCTGGTTGTTATCGGATCGAAAAGAAAATAGAAGGAGTTATTTACCCGTGGTGCTCTCCCAAGGACGGTCTCCACTTCGACTTCGAAGCTACAGCCATTATTAAAAACATCGATTCCCACATATTCCTCCCAGCCAACTGTAAAAGAATCCTCCTTCATGCGACTTTTCAGTGCCGCGACATGCTCGGAGACTAATTCTTTTTCCTTCCAACCATCTGCGTTTTCTTTTAACTCGTCGCTATATTTATCCCATACATAGACTATGGATTTCATTTGAATCAGTATAGATATTTCCCACGTCGCATGCCACGTTGTTTGCGGCTAATGTAGGCTGGGGACTTACAAAGTCGCTCCCTGTCCTTATTCTTTCGCAACCCGTAATACTCATCATTGGCACCCGGGACATTGTTCGCTTTCAATCTAAACTTGCAAGGAACCCTCTTTATAGAGCCTTTCATTATGCCCGCGAACTTATCAGGGATGTGCTTCCATTGTTGGAACTGTCCGATGAAATTGCCAATGGGCATAACGTCTTTTTGCTATTCGATGTCCAGGTAACTTTGTCAGAATCATGAAGCTCAATCAAGGATTTTCCAAAAAAAAAAAGAGCTTACGTTGATGACTCTCCAGTTCTGGAATGGCTTAACAGAAGGGCACCAAGCAGGTGGACTAATAAAAGATATATTCTATTAGCTCAAGGTCCAGACTGAAATAATGATATCGACTACAATGAGATTCGGATATCAGAATCCCCAAAGTTCACTTACTTATTACACAATATAGTATCTCCACCTTGTGCTTCCCAAGAGAGTTGGCTGCTCATCGAGCTTGATTTATTCTCAGTTGTATCGACTGAGCTTTTTTCCTTGCTATAGCTCCCCGAAGCCGAAAAAGAGCCATAAGAGAATGAGGCAGCAGCAGACCACTTCATAGCGTTTGCAGTCTTAGTAGAAGACCCTTCCTCCTCGGAGGAGAAGTGTTCAGAGGCGAAAAGTCTTCCTCCGAGTTGCACATTTCCTGCAAAGAAGTGACCTGTTTCAAAGTTAGACAGTCAATTCGAACTCAAGCAATTTTTAGGTAAGTGAAAGCTTGAGAATACCATAATCATGGTGAAATTGGACCAAGGAGTCCGCATCGTGGACTTTGTTCAAGTCTTTGGCGCATTCTTTAGTTAATTCTAGACCTCGCGGATCCAAATGCAAGATAGCCCGTGGGAACTAGACAAAAATTAGCGCTTCGTCTTGTCAGGAAACCCCTATGAGGTACAGACGTTGTATGTGATATTCATAGACCTCGTAGAGCTGGAAGATGACCTAGCTAGGGCCTTGCTCTCGCTGTCACTAAAGCCACCCTTGACGGAGAGACTAGCGCCGAAAAGCCCTCCTCCACTATACACAAAACGCTATAGCATTAGCTTCCAAATCTATAACTGGTAGAGCTCCTAGTTACACTTACGCGGACGCTTCGATATCTCTTTGTGAGAATGAACTAGAAGCCATGCTGTCGGACAGGGCGCTGGCAGTCTCGAATACGTTGACATAGGACTCGTCGTTCGTAACATAGATTGGAATTCTATATTCTTGCTATTCGGTGTATGGGGTGTTAGAAGAGATATCTCGGGTTAAATTCGTATTTGATATTACCTTGACTACAATCGAAGAATCCGCTACATCGAGGGAGTCGATATGCCTCGCCTTAATTTTAAAGGCTGTTATCGAACGTATGGTTAGCGCACGCTCTTGATTTCGAGTACCCTAATTCTTTTAGTGAGATCTACTAACCTGAGAACGGAGCCCTATCGATTCTTTGGAAAGTGCGAGAGCCATTGGTGTTCCTAGAAAAGACGATTCTCTGGCCATTCAAGAAATTGGTGTTTCGGAGAACAATTGTCCAGTCTTTTTCTGACATTGTCGCCCCGGTGCTGTTCGTCGTGATATAGTTAGCGAATCGATTAACCCAATAAGAGGGTGCCTGATCGATGCAGTTTAATGACGGGGTATTCAGATGACTTACACAACCTCGCCACTTGCAAGGGCCTTGAAACTTTCATGCTTATAGGTACTCGAAAGCTCCTTCAGAGTGGCTGCAATGAGTGCTGGTTGATTTTTCTACGTTTTAACGCAAAATTTAGCCGTTTATATAACAAATTTATATGTAAGAGTGATCCGATATTTATACGTACCACCAAGTCCATATCCAGCTTGCTGTTGAGGAGTTCCTTCGTAGACTCGCTGAGCTCCGTCATTTTCTTCTTTTTCGTTTTTGGGGCCTCGAGGTAGATATCGTAGACCTTCATTTTCGAAGACTCCTCTTCTTCATCATCTTTATCCTCGGCTTTTGCTACATCCGTGCTCTCTGCACCACCTGTCGCCCCCTCAACTTTATCCCCTTCTTTCTTTGTGGTCTTCTTTTTAGCGGGACCCTATCCTAGAATTTTAGTCTTCTACAACTATGGAACGAATATAAACCGTGCAATGGTAAGTTCAATAGAAATGTACCTTGATAAGACGTTGATAGACACCGAACTTGGTGCCGTCGACCATGCGAGCACCATCCTTCGTGCAGAAAGCAAGCCTCGCCCTATAGTAACATTAGCTTCGAACGTCCCTGGACCAAAAGACACGAATAGACCCCAAAAACCACGTATGAACTTACTTGTCTGAGTCAAGCTTTTTGTCTTTTACAAGGTGATCTCGGATAGTTGAGAGAGGAACATCATTGGTGATCTCCTCTTCGACACTAATACAATTCGTGGACTTTGCAGTGCCTTCGGGCTCAAATATTTTGACATTGAAAAGAGTAGTCGACATGATTCAATTCGTTGTGATCAAGGCCAAAAAAAAGGTATATATTGATATTTTTTATATTTTCTCGCCTATCAATATAGAGAATGGTTTCTAGGATGGTAGGAGACTCTGGAGCTTGTTTGACAAGATAAAGAGGCATCATAGGGTGATTCTGCTCTCTTTTATATTCCAAACTTCCCCGCGCGAGATGCCTCGACCCTGAAGCTCCTGCTCCGGAGAGCCATTACGAGGAAGCCATTGATGCATTGCGATTTCGCACATCTGAAGAATATGACAGGTCATATCGTATTGAAAGATAGTAGGATATCCTGATACAAAATGATTTGCAATGCATCTACCGGATTTGAAAACTAGAGCTTCCCCTCAGCGCTTCATCAAGTGACCAATAGCAAGTGCCTCAACAAGCTCAACAGCTCACAAAAACAGTTGAGCTTCGTTATTTCGATACGGCAACCGCGTTTGTTGATCGATTGGAATGGTTTTATGATCCTAGTCTGATCTCGCACTCGATTCTGCATGCAGACGTAGCGGGCACGGCGTAAAATGCAAGATATTCAGCTCGTCGAGGGGCCCTTTAACTATATTTCGCACTATGCTTGCCCCGCACCAGCCTGTAGCCAGCCAACCATATTCAATCTAAGCAATTCTACACGGGTTGACTCTGATGAATTAGTAGTGGGATTCAGCGGGACGGGAAAATCTCCGGATGATCGCAACTTAATCTGATATTGTGCATATGCAATCTGTTTCACGATACTAACTCGTTGTAGTTAATTTTATATCATGAAATCTGTACGAAGACGCAAACGAAAGCGTGAGTTTTTCGAACTGCAGGACCCCGATATTTTTACTCGTTCGGTTGATCAAAGGATCTCTAGATCTGCTAATTATCTGACGTAGTTACGCAGTTGTGATAATCTTGAGGCAAAGCCTTAGACCAATGGTTTTTCTAGATCAATTGATAGAGGTGGGTCTCCGACTGCGAATACTTTTTTTATCGGAACCCGCGATTTGCTCGCTCGCTTCAGATCGAGTTGTTTTGGCATCCCGGACTAAGCTAGATCCCGAGTTCGACAGTATCCCAATTCTGTTGCCTGCATGCTTTAGTGCGTATTTTGACCACTTACTTTTCAATTTAATTTTCAATACTATCACCTGCATCCCAACCCCTCAGCCATTGGCGAGGTTGGTAACAACCATTTGAAGGGCAGTCGCATTCTACTTGCCCTGGATTCAAGAGACCAGTAGGTAGGCGAGAACAAATATGAGACTGGGGAAAGAAGAGGCGAGGCTGCCTGCAGCTTCAACCCACTTCTTTATGGCTCCTTGGCAGATACATTCAACGCCTAAGATAACACAAACAAGAGAGCTCTCTTTGCCCTTGCTTTTGCTGAGATTTTATCACTTCAGTGGTAAATCTTAGACTCCCGGGAGGAGGCTTTGGCTCTTAAACCTGGTGAGTAAATGGGGCCGTGTCGGGAATATCTGTATTATTGAATGTGAAGCGAGACTTTCGTGTGTCTAGCTACCTAACGCCACCGTAAATAAAAAAAATTATATCACCATGGAAATGATAATGTTCGGCCATCAATACATTCTTTAAGTTTCAACAATGTGTGGGTAGACTCAAAAAGCGCCAAATACCGTCGGGGTAGCTTGTAAACTACTATAAAAGGACCCACGCCTCCATACGGGATCCCCGCCACACTTTATAGTCATCTTAGAGGGAATCCCTGGACTACCATGGACATCCTTGAGCAAGATTCTCGATTCTTGGTCGGAATTTCGATGTTTCGTTTGCTCCGGAATCAAAGCTAACATGTTTTGGGTATGTTACTACTGCCACGGGCTAACGGCAAAGGATTCTTAGGCAGGGATCTATGCCAAGAGTCAGGGCGGACTTTCAGATTGATCGATTGCCAATTCGAGGGTTTCCAGGAAGGTCGTGGCATCCGTATTCATGTTATCCTTGCATCCGAATACTACTTTGAGGTCAGATCATGTCTATAAAGAGTATATCCACGTGCTTCTTCATATCATGACATTGTAAATAGATGTTGCGTCGAGGGGTAGGCAACAATAAATTGGATACCAGGAGATTCCCCTTTTCATTTAGATCAATGCCACTACCGCTGAAGGTCGGAGAGACTTACATTTGTCTATATGGGACTCTATTATATAATTAAGTCGTAGTTAAGGACCCGATCGAATGTTGTTTTGATGGTCAAGGCGAGCATGCTGAGAAGACCAAGGGCAGGTTGAGATTCTATTACGAAATGCTGGATCCATAATTGACAGCACCTTATAATAGCACTGCTCCCTATCACATTCGATTCTGGCTGTCACCTCAACAGTACTACCCCGAATCATTCAAACCCAAAGTCTAGAAAACTTACTTCGACATCAATCGCGATCATGCAACGACCTCAACAAGTAATCACGCCGGTCGCTCCCGTCCAGTTCAAACGTATTAGAAATGGTGCAACTGTGTTCGCAGATTTCGGCGCTGATGTCTACGGAAACCTCCAAATAAACATTCCTCCTCCCGTTGCTGCAACCACCCTCGCAATTCGCCTGGGCGAGAAATTAGACGCGACAGGGGCTATCGATCGAAGGCCATACGGAAGCGTGAACTATCGATGGTTGACGTTGGTTACACAGCCTAATAGAACTGTGTACCAGATTGATATTCCTCCAAAGCCACGGCACAGTAACCCGCAGGCGGTGCATATGCCGCCCCAAATAGGCGAAGTTACCGTTTTCCGTTATGCTGAGATCGATAACGCCCCGGCCAATTTAAATGCAGAGGCCTTGCATCAGTTATGGGTGCATACTGCCTTTGACGATAACAATAGCTTTTTCAGGAGCTCCAATGATACGCTAAATGCTGTGTGGGATTTATGCAAGCATACCATCAAGGCTACTACGGCGTTTGGTGTCTATGTTGACGGTGAACGAGAGCGTATTCCATACGAAGCGGATTCGTACATCAACCAGCTTTCGCACATGGCCGTTGATGCGAATCCTGAGGTGGCTCGATACACTTTCGAGCACATGCTCAAAAATCCAACTTGGCCGACAGAGTGGAGCCTGCACATGCCAATGATTGCAGCATTCGATTATATGTTTACAGGCGATATTAAATTGACCAGCGACAACTATGAGGCTCTCAAGAAGAAACTATTGATGGACAAGGCTCGTGGGGATGGTCTCATCCGTGCGCCAGGAATAGTAGACTGGCCGGCTGGGGAGCGAGACGGCTTCAATGACGGCGACCAACAAAATCAATCTGGTCCGGAAATAAATACCGTCGTCAACGCATTTTACTACCATGCGTTACTGGAAATGGCAATTGTCGCAAAAGCAGCTGGGCGAATTGAAGATGCTATTCTGTTTAAATCAAGGGCAAAGGCAGTCTGTAATGCATTCAATGCCGTTTTCTTCGATCGGGCACGGGGTATTTACGTCGATGGCGAAGGTTCAACTCATGCGTCGCTACATGCAAATATGTTTCCCCTTGCCTTCGACCTCGTTCCGCGAGGCTATCAAAACCAAGTCGCAGATTTTGTACAGTCGCGTGGAATGGGATGTAGTGTCTATGGTGCTCAATACCTGCTAGAAGCGCTCTACAAAGCAGGAAGAGATGAATACGCATTACAATTGATGACCTCACATAGCGACCGGAGTTGGTGGCATATGATCGAACTTGGTTCAACAATGACACTTGAAGCTTGGGATGTAAAATACAAACCAAATCTTACGTGGAACCACGCATGGGGCGCTGCTCCAGCGAACATCATTTCACGGTATATCCTAGGCGTTCGTCCATTGAAGCCCGGTTTCGAAAAAATCCTGATCGCACCCCAGCCAGGAAGTTTGGAAGAACTACACGGCAAAGTCCCGACAATGAGAGGACCCGTCTTTGTCAAGTTTCAACCAGGCGTTCTCGAAATTGACATTCCGGAAGGAACAACCGCTCGTGTGTTGATTCCATACAAACTGGCACAGTCGCAGCAATTCCCACCCCAACTTTCAATCAACGGGATAAAAGAGTCAGCTAAAGCAGAAAGCGGGTACATCGTCGTCGATGAAGTTGGGCCAGGAAAGTCAAGGTTTGAATTTTAAATTTTGATCAAAGGATTTTTGAAAGAAAACAGAATTGCCATGCCTCAAATACAAGCTGGCTCCGCAAAGACAGGTTAAAAAGAAGATATATACGCTGGCCGCATATACGACGGATCATGTGGGCTACCTACCTATTTTACGGCGGTTACCGACTGGTCCAGAACTCCAAGGCTGGTTTAAACCAACCGATTTTACTTTCTTCTCGTGTTACATATTATATGTGTACATATCACTTAACAATTTTACTTACCTTATTAATTATCCTCCCTATAACTTGATTTCCAGTGGAAAAAGGTTGAATATAAATATCCCTAAAAAAAAGAATGAAGAAAGTTTACAAATGGTATGTGTCTTCGAAATGGAAAAGTATCAAGTAGAAAGGGAAATGAGGGAAGTGAGTAGACCGGTGCGCTTGCGCAATTGCACGGATCTATACGTACATACGACCGCACAAACAGGCGAAGATACTCTGGGGACTAGCCAGCAACCCCACAATATCTCCGGACAGTAAACGTTAGTCAGAGCGATTAGAAGCTACCTACTAAGTACCTAGCTATGGTGTACGAAGATCCAAATATATTAAAGACTAATGCATATAACAACTGAATAGAACCAAAACCTATGACACCAAATTTGCAAACGTTAAACATGTGAAAGTCAAGCGGGTGAAATACAACATACGAAACACGCTCGAGCTCATTCAAGGCCCCAGGAAATCAGCTGTAGCCTATAACGTATTTGGGAATTCCAACATGCATGTGCATATTTTAATGTGTTATCGATAATTATCGTACCGCGTCTCCACATCCCCAGATCACAGATCCCTCTCTCTCTCTCCACTATGGCGTATACTAGATTATTTCCCTATAAGGCAGTATATATTGCATGCGCTCTCGACTCCAAATAAATTAGATTATTGAAAATATGTGTACAAATACAGACACCCCCATTGCGATTTCATAATCACCACGTGCAAAAAATAATTTTGGGGTAAAACGGGTTAGTGGTTTTTGGAATATATGGACCTCGCAGCGTAAGCTCTTTGATATCCACTTATGTATGTAAGCTCCCTCCGGATCCCTTAATATCCGAATATTTGGCTGCAAGTCGACTACCTTGATCCAATAGCCCCTCGATGCGACAAATCCAACAGCATTCCGGGTATTATACACGACCGAGTTGTAAACCGCAAATTGGACCTTGCAGGTTTGGCTCCCATGGATTGTGACCATGTATTTCGACTCCTAACTATTATTTTTCAGACGACCTGGGATTTGTAGCTTTGTCCCTCTCGCATAATGCGGGGTGGTCACAGGGATTAAAGGACTGGAATACCCGTCAAAAGTGTCCCTGAAACGACCGAAGAAAACTACTAAGTAGGTTATAAGAGCGTATAAAAACCGATTTCCTTCCCGGGACGCAAAAAACTCGACATTGCCGTTGAATGCTCTACGATCCAACTAAACATTGATCAACAGTGTAGTTGGTTTTCCAGACAGAATAAAAAATTAAAATTTAAAGGGGACGAGAACCTCGGCCGACTGCTTCTGCACGTGCAATATGTAGCCGTCTATTCTATCGATCGTACGTTAACGCGTTTCGTAAGTTAGTTTTTTCATGATATCCCAAGCCGCCGTATTTTATACCTCTCCAACTTCGTTTGTTCGAATTAGGTATCTATAGTTATACGATATTGTAGAGCTTCAATTGAAAAGTATTTAAACGGTAAACAAAGTTCTCGTCTCTGGATGAACTGAATGATAATTTTGTAAATCAGCACATATATCCCTAATCTCTAGTCCCAAATATGCATATCTCTAATCCTATCGTTTTCTCCATTGTGGGGCTTATGGGCCAAGTAGCTATGGGCGGAGCAAGTGCCACCGCTACAAAAGCTTGTCAAGAAATATCCAAAGCCTTACCTAGTCGAGTTTCTTTCCCTTTGAGCATTACATATTATAACGAGGCTCGTGAGTACTGGTCTACCGTCCTAAGAGACCTCAAACCCGCTTGTGTGATTCTTCCCGAGTCGGCGCTGGACGTATCGGCAGCTGTGACGATTTTGAACAAATATCCGGATGTGAAGTTCACTGCAAGGAGTGGGGGGCATGATCCAAATATTGGACATGCTACTGTCCAAGATGGGGTACTTATTTCACTTGGTAAGATCTCGGGGACTACGTATGATAGGAATAGAAATGTTGCTTTGGTGAAGCCGGGTGGGGAATGGAATGAGGTTATTGCCGCTTTGAATAAGGAAGGGGTGACTATCGTTGGAGGAAGATTAGGTATGTACTTGCTTATCGTGTATGCCAATACTAAAAAGCTTTATAGTTCTAGAGGCTAACGCACTCAGGAATTGTTGGAATTGGTGGGTTCTTGCTTCAGGGAGGAATATCCTTTTTGAGCTCGCAGTACGGACTAGCGGCTGATGTGAGTATATACGTATAACCAAATTAGCCTGACATCTAGGAAACTCGAACTGATCACTGAGGTTAGAATGTTGTCGGATGGGAAATCGTCACCGCCAATGGCACTATTATCAATGTCAACGCTGCGGATCAGCCTGAACTTGCAGTCGCTTTACGTGGAAGTGGTAGTCAATTTGGTTGGTCGCCTTCATCTCATGCAGGGCATCGTAACAATCTGAATCTAAATCTATAATCTAACATGCATATAAAAAAGGAATCGTAACACAGTTCACCGTCAGAGCATACCCCATCGGTAAAGTCTGGGGTGGTATGCGCATCTACGACGAATCCAAGGCCGATGCCATCTTCAAAGCTCTCCACGAGTTTGTACCATACAATCTACAGGACAAGAAGGCCGCTATCATCACTACAAACATCTTTGCTATTGGTGGAACGAGGGCATTCATCATGTTTTACTTTTATGACGGAGAAACTCCACCAACTACGGGACCGTTCGCAGATTTCCTTAAGATTGGCTCGATCATTGATATTACCAAGACACAGACATATCCAGAGCTGGTACGTTATCAAATTAATACTATAGCAAGTATGCTCAAATTCAAAGTCCTATATAAACTGACATATTAAATTAGCTTAAATCCAACGGTTTTGGTGCTTCTTTGTTAAACTCTAGAATCTCATTCAGAGTAAGCTATATCCTAGCCTTATATCTTGATATCCTTGATCGAGTCTCTAACATCAACTAGACCCTTACGCTCCCTTATATAGCCAACAACGGCGCTATATACGCTGAAATCTCAGACAAGATGCGAGATATCACTAAAGGCTTCCTCTCAAACCCTTTCAAGTTGACCTCCCAATGCTCAGTCGACTTCCAACCACTATCTTCAATCGTTGGTCAACATACCGAAGCACGCGGCGGAAACGCCATGGGGTTGACTGGCTCGGACCCAGATCGTCTCATCTTAGAAATCCAATGCTCATGGTCTGATAAGAATGACGACGACATCATGCGTCAGTTCTCCATCGATCTTACCAACTGGATTGAAAGTAGAATTCCCGTTTGGGTTGGAGGAGAGTATGGACCGGCTGCGAACGTATATCTGCCACTTTTCATGAATGATGCGATGGCGGATCAAAATGTCACGGGAAGTTATCGGGATTATGCTAAGTTTAAGGCTTTACAGTTACAAGCAGATCCTCAGGGTATTCTTAGGACGAGGACTGGGGGTTTCAAGTATTAAGTGAAGTCTTTTGTATCGTACTATTGTATACATCATAATTCGTGAAATTGTTGCGCCGCGATAAGTTCTTTCTCACGGAAGGGGGTTCTATCCTCGAGGGCTTCTACTAGCCACAGCCCAGGCCAGGGAATGGAAATTGGATTTTACATGTACATTACACTGCCACATATGCATATTAGTTGTACATCTTATATCGATTGATATTAGTATTATGTATGTGTGAGTTTCTTTCTTATATATTAATATATTCTCCAGCTCAATTGTCCAGTGCCAGTTCCGATTCAGATACTTCGGGTTGAGCAATTATATGCAAGACCCTGCAGCGCCACTAGATCTAAGGGATTTCAACCGGAATACCGCCATGCCAAAAATTGCAATTGGGCAGAGATGAGAAAGGATTTGCGATAGTCTACCTTACAGCAATGCAACGCCCGAAATATCTTCGACCAGAACTAGTATGTACATATTTGTACAGGATGCAATGCAATAGCTCCTGTCTTATGAACTCGAGATTGTCATATCATATCATATCCGTGGTCAAACCAAAAAAAAAGGTAACACTGCATAACTTGTAGAGTTAGGTCGGGATGTTTCGGTGCAGTAATTACCACGTCATAGCATGCAGTTTCGACTACTATAATGCAATGCAATGACCCGTCGGCCCGTATAATATTGAACGTATTGGATGGACTGGGCACTGTTCGCGAAGTCGACCTTTTGGGGTATCACGCAACGTGCGCAACGCAAAGGCCACGCAACCCACCACCCTAACTAAGTACTGTGTTGCAACACAATGACCTTTAAAATTAAAAAAATTAGCAAATTTTCTATACTTAATTGCATCTAAAATTAATTTTTACTAGAAATTATATAAAGAAATATGTAATAAATGGGTTTAGAAATTGATTTAAATTAGTCAGTATTAAAATGCTACTCTAAAACTCAGGTATGATTTTAGCAGTAAATTTTGTTGGTTTTAATCTCACAGGTTAAAACTGATAACAAGTAGAGTAATTTCCTTATTTTTAAGAGATAATTCTAAAGAGGTTGATGACTAAGGCTCTAAATTAGCCAGCGGGTGTCACTTCTGCTGCATAATAAACAGCGAATGTGTTGTTTAAAACTCAAATTCCATCTTTTATTCCCGTTTCTTTCTTCTTTTTCGTCCAAATCTCGAAATTAAATCCCAATCTCACCCTAAACATAATCAATCAATCCCCTTTAACCTGCTACCACCTCCAAAAAAAATCACCTTTTTTTTCTTATTTTTTAGATTCTTTTTACCATGCAATAGGGAACGAACGAAGATGTTTTCGGGAAGACCGAACTACCAAAATTCACCGACAACAGAAGATTTTGACGACGACGAAGATGATGACGAGGTGGAAGGTGTCGAAATGCCTTCTCCTCCACCGAAAGAAATAAAATTACAGCTTCCTCCTGGTTCGGAGGCCCCAAAGGCCAGCAGTTCGGGAAGACTAATTCCAACAACGCTGGAACAGTATTGGAAGAAGCAACGCGAGACCACGCCAACTGCAGCTCCGAACACAACGGCTTTAAGCGAAGCGAGAGAACACCAGCACAAACACCAGCTGCAGAAGCAACGGAAACCGACTGAAGGAAAGACGTCTGCTAGAGATAGTCCCGCATCTGACTATTCGGCACGAGTAGTTCGGGTCCAAGAAGTTCCAAGTCGTGGTGGTGGTGACGACAGTGATGATTCTCAAGATGATGAACTGGCCATTGTTGTGCAGAGCCCTAAGGTTCAACGGCCTAAAAAGAAGCCTGGGTCGAAGCCTTTGGGTCTCGTGAAGCGTAGTCGTGGGAGCTCGCCTACTCCTACTACTCCAAAACCTTTTTCAAAGAGGGATCTATTACGGCCGTTTGAGGATACGGATTCTGATTCCGACGAAGTGATGCAGGAGCGTGATGAGATTCCTAATGAAGAGGACGACAACGGATATGAAGATCCTGATGAAATGGATGAGGATTCTCCTCGTGAAGCATACAGCCACGAAGATACAGATGAAGAGCAATCTGAGGATGCGACAGATGAATTGGTGGGGATAGGATCTAGAAGGATTCCTGGCTTTACCCAAAGCTCACCACCTCAACAATTGGAAATTTCGGGGACCGAAGAGGATTCAGAAGATTCAGAAGACTCCGATGATGTCGTTGGGACTCCAACGAAGACAGGGTTATCAAATGTTGATATCACACCTAGGAGGTCGATGGCAAATCCTAACCTTCTTCAAGAAGACCCTGACGAACTTGAACGACAAGAAGAGAGGGCCAAACAAGAGATAGTCAAAGTAGTGCTTAATAGGCATGCTGAAGTTGCAGCTAAGACGAATTTTGATATTGTGGTTATTATGCGTAAGTCTTTCTCTGTAAATCGAGGCTTCTAGAACAGTCTCCTCTTTAGTTCTAGAAAATATGACTAATACTATATCCAAACGGGATTAGCCAACTATGAGGATGTCGCAGATCATCTCTTTAACCCTGACGAGTGGGAGGCAGTTGCAGTCGACTGGCGATGGACCGGAGATGATGGCCATGTGACATACCAAATAATCTACAAAGATGGTCACACCCGAATCGTGGAAGGAGACGATATTCTTAACCATGTCGAACTCCAAGTCCTTGAAGACTTCGAAAACGACCTCTTTTCGAGAGAAGAGAATCCTGAAACATGGTATTACCCCAACTTTAGGGCTCCAGGGGGTGCATTCGCAGGCGGGACGGGTATTACCTCTGGAGCTATTAAGAGACGTGGGAGAAGAACGGAGGCAAAGATTTATTTGGACAATTCTTATCGACTGGGAATGCCGGAGGAGTTCAATATTCCGTTGACAGACAGCAGCGAGGACGATGATGATAACGACGATGACGGTGATGGTGAAGAGATGGAGGAGGAAGAAGGAGCTCAAGATATTGCCGAGGCTAGAGGCCCTATTCTTGCCTCCCAATACGATAAGTTCGATATTACGGACGCAGAAATATTGGCAACTATCCAAGAGAACGAGTCGGACAACGAATCTTGGGACGGTGGGAGACCATCCGGAAGGGGCAGACCGAGGGGCAGACCATCAACATCGACTAGAGCTCATACTATGGTCCGTCCTACTCGAGCAGCTGCAAAGCGAGGCAGAGGAAGACCTCCGCTTATCCCTACCCGTGGTACCAGCAATTCTGTACAAGCTGAGCCACGTCCAGCAGCTAAAAGCAATGTGGTGAAAGCGAGTGCCACTTCTAGAGGAAGAGGACGCCCTCGGGGCTCTAAGAACATCCCGAGAATGAGTAGCCCTGCTTCTACTAGCCACGAGGACACCCCATCTATCATTGTATCTGCAAAACCGGCGTCCGCACGAGGAAGACCTAAGGGGTCAAAGAACGCCGCGAAACCGTCGACTTCGAATACATCGAATAACACATCGAATAACACCTCAGAAAGTTCTTCTCTATACGAGTTCCCGATTCATGTTAAGCCTATCACGCCTGTTCGTCCAATCGACTTATCCAAGCTCCCAGCCCCGAAACCGACTACAGTACCAGCTGTTTCGACACCAAAACGTGCGCTAAAGCCTACAAGAGCTCCTAAACCTCCCGGGACGCCATCCGGCGCACGTGGTCCTGGTCGCCCCCCAAAGCTCCCTAAGCAGGAAGATGATTTGATAGAGCAAACTATCAGGACTGGTGGCGCTAATATCCAATTAACTTCCGCTCCTTCCTCGAACCACCGTCGAACCCTCTCTGCCGCAGGCCCATCAACTCCAACTACAGCCGATCCAGAACGTCCTAAGAAGCGTCGAAGAATTCGTTTTGGTCGTGATGGACCCGAAGAAGTCTCAGATGACGACTCCCCTCCACGCAAAATTGTCCAAGCCGACTTACCAACACCACAAAACAAGTTGAAACAACCTGTTGAGAAACCGCAAAAACCAAAAGTCCTACATAAACCAGCCAAGAAACCAGATTCCGACAATGAGAAGAGAGTGTTTCGCCACGAGGTAGACAGAATCATTAATAAGATGCTCCTCGACGGCGCACCAGCCTACCACGTTCAACTCTGCGGCCCCGGTTCTGTTAAGCCGACGATGTGGGTTAGACTTGAAAATCTACAAAGTAAAGATGCGAAACGGAAGGTTAAGGAGTTTGAAGCTGAATTGATACAGCGTGAGAATGAAGCCAGGCTGGCGAGGGATAGGATTAACGCACAGCTGCAACGTGATCGACAAAGGCTTGCGGAAAGGGAAGCACAGATCTTAGGAACTAAGGGGCCCGGAAGGCAACCTAAAAGGATTGATGAAGATGAAAGAAAGGAAAGGGAGAAAGAAGAGCAACGACAGAGAGAGAAGATCGCAAGGAGACTAGCGATGCAAGAGACGTTGTTTACAGGTACTTAACAATTACATTAAAGGAGGTGGATCCTAGTGTGTGTAATCTTGATGGCGATAGTGGGGTAGGGCATATTCATTTATTGGCGGCATATTATTTGGCGGGCTTTATTTTATTTTTCCCCTTGTTTTCTTGGTTCCGGACCTTGGTTTTCTAGATGCATACTTTTCTAGATTCTTGTATGGCATTATCATGGCGTTCTTTCACAAAGGAGGGTGCGGATTTAGGTGTTTGTAATACTAAATAACTATTCATTGCCTGCACTTAAATCCACGCCAATAGGCAGCTACTAGATCCTATTTTAAGCTCCCCGCGATGGTTTCTATTCCAGACGATGGAATATTTAACCAATCATACTACGCTTAAACTTGGTTCCGGGAATCAAATTTGCAAAATCCCACATACATACTTAAGTAAGTAAGTACTTGAGTAGGTCTGTATTTACTTACCTTTAGGCCTTTAAAATTAAATAGAACCAGGGTATCAATTGGTCTCGTTGGTATCAATACAATACAAAAACAAAACTTCCCACGACAAATACTTTGGCTGTGTTGTTTGCTAATAAAATCATTTGAGACAAGCAATCAATCGTACTCAAAAAAGAGTGTTTTTTTGTGTGCAACGCACAGAGCGTGTGTTGCTTTATTTATATTTAGTTTTTTACAGCCAGAAGCACGGGACTAACAATATACAACAATTATAATCTCATGGTTCCTCTTTCGATTTCGATTTCGATTTCTGTCTACTCACCTTCCACATTTCTCTGCATTTGTTTTGCCAGACACCGCGGTCAAATCGGGTCTGCTCCAGTTCTTCTTCCAGTTCTTCGATTCTTTGACTTGTGACCTCTCGGGCGCGTTTCTCAGCTTTCAGCGTACAGTTTTCTTGACTGAGAGTATTGTTCTCTTGCTTGAGAACAGCTTTTTCCTGTTCGAGAGTCGCAATCTTGGCTATTAGGTCATAAATTTCGAAAGAGCCGGAGGATGTGCATATATTGGTTTCTTTGGGACTCGTTGGAGATGTACCGCTTTCTAGATTTGGTAATTGACATTCGGAGTTCTGGTTGGGAGCGTGGCTCTGGGGTAAGGGACTTGGCTCTTGATTGCCCTTCATGAGAGTGTTCTCTGAAGCTGTTTCGGAAGAATCAACTAAAGGGAGTGGGTCCAGAGGCGCCACTAATCCGTCAACCTTCGACATTGACGCCAAGGTTTCCGGTATCGATTCTGGTATATTCTTCAGCGATACTCGCTTCTGGACCCTCTGCCGTTTCGGAAACTCCGGTATCTTTGCAGCCTTTTTTTGTTTGCCCTTGCAGGAACGACCGTGAATTAGCAAGTTGTCACTCCTGGCGGTTCCAAAATTGCAGTTCTCGCATCCGAAGGGCTTGATATTGTGGCTTTTAAGCATGTGCTCTCCGTATGTCCTATTGCAAGTGGTGTAGAAACCGTCGCTCGTACAGGTGTAAACCTTTTTGACTTTTGATTTCCGCTTTTTTGGTGAGAGAGATGTGGGTGAGTGAGAGACAGGGGATTTTGGTGTTTCAGTAGGTACGATTGGCTGGGGGATTGCTATCGACGATGAATTGGTGCCTTGGACCTGGTTTCCTGTAGCCGTTGAAGGGAGTAAAGGTTCAACCTGGAAGCCTATCGAAGTTGAAGATGATGCCATGGCCGGACTAGTGAAAGTGCCATGTTGGGCTTCGAGGGTGAACCCCTCACCAAGTGCCTTTGAAGATGCCACTTGGGATGATTCAGGGAGAAAACCCAGGTTTTCGTCGTCTATTCCGCCAAAATATCAATATTAGGTATGAACTCAAGTCAAAGAAAACTGTCATAGCGAAAGTCGAGGAATATGGTAAAATAATACTTACAGCTAATAATATTCGCCAAAAGGTCGTTCGTTACTGTAATTGGATCAATCTCGGCCCCAGATGTTGAGGTTGGGATTCCCAAAACACTAAGGTCGAAAAGGTCGAAGCCTAAGGAGTGGTGAGTTAATTAGCATATCTGATTTAAAACACTGGAGTCTAGAAACTGTATTATGTAAAGGCCTCTTACCATTAGGGCCATCATCATTGTTTGTTAGTTCCGCTGTGTGAGAATTAAAAGTAAAAGAATGATTAAAACTATTTAAATAGTTGGTATCGAACTCTGCGTAGGGCTGAGAATATGAGGTGTCTTCATAAAACTCGCTAAGACCAGAGCTCAGTGTGACTTTGAAAGTTCGAAGTCGTATCAGTAGGCTACACAGCTGGCTGTTACGCCAAACTGCTAGCCTACCGTTGAAAGAGAATATCGAGCGTTCAATAGGAAGCTTTGTATCGGACAAAATTGGTTTTTTTGGACCAGCTACTTAAGTATATATATACTTAAGTAGCCAGCGACGGTGTAGTGAAAATCGCCCCCACCGGTGATCGATGGTAGCGATTCCCGCGAAATATGTGACCCAGATGATAGTAATCGAATTCGCAAGGAGAGAAAAAATCAGACTTCGAGGGTGCGGCCCGGCCTCGGGTTTTATACTGAATTGGCCAACCGAGCTTTCTTAGCACCGGGCCTTGGAACAGCGCGCCTTGACATACATGCATACATGCATAAATACGTAGCCCCTCTCTCTCTCTCAAAAAAAAGGGACAACTCAGGAAATTAGGAATTCCTGAACCGAAAGACTGCATTAGGAATACGGCATTCAAACCGTGGCTTGTTCTATGATTCGAGGGCCACAACGCAGGAATTTAGGAAATTTGTGTCATTTTAATCAGCCTTCTCCTAACCCGCCGGCAGCTCATAATATAACATTTAACAGGATCAGGCAGCATCAACTCTCCTGAACGACTAGATTACCTAAGTAATTAGGATTTACGACAACTTGTCTCCTTGATCTATATGCAGGCGCTAGTGTGTCCACTTTAACTAAGTTTGATGAGCCTCATGATATCATATGGGCCTATTAACTCCATAGATCTAGAAATAGATTACATAAGCCCAGTCCGCTGCAGGACCTGGATACCCCTCTGATTCTAATAGTTAGTCTCGATTGATCAAATCGAGTCGAATAAATTGGTCTATGACTACGAAATACCTCACACGGCTCTCTGAATAATTAAAAGTGTACGTGAATTGATATTAAAACAAAAGTAACTAAAGAAATAATTCCACCGCATTCTAGACTCAAAACACTAATAAAAAATTAAACCAATTCGAATTAATTCAAAAGAACATTAAATGAACAAAGTAGCGCTAGCGAATAACCACAATAAAGGAAGAAGAAAAAAGAGGAGCGGAAAAAAGAGAAACGAAAAGCAGAGGAGAACTGAACCAACAATCGACACGACAAAATGGAACCACTTTATACATGCAAACCTATAGCCTAAATACCAAAAGGAGGACTACTCTAGCTCATCACTCCACCGTTTCCTGCTTTCATACTGTTTGCAGCGCTCGTACAAGTGATCCCGGTCCTGACGTGCCTGATCTAATTCAGTTTCCATCTCTTCCGATTTCCTTTTTATATTTTTCAACCTATTCAACATCTTCCTATCGTTCTCTTTCAATCGTTTATTCTCTTCCTCATATGCTACTAACCTAGCTTTCAGCTCCGCTACCAGGTTATTCTCATCTAATCTACCGTCAGGTCTCTGGCATCCTATCTCACTTTGCGGCAAATCCAGTTGTCTTGAAACGTCGGTCCCAGGAGTCGAACTTCTACTAGACGGAGAGACTTTGTCATCCCGCACATCGGATAGACACACTCGCTTTTCGGTCCTGGTATCGACGTCCTCAATAACCTGTGATTCTTTTAACCGCTTAGCTCTCTCCCTCTCCTGTTTCATTTTGCATATTCTAGCATGTGCTCGACTTGACAGATTATCTTTCCTAGCAGACTGCGTGCCGCAGTCCGGGCACTTAAAGGATTTGGCTCCGTGAACGTTTTTCGCATGCATTCCGTATATCCTCAAGCATGATGTTTCGAATTCACAGTCTTGTTCCTTGCATTTGTGGATTTTGGATTTCGGTCTTTTTTCTGGTTTCGTTTCTGGTGCTACGGTGGGTGGGGTTTGAGGTTGTCGTCCCGGAGCCCCTGGTTCCAAACCCATTTCTAAATCCTGGGGTACATCTGTCGTCGGACTTTGGAGCACGCTCGGCTCCGAAGTCTGAGTAGAATATGGTTCTGTTACGGTAGTCGGCCCCCCCTGGGTCGGGAGGGCCTCGTTGGAGATACGGAACGGGTCGATAGTATCTATTCGACGTATCATTGTTTTTATATTTTCAACGGTATGTAGATCTTGTGGTATGGTATTGAAGTCGAGAATGCTGATATCCAGATTGGCTATAAGGCGACCTAACAAATAGACGTAAGTTTTGAATCTCCAAATAATGGGTGTTGGGAGGCGGGGAGGCTAACTAACCCTCGAGCGGGTCCTGGTTGAATGGCTCGGTAAAGATGTCCAGCATAGCGTTGCAAAACGCCATATCGTCCATCCCGTCCCAGTCCCCGCCTTCGCTTTGATCACGGTGGTTCCCAGAAGCAGATAGCGAATTAAAGATGCAAACTTTGACTCTGGTTCTAAGGGGGTTGTATCTATAAATTGATAGCCTAAAAAAAGGGGGTTTTCTCTAACGGTGGAAATTTGCGCTGTGGTATATTTAGTGTGGAGGTGACAATGAATGTTCGGTTCTTTGTAGGGTCTCGAAGGCGGGTGGTTTGAGAAGGTGAAGAAGTAGATGATTTTGTGCCGCGAATGCTCTCTGCTCCCATTCGGCGAGAAGTGACAAGAAGACAATTGATTGCGATTATTGCTTGTATGGAAATCCGATCCCTCGATTTCGTATCTGATCCCCAAGAAGAAATTCATTCATTATCAGTTTCACTCGATTCTCGACCATATTTTAGATTACAAGATACGAACCTTATGAGCAAGAAGCGAATATTTCCATTTATTACCATGACTTCGACAGGCAATATCGTGACCAAATTGCAACCCACCGGAATCTAAGTGCTCCAAACCAGGAATTATCAGTTGCCGCTCTTCTGAAAGTTTGAGTCTGTCTAGCTTTCTCGAAGTTTGAATATGGAACCCGCTTACCTTGCGTAATATGGAAAGCGATACCGGTGGATTTGATCTGCAAATACGGGAAAGTTTCTTGAATATCATCGGGTTGTTCTACAATAGTATTATGTAGCCCCGGAGCTCCCATGCGTGAGCAAAAGTTTGCGTACCCAATATAGCTTGGTTACGAGACTGAAAGGCTTGAGCTCGATCGGTAGGATTTTCTAAAGATTAATACTTTTGCCTTTGGTAAAGGAGATTTTATTTTATATAAAGCCCTATCGATGAACTGCCTTGGGGTTGCTCAAGGGTCCGATGAGGCTTGCAGCAAGAAAGGTAATCGATAAGGAGGATTAAATCTGGATGATAGTTTGTAGCAAGTTCTGTTATATATTATGGCCTGTATTTGACTAGCAAAAAGACTAAATTTAATCGGTGCGACGAGCGTCCCGGATACTTATAAACGGCGCGCTGTCCTAAAGACATATTAGGACCTAGAAAACTATAACCAATTCCTAGCCTAGACACACTAGTTCCTAAAATCATGCAATGTGGCCTTGGCATACGCCTAAAGCCATCCCTTTGAGCCCCCATGCACGTACATACTTCTGCAGATTTGTCGTAGCCTTGTGCAAGTCTAAAGTCTGTTAGCAGCAACACGAAAATGAAGGATCTGATGTTGCATTGCCCAAAAAGGCAATTCTCTTGCGCCTTGCATGTTGTATTTCTCGTGCAACGCACGCCGTTAGGAATTAGACCCTGAGGATCAAGGAATAATATGGCGCTGGCCGTAAATTGGTATCTTTTTCTCTGTCTCCGGGCTGATAGCAGCGACTAAACACTTCTCATTATCGATTCACTTGGTTGTATAGTTCTAGTAGTTAGAATATACGTATGCCACCTTATGCTCAGATTCTTACACCTTAATTTTTCTTGCTTAAATAGGTATCCGGATATATCCTCTGGCAGATAGCCCAAGATCTACTGGTTACGACACTCCTCTTTGCTTTGTTCCGCTCTCGACGTTGCTCAACGGGGATATCAGGATAGCTCAAAATTCATCGTAGTCCCATATATCCGATTTCCCCTATAGGAATTGCTAATAGCCGGGATATATACTAAATATTCATTTATATATATACAATTTATACGTTTCTAGACTTGCAGCACTTAACGACATGGACGAAACCTCGTCCGTTCCTTGTCACGACATAAGTTAGGAATGCAATGGAGATCGCTCATATAAATAACAGAAATATCTGATGTTGGATAGAACAAAGGCCGAGAGTCTAAGATAACGTACCTGTGGGAACCAACTAGACGGTGATTTATAAATATACATCTACTTAACTATCTGTGCACATCTACAATCATATTGGAACACATCATCTAATAATAAAAATCCTCAATACCTCCCCTTATTTTTGAAAGAGGTAGGAGGATATTGCATACCATTGTTAATAGCTATAGCGATAATAGTATAGTGTCTCTTCCACCATCTCCAGGGATCATATATCCCAGAGCTTCTGGAGAAGTAGAAAAACACCACGTCTGTGTGCGCGCGCGTGTATTTAAAGTACAAGAGCAAAAAGGCAGAATGGATGGAAGAAATAAAGAAAACGAAAACAGTTCCCGTTATTTAAAAAAATAAAAGGAGCAAGACTAATAAAAGTACGAGAAAGGAATTCGAAAGTCGCCCCTTGGACCCAGGTCTAATGTAGTTTGGAAAAAAATAAATAAAATGCAGCAGGCAAAGGAAGGAAGACGGTTTGAATGAAGAACGTGTTTTATTGCGGACTTCCCATTATGAATTTTATTCCTTTCCCGCCCCAGAATAACATACGGAGGATGGGGAGGAAAGAAAAAAACGACTAAACAGAAGACACGAAAGAAACAAGGTCTATTACTTTGTGTGAGGAAAAAGCTGCAGACAGAATAGTCAGGAGGAAGTGCCCTGCTCCTTTCATATCCGTTAGGGTTGTTTCCTCTTCTCGCCAGCGCCGTCAGATGTTCTATGAAAACCAAAGATTTATACGAAAAACCTCATAACTCCGGGCCCTCTTTCCCTTTTTTAGTTTCCCACGTCTATAACATTCAAAGGTGGAAAAAAATTAAAAAAAGTGAAGGCAGAGTAAGGTCTTGCGAAACTTTTGTAGGTCGTTAAACGTTCAGAGAAGCAGGCCGGCCGTAAAGATGAGAGAAGAAAGAAAAGCGACAGAAACAACAGCAAGATAATGGGGAATCCTTTTCTGGTTTCTTGAAAACATTAGACAGAAGTTGTATCGAGGAAGTCGAGGTCATGAGGGGTCATTTCGTAAAAACAAAAAGCAGTAAAACTAAGAAATACTAGGGGAAAAAAGCCGATAATGAAAATAATAAAAAATGTAGCATAAAAAGGAGATAACCAGCCCATAAAACATCAGTGAACGCCTTTATATACCCTTTTCCCGATTCATTAAAGTAATTGCTTTCGCCATGAATTGCAAAGACAGAGGTGATTTCTCCAGAAGCTCGCTATTGTGACAAGGCGCAAGCCATTGAGAGAAGGGTTTTGAGGATAGAATGGTCGAGAAAAAAGTATTTTTGTGATGAATGAGGAGTTCGTGATGTTGTATATAAGATTCCGGACGTCGTAACTGATAGTGAACGGTGACATCAAAATCTCGGGCAGGTCTTCTACACATTTACCACCAGGAGGAGTTGCCACCGCCGGGGTTGCCGCCGCTGGGGTTTCCATAGCTGGAACCGCCGCCGTAGCCTCCACCACTGTAGCCTCCACCGCCAGAGCCAGAGCCGCCGCCGCCGGAAGATCCGCCGTAGCCTCCTCCGCTAGAGCCACCTCCATAGCCTCCTCCGCTGCTATAGCCACCACCGCCAGAGGAGCCGCCATACCCACCGGAGCTGCCACCAAATCCACCACCACCGCCAGAGCCGCCGCCACCGCCGAACTTACGGAAGTCACGATTAGCACCGCCGCCACCACGGCCACGGCCTCCTCTAGAGGCACCGCCACTGCGGCCACCATAGCCAGCTTCGCGAGCAACCTGTTCCAAGAATGCAGGAACGTCCTGGTTGGCCTCTTTCAAAAGCTCGGTCAACTCGCGAACAATGCCACGGTTGCCACGGTTGAAGAAAGCAGTGCTCAAACCAGTGTTTCCGGCACGACCAGTACGACCAATACGATGAACATAGTCATCGACATCAGTAGGAAGATCGTAGTTTATGACGTGGGTAACGTTCGGGATATCGAGACCACGAGCAGCGACAGCTGTGGCCACCATGATGGGGTAACGTCCTGTCCGGAACATCTCCAACGCCCTTTCACGTTCGCGTTGAGTACGGTCTCCATGGATGGAGGTTGCTGGGAAATTCTGGTTGATTAAGAAGTCGGAGAGAGTATCTGCCATCCTCTTTGTCTCAACGAAGATCAAAGTCAAGCCGCCTTGGTGAGCAGAAAGGATATCGAGGAGAAAGCTTCGCTTGTCGTGGTCTTCAACGTATTCGACACGTTGGGTAATGTTCTCAGAAGTCGAACCAACACGACCAACAGAGAGGAAGACGTAATCCTTCAAGAAATCACGGGCAAGCATCTGGATATCGCGAGGGAAGGTAGCCGAAAACATGAGAGTTTGACGGCTGGTGACACCAGGCATATCCTCGCCCTCAACGATACGACGAATCTGGGGTTCGAAACCCATGTCAAGCATACGATCAGCCTCGTCGAGAACAAGGTACTTGATGCTAGCGAGGGAAATGCGGCCACGTTCTATGAGGTCGACAAGTCTACCTGGAGTAGCAACCAAGAGATCGCATCCACGATCCATCTGACGGAGTTGTTGTCCAATATCTGCACCACCGTAAACAACGCATGGCTTGACCCAAGATCGATAGGCGAATTTGCGAGCCTCATCGTAGATCTGGGAAACAAGTTCACGAGTTGGGGCCAAGATCAAAGCAGTAGGATATGCCTTGCGGGAGCGTTGGAAGCCACCACCTTGGGCACTTGGTGGAGTTGGGGATGGGCCAGTAGCAAAGGACTGGGAAAGAATTGGGAACAAGAAACCACCAGTCTTTCCGGATCCAGTTTGGGCACAGGCCATCAAATCACGACCACCGTTGACGATTGGGATCGAGTATTTCTGGACAGGGGTTGGGACAGTATAGCGAGCAAGCTCAATGTTGAGCAAAAGGTGTGGGTCGAGAGGAGGATTAGTGAACGCAATGACCGGATCTGGAACATTGGAACCAGAGGCCTCAACGGGAATATCATCATATTTCTCAAAGTTGATACCAGTTGATTGCTTCAAAGGATCGTTAGGAACACCAAAGAGCTCACGTTCGAGCCTGCTGTTCGCATTGCCGATGATATGCTTGCCGTCTCTCCAGTAACCTTCGCCGGAGGCACCACGGTTGCCGCCACTAGAGCCGCCGCCGCCGCCGCCGCCAGTGGCTGGGCTGCCGTACGCGTTTTCATTAAAAGGTCGCTGTTGTTGGCGAGGTTCCCATTTATTACCAGGGCTCGGGTTGAAGGATGGAGCATTAGCCCAGTTGCCACCGGAGCTTTGGTTATCCCTGGTAAAAGGCAGATGTTAGAACCTTATCTTGTAGATGGCAAGCAAATCGCGTGATTCTTGGACGACAGGCATTCGTTCTGACTGCTCCAGAGGAGGCAGCAATGCCGAATTTGTGCCAAAACAAGTCTCACCACGATGAGATGACGTTTAGGGTAAATTAGAGAAACAATCACTTACTGAGACCAAGAGTTTCCGCCGCGAGGAGCTGGAGGACCATTATTGACTGGAGCAGGTCCGTTGTTCATCTGCTGAGGAGCCGGGGCAGCCTGTTGCTGCATCTTGGCACGAAGATGGGGAGGGATGTAAGCCGGCCTACCGGCACCAGAGGCATTACCTCCAGCGGAACCGTTAGGGGCAAAACGAGAATCTTGCATGCTCATTCCTTGCATGCCGTTGACAAGATCAGCCATGATGGATGGTGTTTGTTGTTTGAAACAAAGAGTGGGTTCTAAAAGGAGAAAGTTGCGTGGGAGCTAAAATAGTAGCAGTGTTTGTCTGACAGAAAGCAGAAGCCACGAGAACGAAAACTTCCGAAGCTGAAAGAAAGATAAGAAAACCACCAGGGTAACAACAGTCTAGGCCAGATGGTAATGAAGGAAGTAAGGGAGGGAGAATGTGTATATTAAGCAAGTAGGTTGTTTCTCCGGAATAGTATCGAGGAGAATAGTAATATCAAGAGTCGCAGAGAGGGCTTGACGGTAACTTAGATCTCGTCGAGATTCTTCTCTTCTTCTCTACTAAAAAGAAAGAAAAGAATGGAAGGCGTGTTCGACGATGTATGAAGTTTCTATCGAGACAAAAGACAGCGATGTCGGACGTTTGGCTGAAGAGCTAGAGCCGATGAGCTAGCTGGCAGGCCAAAGCTGGGACGGTCTATAGGAAATGAAACCTGAAAATGCCGAAGCTGCTGACGAGTCGAAGAGGACACTTCTGTATCTTATAAAGCAGATACAGCAGAGTTCTCGTAGTCGTGAAGCCTAGGCAGAAATGAAAAACGATGGTTTCGTGATACCGTTGGGAATGAACGTCTCTTTCGAAGGAAACAAAAGACACGAACGGGAATTAAACGATATAACGAAGAAAAACGAAACAGTCTATTGGTTAAAAGGAGAATAGGAAATAAGAGCCTTCTTATTCCCCCGAGGTTAAGTTTGGGAGGGTGATGATGATGATGATGGTGATGATGATGGGAGGTGTAGCTCGTGGGTGAGGAAGGAAGGAAGAAGGGAGAAGAAGGAGAAGGAGAAGGGGTTGTTGATGAAGTCGATGGAGGCAACAAAAAAAAAAAAAAAAAAAAAAAAAAAAAAAAAGTTTAGCTGGCACCCACACACGCCAACACAAGAAGGGTTGACTTGACTAATAACACTCCCACACACACACACACTGTTTTCATGTTCTAAACAGGAACAAACCACATCGAATGGTGGCGAAGTAGCGTCGACGCTAGCAAAGTTTTTTTTTCTTCTCTCTCTTTGAGGTACGTACATGTGCCCGTCTTTTGCTTGTCTATCACTTCAGGCTTCTTTTGTAGCGGGTTGATTCGGCCGACAGTTACATAGCTATGCTGGTAAATCAGGCCAGAAAGAGTAATGTGGACAGAGCAAAGAGCAAATAACCAATTTGACACAAAAGTTCTCAGCCGGTTGCAATAAAGGAGAACAACCTCAGTTATGGAAGCGGCGGTATGAACCAATATTCACCAACGAACACTAATATCATAATTCTATTGGTGGTGGTATACATACTTGTTATGACTTGCTTGCATTCGTGGTGACTAAGCTGTAGCCAGGATAGCGGCTATTCTCCAACCATTTGAGCCTAACTAATAAGCATACTTCCTTAAGGTAAGTAACACGGATTACATGGACAGAAACGTGGAACCTTCCGGTAGGGCTGACAACCAATAGCAAAACTGGAACGAATCCCGGCTTTTTTTTTTTTTTTGACATGACCCGGCGAATAAATGAAAAACTAATATATTAAATACGGCCTGTGACGTCTACTCGTCAACATAGGTGCACTCGATGATTCCCAATATAGAACCATCCATCTTTTGAAAGCCGTCAAGTCTAAGCTTCGGATCCACTTCAGCGAATATCCTTCTCCAGTCCGCCTCCCGTCGTTCGCATGAGTTAAACAACTGGAACATGACAAAGTCGGTTGCCCTACATTTAAGATGATACACAAAGCCGTTAGCTGGCTGTCTATGACCATGCGCATCGAGGGACTGGACAAAAAGAACACACAATAACGCAAATATATAACGTACCTAGCTCTCCGCTCTTCCCAGGGGTGCAAAGAGTTGGGCGGTGGTAGTATGAAATCGCTGACCACGATCTTGCTTCCATTTTTCAAAGCCGGTACTATATTTTCCAAGATCTGAAGGACATATTTATCCGGCCAGTCATGCAAGATGAACCGGAAAAAGTAGACTTCCGCCCCGTTAACCGGCTGTTGAGTGAAGAAATCATGTTCTTGATATTCAAAGTTTCCGACAAGTTCAGGATTATCCCGAGCTAGATTCCTTTGACCTATTTCTAGAGAAGGGGCTGAGAGATCCTGAATGTGAAATTTAAGATGAGGATAAGCCTTTGCAACTTCGACACAAACGAAGCCGGTAGCACCGCCAACCTAAAGGTATCAAATGATAGAGATTAGCACAACGTCAAGACGGGTGACTCTGAATAAAAAAATTTCTTGAAAGAATAAGGATAGAGAAACCAGCTGCTTTCGAGGAGCAATGATGGCCGCCTAAGAACGTGGAGCAAGGCCAAAGAACTATAAGGTTTATAAAGCGGCCAGACTTGAGACCACCAGTCTGGGACTGCTTGGCAACACGCATCTTCGTTGCATTTTATCCTCTATCAAAGACCGGAATGCTGTGCTGAGAGAGCAGCTAATTATAACTTACATCAACGATAGTAGCACCTTTGGGTAATTTGCCCCAATTGTACCCTTTTATCAAAGAATCAGCCTTAAAACCAATTCCCGAGCTCCATTGGGACATAGATAAACCGAATCGCCTTGATAATTCGGGATCTGTTGACAGATATTCAAAGTATCCCTTGCCGTTAAACATTGGAGATATTGAAAACGCCGATTTATCAATATCTTCATGATGCGGAAAAGTTTTAAGGGCCTTGGTGACATTCGTTGAGGCATGGAAGAACTCGTCAACGCAGATACCGACCCATGCACTCGCCGGCAAATTTTCATCGCGGAGGAGCAAGGATGAAGCAGTGTGAGCTACATATCCATCACGGGGCTCGTAGAAAATATGATTTGTCATTGCATAGCGGAGAACCTGGCCGAGTTTGGTGGCCGGGATATTGATTTTGCTGCCCAGGTCTTTGAACGAAATATCGCCAGTTTCTGGGACAAACTGGGCAATCTTGAAGTTATAGATGACCTGAAGACAGGCAGTATCATTAAACTAGCCGGGAAGAACTAAGTGTCAGCACCCATAATCCAATCCACAAATAGGGGGGGTAATCCAATCTGCTTTTGACCTACATTCAGAGCATTCCATTGATTTAGTTCAGACGGGCCTGCAATTAGGTCGTACATTAACTTAGCAGTGGATAGGAGCTGGTATCTTGCACCGTGTAGCTTCTCATTCTCCGGGGTTGATGGTGGCGGCAGAGGGAATACTGATGGGCCATCTGCAGCGAATGATGGGTATGGGAGGCCCTGGGACATAATATAATCCTCGAGGATTTTGGCGTTTTTAGCAATCTCCGCCGCTACTTCGGAGATCCTGGGACGAAGGATTGGAGCTTTGATCATAGCGGGTGTCGGAGACATGGCTACTAATCTATAATTAATTGATCAATGAATACACGAAAATGATAAAACGGGATATCAGTGCCAGATAATAATCTTGAGAAGCCTAATGAGGGGAGAGAATAAGGGAGATTACCAGAGGGGAGGATTCGAGGCTTTTTTATAATAATTCCTATAGCTAGCTAGACCGCATAGCGAAGCAAACAAGGGCCGGACGACCGATGATATCACGAATATTCGAATACAACTAGTCGCGGGATATTGAGGAAGGTAACGGCTAGTAGCCAGATAGCTCTCCTCCAATTCATAACTAGTCGCGAATTAGTTGGATTCTAGATTTGTGACCCAGATACCTTCAAAATTGATAAATTCCTTAGAGAGACGCCGAATGAAGTACGGCTATTGAAAATTTATCAAAGGGGTAAAACTATTCTATGTCGGGGTACGAGACGAGGTAAACCGCTGGGGTTTTACAGATTTGTTCCACTGCTTGAAATTGAAACCAAATTTTAGAGATTACCTCGCACTTATGCAGGAATCCTCAAATTGAATGTCGGCCTTGAACCGTGTCATATGCGAATAGGATACGATCCATTCCAGATTCCTCGATCCTTCAGCCTTGCGGTACGTATACATGCATACGCCGTAGGATAACCTAGGTACCTACGTTTTTTTTTTTAAAAAAAAAAAAGACAGACGTCTCCAGTCCGATGCCGCGGTGTAACCCTTTGAAATCTGATATGGAGTTTAGGTTCTTGTACTACACAATTCATCCGAGCTGCCGCACACCATATGAGAAACTACAGGGTTAGCGGGCCAGACGCCTACCGTCTGATCAGAATGCAATTCAATACAAATATTTGTTATCCCTAGATTTATTGACGTCAATGGACGTTGCTGGCCACCCTCGAAACAGGATCATTGGTTGGAAAAAGATCGCGAGGTCACATTTGGGATCTCGATATGTGCGTTGGTCGCGTGGTATTTCCCCCCGCTTTTTGAATTAGGCTTAGACGGGGACAGGGGCAACTTGAATTCATGTGCATGTTAGTCTAGTTGATGCATGGTTTGTCGACTTGTCAGAGCATTCTTTATCGTCGATTTACGTCAGGCACTAGTACTGGCAAAGGCCCGTTCGACTACTTGAGCGCTCGTCCAATGCTATCCTCTCGTGTCGGGGTGTGACGGGAATGTGGTACGTAATCTATGTATAGTATATGTACAACCTCGTTAATATTGCCGGATAACCCGGTTTTGATTTTGATTGATTGATTGATTGATTGATTGATTGATTGGTACCCTAAAGGCCTATCCTAATGCTAGTTGCTAAGTATATACACGACGAGATCAAAACAGACCCAATAGACAAAGGAAAATGCGATAAGTTAAAGGAGAGTTGATGTAGTAATTTTTGAAAAAGAGAACTCCGACAACCCGAACCCCAAATACGAAAAAAGAAAAAAGAAAAAAAAAGAAAAAGGAGCCCTCCCCGGTATCACGGGATAACGGATATCGTAGATTTGGGCCCTCGCTTCCAAAAAAAATGTCGAGAATGATATCAGCCTGAATGTCCAAAATATATTAAAGTCCGAAAATAACGCCTGTTATGAGCAGCTTATCAAAAGCTTGTTGCAAAATGACCTCCCAACACACTTTCTGATGCAAATTCCTCTTGGGATCTTTCCTGACCATTGTTAGTCTCGAGACCTCCATTTTATATCTTCTTCTTCTTCTGTACGACGAAGAGTGCTATCAAAGGTCTAGCTATACTCTTCCAAACATATTTCTAACCTTCTTCACAGCTCCGACGACCTTTTTGGGTGTCACTCCAAACTTCTTCAGAAACTCCACTGTCTCATTGGTATTCATCCCCAACCCTTGTCCCTGCTTCCTCTCAATCTCAACAATGCCGTTATTAGATACTCCATAACCGTATCTATTTTCCTCGGGTTTCACAGGCAAAGGCATCATTACCTTCGCCATCTCCCTAACCTCCTCCTCTTTCTCTTTCTCTTCTTCCTTCTCAGAAAGGCAAACACTCTTATCGGAAGAACATCCCCTGCTACTCCCAGCTCTTTCACTCCCAGGCTCAACATAGGAGATATCGCAAATAGTCCTATAGTCAGCCGAGTCAATCGCCTTTCTGTTCGCTACAGTCTCAAACTCGAGTGAAACTGTCTTTGTAACCATGATGGTCAATGGTATATCTTCAGGTAGAGTTCCGATAGATGTATCTCTAGATAACAATGAAAAGGCAGTTCCGGGTCTTGGAGTAGTCGGGCTGTTTGTATAGGATGTGCCCGGACGAGTTGTAGAAGTATTATTGGTATATGATGTACCCGGTCGGGGTGTAGAAGTACTACTGGTGTACGATGTACCCGGTCGAGGCGTAGAAGGACTTGTTGCCCAAGCCGGTGCACCCGGCCTTGGGGTCGAAGGACTATACCCGAATGATGTACCCGATTTGGGAGTGGTCGGGTATCCGAACGATGTACCCGATCTAGGGGTAGTTGGTGTACATGTGTTTGAGAAGAAGCCGCCCAGTTTTGGGGTGCCTGGGCTGGTGGCCCATGATGTACCAAGTCTAGGAGACTCGTTCTCCCAAGGAGTAGCAGGTGATCCTGCAGGTGAGCCGACGGGCGTATTGCCAGCGTCTTTATATAGCTCTCTCAACTCCGGTGTCGACTTTCTATCAAGATCAAGTCCTATATATTTCACGATGTCAATGTTAGCCAACTATCCTTTTCTTGAAAAGCATATGTCAAAATAAAAAAATTTTAAAAAAATAAATGTAAAAAAGAAAAATCAATCCACCCACCAATCTTGCCACAATCCCTACCCATAACCCTCCAGAACTTCTCCATATCCCCTCCATAATGCACACACTCCAACTTAACACAAACCCCCAGTTCATCCAACAACCTAGCATTCGTACAAATACACGACAAACTCGCCAGGCTATATTTCTTCTCTGGCACCTCTCCCGCACATTTATACGAACACGCAGGATAAAACAACTTATTGTCTCCATCCGTATACCCCGCCAGATTCAACACTCTTAGAGGGGTAGTACCTTTCATCATCTGCTGTTTCCCCGCTTGCCGATACACCGGCTGAGGAGGCGTAGGCGGTGGTGGAATCCACGGCGGAAGCGGTAAATGGCTATCATCATTCAACAGATCAACTTCTTGGTCTGGGTCTTGATGTGCCTGTGGTGCTGGATGCTGATAATCCAACAATTGTGCAGAATCATACTCAATGCTATCAAAACTTGTTCGATCTTTTCGACGACGGCTGTAATTCGACGCCAGATCGGTGTTGATATTGAGCATGTTTAGCCCACCAGGCAGGCCTAAAACCGATCTTCGATTCATGACGGATTTTTTTTAAAATGCACGACCCAGTGTGAGAATGACGGAAAGAAACGGTGATGTTGAAGGATGAATGAATGAATAAATAGATGAAGGTTTATTAAGAAGGGTTGCAAATGTGCGTCGAAGACCCTCCTGGAACCTTGCGCTATCTCTTTTTTAAAATTATTTTCGCAATTGAGGTTCTCCAGGTCTAGATATTATACTTATATATCCTTACAAGCTGATTCGCTTCGGACAAATAGTTTATATGTAATATTCCGATATCCGTTCAAGATTTCACCATATCCCGTTTCGGGCTATCATCTGGTCTCAGCCCACGCAAAACGTGATTGGGCGAAAAGGGCTTAGGCAAAACCCACCGTCGATGGACTGAGGTTTTCTTGATCAAAAGTACGAAGTTAGTCCGGCGAGGTGCTGTTACGTCGGTGGGAAAAAGAAAGAGCTAAACGCTGTGGAAAACGGAGCAAAAAAGCCATGCTACGAACACGGCAGAACCTGGCTACGACGGCAAAAGCGTACTAGCGAGGGACCCTTTTCGCATGGCGAAGAAGTAAAATGGTGGATATGAATGTGAAGCCAGAAATTAAATCATACAGCTCGCATAGCCAAGCAGTCGTCAGCTGTAAAAGAAAAAGCAACCTCTTAAGAACTAGCGAACTATGAAAAACGGGCAACCAAGAGTCGACCAGGGCGTGGACGTATAAAAATAACGAACCGTTGAGAATGGGCGTTTCTCGTTAAAAGGGCTTGCTCCTACCGCCAACGTAGAATACTACCAGCCGGTATAATAGCCAGGCAATTGCAAGCTTGCTTCTTTCCTTCCCTGTCCATAGAATCCAATAAGTGTGAAGCCAGAGCTATAAGACAATATTATTCGCAAGCCATTAACAACGGGCTATATTATAGGAGGCTTATAGGCCCATCGATTTTGGAGTCGTGATTCAAAATTCCGTGTTCGAACTAATCGAATCGAGTCCGCATCTGATAGGGTTGGACATGCTCAAAAGCTTTGAATGCAGATGCACAGTCCGCAATCCAACCCGATTCGACGAACCGACGATAACGCTATTCGAATCAAACCTCTGCACGTCACCTGAAAAGTTTTTTTCCTGGTGGACTTCGTCGAACCGTTCTATCGAAGCAGAAAAATATGCAGGACGCGAATGCAAGGAGGGCACCCTGCATTAGCTTTATCCACCGCCAAAATGGCTAACGACGAGGAACCATAGTTCGTGTTTGGCGCAATTGATTTGCCAAACTAGTTCGCTGGTGCAAGACCCATTAGCAGGAAAAAAGAGGTCGCGACTAGTGAATTTTTCTCTCGTGTACTCAGATCTAATCAGTGAAAAACTGAATGAAGAAAAAAAAAAAAAAAAAAAAAAAAAAGGTAGAGTATGAGGACACTTACCGTGGAGGAAGAGGGCTTAAGGGAAAAAAGATAGTTATCATAGTAACAGAAGGAAATCCTCACGGTGCATCCAAAACCGTCGAATAGTCTCCGCATGTGACCGTGGGACTCCGACAAAAAACCCTTGGTCTTCATGCGCAGGAAAAACGCCTCTTCCGTAGTTTAACTCATCTCTAGGTCCACAGTTCCCAGGGGGCTGATGGTAACCATCATCGAGCCTATCCAAACTTAACCCGTCTGATAACCCCCAGATTCTAGATCTCTAGGCTATCACACTCACACTTCCAAAGACGGGAATATTTCGTAATATGCAGGACGGGAAGACGAACTATCGATAAAAAATAATGTTACGCGAAATTTGGTCTGCTTCCCTGATATCCTGCTATATCCGTAGCGTAGCACGCACGTATGAACTCTCTGTCCTGTTCCTTGCAGATTCGGGAAGTGTCTCTGCATACTTTCAAACCTTGAAGAGAATCTGAAGTCAAAATACTAGCTCTTGGTAACTCCGTCGGTCCTTGGAGCTTTCTCGTTACACTTCACAACCAGACACCAAAAACTCGCAATTGATGCATCACTTCACAAAGGGTAAGAACCTACTAATTTACTATGTAGGTTACTATGTATAGTTAGCTGGCCGGCCAGAACCTCATAATGTGATACGATTCGCATATTCACATACACACCGGGAACCTGCAGCTGCAAGGAACAATACATCAAAAAAATAGAATATCAGATTGACAGAATCTTAATTATGACCATGAACTGGTAGCCTCGATTCTGGGCGGACAATTAGTGAACGGCTAGCTAGTAGCTTTTCATATTATGATTCTGTTTTTCTCTCCTCAACTAAATTTAAAACAGATCTCAAGAGTCTCGGCTCTTTGCCTCACTTCTGTTCGGGGTCATACAGAAAGAATAATTAAAAAAAAAAAAGTACAAAGGCGATGGGAGTCACCATATCTCACACGACCACACGCGCGCACACATACATACACATAAAACCTGACTACAAGTTTTACAGCCCGAGCTCCCCAACGAAGTATTTTAAGCAATGAGGAAGCTAAAGGCTGCACACGGAAAACAATAAAGGCTCAGCTAGCCACCGTAATATAATGGGCGCAAGGTGAAGATCAAATGCAACGATGCATGCTGGATCGAAAGTACATATGATTCCAAAGAACATGCATGCTATTAAATAAGATGCCAAAGAAACATTATGATAACAAGAGCAGCAATTGGCTCAAAAGCAAACAATTGGTAATAAAATAAAATATGTATAAACGAACATGGGGGTGAAGGGATAAAACCACAAGGCCACAATGGCAGCTCTCAAAGATCGACATCATCTAACATATAAGTCGTAAGGAAACGAAAATAGAAGAAATGAGGCCCACTTCCAACGCATAGCAAATAGATATCCGGGTATATCCTAGAAAAACTAAAAGAGAAAAATACCTGTAACTTGTCAAATCGACCGAGTGCTCTCATACGTCGTACATACTATTCTCGTCGAATGGGTTCGCTATTTCCGGAAAACTGGTTAGCTCTCAATCCTACACCATTGTACACAAAGATGAAAGGAACTACTTACGACTCTCTTCGTTGTTAGTTCCTTTGCCTTTCAGCCCCGAAAACTTGCTACTGCTGAACAACCCCAACATGGTACTTTGCCGTCGACTCTTTTTATCATTATTACTCAGTGACATGCTCCCGCCAATTGCGCCACCGCTAGAGAAAAAGGTAGAAGTAGGCGTCTGGGGCACCATACCAGCTGCATTACTATTGCCATTGCCATTGCCACCACTGCTAGTGCTCTTCTCATCCTTGGCATCCAGATTGAAGTTCATCCTACGTGGTGTGGATGGAAGACCTGGGCCTGGAGCTGCCGTTACAGGGGCTGCAAGAAGATTCGATTGACTGGTAGTAGGAGCAGGTTGTGATGAAGGTGCGTGGGTGTACGCCTGCTGGGCATATTGTAGTTGTGGAGCTTGACCCGAGTACTGCTGCATCCAAGGTGCCGGATATGATTGCGCAAGCGTCTTCTCCTGAGGTTGAGGTTCGGCTAACTCCCTTGTGTTATGGGTATGTTCTCCATAACCTTCCTCACCTGGCTTGAAGAAGATCGACGAGTACTCCAATATGAACAGCGAAAAGACACCGGCGGGAATGTTGAGTGTCGGCGAGAATACGATGCCAACGTTCCTAACCGTCATCTTATTTTCGGCGGCGTTGTCGACGATCTGAATGAGATGTTGGGCCAGAACTTTGAGCAGGGTGAAGTTCTCGATTGGTAGTAGGTGGACCAGTTGGTTGAGGCGCGGTACCCGGTTCGATTTGTCGTCATCTTCCAACGCGGCGACGAACTCTCCATGTAGATCTCTGGTAAGAAGGTTATGCGGCAGCTCCCGTAGGTAGAGTTTCAGCAATCCAGCGATGGCATGAGGGTCGTGATATTCTTCTTCGTCAGCCAGCAGATTTATATCTGCATTGGTATTGAACCTGTCTCTCAGCTGCCTGATGGATGTGTTGGATCCACTTAACCTAAAGATACCCTCCTCCTGCCACGCACCGCGAGCATCAAGGTATTCGATGCAGCGGTATACAACCGATGGGATCTCTAAATCGACGCCCGATGGCTTACTAACCTCGACGGCGTCACCGAGGGACGCGCCAAAGACGCTTCTCGAAGGCGGTATCTTGGCTGGTGCATTGGCAGATGGTGTTGTCGGCGGGACACCATCTATAGTGGCGTGGTGTTCACCTGAGGCCTTGTGGTGCATAAAACCAAAGAGTCCCCCCTTCTTCTTGCCATGTTTGGTTCTCTCAACGGCATCCGCAGCGACATTTGCTATAAACTTGCCTCCTAAAGTCGACGCAATCCCCGTAATAACGCTTTTCTCGCCACTATGGTCTGACATTTTCGATACCGTAGATACTGTCGAAAGAGGAGATGGGTTATCTCTTCTTCTATCGATCGCGGGTGGACCATGGATCGGTGCCTGGCCTTGGACCATATTTTCATAGGACACCGCCCTTAGATTATCCCCCGGCTGGGGTTGCCCTTCTTCGGCTAGGCTGGCTTTCCTTTTTTCACTAGTGACAGAAGCGGTATCGTCGTTCCTTCGTCTCTCGCTGGTTATAGAAGCGTTGTCGTCCTGCTCATCCGAGTAGTGTACGTATTGCAAAAGGCAATCCACCCATTCGTCCCTTTCAGCATCACTCTCTGCACACAAAACGTGCCTTATGGAGCTTGACGGGTTGTTGCGCTTCGGCTCCAAAATCAAAAAGGCATGACGATATTGGTTCTCGCTATCCTCGGGATTATCCGAGCGCGGTTGGTTATTCGACTGTTTTCCAATTTGAGCACTTGGTAGACGGATGGAACCTAAGTGGGAACCTCCCCTATGCTCAAAATATCTCAAAATGGGACCCTCAAGGATGAAGTAACGGGACTTCCAGCCACCGAAGTTCTTCCCTCGCTTTCTGAGCGACCCTTCCTTCGTTATTCTGCGGTCGCCGCTGGGAAGGTAAGGGACATTAGACAAGCTGTCTTTATTGCTATACAAGCTAGCGGTGTCACTCCCTGTCGTCGACTCGACAACATCCACTGAAAGGTACTCGCAAAGCGCCTGGCCGGCCCTCTGATCCAATGGGATGGTATTCAATATGGACACAAAGTATTCTTCAATCGCAGCTTTACGACCTTCGATATTTGCAGGTGAATGATTTGTGAACAAGGTCATGTTGGGCAATTTGGCCGTGAAATTCTTCGGATTTGCAAATTGCCTCACTTGAGAATCGAGTATTCCCAGTGTGTTGACGTCCTTCTCAACACGCCAAAGCTCGTTCCCGTTGGTGCGAGAGAATGTAGCTAAAACAAAGACGATCTGGTCTCGTCCTTTTGCATAATCCCCTCGAGCTCTCATCCGCGTCGACAAGACCTTGGCATCAATGGTCTGCAATGCAGGAGGTACTATAAGTAGCCTATCGTCACCGCCTTTGGCAATGCCGTTCAAAGAACTGGCTTCCTTGGCAAAATCGCCAGGTGCCTTCTCTTCCTGCTTGACTTCCCGTGCCAAGGAGGCCATTTGTGGCAAGTTCATGAGTTGCTCATGAATGTTGGTAACAGGTTGTTCAGACATCTGAGCAAGGAAGGTAGCTTGGCGAGTTGGAGATAGTAACCCAGGGCTCAAAGGTCCATTATGGTTTCCAGCGACGCTGGAGGCAGAACCTGGGAATCCGGATCTTGGGGATAGGGGTGGGGATAGGGGACCTCCAAGTCTACCCTCCATCCTTGGCTGTCGTGGAGAAAGCAACGGTGACGCAAGCGGTCGGTCGACAGGTCTAGGACTAAGCGGCAGGCCAAGCCCAAGTGCCGGACTCTTCAATGCATTCGACGAGCCTTTAAGTGTAAGTCCGCGAGGTGGGGCCATAAGCGTGGTTGACTTGATGTTTTCTCCTCCATCGAATGTCATCTTCCTGGGAAGCCCAGGCGAGATCAAGGCTTCTTGTTGGCGAAGTACCTCTCGAGCTTGGTCTTCAGTCAAGTCGGTAGGTGCAGGTATCTTAGGCTCATCCTATATTATCAAGATTAGTCGCCACTTTAAGCGATATCCAATACCAACGAAGACTAATATCTTACCCTTTGAACTGAGAATCCTTGGGCTGACTGTTGCAACTGCAATGGTGCAGGCGCCCTTTTCCTCGATAGACCCGGCGTAGGCATTCCAGGTGTTGGCATGCCTGGAGTCGGCGCCGATGGCTCGCTGCTATTCGTAGACTTGGAAAGATCTAAATTCGAAGGTCCTCTTCTCTGACCGTTCCCTAAATTTCCCACTATGTGTTGCTCTTCATCCGGCATAACCTGATGAAAACTAGTTATTTGGCCTGCAACCTCTTGTGGTGACATTGGGTAAGGCGCGACATGCTCATCCACTGTAGAAAATGTATCACTTCGAGTAAGCTCCTTGATCGAAGTTCGACCGTCTAAAGACGCAGCATCGGTGTCGTGTGGGTCGCTTGGGGTGGGTGAAGTAACGGATCTTGGGTCTGCTCCAGTCGGCAAGGGCGGTACGGCACTCAATTGCTCCTTTAGCTTTTTCCTATACCTCTCCTTATCCTTCATTGCCTTTTCTAGATCCCGATTGAGGCTTAAAATCATCGACCGTTGCTTATCTACCAACCTCCAGAGCTGCGAATTTTGAGAGGCTGCCTGCGCCTTATCCTTCAGTAAGTGAGAAATCAAAGCCTCCGCGGAACCCGCAGCTTGAATAAGAGTGGCAATTTCTTCCGGAGTCCGTTCACCGGTTTGGTTTTGCGTGAAAATATTACTTATCGCTGCATCAACTGATGACGAGCGCGGACCTCCCACCCTCGCGCCGGGTGCAGGCAAAGCTCCTTCGGACGCCATTCCCGCCTGTGAATTGCCACCGCTTCGCGCAGAAGAGTCGCTCTCTGGAACAGAGCGTAATTTCTTCAAGTGTTGTTGAGGTGTGTTATTACCCCGCTCTGATGGTCGCGATCCAGGCCTCGACCCCGTAGACCGTAAAGATTCGTTACTCGATGTAGATAAAGGCCGTCGCGGTGAGGCCCCGGTGACAGTGTATTGTGAGGTCGCAGGCGACTGGTCGTTTATCGATCGGTCTGCCGAGGAGTACGAGTTCTGAGATCCCTCAGATCCCACAGGCGACGCGAACCCGTGCAAAGAGTAGTTCTGGGCCGGTTGTTGCTGATGATGGTGACCCTGAGGCTGAGGCTGATGATGATACTGGGTTTGTTGTTGCTGCTGTAGCTGTTGATGGCGTCGTTCCTCGTCCGCGTAGAATTGCGCTGTAGACGGGCGGCCTTCAGGTGTAGTGGACCGTTGGTCGAGGCTTTCCCAGCTCAGTTCTTGTTCGAGAAACTGGGCTTTTGTCCGGGGCGAAGCGAGAGCAAGCTCGGTTGCAGCCAATGCACGTCGTCTGCTTTCCTCAAACGATATTTCCTCTTTCTCTTTGCGCTGATACTTGACGGGTGCAATTTTGCTCCTTAAACCGGGAGACTGTTGTGCGTTCGCGATCAGGTGCTGAAGGATCGCGGGATTATTCTGGAGGTAGTGATTGTTCACAAGATTATTATTACCGCTCCCGTCAGACGAAGACACTTTGTCCACGAACGGAGCCGACAAGGATTGAAAATGTGACATCTGGTGCAACTACCTGGTGCCCTTGTATGGGAAGCCAGGCAATAAGAAAAATAACAGGGTGACCGCCAACCAACCGAAATTTCGAAGCAGGAGCGGGCCTAGCCCAACCAACCACAGGCTGCGGGGCTGACCTGACCGTCGGAAAGAATGGGATAAAGGCTGTATCAAAAGGGCGGGTTCACTAGTGTGCTGCTGATAGGGTGGGTTCAAAGGAAACGAAAGACGAAATTTCCCGCTAGAAATCAGCTGTCCGTGGGGAATGAAACGAACAGCGGAAACGGCTGCTTTGACAATTCAACAATACTATGTAAGAAGGGGGTAAAAGTCCAGGCGTTAGTGTAATATTAATGCAATCGACTAATTATTACTGTTAATAATTTGTGGGATGTTGGCGTGAGGAATATATGAAAAAAGAAATAAGAGCGACAGCCAAAAGAGTTTTGCAGCCGCCGTCAATGGGGCCTAAGATATAGTCTTTTTGTTCGGGGTGGGGTTGCCGCCGAGGGGTCCAAGTCCTTTGTCCAGGGCTTGAGTGGATGGCTTCGATTGTGATAAACGAACGGACGCCCGCCTATTCCACAGCACGAGATGGTCCGGAATGGGCAGTTCAGCGACACGTTCGACGAGACTACTTGAAGCTGTGCCTATTAAGAGCGAGCGTTTAGAAAAAAGTTAGAGTCTTGAACACCTTCCAACATTTACGCGCTCGATATCCGAGCCGTCTCCCCAATTGTTGATAAACTATTTCGTCTCAGAAAGTTAACGTACATACCTGTCAAAATGAGATGCCTGACGTGATGTTATAATGTTGGATGTATATATATAATTGAAACGGAATTATGGAGGATCACCCCTCCTGTGTAATCTGCCAGTGAACTGGTCCGCCTATAACAACCTTTAAGAGAAGAGAGTCGTCGCCGTCGTCAGCATTTCTACACATATGAAAGAAAGTATGACCCTTGAGGGCTCTAGCACCGGCTCGAAGACGCTGTTTTAAAGCAATTTTCCAAAGGGAATTCTACTTCATGAAGTGTCCGTACACAAATAATCTGAGGCAAAACTAATCAATGCTCGTACCTCGGAATGGTTACTGCAATCTTTCTGGACCGCGCACAGCCGGAGATGTTGAAATTATCGAAGTTTCTGTAAATGGTCTGCTGTCAAGCGATCCGGCGGCGTCGAACTCGTTACGTTTCGATCGTCAAATGGTGGCGCTCTTCCCAATATTGCGTGCAGATACTGTAAGTACTGGTGTTTCGCAGGCAAAGCCAGCGCAGCCAAGGATGTCGAATCAGTCGCTAGAAGGTTCGAAATAGTAGATGGTAAACCTAAAGAAGGTCAATACGACTCCACGACCGATTATGGGGACCGTAGATATCGTGTTTGATGGAAGATGAAGAGTAGAAGAGGGACCCGGATGAAAGATACCCCAAAGGAAATAAAAGGAAAAGGAATAAGCACTTCTAAGATGTTGAAACGCAGGTGCCAGGAGATAGCTTGCCTGCAAACCTCACATACTCTGTACACCGGTCTTTTTTGTCGACCTTGGCTGTCAGTACCAATCAATGACGACGGGTCGGGGCCAAAAATCTCTTAGTAACAAGCGCTGGTAACCAATTGTTCGGGAAGGGTGTGTGCAAAAAGGCACGACCGGACCTGGACTGGACCCTTCATAAAAAGAGGGCCTTCTATTACTTTGCCCTACAGCTGCACTGCCCAACGACCGGAGGGATTTCATGATACTTCTATCTTCTCCCCTGATTGCGCTGAAGAAGGGCGCAGCAGATTCAAAGATCCTCACCCTTCAGTTTGGCCAGCAGGACGTCCCACCCCTCGACGGAGAGACAAAAGTCAAGTCACAAGTCAAGTGTCTACTTGACAAACGGCAGTCAACGTCGCTCATAGGCTAACCGACCTTCCAAAGGCTTTCGCTAGCTCCAAAGCAGGCAGAGCTCGAAAGAACCAATAGCCAGCGGGAACAGCCCCTGCCCGCATGGATCCAGAGGAGCGGGATACCCCTGGCAGAAAGGGGATGCATTTTCAAGAACGGCTTGAAGATGCAACACATGACCCTCACTTTTTCTGCTTCCCCCTATCAATGACTGTTGAATCGAGCGGGACTGATCTGAATAGACCTGTTCTTGCCTCTTTCCGGCTAACGAGGATGAGTTCCTGATTACGATGAAGGTGGATGGCGGCGGAGATAGCGGCATCCTAGCCCATTTCCACATAATTCCTTAGTTCCTGTAGATCCATTATCAATATTGTCGGCATCGTCTCATATCGAGTCAGTCTGAAATGAAGCTGCATACAGGTTGTAATCTGTATTTCAAATCTCCAAACCATCACGATTCATGCATCTATTCGTGACCAAACTGAGCCTCCGAAGCAACCGTTTCACACTCAGACTTGCCAGAAAATTTCCGCGAGAGCATCGATGGGCTCCAAAAAGCAATCAGTTGATCTTCGTTCCAGGCGGCGAAACACGGTTTGGTGGATATTGGTGGGCGCTTAGAGGGGCCACTGGCAGCGAGCAGTTCGAATGTTAGGTAAGAAAGTGCAAGGTGGGTTTGGCCCCACTTTCCTTTTCCCACCCAACGAACGTAACCGAGAATTTATTCCAAACCAGAACACCAAGAAATGCAAACCAGCCGATACGATATGATATTTTCCGAGAGCTGCAAACCCTCGCTGACCGAATGCATGAATTGATGGGTACCCTCAATCCCCAGTAAATCGTTTAATCGTTTATGGGATATTGATCTATGCTGAAAATGCACTAGGTTTGCATGGAAAACATCTCACCGAATAGTAAACATCTATCGAACATCTACCTGTCATCTTCGTCCAACGTTGATATTAGCATCTAGGTACTTACATCAGTACCCAGATGAATACCATGGTACGTACTTCCATCTCGTTCAGCCAAAAGTCTTCTCCACATGGCTGCATCCATCGGCGCTTAATTTTAAACCCTCAGTCATTGTCCAGTCACAAACAATCCGATCTCTAGCCTTCTGAAATCACGACTTCTGACTAGTTATTAATCCTTAGTCTCTTACGGAAAAAGGAAAAAAACACTCGCTGCAGCCCTGACCTGATTTGCGGGACGTCCCGCCCATATCAGTTTTGTAACGTAAGGCCTGTCTGTCACCACAACTTCTAAAATATGAACAAATGAGGGGTGGAATCTTCCTATCAGATGGAATATACACCTCAATATAAGTGGACAAGGGAAACCTTCCTTTCGAACTCTGCCTGAACGGGACCAATACATACGTACATTTGCAGCAGTTAGGCCACAGCATTGCATTTGAGCCTTCGCAATTTACGATATCAAAATCGCAGATCTACGGCGCAGTAGAAAATATTTCCTCAGTCCTTTAACAAAGAGGCCTGGGTCAGGCAATCGTGTAGATTTAATCCGCACATACAAATGGCACGTCAACGCTTTGAACACAATTATAAGGCAAAGTTGGATATCATACCAGGATAAAACGCCCACAGCTGCATGATGCAAGAGGTCCTGGATGCCAGCTGGTAACTTAACCGATCATGCAACAGTGCGGGCATATGTACCACCGCAGACACACCCTTCATCAGGGGACAGCTGCAGACAAGACTCCGCCACACTTGATCCTCCCCAATCCATGACCTAGGTCAATCATGATATATTTAATGCAACTTGATTTGCCAATGTCTCCTCCTAGGGATACCGGCACATGCCGATACTCAATTCCCTTTCAGTAGAATATTTGATTACCTAAAGAACCTCAGGGCTTTAGGAACGAATTACCACACAACCAACGCAAAGTCTACGCGGTGTGATACCTCTGGAATTCGAATTACAAGACTGTCTTTGGAGTTATGCATTTTATGCTCTTTACAACGACCTAGATGTGTACTAAAAAGAACCAGGGAGATGGGAATACGTATATACTCGTAGAGTCATAGCGATTGAATTGGGTACTCATCTAGTACTTTCCAATGAAATTCGTAAATTAATGAAAGCAAGACCCCTAATAACCCATAACCAGTCCAAAGCAATTAATGCCTGTATGGCCATGGCTTCAAAATACATATCATCGACCTTAAACATGCATCATCATTAAACGTTTGCCAATCTATAAAAACACTTGAGAAACTCCCATCACCTCATACCCGCACAAAAGCGCAATATTATAATTAATCCCATGCCATCTCAGCCCTCCTCATCATCCTCAACTGTTCCTCCCGTTCGTTCACAAGCAGTACATCAACAACCCTAATTACACTCGCCAAACTCCCTCTCCTTCCCTCGCCACTAATAGCAGTAGTGCTAACTCGTCTCAAAACATCCTGCGCAAGTTCCGCGGTCTCCCTGCGTTGTAATGGTGTGATTCCAAATGCTACTGTCATGCGCCGCTTCTCTGCAGCCCTTGGATCAAGTTGAAATAATTCGGGTTGGCCTGAAAATGACGAACCCTTTTCTTCCAATCCGGAGGGAAGGGTGGGAGTCCGTGGCGGAAACCGCAGGGGTGCAACGACCGGTAATGGAGATGCGTCTTCTAGGGGCGAGGGCATGCGAGAAAGTGGCCCTTCTGGTGAAAGTTGGGACGGTAGGGGAGCCTTAATGGGCGGGAGAGGCATCTGTGCACCTTCTGCAGGTGGAATCCGTACCACAGTTATTGGCGTCGACGTCTGGGTCTCAGTCGCCCCGCGCTTCACTGGCGATGTGGCAGCCATTAGATCTTCCACCGTTGGCCATTTATAATTTGGCGAAATTACTTCTATGTGCTCAATTTCAGGAGATGACGAATACCCACTAAGTCGCCTTTCGACCTCATCGGGACTAACTTGGGGAGCTACAGGAGTAAGATCGGGTGACGCTTCGGTAGGCACGGGTATTGGAACTTCTGAGTCCTCAATTTCTTCATGCATCGGGGAAGCCTGGAAAACCTCGTCTATATAAGTATTCCTCTTGGGGGGTAACAATTCTTCCACCTCAACTTCATTAGACGGAATCGTTTTAGGCGTGCCGCTTAGTTCTGGCGGTGTTCCAATCTTCTGCACCCACTCCTCAATTGTATGCATCGGTTGGGTGTGTGATCTTTTCCCCATCCTTTCGCCACCGATCTGTATCTCAGTGCTTATCTCCGTCAATGCCGCCTCGTCTGAAGTTTGTTGCGAAGTAGCAACTGACGGTGCGGATGATTCTCGCTTTTGTGGTGAACCCTGCGGACTTGCGGGAATTTGACTTTGGTTACCCTTCCTTTGCCGAAATTGGGGATCCGGGAGGCTTTGCTGGGTCAATGGTATGGTATATCCTCGCGAAATACCATAGTCATCTGTAGAAATCTCATGGCGCGATTCATGCAAGATAGGAAGTCTCGACGAACTCGCAATACTCATAGTACGATTCATTGGCCTAGAGCGTGGTGGGTATAAATAGTCAGTATCGTGAGTACGATTAGTATAGTTGTAAATATAAGGGCTGTCATCGTCCCAGTTCTGTAAGAATTGTGGCGGTGACTTTCGTAGAGCGACTGGTGCTTTAACAACATCACCAAAAATGCGACCCTCTGTTCTATCCCCCACAGACGTCATCGAGTTCCTACGTTCTCGACCCGAGGATCCACGGGACAGTGGCAGCATATACCTGTCTGGAGTTCTGGGATGGCGAGGGTAGTCGGCCGAATTACTATCAAAGTCAGGAGGAACTGTGTGGCCAACAGCGATTTCTTCTTCTTCTGACTCCTCATCCATGCGTGGCGTTTGCTTAGACTTGCTTTTGAACGACGCTTTGAACTTTTGAAGTTTTCCACCCGGCCTCTTTGGTTTCGGGGCACGATCAGAAAATCCCTTGCGGTCCGGTACATTGACTAGTTGGACTTCATGTCGCGCTTTCGACCCAGCCGTTAAAGAACGAGTTGGAAGCAGCTCATAATCCTCTTCATCAAGTTCATCCGTTTGGAGCTCTTGAAGCATCGCCTCATCGGCTAGATTAAAACGTGGAAGGCGATAATGAGGTAGTCCAGCCCAGTGTGCTACCCTAGAGGCTGTTGACTTTGGTGGAGGAGGAGGGGGTTTGGGGGCTTCGATACGTATTGACCAAGATTGGCGAATCATATTTTCGATCCGAGGACTTTAGCAATCGACAGGTACGTAGCTGATAGATTGATAACCAGGGGTAGAAGTCGTTTCTCTTCTTTCTTTTTTTTCTTTTCCGGGACGGACTTACTTTTGGACTTTTCTTGAGGCTTCTTTTGAAACCCCTTGTCCTTCGAAGCTTTCTTCGAGTCCTTTTCTGAACCTTTAGATTCTTTTTTCGCCCCCTTGGAAGATTTGGTTTCCTTCCCTAGGTTCTTCTTAGAGCCCTTCTTTAGATCCTTTTTTGAATCTTTTTTTAGATCCTTTTTTGAATCTTTCTTGAGGTCCTTTCTTGGGGCTTTCTTTGCAGCGGGATCTTTCTTAAACTCTTTTTTCAAAATCTTTTTTGAGGTTTTCCGAGAACCCTTCTTTAAGTCTGCTTTAGAATCCTTCTTCAAGTCTTTTTGTGGACCTTTCTTCAAGTCCCTTTTGGAATCCTTTCCAGAGACTTTCTTAGGGTTTTCCTTGAGACTCTTTTTAGAGTTCTTCGAATCTTTTTTTGGGCCCCTTTCCGGGTCTTTCGAGCTGTTCTCAAGATCTTTTTTATGGTCCTTCAAGTCCTTCTTCAAAGCCCACCAACTCCTTTTCTTGTCCTTGGTTGAACCTTCTTCGGACTCGGCCAGCCTAGAGCTCTTGAGGTCTCTCTTCGAGGTTTTCGGATTCTGCTTTCGGGCCTTCTTCTTCGAGGTGTTCGAGTCCTGCCTCGAGCCCTGCTTCGGATCCCCCTTCGAACCCTTGTCCAGAATCCCTAGACCCTTCTTCCAGAATTGGGTTTGGGCTTTCTTCTGCGGTTGGGGAGGCTCCGGCTCCGGCTCGTTGTGTTTCTTCAATGACTGCTTTAAGTCCCTCTTCAGATCTTTCTTCAGATCCTTGGCCGAATTCCTCCTGTCCCTGTTCAGATCCCTTTCCGACTTCGTTTGAGACCTCAGGAGTTCCTCTGGAGGCTTCCTCAGAGCTTTCAGACTCAGGCTCTGTCGTAGACTCTTCTTTTGACTCTTCCTCGGAACTTCCACCCCCACTTCCACTTCGCTCGGTTCTGGACTCGGTTCTGGACTCTTTTTCTTCCAACTGAAAGTTTTGGCCGCCCACTTTTGCATCCCCCTCGTTGCTCTTCTTCTTAACCACAGCTTCCTGCGGATTAAATTGCCTCTGCGGAGCTTCCCGTTTCACAACCTTCAGATCAAGTTCCAATCCCTCTCCAATAGCGTCAGCGGGGATGGCAACTACAGCGTCAACGTTCACAATAGAGGATGAACTGCTATCCAAACTGCTCGACCGCGAGATTTCGCCTGTGGTACCGGATTCCGTAGGCCGAATGGTGACAGTGTTACTGACTGAAAGATCACCACTCCAACGGACTCTGATACCTTCAACGCTATTTCCTCGACGGCTTTTGGAACGGTGGAGTGGACGGTCGAAGCTGGCGCAACTTCGAGTGTGGCGGTTTAAACGGGTCTTTAAGATCAAATAGGCGCATTAGATTTCCACATGGCCCAACCGAATAGTAGAAAAAACTCACATGTAACCAAAGCTCTGCCGCCTTCCTAGTATTCGCAGCAGCCCTTTCGCCGGCGGCTTCCTTGCCAGCGGTACTCTCAACGCCGATTTCTGTCTTCCTCGCGAGGTTCTTGATATGTAACTGATAACTCCCAATCTTCGCGTCCCTCTTCCTCTCGACTCTTTCAATATCCCTCTGAAGTTTCCGAATCCGTCGCTCAACTGTCGCAATCTTATTTTCAATCTTTGTAATCTTCCTATCAAGCTTCTTCGCAAGTTTTTGTGCGTCAAGAACAGCACTAGGTTCCGTCCCTAACTCTTCAAACAACGGAATCAAAAAATCAACCGTCTCGTCCCTAGCGTGCAAAATCCTTTGTCGTAACTCCTGAGATCGTCGAATGGCTTTATGCGCTTTATGCGTTAACACAGAAATACGCTTCACAGCCCACCACTTCACCCGTCGGATCTGGACTTCCGCGGTACCCCGTCGGACGCCTTGCATACGTTGTTCAGGCGGGACTTTAGTTTTCGAAGGACGCTCTGATCGTGGGATTTTCTCCTTTTGAAAACTTCCGAAGGAGAGTTTGCGGAGTCTGTATTTTGTAGTATGATCTTGGAGAGATTTGTAAAATGTGCTGGCGGGACGTGGGGCGCGAGCACTCGGTCCTAGTTCGTTGGGTAGATGGCTCATCTATCGATAATCGGGCTTTAGTGAGGGGCCATGAAGCCTTGTGGAGGATAAATGTAGTGAATTGTAGTTTATGAGTAAAATGATTGGATTTAATCATCGGCGGGGCCAACAAATAGTAGCTATTGAGGTTTAGAGAGAGATACGATGGTGTAGTTACTTATTCAATAGAGTGATGGCTCTAACAGCTCTATGGAGACTTCATGGTATGCCGGCCAGTGGACTTTAAATTTAGTTCTGTCTCATGCATGTATCAACGGCGTATTTAATTATGTTAAGATATTACATGATGTGGTTTGATAGTCATTTTCATAACCATATGATCTTTGTAAATACTCTCGATAACTTTCAATATATACTTCGTATATGAGATATCTCAATGCAAAATCGGACTTTATAAAGCGATTTAGTCTCGTAACCAAACTGTGAATGCAACTTCGTCGACGACGACGAGCTTGAGGGAGCTTCTGCAACACACGGCCTTGTTGTATTTTCGGGGATGTCGTCCAAATCTGTCGGGTTGCACAAAGACCAGGATAGGTCTTGAGATCTCGTGACCAGGCCAGGGAATCCGTTGTTGGCTGGCAGCTGGCCCTTCTGGCTACTGTAGGTCGTGCCTTCCGTGACGAGACAAGTACCTTCCCATAAGCCTCTAAGCTAGGTACCTAGGTAGTTTCATCAAATGTATAGACCATCTCTATATGTAGTGCTACTACGGTTTATTTCATGAAAATGCTCATTAGTCATAAACTAGCGACTAGTATACGAGTCATGCAAATTCCATCGGAATAATTGTATCATTCATTATCTTCATTCCTCGAGCTGGAAAAAAATAAGCTCACCCATCCCACGATAGGTGTTACACCACCAAAGGAAAAAAATGTACAATGGTCTTGAAAAAAAAAAAAAGAGGTTATAACACAGATATGAACGCCCATAACGAAGTAGGTTTCAACGTGGAGGATGGTTGGATGATGACGGATAACACAAAAAGGAAACCCCGAATCCCTTATCAATAATAACGGGAGTTCGAGGCAAAGCGGAGGAAGAGGATGAGAATTATGTCTGGAAGTTCGAATTTCGTGATTGACGGGTCTGTCATGTGAAGTCGAGGTATAAAATTTTCTTTTGAGAGGTAAAAGAAAGCGAGGCAAAAACAACATCAAGATGCTCCTATATTGGTCGTCTACCTGACGGTGGCATCGTACTTGGCCTTGAACCACTTGACGGTGTCGGCCTGGTGAATTCGGTGGCTAGCACCGACTCTGCTAGTGCATCTTCTTCGCTTAGCAACACGCTGGCCGCGGCGGGACCTATAAAATATCAATCACATCAGCATTTCAGTTCACCGAATACTCAATCCTCCAAATCTCGGTATAATCTTCCAGTTTCAACCGTGCTATTTCTCGTTGGAGGGTAACCCACATGATGCAGTAGAAGTCCATGCCGTAAATACCAATACCAGGATCGTACTTGATACCCAAATCGATGTGTTCGTTGATACCAAATCCGAAGTTTCCGCTCTCCGAGAAGTTCCTCTTCCTCAATTCGTATTCCTTAACCTTGAGTCCACGCTCCAAGATTTCCTCGGCCTTTGGTCCACGGACGGTGACATGGACGGCAATCTTTTCGTTACGACGGATACCGAAGGTTCGGACAGTGTAGCGGGCCTTGCCTGTAAAATTCCCATCTCATTAGACACACATTTCATTCCTTTTCAAATCCTTATGTAGATTTTTATTCAATTGTTGGAGTTTTTGTCGGACGTACTGTAGACTGGAGTCTGACCAGACAGCTGTTCGAGCACCTTGGCGGCACGGGTAAGTCTGTCACCAGATTCACCGACACAGATGTTGAGGACGAGCTTCTCGATGCGGAGTTCCCGCATGGGGTTGGCGGACTTGTCGGTCTATATAATTAAAACAAAGAAGAATCAGCCATTTTTGCTGCCCGATATCTCACAACTCCACGGATCCACGAAAATCATAGCAGCCGGTCGGAAAGATAGGTAGATGCTAACCATTGTGAATGTTGGATTTGGTGATGGGATAGGGGAAAACGGTCGGTGTCGATGGAGGTCGAAGATGGTTGAAGTTTACTAGGTTGGAATTCAATGTCGTCGAGATAGCTGGCTTAGATTCTTCTTTTCGTCAAAATCCAAGTGTTGCGGTAGAAATAGGGCCTAAACCCCTTTGGGAAACGCAGTCATACTGTTTCGTCGAAGGTGTTGTATCTTTAGCCTCCCAACACACAACACAGCGCCGAACACAAAGTCTCGCACGTGATCTAGGGCATGTCGCGCTAAACTCGGATTTAACGCCTTCCTTTAAACGCCGGTCGCGGTTAAGCCTGCCAAGCCTTTTCCTTGGAGATCGCGTGAATCAGCCAGCAAATTTCCATACTCAGAGCAGCTAAGCTGGCCCAACATCGCCATCCGTCGCGACTTCCTCAATCAACCTCCACCACTCCCCTCCCCGTGCGCCCTCATCCCATCGAGCTCCACTAACCTCCAGTCACCTCCCCTCTTCCCTCTTCAGCTCTCAAAGTCCGCGGACTATAAACTACTAGTCAAGATGGCACACAAGCAAGGCAAAATGGTAAGTCTCAAACAAAAAACTACTACTACATATAAAAAGACACGATACCTGTCTTTTATCAAATCAACGTCAATGTTGACTCCCCCAATCATCCAAAAAGAGAGAGCTCGTCGAGTCGGGACGGAACAGTATGGCTGATATAAGGTAATGGCGGATTGTTGGCGGACACTTGTAGGCAAATCTCGTATGTATACCCAACCAAGTCATTCGATCATGACGATATCAATTGCGACGAAATGGAATACTGATTCCAAGACTACGTTAGATAAACTACCGGATGCGTGTCACATTGAATGACAGCAGACAATTGACCGGTACCTTGCTCGCATTTGATAAGGTATGTACCTACCCCCATTTCCATCATATTATCAATTGCATCACAGACTAACTAACTATTAACTATTGACATGATATAGCACATGAATGTTGTCCTAGCTGACACAGAAGAATTCCGTCGCACAAAGCGCAAAGCCACAAAGTCGAATCCTAATGCTCCAACTACCGAAGTCGAGGAGAAACGTACCCTTGGCCTCATCATCCTTCGCGGCATGACAATTGTCTCCCTATCAGTCGAGGGTCCACCAACAGAAACCCCAGCATCAAGACTACCCGTTGGCTCAGGTGCAGGAACATCACAGACACCGATCCAGCCAGGTCCCGGAATTGCAAGACCCGCAGGAAGGGGTCTACCGATCGGTATGCATACCCATATATAAGAAATAGAATAAACAATATACTAACGCGTTATCAACCATAGGAATGGGCCAACCACCATCCGGCTTCGGTGCACCCCCAGCCGGCATGCCAGGAGCCCCTCCAGGCTTCGGAGGTCCCGGTCTCCAAGGTCCAATGCGAACAAACCTCCCACCAGGCATGCCCGCCCCGCCGGCTGGCTTCGGCGCTCCTCCATCGTTTCCAGGCGGTGGACCACCCGGATTTCAAGGCGGACCACCCGGTGGACCCATGGGCAGGGGCCAATATCCGCCTAGTGGTGGACCTCCTGGCTTTGGTGGCAGATAAAAAGAGACAACCGGCTGTTAGCAAGCGTTTGGGGCTGGTGTCTTGGATTTCTTTTCGTGCTTATGTGAAGGGAGTGGCGTGATCATGGGTAGGTCCGTGGGTTATGATACATCAAAACGTCTTTTTTTGTGTGTGTTTTGAAAAGATGACGGACAAGAGACAAGAAGAGAAGATTGGCAAAGAAACTCCAGTTTAACGAACAAAACCGAAGGGGTCAGTTTTTTTTTATGTATCACCGAAAAATCTATAGCTAGTGGAGAGAAATTGATCCCCCTTTTTTGTTTCCCTCAATACCTTTCGGGAGGTTTCTAGTATTTCACGCAAACGAAGAAAGAAATGTATACTAGTAATGACGATACATCAGCTATTTTGCATAAAACGTCGCTTCTTGATACTAGCTAGTCTTACTAGCACGCCTACGTATCTTATTCTAAGACATTAACGTTATATTCTCGATCACTCCACAAAGTGAACAAGCTACCTAAAAAGCACAGGAAAACAAATATACTTTATACGCTCCTTCTAAACTACCATTACAAAAGAATAATCTATAAGAAAAACCCAAAGAAAATCTAAATGCCAATCCGCCATAACCAGCAGACCAAAATGATATGTTTTTCGCTCGCTCCATCGCATAAACAAAAAGAAAGTCATCGAAATTCAAAAAAAAAAAAAAAAAAAAGGTAACGTTAAAAACAGGGTATCAAACCCCAGAAAGATCATTATATTCCGAGTTTTGTGATGCATATATGCATGTCAATGCGTATATGCCTGAATTCGTAAACCAGCTGCCATCCACCGATACTACCACCAGCGAGGGTCTGATAAGAAGGAAAGGACCTATCATCATATATCGATATTAAGATCTCCCTCACTTGTTTAAAGGCTTTAGTAGAAGTCGATACGGCGGATGAGGTTATCATCGTCGATGAGGAGTGTCATTCTACCAGAAAAGAATAATACCGCCGTTGTTAGTTTCTTGTATTAAAGAATAGATAGGATTATAAATAAACGTACCTCCAGCCATCAAAGTCCTGAGGTGTAGTGCTCCCCATCCTAACCACTTGATGATTCCTAGGTAACTGAGATCTCAGAACTTCCTAAAATAAGGCACGATTCAGCAAGAAGACCAAAGCTGGAGCATTTGGTAAAGGGGAAAAATGGCAAGCTTCGTCCGATGTTGATATTCTAAAGACATGAGTCCGATTGCAAAATACACCAACAAAGCCAAGTACAATATAGATGCTAGATCAAAATCTTGCATTTATATATCCAGACACAAAAGCAGACATGCTAGAGAAATCCAAGTTATACTGGGGAAACTTACTCCTTGTCCCGCAGAAGTCCTAGAAGCATCAAGCAAGATTTTCCCAACAAAACGGTTACGATATTCTTCCTGCTGGTGGTGTGGCATATTTGGAGAATCGCTGGTCGTCATCTTCAAAAAGAAATAATGTGATATAGAAAAAAAATGATTAAAAGTATAAAAAAAAGAATCCAAGGAAGAGTATTATAAAAGTTATAAGAAGACTCTTCTACTCGTTACAAACGAATTTTAAAAGCTTCGAATACTCAAAGGAAAAAAAGAAAAGATTGAAGAATCCAAGGTCTGTGCGGAAAAGATCTATATCCTAATGTAAGCATTTTCACTATTTCTTTCCATAGTCAGTAGTATTAAGGATCGGGATCGTAATATATCAGACGATTGATTGATTGATCGATACAAAAAAGCAACTTCCATTTTCAAAAAGGGAATGGAAAGATGGATGTACCACCGCGATGCATGTAGACCAGATGTTTCATCTTATAAATCTACTAGTGGAAACTGGGACACAATCGCATACAGAAAATTAACCTATTCGGGAAAACAAAATGGAAGAGAGAGTGGGGATACAGAATCATTTCTGAAGGATGGGTAAAAGAGGTGTGTAAAACAGATATCCCAACGGCACGGAAGATGCGAACGCCGGTATTCAAACGGCCAAAGGTCTGACCGTCACCGAATTGACAAGGGAAATAAAGTATAAGAATAAGAAAATAACAACAGATGGGTCTTACGAATTGGACGATCGATCGAAAAAAAGGGTGCCAAAGCCCTCAGGATTATATTAAAAAAAGGTATAGGGCGAGCTAGCCAGGGATCGAAGGACGCTAGCGTTGGAAGTTGGGGGTATCAACCCGTCTCTCCTCTTGTGTTTTAGAGTGTTGGAATTTGGGTGGTGGTAAGCTTAAATAAGGTTTAAACTTGCGGTTTCTGCCGTTATTCCGTGTGATATAATATCTGATGCTTCTATGTATCAATTTCGAGATTGGTGATCGTAGGGCGCGGAATTCTGCTTTTTATAGTCAGAAGGGTCGATCATGGCTGACTCGACTTAGCATAATAGAAATAACCCTGAGATACTTCCAAGTAGAAGCAATCAATCGCAAGATCTTGTGATGGGGTTAGGGAAGATGCAGATGCAGCTGGAATGGCATCGTCGCAGTTTCATCGATGCTTTCTCATTGGAAGAACATCTCGAGATGTAAATGAGCTCAGGCCTTTTTCATAGTGGACGCCTAGTCGCTTCCCGCGTTAACAGTATAAACCGCTATATTATTCTGCACACCCATCCGGAATGATAGGGATCCGTCTGAATGACGATTGGCGGAAGGTTGATTACTTCGTGTCCGACGTGAGTAAGGGCTCTGACAGCATACTGAAACCCTCTGAGATAACAAATGTCATCGACATATCTGGCCCATTGCATTGGTGTAATATCCTGCATCGGATACTCGACTGAAACCTGGGCCCTGCGCGCAAGAGCCTGCTGAATCGATATATCGATCTCGAGAGGGGTAGAAAATCTCCAACGATCGATATTTGCTATAGATTATCTCAAAATTCTTATTTTAATCGGCCGCGGGGTCTTCAACGGTCCAGCCATGTGAACATAATCAACATTCCGAATAAAAAAAGGAAAAACCCCTCCCACCTCTGTGATTGATAGTTATTCCCGCAATTGAGATGCCAGAATTCTTGCCGTCCCTTCAATCATTTATTTGAGGACCCAATACAACGATGGCGACTCATGTCCTGACATGTTTCCTAAGAAATAGTTTCGAAATTTTAGGCAATTTATGTGAAAGATTGTGCATGGTACTTCGGGACAAAGTTCCAGAGTATAGTAGTATGACGTAGTTCGTACAGTCGCCTGATCAATCATCTACGACTCCCTGCAGGAGGCCTTGAGAAGAAACAGAATGACCTTGGGGTCTTTGATAAGAGGTAATTCGGAACGAAGCCGCTAGATGGAAGGGTCTGATTGGTGTACGAATAGCCGCAAGGCAATTAAGAAGTGTCTTATATGTCGTGAAAAGATGCCATAGTCAGTCACTTGAAGAACAAAAACGCCTTAAACCCTTGTTCAAGTCGGCCCACTTTGCCCAAGTCTGTGCTCGTCCTTTTTTTTTTTTTTTTTGTCTTTGATTTATCATAATATTGTGATGTTTGCGGATTTTTACAACGGGAGGGAGGGACGGCTCAAATTCACTGGCATGTCAGAAGGACCCTTTTTTTCCCTTCTTAGTCTGACCATATTGTCTTCCAAAGGAGAGAAATCGCTTTCACTAACCTCCCTGAATCTTACAACCCACTTCCCCGACAATTCACCGTAAAAGGATTGGTGCCAGTGCTCATTTGGCAAGGCCCGGCGGCATCGGGAATGTAAGACGTTCCTCGAACCAAAGCCAGCCCGGCGGCGCCCAACACTCTATTTGTTGTATTTTTGAACGTTGAGATTCACACACCTTAGAACTGTACGACTGAAATACCGAGCATGAAAAGCCAGGGATGTAAAACTTGCTTTTCTGGGCTTAGGAACATCTCAGATCTCATGCAGGACGAGATCGAGAATAACGCCATTTTGAGTGATCAGTCCCGATGCTCTGTCATAAAGCCGTTCGCTTGAGCGGTGTGGCTTAATTTGAGGAGGCAAGGGAGCAGGGTCTCCGATCGAATAGCATCCTGTTTCCTCCTTTCCGAGGGAGCATACCCTCTTCCCGCGTCCCAAGAGAGTGGTCTTAAGGGTTTTTTTTCTTTTCTTCACTGGCCAATGCAAACATTGGATGGATGAGTATTTTTGGGAAAAGCGGTTTTTGTAGACATAAATTGGGAGGGGTGTGAACTGAGGGCCGTCGGAATAGACATTTCCCTGACTGCAGTGGTGTCCTCCCCCGGGGGCTTCTTTCCTTCTTCTTTTCCTTTTTTTTTGTGTGTGTGTTTCACCATCGAGGTATAGTTCAGCTGTACATTTTAATGTATAATGAGGTACCATGGAATATGTTTTCGTCTCCTTGCAGACGATGTCATTTGAGGACCTCATCGCTGGGCCCAAGCTTCTAGTCGTCTCGAGTTTCTGTAGGCAGCAATTTCCCGTTCAAAGAGCTGTATGTTACGGACACGGACCCTTGTCGAGTTGGAATCCATCAAGTGGAGCTTACGGAGATGTACGGTCTCCACTTTTTTCTGCCCAGCCGAAAAAGCTAGGCCGTCTGATATTAGCGGATTTCCAAACTCGACCAAACCGAAGCTGAAGGGTGCAGCTAGCTAGCTGCTAACTGGCGGGAACTTGTCAAATAAAATGTCACTCCGCATACCCTGGTGCATTAAAATTTGATAGGCTGGCGCTGAACGGAAGTTTTTTCCTTCCACTACACAAAGGCTGCTTGCTAACACAGATATAATGGCGCATGATAGCGCATATAAGCAGCTGCAAAACCTTGCGTGCCGCACAATGAATATCAAAACTTGGGTAAGTTGACTGAAGATCTTGGGCTCGACGACTCAAGGTTACTACGGCCAAGTGATAACTAGGGCTGCCGGAGACGCGTTCTGGAATGTATTTAGCCAAAGACTAGATCGAGATCAGATTAGTTTAAATGCGTACGTTGCATAGATGCGCATAGATAGTTTAATTGCGTGGGGTCATGGGATCGTAAGCTTAAGATTGACTGGTTGTGCAAATATCGCAGATTAAAATTGGTGGTTCTAGACTGTCAATTACAGCAGGTTCGAAGCAATCTTTTGGGTAGACGGAAACGGCGAGCGCAAGCGGGTAACGGACTCCTCGAGACGCCGCATTATTGACGGTTATTAGTCACTGTAGAATGTGATATCATATGTTCATGGGGGTGAGAAGAGCTCAGTTCTCCTCGAAGTGACGTCAATCGCTGACCTGCAGCTACGGTTTCATTGATCGCGATTTGATTGATATCAATTTTAATCAAATAAGCCTTTCTCGCGTTGGCTAGGTAGGTCCAAGAGACACCCATTCAACGCATCGGAACATCCCGAGGTTTAATATTTCTGCATTACATTCGCAGGAAATATGCTAGTAAGCATGCAAGAAATGCCGGAATCTAGTCCATTTCCTGCGCCGCCTGGATGGTCAGGTTTCCGAGTACTGCCGATGCTACATAAGTTAAAAGTAGCTTATGTAGTTTGCGTTCGACGCTGTCCCCTAAGACAAATTTATCTATCTGGAGAGAGATATATATAACAAAATGTCATAACGTCATCTTCTTTGGCCAGTTATAGCGGTTAAATGCATGAGATCGATCATGAAATCGATATATCGCCAACGGCGGTTACCAAACAATGGCTTAATCTACAGATCGAATTAGCTGACCCTCCCACGTAACGGGCGAACTGGCACATGACGCACCTTTCCCATCCATAGCTCCATGGTACTAAATTCAGCAGGGCAATGCAATGTGGATATCATTAGGCAGGGAAGGAAAAAAAACATCTCAGCTGTCCTCTTCAAATTGGCCCCGCGTCTCAGGTATTTTCTCCAGGCTAACATACACGCCCTCTGTGAAAATACCCTCTTTTACCAATACATCGATATATTCCCTCATCCACCACTGACAATTCTTGTCCTATGCATGTATTTTTGAAAAATTAGCTTCGTAGATCACTTCAAAGTTCAAGAACATCGTAACAGTATGATGGATGTATATAAACTAACCCTGACGTTCGCAGGAACCAGCGGGTTCCAGCCTTTTAACCTTCCAGGTGCTTCAACCTTACTTGCTAACCTCTCGAATTCGTCCTCGTATCGTTCTACCTCCGTTCCCACCACCACTGTCTTATGACTTCCGTTGGAAAGTGCATAACCATCTATATCCTTGACATACTCGTCATCAGCAGAACAAAGCGGGAACGGAACCCGTTTGATAGAATCTTCAGATGGGACATATGGTGCTTTGAATTCTAGCACATAACCATGCAAGGGCGATCCGACAACATGGATCAGTTTCCCTGTTCCTTCCGGTCTTGGTGGTGAAGGTGCGTATGGAATGTAGAGGGACCAGTGGGCTGGGATATCTGGTTTTGCTGTTTTTGAGACGAGGATTTGAATCACCCGTGGCATTCTTTCTGTATATTGTTGAACAGGTGTAGGGTAACTACTTAAGTACCTAGTAGAAGGTATACCAATAGTGATGACGGTGATGACGGTGATGACAAGCGGACTTTAATATAATTTGCATATTTGGTGAAAAGCAGTGCAGCGGCACAGACAATGTTGGATTTCTAACGTAGACAACGCAAGAAAAGGATTAGAAAGATGTTATTGAAACCGGTTAACCGCTGTCTGATCTCTCGAATTCGAACTACAATACTATTTATATACTTATCAAAGCCGGACAAGAGATCTCGCTTCAATTGATCAGGAGGGGGAAATGAAGAAGAAATACAGGAATACCGACAGGAGCTTGCCTAACAGTACACTAACGTAGATTTTAGAACCATTTTCTTGTCTCGGTCGTGCTCAGTCAACTTCGATATGTATTTTCCTTTCCTAACTCAACTATATAAACAAGTATCTACTTATGTAGTTTAGTTGTTAGCTACTTACTTAAGCACTCGAAATAGAACGACATGCATACTTCGATATAATCAGCTGCGATTAATATTATATTAAAATTTAAACTATTTATAAATTTAGTGATTCGCACTGTCCCGAACTCGAGTGAATTGATAAATTTCATTTTACACTTTTAATACACCTAGATCCAAAATGTACATCTTGATGCCGTATTAATTAGCTATTAGATCCATATTAATATATACATGAAAATGCGTCAATACATACCTTTGAGAGGGACTGACTATCATATATAAAATTGCCCCCCTAAGCCCCCTCATAGAAGCCTTTGTGCTCGATTACAATTGACACCTTCCAGTAATTCAGGATAACATCTGGGATTATAAAGAACAATTCAATTGGCCTAAATTTTATTAAGTAGGCACCCTGTAGTTTTTTGGGTCTTCAGCTGGGTACGAAACAAACTGAGGCTGGTTAAGAGTCTCATATCGGGTCCTCTTTTCTATCCGAACCTCCCCTATGTATGAATATATACTGAGAGAATATATACATATAAACACTGCAGTAACAGGGCCCCTTCTTTTTCTTATCATTGGGCCCAATCAATTGAACGCCACGATATCGAATAGTGAGGTATTGTTCTATTGTTTGTCTTGTAAACCAGGCCTGGGAACCCTGTAGCATGGCATCCGCGAACCCAATTGCCAACCTAAATTCAACTTGGAGTAAGCATTCTAGATATAATGCTATATATATATGCGCCTTCACCCTGAGTTCTAGTGCCAGCCCACTAATATGCATATATAGATATATACTCATACAATTGCTTCACTGATATATACTTGTTTCACTGATATATATTTATTTTATATTTTATTTTTCATGAATGAATGAATGAATGAATGAATGAATGAATGAATGTTATAAAAGTTTACTATGTCTCATCCGGGCTGCCTCTTCGATAATTTCCGTCAACAATGGTACCCAGTCGCTAAACCTGCACACCTGTCAAAACCAAAAAAGTAAATCAAATCCGAGACATATGATTAGTATTTATATAAGTCCGCGTCCGGTCCATTAAGCAATGATACTGATGATATCATATGTATCCTATCATACTATCATGTCAAAATGGATATCATGCGATTCCCATGCCCATGCCCATGCAATGTGGTCGCATCTTCGGCACAGGACACTATATTTAACTTGGAATGCTACCCCCAACCGACCAACCGATTCGACAACCGCGAAACGCCTCTCAACCCGTAAATCAAAAATCGAGTTACCGAGAGAGAAAAAATAAAGCTGCGATCAATCGATTTCCTTGATCGGCATGATAAAGGTTCAGAGTTCACAAGTAATCCACAGGGCTGCATGCCATGCCATGCCAATCGATGAGAAAACGCGGCTTCCGTAGCCGAAAATGCCTGAATGAATTAATCAGCGTCTCCTTAAGCCTTCCGGTTCCATCTCTCGTATTTTTTTATTTTTTTTTTTTAAAAAAAAAGGGACCAGCAGCACCTTTTTAATAACCCCCCCCCCCGGTACAAGGTAAATTTTAGTACTACTATACTTTCACATACAAATCACATACAAAGCACTCGCTTTCCATCAAACAAAGAAAAGCCGCCATCGTCATAGTTGAAATTCGAGGTTACATACACCGATAAACAGGAATCCCACACCGCCCACCAGCGGACGACAAACCATACGCGATCGGGCAATCGCCGGCGACTGCCGGTGCGTGGCTTCAAAGTCAAAAAAAAGAACCCACTTGTGACGTTGCTTCCGAGTTTCTTCCCATATTCATAGCTATTTCCGTCCTTTTGAGAATACATTCCAGCCAAATACAGAGTAAGATAAAATAAAATAAAATAAAATAAAGTAAAATAATAAAAAAAAGGTATGGGAATTCATGGACAGAAGAGCACCTGCACCTTGATGCACAATTGCCCAAAGTAGAGCACGTACCGCACAAACCACCGGCTGAATTCATCGGACGAACAGAACCAAGAAATCTTGAAGGAAAAGGGCACCAAAAAAAAGGGTCCAGAGGAACTAGCACGGGCAGCTGACTCGACCCTTCAAAATCCGGGGTTAATAGGTGTTTGGGTGCTTGGATGCTTGGGGGACTTTGTTAACTTCCAGAAAAGAAAAAGGCGCTAATCCAGACCACCAGACCGATTTCAACCTCACCGACGGAACCCCTCCCACACTGCACCGCACACCGCACAACCCCCCCCCCCGATCGATCCGTCTGCATTCCATCCAGTACTTACTGCCTGGCTGACTTACATATACCCGCCTCCTCCCACAATGACATCCCGACATCCGCCGCCATCATCATCACCAACATCGTCATCACCACCATCATCATCGTTTACTTCCTCTTCCGCTTCACAGACAAACAATAACAGACAGCACATCCGCGACCAAACCGTCTTCTCCCAGCCAGATCCCACAAAGAAACCTTTCACTCCATCATCCTACCGTTCTCGCTTTACTTCAACATCATCTTCACCATCTTCTTCGACAACATCGGCTTCAACTTCATCCAGTCCCAATCCCAATAATACTTCAATACCAAAGGGCTACTCGACCCCCAAAAAGCGTAGAAGCATCTTCATTGAACAACTCGATTCTGCAGATCTAGACAACCAACCACCATTCTCAGAGAACAATGTTCCTATAGCATCATCATCATCACAATCACCGACAAAGAACAACATAAGAACAAGAAGTAGAAGTGGAAGTAATAGTAAAAGAAGAAGCAGAACGGCACATACAATCCTCTCCATCAATCCACTCGGCCAAAAGGACTCCTACATGATGCATCTCCCATTCGAACCTCTCAGAATATGCATTCTGATCCTCATCCTCGTCTCCTTCACAACAATATCTCTTTCAACATCCGCAAGTTCAGATCTTGATTCTTTATTACTAAAACGTATGGTACCCGGTGGAGAAGGCGTCGTGGAACGGAGAGAAGGTATTTTTTATATTTTATTTTTACACTCCCGATTTGATCATTCTCATTCTCATTTTCATTTACTTTCATCATCGATGGTATCATCGATCAGAAATAAAAAGGGAACGTAAACTAACGGAACATTCTTTTTTTTTCCCTTTAAACAAAATAGCATCGATAGCACCAAGCTTCAGCTTCGGTCCAGCAGTTCGAAATCCAGAAAAGGATATTCCAAAACTAAGAACGGGATTGTTAGTTTTGGTAGTTAGTCTAGTATTCGCCGGACTCATGACATGACATGACGAGACATGACATAGCCCTCTTTTCTTTCTTTCTTCCCCTCCAAGAATTACGAAACCAAATGGGAAAAAAATGGGAAAAGTCACGACAACTTCCCCCCGAAAACAACCAAAAGCGATAACAGAAAACCACTGGTCTTTTTTTAGCTTACGAACTCCTTCTTTTTTCTTGCCGGCGTCTACTCTCGACAAGCGTTTTTTTTTTTTTTGTTCTCCAACGAATAAGATGGAAGAGGGGGTTATCCGTTCGCTTGTGACAGAATCACAAGCATAAACCCACCAAAAATCCCGGCTCGACCTCAAAAATCCCATTTAGAAAATTCCCATCCTCTTCCGTCGGAAAAATCGAAGCCATCCACTCTTTTAGAAACAGAAACGAAACCAGAACCAGAACCAGGGGACAAGAAACTCCCCAACTAACGACATCTCCTTCCGTAACCAAAATATATGACGAATCTTCTTTTTTTTTTTTTTTTTTTTAACAAAATCACTTTCGACCAGAACAGACAGTACACAGAGAATACCCAGAATACCCACCACCACCACCGCCAGAACAACCCCACCTAGCAACATCTTCAAAGTAGCATTTTGACCCATTCAATCGTTTTTTTATCTCTAGTTATATTAGCATATTCATTATTATCATCATCATCATCACGAGGGGGAACCAACAAAAAACGGTACAAAAATGGGGTAGGGGTAGGGGGGAGCACACATGCACATTCCACACGAAACCAAAAAATCTCCAGGCGTTTTTGAATTCCATTTTTATCTCTACCCAAAGTATTTATCAAGAAAAAAAAAAAAAAACAATCAATCTATCTATCCAGATTTTTTACTTCCTATTTGATACATAACTACTATATATTTATCGACATGTATCACCTTGGGAAATTTGAAGAAAAAAAATACATATATTAAGAAATATTATTAGCTATATTTTATATACTTGCCCGTTCTCAATAAACCAGATGGAATGGCTTGAATAATATCTTGAAAATACCCGTTTGAATTCCAACAGACTTATATTTGATAAACTAGAAAATATATTGATCCATAGACAGAGCTAGAGATCCAAGCTGTCGTATAATACTACCCTAGAGTATATAACCCCCCCTTCCCTTCCTATCCCGCGTGCATATACTACCCAGGAGAGAGGGGACCACCGGGTAGTAAGTAGATATACTATGTATAGGTATAGGTATATAAGGGAGGAAAGAAAAGTATCGATTACCCAGTCCCAAACATCAAAAATTGAAAAAAGAACACCAATCGATCATAAGAACAAAAGAAAGGCATCTAAAAAATAAAACAAGATCTCGTAACATATAAAACAAACGAACAGAAAAAAAGAAAAAGGACTTTGAAAAACTCCAAACTCTGTCATGACAAAAATAAAAAAAATTAAAGGAAACACACCAAAGAAGAAAAGCCATCATCATTACCATTACCAATTCATCGTTATCATAATCCACCACCACCTTTCTCAAAAAATTATCCAAAAGAAAACAAAAAGAGAAACATCAGAAACCTAACAGCAAAACCATCTTCCAAAAAACCAATAGGTCATCGCATACTATCCAAAACCCTCGAGCCCACAATCCGTCCACTAGTACTAACTCTCTTCCTCAACTTCTCCTCCTTATCTTTCTTCCCCCTCTCATCACCACTTTGCGACCCCCCCTTCAAACTTTGTGAACTCCTTATCCCTCCTCTACTGCTACCACTGCCATCCACCGCCGCCAAAGAACTGCCCCCTTCACCACCACTACTTCCTGGCGCCTTCTCCCGTCCCGATCCTGACTTCCCACTAACCCCCCCTCCAACTCCGCCGGATTTAACCCCATCAAACCCTCCAGCCTTTGCACTCTTCAAAGCCAAATATCCCTTAGCTGCACTCGAAACCACCAATTTCTTCCCCGCCATAACCTCCCCAATCGCCCCTCCATTCTGTAATAACAACTCCGCAAGCGGGAAAGTAGGTTCTTTGACTTCCTTCCCTTTGTGCCCCGGCGACAACGGTTCCGTAGTATTATTCGTAGGTTCTGCCCCTTCCTTCACCGGATCCCCAGAGTTCAGTGCCCAGTAGACAACATGTACCCCTCTCTCATCCACAAAGTTCACATTCCCACGAATAGCAACTCCATAAACCGCACCCACCAAATCCCCCCTTTTAGCAGCTTCAACTAAGACCTCATCTGCCATTTTTCCCGATCCTTCAGCGAGGGGTCTAACAAAAGCTCGGTCTTCGTATTTCGCTTTGATAAATTTCAATCTCATCTCCCTCGTAACTTGTTGATTGGATCCTAGCTTTTCTTTCGGATCAAGTCGTGCTTCGTATATCGAATTCGAAGTCTTGTTACCAATCCGAACTAGTAACTCCGTAAGGTCTGGCGTGAACGAGTTAACATCCAACGTCAAACTCCGTACTTTCGAAATATGTGTTCCGAGTGACCTGTGAATCCCCGAACATTCTACAAACGCTCAACCATTAGCACCCCACCACCATCACGTAAATGGCATCATCATCAAAGGAAATCAACATACCAATACAAAGCACAATCCCAAAGTTAATTGAAACCCACTCCGTCTTAACCGTGCTCCCACAATCCGCACACCTTCCATTCTCAACATCCGCATCCCTAATCATTTGTAACAGCTTATCAGGATCGTCGTTGAACGTACTACTCCTCCGCGGATAAGTCGGTCTCGATCCAACCGTGATCCTTCGCTGCAAATTATTCGCTGCTAGTGAATTCCCACCCCCGCTAGATCCATGGTGATGATGATGACTCGGATCCCTAACAGCAATCTGCCCGCTGCTCAGATGCGATAACGAGGATCCCTTTCCGAATACTTGCGAGATATCTTTCTTTGTCGGATCATCCACTAGCTTGCTAGGGTCGAAAGCAGTCCTAGACTTCGACCCTTCAAGCATGCCTTTGACTGCGTTGTTGATCGCTGTAATCCAGTTGTTCATATCATCTTCGCTGGTCCCCTGATACACACGTTTATACTGCGGGGTGATAACTTCAAAGCAAAACCTTCGCTCTTGATTTCGGGCTTCGCGAACAGACGCCATACGGAGGTTAATTGGCTCGTTATGCAGATCCAGCTTTTCCTTCCAATTCGAGTATTCGCACAACTGACCGGCCGCAAGAACTACCCAGTATCTGTTCCCAATCAGATTAGCATTCCCCAGTTCACTGTTTTAAGTGTTCTATTCTAGTGGAAAACCTACTTGTGCCAATTAACTTTCGGCAAAGCCTTAGGATCATGATGTCCACCAGGCCGACTCAACGCCCACAATAACCCTTCCTTCCTCCTATCCACTCCAGTAACAGTATTCGCACCGTTCACAGGTTTATCCTCTAAATCTCGAAACCCCTTAAACTTCCCAGAATCCGCCGTTGCAGTCGGACTCAACAATCCCACTGGCGCCGAACTCGACACAGTCGACGCTGCTATCGTCGTTGTCGATTCGTTCGCCAAAGGCGGTGATGATCTTGAGTGACTGGAAACAGCTCTGATAGTTACAACATCAGGTGTAGTACTGTTGCCGCCAGTTGGAAGAGGGGTTTCCATATTCGCCACCAAACTTCCACTATCGGTCATGATAACCGGCAAACTAGGTGGAGGGATCGCGCTAGTGCCAACAACCTGCTGCCCATTAACATCCGACATGGAAGAGTCTTCAGAAACAGTAGCGCCCATTTCGATAGCTCGTCTCCTTTCTTCCCTCTCGGACCGTTGAATCTTGAACTGCTTCTCCGAGTTTTTTATTTCTTCCATTATAGCCTCGAGCTGTGGCTGCAATTCCTGCACTCTCTTCGCCGTACTCAACAGACTCTTAGCTTGCGCCTCTGCATATTTCGTAAGGTGCGACACCATCTCCTGCTCCTTCCTTCCGCCATGCAAATCCTGCATAAAGCTTCCATAATCGTGTCGTTTGATCTCGAAATTTCGTTTCTTAACCACATATTTAGAATCACTCTCCGTTTTCTTCTTTTGAGTCACAGAATCATTCTTCATGCCCAGATAGCGACTGACAAATCCATAAAACTCTCGACTTTCTTCGTCAAATTCCTTCTTCTTGGCCTCAGCGGCTTTGATATCATAGGTGTAGAGTTTCGTTATCGGCTCGATTATAAATTTTTGAAGATGCGCCTCGTTGTGGCGTTCGAACCTTAAGATTTCTTTAGCTGATCTTTCAAAGTATTCTTCTAGCGCCGGTTTCGTGCCGGAGGTATTATTGGCGGCGACTTCACGGAGGGATTCGGCGAATAGGCTCAGGGAATCGTTCCATTGAGCTTGCATCCGTTTAGCTTCCTCGGCCCTTCGTATGACTTTCTTCATTCGCTGACGGAGTATAGTGGTACGGGATTCCATTTCCTTCATGGTGGCTCTGAAGAGCGGTCCATCGTCAAGAATGTCGTCATCTTTGTAGCAGGCGGTATCTTTGGAAGGTTGTGGTGGTGATGCGATATCGAAAGTAGTGGATTCAATTCCTGGGGTCAGGGGTTCGGAAAGTGGCTCGCTAGCAGCGGAGAGGGCGTTGGAGTCGGTGGAAATATTTGATGTGGCACGAAGTTTGGGGGTGAGAAGACGGGGGTCGAGTAAGCCGAGGCCGAGTGGCGTAGATTGCTGTTTATCTGTTTGGTATCTGTTAGATCAAGCCCCCAATCAAGCTCCGATTCGGTGAACAATCAAGACATACTGTGAACCCAAAAGGAGAACTCGGCTAGCCGTGATAGCTTGTGAGCTCTCTGATCGTACTCGACAAACTATATTAAATCCATAATATCAGCCATGAAGCTCCGATGTGACCGCCAAAAATAAATAAAGAAAAAGGCCAGCGTGTGATATAAATGAGGGACAAAACTAACAGCGCAAGTATTCCGGTAACCGGATGACTTCTCGGGTACTCCCTTCGGCGGCCTCCACTTCCAACTCCATGTGAAAGACACCGATGGACTGCCACCGGTGGAGTAGTCACCTAAGAAATCGACATTGGCATGTTTGTGTAGATTAGGGTCGGCGTGAAACTCCCGTGTGACGAGGTCATCGAGTTCTCGGTGATTACTAGCGAGTATAAAGGTCAAACCGGTAATATTTGTATCGGTGGCAGTACCGGCCTCGTCACGACGTTGTCGGGCGACGAAGGTAAAGTCGAAGTTGAGTTCATCTTCATTGGTGAGTTTGAGGAGAATTCCGGGGCTTTGAGTGGCTACATATGGGTCCTAGTTGTTCCCCGCCGATGATGATAGGTTATCCTGTTAGTTTGGAAGAGAACAAACAGCAGAGATAAAAGAGAAAAGACGAGATGTGAAGGAAGAAAGAGAGAAAGGAAGGGGTGAGTATACTTGAACGTATTCAACCAGAGCATCGTCTCCGATTTCCTTTTTGGCGACAGCTCGGGTACTTGGGAACGCATTCGGGGTGATGGAGACGATGGGCTTCTTCTTTGAATTTGTGACTACGAGAGAGGTAACGGTCACTATAGTATATCAGGTAAAAAGGATGATTAGTCAAGAACGGACGGGACAGATGGACTGGGAAAAAGGGACCAGAAGATGGACAGAAAGAGGGGAAGGAATACATCTGGCCTGGTCGCGCATGAAGACCGCGGCCGGGTCTTCTGGGTGACTTCCAACATTCCCCATATTGATGACGGTGGGCGACCCCAAACAAAGACGGTTGTGGGTATATTAGGGTATTTTAGGTGGATACAAGAGACCAAAGAGAGGAGAGATAGACTAGCATCCGGTCCAGGCTATGTTGAAGAGGTAGAAAGAAGGCGGGCGACGGATGTGAGCATTGGCAGGTATCTATGCGATAGGTAGATGGGTAGGTAGGTAGGTAGTAGTTGATAGGTATGATGTTTGGATGTTTGATGTTGTTGGAGATGAGGTTGAAGATGAAGATGAAGATGAAGCCGAAGTCGAAGTTGGGGAATTGGAACTGATCAGTTCGATGGGGCAGCCGCGGGATATCGCAGGAACCACACACAACCACCACTAATCAACTAGCGAGTCCGAGTCAATGCTCTCAAATAGCCTGTTCTTAATTCTTCTTTTAAACAGAATATTGATTTTAGACGGTGGCAGATATATTAAATTCAATTGGACGGAAAGGGCATTTGGATCGGTCTTGTCACAGACTGCCATCGACTCCTGTCTAACTTTTTTTTTGACTCTTCAGACATACAGCATACTATGGACTAGTATACTAAGTAGTTTGTTTCGCATTGATTTCATGCTTCTACTCCACTTTTTTTCTTAGTAAAAAGAACCTCTCCAGATCGATCTGTACCTTTTCAATAGTACTATGGTATCAATTAACATCAATTATGACATGCATGGTCATACTTCGGGAAGTTATCAGTTACATAGAGTAGTACATTATTTCTATCTATCCATTCATTTTGCCTCCTGATATGATATGCATCGATAGAATAGTTAGATCCTGAATGAACTCTCTCACAGTCACACGACATATTCCTCAACTGCACTGCGCTATAATTGTAAAATCTAAGCCTTCATTCGTACTCGGTCAGGAAGTCGAGTCCAAAGAAAAACAACGACCTTTTTGGGTTAAGTATCAGGGGAAACGTATCGAAGGACCTGTCAATTTGACAAGCTAACTGGGACCCTTGCATATGACCCTTTTCACAGCCCTAACAGCGACGGCGACGACGCGCAAGTCTTTTTCGATCGATCCACTTATGATATGAACGGGAAACTATGGTGTGTATCTCCGTGAAACAGAGTTTTTGATTTAGAACTCACTTCAGCTGGTCTATCTGTCTGTCTTTTTATCTGCCTGTCTAGTCTCTTCAGAAATTCAAATCGGGAGTACCGGTGGGGCTTTAGTTAATAGAACCTTTGACGTCACTTCCGGACATACCATAAAATATAAAATGCTCTTTAGTATAAAGTATAAAGTATATGATCTAGATATTGATATTGGCTGTACAGAGATCAGTAGCTAATATACTTAGTTGTATTATAATTATAACGGCAATGGATCTAGAATTGATATCTACGTTATCGATAAACAGATCTAAGATATATTTGCCTCATATCGTAATAGTTCTGGGCTTGGCTCCTACCAGCTTCTCTGGCTCGGATTAGTATTCTAATCAGGAACTAATCCCAGTTGCCTTGTTCGGATAGGCGTAGACATGTATCCCTCTAAACTCCATCTCGTCCGCGTATACCTACATAGCATATAATATAGTATTAAGTCCCTCGAACTCATAAAAAAAGGCTGAAAATATTAGTTGTAAATGAGAGTATACCAATGTATACGCTGTTAACAACCAACCAAAATGCACGCAAATGCGATGTAATACTGTACTGTAATGTCATGTAATGTCAATTATCCAGAGTTACATTACTGATATAGGCACACACTAACTCTCCCCTGCAAGGTCTTGCCTCCAAATTCGCCTACTGAAGTCTGGGGTACATAGAAGTACTGCCCGTCGAAAGAGAAAGAAAAAAGAGTAATTCGTCTCGAATTGCCATAAAATCCAATTCTACATTCCCGCACCCGGCAAAAAAGTAACAGAAAGCGAGGAAAGGGAAAAAAGCCCGCCCGCCTCATCGCATTCCATCCATTTCAGACCGTTTGCGGTCTGTTCCCCACCCGGAAAAAAGGGCTCAGGATTTAAAATTCCTGAGTTTGAAAAGGAAGAAAAAAAAGGGTAATAGTTGAAAAAGTTTTTATACGTTGGTTTAATGTATATCAATCCTAAATACATACGTAGACACATCCCTTGAAAAGCAGAAACCAAAGAAAACCCAAACGGCGGTGAGAGTGTGCGTGATAAATATGATCAATCATGTTTAGAAACCATGGCCAGCCTGTGGTTGCTTTGACCAAGCCAATTCGGTCTCCTCACAAACAAAAAAAAATGACGGGAAAGAAGAAAGAGACAAAGGACACACGTTTCTTCGATCAGTCAAACGAGAACGAACATAACCACAAGCATACCGCACACATCCACTGAATGAATAGTAAAGAGAGAGAGAGAGGGAGAGAGGGAAAACTTTTAATGATAATTTTTGTAGCCCTTGTTTTTTTTCTTCCTTTGCCCGCCTTAAATTCCTAATCAGAAAAAAAAAAAGGGAAAAGAAATGGAAAAGAAAAGGTCCGGTGGATATCACACTGGAATGTGTTTCGTTCGGCAGTGAATCCACCGTTAACGGTGCTTGCGCCAACGGGTTTTAATAGTGACCCACATTCTACCAATTGGAGACTCCCAATAACTCCCAAGGTATCAATAAGAAATATTACAAGGGAAGAACAAGGGAAAAGAACCCGGTGTAAGAAAAAAAGAACCTAAATGAAATCAATCCCATAACCAGAAACGAGAAGGGAAAAAAAGTGAAGGAAAAGTAAAGAAAAGGAATAAAAAATAAAAAAATAAGAAAAGAAATCCTCATCGCAGACCTTTTTTTTCCCTTTCTCTTTCACTTAAAATTCTTTCGTAGCAATTAATTAAAACGCGATTTGCTTGACCCGTTTGCTGCCGGACGCGTCAGTCGCTGGTGAATCGCATTCGAATTCGCATGATCGCTTGAGTTTACGGGAGTTGTTGCTAGGTTGGAAACCGTTATTCATATTCATATTCATATTCATATTCATGTTCATGTTTGCCGAGACAAGGTTGTCGATTTGCATTGCGTCGGAGGAACTATGATGAGAGTTGGTTAGAGGTAGCATTTGTTTGTGAGCAGTGTATCCGTAGCTGTATGACTGAGGTTGAAGAGGATAGTTTTGCTGCATTTGCACCTGTTGGATTGGCGCCTGCATCGACATTTGAGGTTGTTGCTGTTGCTGTTGCTCGTAATACTGATGCTGTTGGACAGTAGCATTGTGGACTCTGGCAGCTTCAAGCTCGGCTGATTGAGCGAGATTGTAGTTGGCAACTTCGTATTCCTCATCGAAAGAGTCGTCGAGCTGGGCGTGGGCGCTGCAGAAGAGAACCATTTTTGCAGTTTTTGAAGGTTATTATTAAGTAATAGTTATAAGAATTAGAATATCTTTCTTGTTTGTCTCTTTTTTGAAGGGCTGTGAGATTGCTTTTGGTAAGAAGTGACAACTACAGTAACGAGAGAGAGGTATCTGTAGATGGGATATATAATATATCCTTTTTTTTCTTTTAGTTTGTCTTTTGGTTGGAGGGGTTTCCTTTTAATATAAATACTTAACACCTGAGGCAAGGGTGTATTTTATATAAAAGACCGTATGAGAGGATATAATGGTACGGCAAGAGGAGGATGAGGATGAGGAGGATGATATATGTATGTGATAGTAGTAGAATAGAGAGGCAGTGGTGGTAAGTAAAAGAACTTATAGACCAGCCAATGGAGGGATAGGTGAGGTTTATGTATGAGTGAGTGGATAAAGAGGGAAAGAGAAGAGAAGAGGAAGAAAGAGAAGAGAGAGGAAGAGGAAGAGGAAGAAGAGGAAGAGGATAAGCTGGATTGGGGATTGGGGTTTTGGTTGGTCGCTTAGCCAAGGTTTAGCCCGAACGAGAATGTCGACCGCGACAGATCCGGAGACGAGGAAGCTGGTCCAGTTGCTAAGTTGATCTCCAACACAGTCCTGCTTTACTACAGCCTTAGAATCCCCATCTCTTAGGTACTAGGTATATGTATAGTACACAGTAAATCCCAGCCTCCTTCTCCTCTGCCCCTGGCAAGCCATCCCATCCCACACACGACCACCAGGCTGGGCTAGTTCAGTAAGTTGGTTAGGCTGGGCTCGAACCGTGCCATAATTGCAACCGTTTTTTCCGTCCAGGTCCCGTGGGCGGCGGCGGTGGTGGTGGTTGTATGTATGTAAGCCGTAACTCTGGATTGGGAGTAACGTATGTATGTATGGTAAGTAAGTACGGAGTATGTTGTATGCAAAATGGGTTCTTCCGAATCTGATCATATGGGAAGGGCTTCAGCAAGGGCCGTTTCGTCTGTTTCCTAATTAATCTTAATTAATATCGGAACAGAGGAAATATCCGGCGTCGTCTTGTCCCCGACGAAGATGCCTCTGAAGTCGGTCTTGTAGAAATATCCGAACGTGAAGTTGGAGTTGAAGTTGATGTCGGATCATCCGGAGGTCCGTATCCGTCTATACACCCACATCGTGATGTCGAACCCGCGAGTTGAGCGTTGATTCTTTCGGCAGTCATTTGTATCCGCCGAAGCTCTTCAAAAAGTCGATCGAGCTCGCGATCAATATCGTCGTCGGACCCTCGGAGGTGGTCCGGGACGCTGGGTTGCATGCATGGCATATTCTTTTTCTTTTTTTTCTCTTTCTTTCTTCCCTCGTAACTCTTTCAATTCCTTCGTATAATGAAACTGCCCGCTACAAAATGTTAATTAGAATGACTTCCCCCCCACACGGAGAACGTCGAACGATGAGAAAGAAATGGAAAGAGGAAGAAAAGTAGAATGAATGAATGCAAATGTCGTTGGAATGAGTATCTCTTCTTCTTCTTCTTCTTCTTCTACTACTACTTCTTCCCTCTCATTATTATTTCCAATCATTTTTCCTCTCTGGGCTGTGACCACTCAGCTGTGACGCGACTCAACCGTCACCAGCCAACCACAGCCGCCTGAACACGCGATCAGAGTCAAGCCTGCGGAGCAATATGACAGCTTCTATTCGTCGACGTTATCACAGCTGCACAAATGTGATAAAACGGAATCACATGCGGTTAGTGATGGCATCATTAGTGCCCTTTGGCTCGTGGCTGCAGAGCCGCGTATATAAAACTATGACTATGGTGGTAGCTAGAGCTATTTATTGAGGTTCAAGATATTGATCGTGTCCTCTCCAGGTACTGGTACCCTTCGCCTCAGCGAGGATAACACCGATACGTCGAGATAAATACATCTTAGGTGCTTAGTTTAACTGTTACCGGGCTTCGTGAACTATAACATGCGACATTGCACCGTCGCCATTCAGACCAATAGAATCAACATTTGTAGCACTCTTACCTAGTAGGTATATTAAGTACTGGATACGAGAATATTAAGTACTAGTATTTACCCAATTTCAACCATTTCCATCCAACAAGAGGGGAATAGAAGAGCTGTCCATCGAGACCACACTCCTTGTGTTGCCTCAGTCCGAAGTCGCATCGAGCTGTTGAAATATGCGTTGTTTTACAACACAAACAACACTGAGTGCGATGAGATGAGGCCCAAATAGGCAGATTTGGTCTCAGATTACCTTGGACTTCATGCTGGGCTTCGTGTTGCCTGGTACCAACGAGACCAGCTGCGCATGGAAGTCATCTCAACTGTCGCCGGCTCCAGCGACATGATTACGACTGTTTCTGGAGGAATCCCATTGCATGGCTATGATCAGGTCTACTATGTATATACCTGCAACATGAAAGCTGTGTGGATTAACCCGCGTTACTACCTAAGTAGGTACCTACTTAAGCACTCAAGTGGCACAAGAAACCGCGAGATTAGCCACTCTTGTGATATCAAAAAAGTCCAAAGCCCCTGAGACCAGACCGCCAACCTCAATAATCCAGTGATGATTGAGCCTCAAAGGTATAGATACCACTTCAAACAAAATTCTTGATATCGTTTGGCATCTATTTCTTTTAAAACTTTTCGTTCGATTCATTTCCCTTCCATCTAATTACACGCGAAAAGAAAATGAGCGCGAGTACTACCAGTACCAACCTTCCATCACGAGAACTCGTGATACGGACGCATCCACAACCCGCGGTACCCGCCGCGCCATCAAAAGAATATCTCACGACCCTATCTCCAGAAATCCTCCTGTCTATCCTGGAGTACCTCCCAACACGTGATGTATTTAGCCTTATTTTAGTTTGCAAAGCATTCTACCCCATTGCACATCAGATCCTTTGGTCATCTCCATTGTTTCCTCATACACTTATACCGTGCGAAGACCTGAAACGTCGCTATGCGGCATCAAACTCAAACCCTTTGTATTTGGGCTGGACGTTCGTCAAAACTTTCTCGCTCTGGACCCCTCATCTACTAAGGGACAAGGAGTGTGTCAAGATATTGGTTGAACTATTTCAATCGGGCAAGCTGGAGCCTCGATGCATCAATGTTGAGGAATTTGCGGTGTGAGTGTTAACATTTCCAATCACCGAAGGAAAATGGATCTCGCAAAAACCTTTAATTCTTAGGCTAACATATATAAATAACCTGCTCGCTGTGGTTTGTGGTGATTTAGGTCACACATTGAAGAAAGCCTTCGCGTCCACGGTCAAGAGGTTTGGGATTCACTAATGGAGTATTGTCGCTCCAAGCCTCCTGGGGAAATACCGCTTTATGTGCGTGCGCGCAGCTTCAAAATCGTGCCGTTGATAGACTTCCAGTATTTGGTGAAGTTCCAACTAGATTTCGGGCGTACAAACCCTGGGGATGAAGATGGTCGTATTATGAATTTAACGACCATACTAAATACGGCTGTAATGTTGAAAGACCTGTCACTCACTGCCATTCGGCGTCCCTTCCCAGAAGAGGATATCGATACCCTGGAAGAAGAATCCCCAGAAGATCTCGCAAGTCTCCAAAAAGCATTCGATAAGCTAAGTCGGTTGGAAAGACTCGTGATTGGGAATCTTTTCATCAAGAAATCATTCTTTCTTACCCCTCCGAGCAACTTAAAATATCTGGAAATAAAGACCACGACCACACCTTCTTGGTGGCTCAAACTATCGAGATGCTCTATCCCAAAACTCGAGACATTGATCATAAATCATCACCTTACGGGACAATGTTGGGATGACCGGGGGCAGTGGTCGAATGAAAAGTTCCGAATCAATTCCGTCGCCATCACGACCTTAACGCGGTTCTCCGGGGAGGGCCCTGTATTCGGAACAAGTGATTTTGCGGATTGCGTCTTAGCAGTGAACAAGGGACTCAACGGAAATCACGGATTTGTTTCCGAAAGAGGGAATCAAGTGGTCCCGAATATGCAATCATTCGCAAGCGTTATGAAAGATATGATGGACAATATCTTGGAATCTACGTTAAACGAATACACTTGGGAAAATGTAGGACTGCTTCTGAGGGACCGAGGAACGAACTCTGTTGCTGATATTTTCGCACAGGAGTGTCTACGAACCCTAAATGAGGACATTTACAAATGTCTATCGGACGAGATCATCTAGTTGTAAGACCGGTTCTATCAATTTAGCCGCAGTTACAATATATATCCATACCGTAGACACATCTCTTATATAGTTTATTATCTAATGGCCATCAATGGGAGTAGCTCTGTATCATCAGGGTTTGTTTTCATAAAACGCCCAATAATAATATATATAATATATGGTGTATTATATTATATTAAATGGAGTGAAGAGCCTCTTTGTTGCATTTTTAGAGATACAACGCAACGAGAGAGCAAGACTTGGCAGCTAACTCCAAGTTGCCTCTTTTACAGGGCGGAAACATAAGAAAACGGGTCGTGTATCGTAATGTGGATATCGGTTATATCGATGTATGCATACGGTAACTGTTTTATGCACAGACTCCTTGTGGTTCCCATAGATTTAAAAGGTCTCTACCGATTTTACCGATAAACTTCGGGTTGGTAGACCCTGGATTTCAGAATTAACCACACTTAACATTGTTATAAATAACTTAATATGTATGTTTATTCATCATTAGAAAATCTCGAGACATTGATAACATGTATACATTCACGAGATGCGGTACCGGTATTCTCGATACTGTCCCAATGCACGATATCCGAAGGGGTTTTTTAAAAATCAAAAATGACGTGCTATGCTGTCGCTATCTTCTGTATTAAGAAAAAGAAAAAAGAAAACCTGTGCGCGCTCGAGGGATAGATTAATAGTCTAGGACCTATTCATTAGATCCTTAATACTGATCTATGAAACCACATCTAGATATATCTTGCCCGAGTACACGCATATGTGCTTCGACATAACGTGTTTGTTGTTTCCCATTCTTTGACACGAACGATATATATATACCGTGAACATTTAAATTGAGTTAGCCAGGAAGCTATTACTCGGGCGCGGGATGAATGAAGTGGTTGAGTATCAGAAACCGGTAGGACGAGGTATGAGCATGGCAAGGTGAATATAAAAATAATTTGATAAGTCGGTAAACCAGTAAATCGGCCGCTGCACCCGAAGCTAGTAGTACTATAGTTACATATATATATTAGTCAAATAACGACACCATCAGATGAGTATAGCAATTCATGAAGATCGTCGATTCAATAGATAACTGGAGATGTATATTAAATTCTTTCGAGTTTAACAATCGGTCTATATTAGCGAAGAGCCGTTAACAGTCGTTTCGATCGAGAACAATAAAAGAATGTGATCCACAATCGTCTAGATCCTCGGATTAGTAGTTGTATTCCAACATCTAAAGTCGTACGAACCTATCCCAACCCGACGACAACGGTGTTATATAGCTAACTATGTTTTCGATGACGACAACATCCCCCTGACCACGACGCATTCATAAAATATTCCAACACAAACTCACCGTAGCCCCGTCCAGATCAATTGAATAACAACGATACCGTTCAATCCCGCTGCTTTATATTTTATAACTCCACAAGCAATAGACAGGATACGTCCGGATCTCGGGTTCTCCCGCATGCATACATGCATACATATAATACTTTTATTCCAATGTTTCGATACTAACACAGTAGCGGAATGGGAAAGGGCGATAGTGATGTCGAACTTTTTCCATTGGGTTCTAGCCTGAGTCTTAGAATATAATTCCTTTGAGACCGGAGTCGTTAGGCTGGTATACTACGTAACTCGGGGGGCGACGTTGATGGGACATTGCGGGGGAAAGTAACGTTTTGAAGGATGTTTTTCGAATATCTCTGGAAACGGTAAGTGGCGAGTCGATCAGTTTGAGCCGAGTGGTATGTAGTAGACGGATGCTGTGTCATGGAGTTTTCCGAAGCTTCCTTTTTTTTTTTAATTATTTCGAAAAGAATTCGGTGTTATCTTGATTTATATTAATTAATTATAAAGCATCCCGGGAGATGAATAATCCATCCTAGTTATAATTAAAAAACACTTGGCTCTGCCCTTATAAGGATTCAAAGGGCTGGAGCGGAAGAGGGTATATATACTTAAGTTTTCCAACAAAATAAAAAGGTAGACCAAATATTAATATTCTAGATTTCCTAAACCCTCCGCGAAGAATTGGCTAATTGGGGGGTCGATCTTAAGAATATTCAAATACTACTCTGCACGTCATCTTTATACGTACATACATGCAACAAAAAAGAGGGAGAGAGACCAAAGACGTATTCCATGTCTTGCTCGTTCGAAACCCGGTGTCTCGACGGCCGGGAAGGGTAAACCGGTACGGCTATGCATACACATATGTACATTTTAAAAAAAAAATAAAATAAAAAAAAAGAATAATTAAAAATCCTCCGGCTCTGATAGGCGTCTGCACCATCTGCACGCCAACCCAACCGGGTTTTACGTTCTTCAATAACAGCCACAATATAGACCTCGAGCTATAGACGTAGGGTAGAGTCGAGCCGATCCCTGGGAACGGGTACGTACCTAAGTACCTAACAGCCAAGCGAGATGTATGTACAATCCCCAATTGGTGAGGAAGCGAGGTACGTTTTTGTCCAATTGAGCTTAGAGAGATGGGTAGTAGCTTGGGGGGAGGTACTTGGCTCTGTATACGTAGTATACGTATATGGATTAGTAGATACCCCGGGGAGAGCCCGAGGTCGACGGTTTCGGCTTTTTAAAGGATCGCAGTTCGGGATATGTATCTATACGCAAACTTGTACCTCACACACACACGATTATGAGGCAATCGAGCAAGTATTTGAGGAATTGTGGCTATATCATAGCTAAGTAATGCTTTAAGATTGATAAATATTGAGAATTCCAAATTAATATCGAAATATCTTATTCGATTCTAGAATGAAGCTAATATAATGAATTATAGTCCTCAACGAGCGCTACTATCTTCTCGACGGCTGGTTCGTAAATCATGGGAATACTAATTTCCAATCCTCTTACGGATTCAATGATCAAATATATATTTTAGAACTCAGCTGTAAATATATATCTACCAAAACCACGGATAATCCGCGATTATGAAGACTTCTACATCCAACTTAACTGCCATGGTCATGCATACTTCGCTCACCACGAAATTCCCGAAAGCTTAAAGATCAAATCCAAAAAAAATACTTCAGACCAGCTAGCTAGAGCACGTGGCATCTCCATCTACCGGCTCAATCGCCCCAGATAATTAAGCATCCTCCCGGATCGTAAGATCCTGTACATCTGCATGTAAGCTTTAAGTGTGCATATGCACGGTCCATGGAGCTACAACAGCTAATAGCAAGCCAAGAAACTACTTAGCTAGTCCAACCGACAAAAAAGAGAAGTATTTTTCCTTTTCCTGTCGCCTAAAAGACTTATGACTACACTACGGTGTGTAGCGGAGTTTCGCGTTATGAGGGCTTTTGGATGTATGTACTGCACATCTAATGTATGTACATGTACATATTGTATCTGTGGATCTGCCATGCCGGCGGATCCCATGGGGGTGGAATTATGGAGCTGTCAGCTGTGGTACGTACCACCGTGGTCTGTCAGCTTTGTGTTCGGCAGTAGGGTACCAAGTGCGAATAAGCTGGGCTTCGGAGTTCGATCGATATCTCCTCCACGTGGGCTATGGGTATTCGATTATGGAGGATTTGAAGATAATTTGTCAGAATAACATTATTATACATAATGTATTTTTTTCTTTATTTTATTCCGTTAGCTAGCTAGATCAAACTCATGAGCTCGGGTTTCCTAAGCGCCCTGTATCATTCAGTCATTCTGTGAGCGCACGATCGTAGCGTCCGAGCTAGGTATTTGAGAGAAAAAAAACTCATTCCTTAAAATCAAATCCTTTCGAGTGGCCTGCATGGAAAGAACCGAAGATCGCGAAAACCAACAGTCGAAAAAAGAAGCTAGGGCTGACAAGCAAGCACTTCAACGATTCTCTTGGCTGAACTGGGGCTGAAGGATCGTCTTTTTGGAATTTTCTTCGCCTTGTCCTGGTATAGCTGTCGCTATACTAGCTGTCAACAAAAAAAACCCTCGCATTGCATGTTGTTGGAATATCGAATGTATCCCTGTCGTTTTAGGAAAAGCACCCCACGATATTCTGAGCTTGAATAGTTAGGTAGTTGCCTATAGCTGCTGCCCCCAAAGAGCTGAGGAAGTTAGAAGGACAAAGAAGGCAGGACCTTTTGGTTTTGTGTATGAAGTTTACTGTCTTATCCATGGTACCGTAGAGAGCTTACCTTGACGTCTCCGGATCAGCCGAAAACATCTACAATGACGATTTTTGGTATTTCTTGACACTTGACAGAAAAAGGAAGTCGGAATCCACAGATCTTAATGCACGTTTTTTCCCTTTCTTTCTTTCGAAAGGAACGCTTGGTTAAAAAGGTTGGTTGGGGGGTCCCTTCAAGGATTCCTCTTCTTTGCGCCCTCGCAGATCCGGCTGCAAGTTCGGTCGGTGGTCACGCAAGCAGTCTGCAGTAGTAAGTACATATCTATGCACAAAGGTGTGGAGTGGGAATTTCGAAATAGATTTTTGCCATCCGGCATTTTTTTTATTTTATTTTATTTTTATTCCTGGGCGTTCGACCCGAACGTAAAAGAATCCTAGGATGTGCTCATTAATTCCCTCGTCTTTGATTCGTCGGCTTTTATTTTTCAAGGGAGAACCGTCGATAGACGATTTTCTCACCTGGGATGGACCCCGAGGGACTAACTGTCGTCGAACAGGAAGAGAAAGCAAATAACAGGCATCCACAGTTGGGATAGGCCCTTAACAAAAAAAAAAAGCTCCACCCACCCCCGCGAGAGCTCTCCGCTGTATGTAACCATACGACGGCTTATCTGTTATCTACACTGAAAGGGAAGCACTATGGTATGTGTGGTGTCTATCATGATAACGCGAGGATCTGAGAATGCGTCAAAAAACAAAATCCTCTAAACCTTTTACTCCGGTTTTCAGACGAAAAGAGAAAGCCAGATGGTCTGTCTTTTTGTCGATTCTCCTTACTTTTTTTTTTTTTTTTTTTTTTTTTTTTTTGACTTGCGGTCTCCACATCGTCTTTTTTACAGTTTGCACTCACAAGGACCAGCTGGCCTGTCATTCTTCGGGGCGATATATCATCGCGCAATCAACTTGAGATGGCATGACATAATGTTAGTCTGACAGGAGGAATGTGAGCGATAGAAATAGCACTCTCCCGTGTATGGTTGCTCGTCTGGAAAATTCTCATCCCTTGGGATTATTTGTTTAAAAATATCACAAAGAAAGGATCTGAGTAGTTTACCAGCCGTGTTGTCGTCATCAGTAGCTGGGTTCGGCGTTCCCATGGTCAAAGGTCCGGGAAGGCGTCGGTTATCAAACAAGCAGATGTTGGCATGGCAGGTGGTTGTTTCTTATTGATTGTTTTGGTGTCGGCACCGGATCTCGATATTTGCGACAATCCGTGTGCAAACGGCTAAGCAGGAAAGTCCTTTGGGGGGGTTTTATCCAATCGCGAACCGAGATGCATTGAAGAGGCACAAGAAACAGGTTTCGATTCGTATTGTTGAACAAAAAACAATATATGCAGATAATATTGATTGCGAAGGGGTTTCGAAACTGTGCTGAGGTTATTACAATGCGCCTTTAGATATCTAGACTTCGTAATTATGATCATTGAAGGACTTCGACATGATGATGCGCTCTTTCTGAGGAAGCGCCTGAGGACTGCATTTGGGAGATCCCGAGAGCAACTCCAGCAATTCGGGGATACAGGAATTTGAGGATCACACTCTCTTAAGGTCCCGCAGTTCCGTCCTCGCTCGGTCTGTCAAAAAATATTTCACCACGGATATGCACCAAGTTTGGGCTGACGAGAGACGATACCAGATTAGTTGCAAAGCTAAAAGTGTCGACCATGCATTAAAATGAACAAACGGTGCAGTAACCGTGCAGCCGTCTTACGAATTCAGTGGATGGGGTCCGTTTGTTTCTCAGCCTTTCCTTTTAATCGTTGATCCAGATGTGTGCAAGCGCTGTAGGCGGGTCTTTCTCTTGACTTCATGCTTAGTGGACTTAGTATAAACTCTTTTTTTTTTTTTTGTGGTTTTCGCGAATCGAGGTCACGATCCGAGGCTCGACACGTAAACGTGGTGTGCTGAGCGGAGGTTTTCGGCGCATGTCGATAATATCCTATGCCTCTTTCTCACTTCCCAACAGCCTTCGTATTTTATGCTAGAGTGACTACAGAGTACGAGGGTTCATCGGATTTTCTGTGCTGATTTTCCTTCAATCCGGACGTCACCGGATCCGCTGACAACCGATCCCTTAAACCTGTGAAGCGTAACGATCGGATTTTGGAGCAATCGGCGCTTCAGCTTGAAACTTTTATTGTTCAGTTCATCTCCTCTTTTCGGAAAAATTTGCCTGCTTGCCATCGAATCGAGATTTCATGTAGGAACCGGACACAACAGAAACACGGGTCGCTTCGCGAGCTCTCAAAGGGGGCCCAGGTGAGAGGATGTGCCAAATGCCGGCGGGTTGGTTAGTAACGCCCAACTATAGGCTAATCAAAGAACTTTTGGAGGGAAAAAGAGGATCGTTAATCTTAATACTTTTGCCTGTTGGGAGCGGGTGGCTTCTTTAATTTCTCTTCCCATGCAGCGCATGCAGTGCCAACGAGGTTTTATGAGAGAGGCAAATTAAATTGAAAGATCTGGAGAAAAAGCTTGTTCCTTTCATAGAAGTATTAAGAATTCGTGATCCCGATGGAAATTGAATGTCAATCAAAATCCTTTTCTGTTGAAATGTCAATATTCAAACAAATGAATGTCGTTACGTTATTTTTAGATCCCGGCAGGGAATTTGGTGCTTTGTTAGCAAATATTTCGAAATTTGATATTGATAATATTTGTTGGCCCGAAAGGCGAGGATTGCTGGCAGGTTATTGGCACACCATTTTTTGAATTAGAGGAATTTGTCCCACCGGGCACTTTACTTCTTTTTGTTCTCCTGAATGAGAAATTGGCGACGTCAAAAAATACGATGGAAAAAATTATGATTTTTTTTTTGAAGCTTGACGATGGCTTTTTTTTTTGCTTTGGTTGTGCAACCTTTGGATGGACAGTTTTCGTATGGGCTTTCCTTCCAGAGCGACGAGGTTACAAGCAACCCATGTACCATATAGCAGGACATCTATCTAGGCCTCGAACGACCTTGATTTCGATGCAGATTCAGTATCTTCTAACGCGACCCGTGTCCGGTTCATGGTCTTTGGGAGCACGTCATTTGAAAACGGTATGGGCGTGTGGATCACTCCACTGGCAGGCAGTACATGTTGCATGGTATGTACTATGTGTGTCTGTACTTAGTCCACAGTGGAAGAGACCTCGCCTGAGTTACTATTTTTTGCTAGTGTAGCTCGTTGGCGGAGATATTTTTGTAGCTTTCGCTGCAGGCGAAATCTGTCAAGGCAGATGTGTATAATAGTATACTTCTCTTTGTCTTAGTTGTCTATATCGGTATAGACCTGGCCAGAAAAGAATGTGACTGTTAGATTATTTATTTTGACTGTGGCAGTGAACTCGATGATCCATCCGTGGGACCAGGACAGGAGAGGATAGGACAGAAAAGGACAGGATACAAACACATACGGTATGACAGGACGGAGAACATCCACGGCGAGAAATCATCCGACGCCTGTTGTTCCTGAGTGCTGCCTCTTCGACGATGATGCCGGGAAGGGGACCGGGTTCGGCTGTTGCTTCCAGATGGATGATGAGACTAGCCGCTTCTATTCCTAGAGCTAGCTGGTTACAGAGGGGAGGCCTCCCACACAACCCCCCTTTTGGCCTGGCTTGGCGGCAACGCAATGGGGCTTGTCTGTTTCGCGAGATTGAGAGGATGGCTCAGGAGACTTCAATCCTCTTTCATCAGACAGACCAGAACAAACGAACTAACGAACACGAACGAGAAGAAACCAACCAACCAGTTCGAAGAAAGACACACAGGAGAGAGTCTCCCGACCAACCAGTGGTAATATCCACTTGCTCCCTTTCTTTCGGTTTAAAGGGGTTTTTTGGGCACCAAGAAGCCTCCAGCCAAGACGGAGGTCGAGGGATTTGCAGCTTGACTTTGCTTGCATAATGGACCGCCGCCTGTTTGCTTTTCTTCCTGTTTTTGGAGGATATGCTCTGTCTGCGAAGAGAGAGGTTTGGGGGTTTAACTTCCAAGATATCCTTGACCCATGGCCGCCGGCTTGATAAGAAATCGCTGCCACCGGCAGAACTTCTTTTTACGCTCTCTCATATCATATCACTATTATGAGAGTAGTCCGTCCAAATGGATGATTGTGCACCAAACAAACGAGGGCAAATAGCCAATGATGAGAGCTCGAATGGCCTGGATGCCTATTGGTTCAGCAGCCAAAGCGTGCCTGGGCTCCCTTCTTTTTTTTTTTTTTTCCGTTCGTTCCCACAGAAAAAGTCTTAGGTTTTGAGTCTTGAGTCGCAATCTGTGATATCAAGGAAAAGAAGAAACCATGATCGAAGCAAAAAGCAAAGAACGATGCTATGCTTAGGGGGAACCAACGAGAAAACGGCGGAAAAGCAATTATACATGTACTGTACATAGCGACATGGATGAACTGACACTCACTTTCGAGGTCTCTCACTTCCACTTCGCGGGAGAAGACGCAGCAGGGATCGAGGAGCCAGCCAAGATGTGACTGGGAGCGAGGCCAATTTTACGAAAGGTCCCAACCTCCCTGGCATGGCCTGCATAATTTGAGGAGGCTGTAAATTTGTTTATTCTTCTGAAATGGTGTGAGGTCTGTCTATCTCGGAGTAGTGTATGGATGACTGGTACATAAGGGAGCACCGTCCCCTAATTCTCTTCATTCTCATCTTCATCCTTCACAATTGTAACATTCGTTCCCGAAAGTTAACTAATACTTCTTCCATTAATTCCAACTTCCTCCAACCTTCGTCTTTCGCTTCAATACATCGAAAAACCACTTCAAGGTTATTTAATCAATCAACCCCAAAAAATCAATCAAAATGCAGTTCAGAATCGTTGCCGTTGTCCTCGCTATCGCCGCCGGTGTCAGCGCTAATCAATATGAAGCCACGTATGTGTTCGACCTATTCTATCTAAGTCTTACGAATATAAGGAAACTGGAGATCAGGAGACTAATTGAAGATACAATAATATAGTAACACAACCAACACCACCACTCCACCAGTCCCAAGCCCAACTGAAACTGGTGCTGCTTGGGCCAACGCTGCTGGCATGGGATCCCTCGCCCTAGCTGTTGCCGGTGTCGTCGCTGCTGTATGTTAAAATATCTTTTCGTCGAATCTGATAAAGCAACTTGATAACTAATAATCACGATAACAGGTCTTCTAAGCGTCTCGCCCAATGCAAATAAAACCTGCTTGACGCCCTCTTTTTTCCTTTCGACGCATCTACGCATTATACCCAGCATTCTCGGTCCCTCCCGGCTTCGCTTAAGAAGTTTAACACTGTTCATTCCAGTTATGGGAAAATACCAAAGAAAGTCTTTTGCATGGCGTCTTTCGATGTATTTAAGTCATAATTTTTAATGCATCCCGCTTTTCTTCTTCGATTCATTACTACTTTTACTGCTTTTTTCAGTCTTATGGGTGTTGTTTCTTTTGGATGTTTATATTGGGACCCTCTTAGAGTTGTTTTTATTGCTGATGGCCTTTTCTCTCTAATACCATTTTACGTTTTCAAACCTCCCAAAAAGTATTTTTTATTATCATTATCATTATCATTATCATTATAATTTTCCCATGATTCTTTAAGTTGAGTCGAGTCGTCGCAATCGTATGTATCATAGGGCGTAATGTGTGTAATGTACGGGCTGACTGAAGGATGTCAAATCGTTTTTGTCAGCCTGCATGACGTTAACCCAATTGTAGACATCGGTCCACCTTGCGTCGCCTTCAGCCTCAACCTGAATGCAGGTGGGTGGCCATGGCTGTCCTGTAGTTACATACATGGTACAGTACAGTACAGTGCATGCCCGCACTGTCACTGTATTTATTGTCTTGTGACACCTCAGCCATACAAAATTCTACGCAGATTAACGTGCTTGTGCCTTGGTGGCTTTTACTATATATAACTCTTTGTCTATCGTCTACATGCAGGGTAGACGACGACGGCTGCTTGGAATTCTAGAATTCGCACGGAATTTGATTTTTTATAATGATCCTCGACGCAAAAGAATGTACTTTCTTCTGGGGGTGAATTCCGAGAATCCCCTGAATTCTTAGTGACATCGCCTTCAAATTCAGACTTCACTTAATTCTCTCAGCTCTTCAGTTACTGTTCAACCAGCTCTTGAAATCGTAATTGGGCTAAACGGAGCTTACGGGCCTGCACGGAGAGTATCTCAGCACGGTCTCAGCGTATTTCCTGGCACGGGACAAACACCCAAAACCCCCAACACACTCAACACACTCAACACGGCGTGACGTCGGCTAAAGTACAACTGGCAGCTCCGGCAGCTTCTCGTCTATAGCGACAAGTATGGTCGATACCTGTCTAGAAGTCTCATGTACTTCCTTTTGCTTATAACCAATGAAAAGATATCGATTCCGATGGTATAGATACTAGTAAAACAATCTTGAACTCTGTAGTCTCCGTAGGATAGTTCTGGTGAATTGGATCAGTGTCCTTTTTGGCTTCTTTGCTTGATAGCAATTAATTACCGCGCTTCGTTATTAGCGGTCGTAATACGTACACTGCACCACCCACCACTACGCTGCTATACCGCACACACACACACATAAACACGAAAACCTCCAACGTACACCTCTAAGCTCCCTCACCATCCAAATCACGCCCTCATCACCACCTCTCATCGCTCATCTCCGTAGCCTTACCGGCATCGATACTTCTATTCTCCTGCTCTCTCTTTATTTCTCTCATCCCGTCTACGGCATATTCTTGCTGTTGAAATTCAACGTACATCCTCCGAACTCTTATCACCCCCCTTGTCGACCTTTCCTCTTCCTGCAACGTTTTTTAGCGCTTCACCTATCTTTCTCGTCCATTGTCGCGCTCTTATGCCATCCCACTAGCTTCGTACCATCTCCGTTTTCCTTTCTCCGTCTGTTAGACTTCAGTCGCGACAATGGCTCCTCTTCCCATTCAGTTCCAGGAGCTGGTCTCGGTATGTTAGCTGACGTGGAGCTTGCTTCTCTTTTCATGGCCACCTTTCGCTAATTACAGATTTTGTGTAGCTCACGGCTCTGGAAATCAACGTACGTAACCACCAGGAATCACCAGGAATGGCCGGGGTGTCATGAATACTAACTTTCTATCTCTTCAACAGTCTGCTAGCATTGGCTTCAACACATGCGTAAGTCTATTCGTTGCCCCTGATAAGCTTACTAGCTAAGCTTCGACTGAACTAGCTAGCTGACTATCCATCTATCCATCCATATAGACGCTCGAAAGCGATAAATACATCTGTGTCCGAGAGAAAGTGGGCGAAACTGATGGCGCCCAGCTGGTGATTATTGATCTCCATAACAATAACAATGTATCGAGACGGACGATCAAAGCAGATAGTGCTATCATGCACTGGAGCCGCGAAATCATCGCCCTCAAGGCACAGCGAACCCTTCAAGTCTTTAATCTGGGAGCTAAGGAAAAGCTGAAATCCCATGCTATGCATGAGGATGTTGTTTTCTGGAAGTGGATCAGTGAAAGATGTATAGGTTTGGTCACTGATACCTCGGTTTATCACTGGGATATCATGGACCCTACTCAGGCAGCTCCTGTCAAGATGTTCGATAGGAATTCTAATTTGGCGGTAAGCATCAAATAATATTGCAGAGCTTCCTTCTTGGAACCCTCCCGGTTGCTAACATTGGTTTTATATCTATAGAACTGCCAAATCATTAACTATCGCGTCAACTCGGAAGAGAAGTGGATGGTTGTCGTTGGTATCTCCCAACAAGAAGGACGGGTTGTCGGCAGCATGCAGTTATATTCTAAGGAACGGGCTATTAGTCAGGCTATTGAAGGACACGCTGCTGCATTTGCCAACCTGAGACTCGATGGTGGGGCTTCCGATACCAAACTGTTCACTTTTGCAGTCCGAACTGCTACTGGCGCCAAGCTACACGTCGTCGAAATCGACCACCAAACCGGTAACCCAGCATTCCAGAAGAAAGCCGTTGATGTCTACTTCCCAGCCGAAGCCGTCAACGACTTCCCTGTCGCTATGCAAGTCTCGGAAAGATTCAGTATAATTTACCTGATCACCAAGTACGGGTTCATCCACCTCTACGACCTCGAAACTGGCACTTGCATCTTCATGAACCGAATTTCTACCGAGACTATCTTCATCACTTCACCCCACGATCAAACATCTGGTATCCTTGGTGTTAACCGTAAGGGTCAGGTTTTGCTTGTTAGCGTCGATGAAAGCAACATCATCCCTTACCTTCAACAAAATCCTGCGAATGGTGCATTGGCCATGAAGCTGGCTTCCAGAGCTGGTCTCGCTGGTGCCGACGATTTGTACCAGGATCAGTTTGAGCAACTCATGAGAACTCAAAGCTACGTCGAAGCTGCTAGGGTCGCCGCTAACTCACCCCGAGGTTTCTTGCGAACTCCACAAACGATTGAACGCTTCAAGAACTTGCCTAACCCTCAAGGCCAGCTCTCAGTCATTCTGCAGTACTTCGGAATGCTACTTGACAAAGGCGGTTTGAACAAGTACGAATCACTCGAGTTGGTCCGCCCTGTCCTTGCCCAGAACCGTAAGCATCTTCTGGAGAAGTGGTTGAAGGAGAACAAGCTCGAGTGTTCGGAAGAACTAGGTGATATTGTTAGGACCCAGGATCTCAACTTAGCCCTCGGTATTTACCAGAAGGCCAATGTACCCCAAAAGGTTATTGCTTGTCTCGCGGAAACCGGCCAGTTCGAAAAGATCGTTCCATACTCACAGCACACTGGATACCAACCTGACTACACCGCTCTTCTCTCTCACATTGTTAGAATCAACCCTGAGAAGGGAGCCGAGTTCGCAACCCAGCTTGCTAATGTCGAGGGGGGCTCGCTTATCGATATTGAACGTGTCGTTGACGTCTTCCTTTCCCAGAATATGATCCAACAAGCGACAGCTTTCTTGTTGGACGCTTTGAAGGAAAACAAGGAAGAGCAAGGACATCTCCAAACCCGTCTCCTTGAGGTTAACTTGATCAATGCTCCTCAGGTGGCTGACGCTATTCTCGGTAACGAGATGTTTTCGTACTACGACAAGCAAAAAATTGCTACCTTGTGCGAAAACGCCGGCCTTTTGCAGCGAGCTCTGGAGCATTACGAGGATATTGGATCTATCAAGCGGGTCGTCGTGAATACTAACCAACTTAACCAGGAATGGCTTGTCACTTACTTTGGACGACTCTCAGTTGACCAATCCTTCGAATGTCTCACTGAAATGTTGAGATTCAATATTCGCCAAAACCTTCAGGTTGTCGTCCTCGTTGCTACCAAATACTCCGAACTCCTTGGAGCCCAGCGTCTTATCGAACTATTCGAGAAGTTCAAGACTTTTGAGGGTCTCTACCACTTCCTTGGAAGTATCGTCAATGTCAGCAATGACTCTGAGGTCCACTTCAAGTACATCCAGGCTGCTACCAAGTGCGGGCAATTCACAGAGGTCGAGCGTATTTGTCGTGATAGCAATGCTTACAATCCCGAAAAGGTCAAGAATTTCTTGAAGGAGTCTCGCCTTCCAGAAATGTTGCCTTTGATCATTGTCTGCGACAGATTCAACTTTATTCACGATTTGGTCCTCTACCTTTACCAGAACCAGCAGTTCAAGTCGATTGAGGTTTACGTCCAAAGGGTCAACCCCGCCAGAACCCCAGCTGTCATTGGTGGCTTGTTGGATGTTGACTGCGAAGAGTCCATTATCAAGAGCCTTCTTCAATCTGTCAACAGCGCTGCTATCCCAATTGATGAGCTCGTTGGCGAGGTTGAGAAGCGCAACCGTCTTAAACTCTTGCTTCCCTCCCTCGAGTCGACATTGGCCTCCGGAAACCAACAACCCGCCGTCTACAACGCCTTGGCCAAGATTTACATCGACTCCAACAACAACCCTGAGAAGTTCTTGAAAGAAAATGATCAATACGATTCCTTGGTCGTTGGTAAATATTGCGAAAAGAGAGATCCTTCGCTCGCCCTCATCGCCTACCAAAAAGGTCAAAATGACTTAGAGCTTATCAAGATCACCAACGAGAACTCCATGTTCAAGCCACAGGCTCGGTACCTCGTCAAGCGTGCCGATGTTGAGCTGTGGAACTTCGTTTTGAGCGCCAACAACCTCCATAGGAGATCCTTGATCGACCAAGTTATTGCCACCGCTGTTCCAGAATCTCAGTCCCCCGAGGATGTCTCTGTTGCCGTGCAGGCCTTCCTGTCAAATGATTTGCCGGTTGAGCTTATTGAGCTTTTGGAAAAGATTATACTGGAACCTTCTCCCTTCAGCGATAATAACAATCTTCAAAACTTGCTCATCCTCACAGCTGTCAAGGCTGATAAGTCCCGAGTTGCTGATTACATTGGCCGCTTGACTAACTACGACGGCGCGGAAATCGCCCATATCTGTATTGACAATGGATTGTACGAGGAAGCATTTGAGGTTTACAAGAAGAGCGGCGACCATGTTAAGGCTTCGGAAGTCCTTATCGAGAACGTCGTCAGCATCGATCGCGCCTTCTCCTATGCAGAGAAGGTTGACTTGCCAGAGGTCTGGAGTCGTCTCGCCAAAGCTCAACTTGATGGTCTCAGAATTTCCGACTCTATCGACTCGTACATCCGTGCCAATGACCCAAGCAACTACGCCGAGGTTATCGAGATCGCTACCAGAGCCGGAAAACACGACGAGCTCATCAAATTCTTGCAGATGGCCAGAAAGCCGTTGCGTGAGCCTTTGATTGATAGCACCTTGCTCTTGTCGTTTGCCCGTACTGAAAGATTGCCCGACCTCGAAGACTTCCTCCAGACGACCAACGTTGCAGATGTCGAGGACTGTGGTGACAAAGCTTACGAAGAGGGTCTCCACCAAGCCGCCAAGATTTTCTTCACCAGCGTTTCCAACTGGGCTAAGTTGGCCACTACCTTGGTCTACCTCGAGGAATACCAGAATGCCGTCGAATGCGCGCGCAAGGCGAACAGCACCAAGGTCTGGAAACAAGTCAACGAAGCATGTGTTTCCAAGAAGGAGTTCCGTCTCGCTCAAATTTGCGGTCTCAACCTCATTGTCCATGCCGAGGAATTGCAGGACCTTGTCCGACAATACGAGTACAATGGTTACTTCGATGAGCTCATTAGCTTGCTCGAAGCTGGTCTTGGTCTCGAGCGTGCCCACATGGGAATGTTCACTGAATTGGGTATTGCATTGTCCAAGTACCACCCAGAGCGCGTTATGGAGCACCTCAAGCTCTTCTGGTCTCGTATCAACATCCCGAAGATGATCCGTGCCTGCGAACAGGCCCACCTCTGGCCAGAGCTCGTTTTCTTGTACTGCCATTACGACGAATGGGACAATGCTGCTCTTGCTATGATGGAAAGGGCTTCCGATGCTTGGGAACATCACTCCTTCAAGGACGTTATCGTCAAGGTCGCCAACTTGGAAATCTACTACAGGGCCCTCAACTTCTACCTTCAGGAACAACCGTCGCTTCTCACTGATCTCCTCACTGCTTTGACTGCCCGTGTCGATGTTTCGAGAGTTGTCCGCATGTTCGAGAAGTCCGACAACATCCCACTCATCAAGCCTTTCCTGATTGCCGTTCAGGGCCAGAACAACAAGGTCGTCAACGCTGCTATCCACGAGCTTCTCATCGAAGAGGAAGATTACAAAACCTTGCGCGACTCTGTTGAAAACTACGATAATTACGACCCTGTTGAACTCGCCCAACGTCTTGAAAAGCACGATCTTGTTTTCTTCCGTCAAATCGCCGCCACAATCTACAGGAAACACAAGAGATGGCAATTGTCGATTGCTTTGTCCAAGCAAGATCGTTTGTTCAAGGATGCTATCGAAACCGCCGCTGTTTCCGGTAACGCAGAAGTTGTTGAGGAACTTCTCCGATACGTAAGTCTTTGCCAGAAACACCTCTCTCTCATGATCAAAGATTGCTAACAAATATTATTCAGTTCGTTGATATTGGAAGCCGCGAATGCTATGTTGCCATGCTTTACGCTTGTTACGATTTGATACCCGTTGATATGGTTATGGAAATCTCATGGCGTTATGGACTTAATGACTACACAATGGTAAGCGAGCATTCCGATTTTTTTTAGAAAGACGTATCTGCTAACTCCCAGTACAGCCCTTCATGATCACCCATATGCGCCAGCAAACCGCTAAGATCGTTCAGCTGGAAAAGGACAATGAGGACCGTAAGGCAAAGGAAGTTACGCAACAACAGACTGAGGACAATACTCCAATCCTTGGAACCCGATTGATGTTGACTGCTGGGCCGAGTGGTAGTGCGTCTCCCGGACCATATGCCAACGGTATCCAGAATCAGGCGACTGGTTATCGTGGATTCTAATGGGAATATTGAGGAGGTCTGATGTGCTGCAACCTTTACTTCTCTTTTTCTTTCTTCTTCTTCAATGTAACCTTTTTTCTCCCTCTGATGCCTTTTTAGCATGGCATGTTTCGAAACGCATTTTCTGAAGCCTTTCGCTTCCTTTTTTCCTGCAATGTTCTTTTTTGTTTTCTTCGCTTTTTTCTCCTTTCAAAAAATTTCTTTTCTTCTGGCAGGTAACAAAAATAGCAATGAAATGATAATTCTCTATTACGCTTTTGCTCCCCTATAATTACTGGATTCTGTAAAGATCCGATTGCTGGGTCTCTTTTCTCTTAATTAAATCTCTCATGGCCCATGGCCCCACACCCGAGAATTCTCGTGAAGGCGGCCTATCGCCGGCGACATGCCGATGGTTAGCGAACGAATTTCCATCTGCCCCTTGAACTGTAAAACCCTGGGCCTTGTCCCACCTGCATATATCCGTACCCTTGTCTGTTCTAAACCCAAAAAAGTCAAAGCTTATCTTTATGCCTGCGCTTGGGTTTGTGTTGACCTTGTTGGGTATTTTGGGGGGTTGTCGGTTTCGTTGACTCGAAGTCTTGATGGCCGTCTAATTATTTTTCTTTCTCTCTCTCTTTTTTTTTGTTCGTGTAAATTTTTAGCAGGAATTCTGGTAGGTAGAGAAGAAGTGCTGATATATCTTAGGGCTTAACCTATTAATTATTTTATGTAGTATTCTAGCATACGATTGATTGATGTGTAAGTAGTAGGTTGTGAACATGGTTAGATTTAGATGGATGCTATGTACTTAGGTACCTAGGTAAGTATTAGAGTGATTATTATTTATTATATATTCTGAGTTCAAGTTCGGAACCGTGGATATTATCTGTAAATTAATGCCGTGCTCAAAGTTGCCTGCTGGATCGTCTCCCGTGCGGCTATAATTACGAGCTGATCATTAGCTTAGTCGTCGAACGTCGCATATGAGAACTATTCAGCGGGATGTTATACTTGTTCCTCCGATTCTTTTCTTGAGTTTAAGATCGACGTTTGAATAAAACACTCTTTGTGGGGGGAGATAAGATAGGTGGAGTTCATATTTGCTCTCACCTTCTCCTGTCATGCATGGCCGGATAACAGAGCAAGTCACAACCATTTCCACCTTCAACGAAACCTGCTGTTTGTGCTCATCGCTCGGCTTTTATATTCACCTTTCTATTAAACGACTGTTTCCTTTCTTATTCATATCAAGAACCAACCAACTGCTCCCTCCACACACAAAAAGGGTCTCCAGCAACGCGGATCTTTTTTTAAAGAATACCTCACCAAGGCAATCATGGGAGACGACTGCACATCCGACCCGAAGTCTCAATACAAAAACTTCCTCACAGAATGTCAAATCCTTGCGAATCTACGGTGTGAGAATATACGCGACAAGGAATATCGAAAATGGCTCGAGCGACTTCGGGAGATATGTCATTATCGTAGGGATATTAATAAACATGTGGATGAAGATGAGGAGCTGGATGAACTACTGGATAGTTTGGCCTTTTTGTTGGTTAGGAAGCCTGAGGAGAGTGTGGCACTGGCTTTGGTGGGGTTGACGCGAGATAAGATTGAGATTGTGGGGAAAGCTTGCGATGAGGGACAGGGATGGTTGGTGTCGGATTCGGGGGGTCGAGATGAGTAGGTTACCTTTTTTTCTTCCTTGGGGTTATGTATCACTACTTACGATATATTTTCTTTGAATGATAGATGTCTAGACGAGTCGATGCAGCGGCACGCTCAACGGATTTTTGAGCTTGTTAAAGAGGATACTACCTTGGCCCCTAGTGTTCCTAGGGATCAAGAGATCTTTGTCGAGCTTGTAAAGCTCCAAATCGACTATAGTATCGACAAACTCTGGGATCGGGTCTCACGACTTAAGATTTTTATTGATAAAGTGGAAGGGTTTGAACTGCCGTCTTGGGTTTCGTTGGAGAAGCCTGAGAACGAAGATAGGTTCTCTATACCTCCCTTGCTTGAAAGAATTGAAGAAAACCCGAGAAGAGATATCCATGTTCAATTATGTGAGCAGTTTAAGTTGGAGAATGGTTCGGTTTTGTTACCGCCAATGGAAGATATGAAGGTTTTGGACCGGAGGAACTTCGATGTTTGGACTAAGATATTCCTTCATTTCTTTCGCAGGCTTCGAGAGGAAGTAGAAAGGCTGAATAAGAAAAACTATCAACTCGATGAAGAGAAGCGGACTCGGAATTTTGTTGCTTGCTATGTGAGTGAGATGGAAGGTTTGGTCATGGAGTCGCAATTGTTCAGACGTTGGGTGGAGGTAGTCATTAGAACACTGAACGAACAAAAGAAGCGATTGGAAGAGGAGGAAAAGAAGGCGAGGAAAAGTATTTTGATGGAACTGGAGCAATCAGAAGCTACACAGGCGCCGTCAGAGGATCCGGGATTAAGAGGGAATGCCGAAGCCGAGGCCCAGGTCGAAGGGTTAGACAAATTACAGGGGGGTGATGCTCTGGAAGCACAAAGCGGGAGTGAGGTTGCTGCTCCCATTGCAGATAATATGAGCCCACCATAAATCCCACCAGCGGTCCGATGACAAGGTCTCGAAAGCGAGATTGGCTCAAGATGACGATGGAGAAAGTGGTTCCGGCATCCATCGTGAATCATCTGACACCAAAACCGAGAGGACCTCTACTCCTCATCAAAGATGGAGCGAGATTCTCCTCTCAACCTCCACTAGAAGGCGATAAAAAGGAGTCCCAGAAGCCACAGGAAGCAGGGAAATATCCCCCCGAAACATCGATAGAGTGTCATGAATCTGGTTCCCACAGTCGCCCCGTTAATACTACTCCAAAATCAGCTGGCCATATCACCTGCGAAGGATCCCGAACACCTCAAATAGGATTGGCAGAAGGACTACAGCTTACATCGCCAACTGAGGACCCCGAAGCTTTACGAGCTAACATGCAAAAGGATATCGAAAACGTTTTTATTCTCGGGGGCGATCCGGATGAAGAAGGCTACGGGGTTGAGGTGGAAGCCGCTACCATAAGTCAATCGACAGACTTCAACATCTTCTGGCTGATCCCGCAGCACATAATGGCCATCAAGTCAATCTTAGGAAGCGTTTTGGTACCATGGTTCACATATAACAGGGATCTCAGTCTGAAGTTTCTTCCTCACGATGAAGAAGAAAAACCTACTAGGTTGCCTTGTAACCCTCTTCGTGAAACTCTTTACCAGATTTTACCGGATTACTTCGACCGGGATACCGTACGAGATGAAAAGGTCAACGGATTCTTGACTTACATTAAAGCCCACGAAGGTCTCACGGCTCTAGACACCGAATTCCCCACGGTCAAGGCATCTGGACACGCAGAACTCCTTCTCCTCTCCTACTTCCGAAAACTGAAGTTAGCCGCTGGATACCCACATCCATATATTGGAACATCGAGACCACCGTGTTTCATCTGCGAAGCCATTATCTTATCGGAGCGACTTTGCTCCGTCAGTGTACAAAAAGGTCACGGTCATGTTTATGTTTCGAAGATTCCCAAAGGTATTCCCAGGGGCGACACCGAACTTGATGAAGACTTTCAGGGTGTTGGCAAGCTTTATAGTCGTGTTAATAGCTTTACACAAGATATTTGTTGTGAGTTTTATGATTTAAAAAGTGGGAAGTTAGAGAGGAAGGAGGCGGAGGCGGAGGAGGAGGCGGAGGAGGAAGAAAACGATACCGTGCAAAATAACTGGAGCCGCCTCATGGATTATAAACAGCCGTTTACTTTCCCTAGCTTTCAGAACAAATCCTCCTTAGGCTTATGAGGAGCAGGATACTAGGTACAGATAGTGGAAGAGATTTACAAGAAGTTTCCGATGAGTGCACGAGTGGTGGCTTCGGTCTATATGAGCATATGGGAGGTTTAATAACACCTATAGCTCTAGATTATGAAAGCGCTTAGGCCATAGATCCAGCAATTCATATATACCTGACTAGGAGGAAAGGGTCTAACAATCCCGCCCCATGGCCAGCGGTCGTTTTTAGGTCTGAGGTGTTAATTGTTGAGAGACAGGTATTTTATTCGTTCCGAGCAATTGTAGCTCAAGCAACTTTTCTCTGTATGACAGCTGCAGAAGCCAGATATATCGATGTGTACCCACATATGCATATACGCTTCTATTTACGTACGTAAATTTACTTAATTACTTAGGTACAAGCGAGAGCGAACTCGATGAACATGATATCGATTCCGCAGCAGTAATAAAGAAATAAGTTTTTTTTCTTGAAATTTTATTTGAGAATAAATTTGAATATTTATTTATCTATTTTATAGATTGTTATTCGAAATAATCGATGATATCATCGAGATCGAAGACGATTCATGTTTATAATAAGATAGTGTGATGAAGAGTACGCCGCGAAAGCGTGAAAGCACAGCGAAGCACGGGTCCTTGCGAACACAAATTACGGGATCGGGCTAGATTCTATAGATTCGCACGAACATGGTGCTTACCTAGGTATATATATATATAAGGATATGGATATGCTGTACGTTGGACCTAAAATACCACGTGCAACACACCATCCATAGCCTACACGTATGTTATAATTAAATTAACGTATGTTAACATTTTTAGACACATGGATCGAAAGCTTATATTCTCTGTTCCATTAGGGGTATCGAAGAAGATAAATGTCTATTAATAGGACTCTCCGAGGCTGTCTTGTATGAAATAATCTTTTTGGCTTTTTATGTATGATGTTGATCAAGTAGAGTAATTGAATGTTTGACTATAATGTTAAAAGATCGCCTGGAGTAGTCTGATGGCGAAAGGTCCATAAGATTTGGTATCGCCATTGAGGATAAAGCTTTTGCATGAACTTTAACTCCTAAGACTTATATCTTTTTATTACTAGATTTTCTAATACGTTTTTCGAGACAGCGCTCTTTGTTATATATATCCAATAGTCGACGTACGTCTAGATTATAAGCTGATACCTAAGTAGCTTTTACCCTTGACGCCTGATTATATTCCAAATAAAATTTCCGGATCCATTTAGAGGATTTTGCCGAGTATACGTATCAGGATTACAAGAAAAGTGCTGAAGCTGATTTTATTGTCACCTCGGCCGTATCCCTATTCTTTTCATCTTTGACTTTCCTTCACGAAGACAGCCACCTTTCCCACTCTCACCACTTAACCCCCTCTCTTTTCACAATGGAAAACATTTCAGATCTCTACGAAACATCCTGCCGCCGTTTCCTTACACAGCTCGCCATTATTTCAAAAGTGAATTCCGAGCAGGGTCGTAGAGAGCGACAGAAACGGCTCCAGTTTCTCAGGGAAAGTGCTAGGACGCCAGATGTGGCAGATAATGTTGCCTTAAACCGATTGCTGGATAACTTGGCTTTTCTATTGGTCCGAAGAAGTGGAGGGGATTGTGTTTCGTTGGCTTTGGTAGGCTTCACACAAGCTAAGATTGATATGGTTGCTCAGGCTAGCTATGAGGAAGATCGATCTTCACCAGATTCAGCTGTGGCCGATATGTCAGTGGGTTTGGAGGTTGCAGGAAATCCGCAAGGGGAGTTTAGGTAATTAAGCAGTTCATCCCTAGGATCTTTAGCGTCAAGTAGTTAAGCATTTTAGTCTGACATGCTCTTTTCGACATCAATAGTTATAGCTCCGACGGGCCAAGTGCGATCAAGCAACATGCGGAACGGATTTTTAAATATGTCAAAGAATCTAGCACATTGCCTCGCGATCATCAGCGGTACTACGAAATCCTGAAAGAACTCTTGACAATCCAAGTCGATTACAGTTCAAACAAACTTTACGGCCGTGTTCAACTGTTAAAAAAGTTTACTACCAAAGTCGAGGGCTTCAAAATACCAGATTGGGCTTCTTTGGCTACGGGGGAGTCAAGGGACAAGGATAGTTTCTCTTTACCACCGGCGCCGGGTCCTCCAGGAAGGGATTTAGGCGAAGTTGTTCACCGACATCTTTATAACGAACTTCTCGATAAAAAAAAATCGATTTCAGTACCACCGGTCGAGGATATGATGAAATTAAGTCGACTAAATTTTGATCTGTGGACTGAAATTTTCCTTGACTTCCTTAATGATTTTCAGAGCCGAGTGGAAAAACTAGAGAAAGCGGATGAGGCCACTCGGAGCAAATGTATCCGCTGCATTGTTTCTAGTCTGCGTTTTATGGATATCCTCGTCACTCAGTCGAAACTATTTAGGAGCTGGGTGGAGATAACGACTAGAACGCTAGACCAACAGAAAGAAGCACTAGCGAGAGAAGCTGAGGGGAAGGAAAAAGTTAGTATGTCGGTGGGGCTCATGGCTGTAGAAGATTTAGAACCGGTTGTAGAGGATTCAGAACCAGCTGCAGGTCCTGAGAGCGCCGTACATCGATCGGTCTTACAGCACACCCTACCCGAAGTACAAAAACCAACTGCTCCAAGCGACCACGAGCTTGAAAGTTCTATAAACACGATGAAGTCCGGTTCAAGTGGCCCAATCCATATTTCAAAGCCTAGGAAGCGGGACTGGTTTAAAACAACGATGAGGAAGGTGATTCCGGCGTCTATTACGAATCGGTTAACTTTGAGGAGATATTCAAAGGATACTCGAGTCCACGTCGGAGAAATTTTTGGTGGTTCCTCGCTGCCTTTGCCGGGAGGTAACAAAAAGGCTCCGGATGCCGACCAAGCTAGTCGGCAAGAAAAAATCGAGGAACCCAGGGGTTTGGCGGGAGGGGGGCACGACGAAATCGCCGGGTCAAGTACACAGAGCGGTCACCGGGTCCAACGGGCGAGGACATCTCAAATAAGTTTCTCCGGGTCGTTTTTGGAGAGGGCTGAAGAGAGCTTTGAGGAATATACCGAAGCGACAGCAGTTGGAACTCCATCCATGGACTATAACATTTTGTGGTTGGTTTCGCAGCATGCAATAGCAATTGACTCACTAGTAAAGAACGATTTGGTTCGCAAGTTTGCAAGTACGAGAGACTTCAACTTGGAGGTTCTTCCTCATGACGAGACAGAAGCCACAACTTTACCATGTGAACCTATCCTCGAGACCCTTTCAAGACTTTTGAGTACTGTTGAGCCGATAGACGACGACGACCGTAGACTGAAGGCCACCAGTTTTTTGGCTAATATCAAAGCCCATGAAGAAGACCCTGGGGCCAAGTTGCTTTTAAGCCTAGACAAAATAGAACCTACGATTAAGGTATCCGGACACGCTGAGCTGATTCTCTTGAGCCACCTCGCGAAGCTCCGTAAGGGCGGTCAATACGTTTATCGGTATCTCGGGTTATCGAAGCCACCATGTTTTGTGTGTGAAGAAGTTCTTTTACGGAGAGAAGATTTCTCGGTGTTGACGCGACAGGGTCACACACACGCTTATGTTTCGAGTATTCCCAGTGGAAATTCTCCGTTAGAACAACTTGTGGTTTTTAACGATGTCAAGATTATTGCGGAACAATCCGTCCGAGATGTTTATCTGAGTAAACGTTGTGATTCAAGAGATTCGCATTAATTGACCTATATATAGATTGTTGTGTCATATAGTGGTCTCACGTCGCTAGCGCAATATCATCCTCCTAAATGAAACAGATGTATGGTTTTTCTTATAAAGACGAAGAAGCTCTGTATATATAATACAATCCCAATACAAAAAATTCCAAGGCGTGGTGTTATAAATGAGTCCGTGACATTCAAAGGAGGGGAAACCGCGTTGTTAATGTTGCAAAATGACCAAGATTTTCCCGGCCCGTATTCGGCGAGAAGTGGAGGCAAACCCAGCTGCAGAAAAACAGGGCGGTATCGTTGCCGTTCGGAGCCATAAGGCTAAGCCCGAGACACCAATGCCGAAGGACGGACGGTATGTAATTTCCTTGATGGGCTCCTCCGAACATTTTTCTGCGGCGGCGTGATTGATAACCTTGAGCCGGGCTTTTTTTTTTTCGAGGCGAGAGCTCTCAAATTTCTTTTGGCATTTTGATACGTAACATAACGGTTGGGGACGTGGGGATGGGATGCTGATGGATGCATATGGGCTAATCTAGATGCAATTTGGGGTCCATACTTACTGACACAGTACAGCATTTACAGTGTTTCTCCAGTCATTTGCTCGGAATATCGGCTTACCAGTACTTTCGGGCAATGCCTTGAGTTTTCCTTCAGTCGAGCAGGGGTATATGGCATCTGGCGGTAGATAAGAAGGAAAGAAATACCAAAAAACAGTAGAAAAGGAAAGAAAAAAAGAAAAAGAAAAAAAAGAAAACCAGGAACCGGCTGGAAAGGATCTCAAGATACAGATACCAGATACAGATACATCTAAGATACTAGATGGAGAACGGACGTGAATAGCCGAGCGCGCACGAAGTTAAGGTTAATTGGGATGTTATACATGCATATAAACTCTGAGGTTGGGGAGGGGTTCGACTGCACGCTAGCTTGGTCAACTGCAAGCTAACCTGCCAACCTGCAAGCTAAAAACTGCAAGCTCGATTGATGTCACTGGCTGGCAGACAAGGGGAAGGGAGGGAAGCCAAGTTTTTTTTTTTTTCGGCAATGGGACGAAAAAGGTTGAATTTGTTCCGTCGGTTTTCTTGATAGCCAGAAGAATCTCGGGATCCCGTTGTCATATGAAAGACGACAGGATTCCGACGGCAATCAGCCTTTCGAGCTGCGGGATATCTTTTCTTTCTCTCTTTCTTGTAGCCGAAGAATGTATGTATATAAAATCGGCATTCCTTCTTATAGGTCCCGAGGTCTGGAAGCAGGCCGTTCGAGTAAGAAAGAAGGTCATGGTCTGGTGATATCTCTTCCCCCCCGCATTGCATCTGCATCTCATCCCCCCGATTCGCTGTTTTAACCAATCGAAGCTGCCCCCACCATCGTTGAGATCGAGCGGAGCGCACCGCGAAAAGGAGGAAAACAGGAGGGGCTAGAGCTGCCGCGAATAGCAAGGACCGAGTAGAAGGAAAATCCTAAGACCCAATTAATTGGAATTGAATTGCCTGGAGAAATAGAAATTGATAAAACACCATAAAGCCAAGTCACCGGCAAGGCTTACGTACCAAGGTGGGAAATCCAGAGCGCTCGATCGACGTGGTACCGGTATACCGCGTACATGCCATACAACCTTCGATCCAGTAGATTCGAAGCTAGTGAATTAATTTAATTGTTGACCGACTGACCGACCGACGGCAGTGCGGGGGAAAAAAGGGACTCCGATAACAGCGAGCCATCCATATAAGTCAGTGTGGTTCGCCCTCTGTCCCTTTGTCCCCGATTCTCTTCTTCTCCTCATCCTGCCCCTCACTGCCCTGCTGCGAAAATTGCAACTCTGTAGCACTTTGTCGCGAGAATATATAACCATAGTCCGTATTCAATAGCGGGGTAGCTAGCGAGCGAGCGCAGTGACAAGCTTTCGAGTAACAAAGAAGAAGTTGCATCTGACAAACTTAAAAAGGTCCGGCCCCGCAGCAAACCGCAGGCCCAACGCAAGCCAGTTTTGATAGCAGACGAACCAGACCTCTCGAGCCCTCCGCCCGAACGGAACCACCTTATTCCAGTATCGAGCGACTAGAAAGGTTCCCATTCCTCCGTATATATTCTTTCTTACTTCATCTACCTCATTAGCTGTCTGGAATCTTCGGGGAACCAGTCCTGGCGTAGTCTTTTTCTTTCTTTCAGTCCCTTTTCCCCCCAATCTCTCCCTCGTCTTTTACCCCTCCATCCTTAAGCATCATCGGAAACTACAGCAGTAGCAGCAGCAATGTCGAACCAACAGTATGCCAATGTCTTCGATGAAGAGGAGATGGATGGTGCTTCTAGCACTGCCAGAAGTGTGCATCGAATCCGTAGCAATAGCACTATCATGCAATTGAAGAAGATTATGGGTATGTTCCCGGCCATCTTCCATCTTGAGTGGTGTCAAAAGTGGGGGTTGCGGGGTAGTGATATTTGCTAACACTTCTAATGTGGACAGTTGCCAATCGTGGTGAAATTCGTAAGTAGCACCGTCAAGGACACGCCTTAATGCCAATTGGGCTCTTGGGAAGCCATTCGATAGCTAATTTCTTGCCATCATCGGTGTTTGTGTGGTAATACAGCAATTCGTGTACGTCATTGCTATATATTTATCCGTATCCCTGCGTTTTGGACCCAATTGGCTGACATATGATATGTTCTATAGATCTTTAGAACGGTATATACATTTTTCCGGTCTCGTTCAGTAGATTTAGAATCGATCTTACTGACTCTGGTTGGATATTAGGCACACGAGTTGTCACTTCAAACGGTTGCCATATACAGTTATGAGGATCGAATGGGCATGCACAGGCAGAGTATGTTATGTTATGTTCATCTAGTTTGATGCATGATAGTTAGTATCTGAACATACCATGACTGACAAGATTTATATCTGAACAGAGGCCGACGAAGCCTACATGATCGGTCACCGAGGTCAATACACACCCGTCGGAGCTTACCTCGCCATTGACGAGATCATCAAGATCGCACTAGAACACAATGTCAACATGATCCATCCTGGTTATGGTTTCTTGTCTGAGAACGCCGAGTTTGCCAGGAAGGTTGAGGAGGCCGGAATCATTGTACGTCTGACCCTCATACTGGCATACCAGAGTATATAGGTTAACAGCTTTTAGTTCGTCGGTCCAACCTACAAAGTCATCGAAGCCCTTGGTGATAAGGTTTCCGCCAGAAGGATCGCACAGGCATGCAAGGTTCCTTGCGTACCGGGTACCCCAGGGCCAGTCGAGAAGTTCTCCGACTGCGATCACTTCGTCAAGGAGTACGGATACCCAATCATCATCAAGGCTGCCTTCGGTGGTGGTGGTAGAGGTATGCGTGTCGTTAGAGAGGGTGACAACTTGGAAGATGCCTTTGAAAGAGCTGTCAGCGAGTAAGTTGTCCACTAGCCCATCTATGCCGTCAGAGTAATCGTTAACAAAATACACAGAGCCAAATCTGCTTTCGGAAACGGCACCGTCTTTATTGAGCGGTTCTTGGACAAACCAAAGCACATTGAAGTCCAGCTTCTCGGTGATAACCATGGAAACATCGTTCACTTGTACGAGCGTGACTGCTCCGTCCAGCGAAGACATCAAAAAGTCGTCGAAATTGCCCCAGCCAAGGATCTCCCACAAGAGACAAGACAAGCTATTTTGGATGATGCCGTGAGGATAGCTAAGCACGTCAACTACAGTAAGCCGGATCCGATCTTTTTATCCTCATGTGACCTAGCTAACGATTGTCAAAGGAAACGCTGGTACCGCCGAGTTCTTGGTCGACAACCAGAACAGACATTACTTCATTGAAATCAATCCCCGTATCCAAGTCGAGCACACAATCACTGAAGAGATCACTGGCATCGATATCGTTGCCGCCCAGATTCAGATTGCTGCTGGTGCTTCGCTAGCTCAACTCGGCCTTACTCAGGACAGGATCTCGACAAGAGGATTTGCCATCCAGTGCAGAGTCACAACCGAAGACCCATCTGAGAACTTCAGACCCGACACGGGTAAGATTGAAGTCTACCGGTCCGCTGGTGGTAACGGTGTTCGTCTCGATGGTGGTAACGGATTTGCTGGTTCTATCATTACCCCTCACTACGACTCCATGTTGGTCAAGTGTACTTGCCATGGTTCCACATACGAAATCGCCCGACGAAAAGTCATCCGTGCTTTGGTTGAGTTCCGTATTCGTGGTGTTAAGACCAACATTCCATTCTTGTTGTCCCTTCTTACCCACGAAGTCTTCATCAATGGAACTTGCTGGACAACTTTCATTGATGACACTCCAGAGCTCTTCTCTCTCATGAAGTCCCAGAATCGTGCCCAGAAGTTGTTGGCTTACCTTGGAGATCTGTCTGTCAACGGAAGCAGCATCAAGGGACAAGTCGGAGAACCCAAGTTCAAGGGACAAATCATCATGCCAATTCTTACTGACAGGACCGGCAAGGTTATCGACACCACTCAGCCATGCCAGAAGGGATGGAGAAACATTCTTCTCGAACAGGGACCCGAAGCATTTGCAAAGGCTGTTCGTGCTAACAAGGGTTGCTTGATTATGGATACCACATGGCGTGATGCCCATCAATCTCTACTTGCTACCAGAGTCCGCACCATCGATATCTGCGAGATCGCGAAGCAGACCAGCTATGCCTATGCCAACGCCTACTCGATCGAATGTTGGGGTGGTGCCACATTCGATGTTGCCATGAGATTCTTGTACGAAGATCCATGGGACAGACTTAGGAAGATGAGAAGATTAGTTCCAAACGTTCCATTCCAGATGTTGCTCAGAGGAGCCAACGGTGTGGCCTACTCTTCGCTCCCAGACAATGCCATTGAGCATTTCTGCGACCAAGCACGAAAGAACGGTGTCGATATCTTCCGTGTCTTTGACGCTCTCAATGACGTTGCCCAGCTCGAAGTTGGTATCAAGGCTGTTAAGAAGGCCGGTGGTGTTGTTGAAGCTGCTATTTGCTACAGCGGTGACATGTTGAACCCCAAGAAGAAGTACAACCTTGAATACTACTTGGATTTGGCCGACAAGGTCGTTAAGCTCGGAACCCATATTTTGGGTATCAAGGATATGGCTGGCTGCTTGAGGCCGAGAGCTGCAACTATCCTCATTGGAGCTCTCCGCGAGAGATACCCAGATCTTCCAATCCACGTCCACACCCACGACTCCGCTGGTACTGGTGTTGCCTCCATGGCCGCTTGCGCCGCCGCAGGAGCTGATGCTGTTGATACCGCTACTGATAGCATGTCCGGTATGACATCTCAGCCAAGTGTTGGTGCCGTTCTCGCCGCTCTCGAGGGTACCGATATGGATCCTGGCTTGGACATCGAGTTGGTCCGTGAAATCGACAGCTACTGGGCGCAGTTGAGACTGATGTACTCGTGCTTCGAGGCCGGTCTCACCGGTCCAGATCCGGAAGTCTATGTCCACGAAATCCCTGGAGGTCAGCTGACCAACCTTATCTTCCAAGCATCTCAACTTGGTCTCGGTGCCCAATGGAAGGAAACCAAGAAGGCGTACACACAAGCCAACTACCTTCTCGGCGACATCGTCAAGGTCACCCCAACCTCCAAGGTCGTTGGTGATCTTGCTCAATTCATGGTCTCTAACAAGCTCTCGCCTGAAGACGTTGTTGAGCGTGCTGAGACTCTTGATTTCCCTGGCTCCGTTCTCGACTTCTTGGAGGGATTGATGGGCCAGCCGTTCGGTGGCTTCCCAGAGCCACTCCGTACTCGTGCTCTCCGTGGCCGACGTGCTCTTAGCGAACGTCCTGGTCTCACTCTCCATCCAACCGACCTCCCTGGTATCAAACAGGAACTCCTCGAGAAGTATGGCCAAGTCACAGAGTGCGATGTTGCCAGTTACGTCATGTACCCCAAGGTCTTCCTCGACTACAAGGAGTTCCTTGCCAAGTACGGTGACTTGAGCGTCTTGCCCACCAAGTACTTCTTGTCCACACCTGAGATCGGCGAGGAATTCCACGTCCAGATCGAGAAGGGTAAGACATTGATCATTAAGTTATTGGCTGTCGGTCCTTTGAGCGAGCAGACTGGACAGAGGGAAGTGTTCTTCGAGTTGAACGGTGAGGTCAGACAGGTTACTGTCGATGATAAGAAGGCTGGTATGTATAATCTTGAATCTTGACTTTTATATATTCGTTGGGAAGTTTGCTAATAAAGACGAATAGCCGTTGAGAATACTAGCAGACTCAAGGCCAACCAAGCCGACAGCAGCCAAGTCGGTGCTCCGATGTCTGGTGTCGTCGTCGAGGTTCGCGTTAAGGACGGTTCCGAGGTGAAGAAGGGTGATCCAATCGCTGTTCTCAGCGCCATGAAGATGGTAAGTTTTCTTTTGAAGCTTCTTAAATGTTGTTGTTTTCTATGGTGGGATGGTTTTTTCTAACTGCACCTGTTCTTAGGAAATGGTCATCTCTGCCCCACACTCCGGAGTTATCGCTGAACTACAAATCAAGGCCAACGACAGCGTTGACGGTCAAGACTTGATTTGCAAGATTGTTAAGGCCGCCACCGAGAGTGCTGAAGAGAAGTCTGACTAAGTCAGACTACTTTTTTTTTTAATAATTATTGAATGTGAAAGATTTCGAAAGGAGGTCGGCTTCTCAGTTAATTGCAAGAGAGTCGTTCCAATTCTGATATAATTCGGATCAGAATGAAAGAAAGAGGGAGGAAAATAAAGAATGAGTCTGAGAACAGAAGTTCAAGAACCGGGGAGGTACGATATGATAGTTGATGATTGAAAGGAAAAGAAAAAAGGGAATATTCAGTCTGTGGTTTATTAAACAAAAAAACTCTTTGTACTTTCGTTGTATTCTTCCTTTTTTTTTCTTCCTTCGTTCTCTTCTTTTCTCTTCTCTTCTCTTTAGGTTTATTATTAGTAGGGAATGAATATATCCTCTTCTTTTTCGATCATTCGCTTTTCTTCTTCTTTATCTTCTTCACGAACTCGTAGCCAAGCTAGCTATACGCAACATTAACCACTTTTTGTGAAGAGCATAATGAACGATATGATTGTTTTTATGAACTTGTATATCTCGGCTTCCGTGATGTATAGAAGCCGGGGCATACACAATGCATGCTATGTATTGATATGAATAAACACTAAAAACTAAACACTAAACGAAACTAGGTATGCATGTGCAGAATATATGTTTTTTGTTTTTTTGGCTACAATGCCTAATTGATCATGATGCCATCCACCAAAAATCAAGGTTCCAATCGATCTGAATTAGAAATTAACACCCCGGGGATTCATCCCTTTTGAACCAAAATCTAATCTAATAATCCTTCATCAAACTCTCTTGAGCTTCCCTATCGGTAGCATTTCTCTTCTTAATATACCAAAAGGCGGCACCGGCGAACATAACAAAGGCAGCAAAGATCTGGTAAGGGACCCAACTTCCGTCGGTGCTGAAGTGTTTGAAATCATCGGACTTGTCGGTGTCGGTTTCTGAGGCTGGGCGGGAGGCTACAGTGGTGGAGGAAGAAGATAAGGAGGTGTCAATTTCTGGAACCTTTGAGGGAGAGGAGGAAGAGGGGGGTAGAAGAGAGGGGGCAGAGGCGGGGGCAGAGGCAGAGGCAGAGGCAGAGAGAGGAGTAGGATTGGGGGCAGAGGTATCTTGAAGAGCGGAAGAAGGAGTAGGGGTGGATGTACCGCTGCCGGGTTTTCCTGAGGATCCGGATTCGATGCCTGGATTAGAATTAGATACAGTGTTAGAGAAACGGATTACTAAAGGTAATTAAGCCAAAGTACTATTACGTATTGAAACTGGATAGAGCGAAAGTCAATCTGGAGGTGGGTCTACGGGTATGCATGCAAGGAGGAAAGTATACGGAAGATACGAAGATACGGCAAAATACGTGAGTGTCTCGCAGCCTGTTGGAGTATACGAAATAGAAGGAATGGGGAGACACGAGAATACGAGTTACAGTTTATATCGTTTCAAAAGAAGCATTTGACTTTTTGTTTTCTTTCTTTTTTTTGCTCGTTCCTCTTCTTATGGTTACATATAGTCGCTCGTTCGCAGGCTAAAACGTTCTCATCAAAAAACAAAATCTTGTGTCTTCTTTTTTACACGTTATATACTGTTAACCCATCTCCCCGTTCCCCACACATCGACCGATGCTCTCTTCTTTTTTTAAATTATCTCTTGTGAAAGTGTAGGAATTATGGCAGGTAAAAGGAAGATCTCGGTGTAGGGCTTTTTGGGGATAAGCTCAAGAGTAACCAAAGGAGGGAGATGTTTTGTAAAAAATGCCATATAGGACATCGTTTACAACTCCTCCTTGGGAGCATCGGCAGCTGGGGCTTCGGCAGCTGGAGCTGGTGTATCCTTGGGGGCATCGGATTTGACTTCTTCTTGGATACCTTCTTCTGGAACTGGGAGGGAACCGCTCTTGGCGATCTTGACGGGGATGAGTGGCTTGTCGCCGTGGTTCTTTGGGACGTTCTGGATCTTGTCGACGATTTCATAACCCTCGACGACTTCACCGAAGACGACGTGGCGGCCATCGAGCCAGCTGAGAGTGGTGTTAGTTTTGTTTATATATATAAAATATAAAAGGAAAGGATTGGGAATAACATACCTGGTGACGACAGTGGTGATGAAGAATTGAGATCCGTTGGTGTCTGGTCCGGCGTTGGCCATGCCTGTGTAACATCATCAAGTTAGCCTTATTTCTAGTATCATACAATTTGGAAGGGGAGGGGAGATATCCGTACTCAAAAGTCCCTTGCGGGTGTGCTTCAGCTTGAAGTTCTCATCAGGAAACTTCTCGCCGTAGACTATTTATTCCCCGAGTTAGTAACATTATTTCCATACAATATTATTTTCCAGCGAAGCTTTTGTTTTTACGTACTCGACTTGCCACCAGTGCCTATTAAATCATATCAAGTTAGTATGTGTTGTTTCCTGGTCCAAATACGCGTAGATGCGTGGATGGATGGATGGATGCGAAGATGGACATACCGTCACCCTTGGTGAAGTCACCGCCCTGAATCATGAAGTCACTGATGACACGATGGAAAGTAGATCCCTCATAACCGAATCCCTTTTCGCCGGTAGCGAGAGCACTATATTGCTTTATGCATTAGAAAAGGCATTGCTATGTATTTCCGAAAGGAGGGGTCGGAAGATCCGGCATACTGGAAGTTTTCAGCAGTCTAAGACGAACGCGAAATTCAACATTAGTTTCTCGAGCCTACTAGAGAATAGATTTGATGCATGATTCATTGATGATTAGAAATACCTTTGGAACAGTCTTTCCGTACAATCCGATAACAATTCGTCCGAGTTTCTCATCACCGTGTTCGATATCAAAGAAGACCTAAGAAACAAATTATTATGTCAGCATTCCAGGAACGCAACGGATCCAGCTTTAGACTTCGATTGCATGATGCATGCACGTCAATTGCGATCGGAATGAGATCGAACACACCTTGTGGGTGATTCTGGGGCCCTTGGGACCTTCGGCGATAACTACGCCGAAGGTCATCGCCACCATGAGGAAGGTGAGGATACGGTTGAACGCCAACATCGTGAAACGGGGGCGGGGTTGTAATTGAATTGGGGTTTAATTGACTAATGACACCGTCTTCTATAGATCAACTAAAGATAGATGGGAGATGAAAGGTTGAAAGAATATACAGGTCCTAGCTGCGTGAGGAAGAAGAAGAAGAAGAAGAACCAGTCGAAGGGGAGAGCTCGAATACTTAAGAGGTTCGAGGTCTTGGAAAGTAGCATAGGTGGTCGATTTTAATTAAGTGTTTAGTGCAACCTGGCTAAATCGACATTGCGGTGGGGACTCGGCAGCCATGGCGAAAGGTGTTGTTGCCGTCAACACTCATTTACAAGTACGTAAGCCGCGTGGCGGTGGTGTTTTCCCAGTGGCACAATCTACTTAGCTATTGCCTGTCAACCTCTCTCTAGTTAGCTCAACCAATAATTACAACCAATACTTGCCTACGCCGTCCAACGTGGATGACAATTCCAACTTCACCTGCACGGGGCTGTAAACTTTTCGCGAATAACTTTTATTCTATATACTAGGCCATGCGCGGTCAATGTATCAAATTAGCACGGATCTGTCTGTATGAGTCCTGGAAACAGCCATTCCTGAAGTGGGAATACATGGCATGGCATGCATTCGCCATTGCTGCATCGGGCGATGTATCATACTATCTCTTCGGGCGAGAAGACGGAACAACATTGAAATCCTCGTGATTCCGGTCTACGATGCTATTGCAGTATGGCGAATGAGTTACTGCTCAGGTATCTTTGAGTCATTACTTAAGTATTTATTGAATGTGAACGAATTGCTACTTATCCATGCACATATGCAGGCTAGAAAGCTACTAACTAGGAGCAATGAGTATTTATCGAATACTTCTGAGAGGTATACTGGAAAGCTCCGACTCTGATATACTATACTGATAAGTATCCGCCTAGTATACGTAAAGATGGCGTGACATCTTCTCCTCGATTCCTAGTCTTTCTTCCATCTCTAACAAACTGATGATCCCGCTCAAGGATCGAGAGACAGCTCCCTTCCCTTCCAATCCAATGAGAGCATAGCGGGTGGGCGCTATCGATGCAGGGAGTCGGATGTCTAGACTATAACACAACCTGGGGTAAATGTACCGATACTAGTACAATTGCACGAGACATCCTAACTTTCCTGTGCATGTCGGTAATCTATTCGGTCATTGAAGCCGGATTTCTAATAAACTAGCCCAGCCTTTCTTCGAGTCCGCCCCAGAAATCTAACCCCAGGTTTACTAATTGCAACAAAATACCCGAGTTTCGATTGGACGGCTGATGAAGGTACTTTGCTAGCTTGTACCATGACGTTTCCATAACCGTTTTACTGCAGCACACCCTTCCTTTTTGTTTCTTCCGGCTTTCCCTTTTTTTGAATTGCCCCAAACTTTCGATGCTTAAGGGAATGTTAATAATGTTGCTGTTGCTTACCATTGCTTAGCTTCGATTCCCCCGCCCTTTCGTTCGCGAATCGAGCCCGTGGAAATCAGGACTATTACCCGTGTACCGCTCGAGCCCGTAGATCATATGAAAGCAAAAAGGTAAATCTGAAATGATTTAATTTTTTCTCTATAAAAGCCGCCGTCGCCCGCGAACTTAATATTCACTTTCTCCTCTCTTCTTCACCAATATACATTATTACGTATATTCCAATTACAATTAAGTCATACTACAAAAAAACCACTGTCTACAACACAAATTAAACAAAGGCCAGACTTCCAGTGAACTTCCCATAATGGATACCCAGAAGAACCAGCAGTCCACCCAAGCTACGGGCTCTCCCCAGGCAAGGCGCTCGGTAAGCTAGCGAGTTTCCATTTCCTTGCAAATTTCCCCGCATTTTCTCTTTTGAGTTCTTCTCCACAGTCTTAAGACAGATTCTAACATGACAATGGATTGATTCTAGTCCTTTACTCCTACCTTCGAGGGTCTCCAGAAGCAACGTTCGAACAGTATGAGCCATGCCGCTAAATTCGATGACCAACGTGCCAGCTCCGGATGGCTTGGTAATGCTTGGAAGAAGTTCACAACTGGCAGAGATCAATCTGCTTAAATCAAAATAAAAATAAAAAGAGAGCCTCTTGCCATGGCTTCGGATTGAAGTTTGGCCGTAAGATAGGATGGGCCTGGAGCTTCGTGTGGTGAGGATGCTTGTGCTACGTAATGTCATTCTTGCTGGAAAGATAAATGGGAGACTTATCGAGGTTTCTTTTCTTTTTTCTTTTTTCTTGGTCGTTTCTTCCAAATTATTGTTATTCTTTAGTTCTCGGGTTAACGGCGCCCCTTTTATGGCGGAGTGTACACTTTTTTAAGCTATAACGGTTTATTGTTTGGTGCTTTTACGGATCTTTGGTTTTCTTTTCTTAGTTCGGGAATTCGAAACATGATTTTTTTTTTTGAAAAAAAAACATTTGAGGTCAATCTTCTGCAAATAGTATACTAAATCTCTTAAAGGATAAATCTAGAGAATTAGCCTCGCTTGGCCCTGCTTCGCGCTCACAGCAGGATGTTGAGAGAATCTTAAAGCAACAATTAGAATACAATTCAAAATCCCGATATAACATCGATAAAGAAGATTAATTCTAGTCGTTCAACTCCTCATACTCGTATTTATACTCCCCATCTTTCGGTTGTAATGGTGGTATCAAATAAAGGAAAAAAATTATGAGGGGCGTTAACATGTTCGACCAAACATCCGGGTCCAATTGACACCACCTTATCCGTAACTATACTAGGTTTATGATGAATGGGATATTCCATATGATCGGTCCCACAGGAAAGGATGCGGTACCGAATTTTAGGGCTGTATTTTAGGCAATCTGGATCATAAAATTCAATCCTTAATATTCAGATTGTCCTTTATGATAACCTACAAAAGTGATAAGTGCCTGTCTTGGCACTAGACAGCACCAGCTATGTGAAGTCTGAATTAGTCTGCTGCCCTTTGTGACGTCTGGGAACGAGACCAAGTTAGTCCTAGATAATGAAATTGGTAGTATATAGCCTAATTGTTAAAAGTACACTAATTTTTAGTAATGTTTAGCTTCGACGTCAGCGTAATGCTATAAATTTATTGGACATGAGTGACGGATGTAGACATGACAGCTAGAGCGGAACCATGATCAGGAATAGTCTTGTGATCAGGAATGGCAATATTAGATTACCCATGCATGGTCAAGAAAGAGATCCTATCAACTAGGATAATCTGCTAAACGCTATTCTTTTGAAACTTTCTCGCTTATCTATATCGTACTAGTCTAGTTGTATGTCGTAGGTAGTGTATATATAGCTGTCCGTTTTCGGGTTTCATACGAACTTCAGGCACAATATAAGAAACATAGACGCAATCAAAAAGGACTCACGATGAAGACAGAAAACGCTTACAGAGCCGAATTTAAATACCAGGAGGAGTACATTCAAATTCTCATTACGAACTATTTGATTACCAAAAAATTCCTACAATTCAGCTTACATACCATATCATCGAGGCAAAATTATAGAAATGGTTGACCAAACAAAAGTCGAGAATATTATAGGCTACAAGTTCTCTAATAGCGATTTGCTAACGGAGGCTTTGGAGGCATCCGGTCGCGCGTACACGCATGACACGGAAGGCGGAGCGGACGGTAACAAAAGATTAGCTCTCGTCGGCGACGCCATTCTAACTTTAATTCAATTGGATCAGTGGTACCCATCAAGCGATAGCCGAGGTCTGCGAGCTGCTTGTTTCGTATCTGTGTCCGAGGGTATTGCAATGGTTGCTAATTGGACCGTCGTCTTTCAGAGACCGCAAATAATGCACGAAAGAAATACACATCAAACATAAACCTTGAAAAGTGCGCCAAACGCTTTGGGATCAAATCGGAGATCTTGCTGGATGATACAAACATATCTCAGGGGAAAGTGCCGAGGGTAACATCGGCTTCTACAATAGAGGCGCTTCTGGCCGCAGTGTGGTTTGATTCCAATAAAGATTTGGAAAAGGTTAAACAAGTAGCATTGATGCTAGAAATAGTGGAAAAATTCGACTAGTCAGCATTCCCGTTCCCGTCGGCTAGGTTTGGAGGAGAACTTTAGTCCTTTGCAAGATAATTGTTTTGGACCTGGCATCCCGACGCAGTGCAATGAGACTGTAAATTCTGTTCGCCGATGTGGGTCCCTCTCAGAGTAGGTACGAAGTACCCATACTGATTGTTTACGCAGTATCCTGATAGAAGAATTCCCAACGGCTAAGAACCCTCCAATATCGCCCCAACCCACCCCAAAAAGACTTAATAATGGTGTGGTAGTTCGGATCTGTTTCTTATTTGTATATAGCTTTTGTCTCGCACCTCGGCTGAAAGATATAACCTATAAAGGTATTAATAATAAGAGGTATTCGTATTAGCTTATAAGTCATTCAAAACTTCAAGTGAGAATATACTAATATGTAGTTCAATTTCAAACGATCATTCCTCCTTATTCAAAGGGAATCAACTTGCTTTATTTTATATGTTCGAACGTTCAATGGTCGATTCCTATGTATATTTTCTAAATTGCTGTGGAATACCGCCTTGAAGTATACCCTGAAGTAGTTCCTTTCTCATACGACGACAGCTCATCACTTCCTATCGATGTTGCCAGAATAACGACGGGCTAAGCTTCTTTTACAGTTTGGTTACGAGACTGGCTTCTTCTCACAATCTTTTTGTGAACTGTTGGGAACAACACAATTATTATCACCAGCCTCGAGAAATCCAACAAGCTTAGGTTACACAGGACTTCGCGTAGTTGTAAACTTTTCGACCAGCCGGAAATCTTCGAGGACTTGGCGTCTGGAGATGCGACCGAAAGTTCGTCTTTTACATTTCGCGGTTCGGTTAAGAAAAGGGAGGAATTTTTCAGATGTTTCGAAGATGCCAGGTGCCTTCCTGACCAGCCGGCGCTTATACCATCTAATCCTTAAGTTAGCAACTCGTTTATACGTGTACACCCGAAAACTAGATTTAATTCCGTCGACTGCATGCGCATGTGCATGTGCATCGATCTATTCCTCCCACCTTACTACTAGTACTATAGTGCTAATCTTCTCGCTGTAGAAATCGCCTCTTGCTTATTCCTTCATGCAGTCTATAAATCAACCAGCCACGGTTGCTTCTAGCACCTGTTCTAGGCCCTCTTTGGATTCACAGGCGTAGAAACTCGAACTATATGATGTGCGAAACGCATCAAACTTATGGAACTTATAGTATATATACGTATATGACAACGGTGACTAAGAGAGTTTCTCCTCATATAGTTCACTAGATATATTACTAGACCTTAAATTTAGATATGGTTTGGAATAATGTTATGTCTCCGGTGAAAGTATAGTCTACTCCAATTCCCACTTTGACGGGAAATACCGATCAGTTTCTCATTCTATCATATTTTCCCGGACGACATTGCATGCATTTGACTTCGAACAATTAGTACGTAGTTGAGGGATTTTGCAATCCTGTACATAGCCATGGCGCCGGTTCGTGCCGCACCGCCTCCCGATCAAGGTCGAAGCGGAGGCAGTTATGCAATGATCGGTCGCTTCGCACGCGCATGCAGCTGTCGTTATTCAAAATCTCCGCAATGATTGGTGTTGCACAACAAAAGCAAGGGCTCGTTTAACCTCTCCAATAAATCGTGTCTTTGCAGGATCGCACCCTGATTGCTGAAAACTCTGTAAAAATGATGTTATGATTGGCGTAGCTTTTATTCCGGGCGGAATTCATGTACGTCAAAATTCCACGGCTGCGGGACGTCGTCAAATCGATAACATCGATGTATCCTTTGCGTAGCATTTGCACTCTAGCATTCCACGGAATCTTGTGAAACGCAAAGCAGCGAATCAGAGTATTGATCAAATTGTGTTAATTGGGGCACTACGCGTCAGTATGTGCATGTGCAGTGAATAAGTGGACGATCTTTCAGGAGATTCCCTTGTCAGGTCGGATTCTCAAAAGAGGAGGTACTCCGGACCCCGCATTAATATTCGTAATGCCCGCTTTCATCAGAGAACATCGCGAACCCTCCCCAAAACTTTGGTAAACAGAAAATCTATAGCAAGATTTGCTCCAAGATTATCCTTAACTATAATTTTCTAATTTTCTCTTTCGCCTATCATAAGGTAGATAAAAACTATAGGAAAAACAAAGCGAATTGGGCGCGAAGGTTCTAATTTCTAATGAATAATTATCCTTTTCGTATCGGATTAAGATCTGATTCCACTGTCAATCTTGATCGCAGTCGCAGTCGGAATCTCGCCTAAAACTTTATTCCCTAGCTAACCGTATATTAACTAGCATCATACCACCTTTAGGTAATCTGGGGAATTTCAGAGTAACGTAGGACTATATAGGCGTCGCCCAAAATCAGGGCTTTGTCCGTACGTCAAGTTTAGAGAGCCTAGCGGGACTGTCCGCACCATGACATAATAGATTAGAAAGAACTTATTGGAACATGCTTTCATAGGAAAATTAAATCAAAATTGCCAAACAGCGGCTAGGACGCTACTAGTATACTTCTAGTTCAATGAGTACAGATATTTGGTAAAAAGTAGATAGAAGCACTACACCCCGACCAACTGGGGTATTTAGGGATCTCTAGTTTAAAGGAAACTTCTCAATCCGCGGTAGACTATGTAATGTATCTATCGTCAGCCTGATCGAAACAATCGCCTTTGAGGGGCCCAATCTTCGAAGTCAGAGCCTCTCGATCGTCACCAAAGGATATACATCGATATTTCTTCATTGGATTGGGCTTGCGGGTTCGATTCCGAAAGTGTGGTGTCTGGGGATCGTGATTAATCTTTTCTGTTACCCTTCGAGATTCCTCGGCTCACATGGTTCGTTTTGGGCTAGTATGGCTGAGTTAACATTCTTTCGTATCGATAGAAAATATTGATTTTATCGCCCTAATACGATCGTTTGCGCAGCGGGACAAAGGGTTACGTCGGGCCAAACAAGGGGTGCAACATATCAACAGGTACACACTGCAGCTTCTTGCTAAATTATGAGAACGCAATATCGATAGACAGGGAAGGTCAGCAACTACTTGTTGGGGTCGTTGATACTTCATAGTGCATGAATATCTGCACGACAGGAACGAGCATATCCCTCGGTTTGGGGATCTTTCCCAAAAATAGAGCTTTGTACGATTTTGGTTGTGTAAGTGTAGGCTCGGTCTATAGATCTAGATCGGAAATTAGAAACTACACCCGTATATGCGAGAAAAAAACCTGCTAAGCGATACATGTAGGTAGCGGGGAGGGAACTGCTCATATCTTTGGCTATCAGGTTAGTAGTGTTAATTTGAAGCTCAGAAGTCTATAAAAGGAGGGGGAACCTTCGACTTTCTCCCAAGATTTCATATCAAACTACCTACACAGTGTGACACTTGAGCCAAAACGATCCTAAGTTTTACTATTGATATATCTTCTCTCGAATTCTTTGAAAATGTCTCTCCCCACCGCTTACTACTTCATGATGGGTTCCCATAGGGACTATCAGTACTCTATTGGAAGATCTCCTTTTGAGGACCATAGCCTTAACCCGAAACCAGTTTGGCTTCTACGTCCATCAGCTGAGGGTTTTACTGTAAGTCGTTCCACCCGCTGCTAAGTAATTAGTAATCTTGAGATACTTCCGATTTATGGCAATTACTAATGGGGGTTTCAATTCACAGCCCTGGTTGCTTACAAAGACAGCCCGTGGTTACGTCTTCACAGTTAAGGACACTCCAACGGGTGCGGAAGGCAACTCTGTTGTAGCTATTCTAGATAACAATCGAACTCCAGTTGTCGAATGGATCGTGGAACCTGTTCCTAACGAACAAGATCGCTTCCGGTAAGAAAAGTCTCTACAGTTAGACTTTCGACCTACTAAAAATAGCAATTCCCGGCTAACGAAAGTCTTTTGTCTGAAATTCTTCTAGAATCCGAAATACAAACCGACAATACTGGACTGTTGACGGTAGTAACACCCAGAATGGTTACAAGGTAGGCTACTGAAGATTTTCATGATTTTTTGGTTTTCGGTTGGCTTCCAAACCGTGAAAATATTTTTCTAACTATCTCTCAGATCGTACTTCGAAGGGAAGGAGAAGGGAGCCAAATATTCAACATCTTCCGTGCATACAGAGACTTCAGCAATGAAGAGGAGAAATACTCGCAACGTACCGATTCCAAGGATGGAAGTACCTATAACCCAGAGAAATCTGAGGAGAGTGGCCGCCAGAATTTCTTTGGATCTGGAAAAAGAGAGAAGAAGTTCTGCTCCTAGATAGTACTAATCGCTCGAGCCTAGGGATCTTTTTGTGAGGCTGCCGTGGAAAACTACTGTGGAAAACCAGTATGATGAAGGTTATCGGTGTTGCTAAATTCCCAGTTAAATTGCCAATATGATTAGTGCAACCTGTATTTACACTCTTTACAATCATTCGTCATTTGTGTTCTCCATTTACCATCCTTTTCTTCCCATCTTTTTGCGAACTGTAAACAGATACTGAAGTATCATATATCATGGCCAAGAGTATCCCACATTAAATCTTTCCGTAAACTGGAAAAAAATTGCTTGAGTCAATGCTTACTTAAGAGGAATATTATGACAGGAGCTGCCAGACTCCTTTACCTAAGCCACAATTTTCCCTGGGCGCAAAATACGAGAAATTGTCCTAGGGAACTTGGCTTAATTTTAAACCAAAACTAAATGGAATATTTATCTTTTACCTAGAGTTCTTCCCTCTGATAGATTTAAAGTGTGATCCATTCTTTAGCATATGGTTTGCTATGTGCGGGATTTTAGGTTTATGTGGAATTCTTGTCAGTCTTATTACAAATTTTCAGAAGATATATCCAAAATCTTTGCCAATATGTATGCTGAATTTTTGGTATAAAGTGATTTCTTCTTGATAAGTTTGATAGATAAGATTTAGTAATGAGCGTTATGAAGTTTAACTATCGATCTGTTGTAACGTTACCTTATAACATTTTCAACTGCTGCTTTATAGTCTTCCAGTTCGGATGGTGTTGATGTTGGATTTTGAATAGTCTAAACCAGACATTTTTGCGAAGATGGCTTTGAATATGTGCATATGTTTTATAGATGATGTTATTTACTTTGTTTGATTTTTTTCTTGGAGGGTCACCTTAATCGTGAGTATGGCCAGAGAGGTTGGGTACATATCAAAGTATAGTAGACATACTAGATATAAGCAGATGTGGTTCGCCCATTGGCCTCAAACCATTGTAATATCTTTTGTAGCACTCTCATAAGTTATTCTAGCGTGTATCAATAAGTGGGTGGCTGAAATAAAAGGGACCGAGATCATTTAAATCAGGTTTTAGGCAATTGAGAGTATCCTAACGTTTCCATTTGCTTTATAAACATTTTTATTGGCGGGTTATCCTTTCAACAACTACAAACATGCAGAAGGCTCTAGTAAACCCGTGGGAATTGGCAGGGCTTGTAGTATTTTCTGGGACAGTAGTATCTAAATTGCAACAAAGCAAATTTTTTATTAAGGAAAAAAAATAGGGTATCGGGTAATGGCAGAAAGCATTGAAGGTCGATAGTGCGCTGCTTGTTCGCATTGGAGTGTTGAATTCAATGATTCAACAATAAAAGTCAGATAAAACGGACTATGAGGTATGAAAAGGTTTATCTTGATAAGACGGAATATTCGGTCTGTGGCGTCAGTGCCGTTGGTATTAGCTCCGTCATCAGAATATCAACTGTCTGTGCTATTTACGTACTTGTTGGATGTTTAGGACCTGCGTTCACACTGATTCAACGAAAACGTCTTCCTGGCACAGTGAGAGGTGTACGAGATGATCTTGTTGGCAGGTACGCCTGCATTGTAGTGCCTTGGTGCATGCGAATTTTTGCTTTGCCCAGAACTGGTGGTTTCCTCCACGAGGCGTCGCAAAACCCGTTACACCTATGCCTCTGGAAGAAAGACATGATACCGTCCATCCCTAGGTCTGCAGGACCACAGTTCTGGGCTCGGGACATGATGACTGGATCGGTCAAGACGAATCCATCGTTGTATATACCACCCTGGAGATCGCAAAGCAGGAGCTGTCCACCAGAATTGTCGTAGGAGAAGTGGCTAAGCGATTGCAAGGCAGCAGCCCAACCTGTAGGCTCCGATAAAGCCCAACCAGAATTGCTATTGAATTTCTCGAAGTTTTGAATCATTGGTTCGATTAAGACTTTCTGACCCTTCTGGGGAGACCGGCGGCCGTTATACTCCCAGATTTCTGGAGTATTTAAATAAACTTCTTGGTTCATGATACCAACTTCGTTGAACTCGTCAATAATTTCTTGGGATTTGGCGCAAATATTCATTTCTTCATCGAAATAGTGGTCTTCGACGACACAGCCAGACTTGAATTCTTTTGCGACGCAAGGTTGACCTTTCCGAGCACCGGCAGTGTAAGTACCAGCGTACACATACTTGAACGTTCCAGAGCCGTATAGCTCAGAGCGATCGATTGTTGCCCTTGTTGAATTGTTTGTTCGGGAGTAGGCCATTTTGCATGAGAAACTTGTCGTGCCTACAGCGATTAATTAACCTTTTTCGATTCTTAAGGTCGGTATCGCGATTGATCTATTGAGCTTGCTTTTGTCAACCGGCAACCTATACGTACGATGATAACAGGGATGATATGAGTTAGGGACCAAGATGAAAGATGCAGTGTTGTTGGAATGGAATACTTACGAGACGAGGAAGAGTGAAATAGCTAGCTATGTCTCCAGCTCTTGCAAGACCGGAGAGCGCTAGAGCTCAGTATGATTGATGTGTATGTGAGCTTAAATGGGTTGGGGGCTTGAGAAGGCGTCTTCTTTGATTGACTTTAATTTTCAATTTTTTTTAAAAAAGAAAGGGATCTTTCGCGTTCCTTAAGTAGCAGAGCACCTCCAGGAGATCCCACATTAATTATCATAGAACACCCTTTTAGATTTTTGAATTCTTAGATCCAGCCCCAAATATGCATTGCCTTCGAATGTCTAACCAAATTAACTTAATTGTGCCTGCAGGCACCATTTGTCCACCATGTTGCATTTTAGCCTATCAACACGAAATCCCTCAGAACTTAGATTATATTAGTGAATGCATTAATGTGCTATCCGATTGGCAATAATTGAGTCTATTCTTGTCAAAAGCTCCCACGACTACTAGGTTTGTGAGAGTCTTTTCCGCTCCTAGTTTTGGGACATTTTCTGATATTCTGACGCCCTATTCCGCATAGTGGTGTATCCAGTCGGTCAATCGGTCCTTTCATCACATGGGATAGCTATACTAACCGCGCGAAGACGTCGTACAGCCATCAACCACTAATATGCTAAAAACGAAACTATAGATCGGATTATATGCAGTCCCAAAATTAAAAGAAAAAAATTTAAAAATTACAGAGGTTCCAAGCTCAGTTAAACATGAAAGCTGTGGCAATCATTTCAATCATGTGTTTGTATCTCATGCGCATGCGACTCCAAATTTAAGCAAGCTGCACATCTTCAGTACCTATTTTATAATAATATTGTTTATAATTTAGTTTAAAGAGAGAAAAAGAAAAAATAAGAAGAAGAGGAGCAGGAAATCAACTAATAATCTTTCTAAACTCCTCTGGCTATTGATCCAGGGTAATTCCGTTATGGATGATTGGCACCCCTTCAGGATTTCTTTTCCAAGATAGCGTCTTTAACTTCGTGATAGCATCTTCTAGGCGGGTACTCGAATCAAGGTCCCGAGAAATATACATAGCCAACATCCCTGCAACGGTTGCCTCTGCTAAAAATTGTTGAAGACAAAAAATAAAGTTAGCCAATGTATATTGTAAAATTGTTGGAGTAATAATTCATGCATATGCAAATGGATTACATCAGGTAGTGATGATTTTTGAAACAATGCAAAGGTGTTAAATGAATACCTATCGATGTACCACTGACTGGCTCGACAAAAACATCGGCGCTTGTGTGTCCGTACGCCGAAATCCCTTCCGATGGGGCCCAAACAAAGTTTGGTATTTTAGTGTCGAATTGCCACATGTTCAATCCATTTCTGTCCGTGCCCCCAACAACTACATGCCTGAGTTTCGGTGCATCTAAACCCAGCCTTGAAGGGTAATGGATAATAGGATCACCCTGGAAGGAAGAATAACGCTGTTAATTGACATCGAATGTACATTTGAAGGTACATAGCCTTATACACTAAATCTCCCTCAATATATTCGGTATAAGTGTAGAAGTCGAAGGCTTAGACTGACTCACCGGCTTGTCGTTCCCTGTGGATGAAACCACGATCACATTGTCAAGATCCATTAACTTGTTTAAAATCTCAACAAAGGGTTTTGCTACTAGTATACTGTATCCCCCTCTTCTAGAAGCGGAGAATCCCTATCCCGTCGGCCTAGACCAAACTGTCATGCAATACTTACGATACACGGTATATCTAGGTCCACATAGCGATTTATGATGTTGTCGTACGTATAGAGAAGCGCCCCGAGTTGTGAGAACAATGTAACCGAGCTACTGCCCTCTACTACGGATGTATATACTATCCTTGCCCTTTGGGCTATACCAGCGTGTTCCCCCGCGATCTTATCTATCATTATACTACCGTGATCGCCGGCATCCTGGATATCGGTCAAAAAGTCAAATGGTGGGGCGCCAGCACTCAAGACCCCGTCAAGTTTTAAATTTCGGAATTCCTAGTTTAACATAGTTGTAATATTAGCATCGAATCTGAAAGGGTCAGTTTAGCATGCTTAAAATAAAGCCATAACGCTGGGAAAGTCTGATTAATTATTAAGGAATAGTTAGCATCACGAAGTATCGATATCGCTTACATCGTTGTTTAGATCGCCATAACCGTCCACAACATAGACCACAACGCCTTCACCAGGGTTCTTATAATGGAAATATGTTCCAGAAATCTTCTCACTCTTTAGTAGTGATGTATCCTTAGGCGCGGATAATGTCGGGAGACCATCCCATGCACTCTCAAGGGTGACAACCTCGTCATCTTCTCTTTTTGTTAAAGACTTGCGCTTTTTCTGCCCACGCCGCACCCTTCTGAGCCGTTTAGTATTTTCGTCGACATCTGGGGCGCCGAAGTTTCTTTGAGTCTTTTCCTCCGTCACATCAATTTGGAGATCGACTACACAATCGTCGAACTATTATAGGATTCCAGCATCAGTATATACAAAGAAAAAAAAACCAACTTTCGAGATCTTCTGGGTCGTGTACGGAACAGTAGTTAAATCTATGAGGATGAGTACCTTGGGGCACATTCCACTCCCATACTATCATAACTTACAGGCCATTCGTGATCCTTAGACTCTAAATACCCATCCAGATCGTCCTTTAAATCCTCAAGCAATTCAGTATTTGATTTCTGATTAAACTCCGCCATCCTAAGCTTGAATCCATACGCCCAGATACCGAGCTGTTCGCTCTCAAGCCTCATTAGAGAAAATTTTCGGGGCGGGGATAACCAATCGCCGAGATTACCCTGTAAGAACCCTTTATCGAGGTCTTCAAATAGACCATCGTTATTGTTCCTGAATGCTTTTTGGACAATACAAGTTGTTCTCCAATAGATAGATACACCGATCTTGAGTTTCTGTGGCTGTGATGAAGGAGGGGCGCCGAGAACGGGAAGGAATAAAAGAAAATATGAGAGAATGAAGTCGAGAACTAACATCCTGCGGCTCAAAGCTGTTGTGTATTAGTAAATTTACGTAAAATACTGTTAATATATTCCTAGATAAGGCTTGATATCATGATCATGAGATCAAGATTGTGCATGAGGGGAAAAAAATAAAATAAAGGGAAAGTAAGCCAATAAATTGACGTGTATATACATACCAGGAAAGCGGTAAGCACACGGCGACAAAAAGGGGGAGAATGGTCGAATAACCGAACTCTATAGCTATAGTGAAATATGCGGCGTAACTTTATAGATTTACTAGGGTTACAAGAACAAAGGAACGCCCTCTTACATATATATACGTACAGCGAGGATAATATCACGATTACGAGTCAAGATTCCACAGCCTATTTGCACATGAACCAGCTACCTCTCCAAGAAAACCTAAGGCATCTTTAAAACAGATGCGAGAAACTACTGCCGCAGCTAATAACATATTGCGCCTCAGTGTATAGACCATGGAGGAGCCGAACTAAGCCGCAGATTAAGTTCAGCTTTGCTATATAGTCTAGATATTTTTTTAGTGGTATTCAATTAAGCATGAAGACTTTACTTAATTTCGTACCTCGAGGCCGGTTGGCTGCAAGGTACCGTGTGCTCTTCAATCCCCGCTAAATGTTCCTTTCCTAACTCTATAGCTATAAAGAAGAGTACCAACTGCACTGTTTTATCGCATTATATTGTGGTTCCAACGTGTGACGAACTGCCGCGCCGCATTTCAACTTCAAGGAGCCGGGGCGGTACTTGGAAGCATCAAGATTGATTACATATATGCGTACTATCACTGGTCTGCAATGCAATAGGGATATAGTGCACGAAGCCGGGGGCTCTGACTTTGTTGCATTTTGACGCGGCACAACTCGAGAAAATATTGGAAACTCGCTTTAGACGTTATGGAACTACCTAGGTATCTACATGATGATTAATGGTAGACTAGGCTGCATATGCAACGTGAGTTGCACTTCGTGGCTGTGAATGATAACATATTCGATACATATCCGGAACGCCCTCTAAGTATCCATGCTCATTGATGACAGTACTCGTTGGATATCAGAATCGATAACTACCTATGTAAATTGGATTTGAGGCGTGAACCACAATACAACAGTTATCGACAAGATATCATTGTGAATAGTACCATCTGGATTGCTTTTCCAAGAAAGCCCCCCGAAAAATAAATCGCATTTTGAGCGGGGTTTGCAGGACTTTCATATCTTTTTAAATATAAGTTGCTAACGCCCTAGACACTGTCACGGCGGCTTAATATTAATACGTGTTAGTATTCCGCCGACCATATTAGCTAGGCGAGAAAGCTATTTATTCAAAGAACCTTAAGTGTGTAGCAAACTAAGAAAGCTATACCCGTATTAGGAGTCGACTTATCTAATTCAAGGTATAGCTTCTAGTGTCCACCCGATCGAGTGACACATGGGCAGGTAATAAATTGCTCCTAACTATAGCTGCATTTTAAATCCTGATACAGCGGCGTAGCATCGATATCATGAAGTATCTCTAAAACTGGTACTTTTATGAGTCTAGAACCTAAACTTACTAGCTTTGCAGAATGAAGATATGAGCTCTACTATAGTCTCAATTAACAGTGCATTATCTCAAATGCAATAGATTATAACCTTCCATAGAATTCGAAATTGAGGCACGAGCAAATATTAAATCACAAGTGTACATACAGCGCTGCCCAACTCTGCATCAATAATTAACTCTAGTTAGTTAGAACTCTGCCGCTCTCCCGCAGGACACCACCTTTTTTTTTTAAAAAAAAGAGGCCGCTTTATAATTTATGATTCCTATTCCACAGTTACACAAGCAAAATGCACAAATCGAAACCAGCGCGGCAAAGCACCTGCACGCGGGGACTCATTCCAACAAACCATGCATGGTACCCTCCCTCGCTCCCACCAACTATATACGAAGCACAGGACAATCAATGGATGCATGTATTAAAAAGAAAATGCACGTTTACGACATTATATTAACACCCGCACACATGATTTCGAGAATACGAGCCGCCTGACTACGGCACCATTGCAGCTTTCTAACGGAGTGACCGTTGGTGTGTGTGTGCTTGAAGTATAATTATTTTTTTCTTTTCGAATTATATATGTAGTATTAAGAGGGCTCGCGAGGATGAGGCTGGGCTTCTGAATACGAAAGAAACATTCGTATATTGACATGATCATGATATCTATGTATGCATACGTCGATATCTACTGGCCTTCAAGTATATAACCCCCCAAAAAGAACCCCCTAAAATCTTAAGAATAAATAATATTAATACAAATCCCTCTTCCAATTCCCTCGTCAATCAAATTTCCGTCAACCCAGCAATTCGATAGGCATTCCAATCAGCTGCATTGACCAAGAAAAAAAACAAATAACGCCGGGCTATTCCCAAATAGTCATTATCTTGTTGGATTTTTGTTAGTTAGGCGAGAAGCAACCCGGGGAACGACTCCCAAGATCTAGAACCCCTCTCTCCCTCTTTCTCCCTCTCAGTTTAGGCATTTTCTAAACCCAAGGTGGGTTATAACTGACCCGGTATTCTGGTTGTCGCAATCGAAATTTGTGCTACCCGCTCAGCATCTTTACTGCGCATAGATATATGGCCAATTAAAAGTATTTTATAGTTTATAGTTTGGCGAATGTCATCCTGCCACGAGGAAGCCTTTCCTCCCTTCCTTCCTTTCTTTCTTGCTCTCTTTCTGTTTTCCTCTCCAGCTTTTCGTAATTCTTTAACTTCTATTATCGAGCGTTAGCATTTATTACTCATGCATCGACCTAGCTAATTACAAGCTAAGCGAATAATATATATTTATATTCCAACTTCACCAGCCCATTGCATGCTTCCCCTTTCTACACCTTGGAATTCAATTATTCATCATTCATTAGTTAACCTCTTTAAATCCTATCAGACAATCATATTCCCTACCAACTCAGCTACACCAATATCGATCTCCACCAGCCTCATATAATTATAAATAAAATCACCCAGACGAAAGGAACTAAACCCGGATTTCCACCCCCAACCCTTCTGAATTTCCATCCCATATATATGTAACAAGAATATACCTATATGTATAGATACAAAATCTAGTCCGTTCCCAGACCTCACAAATTCAAAGTCCAGAAGGAAGGGTAATAGCAACTACACTCGAACCGCATCAATTGATTAACGAATATTCGGAAAAAGAAATGCCCCGCTATACCTGCCACCACGCCCTCCGCCTCCTAACCCCCTCCAAAATCCGCCTGCTGGACACCCACCACCATTTCCACACAACCCACCTCTCAGCCACCCATCGAATCTGGGATCCCCCTTATCCGACATTCTTGTCACTTACACATACCCAATCCGAGTGTTTCGAGTTAGACAGCGGCAGTGGTGGCCGTAGCAGTATCCATCATAATTACGACAGTGACAGCAGTATAATCACAAGTTACGAAGAACAAAAGGAATGGAGGGAAAAATTAATAGGGAGGAGATTAGTAAATGGAGGAAATGAGAATACTGCGGGTAAAGACGGTGGGGATGGTAAAGTAAGTTAGTTTAATATCTTAAATTATTTTATATAAGTATACGGTGTCGGATTTTATTGATAAAATCAATAGATATTCGACGTCCAATCTCTCCCCGCGGGTAAAGATCCAAATGGTCCAACTTGTACAAGAATAATAGGACCTTTGAAGGGTATGTTCTCTGATATAGTGGAGTCGCGGTTAACCATCCATGTGGATGAGAATGATATTGTTTGGGATGTTTATATTGGATGATATCTAATATCGAGTACTATCGTATTCCAAAAGGATTGAACATCGATACACCGATTGCGAATCACTTTTTATAACTTTACTGCTTTTATATGTTTAATACGATACAGGCGTTTTTGGACAAGGAGTTCGCGGCCGCGGAATACATATCATTTGGGGATTTTCTGATTTATTTCATTATCAATTTCCTAATATCCATTTGAAAGACGCCATCTCTCTTTTCTTTTGTATCTCTCATATAGCTATTTAGATCCTCCAATTCTCAAAGGTTTCGTTAAAGTGGAGTAATTTTAACCTGCCCTCTAGTATGCCGAACTAGAACAGCCAAAATCTAGAATAGCTATCATAGTAAATATCCCTTCGCTCTCTCCAAATACACGCCACCCATCGACTAACCCATATAACACCAGTCACCCAAGAGAAGGATAAATGAAATTCACTCATCTCAGTAGTACCCAGAAGACGTAGACCCATCCTTCCCATGAACCTTCTCCCACTCCTTCACCGTCTCAGCAGTCCACTCCCCATTCAACCCCGGAATAACCCATTTACACTCGAGCAACATCCCATCCACAATCTTCTGCATCTTATCCCTCCACTGCCAAGCATAATTAGCGGCGCTAAGCTTACTAACCTCCTCATCCGTCAACTGAATCGCATTCCCACCAACCAAAGTTTCCACAAATCTTTTCTCCGCTCGAGGCCACCAAGTCTTCTTAAACAAAGTTGCCCTCTTCTTCCTATGACACTCAGAATCACACTCATGAAGATTCGACAAATCCTCTCCAAACTCTTCAAGCCACTCGGGTTCCTTCTGCAACTCGCAATCAACTTTTCTAAACCCTTCGGCGATAGCAGAGGTACGCCCGTAAAGCTTCCCGGGTTCTTCAAGTCTCTTATACTCCCCTCTCTCCATCCACTCCTCCCCGATATCCTGAATTATCAAAGTCTCCAACATCCGATGAACAACCTCGGCAGGGCAAATAAGGAACTCAACAGTCCCAGCGTACCATTTTTCCCGTCTAACGCTAGGCCCGGATTTATAATACGCATATTGGGAGTATCGATATCCCATACCCTTGATGATCTGGAGAATTTCACTAGACATATTTCCTATCGTTTGCTTGGCGTATTCGATCAATTTGGCAGGGCGACCATCACGGGCGATTTGAACCGGGGTAGTTAGAAGTTGCCCCTCGAGCTTGCCGGGTTTGTAGAAGTACAACAGATCCCATTCACGGCGGGGGTAGGCGACGTGGTGGTAGGCCGATGTGGGGTATGCATACGCTCCTTTAACGTATTCGTGAGGGATAGCAGAGATGTCGATGTTGTTAATAAAGTAGAGTTCATTTGCAGCTGTATAAAAATTCCAATCATCAGTCCGTTAGCAATTCCACGTCTATAGATAACAACTACGGTAAGAAGATATATATAAAAAAACATACCAATCCCCAAATCATCCCAACAATCCAAACAAGTCTTCTTCTTAAACGCCATCCCCGGAATAGCTCTAGCCATACACTTCTCACACCTCTTCCTCCTCTTCCCGTTCTGTTGATTAACAATTGTATTCTGATAAGCCCTGTTCTGTCGATAATACCCCATATCCCATCTACACATCGAATGCGGTGCCTTCGACCATTTATACCAAAACAAATGATTCGAAGATTCGAACAATATCCTTCGGAAGAAACTACAGCTGTTAGCCATAGATCGGATATCTCGAAAATGTGTGAGATTGTAGGCAATGTGCTCGACTAATTCGACAGGTAGCTTTTGGAACGGTGCGACGGTGTTGGCTGGTTGTCCACGGATTACGTGCAGTTGTTGGAGGTCTTCGAGGGTCCATTGTGGTGGTTCTTCTTCGATGAAGAGATCGATGAAGGACGGGTTGAGAATTTCATCTGGATTGTGGGCGCTCTCGGTGACCTTCTTTGTGCTGGGATTCTGAGGGTTGTTCTCTTTATCATTGTCAATGTCGTTGTCGTTGTTGTTGTCGTCGAGATTGGGACCGGCTTGTGTAGCCTTGGAAGCGAAGCCGGTTGCCATTGTTGTTGTTGTTTCCAATCCGGCCGGCGATATCTGAAGCTACAAGCGCAGCTCCAACAATTTGAGCCCAATGAGATTCAAGAGTAAAGGAGTGAGGATAGAAAAAGAGGGAGAAAATAAAAAACGAAAGACTGAAGCTTCAATAGTTTATATAGCGCTGCACCGATGTCTAGGAACTTTAACGTTAACGGGGCCAAAAGTGCAGGAAGATGAAGCTGATATGTTGTTCTGTGGTGTTCCAAGCTGTGAGGGGCAGCTGCCAGTCAAAGCTAAAATACAGTCAGAGCTAGTCGACGGCTAACTAATTGGGCGGAGTGAGGGGTCCCCAGCATGTTACAGATAACTAACTCAGATAGTTACAGTGGAGGATCTGGTCAGGTCCAATGACTCAAGATGGCTCTGGTTTCGATTCGCCCGGCAGATAATTTCATATTACATGATATCCACATTGGGGTTCAAGTTTACATTGATCACTCAAATACACAATATGGAGGGACAGTTTGAATGAATTGGTCAACTTTTGCTGTGTCTGTACACGCAGCTAATAGTTATTATCATCATGCATCTGTGCAGCATGTATGTAGGTATGTAGTCAAGCTACTACAAGAAACGAACGTGACCAAGCCGTTGTTATTAATAGTAATTAAGGAAATTAACCCACACGGGCAAAAAAAGTAGCGACTGGCCTCCAACCCAAGCTAGTCAAGGCAAAGTAATGCGCATCTACAAATTCCTGGTCTTCCTGAAGTTATCACCAGCATAGATCGCCAATTCTCCAAGCTCCTCCTCAATGCGAAGGAGTTGGTTCAACTTAGCAACACGCTCCGAACGGCATGGAGCACCGGTCTTGATCTGTCCAGCACGGAGACCAACAACAATATCAGAAATAGTAACATCCTCAGTCTCACCGGATCGGTGGGAAACCATGACGCCCCAGCTGTCGCCGAAGGAGTCCTCAGCGGCCTGGATGGACTCGGTGAGAGTACCAATCTGGTTGACCTTGAGCAACAAAGCATTGCAGCTCTTCTGCTCGATGGCGCTCTTGATACGGGTGGGGTTGGTGACAGTCAAGTCGTCACCGACAATTTGGATATCAACACGTTTAACAAGCTCGCTCCATGCCGACCAGTTGTCCTCAGCGAAGGGGTCTTCGATCGAGACGATCGGGTACTTTTCAATAAGCTCGACGTACTTGTCGGCAAGCTGTTGGCTGCTGATCCACTTGGACTTGTCCGAGTTCTCGTTCTTGAAGTCGAGATCGTACTTGCCGTTCTCACCGGACTCGTCAGCCTCCTTGTAGAACTCAGAGGAAGCAACATCCATAGCGATCTTGACCTTGCCAGTGTAGCCGGCCTTCTCAATCGACTCAGTGATCAAGTCAAGAGCCTCCTCTGGGGTTCCAATATCAGGAGCAACACCACCCTCGTCACCAACGTTTCCGGCGCTAAGACCGTACTTCTTCTTGGTCAGAGACTTGAGGATCTGGTAGATTTCAGCACCAGCTCGGAGAGCCTCAGAGAAGGTCTCGACACCGGTTGGGGCAATCATGAATTCCTGGAAGGCAAGAGCACCGCCAGCGTGGGAGCTATCAAGGAAAGAAAAGAAAATTATTAGCACCACTCCACCCCATTACCGTTAATGATGATAGAGTAATTATTTCAACATACCCTCCATTGATAACATTGAAGAATGGAACTGGAAGAACATATGGCTTTTTCGAGTTGGTCAAGTCGGCAATGTGGGCATAGAGTGGGACCTTCTTGGCAGCGGCACCAGCCTTCGCGACAGCGAGGGAGACACCAAGAAGAGCGTTGGCACCGAGCTTGGACTTGTTGGGAGTACCATCGAGGGAGAGGATGAAGTTATCGATGGCCTTCTGGTCGGTGACATCGATGTTCTCCTTGATGAGAGCGGGTCCAATGGTCTCATTGACGTTCTTGACGGCGGTCAAAACACCTATTTTAGACTGTCTTAGTAAGGATGTAAGACCGGAAGGCGGGGCAATGGTTAATAGTGGGGCAACACACCCTTTCCACCCCACTTGGACTTGTCCTTGTCACGGAGTTCCAAAGCCTCGTGAATACCTATTTAATTATTTTCAACTTAGTATATAATGTAGATAGATAGGTAGAATGGAGAATAGCGTACCGGTGGAGGCACCGGATGGGACAATGGCTCTGTGGAGACCGGTGTCGGTGACGACGTCGACTTCGACGGTGGGGTTACCTATGATAATGCCGGTCACGTCAGTATCAGTCCATTGGATTGTTTAACAGTTGAATTTTTAAGAGAAAAGAAGGAAAAGAAAAACGGATAAGCATACCGCGAGAGTCGTAGACGGAACGGGCGTGAACCTTAGTGATAGCCATCTTGATATTTCTATATAACCAAATCCATAATATTAGCCCCTCATCTTTGATGTCGTCATAGTCTATACCACCCCTCCACCACCACCACTAAATGAAAGAGAAGAAGAACAGAACATACCAGTAGAAGTATCTCAATGAATGTATGTTAATGGTAATGCTTATAATAAATACCAATGAAGGATATATGAAGCAGTAGAGTTAGTAGTGATGCTGAGGGAAGAACAGAAAGAAAGAAAGAAGAGAGAGGGAGAAAGAGAGAAAGAGAGAGAAAAGAGAGGATGGGATGGGATGGCCAGGTTCACTTATAATAAACTTTTCCCTTGACGACGACCCCTCGAATTCGATTGACTGAGAGACCGGCCGACCGACCGACCGACAAGACTGCAGGCAGACTAACATTAACAGAGCTACGGCCTCCGTTACCATGCACAGACCACGACAGGCATCCGTCCCTGGCAATTGGGTGGTTCCTTCTGTTACTATTACCATTACTCTACTCCATCACGCTGCTTGAGGCTTAGTCTCGAGGGATATAATTGTATTACGCCAGTGCCTCCTACCAGGTACTTTTGTACAGAATATGTATGTAAGTTCAATACAATCGCCGTATAGAAGCATAGCATCACCTCAAGTTGAATCCTATATATTACAGGCTGTGATATTCCCAGGGAGGAACTCGCCAATTAGACCACAGCTAAATCTTTTGAGTCTCGTCTCTCTCAACAAATTACCATTAGGGATTCGCCGATGCCAAAAAAAAAACACAGGACGCTTTCGCCTCAAAAAAAAAAAAGTATATTTACTTTTATTGGGAATGATGTCCTGCATATAGTCTAAAGGCGTATTATATCCGTTTCTTGGCTGAGTGGGGGTGTTCCTGTAAGTACTACTTAGATATCTATGGAGCGTACCGTTCATGGCGCGATATCGCTGTTGAAATTAATGCCGGGCGCGGAGTTATTATATTACAACCCCAACATGCTGCAACATTCTAATACAACTGCTGCTATATAAATCATGATATCATCAATCCTAAACCTTCAAATTCCATAAACTTCAAGAAGACCCCAAAAAATATCGTGATATCACCTGAAAGAAAAAAAAGAGGTAAGAGAAGAAGAAAAATAGTAAAAAAGAAACCCCTCACTTGCCTCATCATCACCATCCCGATCCATGTCCCCGCCATCCCGTTCCCCCAGTTTTATTACCGTAACTCCCGATCCACCTCGGCCTCATCCCCATCTGCCCGAAAAGCGCATACATAGTACATCCTCATAAAAATCACGCTCTGCCTAGTCCAAATCCATAGCTTCCACTTTCTCTTTATCAGATCCGTAGACAAAAGATCCGTAAGAAGAAACCGTAAAAGCAAAGAAACCCAGTCAGCAATTATAAGGCGTCTGGGCGTCTAGCGGCTGTCATGAATTCTGTGTTGCTGGCATGGCAGCTGGGTCTGGTCCTGTGCTTGCTTAGCTCACCATAAGGTAACTTGGTAGCTACCCCGAAACCCAGCCAGCCAGCCAACCCCATCCACGCGTCAACCTCACTTCACTTCAACAACCTCCAACGTCAACCGCCCCCATCTACCACGATCCATCACCACCATCACCCGTATCGCATACCGTTCATAGATCTCCCTTAAACCCTCCCCCGCCCTCACCATGTCCTCGTCATCCGACGCAGAACGCGATGGCGCTCTTGAGGAATACAAAAAGGTTGCCCTCCCACCGCTACTGCCACTACTGCTACCACTCGCTACCCGTCACATATCATTAAAAAAGACTAACCAGCCCTAACAGAAACTAATCGAACACCGTGAATGGGACGCAAAACTCAAATCCCTCCGGCTAGAGCTAAAATCCCTCCAAAAATCATACGACCACACCGAAGAAAACCTCAAAGCCCTCCAATCAGTCGGTCAGATCGTTGGCGAAGTCTTAAAACAAATAGATGACGAACGTATCCTCGTCAAAGCTTCTTCGGGTCCTCGATATGTCGTAGGATGTCGTTCGAAGGTCGATAAATCGAAGTTGAAACAAGGTACTCGGGTTGCTTTGGATATGACTACTTTGACCATCATGAGGATGTTACCAAGGGAGGTTGATCCCTTGGTTTATAATATGAGTTTGGAGGATCCAGGACAGGTTAGCTTTGGAGGTATTGGTGGTTTGAATGAACAGATCAGAGAGTTGAGGGAGGTTATTGAATTGCCGTTGAAGAATCCGGAGTTGTTTATACGGGTGGGGATTAAACCTCCAAAGGGTGTGCTTCTATATGGTCCACCTGGTACAGGCAAAACTCTTCTTGCAAGAGCAGTAGCCAGCACTCTCGAAACGAACTTCTTAAAGGGTATTACTTCTTTCCATCTATAATAACATCTAAAGATACTAAAGGAAATAAAACAGTCGTATCCTCCGCCATCGTCGACAAATACATCGGTGAATCCGCCCGTCTAATCCGCGAAATGTTCGGTTATGCAAAAGAACACGAACCTTGCATCATCTTCATGGACGAAATCGATGCCATCGGTGGCCGTCGTTTCTCAGAAGGTACCTCTGCCGATCGAGAAATCCAGAGAACTCTCATGGAACTCCTTAACCAACTCGACGGTTTCGACTATCTCGGTAAAACAAAGATTATCATGGCTACCAATCGTCCTGATACTCTTGACCCCGCTTTGTTGAGAGCTGGAAGATTGGATAGAAAGATTGAGATTCCGTTACCGAATGAGGTCGGCAGATTGGAGGTTCTGAAGATTCATGCGGCTGGTGTGGCGAAGGCTGGAGAGATTGATTATGAAGGTTTGGTGAAGATGAGTGATGGATTCAATGGTGCTGATTTAAGAAACGTTGTTACTGAAGCGTATGTCACCTTGTCCAACCTTTCCTCTATATTACCCCGAACTAACAGTATCACAGCGGTATGTTTGCAATCCGCGACTACAGAGATGAAATCACACAAGACGACTTCAACAAGGCGGTCAGAAAGTTAGTTGAAGTTAAGAAGCTAGAAGGCAAGCTGGAGTATAAGAAACTGTAAACGCAGACACCAGCGATTAGGTATAAAGTTACATAGCCGAATCTACGATAGTTGATGTCCACACGCGCGGGGACATATATTTCAGACGCAATATATACGTCTACCAACAATAGCATCCTCGAATTATTTCGTGATGTAAAGCTTTTTTCCCCTCATTATGCCGTAGGAATATTATGAAAATACATTAAAACGACAGAAATGATATAGGCGATAAAACATAATGCTGTATACTAAAGACTCTTCTTCCCCTCGCTCATGCTAGTAACTAAACCCAAAAAACAATTTGGTATCCCGAAGTCCAAAAAAAATGTTAACTCCAACGCTGAAAGAACCCATCAATCAATCATGACCATGAAAAGAGCGCCAAACAACCCTCAATCGAGTATCTCCCATTCAATTAATAACCCTTCTTCGGCCACCAAGGCCCCCAAGCCCCATCCAGTACCCTCCTCCACCCATCCGGCACGCATAACCCCAGCCGATTAAAATAATCCCTATGACTCCACAGCAACTGCAGCATATTAACGCTTCCAGAAGCCGCGCAAGTCTCGTCTTCATCCCCCTCGCAAACCCTCACATCTTCAGGTGTCGGTGTTAAATCCTCCTTCTCGATGAAATATTCGGTGGCATGGTGTAAAAAACCCCATTTCGAAAAGGGCAGAAGAGGGACTGGATCGGATTTATGTGTTATTCGTCTATAGTTTGGGGCAGGAAGGAGTAGATTGATGTATTGTGAAAGGTTCGCATTGCCGATTCTCTATTCAAAAGTCATATATATTAGTATCTTCGTATCATATATCAAAAACATCAGGAAAGAAAGTAATAGAGATTACTCACCGGCTCTCCAAAAGTCGTAACCCGCCCCTTCCACCCCCTCTCTCTAAACTCCAACCCAGCAAGCCCAGCCACAGCTCCACCAAGACTATGACCCACAAGTTCTAGTCTATACCCATGACTCTCCCACTGCCTCAACAACCCATCCACAACCGGTACCACAACTTCACTCGCCTGTCTCCAACTTTCCAAAAACCCGGCATGAGCCCAACATCCTTCGCACTTCGGCACCTCTCCCTCTTCTTTCGACTGTGTATTATAATATACCGAAAGATCCGACCGATTACTAGGCGGATAAGGCACATACTCCTGCCGTCCGGTACTCAAATCCACGAGGGCATTAGTAACACTATATGTCCCTCTAAACGCCACAATAACCCTTTTTTCAGCCGGAGGATGAGACAATGCTATATAACCGCATGAATCTGAAAGTAAAGGACCGGTGTTCCATGATTGGATTAGTTGGAACGATGGGAATTGAGAGCAGTGGGATGGACAGATGAATGGATGCGAGATTCCGGGCGATGGTGTACCGATGCAGTAGGTTATATCGACTATTCTTGATAGTTCTTCGAATTCGGAGAAGAGGGAGGGTGAGATATAATCATGGTTATGAGGGTTTGTCGAGCCGCTGGTGGTGGTGATTGTGGTGGCTGGTGATAGAGGGATCTGTTGGGGAAGGATGGGGTTTGCGAAGGCGACTGGAGCGACTAGAGAGATGAAGTGAGGGAGCCGCATGGTCGCATTATACCGTAATGTATTGTATTGTACTAGAATTCCGTAAGATGCTGAAGCCCTAGATAGATGAAAATAGAGGCTACGAGGGAGAGCGAAGGGGAGATCGAGCGATGGCAGCCATGGCTGTTCATTAATATTGTCTTGTACTCGTGTGATTGGGTGTCTTGAAAGTCGTCTGAACTCACCCGGTTTGGTCTGATCTGGGGAAATGGTTGGGGAAGGCTGGCCGAACCGAGTGACGTCTGGTCACACGCGCTTTGCCCGAAACAACTTTTGCAACACCAACACGAATTTGGACATTCTATCCCTTCTGTATGACCCCGATTTTAATATTTTAGACTCGAGGCTAGAACTTGATAAGACGGCGTTATCTAGGTATGTATTTACCTACCTAGAATAGTAGATAGATAAGTTTATGACATTCTTTATTCAGGGGTTCATAAAGATAGTAAAGTTGGTCGTATCATTCATTAACATGATCGCGTAAGAATTAATTAAAACAACCTCCCAAATTTAATAGGTACAGAATATGAGTCGAATAGAACATGCACCAAGCAACCAGATATGTAAGTGGGTAGCTAACACTGGCATATAAAGATAAAATCAATCCCTATAAACCAAGTGTAGTGCATCCTTCCTCTTCAAGCAGGGCGGTCCCTTAAAAGGTCTCCAAGCCTCAAACTCCTCCTCCTCCTGCACAACCTCCTCCACATGATCTTTTTGAGTCCTGCTTTCTCCATCATTCCCTCCAATCGGTCGTGGTCCAGGCTCCTCCGAAACACCGGTATGAAAGTATATCTTCTCCGCTTCCTCCTCCCAGACAGCTGCCATGAGATGAACAACATCTTTGATACTACAGCTTGCCAACCCTTGTGGTTCTCCGTCGGCGTCGGCTTCTTGTGTCCAACTGTCTAGGATTAGACGACCGAGCCAGCGATTTTTTACTCCGATACTCCAGCTATATCCCACCTTATTATTAGCCAAGCCCAAGACTAACAACCATAGAATTAAGTAGTAGAATATATACCGTAAAATAACATCTTCAGCCCCCCTCCCACTCTTCAAAACCCCAAGAACGCTCCTCCCAAGCGGATTCCTCAATATTTCTGCCACGACTTCCTCATCTCTCTCAACCTCAGTAATAGCACCATCAAAAACCGTCAACAAAACCCTCAAACAATGTTTCCTATAAGGATTAAACCTCTTCCAATGTTTAAAATGCGGTGCCCCCTGGTAGTTCTCCAGAAAAAACAAGAAGGGCTGGGAATGTCGACGGATCAATGTCGCATGGAAACGTAGTTGGTTTTTTGTAGACCTCATAGTTTTGAGAATATTTTGTAAAGATATGATGAAGGTCTTGGGGTTTTTGATGTAGGAGAAGAGAGTTTTGGAACGGAGATGATGGAGAGTCGCTGTGATCGAGGAGATTGCCGTAGCCATAATTAAGGTGATAGATACGGTGGCGATGATGGTGGTGATGTAGCTTTATACTAGAAGCTGGCTTTTTGAGGATGACTCTTGGTGGTCTTCTTCCCATGTGAACATGGGATTAATAAAAGAGCGAGGGCCTTTTTGATAGGGACGGGGAGGTGATATATGATTGATCGATGAAGCTTCATGGAAGATGACAGTCTATAGAAGAAGCAGAACGAATATGACAGATTGAAATATGGAGTATGAGATATGGGAGAAGGGGTAATGAGAGATATCGATGGGACGATAAGAGATGTGGAGACAGAAGAATAAAGATGGAAGAAGAAGAAGGGAGATGGTTGTTTTTTGTTCTTTTCGTTCGTTGCTGAGAAGGAAATGCAAAGAATTCGAAATCAGTCATAGAAAGAAAGGAAAGAAGAAAGGAAGAAAGGAAGAACAGACAGAAAAGGACTGCACACGCTCTCATTCATTACAACAATTTGGCTTCAAGAACGACGAGTATAAAAACAAATATAAAAAAGACAGAATGCTGACGAGAACTCCAGTAACCCAAAATGCCAGTGTCCAATTCATGTATAACAGTAACTTATGAAACCAGAAACCGCGTGATAAGAAGATCGAAGAAAACAGAAACAGAAAAAAGAAACTCCTTTGAACTCCCATTTCATATCCATAAACAGTCGGTTCATAGCTAGTTCTACTAGGCATATATCCCCCTTCTCCTTCGAAATCGCCCTGGTTCTATAAACAGCCCTCTTCCTTCTACTTCTTTTCCTTCTTTTCCTCGTCGTACAATTGGTGAGTGAGCGCCTAGGTAAGTAAGTAGTTAAGATGCATGATATAAAATCTACAACTTAAGCACCTCCTCCTCACTGCTCCTCCCCTCCGTCCCTTCTTCAGTCTCCTCGTCCACCTCTCTAACCATCCAATCATCCAACCGTCGATTCCTAGCCCCCCAAACACTCCTCAACTCCTCGCTCCACTCCCCTACAACATCATTGTTAACTCCGAACCCCAGTTGTCCAACTTGTCTCTCCACCGCCTTATCCCACGCCAAAGCCACCATTTCCGCAAATTCTCTGTTATCGATCCAAGTTCCCCTCAGTTCTCCCTTCTCACAGACGTGATCGAGACAAGTATAAGACGGCAGAATATACCGTCCAATAACAGGCTGTAATCCGGCTGGTTGCAACCATTTCTCGACCGTCCGTTTTAGATGTTTATATTCTGATTTTAGCGGCTGTTCGAGGATGCTGTAGTCACGGTGTACCAGGTCTTGTGCGATATGCAATGTATCCGCTGCCATGACTCTGAATCCATCATTCGCCGGGTCGAAGAATTGCCAGAATTTGCGAGGTGATGTTGGAACGTAGGTAGATAGGAATTCGAGAAGTTCGGGAGGACATGATTGTAGGAGTTCTTCGTGGTGGTAGAGTTCTCGAAGGGTGGATTGGAGGTTGGATTGGGCGGAAAGAAGGTGCTGGTGGTGTTTGGTGAGGAAGTAGAGGGACGAAGTGGTTGTCCAGATGCCCATCTTTACTCTTTATTATTTTTTTCTTCCTTTTTCTAGCTCTCTCTCTCTCTCTCTCTCTCTCTCTCGGCTCTCTCTTTTTTCCCTTTCTTTCCTTCGTCTTTTAGTCCTTTGGTGTAGTGTGAATTGGAATGGTATTTGTCGATTCAACCGATGCGGCTCTTTGGATGCACTTCGCTTGAATGCATGCAATCGATCGTGGAGGTTAACGGTTGAAGCCAACTGCAACGTTAAAGGAAGGGGTCCTGTCCTGTCCCGTCCTGCGCTGTTCTGGGCTGAGAGAGGTTGTCGCAAATTAAAGTGGTTTCTGAGATATATCCCCGTTTCCGCCCGGGGGGGTAACAGATATATAAACCCGCAAGTTCCCTCCTGCCTACTGTGTATGGCTATCCGTTCGATGATACTCTCTCCCTCGATCAAATATTGATAATATCCAATCTCTTGTCGCAAGTTAGAAGGAAGAGAATAAGGAAGAGATGAGAAGAAAAAAAAGGATTCCTCCTTCCTATTCCTGAAACAAAAAACGAAGAGTCCAATCCAGTCCAGTCCAGTCCAAACCAAACCAAAAAAAGATCCGAGCTGAGAGAAGAAATAGACTGCTTTATATATGGAAGTAAAGCGTCTAGATAAATTTCCAGTGGAGCCTCTTGTTCCCTTTGTCAAGAATGTCCGCCGATGCTAGCTGCATATACTGTTGTTTTGATATTTCCTTTTCGACGAGGAACTTAATTTCGGTCCTGGATACTTTGGCGATGCAGTCGATTCCTGGAAACTGTACTTGTACTGTCCAGGCGGTTATTCTAGAACCAGTATTGTACACCGTTTAAAAAAATTGAGAGAACCCCGCTCCCTTTCTTCCCACAAGACCCTTTTAGAATGTTGTATGGGTTTCGAACAGAAGCTTGTGGAATGCTTGTGTGGGGAATTACTCGAATCGAATAGCTGAAATTTGAAACCCGGTTCGATTCTTCTTCAACTGATCTGGATTTGAATGAATTTGAAATTTCCCGTGTTGTGCGAATACCGAGGGAGGGAGCTGTCAAAAAGAAAAACTCCGACGACCTCTTTGGTCGCACCGTCCGGAACTTGTCACCAATCTTGAAAAAAAAAGTAAGCAGGTAAGTCTGATACGATATGGTCTATCTTTCTATCGATCTGTCTGTCTGTTGAAATTTGTTTTTTGGAGGGATGAAAATATTTCGGAGATTTGAAATTTCTTCTAAAAGAAAATATTCCTGACCATCCCACTCTAGATATATACTTTTGCAATATATACTCACTTACGTCTCTTATATATATCGGATCCAATCGAATCCATACAAAACCCGGCTGAGGAGACCCGTAGCCAGCCTTGACTCGAAAGGCTCATCATAATCGATAGGAAAAGAATATCTGTGGGGATACGTGTACGACATCCATTCGGTCCAGACTTACCATTGGCTGGTATTCCAGGCGGGAAAGAAACTAAAGCAAAAAAAAAAAAAAAAATGGAAGCGGCGGGCAGCACATAACCCGGCAGCTTACAGAGACATCGATCGAAAAAGCTCGAGCTTGTTCAGGCAAGCAAGTAATAATAATTCCATGTCGAATCAAGTCAGTCGACAGTCAGTCAGTCTGATCATACATAAGCCGAGCGAGCAGACAGTTAGTCCAGTGCAGACAGAGCTCAATGCTGCAATGCAATGCCATAGCTAGCACCAATTAACCCCATGCCAGAACGACCTGCAGATGTGAGCTGTTTGGCCCATTAGCTCGCATGCACATCTTTCTCCGCACCGGAATTTTAGGAAGAAGGAGCCAGGCAGAAGGCAAAGATATGTTCTTATTCACTGTTCCTTTCCCTTTGCCCCACCACCCATATCATGATTATATACTAAGCTAGGGGTTCCTATCATTCCAGACGGCTTGATTGAAGAAGGTAGAAGCGGAGATACCAATCAATTCAATCCATTTTATCCCCTCCCATATCTTCATCATCCATCCTCACCCATCCATCACCCATCAAATGTCACAAGGGAAAAAAAAATAAAAATTAGTTCGCATTCTAAAAAGACCCTGGATTCGATGCACGACCAGGGGAGTTCCGAAGAAGCTTACCTAGCGGGAAAACAAGGGTAACGAAACAAAAAAAAAAAAAAAGAAGGAAAGAAAGAAAGAATTGGGATGGAAAAGTTAGCATGGGAAACCTTCCGCTTCGGGTAATCCCGCCTGTCCCCAAATTTGTTCAGCATTTCCCGTTTTGGAAAGACGACCAACATGGAATATCCCTGTTTGGGTTTTATGCAACAACCAACGAACACCTAATCTGCGTTGTGAGGAAATCACGGCCATCCCTCTGGTGTTACGGTGAGGACGGATGGTAATTATAATATTATGTGATACTGTCTTGACGTAATTCCATTTACTGCGTAACAGTAAACACCGTGGCATTTGTTACTACTCTATTACCATCTCATTTCTCGGGGCGAAGGGCGAGATTGGTAGAAGACTCCACCAATGATCCTCCCTCAGATGTACACAGTAATAAAATCCCAAACTTCATCCACCAGAACATAAATTATAAATAAAACAAGACCACTACCCCCCGCCGAATTACGACTTAGTAAGACCAATTAGACGGCGAAAACCACAAAAACACTCCCTCAAACTGTTCAGAACACCTTGAACAATCCACAGCATGAGCCGGTGAGCCCCCAGTGGGTCCATGAACCAAAGTATATATCATAAGTCCCTTAGTATGAACACCCAGCTCCACAGCTCCGTGGACTATGTCATCCAAACCCGAAAGTTTGCCACATTTCTTGCATGCCATGCGGGAGCGGTTCATGATGTTCCCTTTGAGGTTGTCGAAGGTGGAGGCTTGATTACATGGATGTGAACATTAGGTTAGTACGAGTTTTTAAGTAGTAATATTTGATAGGGTCAAAAATTGGGCGGGGGGGCAAATGTACCATCGACATCGAGGAGCTCTCCGAGATGCTCGCGTTCTTCGTGGGAGAGAATCCAACGGACTCCTCCTTCGGCCATGATTTCCTCGGTTTGGTAGGTAGACATGGTTATTTTAACGTAAAATAAAGATATCCAAAATATGTGTATATATTTAACTTGGGTTGCGATAAATTTTGAAGCGAAACCGTAGTTCGAAGCTATATTTTGGTTATAGTATTAAAGAAACTAAAACATCCAAAAGCAGACTTGATGGCCTATTTATAAACTTTTATGTCGAAGAGAGCTAGATATCAGACTTTCCGAAGCCAAGGGGAAATAGATTTGATAAAAGGTAGTAAAACACGATAAATTTTGTTGAACCGTTATTATCATACATCTTATCTCATCAGAAGTACCAGTTGGTTGCATAAACTGGCTTATATTATGTGATTGTATTCATCTTCGCACTGCATGATAGTGTATCAAACCCGTCTTCCGAGTCTTGTAACTTAAGAAGTGCCACAAAAGGTAACCTGGGACCCAGAATGCTAGTTAGCAGTCCCGTATCTTGCTATATATATATATGCGGTACACGCGCGTGGGGGAGTCGGCCCGAATATTATCAACCTAACGACATTTTATTTTCGTACAATGTGATTATTCTTATCGTAAAATCTTGCTACTAACACCTGGAAGCTCATGAATACATCTTTCTATATCTTTGATACGGACCAAAGATTATTTTTTTCAAAAAACAGAATATCCAGTGTCTCATAAACCAGCCGGCCTGCCTGGCCTCTACAAATAGCAACGATAAGAGGACCCGATTCTATAAAGAAGGTCGTGATATGATATTCGGTAGCTCAAACCTTTGTCTAGATTTTAAGGCTAGTCTTAAATTTAACCTAATACTCGGCCCATACGGCCCGTCCCGACTTTTACACTACATTTATGCATTGCGATACTGTGTGAATCGGCAGATGCATTTCATATTTGGCCCGCCTTCTGCACTACCATTTTATGGAAGAACTTTGGATATAGCTCGCTGCAGAATACAGTCATGGAAAACGTTTTTCTTCTATACATTCTCTTCTATGGGGTTTTATAAGTTTACATTGTTGAAACTCAGTCTACTGACATAGTCACGCGAGTCTTCTATTCTTAAAAAGCCAGGAAGCCGAACTGGCTCACTTGTCGATTAGTTTCTTTGTATTACGCATACATGCACATGGATACACGATGAGTATATCGGGGCCCCACGTTTGTTTATTTTTATGCGTTAACTCGTTTGTACAGCTGCAGTTTCTACTCTACCTGCTGATCATACAGCGTTGGCAGCACCAACGATAATTCAAACTCGATCAAGATTATCTATGCTCTTTGGCCAATTGAGGAACCTAGCTCAGGGATCAACTACCACCCAAGTGTGTATAACCTCTAAAATACATATTTAAGCACTACTCTACACCCACAGTATCGACTAGTTGCTTACAACCAGATTCTTAAGCTGATTTAAAGAAGAAGTTCCTGAATGGCGCCTTATTCTAGTCAATATATATATACGTAGCAGGCGAAATATGTTAAATATATATCAGTTCACTAGGACAGACCAGATGGGAGGGCTTACCACTTAAATTTAAAAGTAGTGTGGAAGCCGCGAACTCGGAAAATATCGTTTCTTGCTAAGAAGTGGGGATGGTGGAAGGACTAGGCCGACCAGCTGGGTTCCACCGATTTCCTCCCGATGTAACACAAAGATTCTAGATAATATTCTATCATTTCTGCGGAATCCGAATGTCCAAAACCGGCCCTCCCTCCCTCCCTCCCTCCCTCCCTCCCTCCCTCCCTCCCTCCCAGGATCCCCCTTTGTGTATGGAGAACGGAATATCAGTGGTGATTTTTGATCTGGCATCTAATCGATTTCTAAGAGTCTCGGTACAATGAGTTTTTGTGCAGGTTCTTTCCTGCGCTTTTTCAAAAATTTTATACATCGAGTGAGAATAAACTAGAGGAAATTTCGAAAGTGTCACTATTCAATACATATACTTCAACGGCCCTTCAATGCTCCTATCATCTAACATATCACAATAAACATACTCATCATCCACCCTGTTCATCTTCAGCACCACTCCCTCTTCTACACTCATATCCTCCCCCAACCTCCAAGTCTGTAAAAGATAATCAAACCAAACAATTCGGGGAATTACAGACAACTTCTGCTGAAACCGACTTTCGAATAGTAAATCCTCAAACACAATCTTCTTCCTCACCTCTAATACTCTATTCCTAAACCGCTTCTCAGTAGACCGCCACCAATACAATTCCAAAACGGTGCTCTCTAGGTTAAATTCCCTAGTATTATCCCCAAATCCATAACAAAACTCCATTTCAAGCAAGTGGAATTTCGGACAAGACTCTAAAACGCAATCGATGAGGTCTTTTATGTAATTTTTCTCACGATCGATAAAGCCAATTCTTAACTCCTCGAGCTCTTTACACTTCTCAAGCGCTAGTTTTGCAGGATTTGTTGGTTCGCCGTGAAAACACCAGCCGTCTCCCTGCCAGTCTGTAAAGATTCGAATGCTTTTAAGTGTAGCGGAATGCATTGGAACCACGTCTCTCCAGAACTCGGTGCCTAGGCTCATCCCATTCAGCAGCTTTTGCCCTTTGAGATTTATTTCAATATCCGTTAAAAAGCTTGTACCCCTTGCTAACAGATACTCTCCAAGATCTGGTGGGTATACATCCAACTTCAACCTCTTAACCCAAATCCCCGACCCCTGGAGGAAAGGAAATATATAGATTCTAGGATAAGCGTTTATGCCATATCTCCATAGGTCGGTTCCGATCATCAAAGTCGTACCGGATTTGAATTTATTCCATCTATCATCCGTATTACTCTCCAAGTCCAAACCCACCAGTTCGAGGGTTTCAAGCGGTGGATCTGTAGATTTCCAAAACGGAGAAAGTGAAGCCGAACTCGAGGGGTTTGGAAGTCTGATGTAGTCTGGTCGCTCCAGAGTCGGGATATTTGATGATTTACATCGAGAGGCTAATTCGCTTAATGGTTTTGCAAGATCCGGTCTTGCGATTTGATGATGTTTTGGCATTCGTAGGGAAAGACTTCTTAGGCCGAATAAGCAGTTTAGATGGTCTCTTGCATCGATTTGACTGTATAATGCTACTTTGCGTCGCTTTTCTGTATCGTCAATGGCTAAGGTCATATCCAAAGTAAACCTTCCATCAGACGCTCGTCGGCATAGAATCATTGCTATCTCCTGGTGTCCAGATACACCCAGAGCATTACTCGTTCGCCACCTTAAATAATGAGTTTATTAGCTAACTTGACTGCAGAACAATGATTAATATGTTCGATATCACATAGAGTAGTGCTGTAGAATATAATACCTAACATGTTTGAGAGATCTAGCTGTAGAAAGTACTCTTTCAAGTACTTTATTAAATACCTCATAGTCCTCAGGTCCGTGAAGTTCTTTATACTGTTTTAGTTGATACATATCAAGCCGCTCCCCAGTACGTTCAACCGATCCCGACTTATCCTGCGTCGTAAGAGAATTAAGGTAAAACTTCGAAGCATCGCGAACGCTTTGACGATAAGGGCGACTAGTATCTATTACTAGCCTTTTAGTAACACTAAGAGGATTGGAGATCTTGCAGCCATCGATCTCGATGTGAGTTTCCCCAGCGGCTAGGGAGTCGCAAGCCAAGGAAATTTGCTCAGGATTATATCCTGGAGGTTTGAAACGGAGGCTGAGGGAATGGAAAAGAGTAGGAAATGCGGCGTCGGATAGTTTGGTTTTGGGTGAAGCTAGTCGTAGGGCTTTTAGGGATCGGCTGTCGAGAAATGATGAGATCTCGCTCAGAACCTCGAATGGAAGGGTTGTGAGAGTTATGGAATTTGACGAAGACATTCTCGATCGAAGATCATAGATTTGGATTTCAATTGGACAATTGACTCGTTTTCGAAGAATGTGGGCACAGGGAACTACAAGCAGTAGGGCCATATATAGTCGTTTGCCGCCGACTGCTTGATGATACTATGTTGTATTCATGGATAAGCTATAGAAGCTCATGATCATGGATATAATAGGTTAACGTTAAGGATTCAGCATCGCCTCGATCAAGTAGGCTGTACTACAGGGCCTCAAAATGCAACGTGTGCAACTTCTGCAACACGATTCGACCTAGCTCACGTTTCGTGCCTGGACAGTGCTACAGTAATACTAATTCGTATACAGCCTAAAGCTATACCATATAAGGGCCCGAGACTAAGATAGCAAGGGTGAAGCGGATCCAAAAGTTCATAAATCCAACGATCAGTTGGAATTTGTTTTATGTCAATAATTACTTCCATATCCTAACTAAAGCAAATGCAGTATAATTTGGCTACCGTTATAATTATACCATCCATATCAATTCCAGAAAAGAACAAGAAAAAAGTGAGGTCTATCCCCCCGCCCAAAATTCCACCCATACCCGAACCATATCATTATATATTTCTTAAGACGCATACTGCTCTCTAATACGTTGTACCACATCCGTCCCAATGCTCTCAATCTCATTAACCAACCTCTCCACCGTCTCCTTCGGCGTCTGTATATTAACCACAGCCCTAAAGAACTTCCCCTCAGCCTTCCTCCCTTCAAGCGCCGGCGCAAAGTCAATCATAAACCCACGTGTCACCAACTCTCTCGTAATAATTTCCGTAACTTTCGAGTTAAACTTGCCAATATACTCTTCTTCGCTTGTATCCAACCCCTCAAGTCCAGGTGGGACGATTTGTCCCTCTTCTGTTCCAAAGACATCATGCCCACCGGGGGCATAGTAGAAACATACTTGCAAACAAGGCGGTGGGTTCGTGGAAACTAACTTGAAGTTCTCGCTTGCGGCTGCAATCCCTACCATATGTTCCGCTACTTGATGTGCCTTCTCCACGAGCTGTTCGTACCCCTTTGTTCCATAATACTGCCATGCAAAGAAGAGCTTCAAACTATCTCCTCTTCTACCGCATTGTAATGTCAAATCCGCCAAATCATACGGCTCCCTCCATCCTTCGACATCATCCCCATCTCTATCATGGAATAAATAACCAGCCTTTAGTGTATTAGCCTTCTGGAACAGCTCCAAATCCTTTCCTAACAAGAACGAGCAAGTAACAGGTACCCCCATCATCTTATGCGGATTAATAGCAATAGAATCTGCCAATTCGGCACCAACCAAAAACTGACGTCTCAACTTCTCAGAAAACACAAAACTACCACCCCACGCACCATCGATATGGAACCACATGTTATACCTCTTCGCGATCGTAGCGATTTCTGTGAACGGATCGAAGGATCCAAGAACTGTGCTACCTGCTGTAGCATTAACATAGAAGGGAGTCTGTCCTTTCTCCTTCGCCTCCAAGATCAATCTTTCAAGTTCCTCTGGTATCATCCGTCCGGTGACTTTATCCACAGGAACAGGTATCGCAGCTGCGCTTCCAAATCCACACATTTGTGCGGCCTTTTCGATAGAATAATGTCCATGGGCACTTGTAAACATCACAAGCTTCAACCCATCGGCATGGTTCCCTTCGACTTTAGTCTTCGGATATAACGTGTTTCGTGCGATAACAATAGATGTGGTATTCGATGCCGAACCACCCTGAACGGAGACACCGCCGCTCCTAGGGCCCGTGAAGCCGAATAAGGCGGCAAGGGATCTTGCAACATGTTTTTCGATTAACGTTAGGACTGGTGAGACTTGGTACACGTGTAGATTGGTGTTTAGGACGCTGAGGATGAGGTCTGCGGCTACGCCCGGGGCGACAGGGGCGGAATAAAGTTTGTCTAGAAAACCCGGAGCCGAGGTATTCACGCTGTACTTAAGGATCGACTCAAGGGTGGATAGGATTCCCGACCGCCCAGCCGGCTTCAAAGGTAGTGAGAGTGTAGAAGAGAGGATGTCTGTGAGGTCTTCAGGCGAGTGGTAGTCTACCAGAGTGGACTGGTGAGCAGCATCCCCTTTGACATGTGCCTCGAGTTCTGTATCTGCGGCAGCGACAAAGGATATTAACTGCTCTAGCACGGGCTTGAGAAGCTCATCAAGCTCAGAGGCCCTTGAGGCCTGTAGCTTCCCATTAGTATGGCCATTTGAGTGACCATTTGTGGATTCAAGGCTACCATTTGTGCCATTTGCGCCGTTCGAATGGCCATTTGTATGACCGTTTGTGTTGGCGTGGCTGTTGTGTAACGTTGGGCCCATTTTGGAAGACTGCTCAAGACGGATAAAGACGGGGAGAAATGGTATAGTGTATAGTCAGAGTACGAATGGAATGCTAGTAATATATAGTATGTATCATCAAATATGCCGGTATATTAGAACGCAAGAATCCTTGTTGAAAACTAGATCAAAGGACAGCAATCTCGATCAGTATTTAAAAGGGGCCTTTCGAGTCAGTTCTTCGGCTCCTTGAAAGCATCCCGGTGTAAACCCGAAGTTAGAGCTTCCCCAGCGTAGTAAGCTTTCAAACTCTATGCTGCTCCAGCTTCCTTCAACAGGTTAAGCTAGTTCAAAAATTTGGCGAATAACTAGAGCGAGATGCGATGGCGTCATCTCTGGACGACTGGATGAGAGATGAGCTCGCGATTCTGTCACATAATCCTTATGCAACCGGGGAGTTTTCCGTGTCCAATTGGGCGCTAGGAGTGGGGGTGGCTTCTGTGGGGTGCATTTTGCTTTGACCAAATAGAGCAGGCTGCAAGGGCCACCGGTACCAGGAGTTCGGATCATGCCATGCTATTAAGCTGTAGAGCTCGTCGTAATATTTTTTCTTCATAAACGTACACAATGGTTTCCGTTCCCTTCAGGGTTCTTCGAGCCTCCTAAGGCTGGTTGACGGATAGACTAACGTCTAGGAGTAAAACTTTTCATCTTAAATTGTTAGCGCAAAAAACAAATAACTCCAACATTGCTAGACCCCCTCCATAACCATAAATCGCCACCCAAATCCCATAAACTGAATAATAAAAATTTAACCAAACTCCAAAACAATATGCGGTTAATGCGTAATCCCAGGGTTTCCATTCGTTTCCGTTAGCTCCGCCGAGGACTCGTGCTTTTTGAGGCTAACATCAGTTTCGCGAGTTATCGGCTTGTCTATGACCTCACATTGGGGAGGCTCTGATATATCAATGGCTGAATCGGTTTGGAATTGCGTTTCCTTTGATGTCAGTGCCAGTGGGGGCGGTACATCTTCAATATCCGAATCAGGGATAATAACTGGGGAAACGGCATGGAACATTGGAACTGCCCGGTCTGCGGTGTCAAGAAGTGGGGAAGACTATACCGGATGGTATTAGAATGAATCTTAAACAATATTATTGGAGGATTGCATCTTACTGGTCCTTCGCTACTCAATCCTCGAGAAATTGCTAGCCTTTTTGCCGCTTCGCGCCGCATTTTGATCGCTTGTTCTTCTTCCCTGCGAATCTCCTCTTCCTCCCTTCTTAAATCCTCGTCACTCTGGCCCCGTGCCAGGTTCGGGAAGTTTAATTCAACATCCCTTGCATCTTCATCTAAATCCACATCGTCTTCAATCCTAAATTCATCACTCATCGGCGTTTTTCTTCCGCTTCTAGCTGGAGACCCAACGCTCCCATTTCCACTCATTCCGGAGCTAGTGTCTCCCGTTCGTTGCCTCCGGATTCCCTTCTTAGATCTCTTGCCGCTCGATCCGGTTTCCGGTTCTAGTATGATGTCGAACTCATCGTCCAAAGGGATAGCATCGTCCTCGTCTTCACTAGGGAATAAATCTGCTCTGCTTCGAAAAGTATCTGTCGTGTCGCCGCTGCTTGTAGTCCCGCTGCGACCCCGTCCTGTTTTATCTCGTCTTTCGTTTTGCGAAATATGTCGATTATTTCCCCTTCCAATACCAAGTAGCGCTTCTGATTCTGCATCAAAATCCTCTTCTCGAAATTCTCCTCCTACCCCACCGTACCCTCCAGGGTGGTCTTGTAAATCGGCGGCAGAGGGTTTGTATCGTAATGCTTGCCGTTTTCTGACCCAGGGGAAATAACTTAGGAAACCCAAAGCGGCCGTATTGGGAATAATTGTAGGGTCCGGCCCACCATCACGAGCCAGAGCCGATTTCCTTCTTGTTTCAGGTCCAACACGCCTTTGCCCACTCCGGGTGTAATACATCCCCTCATTTCTTGAACCCGCCTTCCTCCTCCGGCCAGCAACTCCGCTCCCAGCCAGCAACCTGTCTAACTCGTCGTTTCCCCACCGTAAAGGATCCTCCGGCGCAGAATCGTCATCGTAGTCGGAATTGTAGAACTCGAAGGCGAATTCCGGGCGACCACGACGGCGACGGCGAGAAGTTGAGCCATCGTGATAGAAACATGGACAGATAGTCTGCGGAGAAGGACAAACCGTAGCGATGGAGTTTATGCAGGGTTCCAAGTAGGATTTTGTGAAGTTAAAGCAGCCGAATTTGGCTGTGTCGGCGACGGATTCGATATTATCCGAGATTTGGTTGAGAGTCTGGCGAACACGAGGGTCTCGGATCATGGTCCCCATTGTGCTAAAGGAAAACGATAAAAGAAAGAAGTTAAACGGCCGGCGTATTGATGTTTGTAGGAATATGTGAGTATGTTGTTTGTAGGTAAAGGTTGAGGTGATCAGCGAAGTGATATCGAGCTGGTGGTGTATCAGACAGACCCACGGGGGTTAAGCGGACCAAGCGTGCGTACAGGCCGAGGCACCGACCTCCCAAACTGTTAAAAGGCCGGGAAATTTAGTAGGAGAAACGAATTAGAAACGTAGAATAACCGTCGGAGCAGATGGGGTCCTGTATTTGTCCATTTTGGACCGGATTGCTTGGAGCAGGCTCGAAGCTAATTATAAGTTGGGGACCATGGATCCAGCAGGTGATGGTGTTAAGTTTTGGGGGGGAAGAAAGGACGATACGATGGATGGATGGGCCAACCTTTGGTGGGCTTATACATACTCCACAAGGCAAATCCAGGCGCCCCAATTCGTCGACATCCATTGAACAAACATCAAATCTCCCCACCCGATGGCAGGCTCTTCTTGCTCTTATTTTTCTTCTTTTCCCTCTTCTTTTTTAAAATTTTCTTCATCTTTTTCGTTTCCTTGCTTAAACGAATGGTCGCATTTATCTTTGGCGAATAGGCAAGCGGGATTAGCTGACGCAAACACTCATTCCTCGAGCCTCGCAAGCCGGATTCGAATTCGAATCGAAGTAGTCTGACAATAATGCCTGCAAGTACATGTCGTCTATGCAGATACACGTTGGTTTCCCATCGGAGTGACACGCCGACTGCAGGAGGGGCAGGACCTGGTCGCACTAAATGCACTGTTCGTACTAGAAGTTACGTAGTCATCGGGTTCTTTCTATCTAATATATTTAATGCAATTAATGATCATGCATTCGAATATTCAGGGCGACACTATCTCTCATATTGTATAACTAAAAGCCGCTTAACTTTATGCAAACAAGATCTTAAGATATCGTCGATTGATTAATCATTTGGATATAATAACGCCTAATTAGTTAGGCATCGGGCATAATGGTTAGTTAATATTAAGTCAGTAAGTACTATGCATTGTACTCAAGTACTGATATCAATAGTGCAGTGCAGCGGCTCTGTAGGTATATATACGAAACGCTAAATAGGCAAATGAAAATTCAAAAAAAGATATTGCAATATAACCTCGAGTTTCAAAAGATTCCAAACCGTTTTTTCCGTTTCGTGTCCTCTTTCTGCTTTGTGTCCTCACGTCGACTTCCAGCTGGCGCTTTGTATAGAGGCCGTCTCTCTAGAGCGGTTGGGCTCACAATACTGGGCCCCCCAGGCCTGGACGCCCTCAACTGTTTCTCTCGTTGGGCCGGTATACTCAACGTAGAATCGCTCTTATACTGCGACGGACAAAAAGACAGTTTTGATAGATATTCCCATGCGTCCGCGAAGCGTTTTAAATACCCAGATTCGGCGTTACTTCGGGCTAGCTGCAACTCCTTCATGAGGGAGAACTTCATAACATCGATCGGGGTTTGTCCCGCCTTGTTTCTTATAAACAAGGGGTGGGTAGATAGGACGCCTTTGGCTACCATAGCGTCGGTGAAGAAGTGAGATAGGGTTCCTGGGATGTCTGCATTCTCTAGTTTTACTCCTATGGCGAATGAAAGCATGGTGTGCAATGGGGTGTCTCCATTGACCTTTAAAGCTCTTATATTAGCCCCACTTCGAATCAGAAGAGAGACTTTTTCCTTATTCCATTTGTATGCTGCTCGGTGGAGTGCTGTATTTCCGTGCTGGTCTGTTTGTCCGATATCTATCCATGGATTATGGAGCGCAATCCGAAGGTATTCCAACGGACCCGTCTCTGACAAAAGATGTAAAAAGGGCATATCCGTGGAGGCTGGCAATTTTAGCGGTTCGCTGGACCAAGAAACATCATCTAAGATCAAACAGTCAGGATGGCAAGGACCAATAAGTTATAGCTTCTAAAGCCAGCGAATCCTCTGCGTAGAAAGCGAGACCTGACATACCTGCATATATCGCGCGCAAGAGAGCATTGAGAGTCTTATTACTAGCAGAATTCGCGATCCCATGCGAAAAATCTTGGTTTAAACCGTTGTAAAGATCCAGAAATACACCATTACTAAGGCTAAGCTTCCCACGGTTCAAATGAACCTCGTGTCCAGATAGCCGCAAAACCTTTCCTGGACTTCCATATATTCTCCACTGATCATACTTTTCAAACGATGGTATCAGTGAATAATAGTAATCAGCATCTAGTGGCATATTTTTCCGTTCAAACACCCTGGCGGATAAATAAAGGGCATCTGATTTCGACACCCAGCTGGGTATTTGTTCATCGGCAATCGCAAGGGCGGTTTTACACCAGAAGTGCGCTTTTTCTAGATCGTGTTTTGTGAAGTAGGATAGCTCCGCCTGAGTTAGGCAGTGGACAAAACCTAACCTAGCACCAGTTGGTATTGTTTCGGCCTCCACCGGTTTGATTTGCGCGGTTCTTCTATCGTTCTCCTCACCGGTATAGAATTCTCGTTGACGGCACCTAAGAAATTTTTGGACGATGCGCATGTCCACCGATGGTATGACCTTCGCCGAGGCGCTATTGGCCGATGCCCCAGCTATTTGTTCTCGGTCTGACCATTTCCAAAATCTTTCTAACTCCAAAAGAACCTCAAGGGCGTCATCGAACATCAATTTTTCCAATTCTAGATTTAGTCGCTTCTCGTAGGTCGATCTGACCTGTTGGAGAATTGACAACCTTGCTTCAATAATGTCCTTGCTACGTGTAACACCGCGACGTCTGCCTGAATTTTTGAACACCAGACCAAAATGCCTTCGCCCTCCCGACGGCATCGGCAGTGTATATACGCCGTCAATAGCGAGCTTTCGGGCATGCGCACCCAATTTATCGCGCGCGTCAGGAACTTGAACTATCGTCCGGACGAAATCGCCGCCATTGAGCGATAAATAATCCGGCCAAGAGTCTGCGGCATTGCAGATTATATCTGCGCGAAAGATATTCGTCCAGACAAGATCCAGATTTTCATCCCGAACGTTTTGTTCCGCTACTGCTAGAAAGCTTCGGGCAAGCGCCTTACAAATGTCTATCCGCTGGCGATCGTAACTGTTGCCGTCAAGGATGCGTAAAAGGGCCACCGCTTGGGTATACTCTCCAACCTCAACATGCGCGATAGCTTTGGACTTAATATGGCTTCCAGCAGAGTCTTTTAGAATTTCAGGCTGCTGGCCCATTGGTACCCCAGAAGTTGAGCTCATGCCTAGTGGGCCATCCTTAGTATCCCAACTTTTCAACTGGTCTTCTAATTTCGATATTATCTGGAAAGCTTCTTTGTATTCGGATGCGCTGATAAGCTGAAGAGCGATACGGTGCAGGTGGTCCGCTATCTCTCGTCGTAGAATCTCTTTATATTTCGTAGGTGCTGGGGCTTTCAGCTGTTCTAAAATGCCGAGGGTTAAGCTCAAGTCATCACTTCGAAGTTCCGAGACCCCATCTACGATAATTTGACCGTAGTAGTTGTCTTCTAGTGCTTCTATGACCCGCTGCGTTCGGTCTATCGAACGCAGTCTCTCGATACATGGCTTAGCAGCTTCGGTGTTTCCTCTTTCGATTTCGTCCGCCGCTTTATCGAAAAGATACTTGACGAATCCGAGCTGTCCGACTTCGACATCGGCGAAGGGATTTTTGTCTGCTGGGAGAACTTCATGAATCTGAAAATTCGATCCTGAGGCTTCCGGAAGATTTCGCGGTACTGGATTCGGTATTCGGCTGTGTTCTTGCAATTGGGCTTCGTTCTCGTATCTGAGCTGTTCCCTTACATCCTCAGCCGCGCGCGTCTCGAAATCTGTTGGGTTAGTCGAATTCCGACGTTTCTCGACTGATTCAACCTCTTTCGAAACCTTTGGAATGGTTGAGGTTTCTGGCTGGACTGGATATTCTTTCTCCGCCCTTCCCGATTGTTTCAAGTTCTTTCGAAATTGGGGCTGGCTTGAGCTCCCATCTTTCCCAGATCTCGAAACCATGTTTCGATCCTTGCTAGAATTCTCGTTCCTATTCGAAAAGGTTCGGACGGCGACCTCACGGGCAAATACGCCTATCTTTGCCCTATGTTTTGGCGCTGTTTCTTCACCTGACACCTGCAGTTGGCTGAAACGCCTTCGAAAATCAACACCATCGACGTTCTCGATACTAGATTTGGCCCTGTTTTCAGAGCCTTTCAGTTCCTCTGGCAATGCTTTTCTCATGCTTCCACCCCGTGTTTCCGTTTGTGCATCCTCATACTCCAGCGCTATACCTTCCTTCTCGACGCTGATCCAGTGATCATTGTTTGTGACAGGGAGCTCCAGAACCGGCCTATGATCTCTCTGCCTAGAATCTGTTTCTTCGGCGCCTCCCACTGTCTCTTCCATTGTTTCTTCCGGCTTTTCTTCCACCCTTTCTCCAGCTTCGCTCGGTTTTAAGGTCAAATCCTGCCAAACCTGCTTGTAAAGTGATCTCCTCTTCTCCATTGTTTTGCCAATCAAAAAAAAACCAACAGTTGCGCACTCAACCCTCGCCAAGTTTTTGTGAGCCGATAAATTGATGCGTGATAGATCGATCCGAATATCTATGGCGGTTCTTGGGTTGTCGGTAGAAGTATAGTTGGGCCAGAGAGCTGGAATGAGTGAGGGCTGAACATCTTTCAGAACCAAAATTGGTCGCGAGGGATCCTGAGGTTTTAAGCCCCTCCAAGCCGCATAGTGCACCAGCTTCGGCACCGGCTACTGGCTGCTGGTGAATGAAAGTGGTCAGCCTTCCTGCACGGTTTGAATAGTCTGGAGTTTTGGAGGGCACTAAAGATCCACCAGTGCCAACACAGGCGGTTGGCGCTGGTGCATGCGTATGTCGCAGTCGCTAGGGTGGCTGTCAGCTTTCGATGTTATCGCTTCAAAACTCCACAGCTTTAGCTAAATACCAGTATAATTTATATCGGGTAAGAGGGCGCAGTAGTCTCGAAGTAGTATCCAAGATTGTGGTAGCTAACTATCCGAAGCATTTATTGTATTATGGATTTCGAAGTATAAACACAATCATGTCTGCACTGCATGCTACGCTAGGGGGAAAAAACGCTAAGAACAGTCGAGAATACACAAAAATACACTGCACAGCCACATTCATGGCTTGCTGGTAAATCGGTCTGAGGTTCAAGTCAATACACGAAATTGAAAAAGAAGATAAAGAGGTTCATAACCGCTCAAGATACTTGCTTAACCGTCTAATCTTTTGCTTGGCAGATGTCCCATTCGAAGTCTCATTTCTGATATCGCCTTCAAGACTCTGTCTTGGCTGTCCCGGAATATGATATTCCCCAGTCGGATACACACACATCTGTCTTCCACTACCCTTCAATCCTTGTCGTGTGACCACCAATCTACCCTTGTTCATAGCGAACACACGGTTAGAAGAAAGTTCCGGTAATCCCAAGAATGCCATTTCCGCCTCGTCCCTCTGCGAATCCGGTGTTTCGTCGCACAATTCCAGCGTTTCTTCTTTGATCCTCTGGACGAACGGGTTTTCACAGATCTGAGGCGTTTTAAGGGTATAGCTCCAACATCCATTGGTCAAGGGCCAGGCGATTTCGATAAGTTGTCGATAGTGCCATCGATATTCTTCATCTAGATGAAATCTTGTTTCCCATTCGGATTCATGTATTGAAAACAGCGGTGAGATTAGATCAATTTCCATGTGGACTCTATCCCCGCAATCTGCTAGAAGGTCGCGAATACGGGCTGTGAATGGTGTTAAAACTTGTCGTAGCTTTTCAGGTGTCATGGGTGATTGTCCGTTCGCAAGATCAAATCGTCCAGTATCGATTATCTCGATGTTAAATCTTCGGATAAGATTCCGGTAGCATGGTAATGGGAGGATGGGTTTGCTAGCAGCATGGATATGTTCACTGTCCAGGGGATTCTTGTTATAATATGTTGAAGGTTGGTAGGCTCGAGATGGTTCCTGATCAGGACTTTCAATGGTGAAATTTAAGTTAGTATCAGTTGTCACCGTCTTCAAAATTTAAAAAGGATACAATTGGGCCATAGCTATGCTATAACTTTTGCAGAAATTGTCACAGGGCTCTTTCTGGTTTTATTTCTTTGCAGTACTTTATACGCATACACAGATGAATGAATACTTACTCTTTAGACTCCGTAAATTCATACGTTAGATCCTCCCACGGGGTCGTGCAGGTCATAAGAAGAGCACAATCATCCCCACCATTGTATACCCCGCCATCGATCACAATCTGAATAGGGAATGCATTATAATTATAAAAGCATTGCGTAGCTTCACTATGAATCTGCTTATTCACTTGAAGAATCGCAAGTCCCCCCCCTTGTGAGGCCGGAGTAAATGCAACACCCTTAAATATCGGTACCTCGAATCTAGGACTCGGATTATAAGTCAAATTCGGCCGGAACTGTTGGTGATGAAAAATGACAATGTATTTGTAAATTTCATCTCGTATCTTTCGGGGTAATGATAGAAACGGAAACCCCGTATTTGAATTCGACCCCTGTTTCTTCTGCTGCGGGGAACTGCTTAGGGAATTCGACCGGGATTTGATACTGCGGCGGACAAAACCGAGAATGCTGGACGACGAGACCATAGCTGCTGCTGATTAAAAGGGCAGGAATTCGAAACAACCGACATGACAGAATGCAAATGATAAAGGAGAAGAAAAAAATTAACAAAAAACCAGATAAAGATACCCTCCGCGGGAGCTTCCTGGTTTATGACTTCAGTCCAATCACGGTCCTATATGCATAACTTGGACAACTAAGACAGCATTTATCTCCGTGCGCAAACGCAGGAACCGCTTTTGTGCGTCGGCTACAAACAGATAGCGTCGATTCGCAAGAAAGGCGCCGGCAAGCCACAGAATTATAGATCACGGTCCACCGGCACTTGTAAAACATAGATATCGTCTTATCCCATTCAGTTTTATAATGTTAAAGTTTACGCTTTAAATATAAACCCGGAGGGGGTCCATGCGTTGGAAATGTTGGATTTCGTTATCGCGGCGCAGCACAGCCTTAGCTTGCCCCAGCGCTATCCCACAATAGAACTCCCATCTTACGGCTGGAAACTTCTCCAGGGCTTCAGCTGGCAGGGTCTGAGCGGTTTCCCTTTTAAAAACTTCATAAGCAGTTATTGTCGCCCTCAGATTCATTGTCTGCAATTATATCACTAGCTTTTACAGTTTCCCCGTCGATACTTAGAAATACGTTTATATGTGTATCGGAACAGCGCCATAAGCAGAATCGATAGTCTCGACGAGAGTACAGTACAGCGCACCGCATAAGTACTATTCTGATATTAACCGTCAAACCTCGACGCCCCGCCGTTAAAACACCAAGACACCAGATTTGATCGATCTAGCCCCGAACTGTGGAGCGCATTCGTGCGGCTCTTTTAATTCATTAGCGATCGCTTTCGCGATTCTTTCAGCGAAATGCCTAGCCCACGTTTAATTCTCGCGACCGGATTCGTGCTGGTTACAATAACCACGCTTTGGTTCGGTTTCTCAGCAACAAGGCTCTCACAGAATTCCATAATATCTTCGAGTCAGAAAGACTGTCCTGCGGTGATACAGGTTGCAGAATCGACATGTCACGTTACATATACTGCTACTTTGTTCCAGACGTCCACAATTCTGGCTACAGCGCAGGCGCAAGCACTTCCATCTACTCCACCAACTGAGGCATCTAAGCAGCCAGGCGAAGACGCTGAAGGATCTCCAACAGATGATAAAGACGCCGTAAAATCCAACATACCATCAAAAGCCTCTCAGGACCCTGCATCGCTTACAACTCCGGCACCGAAACCGCTGTTATCACCATCCGACGACGAAAACTTCAATCTAACCGAAGTTCTGACGAAATACAACTGCTACCCCGCTTCTGCTGACGAAGTTCGCAAAGCAGCTTTCGATAGCGTACCATCCGTAAAATTCAACGTGGTTAGAGGCGACAATGTCGTATTGGGTAGGAGATCCAAGTCAGCAGGACAACCCTTCAAAAAGTGGTTTTCCGTGGGTCGAAAGCCGTCTACTGGCTGTTGGACATATGATGACAGACTTGGGAAATATTCGAGCCCCGTTCCTCGCTTTTCAAGGACCTTGGGGGTGATAAACGACTGTAACCCGGAATGGAAACGTGCGTTGGTGGTGCATATGGCGAAGGGACAAAGTTGGAACCAGCATTTCTTGCATCATCTTACCGCGATAATCGCTGAAGCAGGATGGGTGGCAGAGTTCCACATCTATCTTCTAGTCCATGTCGACGGTGACAAAGCAGCACAAAAAGACTATGTGGACCATGCCATTCCAGAAGGACTCAGGCCATTGGCAATAACCTTCAACAGCGACGATCTGAAGACATATCTTGGGAAAGATGTTCCATTCGACAAGTACGAAAACAATATGCATGTCGCGGTCCAGAGGTTTATGCGTGACTACTCTAAGTACGAATTCGTGTACTTCATCAATCCGCACACAAGATTGATGGGAAGATGGGATACTTTGTTGAAGAGCGTGGATGAAGAGTATGCTTTCCACAGGGAGCTCACGGATGAAGGAAAGGATATGCCCGAGCGACCTGATCTTGTCACCTTCGATGTTACGAGAGAGCCAGATGAAAAGTGGGATATCCTCGAACCAAAATGCCTAGAGTTCTTCAAAAGCGGCGAGAATGAGAAAGCCAAGGTCAGAAGGAGTCTTAGTGCCTTAGGGTATGCAAAATAACCCCTTCCGCCAATCAACCTAGTTCCAAGCTAACAGTAACCCAGTGGATATTCAAGACGCATGGTGGAGGCCCTAGCAGCAGTCAACATGCAGAAGATCAACTGTCACTCCGAGTACTTTGCTCCAACAGTAGCGGCGCATAAGAACCTCACTACCTTTTTCTATCAACACCCTCTGTATACGACTGAAGAAGCTGCTGCTTCGAATGCCACAACTGCAAAGGTGGCAACAAACGACGCTATCACGGTGCAGCAAGAGAAGGTTGCATTTGATCTAAGCGTAAGACCCCATCAAAATTTATGATCATTCATCCGTCGCTAATAACCTCGACCATAGTATTCCGGAGACGCGAAAGACGCCGAAGCTTTCTGGGCGGAATGGGTAGAGAACAAGGATATATGCAGGCCAGAGGCATTGCTCCATCCGATATCAGGGCAGCTTTAGTCGTTTGTGTATTTTGTATTCGTCTGTGTCTTCGAGTTGTTTCTTCGTTCGGCATTGGGGATTATACGAGCCATTAGCATTTTGGAAGCACCTTCTTTGGAATCTTTAGGGTTAGGATACCAACATTATGATTTGTCATGCGTATTTGAATTCGAGCTATGTATTTTTAGATAGGATTTTATTTTGCTGAGTTTATGAAATTGGCAAAACCGAAAAGTATATTAGTTTTTATTATGATTGATAGAGCGTTCCCGTAATGTAATAGCCTAGCTTCCGTGATGCATTTAGAAATCGTTCATCGACGTGATAACCACCACCGACTTCCAGCTCAAGATCTATAGAACTAGTTCACCAAATTTCTTTCTGACGACAAGCACCCTCTACGAAATCCAGAGTCTACATCCCATAGCTTATAGCCCCGACGGATTTTCGATAACTCAGTTGGTTAAGCCTCCATAAGATGATGAAGCTCGAGCTTCCACTATCGGATTACGACCACCACTCTAGGACATCACCAATTATCAACTATACATACATATACTACAACCACAACCAAATGCATCGATCAACCACCCCTTCACTCCCTCTTCACTCTCACCGCCAGAGAAATATTTTCTTTAGCAAAGCCGGCGGGACATCCATGGAATCTCTAGCAAAGACGAGATTTCGTATAATTACATGCATCCCGAGAGCTAGCTAGCTAAATAGCCAACTAGATAGATCTAACTTCGCGCCCGACCTCTCGACCTACATTCCCACACCATCTCACTGGCTAGAAAAATAACCTCTGGGGTGCAATATATCAAGGAACCTAATCCATTGATGAATCTATAGGTACAATCGTGATCATCCAGAACGTATTCACATTGCCAACCTAGCTTCAACATCAACCACGACCCATCCAACAGGAGAGCACCCCCTCTCCCTCTTGCCCTCCGCTCACTTTCACAAAGATATCGATATCGACAGGATACTGAATTCAGGTACGTATTAAAGGTCCATTTATACCTCACTTCTTAAATTATATAGCTAGCAAGAGTAGTGGAACGAGCATACATCTCTCCTACCAAACCTATCTACACCCACTCACTCTACACCAGGAAAAACAGACACATTTATTTACCAACCTAACCAACCGCTCCCCTCGAGCATATATTACGCCTTCAAAACCTTCTATTCACATGGTGGGCTTGTTTGAAAGCAAAACAGGGGACGAGAAAGAAAGAAATAAATAAAAGAAACAAAAAACCCCTCGATCCATCGGTTATCATATACATGAAGAATCAAGGAGAAACCCGAGATCGGGGAAGAAGAAGAAGAAAGTAATAAATAGGAAAGCAAAGCTGAAGTAAGTAAAAGAAAAAAACCCTCATTCATCCAGATACATTATCATCACCTCTTGACGGTTGTCCGTGTACCACAACCAGAGGGGATTAGGAAGGGGTAGGAAAATAGAAGATACATTAATTATCGCCTGGATTCTCCATCGCCTGGAAAGCATTGATCTAAAAAGAACGGCAACAAAGAAGCAAGCTATTTGAACACGAAGAGGCATTTGAAAGAAAAGAAGAGTGTAAACCCAATAAAGGGGAGAGAAATCAGCTATGGCCCTTCAGAAATAAGAGCTAGCCGGTTTATAGTATGTCACACAAAGAAGAAAATTTGAAGAAAAAAAAGGGAAAAGGACACACGGCGTACAGTACACCCCTCAACAGAGTAAAAGGGAAACGCATGAACAAAACCCGCTAACAGCAAGAAATAATAGAGGAGATCTTGATAAATGAGCTGACTATCACAAGTAGATGTGACTGACAAGACGTCGGAGACAGTCAGCTGATGACGACTCAGGCATACAGGTGATCAGGAGAAGAAAAACGAGGTAAGATTGTTATCCTCTCATAAGATGCTATCGATGAGAAGAGAATCATAATGGAAAAGTGGGAAAGACAAAACGCCTATAAACTCCTAGTATATCGTGCTTCGGTGGGTATCCCATCATTAAAACTTTTTCCCCCATCTCTTAGAGAAGAAAAATATTGGCTGACTTTTTGTTGAAAGGATTAAGTTCTTAGGAAAGGAAAAGAAATTATCGTTCCTTCGAAGTTATGATGTTGAAACAATGATCGTGAGTGTTGAAACTTGGAAGGAGGGGAGATCGGCTAGCTTCATGGTGGTTGAATGGTCGAGGATTCTGTACGAGGGAGGAGGACCAAGGAAGGAATCGATTTATAAAATCGAAAACGGTATTGCTTCAAGGTGCTTAGTTAAGGAAGCCCTTACAACCGCTGGACCCACAAAGACAAGGTATGCGCTCCTCACTGTCGATTTCTCGTTCAAACTTATAATCGTATGTGAGTTCCTCATCTATTATCAAACAAGTTAGTATCCCTTCCCCCACAACAACTCATAAGACAGCAGTGCTTACCTTTATGAATATCCCGCAGCGCATAAATCACAATTCTCTTCGTTCCCTCGACCTTGATAATCTTAGCCGTACAGTTCGGAGTACAGCTATGATTGATGAACCTGGCAATGCCACCTTTCTTTGTCGCGTCAATGACGGTTGTTTCATCGATTCTGAACAGGTAACTGCTTCCAATACCGCTTCTGAGGTAATTCTTTTCTCTCAAGTCTGCAACCTGCTGTCTCACAATCTCACCAACATACTCGATGATCATTTCATTATTCGAGATGTTCTCCATAGCATATAGGCCCCAATTGTGTATAGCAGAGCGAGCGAATCGGACCGGCTTCTTCCGTTTCTTAAGCTGGTTGAAATTGATGACATCATGAACATCAACAGCTGCTAAAGTCTGCTTCTGCAGATTGACCTCCGCCGCGAGACGTCGATTGTTGGCGCGATTCGAGCGAGACGTATCCTTGACCACATTATTGACGATCGGCTGACTCTCCTTGTTCGCTAGAGACATATCCTTTGCTTTCGTTGCAGCTTCACGGTCTGCCTTCTGCTTAGCAAGTCGAAGTCGATGAGGCAGGTATTGTGCCTTCTCCGCGTCCGGAATCCTGCCCGATCCTTGCGTTCGAGCTGATCCAGTCGTGTTATCTTTGTGGTAGCCTTCATACTGGAAGCGCTTCTCTGTCGGGCCACGGACATCGAGATTCACAAACTTCATCTCCTTCTGTCGGTACGCCCATAGGTCCACACTTCCAAGGTCAGAAAGCTCCACGTTCCCGAGTGCGGCCTGGAGGAACTGAAGATCCTCATCGTCCTTAACAAGGCCTTGCAGACCGTCCAGATCCAGTACATAGGGTTCATCATCCACGAAAGTCCGCACAGGTTTCTCACTTTGGGTCGGTCGGGCCCATTCTGGCCAGCTATCACTCGGCCGAGCAACTGGAACAACAGCTGGTACCACCTCGTCCTCTTTGACATCTTCTATAACCTCGTCCTCAGACTCTACAACTTCCACAACTTCTTTCTTGCTCTTCTTCGCTGTTGACTTCTTTTTGCCAAGAGTGAGTTTTTTGGCTGGTCGCTTCTTTTTCTTCACTTTTGTCTTTTCGTCAGCAGTCTCAGTCAACGGTTCGTCATCAACTGCTAGCCGGGGCTTAGCGTCCTCGATGTGGAGATCATCGGTTTGGAGGCTCTTTAATGCCAGATCCTCGCGAGCCTGCGGAATGTCAGGTACGGGTACCAAGTCAACCTCATCTAGGTCCTCCTCATCTTCATCTTCGCTCGAAGAGATGACCAGTCGATGTTTACCCTTCGGTTGCGCCTCCACAACCTCAGACATTGCGTCATCCACGTCCATCTCATCAGGAACTGTATGAGCGTCATCCTCTTCCTCCTTTTCTTTCCTCTCTCTCTCTTCCTTCCTCTTCCTCGACATCTTCCTCAACAAATCTTCATCCTCTTCTTCATCCGAAGTAGCCGACATATCCATTGTCCGAGAGGACACGCTCCGAGGACCCCTCTTCTGCCTCTTCGGTGTCCCAGCATGGTGGGTAGACACGTCATCTTCATCCGAAGACAAGTACGCAGTACGACTAGCCGACCTGGTTGGGACATTTGAATCATCCTCATCCGAGTCATCCGATTCATACCGTCCAAGCCTATGATGGAGAGGTCTAACGTCTGCCACCTTGGTAACCCGTCGTTTAAGAGGGCTACCCCTGCTGGCAGAGGATTTAGCGGCGGCAGATCTTTCCTTCTTCTTAAACCGTGGCAGTGATGCCAACCGGCTAGCAAGCGTCGGTGCTGGTTGATCTTCTTTCAGAGAAGGGCTCTGTGCCGCGATATGGTGCATCGGGGAGTAAGGAAGCGGGGCTTTAAAGGCGGGGGCAGTATCGTTCGGTTTCTGGCGTTTCGACCTGTGTGCATCAGCTCCATCATAAATCGTTGGCGCGGACACCCGTTTCTTCAGGTCCTGGATCATCATCGTCCGAAGATCCACACCGAGCAGGTTCATCGAGCTAGTACCAGCATGGTACACAACCTTCTTGCGAACTTCCTTTTCTTTCTCTTTCGGCTTGTCATCCCTACCCGGGCGATAGCTGTCTCCATCGAATGGCCTTTGTCGCGGCCGAGATGTTGAGCGTGATTCACCTCGTCCGTTTTGGCCCTTATGGATCTCCATCTCCATGACATAGGAGAACAAAGGCATGCCATCGCACATATCGAAACATCTTTCGGCTTCCGAAAACCTTGCGAACCGAATGAAAAACCCAGAGTCATCGACTACGATTCTATCCCACTCGTATCTCCGGAGTCGGCCTCGCAAATGAACAACAAATTTCTCGTCCGCCGGTATCGATTTTGCTGATATGAAAAGGTATGGATTATCACCAATCTGTTCGCGGGTTTTGGGAGAAATACGCCTTTCGATGACCTCTGCAGGTTTAGTTCGGCTTGCCGACCGACCTTTCCGAGATGTCGATCTACTCCGGCTCTCAGTTTTTTTCGTTTCCCGTACCGGCGTCCGACTTCTCGAGGTGCTCCGATCCCGCCTAGATGATTTATCTCGCTGTTGGGGTGGCTGTTGCTGTTGCTGTTGTGGAGCTGGCGGTGGGGGTGGAGGACTAGCAGGCTTCGCGGCAGCAAGCATACTCGACGGAGCCTTCGGGGCCAGATTTCGAATTTTTGCTTCCCGAGCAGCATCATCCGCATCCTTTTTCTTCTTGGCCAAGTACTTTTCCATCAACCTCCGACTTCGATCACCATCTCTATCGAACTCCACAGTCACAATCGACATGCCGATCTTCGATTTGTTACCACTTGCAACTGCCCGTTTCGCACTTTCATGCGCCGAAGCCTTACGACCGTTCACTTCACGATACCTTACCATTGCCACACCCATTGATGCTCCAGTCGTCGGATCGAGTTTGATTTCGAGCTCGGCGATCTCGCCATACATCCTAAAATGCATATGCACGTCTTGCTGTGTATGCAATGGAGTTAGTCCCGAGATAGCGATTTGGGTAGGAGGCCCAGGACCGATGGTATTCTCGTCGGTGGGCCAATGGAGCTCGTAAGGTGATTTGCGAAGTCGCCGTTTACCCTTGGTTGCGCCTAGGTGGTAATTTGCGATTTTGAGACGAGGGTCGGAGACCAGACCTGGTAACTAAATGCATACAAAGGGGTGAAAATTAGTATATCCACACCGTATGGGCCGTTTTGGGGAGGGTTTCCGTTTATGAGCTCCCCCGGTTTCAATTGAACGACAGAGTAGGAGACTTACACCACTGCCGTCGAAGCGATATTGAGGTTTCGCCTTTTCGGACTTTTTTGTGGAACCACGACCTTCGAGCTCGGGATCGAAAACAATGCAATAGTTCCGTTTCGGTAACATCGGTTTCACGTAAATTTTTGGTCCAGAGGAAGATGCAGGTCTCCGGGAAGAATTGGTATAGCTATCGATAGCTGTTGGAACCGGAGATTTGACCGGAAGATTAGTAGCAGAGGCAGAGAGCGAGGTCCGCGTGACTTCATTCTTCACAGAATTTTCCGGGCTCGAAGGTCTCGGGGGCGGAGAAGAGGTGGTGGTCACGGGGGTAAGGGTGTGGGTGTTGTGGAAGGGGGGACCAGAAGATGACGACCCGTTGCTAGCGAGCGAGGAGGTCTCCCCACCAGAAGCAGGAGCAGACGAAGACGAAAGCTCACCAGCATCGTAATCATCAGTAGGAGTAGGGATGGCGATAGCCTGGATCACAGCCGTAGCGGTGGATGAAGTGGAAGAAGAGTGCACATGATGATTAGATATGGTAGTAGTAGTAGCGGTAATGGTAGATGTAGATGTAGATGTAACAGATGTAAGACAGGAATCCTTGACATGATTGAGTGATGACAAGCTATTGTTCCGAGACTTGTGAGCTGACAAAGGAGGAGATGTCGAAGGAGTTTGAGACGAAAGTGCAGCTGCAGCCTTGTCTTTCTCCTTCAACGCCGACGGTCTGTCGGGGAAGAAGTCCGCGAAGCCCGCCGTGCGCGACGACATGGTCCGCCAAACCCTTCTTACCTAGACTAGAACCGTCGGGAACATGAAAAGGAAAATGCCCGAATTGTTTCGAAGCTGAAGGACGTTCTTAAGAAACGGAGCGGGTAGACAATTCGGTCTGAAGAGACAAGGGTACGGTGGTGTTTTGGATGATGATGATGATGGTGGTGATGATGGTGGTGATGATGGTGGTGATTGATGTTGGTGGTGGTGGTAGTTGTGGAATGGGTTTTCGGGCGAATTGGAGAAAAATAGAAAAGATGAGATGGGGAGAGGTCGGGTTTGTGTTTGGCAGCTTTTCCAGGGGTCCGAATCTTGCCTCTTCTTCTTCCAACTTCAACGAACGACACAAACAACAGAAAGAACGACACGACGAGGATAATACTGGAAAGGAGAAGAGTAATGACAATGACGATGATTCGTGATGGTATAGTTGGCGTGAAGAATTAAGGAACCTGGCTTCTTCTCCTTCTTCTTCTCCGTCTTCTGTCTTCCTGCACGTTGGTTGGTCCCGTCCGGTGCGTTTAGGTTTTTTTTTTTTTTTTTTTTTTTTCTTCCTCGCTCTGATTCGCCTGAGCGACTTTGCTTTTTGCCGAATTTCAACCTGTTCGAAAAATTTCCGGACGAACGAAGGAAGGAGGGACCAACTTGCAACCTGCAACTGTATGTAACTGCAACTACACCAGTTGGCGTCAACTTGACGGAAGACGAGCGAAAGAACCCACTGCTCCCGCTGGCGAAAACCGAATCGAAGAAAAAAAAGGAAAATGAAAGATAGGCGGTGATGTCCGGCGGGAAAAGGGAAACAAAAAACAAAGGTTGAAGATCAGAAAATGTCGGGGAGAGGTTCCTCCTCACTTTTAAGCAGAATATAGGATCCCAGTTCCTCGTCTGCAGCTGTCACGAGGGAAGGATGGAGGGATGGATGGAGGGTCAACCAGTCCTAAGCTTCCTCAATTGTCCATTCCAAGATACAGAGCGGAACAACCGATAATCTGAGTTTGCTATACTATACGTAAAACAGTTGGAAGATGTCGGAATGCTCAAGAAATATAACGAGGATATAACTCCGTATGTCGAGATGTGTCTAGAAAGAGATGAAAAAAAAATACCGGGGTATGAGGTACTGAGGTGGTAATAGTAGAAGGGATACCAAAAACGGGAACGAGGAACAATGTTGGGAATGTATTCCGTGTAACTGCAGGTAGCTGCTCTCCTGTCAGACCGTTATTCTCGTCCTTATTCTTCTTGTTCTTCTCCGGCCGGTTCGCTCGAAAATATCGTGAGGAGGTATGTATACGGCCGTTAATCGCGGGGAGCCGGGAGTTGTAAGTGTAAATGTAAAGGATAAGTCAGTACACCGCGCCGGTGGTATATCTCGTCCGACCAAGCCAAGCAATTGTAAGCTTAATACAATTCTCGTGTATATGCGAAATCCGAAAAGAATGGTTTGAGATATAACGTTTTAAGATATTTTTTGTTTCCGCGGTCGGATATTAAGCTTTTTTGTCTGGGGAAAAAAACTAAATGAAGAAGAAAGAGAAGATGGAAGAGAAGGCAGAGAGAAAAAAGTCAGCAGCTGCACATTGCATTACATTAGATTAGGTGCTCTGGGGTTTGCAACTGTTGTTCGGCAGAACGGCTGGTTGGTGCGCAAACATCGCGCAATGAAACGGGTTTCGAGGGGTTGTACGGGGAAGTACCAATTATACCGGATGGAGGAATATATCGTGACTTCGAATTAATTTCCCAATATGGTCGACCGGCAAGAACACCTATCAAAAAACTACTTGAGTACGTCTACAAAAGAAAGAAAAAGCTAGAAATTTTAAGAGAAGATCCGTTCTTTGAAATTTTATAAAAGGGAGGAAAAAAATAAAATATTAAACTACACCCCCTCTCCAGTTCCTCCCGTTCACGCGATTTTCCCTTTTGGAACCGGAGTGTAAAATATCGACAGGTACCGATGCAGTCACGCTAGCAAACCAGCGTCATGAGGGAAGGGCGTGTATGTAAAGTATGCAGCTAATTTCTATTCTTGTGATTGCTTAAAAAGTTCGCGGATTGGACGGTGTGTGTGTGCGGCAACCTCGACGACCGGCGCGACCCATGGCTATGGTGGGCTGCAGGGGTGTATGATATGTAATGTACTGTGTAAGAAGTAGGTACTATGTATATGTAATATACTGTACATACGTTTCAACTTCCTTTTTTTTTTCATGTCCTTTTATATTGTATCTGCAGATGAGTAACTGGATACATGTATGGTACATGCACATTACTTTTCAACATCAGCGGCACATGATGTTTTCTTCAGCCTTGCAGTGGATTCGATAGGCTGCTTAAGTATAGGCACGCAATTAAGGAACCTCAAAGCTCCAAGCTTTAATGCTTATACGCCCGAACTAGCGCCGCATGATCCTGATACTCAAGTTAGCATCATATGCATGTTTTCGCATTTATGTAATTTATATCAGCGTTTCTGTTGGGCTTGAGGATCATGAATAGGCCTGGCCAGTTACTTCGAAGTATCAAAAATGTATACTCGTACCTGTATATATCTCTGATCTCATCCTGCAGCAGGCCTGTACAACCACGTTTTTTTTTTTTTTTTGTTCCTTCGGGCAAGTTGATTACCTATCCAAGCTGTGGTCCGAGGTCCGACAGTGGAATCCGCCACACGGTTCGGGAAGTCCGAACCAATCGAGCAGCTATTAGAATCCTCGAGGATCTCCAGCCTCATTTTTGAGCTTCACAGCCACACTATAGAAAATTATGTTATAGAATGAGGCTTTGTACTTACATTACAACTGTGTGAGAATGAATAGTCATTACAAGGACACAAGTTCATGCATTATTATGAGGCTGGCCTGGCATATTGGGAAACAACAATAATAATAATTTTGCAATTCATTTGATAATTGACCCGAAACTAATTCAATTTCTGAGGGGTATCGAATTATGTTGTCAAATGTGCAATTGGTTACAAGACTGTCCACCGTTGAGCCAATAAATTATAGCTGACACGAGCGGATACAACGCACAAAATACAACGTGGATACCATGGTGGCAGTTCTGTCTCGAGGCCAGAATGCGTGAACATCATGTTTATAAGATCACATGACGACTTTGACTGCCAGAACTTAACACGACGACGAAATCCGCGGGCGCCAGAGTTTTTGTTCCCAATCAATTCAATCAGTCAAAGTGATCATGTGACTGTCAACCATGATAGGTCAGTCATGTGACCATTTTGATTGCCATAACTCCATTGCCATAACTCCAGCTAACTTTTCAAGTAGTATTTGGGATTTCAAGTAGTACTTGGGAAGAGAGGATGGAGCTGAGACGGTCTCGACGTTTCTATAATTAGAAAAAAAGGTGGAACGAAATGCTGGAGATTATGCCTGCCACATTCAAGCAACCAAAATAGTCATGTGATTAGTATCCCCCCCTTTATATGTCCATAAAATATCACATAATCATTTGATCGTCTGAACTGTCTCCCTAGAAACCGGATTTCCATACCCTTATTCATTAACATCGATCACATGACCACTTTGATGGCTGAAACGGTCCGTACCCAGCGTAAAACAGGACAATTCTACCTTTGAAATTGATCACATGACTTCATGGGTTTTGGCGGAGGTCCCGCGTGCTCCCAAATACCCAAGCCGAGACTACCCAAGTAGTATTTAGCTTCACACTATATAAAAACATTCCAGGTTGTTGCCTTCGTGAATTCAAAAATTGCATTTCTTATTTTAGTAACAAGTAAAGGCTAGAATACATCTTAGTGATGGAACAATCTTGTGCTCTGCTCGACAAAAGTGATTCCACACTGTTCAGCTGCATCCTGAACAACCTTGTCGTTGACTGATCCTCCCGGTGCAGCGAGGTACTTGACTCCCGACTTTGCAGCCCTGTAGACGTTGTCCGAGAATGGGAACTACACACACACACACACACACACAGTTAGAATTTCCATTTTTGTGAAGAGAAAGAACAAGAATAAAAAAATGATATAGAAGAAAAGAACTTACGAAAGCATCACTGGAGCAAGCAACGCCGTCCAACTGCGCCATCCATTCCTTCCTCTCCTCCTTCGAGAAAGCCTCTGGAACTTCCTCGAACACACCTTCAAATGCAACCTTCTCCGGTCCATCCTCGGGGATTTGTCCAGTGACCAACAAATCAATCGCATTGCTCTTCTCTGGCCTCTTTGTGCTCTTCTTCCACTTCAATGCCAAAACTCTGGGGTTCTGTCTCATCCACCAGTTGTCAACCTTATCACCCGCGAGACGGGTACAATGGATACGACTCTGTTGACCGGCACCGAGACCAACAACCATACCGTTCTTGGCATAGCAGACGGAGTTCGATTGGGTGAACTTGAGAGCGATAGTGGCGACGGTAAGGTCGATGAGGGCGGACTCCGGGAGGGGTTCGGCGTTGGGCGTGTGGATGTTAGAGAAAGTTCGAGAGGTGATTTTAACATCGTTACGCTGCTGGGAGAGGGTGACACCGTAAACAGTACGGGTTTCGACGGGACCGGGCTAATGCTAGTTAGTCATAAATGTAGACAAATATAACGGGAAGATTTTTTCCATACAATATAGGACTCATCGATCTCTAGGATTGTGTATTTACCGCCTTTCTTGGCCTTCAAGATCTGGAGGGCTTCGGGTGTATATCCTGGAGCAATGATACCATCGCTGACTTCCCTGTTGATAATCTTGGCGGTTGGGAGGTCAACTTCGTCACTTATCGCGATCCAATCACCGAAACTGCTCATTCGGTCTGCTCCTCTAGCTCTGGCGTAAGCGGTTGCGACCTTGCTTTCGTCGATTCCAACAATGTCATCGACGAAGTAGACTTTCTTTTCAACATCGCTTAGTGGGACACCAACTGCCGCACCAGCTGGGGAAACGTGCTTGAAAGAAGCGGCGGCGGGAAGACCCAAGCTTTGCTTAAGCTCCTTGACGAGCGGCCAGGCATTCAAAGCGTCGAGAAGATTGATATATCCCGGTGCACCGGCAAGAACCTTGAATGGGAGGTTTCCAAGAGGAGTGTAGGCCTGAGCAGGCTTCTGGTGTGGATTTGCGCCGTAACGGAGAGTAAGTTGCTGAACACCATTACCGGCGTACTTCTTCCTGAAGAACTCGGAGATAGCGGCATCGTAGTCGGCAGTGTGTTCGAATGCCTTCAAAGCATACTGCTTGCGGCTGGACTCCTGGACTCCGCCTTGGGAATGAAGCTCCTCGAGGAAAGCAGGGTAGTCCCTTGGATCGGAGAGAATAGTGACGCGAGAGTGGTTTTTGGCAGCGGCACGGATGAGAGTGACTCCACCAATATCAATTTCCTCAACGGCTTCTTCAATGGTAACATTGATCTTATTGATTGTTTCCTTGAAAGGGTAAAGGTTGCAGACTACAAAGTCGACCTTGTCGATTCCCTGCTCCTGGAGATCTCGGTCGTCGGATTCGAGGTCTCGGGCGAGGATTCCGGCGTGAACTGTGGGGTGAAGGGTCTTGACACGGCCACCGAGCATCTCCGGGGCGTGAGTGATAGCGGAAACATCCCTACGTATGACGTCGTTAGAAGATTGAACTGAACAAGTTGGTGAAAAGACGTATCATATCCTACTCGACATCGAAGCCGGCCTCACGGATCATTCGAGCAGTACCACCACTGGCCAGTAGGCGGATACCATTGTCTCGAAGACCTTTAGTGAGGTCGAGGAGACCGGTTTTGTCATAGACGGAGAGGATTGCTGTCGCGTTCTGATGTTAGCAGGTACCCGTATTACCGGCAGTGCCTTCCAACCACCAACTACCAATGCAACGTTACAAATAAACAATAAGAAGCAAAGCCAACGAAAGAAATAAAGATGTTGCTATATCTCTTTGATCTGTTTTATACATAAAGAATGCTTTCTTTCTTTCTTTATTTTTGTTAAACGGAATGGAATGGCGGGGGAAAGAAGGCTCCTTCCGTTATAAGCCTTGGAGGGGCAGCTGGAATGTACGCAATGGAAGCGTATGGTGGGGCAGCATCATCAATGCAAAAAAACACAACCGAAAGAGGGGCATCGTCGGACACCAAAACTGAAAAATGGGATTCGAAAGAGAGAAAAACAAGAATCAATGGGATACTAACCGGTCCTCGGCCTCTGTTCTACTGTTTCGCCTTCTGTGCTCATTTCGGTGGTTGTTTCAACGACGCAACTTGCAATTCGGTTGATTCTTGGGTTCTTAAAACTCGGAATTGAAACGTTAACGTTGGATTCTGAAGCCTAAATTTAAGATCCACTAGGAGGTATATATTTGTAAACCTACTACTTAATAGCAATTAAAGCTGGGTGAACGTGAGAAAAGAGAGAAAAACAGCGAAAGGAACAAAAAAAACCAGCCGGTGCGAAACTGCAGCTATTAGTTCGTGCAATTGAATGAATTCGAGACGAAAAAGAAGACAAAGCTAGGAAGAATTTTCTTATTTGGAAAAAATACGATGGGATCAATCACATCGGCTGTTATACGACCCCCTGCGCCCTCAGATCTCCGGACCCGCTAAACAAAAATTCCTGTGGCGCCCCGCACTGGTTTGAATTCGAAGCGATTCGCCCGGAGCAGCTCTGGCTCCGAGACTAATTAATATTAATTCGCCCACGAGGACAAGTTTAGCAAGGGAATTAACATTTATAATAAGTATAAAACCCTCGATAGTATAGCTATAGAACATATAACAATAGTAGTAGAACCGGCTAGTTCAAGCGGAATAACAACAAAAGCAATAAAACAGATACAGCCGTAGTCTTCACCATAAACTATGCCGACTAGCTAAGGGATCGATATCGCGATATCGGGCGGTACCGCGGTGTTCAACTTATGACCCGCTTGTCACCTTCCGAGAAATCAAAGTTTTGTGGTTCTGCGGCCGGATCTTTCCTTCTGGCTAACCTCATGCCCTTTACTAGGTGTTTATGGGATCCAGGACTTCGGACTTCGGACTTTTAAAAATTAGAGTGTTTAAAGCAAGCCTTTGCTCGAATAAATTAGCATGGAATGGTAGAATAGAACGGCGGTTCTATTTTGTTGGGAGCTCTATAAAGTTAACATTAACTAACCTCCCGAGTGAAAATGCATGGACCACCGCCATTATCACGACTGCTACTTCGCCCTTCATAATAAAGGATCCGCTTGGAAGCTCTGCCTCGCTATTGAGAGTGATATAAGAGGTCCAAGAAGCAATAAAAATGGCCAGAAGAATAATATTGATAAAAATGCGGTGTCATGAGCCGTAGGCCTAAAAACCCGAAGTTCCTCGGGCCATACCACCATTTGCTGTATTGTCGCGTTCTCCGGTAGTAATACCAGAACTATTCTTTAATAGGGAAGATCGAATATATATATATACCGGTATATTGTATTCGGTTCGATGTATCTAGATCTATTGAGGGGAGGATGGTTATGATTGTAAGTTTTTATAGGTATTATTACCTAGATGTTGTTCGATTTATACCCGACTATCAATATTTATACGCCGGTCATTAATATCATAATCTGTAGGAGATAACCAACTATAACTTCGATACTGAGCTTAAGCGCTTAGGAAACCAGGTATATATATCCTCTGCGAGTTAGCCAACTGGTCATAAATACTAGTCAATTATAACCCAACCGGTCGCTCGAATCAGCCATTCGATATCGGAAGGTCCAAATATAACCGCTATATATATAGGGATTAGAAGACATTGCGCCGTAATCAGGATCTTGACTATATAACATAACCAAGTAGAATAATAGTTATCATTTATTCTAAAACCTGGGATGTGATCGATGACCTCACGCCGGTTGGCCTGTTCGAAAAGAAATTAATATATTAAACAAGACCATGAAAATTAGAAAATTAAAAATAATACAACCATGCATCTAGGAAGGAAAATGCAGTTTCGCAACTACATAAGCGCGAAGCAATAAAACCCAACTAACTGGATATGAATATGGCCCATGCCTCGAGCTCATGCAGCCTGGGCGCCCCGGGAAGGTTTAGTTAGATCTGGACTGCATCGATGTATACCCAAGTACTTACTTAAATATATCGATATCTGAAATGCCCGCTCCGGTATCGGTTAAGTACCTAAGTAGGTAAGCATGAAGGTACACACATCCAAAAGTACAACATCCAACGCATTAGATATATAAGTACTTACCTATTACCTGGAGTACCTAGTATCCAACAGAATGGTCTTATTAAGTTCTAGAGTTGGTCTGAGCTCGCGCCCGTCTTGCCTCCAGACCGGTCTCGGTGTAGTCTTAGGGCGTTACTACAACAGACTTAATTAACTTTGAAACTTAAGATGAGTACACGAGTTAACTTCTTTTGCACGTATGCATATATGAATATACTCACCTACAATTGTACAACGGTGTATGAATATACTTCATGACAGCCCAGTTGGTTATGTCAAAGCTGCACCTAGTATCATATCCTGAGGCCAATGTCAAAGGCCAAATATACACTGATCCAGTTTATATGTATATATATTAGTACTATTCCTCGGATCCGGTCAATTGGACCCAGAGGCATTCTACAGCCATAACTTTATTAACGTTTGGTCCACAAAACAAAACTCTCAATAGTCTACTTGAGATGGATGACTGAGAGCCACCCAAACGAATTCAGCACCCGTCTAACAACTAGACTAAGCCTTCAATATTCTTTGTGTTTGGATTTACGTATGCAATCTAGTCATCCATATATGTATAGAGTCATATATACTCCTCTTAGTGTGCGTATATATATACATACTAATCCACATGTTAAAGAAACTTGTAGGCCGGTAGATATATTACTAGCTAGCTCCATCGAAGCGCGCGAGTAGTATCCTGAATCATGGTCTTCCGTCCTTCTGAGAGTTTTCATCATGGGCGCCCCAAATTCTTCGTTACTTTACTTTCCTTAACTACCATATCGGTAGTCGTCTCATCACCAGTTTTACATACAAGCCGTACGGGTTCAGATCTATCAACATCAGCTCTAAACGTTTCAAAGACCTTAATATACTCGACCACGCCTACCTTACTTGCAAACAAACTCGTATCCGGAACGTCAGCCTGCCAACCTACCGGCTCGAAAATTATCCCGCACATAGCTTATAAACATCGTACAGGACAAGCAGTAGATACTAGTACTGCTACGGATAAGGGTGCCCAAATAAGCGCCGTATCTTCAGGAGAGCTAGTGAGATCTCCAAGCGCTAGCACTATACTCACTGCTGCTGCCACGGCAAGCTTGGCTAGTGCAACAGAAACGGAGATTTCAGCCTTTGGTCTCGAAACTGCGCCTAACAATTATAAACGTGTTCTCTCGCCAAGTTTGTTCTACGAAGAAGGAATAATGAAAGTCGAATGTCCTGGAAATCAGGATATCATAGATCGAGTTGTTCGACCTTTCTTTGAGGGCGGTGTAACACCGAAATTTAAGGTTGACGTTACTATGAAATGGCCTGCGGAAACAACTTCTCTTCGCCGTAATCATTTGGGTCGAGGGTCTCCAGCAGGAGATGAAACTTTTCGCACGGCTATATCGAGATTGACACGGACGTGCCGGAGGTGTCTTTGTGATCATGAAACAGGAATAATAATACATAGGAGTGCGGATAATATGTTTCGAACGAAAAAAGGGACGGTGGAGGGTGCCCCGAGCTGTATAAAGAAGTCAAGAGCGGAATTTTGTTCGCTGTTCTTAGGTGAGACGACCCATTCGCAGTTTAGTAGATAAGATGTACCTGATTTGAGCTTGATCTATATGTGTTAAATACCCTGACTTTAAAGGCTTCTTTCTTCTAATCCGTCGATATTGATACTGTGGATATAGGTTGCTATTGTACCGCGTTCCTAGTGAGTGATTACAATGACTTAAGTGAAGAGTCAAGAAACGCAATATCGCAACACCCAATTGCTGAATTGCAGGATGCAATTAATCGAATTCCAGGGGGCGTTCGGGTCGACAACCCTGGTTGGTTGTTCCTGTTTGGTGACGGACTAGATATTGTCCAAGATTCTTTTCGAGTTGAAGATATGGCCGCGCAATCAACGGGTTATACTTTTGAAGACGAAGACGACGATGTTGACCCTTCTGAATGGGAGCCGGATGAGTTTTTATTCGGGCCAGATCAATTCGATGAATACGGTAATTTGGTTGCACTTGGGGGGCCTGAGTGGGCTCACAAGACTAGCGATAATGTAGGTAAGGGTAAAGGTAGAGCCGCAGACCCTGATACTTATAACGATGGGGCTGGGAAATTCTCTTTTAATTATTGGAATTTCCCTCCGTCACGTTGGAACGGCGGGTTCGGGCCCGGTGGGGAAGGCCCATCCTCGGGAGGTGTTTTCAAGCGAGGGCTTGAGACTTTACCGCAGAGGCAGGGTGACATTGTTGATAGTGATATCGAAGTGGAGCGGGAAGTAGCGCATCTTGAAGGGTCGGGGGATCTAGAGGTATTGGCGTAATGTTTAACTCCCTTATTAATATAATAGTTGTTTTTGGATATATATATATACCCATTTTAGCTTTTAGGTCTGGGTGTTGTACAACCATTTTATTGTTTGCTTGGTTTCCTTCCTTCATTCCTTTATTCCCGTTTGATTTAGGTTCATAGTTCGTATCAGTAAGTACGTATGTATCTATGTTTGTGTGTATGTATGTTGAGATATCAAAGCCCCTTTGCCTCTTCTTTTTCCTTCTTTTTATAAATTTCGGTAGATATGTTTTCTCTCCCCGGCTGGCAGCTTACTGACTTCACTGCCTATATTTTGCGGCTTGTACGTACCGATTTGATACACTTCATGTGGGCTGCAATACGGGACTACTAATACATACGGTATGTACATATGTATAGTATTTATAGCATAGCATAGTATAGTACTAGTAGCAGTCAATCAGGTAGACTCGAATCCGGGCGCTCTTCTCTTAATTACTTACCAGTGTAGTACCGATCGATCATTAGCTTTCTGAGTCGCCTGTGACTTTAGGCCTGCTCATAGGAGGACCTGTAGATACCAAATACACATATATATATATATATTTGATATCCCGGATTTAAGTATCATACTCGAAGTTGAAGTTCTAGCGTTTGAGAGACATTTGATTGATTCGGCGTTATATACATACTATTCAGTATCAACTAGGGAGTATGGCATTAGAAGCACTAAGGTTATATCGCTCGAATTAGTTTAAGAATACTACCTTGATGCATACGAAGTATAAGCTTATAGATAAGGGACTTTATGGCACCTTTGTGGTTTATTTTGCGTTGGCTAATCCAGCCCGGGCCATCCAACCTGCGGTGCCAAGACTTGGATTAGCCGTCCCGTTCTGTCCTGTGCCTTCCGCTTTGGTTTGGCTGCCTGCTTCGGGGCCTCGTAATTGTAAGTACCAAGTACCATACCACTCCCTAACAACTCCTCATCTCCATCCCATCATCATCACCACCACCTCGTCACTGCCTCCTTCCACCCATCTACGAATGAGCACAGCCTTAACGGCTTCGTGGATTTCTCATTTTATATTAGTTTCTGCCTTTGTTTCCTTGTTTTTGCCTGTCCACGCGTCCTTATCAGCTCTTATATCTGCATTGTAACAAGCATCCATAATCCCTCCCTATATCTCACCCCCCTTCTCCTCTGACTTCTAACAATCCCACCTTCTATACCATCTGATAGACTTGGTTCGAAATAAATAAAACCCTCCCTTCACAATGTATGGCAATCCAGGCCAGTATGGCCAACAGCCGAACCAGCAGCAGCAGTACGGTCAAGGCCAATATCAGCAGCAGCAGCAGCAGCAGCAATATGGTGGAGGCCTCGGTGTCCCGGGTCAGCTACCCCCTCAGCAGACGGGGTATCAGGGCGGATTCATACCTCAACCTACCGGCTATAGCAATCCTCAGATGCCATTGAGTGCACAATACACCGGCTTCATCCCTCAACCGACAGGAGTCCCGGGCGTCCCGGGTGTCCCAGGGGGTTTTGGAAATGTCCCTCCGGTCCCTCAGATGCCGAGCCAATTCCAGCAGCAGCAGCAATCTCAGCTGTCGCCGCAAACACCGACAGCTCCTACTCCTACGCCTGGTGCATCGTCATCTACGGGGAAGGCTCAAGTCAAGATTCCAAACATCCGCCTAACCTTCATCACAGCAGCCGATCAAGCCAAGTTTGAGCAGTTGTTCAAAGCCGGTGTCCAAGATGGCCAGGCTCTCTCCGGAAACACCGCCAAAGAAATACTTCTCCGCTCCGGCCTTCCTGGTTCAATTTTGGAGACTATTTGGGGTCTCTCCGATACTACAAAGTCCGGTCATCTTATGTTCCCCGAATTCGCTGTGGCAATGTGGCTCTGTAACGTCGCAAGATCCGGCCAATCACTTCCATCGACTCTCCCTGAGAAGATCTTGAATGAAGTCTCCAGCATGGTTGATATAATCTCCTTTGCCATTCCAGACACAGTTCCCGACGAACCGAGACGAACCAACGTACCCAAGTTCTCAGCCTCGCCCGTACCGACTCCACCTCCCCAACCTGAACGGAGTATTACAATTTCGCCACCAGCTCCTCAGCAGCAACAGCAAACCCAACAATCAAACCTAGCAGCATTGAGCCAGCTGCAAATATCATCACAACCAACGGGCTTGCCGCCTCAGCCTTCTGGCTTCCAACAAAATACTGGTTTACTCCCTTCAATTAACCTCAACCCACAAATAACTGGCTATCAACAAACCGGTAGCATAGGCCGTGCCGCGGGAAGCAGTTTTCTCAACCCTAGTGTCCCGTCAATTCCCTCCCAGTTCACTAGCAATCTCAGTCCCGGCAACACCCTCTCCGCGCTCCAGGCCCAGCCCACGGGTCGCCCAGGCCAATGGGGTTTCGTAAATGCTCCCGCTGGAGGTTTACCTGGCATAGAAGCTCTTGGGGCTCGTATGATGCCCAATGCTGGGGGACACCAAGGTGGCTTCACAACTACTGGTTTAACGGGAAACGCTAAGATCCCTTGGGCAATCACTAAGGATGAAAAATCAATCTACGACAATATCTTTAGCGCTTGGGATGGTCTTAAAAAGGGGTTCATCGCCGGCTCCCAGGCTATCGAGATTTTCAGTCAGTCCGGTGTAGATAGAGGTGATTTGGAGCGAGTCTGGACGTTATCTGACCCGGGGAACAAGGGGCGCCTCGATCGTGACGAGTTCGCGGTTGCAATGCACTTAATTTATCGAAAGCTACAGGGAAATGAGGTACCAGCGCGACTTCCACCAGAACTCATTCCACCATCTACACGAGGTTTCACGGATTCCGTCAATACTGTCAAGAATTACTTGAAGGCAGATGCTGAAGTTAGAAGGACTACGGGAGCGAACTTGTTACCTCAAGCTACTGGCGTTAGTATGATGAAGAATCGGTCTTTCAAGTCCGGTGGCGTTCAGGAAGTCAGGAAAGATGCGACCTTGTTTAGGAATAATGACGATGAAGTAGGGTACCAGAGTAGCGCTCGTAGACGAATTGGTGGTGGCGGCAGGACGCCGTCGCCTGCCCCGCCGAGCGAGGAGCTTACTGTCGACCAGCTAAAGAAGAAAGTTAGAGAGAAGCAGATTTTGTTGGATGCCATTGATATCAAAGATGAAGACCAGAACGAGGAGGATGCAGTACTCGATCGACGGGATAGACGTGATGCCGACGATCTGTATAGGAGGGTTAGGAGGGTGCAAGAGGATATCGATGCACATCCCAATGCGGGACTCCGAAGTGCCGATGCTGGTGCGGAGAAGAGGCAGTTAAAGAGGCAGCTTCAAAATCTGACTGATAGATTACCCGATCTTGCTTCGAAGATTAGGAAGGCAGAGAGGGGAATTATGGAGACCAAGTTGGAGTTGTTCAGGTTGAAGGATGCGAAGGCTTTCCCGGATTCCTCGGCGCATATCATTGGTACTGGTCCTGGAGGAACGATTACAGAATCAGATCGATCGAAGGCTAGGGCTAGGGCTAGGATGCAGGCCAGGATGGCGGAGTTGACGGGTAAGCCAGCGCCTGTTGATGCCAGCGGTCGTGGTGAGGAAGAGGCTGCCAGGAGATTAGCAGATGAGACAAATAGAGCTAGGGATGAGAAGGAGCGATTTGAGAGAATGATTAGGGACATTGAAGACACGAGTGAAGAGCTGAAAACCTCAATCGAGGATACTCTGCGCGGTGGCGATGGTGTCGAGAGTTCGTCTTCGAATGAACACGAGAAGAGACGGTGGGAGGAGGGCTTAGGAGTTGAAGAGGAGGTTAGGGACTTCATTTATGAACTTGAGAGGTCGAGTAAGAACAATAGGAGCAGCAGGCGTGAAGTGGTGGATGACAGGCGACCGACCCCTAAGTATGCTATTGAAGACCGAAGCACAAGGGATGCAAGCCCTCCATCTAGATCTGCGACTCCCAGAGCATCAGATTACTCACGAGGGGGTTCTTCCGTGGTGGAGGATCGTGCAGCGAGAATCAAACGCCAAGCCGAAGAGAGAATGGCAGCGAAGATGGCAGAATTTGGAATCGCACGATCCTCTTCGCCGCTGGAATCCAAGGCACAACGGCTTGAAAGGGAGAAGAAGGAGAGAGAAGAAAAGAGAAAACAAGCCGATGAAGAAGCTGCGAAACGGGAAGAGGAAAGGCAAAAGAAGCTTGCTGCGGACTTCGGACCACCTATCGTCGAGGCCAAGAAACCACCACCACCAGCTCCACGAGCAAAGCCTGCGCCGCCAAAACCAGATAGCGCAAGATTAGCACAGGAGGAGACACAGAGGAGAGAGCAAGAGGAGCAGGAAGCTGAGAGATTGAGATTAGAGTATGTTAAACATTACATATATGGCCATATCGGTAGTATTCGACTGCTAACCAAATGTGAATTAGGGAGGAGGAACGTCGAGAAGAAGAGGAGATTCTTAGGCAACAACAGGAGGCTCGTGATCGTATTAAGGCCCTAGAACAGCAAGGGCAGCAGGAGAAGATGAGGAAGGCCGAAGCTGCGAAGAAGAAGGCAACAAACGATGAACGGGCGAAGAGACTTGCCGCGATGAGGGCAGAGCTCGAGAGAGCTGAGGCAGAGGAGAGGTGCGTATTTCTAGTTGCGCTGCGGCTAGAGAAAATTGCTTACATTCTTCAAATAGACGATTGCGCGAACAACAGCAACCAGAAGAGGAATCTTCCTCTGATGATGAAGGTCCACAGCAGATCACACCAACAAAGGAAAAACCAGAAGATTCCTGGAATGCGCCGCCTCCAAAGGTTGCATCACCTCCACCCCCAGCGCCGCCTGTCGCTCCGCAAACGGAGACGGTCTCTGCCGCAGAAACCAACCCCTTCTTCCGAAAGATCGGATCCAATGGCTCCGCTTCCTCCTCATCTGTAGCGTCTCCACAACCACCTTCATCTGAAGTTTCTCACAACCCATTCCACAAATTCACCGCACCTGCTCCACCACCGCCGAAGATCCCACGATACGGGACTAGGGATGATGATGATTGGTCTGTCGTTAGCGGCGACGATAACAATGATGCAGATGATGATGATGAGGAAGTGGGACGAAAAGGTGCTGCAGAGTTGGCCAGCCAGTTCTTTGGTGGCCTTGGACTCCCTCGAGCATCACCAGCTACCGTAACATCCCCAACCAGCCCACCAGCATTCTCTCCAACAGGGCCACCACCTCCACCAATCATGGGCATGCCGCCTCCGCCTCCACCACCCCCACCGATGCCAACAGGATTGGGAGGTGCTCCTCCTCCTCCACCACCTGGACCCCCTCCTCCACCTATGGGTGGCCCTCCAGTACCACCTATTGGCGGCGGAGGCCAAGATAGGAGCGGGTTATTCGCCCAGATTCAGGCAGGTAGGGGTCTAAGGAAGACCGTAACCAAGGACAAGAGTGCTTCCAGTTCCGCCGGGAGAGTTTTAGAGTAAGGTGGCTTATTTCTAACGGATATCGGGTTGGCATAAAGAGGAAAAATTTAGTTTCGATTCTATTTGAATATTTTTGCTATAGTATACTTTCGAGAAGGAGGTGTGTGTATGGGTGTGGGTGTGGCAGAGAGTACGAGGGTGAAGGAACCTCCATTTAATTAATCATATACATTCTACTTTTTTAGCCTACATTTTTGCCGTAGAGTGTAACTTTAAAGCCCTTTGGTTCCACAGATTAAGGGCAACTAGATACCTAGGTATGCGTAGTAGCTAAGAGGATTTACTTTGCCTTGAGCTCTTGACGTCAATGATTTACGTACATAACGTTTACAACGAGAAGCGCCGGGTTAGCTCTATAAGGTTATATGAGCCACCGAGCCAGAATCTGGATTCGATAAATTATGTAATCATTGCATTTAATTCTGGATCAGCACTGTGAGAGATGGCAATTCCTCTAGAAGTATATATATAAGCCCATACTCGAGTACTCTACTCCATGAATCAGTTCTATTTTGATCGATAATACAATCAATTCTTTGGACAGCAGAGCGTTAGTCAAAGAGCTGAACATTAATATTAATACATTCACCGACGGCTCTAAAATACCACACACCAACGCAAAACTCGAAGTCATGGCGGAGTACTTCAAGAACGTACTCCTCATCGGTGTAAGCACACCACTTTCCATATACCAAAAGACCCATTTTAATAAGATTAAGCTTTAAATACTTACGTGTATATGTAGGCAACCGGCGACCTAGGCCAGCACATCCTAAGTACACTTCTAAAAACCACTACCACGCACCCATCACAACCCCTAACGATCACCCTCCTAACCCGGTCAACATCTACGGCCAAATTCCCAGCTCATCCATCTATCGCACGCATTCACAAGGGTGATATTAAAGACCGAGAGTTCCTTGTTACGGCGTTTTCGGGACAAGATATGATTATTTCGGCGATATCGCCTTATGCGCTTTTAGACCAAAAACTGATGTTATCTGTTGCTGCGGAAGTTGGGGTGAAGAGGTTTGTGGTTGGGGAGTTTGGGATGGATACGAGGGATGAGGAGCTTACGGATTCTGTGGCTGTTTTTAAGCAGAATAGAGAGGTTTTGGAGTATGCTGTTGGGGTTTGTGGTGGTGATAGTAAGACTGTGGGGATGGAGTATACGGGTGTTATTTGTGGAGCATTTCTGGAGATGACTTTGTTGGATGGAGAGATGGGGTTTGAGTTTGGGGGGAGGGAGGTGGAGATTTATGATTCTGGGAGGAAGAAGATTGAGGTATCTAGGATGGAGGATGTGGCGAGGGCTACTGTAGAAATATGTTTTCAACCGGGGAGGTATGGGGATCAGCTGGTTTATATTAGTAGTTTTACGGTTAGTCAGAGGGATATTTTGGATGCTCTGAATAAGGTTGATAAGAAGGGACCGTGGAAGGTGGTGGAGAGGACGACGGAGTGGTTGAAGGAGAGAGGGAAGAAGAGAGTTGAAAAGGGGGATATGATGGGATTGGTGGATGAGATTTGGGCGGTGGCGTTTAGTGATGGTATTGGTGAGGCTTTTTCGAGGAAGAGGAAGTTAGTTAACGAAGAGATGGGGATTGGGAGGGGCGGGGATGAAGAGTTCATCGAAGTAATCAAGGGAATTGTGGAGGAGTGGGAGGCCGGGAGGAGGAAATGAAAGTATGTTCTATTTGATCTACATTAAACTATTGTATAGGAGTACTCATAATAAAATGAAACGGGGCTCCGGGTTCGAATAAATGTCCTCCCTGTCCCCATGCAGAAAGCGCCTTTTGTAAGCATCTTATATGATCTTCTTTATTTTCGACTACCCAATTTGCATTGGGATCCAAGATTCCATAAAGTATATCCGCATTCTTCCTATCACACACTCGCTCATTTTCCGAGACTATAAAATCCGGGAGTTGAATTGCTGCGGTACAGAAACTTCGAGCAGCCTGTGAGTTTCTTTGGTGGACTAGGGCTGTCATTGAATTTGTGAAGTACAATTCGAGGCGAAGGCGATCATTCGTATTCAATGGTTCTTGCTGTAATAGCTGCTGAATGGATATGGACCCGTTCCAGTCCTGTGTGATGGCTAGTAAATACGCTTTGACCGCTAACCATCGTTTGGCCTCTTCGACACCGGGGTATATCGAAGACAGCATTTGATCGATGATTGTAATTGCCACATCCCATTCTTTATTCCGAATGGCCCTTTGGCGGGATATGAGATACTCCTGAAGGAGATACTCGTCTTCCTTTCTGACTAGCTTATACTTTTCTAATTCACTAGGGGTTGAAAAATTCGTCGTGACCAAGTATTGTAAGTCCGGATGCGAATTTGGAAAGTACCTTGGAGGTTCATGAGGCCTTTCGAATCCCTGAAGAACACAAAATAACTCTAGGATACTGTCAAACGGTAGTGGTTCCAACCGCGGGCTCTCAGATGCGATATTCTCCAAAAATTGCTTCCAGAATCCTAATAGTACCGCATTCCGAAATTGATGACATTCATCGATGGAAAAATAGCTCAGTTGGTAGTGGTATAAATGCTTCAAAACCGACTGAGCGCCATTCCAGACTAGTCCGGCTTTTAGTAGTATGTATCCCTTGTTTAACAAACTTTTCGAAATTGCATCGTCAAATTCTCGAGAGAGCGCACTGATGAGGAGCTTGCTGACTACTGGTCGGTCGGGAATTGTATCGTTTACTGGCATTCGAGTGTAAGATAGATATAAATCCTCGATGGTGCCTGTAGAAAAGAGTTGGTTGCATACACAACGGCTGACAATGGATATTTTCCAAAGCATGTTCCAATATTTACGCTGCAGAAGTGATTTTACCGGGTCAGCAAGGATTTCGTCGATTTCATTCGATTTGAGCTCGAGAAGTAGGTTGTCGAGCTCTGCCGTCGATTCGAAAGGCAAGTCGGCAGGAAAATGAAAAGGCCATCCAGATAAATTTTGAGATGTAAGCCACCTATTAACCATTTTTGATATCGGTCCCACGGATGACCGAGTAATATTACCACAGGCAAAACCAGTGTCAAGTATCATCTTTTGTTGGATATCTATTTTCTCCAGCAATGTTTCCGTAGAAATTAATGTAAGAGCGCGGGATTCGCCTTCAAAACGGTAAGTAAACTCTTCGTATACATCGAGTTTCCCATCCTCCCAACTGTCCCCTTTTGCTGAAGTTTCTATAGTTGAACTATGCAGAGTAATCTCGCTGTTTTCAAAGTCCAGTCGAGATTTCGATTGTGATATCGATGAATTCCTATGTTGTGGTTGCGACACAATTGTTGCATTTTCGACACCCGTCGGAACTTCAGCCCCGATAGCTGTTGTATCAAAAATGTGAGGTCTTGTATCCCCGCTCACGACACTTTCTCGAGTGTATACTTGGCGAAAGTAGGTTTCATGTTCGATTGAGCCATTTTGGGTCTTTGCTAAGAAAGCTTTATGGTCGCTACCATCTACGTTTTCGATTTTTGTAGAAGATGTAGTACTAGTAGTTTCTGATCTTTCGGCGAGGCCGAGGTTCCCATTTGTCGTTTCTACTATGGTTGGCCAAATAAAAGCCTTTGGAACTACCGCCACGGGAGAAAGCGGCTTGCGAGGGATCCGATAGGTCGGTGAGGTCGCAATTGGGGTTTTAGCTTGCGATTCTTGTTTTGTATCCACCGATGGGTTCCCGTTCGCAACTGGTTTCCGTTTGATCATATTTTGCATTTAATCAATATCAATCTAATGGAATGTGGCGTTGGGTGGTGGTAAATCGAAGAAAGAAAGAAAGAAAGAAAGAAACAGTATGGGTTAACGTTAGTTACATTAGCTGCGTTAGCTACGTTAGTGGCCGATGTAGAACATGAAAGCACATGGAATCGAAAGCCAAAATAGCACAAAGAAAGCTTGGTCTTCGCTCAGTTAATATACTTACATTTCTTGGTACTTTTGAAAAAAATTTGGAATCCAATTGGGTCGATAAAACTTGTTTAATGCACATACGTCCATGACATGAGCTTGGTACCATATTCTATTCTTAGGGTGTTTGTTCATCGATAGCAACTGCTCAAAATGCAGGCGCGGGTAGAAATATGCAGCCGTCTCTTGGAACGGTTTTTGTCACACTAATTGGGGGTGCAAGATTGATCTTCGCCTCGTACATTCTTTTCGACTTATCATTTGGCCCGCAGCTGGATATCGCAGTGCATTGTATCATTTGGTTCACAAGATGGAATGTTCCATTGTTGAGATACAAGACTGGGCATAATTGTACTATATGATTCCGGGCCAGACGCTACAGGAGTAAGATCTAAAATTCTTTCATTGAATTTAAATGCATATGCATGCTGACTTAGATGAAAGTTTTCTCAAAAGCGAGTATGTGCGCTTAGGTATATTTACATAAGCAATGCAAAAATTTTAGAAGTTCTATCTTTTCTGTAATCTAAAGCGAATATTAATTAACTTCATGGTGTCAAAAAGCATCCACTTGAAAGAAACCCAAAGAAGGATCTATCAAGGTCCCAAACCATTGAGGAGGACATATGATCCTATAGCTGATTGTTGCCACTAGTTGTAAGAATCGAAATATCTTGTATAATGTATTTGGGGAAAATCTGGTAACACATAGTGTATATTATTTATTCAAGCTTTGCAATTATATTCTGAATGAAATTCTGAAACCTCGGCCTCCCTCGTTGATAGTCTGGTATTTGTTGAGGCCGTGGAGGAAACTCAATCGCTGTATGTTCTGGTGCGCGTCTATGTGCATGTAGGGGAGTTTCTGTCGTTATATGAAGAGAATCCGAGGAGCCCAGTATTTCCAGACTAGAATCCGAGAAACTCGTCGTCGTCGATTGGAGTTCAACATTTTCAAACTTTGCCAGATTATCTTCGTGATTAGCTCCAAACCCGAACGTCGCTCTCACAGCTTCAGAACTGGGGATGGAGATATCTGCGTCTGGGGGTTCCTTTTTGGAATCGATTAATACTGAGGTATATTGATTGGGCGGTGGTGTCTGATATGGCGCAAGTTCTCTCCCAACTTTGGGATATCCGACTATTTTGATATCTCCCCTGCTTAGCCCATTCGAAACCTTTCCTATAATTTTCTGTACTTTACTGTTCGGCTTGGGTTCTGGTGACAAACTAGATACCCAGCTATAACAGTAGTAAGCGAGTATCAAGTCGTGTTTTATGCTATCGGTCATTAAATTCAAAGGCGTGTGCATATAGGTATCGTAGAACCATTCTAGATTTAATGCGGCGAACTTCAATGTAGAAATACCCGCAAACGGTATCTCCACATTTATTTTAAGTTCTTCTAATGTAGTAAAGAATTTTTTAAGGTGTGCCATAGTCAGAGATTGCTTTATCTGGGCTACCCAAAAGGCATGATCTTGAGTCTCGAGATCGGCCGCTGTGGTTGATGAAAGCGGTAGCTTTCCAATAAACCCGTGTAGTCGAGAATGTGTACGCCCGAGCTTATCTCGGAGAACTTGATTGATGCTAAGACCTCCGATGTTATGCATTAAAAACTTGATCGTGTCCCCTGCTGCATGTCTGAAGGCTTGAGTCAGGACTTCTCTGGCTAATATGATGTTTTCGAAAGCTGGTGGGTCTCGGCCTGTGTCTCGTCGATATGTTTCCAATATTCTCTGGAGAATATCTGGTCGATTTCGGTTTCCGTAAAAGAATATTGGGTCCCAAGATTCCTCTATTTTAGGGTTAGGCCAGAGATGACGAGATACAACATATGATGTGTAGCGGAATTCTGGGTCTAGTGGATCGTAAGGGGGTAGTCGTTTTATCCATGATATATCTAGTATCGCGCGATGATTTGAATTGCATTAGTTGCTGTCTTATTTGAAAAGATCCAGAATATCACTGCTATACTTCTATTTTTACTTACCGGAGAAAAGGGCGTGTGCTAGTTTAGGATTATACAATGCTGATACCATAGCCTGTTTGAACTTTTCCATTGGTGCTTCAAACCACCCTTCTCCCCCGTTGGTAAAAATGCGAATTCCGGCGGATTCGAGTACTCCAGGAGCTACTATTCCATGAACAATCTTCTTTTCCAATGCCTCATAGTTCGTCGTCGGCTGCATTCGTCTTAGATGCGCATCAGCCTCCCTCGAGGCCCCTCTTTTCTGAGCCACCAAGCTTAAAATGCAATAGCATTCGTCTCTATTACACTCCGGGATCTCACGGTACTGAAGAGCTTTATAGCAAGATATTTCAGCGTCCGGATATCTCTTATTGTGGAAATGGACAAGGGCTTGAGTCAGATAAATCACAGAATTATAGTCGTCATTGACTCCGAGGGGTGCGTATTCCAACATATGTGCTAGATTCGCAGATCTCGCCCAGTTCTTAGCCATTGCGAAAATATACGCCTTCGTTGCAAGCCATCTTTTGAGCTCTTCTGCTCCTGGGTAGAAGTCAAGCAGAAGGTTTTCGACCTCTTCCATGTCCCCTGGATATCGGTCTCCTTTTGCAGCAGCTAAGCGCCGGGAAATGAAGTTATTACATCGGGAAAGCAGCGGTGGTGATAAATCCCGTATATTGAAATAATACAAATAAATATCATCGCGTGGGGTATCGGGTACCTGCTTGAGGGGAAATTTGGCGCCTCTGAACTCGAAGCCGTACGTGACAGCTAGATAGAATGTGGACATCGAGAACCAAAGATCCCGGTCGTGCGGTACTACAAGTAGTCTCGTCGGCCGCTCAATAGAGCCCAAGGCTCTAAAAAACGTAGCTATTTGGATACCATTTTCATCCTCTCCGGGGAGATTTAGTGGTTCCTCCTTTTTAGTACCTCGATACCTTAAACTGACTCGAGAGCCATCTTCGGGACGCCGGCTCGGATCGTCTAAAGCAAAATCAGGGTGCATGTCTTCGGCGTACTCTCCCGTAAAGGGATATGCTGGCTCCCAAGAGCCTTCTAAAAAGCTCCTCAGATTCTCCTTTAAAACAGCATACTGAATCTTCTTACATTCTTCGGGCGGTGAGCTAAGAAATGCGACATGTAAGTTCGCATGCGCACTGGCTCCGCCTAAACTGCGATATTTCAACATAACTTCAGCCTTGGTCGTCCAACATTTAGGCAGTGCTTCGGTAATCTCTGTTATTAGAGCAGCTCTAAGAGATTTCATGGCCTGATCATTTCCTTCAGCAATATCAAGCGTGTATGATTCGAGTATTTCCCAGCAGCAGATTAAATTGTCAGGGCTACTGGTCGAGAAAAAGTGAGAGCACATACAATTTGACCACAAGAATAGGATAAACAAACTCTTCCATCTCAAATTTTCTGCTATTTGTGGTTGAATCTTATAATTGAAGCAGCCAGCACGTGAGTACGAGAGCTGCGAACTTTTTCGAGGTCTATAGGGAGGCGGTTTCGATAGTAGTTGCAAGGCTTCATAGTTTTCATCTCCACACATCTTGTCACTAGTGGTAACCTCAAAGGGAGGTACCCGAAACCCATATATGTTGGCCTCTGAATGGCGACTGTACCAAGCTTGTAACATTCTCGAGATTAGACCGACGGAGTTTGGGGTGATTTCGTCTATACAGGAGCCTGTTCTTGCTATCAAACCCCGATGTGTATCAATGACCCGGGCGATTGTTGCTTCTGATAGAAGAAACCCAACTTCGTGGACCGCCCCCGGATTCTCGCTGAGGCCGTCGTCATAAGCCTCAACCGATATTTCGGTATACTCGTAAACAAGGAAAGCATGTTCGACATTTTCGATGTTCAATGTTGTCGTGAGGCCGTGGCCCCCTAGATGACTTTCTCCTTGCACCCTCGGCTGTACGCCTGATGACTGCGAGACTGTTTTAACGGTATTATGTGAGATGTGTCTCCGACCGTCCAGGGCATTATTCTCTTTAGCTTTCCCGATCAGTGGGGGTGAAAGTTGGTTGTCGACAGATGTGTTCTCTGATCCATGAGGTAACCCCGATGCAGAATTGTCAAAATAGCAGTGCGGAATTGAATCGCTGCGAACGACTTCGTGCCCTAACTTGGCTATATTGTTTAAGTCTTGATGTTCTACCAGTAGTCCTCCGGATTTTGCCAAGAAGGCTTTAAGGTCGTTGGCATCCACATTTTCAACCACCGTTCGGGGTAGTTCCGGAATTGGAGTTTGAGCATCTAGTCCGCTTCCCTGTGCCAGACTAGTCGGTGGCGATATTTTGGCTTCGGGAACAATACCAAGGGCTGATATCCGCTGTTGTTTCTCGACGAGCATCTGGCGATTTGCAACGGGTTTTCTTTTGATAGTTTGCATTGCGGGGGAATATATATATATTAATATGGGCAATAACGGGTAGGTACTGTACTTCCTCGAAACGACCTAAGTCTCAAGGCTAGATTTCAAATTAAAAAGATACTATATATCAATAGTAACATTAACAACTAGGCAGTCTTGCGGGCCACTATTTCCAATAAAATAAGGGGAGAAGTCTCAAAACTGATCTCGAATATAGTACTGAAAGATTCTAAAATCAGCCGCATCCCATTTGGTCGCGACGAGTTATAGCAGTAGCTACCAACGCTACGTTGCATTATGCATACATTAGCGAATACTTTCAGCCTTCGGACCCGATTGATGCCATTGTCAATTCTCCATCACGTATGAGTCCGTGTCTAATCTCGTACTTCGAAAGCCACTCCGTAGACGATATAATTATTATACTGGAGCTTGCCCGTGGCTTAGACCCTTTTTATTATTTTTCAAGCCAATTTGTTCTATGTTTGGATTTATCCCGGGCGGGTCAAGACACTGGTGTTCTCAAAACTCCTTTTTTTCTTCTTCCTCTTCTACCTTTTCAGGTTTAAAACATCAAAAAAGATACTAAAGACGAGAGATTTTATATAAATTTATCGAGGTTCAAAAGGCATTAACATTCGTGGTAGTAAGTCTCGAAACGGGCTGTCGTTACATTCTGTGTTGCCCCCACCCCGGCCACACAAAAACCCAACAACTGGTCTCGCAGACACCACGTGACCTTCCTCGAACAAAAAAATCCGGCTATAAAACCCACCGCCATCAGACGAAATTTTCAATTTTTTCTTCTCTTCTTCTCTCCTTAGAACAACGCAAATTTATAAAATCATTCCCTTACAACGAAATTCAAAGATCAAAAAGCATTCGCTCGAGGGCCCTCTCGCAGGTTGCTCCATGAACATACCGAATCGTCTGGGAATGAAAGAACAATTTTTTACAATTGGTTGGTCTTGGGTGCGGCGGATTTTTTTTTCTTAAAACAAAAGTTCCTCTTCGGAGGGAGTGAAATCGGGCGCAATGATCGACTGGACATGCTATTTAGATTCAATATCTATGCTATTATTACGTATAAAGTGAATGTATAAAGTGAACGTGAATGATGTTCTTATGTGTCGCCTATGATAGATCTTTCGCGGCCTGTCGAGGACGGTGCGTCGCGATGGTGATATATGGTGATATATGGCTATCTGTCGCACATTCCGATATGCGACACGCGCTCCACGAGCACTCGAGTGCTGGATCTGGATTCTATGGACTATCGAGTGAGAGCGATCGATATGATACCTGATATACTTATATGGTATCTTCGGTAGCAATGAGGCTTCTCGAGCGTCCGTCGACGTTGTCTACGCATTGATTCTTCGTACGTCCGGCGACTGGTTATATCAGCCTCGATTCCGCGGATCCAGTTATAACCCAAGCCCAACCGCACACCACTGATACTATACTAAACATCTTCTTGGTCGAGATATTTCCAGCCCGCAAATGATAATATTCGTCGTTAAATACAAGATGTATAGGTAATACAAGGTGTTTTTTTTTTGAAATGAAAATGCACGAAAAAATTTTCCCGAGAGGGCCGACGAAGATGGCAGGTGAAGAATTAGGAAAGGGAACCAAAGGAAAGGTATCAAAAACAAACAACAGAAAAAAAAAATTGGCTATATGATGAAGCAAAATGGAAGAATGAATATTAAAATTTCAATACAACAAGGGGGGAATTAGGAAACAATATACCCAAAAATTACCATCATGGAGTTCCGAAACACCATAGGTTATACATACCCTGTCACGCTCCTAGTCATTTTTTCTCTCATGTTTGTAAATAGGCTCAACTGGCAGGATAGTGACATATTCAACCTTCTCTTCATCGTCGCTCTTCTTGTAATCTTCCTTGTCTCCCGATGCCTCCGGGACTACAACCTTCTCAACCTCGGGTTCGACCACTTGAACGCTCGGCTCGACCACAACAGCAGCCTTAACCGGTGGGACCACAGTCTCTGACTTTGCCGGGTCAGCGACAACGACAGCCTTGGCGTTTAATATTCCCCTAACAATTCGCTTGTAACCCTTGACAGCTTCGTAGAGGTCTGATTTATCGATCTTCTCATTATCACCGTGAGCGACGAGAATGCTGCCTGGGCCGTAGAGGTACTTTTTATGACGACCCTTAAGGTTTGGAATATCGGTGCCGTAGCTGAGTGCGATGGTCTCAAATCCTGTTTTCGAATATTCGTTAGCCTGATCATTCATATATAATTTTCGTTAAGGAGTACATACCTTCGAGATCATGATCGCAGAAAACAGGGTCGTAATGAGGTTGTTTCCAAGTCGCCTCGACACCTTCAATACCCTTCAATGCATCATCAACCAGTACTTTAACATCAATAAAATGCTCTGCTCCGATTCTAATAGCAACCTCAGCCTTTGCAGATGCAGGAATAACATTGGCAGCAACGCCACCACTCATAACACCAATGTTCAATGTAGTATTCCCCAACAGATCCGAGCTCGGAAGCTTCAAGTTATCGAGTTTATACAGCGCATTGATCATATGGCTGTTAGCATTGATACCGAGATTCGGGTATCCAGAGTGACTAGCCCTGCCCTTAGCTTCGACCTCCAGCATTGCCAAACCCTTGTGTCCAACGGCAAGCTTGAGTTCTGTGGGTTCACCAAAGACAACCGCATCCCATTTCAGGTCATAGGTGTTCATATGTCTCATCCCATCGCCGTTTGTTTCCTCTCCAACAACAAAGAGGAGGGAAACGGTATCTTCGGTAATGTGCTTCTGTGCAAGCAACTCTTCGGCCGCAATGATCTGTGACGCAACCGATGCCTTTGCATCACACGATCCACGACCGTGGACAGTTCTCAGACCATCTTTGAATGGGAGAAACGGTGGTACGGTGTCGATATGGCTGGTGAGCAATATCGGCGCAGATCTAGACCCTCCTTCCGGGTATGCGAAGACATTATACCGTTTCTTCGGGTATTCCGGTGACTGGATAGGTATTAACTCGACTTTGAAACCTTTGGATTGTAGATAAGTTTCTAAGAATCTAGCGACTTGTTCTTCGTTCCCGGTGACGGAAGGGATGGAAACTAGATCGCGGTGGAGGGAGAGTAAGGGAGATGAACCGGTCGGGTCTATGATCTTGTTGATGAATGCGGGGACTTGGATCTGAGAGATTTGGGTTTTAATAGTGTTTAGATGTGCATCGAGGACAGCGGGTATTTGGATGTCGATGCCAAAGGGCAGCTGGAGAGAATGGACCACCAGGGGCGCTGCGGAGAGGGCGATGAGAGAGGGGGAAGCGTACAACCGCATTATTATTATTGTTGAGGTCGTCAGGAGCTATCTGGTGATAGTTCTCTGCACTGTAGAATATCCAGCAGCTGAGGGGAAACTAGTAAGATCAAACGATGCAGAAGATGAGAAAGCAGATGGTATCGAAATAAGTTTTTCTTTGAAAAAAAGCAGGATCCAATCCAAGAAAGATCAAAGGAAATGGCGCTAGCAAATGACTTCATTCACAGTTCCAGTTGAAAGGATGGCAGAGGCAAAGGGGAGCAGCATGAGCAAGCAGCAGGCTAAGAGACTCGGTCGCTTCCACTCAACGAAATTGGCCCTTTCCCCAATTAGGAAACACAGGCGAGGCCATTGCAACTGCGTGTAACACCCCATCTCCATCTTCGCAACACACTTTGCATCCCGTCGATCCCGCAACACGGCTGAAATTCAGTCGCCTGTCTGCCGTGGCTCCCATGCAACACGACCCTTTTGATTTATCTTATCATCCATCCTTCTACTAACAAGTATACTATCAGAAGTAAGTAAGTACTTCAGTAAGTAATCTCCACGACTCTATAGCTCCCCACATGTCAAATTGACAATCTTCCATTCGACAGATACTAAATTAATATGAATGCACAGCGCGCAGAAGTATTCTATCTAACCGAACCTGCAATCTAAGCTTACCAAATGCCGAACACGAGGTAGAACTGAAGCTGACTCAATCATCAAACCAATGCAAAAAGTTCAAAAAGCTGGGACCTGGATTCGAGGCTAGAGACCTATAGCAAGCCAACTTAATACCCTCATACATATACATATGCACACACATATGTACATATACTATCGCTATCATCGTCGGTCTGTGCGGACGACTCAGCTATCGCAAGTGGAGAAAATGGATCCAATATCGAGTTCACTAAGCCCAAATGTGCAATGCTCTACAGAAATGACTCTCCCCTGCTGTCAGCAAGATGCCGAACCTGCCGCGGTCGTAAGTTCCATACATAACTACCTTGTAAAGCTTGTATTCAAATGCTGTACAAAAAAGCTGGGGGGAAAGCTTAAATACCCCGGATTGTCGAAAAATCGCAATAGCTTTCTTCTCTAAGAAGTACCTACGACACTATAAATGTTAACCTGCGCGGCTGGCTAACGTTATTATTTTGTTTGTATATTGATATCCTTTCTACTTCAGCTTTTCTCTTAGATTAATATTTTATCTTTTTTTATATCCATCTTTTTTAATTCCCATGTTCGGTTGAAAAAAATGAAGTTAAACGCTTTCACTGTCACGGCCATTATCGCCATCCCATGCGTCACTGCAACAGGCGGTAACAATTTCACTCGCCGCTGCAGCCGTCTTCTCCAAATCTTCAAATTCTCCAATACAAAAGTCCTCACCTCTGGCTACACTCCCAAAGGCACAAACATAACCTATCCAAACCTTCATCCAACATGTGGACAAAACTGGGTAATCGCGGAGACAAATATGTGTCGCTTGACTCTAAACGTCACTACAAGTTCAACTTCTAATGTAATCATGGAAGTCTGGATGCCTGAGGATTGGAAGAGTTCAGGACAGAGATTTGCTATGACGGGGAATGGAGGGGTTAGTGGGTGTGTGACTCTCAGTGATCTTGCTTTTACAGCTTCGTTGGGGTTTGCGGCTGTGGGACATAATAATGGACATGATGGGACTTCTTCGGCACCGTTTCTGGATAGACCTGAGGTTATCAAGGATTTTGCTTGGAGAGCGTGGGTATACCCTTCTATTATACTACTCTCTGATAATCAAAAATGAGATTTATGCATATACTTATTATTGGATCTAAACAGCACCCTCACAGCCACCCAAGTAGGCAAAGCCGCCACGAACTTCTTCTACCAAACCTCTCTCACAAAATCCTATTACTGGGGTTGTTCCGGGGGCGGAAGACAAGGCCTAAAAATCGCCCAAGATTTCCCCGAAGAATACGACGGAATCATAGCCGGAGACCCAGCCGCCGATTTCCACCGTCTAGTCGCGAGCGGGCTATACTACAGTTACCAAACAGGACCTCCAACTTCTCCGACATGGTTAAGCTTCGAACAATGGAAAGCCGTTGACGCAGAAGTTCTAGCGCAATGTGATACCATCGATGGCGTTGCGGATAACGTCTTGGAAGATCCTTTGAAGTGTAAACCTAGGTTTGAGAATATGCTATGCGGCCAGTTGGAAACTTGGGGTACACATCAGTGTTTAACAACCGACCAGGTTTCTGCGGTTGAAAGGATATATTCGCCGGTGTATGGGAATAAAGGACGGTTCTTTGCCCCAGCTGTTCAACCCGGTAACGACCAAGTATTTGGATTCTATTTAATTTACGGAGCTCCCTCGGAGCTAGGGGAGGAATACATCAGATATGCTATTAAGAACGACGCAACCTGGGAACTCCCACCTACGCTCGATGAGTTTCTTGATATAATGGACGACCTCCTCGATCACGATCCTTATAAAACCTCGGCCAACAATCCAAACCTAACACCACTTAAAAACAGCGGTCACAAACTCCTCGTCTATCATGGTACAAGCGACGGTTACTACTCCCACGAAAACACCATAAAACTCTACGAAAACACTGCAAAAAACATGACGTTGAAAGCTAGACAGCTCGACGATTTTTACAGACTATTCCCAGTCACTGGTCTAAACCATTGTAATGGCGGAAACGGGGCATGGTATTTTGGAGGATCCGGCCAGAACGGTCTTGGTATTTCGGGTGTCAATCCGAGTGAGAGCATACTCATGAAGATGGTCAGATGGGTAGAAAATGGAGAGGCACCGGATACAATAAGAGGATACCAGATTAATCCAGCAACTGGTAAACCAGCCGGCGCGATAAGGGAGCATTGTAGGCATCCATTGAAGAATACGTACAAGGGCAGCGGTGATCCATTGTTGCCTGGGAGCTGGGAGTGCAAGTTAGGAACAAAGTATCTGTGATCATACACCAATCTTAGATTCCTGGAAGAGATATTAGAGCCGGCAAAATTCGGCGTAGTTGAGGGTCTTTGTGGTGTGATCGATACCTATATATAACGAAAGCAATTGTGTGATTATTAACTAAACAATTTATTTACTATGAGAAAACATTTTACCGACTCCAGATGGCACGACTCCCAGAGCCCACAAAGGGAAATTTTTATACACTTATCGCTTATATATAGCGCTATATATAGCGCTTGAGAAACTAAACTATCACTCGGTCGTTCTTATGTTTTGCATGCTTACTATAGTCATGTAAGCTTAAGTACAGGCAGATTTCGACACTATGTGGTATATTTATATTTACGTGTTATAATATTATTAAATACACTTCTTTGGATGTCTGCCCATTAACTAGAAAGAACTACCGTACTAGAAGAAAGAAATTTATCTTATTGATACAGTATTGGTACTGTTTTTAGCCATATTTATACAATAGGGATTAGAACCGTATTGAAACTATCATAGTTAAATTACCACAAATATATCGATTATATCGTGTTGTCCGCGGTTTACAGACCAATTCTATAAATATAAAATTTGACTGTTTAGTTTAGCTTCCTTTTGGCATGTATGGCATCTGATATTCCCTTTTCTATTCCAACTATCTAATCTTACAAGTTTATAAAAACTTAGATCTATACCAGTCTCGGCACTAAACAACTTGTGCTCAGGATCTATACATGCATATAGTGCAGTTGCAAAGTGCATCGGACAGCGACAAGGAGTAGGAAAAATTTAAAAAGGAGACACGCGAACAGTACTTGGGGTCCCTGGAACCGGCTACCCAGACAATTTGTGGCAAGGAAAAATTCAAAAAAAAAAAAAAAAAAACATACGCCGGTCCGGAATCTAGATGCTAAAGGATTTACGATATCGATATCGTTAATCCTTGCAGCACTCCTCCGACTCCCCCATCCCCTATGGGCAAACTTCCGAAGGGATCAATTCTTTAACTTCGGCAAGTTGCTTTGCCCACGGGTCCTCCCCCATCAATGCCACAATTTGATCGTCCCAATTGAAATAAGCCTTGGTGAATTCTTCAAATTCAGAAAAAGTTTTTACGAAATCCTCGTCAAGTTTCCCCAAAAGCGAGAGACCGCCGGCACTTCCACAGTCTGGAACTGGCTGCTTGGGCAAGAAAAACCCAACCAGGTTAACGTTGGTTTCCACTTTGTTGATCTCCGGCATACTCTTATTAGCCATATCATTGGCGTAAGTTTTCTCAGCCCCCTCGAGGTCCTCTTCATCGGCGTCACCAAGCCATTCCGAATCTAAAATATACTTGAAGATATCGATCGCCGGAACGGTCATCCCTCGGAGAACAACAATGGCGAACCATTCTATCAGAAGTGTAACAAAAGATTCGAAATATGGACTTATTTCGTGCGGCCACCGCGATCTAGATTCTTCGAAGTTAGAAATTGCCTTCAGAGTCCCGAGATACTGACCGAAGGCTTCGCTTTCCTTTTCGGAGCAGTTCAAGGGCACTGGATGCACGAACACTTTCGTTATGTCAAGGTAACCGTCCAGAGAAAGGGAGAATATAATGTCCCATATCGCGGATTGTAACCTTGCACGTACATACGTAGCATATACTGCACAGTTAATCTCAGCAGCATCATCGGCCCACGACGCTGTAGCTGATCCGGATTCCCCGAAGCCCCAGTCACAGTGGACGACTCCCGCTTTACTACCTTGAGCGGCGAAAGGTGCAAACAGCGTTCTCATCCGTGCTACTGCTCGCTCTCTAGCGGGCCTTGACGAAGCGTAATTCGGAATCATGTCCAAGCTTGTAACAACTGAGTCGTTCCTTCCCGGCCATTCCCTCCTCCCTCGTCTCGAAACGGTGGAGGGATTGTAAGTAATATCCTTGAAATCCCGGAATAGTACGTCTTTTACAATACTGTTGAGGTTTAGACCATCTCTGAAGAAGGAAGGTACTGAAGCTTCTTTTGGATCGGATACCTTTCGTTGGACCTGATCCTTTATATAGTTCTCATGCTTCGAGACATTCCACGGGCCTGCACGGTAGTGATAACCTTGCCTAGCTAACCCCTCCCCCGTTAGGGAACTAGCCATGGCTTGAATGAAACGACTATTCCGTCGTCGCAGAGTTCCTGTCGGATGGTGCGCCCATGAAAGTTTCTCGGCCGCACACTGGATATAACGAAATGTCTGAGGACATTCCGAGTATGCTTTCGCGAACCGGCTTGAATGGCAAGCTGAGAAAGCGATATTGACCTGTACGCCATCATTGAACTCTTCGGTGGCCTTAACTAATTCGCTCGGTTTCAAGAGCTCCTCCCCAAGCCTTAAACCCTTGTGGTTTCCGTGCGATAAAATCCAAATGCTGACTGCATCCCCTGATTGCGCGCTCAGAGACTTTTCCTTAAGCCAATCTAAGAGATAACCCTTGATTCGTTCCTTCTCGATCTGCTCATAGAATGGCGCCCGCATTTCATGCTGGCGCTTTGTATAAGTAGCTGTAGCTGCTGTCGTACTTCGGAACGCCCCAAACTTTATACTATCGGGAGTCTTAGGATGGGTAAAGTACTCATCAGTGGGATAACAAGAAACGAAATCTCCACCGACTCCGCTCTCCTTCAATAAATTACAAAGGCCAACAAAATCGCCAAAAAACCATGAATCGGCTCGTGCATTGTAAGCGCCGCAGAGGACGAGGTGAAAGTTTTTGGGGGGCCTGCTTTCATCCATATTGCAGTATAATGAATTCGCGATGCAAGGAGATTTCTTTAGAGGTTGAATTTTATATTTTGTAATTATAAGATGCTTTAACTCGTTCGTTCCAGTTTTGCAGTAGTGTTGGTACCATGGTTGTATCTACGAAATATGTTCCGATGAGGAGTCCAGTGGAGTTATATATACACAAATTTAGCGATATATTTAATTAAGGCAACTAGATCTAGGCTATAGGGCGGGTCATTCTTAGAATTCTCTGTCGATTAGTGGCAGCTGTACAAAACCACGAGGCGGCTGATCCTGCGCGGGTCGAATCCGATATAGTGACGGTATCGATCGATATCTGCGCAGTTTCCAGCCGTTTCGCCCTGTAAACACGTGTGTTACCAGATCGATCGTGTACAGGTTTGCTCTATACAGCATGAGCGTATATAGATATCAACAGACTGGGAAGTCAAATTATCATTAATAGATTTAAGTTCTGTACGACAGAGATAACGGAATTCGCCGTGGTAGATCGATCGATCTAGATTGGTTCCTTATACTTGAAGGGTGCTTTCAGACGTATGTGTATCTAAGTAGGTATCCACTGGTCTGGAGGTACCCACTTGTTTCATCGCCAGGCCAGGCTCAACTGTAGATGTAGGTATCTGCTGACTGAAGAAGTACTGCGGAAGGCATTATCTAGTAACTACTGGGCACATACAGCTAACATATGAGTGTGGTTACGTAGAAGATTGTAATACAATATACGAAAAGAGCATTCCCCGAACAGATACCGGGTCGGTTCATAGCAAATTCTATTTATCGCTTGGGTACGAGATAAAAATATATATTGGTCGTAGTGGTTTTGAGTCGCCAAACGTTACCCGGAGGTTCCTTTGAAGATATTCCAAGTATATACGAGATTAAATTTGCTTCATAACTGTCTAGTTATATTTATAACCATAAGGCCCAGTACATGAGCGTGAAGTACACTTCATGCATCGGAACGTGGTGTTTCACACACTATAACCGCGAACCGCAATCTTGCTAGGTCGAGGTTGGGCAATGCAATGGCGACTTTGCGTCCCTTATACCGTCGATGTATGAAATGCGTTTTGCTATCGGGAGGAATTCGAGGTCAAAGGTCGAAAAAGACACGGTAGAGAGGGGCAAGTATCGAGAATAGGTACTTGCCTGAAGCGCTCAAGTATCCAATTGATAAAATGAAAAAATATATTATAATATATACCCGACCCAGCAAATGATGGTTCGTAGCCTGCTAGAATGCCATTTAATGTCGATATCAGTTGCAAGAAGACCGAAGAAAGTTTCGAAAGCTGAAGAAATTTCCCGATAGCCAATTGTATTTTCGAGGCCGGGTGGCTCAATTTGCATGATCGACAGGGTCAAATCAGCTCATGACAAGATTACCATGGCGAGCGGTACTTGGCCGCCAAAATAGAAATACCAGGGCCTACGGCTATATTTTAGACTATAGATCTAGACGTGTTTAATTTGCACCAGTAGGCAATAAATCTACAACGTCCGGTTTGAGTTGTAATGAGGCTAGCGCAATGCATGGTTGTGCGATGGTGGTCATGCGGGTGCCGGAATGCTTTTGCTGTGTCTTCAGCATGGGTCTCAAATCCAGCTATTGCATCCGAGAAAAAAAGAGAGAAAAAACGAAACCCACGGGAGACTGGAACCCAAACCATGCACCTCCATTTACCGGTACGGATTCCCATACGTCTGGTTGGACGGCCATCAGCATCTCCCAGAAGGGTAAAAAACGCATCATCTCAAGCTTATAATTGGAGAAACAAAATAATTATGAAGTCTCCACTTTCGGGGCCGGTAATATCGCCGCCGTTAATTAGGCACCTAGTTGTCGACTTCGACCAGACCCTCACCCTTCAAGATACCCTCTCAACTCTAGTGACGGCCTCGCCGCTACCTGATGCAACGGAAATATTCAAGAACCACCTGACAAAAGCCTATATCGAGGACTATGTCTCCCATGTTAAGGCATACTCGCCCGATCGGAATTCCGTCCTCTCTGAATTTGCATTCCTGTCGAGCCTCCGCGCCATCGAAAGAAAAAGCATAGAACGGGTAGAAAACTCAAATATCTTCAAAGGAATATCCCAAACGGCCGTATCGCTTGCAGCGAAGAAAGTACAAATACGCAGGCCAGCCGAATTCACAGCGTTGGTCTCGAAGGTACTGTTACACCCAGCCGCAAAAGTAACGGTTCTCAGTGTCAACTGGTCTGCTTTGTTTATCCGCGAGGTGTTGAATTCCATGAATTCGGACGAGGGTCATTCAAGCCACCACAAAAGCTTAACCGCACCGGAGTTCGAGAAAGTGGAGATTATCGCAAATAACTTGGTGCAGGACAACCAAGGTTTCACGACAGGAAAAATTGACAGGTGGTTCCACTGTCGTCGTAATAAAAGCCGGCTCAACGGTGTCGATAGTGGAGATGATAGTAATAATGACCATGGGATATGGACCGCGGACGATAAGCTGCAAATACTGAACGGGCTCCTTGAGATTGAGGGGCAGTTTCGTGCGGGAATGGGTTCGACGGACACTAGGGATGTGGATATTGATATGGATACACTAGGTACCGCTGTGGATCAAGCCAACAAGCACAAATTTCCAACAGAAACCACAACAGACACAGTAACAATGTCAGAATTGGAAATTGAAGACCAAGGAACCAGGTTTGCTAGTTATAACATCTATGTGGGAGACTCGCCAACGGATTTTGCCGCGTTATTAATGTGTGGGAAGGTGCATGTCGGGTTTATTATGGGTGGGGAGGGGGAGAATAAGTCTTTGTTAGATACGTGCGAACGGACTGGGGTCAAGGTGTTGGAGAGAAAGAGAGTTAATGGTGAATGTGGAGACGCCGACGATTGCGACGCGGAAGGCCCGGTTGAAACATATGGGAAGAGTGGGTTAAGGCATCGTGATGGAGATTTGAGAGTTTTGTACCGGGTTAAGGGGTGGGCAGAGATAATAGATTGTCTACATCACCCCGAACAATGGCATTGAATGAGCAGAGCCATTGTATTGATAGGTTTCTTTCGGCCGGTAATCCCAAGTCTTTGGAGGCTGATGATTTGGATCACACACCAAAATTTTGGGGCCTTGGAGGCTTGTCTTGTCTCGTCACAGACATTCTGCGATCCGAACTTGCAAGCAACATGAATCTTCATCCACTCCTTTTCCATTTCGTCAGCCACTCAATCATTTCAATATCAGACGTCCATATTATGATATGATAATGAGCAGGCATCTTGCGACCAGTCTGCCGAAAGTTGCTTAGGCTTTGACGCTAGCGTGGGCGATAACAGAGAGCTTTGAACGAGTGAGCCCGCTAAACTCGGACGGGCATGTGATGAGATTGGGCTTTGCCATCGCCTACCGAACCGCTCTTTTTGTCTTTTTGTGTGTGAAATAATGGATGTGGGCCCGATAGTGCTAGAAAGAAAAAAACCGACTTGAGGACGAAACCTGGCTGTTCCAGGCTGTTGACTGTTTGAAGAAGCCATCGACGATGACTTAAGCTTACCGCTAATATACGTATATGCGGGTATCGAGGCCTGTGAGAAGTTTGAAGAATGCAGAAGCTAGCGTACCATGTCTTCGGGTGAAAGCATGCCCGAACTAAGGCCAGGAAGAGCAAGAATATCGCCCTTCCCAGCAAGCTAATCCCTTCCCCCCCAGCTAGCCTTTGGGAACCGATTCCGCAGGCTCCGTTTGGAAGCTGGGCATCCCAAGGGAAGCCCGCTTTTGATAGGCACACGGCAGATGTCGTCTGCGAGTGGCCCAATTGTGCCAGCATTGTCCCGGTCTGCAGAATCAGGGCGAGGGAGGATTGGAGGGACAAGAGGTATTTAATGCAATGCAGCTGCCCAGATGGACGCACACCGCAGACAAAAAAGGCGAGAAGGAGCAGTCCCGACAACCAGGTATCCCTCCTCATTTGGCCCAAATTCTGCCCAAAGCTCGCCAGTCTGTGGCCATCCCAGCCAGCCAGCACAAAGTTTCCCAGTCCGGTGGTACCGGAATCTCCAGGTTCCATTCTTCCTTTTTCACCCAACAGGGCCTTGATTTTGCCGTTAAAAGGGACAGCACAGCACAGCAGCACAGCACCAGTTAGTTAGGACCAAGCACAAGCACATGCTGATGATAGTTTTGGGGGGGAATTCTGCACCGACGTCGACCTTTGTCCTCCCAACGAATCGAATCGATCCGAATCTAATGCGACCTGAGTTCCGATAAACTGGTGCCATCGCCACTGTCACGGTTTTTTTTGGGTGGCGGCAAGCAAGAAGTTGGTCTGTGTGTGTTGTTTTGGGGGGGAAAGAAGGCAAAGGAAAGCAGGAATCAAGCAGAGCACTGAGCTTAGTTAAAAGCAGACCTCCTCCTTCTCCAGCATTCAGCCCTTTTCGGGTCCACCTTTCTCCGCATTTTAATTCATGGTCGACACCGACATCTGCTGCACCGTCGACGGCAGTTTAAATTCTCCGACCTTTAACGTAGCCATTTTATCCGATCTAAATATCAACGACTCCAATATCGACATCGACGTCGACACCGGGAACGAGATGCCGCTCGATCTCCTTTCCCTTCCAGACGATGTGCTCCTTATGATCATGTCGTTCTGTGACATCGAACGTCTACTTAACCTTCGCGGTGCCAACTCCCGTTTCAACAATCTTCTTTGCACTTATCCACGTCAAATATGCGATCAAATCATACGTGCTCATTTCCCAGACCCTTTTATTGGTCACTACTTTCAAGAACTCACCGACTTTGAACTCTGTTATTGGAATCTACAATCCCGCTTTGACGGTTATGATTACCATATTCGACAGCTCAAACGTTTCGGTGCTATCGAGGGATACCTCGAAGCAGTTGAGGAGATCCTACACTTCTTGACTACAAAGCCTCCAAAGATTCCAGGTCAGCACTTCAGCATCAAGGGGCTTCCGAGACCGAACTCGGGGACGAAGAGATGGGTTCTGATATACTTCACCATGCTGTATCATCATAACACTCTTGATCTTTCGTTCCTTCAACTGCATCGCCATTGGCCACAATACGTGCTGACTCCCACCAGCGAAGGTGGTTTGCGAACAAATACCATTCCTTACATATACTCGCAGCAGTGGGAAGATGCAGTCGATTGGGTCGAGCGTGTCCTTATGGCTAAGATATGGCGGACGGTCTCTTCTGCTGACGTTAACTCCAGCCTGTGGAACTCCCCGTCCGAAATCTTCCCACTGTTAAGAACCTTCGTGAGACATACTCATCCCGAAGAGCTCAAGGCAGTGGTCAGTTCCTGTTATTCTTTGGAGTGGACCGGCAGGCTGGATAAGCAGGTCTTGACAGATTTTCGTTTGAGGATGTTACCCTTTGGCGACGTTTGCGAGACGTGGACGAGGTTGTATAAGGGCACTATTCATGACAAGAACATTGTCTAAGATAGGTTCTCTTGAGGTCTAACACCTTTATCAATTCGGGCGGATATCTCCTCTCGTCTCGAGAGTTGATCTTCATTGTACGATGTTTTTTTTTTTTTTAGCTGTGGCTTTCTGATTTACTGAGTCTTTTGACCTGTCTGGTTTTAATATTTGCGTCAGTCTTTTAGCATGGGAGGTTACTTCACGATCACACATACGGTCTCTCCGACTAGAGGACGTCTCCGGGGGTATAGATATCCTTCAGGCTCCGGTATAGAGTCTCTGAAGGATATACGAAAAACGAGACACCATCTTCTACTCGGCGAGACGGTTAGACGATACCCTGTTTTTTTATGGTCCCAGGACCGGTTCGGTTGGGCTACGGAAAAGAATGATCTTCTTTTGCTCCTGCTTGATATCTTCATCTTGGTCAAAAAACCTGGCCGCTCGCTTTTACCTGCACACACCTTTCGCAACGACCTTTGTCTTTCCTCGATTCTCAAACTAATTCGCTCGGGCGGTTTATTTCAACGGTTTCTCAGTGCGGAATTGCTCTTGCTCTTGCTATTTAGCCATCGAAATTGTATTTTAACCGCCTACGTGACGCCTTAACGACCTCAAACTGTGTTTGTATGCATATAGCTGGAATCTTCCACCTTTTACTTGAATCTTTCTCTTCCTTTTTGTTCTTTCTAAATTTGTTTCTCTCTGGCTTGCACCGTTCTGCTTTCTACTAGACAGTATCACCATGTAGTAGTCTGGTTTACGAGACAGTTCGCCCGCCTGTGCCCTCCCTTGAAATTTTAGCTAATTCTATACAAACACCATCTCGCTTCCATTAAGAGCTCACTGCTTTAATATTATAATTCCTAGCAATTAACTTGGATGCCTTCAACCCTCGACATGGTTTCCCTGCCTAATCTTATTAACATCCACCTCACAAACCGCAATCGTAGAGTTACACGTAGCACCAAGAACCCGCTTTAAAACCATGTAACGGATAACGGGACGTTTTTAATAAACCTAACTGCCCAAACCCTTGTTTGTGCGTGCCATTAAATTTCCACCCTATAACAGGGTACTTCCGCAACAGTCGTACCATCTTCTTCCTCCCAGAACATAACCTGATACCTCGCAGCCGACATCTGCGGTAACCATTTAATATTCGCGCGAACAACGCCTTGTACTCGGACTTGTCTTAAGTTCCGACAGTACTTGCCGAGTAATCTGATATCTGTGAAGACGTCATGGTTGTAGGGTGGCGTGAGGGGTGCGATACCGAGAGAGAGGTGCATGAATAAGGAGTGGAAGACGAGACGGGAGCCGCTTCCTAAACTGTGTAAACTGGGGTTCTGGCAAGATTGAAGGGTGGGAATTAGCTATGTCCTAAGGTTTGAGGAGGAGAAGAAGATGCTTCTGCTAAAGATTGGGGACATACCAGTGGCCGGTCAATCCAATACTCAAACACCTCGAGTTCGGGGAACACAGCTGCGAGTTCTTATCAATAAGTCGGTAGAGTTAGTTCTTATATATGCGACTACTATATATGTGGAAGAACATCCGCACGTACTCTGTAAATCAACCACATCCAATGTCCTCTGTATTTTTAACTCTCTAATTCCATTTGCCAAACCACTTTCTAATCCAAGTGCCATAATCTCCATTACAAATCCCTCGGTCCGTCCACGGTATTCCCAGAGTTTACTCCCATTTAGCTCTGGTGCTCCAAAGTCCCCCGGATGCACAAAACTCAACTTCCTCAATCCTGTTGTTTCTGCCACCGCCACAGCCGTCTTTGTGATTTCGCCTTCCTCGTCTTCTTCAATAATCGGGATTTGTGGTTGATTATCCCCCAATGCAATCACCCACGTGGAATTTTCAGATACTGTTAACTCCTCCAAATACACCAAATTGATCTCTTCATCCTCCTCACAATCAATATCGATTGGTGTATGCCATCTTGGGTTTGCGAATATGTCGTTAAGTTCGATATCATTGATGGTTATTGATAATGATCTTAAGCGGGGTATCCGTCTCATGATACGCCGTATAAAGCTAAATACTACTTCAGGCGGGGCATTCGGTCCAAATATCGTATCCGCGAGTCTTCGTAGCGATGGTTTGATAGCGGAGTGTATACGCAAGCTTCCAACGTATGACAGTATTCCTTCATCTGTAGATAATGATTTGAGAGATAGGAGATCGATGTCTTCTTTGAGGTCAACTATTAGGTTTTGGAAGATGTATGGGCGACATATTTCCCGGAATCGACTGCATGTTCTTGATAGTCCGTCGAGGATTGGCGGCTTCGAGGTCCGTGTTGCCTGTGTGGTATTCCGAGTATTGGATTTGCTGTCGAAGAGGATTTCGCAGATTTGTATTAAAAGCTCTGTGGGGAGCGTCGAGAGTGATGGTCTATATTCAGTGACTGAGGGCATTGAAGGACCAGTTGGTTCTGATTCTAAGGGATTTTTTTTTTCGTGAAAGATATGTCTCGGAGAGTTTGATGTTCCAGCGAGAGAGTATATACAGTTATGGCTGATAGTCGACTTGCAGAGATTTTGGGGTCTTAGATTTCATAAACAAAAAATAATCTGGGGAAAGGATTTCTACCCGAAAGGAAGGAGATTGGTTTTTTAATTCGAAAAAAAGGTACCTTAACTCCTTTTAATCGATCTGCGGGGAGCTCGCGCTCTTGTTTTCGCAAAATATGGTTTCGATACGATGTTCCGGCCGAACGGGATCTCGACACGGGAAGTCTAAAACGCGAGACCAAGGCGGAAGGCTTGTATTTTTCGGTAAACGACGTCATGCAGAGCCTTGGTATCAAGTGTTCTAGACCATTTGGTGGATGGATTTTTAGAGCGGAACGAAGTGATATTTAAAAACGAAAGTTATGCAAAGTGTAAACTCCAAATGCGCCGCACGACCAAACTAATTCTAGTTACATGTCTGATGCTACGAACATCTCAAGCATTAGCCAGGTTACAGAATTCTTTTTTGCTGTTCTGAGAAGTGTGTTTCATAGGGTCTTTCCCAAAGATCCCTCCATAACGGGTATGTGCACATTACGTCCCCTTAGCTCATTACCAATGCCGTTAGAAATTTTCTATAATCGCCACTTGTCTCACCATGTACCCTGTCTTCTAGATTTCGGCGATAGGTTTCCTTGTAGGCACGCTTTACGTTGTCGAAATGTGCTTTGTTCCATCTATATTTTACGATCCGATGGATCAGTAGAGAGTCCCTTGTCCCGAGACCCTTCATAGCATCTTCTAACAGCACTGCATCACGTAATGCCTTGTCCATTCCTCCTCGGACAGCATAGAGTAGGGCTTGTTGCATGTGGCCACTGAATTTCTATTTGAAAAAAAGAATATGGGTTAGTATACTCGGTATCTATTATAAAAAATTAGTAGGGTGTTAAGAATAATAATACCTTCTCAATCATCACATCCAATCGACGATTATACATTCTCTCATAACTGTGCGCAATAGCTCCGATCTGTGCATCATTCTTTAACAAGATGGTGCTATAGACTGCCTCTTGGTGTGCTCCACCAAATACACCCGAAATACCAGATGTACCAACACCCTCGATTGCCATTTGGATGTTATAAGCGTCCTTCTCCGCCTGTGCGATATCCACTGGTGCACTTTCATCTGCTCTTCTATTTCCAAGTGCAAATACAAACATAGTTTCCGTCTTCAGCGAAAGATCGCCACGAACATCTGCTTCAAGATCTCGAGAAAATGTACGCGTGTAGGCTTTCTTAATGGCATCCAGGTCTGGCGGTGAGCGACATAACAGTACGTCGTTTAAGACCGACTCTGTAGTTCCAGGTCTGTGAATCGCATCATGTATTGCATGTACTTCCTCCATAAGCGGACCTCGAGCTACGGATAATAATGTTTCACGAAAGTTCCCGCTCGTCTCCTTTTTAAGATCGGTCAGGAGTTCCCGACCATGTCTTTGGCTGAATGCACGCTGTACGCTGTAAATTGCAAATGGTGTTTGGAGCTGTGCAAGAACACGGATCAGTGTAGCCTCGTCGGTGCCAAATCCTTTCATGGCCCTTCGAAGTTCGTCGGCTTGTTGGCCGTATTGCATGGGATTGCATTGAGGTGGTTCTTCATAGCCCGGTGATGGGACACCGAAACCGGGTTGGAATTGGCCGGGGAATTGCGGTCGGTTTTGGGGCGGATATTGACTATTATTATAGGGGCCGGGAGGTGGTGCACCATATGGCGCGTTTGGTGGGCCACCGTAGCCACCAAAAGGTTGTTGCTGGGGCGGTGGGGGGCCATAACCACCTGGACCTTGTTGGTTAGGTGGGTAAGCGCCATATCCGCCATTTTGTGGCTGCTGGGGGTAGGATGCCCTGTTATTGCTATAGTCTGGCTGTGGGTAATTTGGCTGCGGAGATGGTGCGTATCCCTGGCCATATGGCCCAGGGGGCGGTGGTGCAGAATTGGGATCGAAATAGGTATTTGCCGAACCACCGGGTTGGTAGTATGAACCTTGATTCTGGGCCGGTGGGAACCCTGACGGATGTGGAGGGACTGGAGGGGCCCCTTGAGGTTGAGCATAATTTGGCGGGGGGTATCCATATTGGTTTTGTGGAGGGGGCTGGCCACCAGGGCCGCCATAGCCGCCTGGGTACTGCTGGTATGACATCCAGTTGCCGATTCTCTATTTGTTCGAATTCAAGTATGTATATAACGAGCGTACTGTGAATGAACGGCAGCTTTGGTTTACTATATATGATAAAAGAGAATTGTTAATGAGTGCGCACTTGATCGAGATATTTGACGTCGAGGTCATGATCACCTTGGAAGTTCGAATCCGAAACATACAATGCAAAGACGCTTGACGTCAGAAAAATGTGTTGCTTTGTGGTCGATTTCTTTGTGTCACCGTCGACGGCAAAGGGATCCAAATCTTCTTTCGATCAGAGCCAAATACGGCACATAAACTGCCTATATCTCTATTATGTCGGACTCTTGCTCTGAATCTAATAGTTCCCCTTTTTCGAGCTCAAAAACCTTTATCGGTGCTGTTGGACTGTAATGTCGAATGCGATGCTTCGTTCGAAGGAGTATGTATGTCGGATGGTTGGTTAATCACGCATGGAGGGGCCACGCAAGGCCCAAGGTATTTAAGCGGGCGCTCGGAAAACGGTTCGGTCTAGTCTGACTGGCACAGTAATTCAAGAAACTCATGCAAGAAGCCGCTAGCTAGAAAAGAAAAGACAAAAGAAGGCGAAGGCCGGGTGGCACGAGGCTGCGCTGATGACACTTCAAGCTTTCAGTTGGGCCCGGTATATCTTCTGTCATCGAGGAGGCATTGCAGCACTGCATATGCGCCTGCTCTTTCGCTTCCTCGGAAGAGTCTGCCGCACGTGGATCGTTCCTTTTGAGACTAAAGCCGAAGTGGCAGGGTTCGGGCTATTTCATGGTGCGTCATTGTATTGGGAGCTTGTCGTTATGACGGGGGCTATGCTTGTGGCGGACAAATCATATTCCATGGCATCTTCTGAAGCTTGATTACGAATTCGACACACATCGGCAATTATTTGTATTTTTGGCGCAGGAATAAATGCAAACTATGGCAAATTTTGAAGCTTAAGTAAGTTTAGGTCTTTTTATAATTTTAAATTGTGCTTCTGAACCGTTGCCACGAAAATGAATATTTTCATCGGAACTTCCCTTGTTCAAATACACTACCTAGGCCTTCCCGAGATCCAAATTTTAGAATTCATGGTATTTTATAAGTACATATTTAAGACACACTCTAATTCTCAGCTTTTCCCCTTAGAATTCGGAGATCCATAGCTAGAAATGTTAAACAACTTGAAATGCCTCGCTCCGGCCTGGGCGCAGGCTTTAGATATATAGATTTAGTTAAATATTTCGAACATCGACGAAGCCTAAAACTTTTAGTTCCCCATTATAATCATCACTAAATATAGCTAGGCTCATGACATTCCGCTTAAGGCACACTTTATCTCGTTTAATTAGAATCAAACCTCAACAATGTGCGTATGTACAAAAGCCGTGGCGAAACCCGGCCGCACAACTTATCACCTGAACAATCCCAAGTGAAAAGATCTACATTCTACGGGATGAAAACGTGCGCGGACCAAATCCGCGGGACCGGATCTGTGGGACATGGAACCGGATCTGTGGGACATGGAACCAGATCGGTGGGACATGGAACCAGATCACCGTGATAAGGTGATATCCCGATTTGATCAATTGAGGACGGGGTTGTCTCAAGGAATTGATCTCCTTGCGTAAGGGGAAGCTGTATATACCGGGTAACCGGTAAAAAACCTGCACATGGTACGTTATCGAGATTTTAAATTCCCAGTGCGGACTTAAGCCTTAGGATGCTAGTTATTGCTGTGTTCACATTTCCTTTGGCAGGATTGAGATAGTACAATGCGAGGGGTCATCGATGTGCTTCCCTTAGGCCTTTGTGATTTCTAATTCTGCGTCCGGAACGAGACCACTATCGACCCGTCTAAGTTCAAATTCTAGCGACTAATCCGCGATTTCTTTGAACGGGGATATAAGTAGGTCCACAATATGTCTATAGTGGGGTTGTTAATGTTACAGCCGCTGACCTCACCAGCGAGTTGTAAATGGAGTCCATTCGTATGAGGTGGCGGTAGATATCATATCGAACGGTGTTCCTGTTGGTTTGGATTCTGTTCAAATCATAATCGTCAGCCATGAAACTACACATAGCCGATGTCGCGATCAAGGCGCTGGGATCGAAATGGGGTTCCGATAAGAAAATCAAAAGCGGCTGTACTACTTACGAACATAGTATGCAGCATCCCCTCCCATCCGTAGAATGCAGTCGGTCCACTCCCTCCCGTCTTCTCTAACCTTTTGATAGTATTCCGTAGCTTCTGCCCTTGATATTGAAGGTGGTATATGTTCTTCGATTTCATATATTAACTCCATCGGAAGTCTACCGACACATGCTTCGCGGAAGGCATTTATTCTTTCCTCTCTGATCTCTGGTTGCTGTGCTGGCACAGTTCGGGTCGTGTCCTAAATTAGATATGTTATGGTTACTATTGTTAAATTTCCGGGTTAAAACTAACTAAAGGAAACAGCTTTCAATCTTCATACCACTGTAAATTCTTCTGATGGGTCGCAAAGTAGGAACTGGAGGAGCTTAATGTATCCAGATTTTGATTCGTCGCGAAGGCAGCATGCCCACCCCCTATGGTGATATATATTCGGAAATGCAATGCCTTGGTTTTCCTATAGCAGGATTTGGGTCAATCAATAATCTGTATATATTAGGATGTATAGTCTGGGGCCGCAGCAGTATACACACCCCCAACTCGACGTTACCGATATCCTGGCAGGTATCATGTTTTTCTATGTCAAAAAAACCCTCCGTATCGTCCCCAGTGTCTAAAATCGAGACTGCTGCCTTATGAGGATCTTTTGCAAATCCTCGGCGGAAACTAAGTCCGAATTCGGTAACATTTTCTTGGTGGTAGCAATATATGCCACTGGCCACAATACGTTCATTCTGAAAAAAAAAGGGTGTCGGGTTAGCATCAGATATGTCGATATAGAAGTTTTGGACCTTCTTCAGTGGTTAATATTATAAACTTTCTACTAACTTTCGTGCCATCTACTCTCCATCCTTCGCCAGTATACCACGGCTTTTTTGGTGATATCACGATATGCATCATTTTTATGATAACTTTTACTGTTCTTCCCTCCAACTTGTCACTATCCAATATTTCGGGCTGGGGGGGTGTCCACATTTCTGCTAGTCGCTCTCGAGGATTTCTCACGACATCTCCTGACCCCCCGCTAGGTGGTATAAAGGGTTCAAGCTCGAAGTCTTTTGAGAATGTTTCCCAATCTACCGTTGAATTGGAATCCTTCTTTTCGGTCCTAAATTTTGCCATCTCCGGTTGATCGTCTTCACTCTCGGGTGAATACCCAGAATCCCATCTTACCCTACGAATCTCCCCTTTGCCCTCTCTCAAGTCCGCTAAAATGTGGTTAAACAATGGTACAAACCCTTCAAATATCTTTTGAAGTATAGGATAAAACAACTCCTGCTGTTTTTCCGTCGCTAGATTGTTTATGTAGGAAGCGATTTTGACCTTTCCTTCTTCAGAGATCTGGAATTCCGATGGGAGCCAACAGAACCTTTTGGAGTACTTCCTCAAGATAACTGGATCATGATATTGAGCCAAACCCGGCGTAAAGGCTGGTGGGTCGGGACCAGATGGAGGTTGAATGATCTTGCCGTCAGAGTTGGTAGTCTGCCCATATATGATGGGCCAGAATGAGGGATGTACTAAACTCCAGACCTGGCCCTGACTATCCCGATGCCATATTTTCCTTCCTCCGGGAATATCTTCTAGTAGCTCCATAGCTTGAAGAGACATTGGGCGAGTAAGTATGTATAGACCCGGTTATTAATTTGAATTAAAATATTAATTGATTGAAGTCTGGCACGGGTATTAAATATTTACCTTTAACTAACCCTCTCCACACTTCCTCCTCAACCAATCCATTCGTCTTCCAAACTCCATCAATACTCGGTTCGGCCTTCTTCCCGGCCTTCCTACTTTTCGTTACAAAAGGTCTATATCTTTCGACCAACTCCGTCCACACAAATTCCGTATCTTCGTCACTCCAAACCGCAGCACCCGTATTTAACCGGGGTAAAAACTTATCATTTTCTTTCGCTTCCCTTAATTTTTGGTTGAAATACACAGGATCGTCCAATTTTGACGTCCACTCGGGATCATCACGGAAGTGCGCCGAGAATTTGCGAAGACATTGTTCACGATAGAGAATTCGGGTGGTGAAGACGTTGTCGGACGGGTGGGGGTAGAAGGAGCTCTTGGTGGAGACATTTGTGTCGGTCATTGTTGGATATATGAAGATGCGGGCACATTGAGGTTTTTTTGAGATACACCCATGTGATTTGAGGAAACTGTGACCCAAGTTCTAGATATCATAGATCGCCCATGGTATATACCCTATGAATATATGCATAACTTAAGCTGGGAGCAAGGCTTGGTATGACTTCTATGCATATATCCGGCCTATAAGCTTACGCTACTGACCTGTTTCGGCCTCCACTCGTGCCTAGCTAAATCGATCCTGGGCTGAGATATCTTGATTACCCTGGTCGGATTCGACAAGCACCGAATAGGCCTAGTCCCAGCCTTCGATGAAATAAAGTATCAATTACGAACAACTTACATAATCTAGTTTCAACGTTTTCGAATTTCAACTGCCTCGGAATCAATTGAAATTTTGAGAGTTCAAAAGCTGGATAGTATAATAAATCAATCCACCGTCGCACATGAACACATCAATGATCTAAAGCGCAAGTAAAATCACGGAATCAGCCTACCACGAAAAAGGCAATTCAGAATGAATCATTTCTTGGCTATTTTCCCCTGGTTGTACCATTCCAACAAATTATTATAGCCAAATCTTTCAATTGATCAAACAATTCAGTTGGAATCGCAATTCTTATAAAAAGTCTCCACTTGATCCCTCTGAGATCAAAATTACCAAGGACTTACTTATTCCTTACCAAGCTCGGACGTATAACGGATTTCTATAGCCCTATAAGGCGAACTTTCTTCCTTACCTAATCAATTCTCTCGAAATCTCGAGTGAAAACTGAAGCTTAACTTAAAATTGTACGTCATTCTGAATCCAGGAATTTCCTAATTCGACAATACTAATTCGATAATAACACAAGATCAACACACTACAGTTTATCTTTTAATTCACAACCTCACAGTGAACTAAGCTTCTATCTACACTCTCCCACCAAATTAACTCCGACTCCATAAGATACCCAAATCTATTCTATACGAATATTTTAGCTCGTCTCACAGAATGCCTCGTCAAACCCTCCACCCAAAGTCCAAGACCGGTGCAATCAGCGGAAATGCTTCGCACCTCTACGTGCCCGCCGATGGCATTGTCGTCACGGCCCAGCAATCCCGCTTCCACGTTGACGCCGACCTCTCAGCCGCCAGTCTAGAAATAGACATCAAGGATCTCTCCGTAACTGTTCAAAACAGAGATCTCTTGCAGCATGCCCATTTACGACTTCTCGAAGGACGTCGGTATGTTCTTTTTGGGAGGAATGGAACAGGTAATTAATTTACTCTATATCTATACCATCAATAATAATATATGAAGATTAAACGAAGCGATTTTTTGATATATGAAGGAAAATCAACTCTCCTCAAATGCATCGCCGAACAACGTATCCCAGGTCTTCCACTGAACCTCCGTACCCTTCTTCTTTCCCAAACAAGCCAATCGAAATCTCTAACCTCCCCGACAACTACTACTCTCGAATATGTCCTCCGTTCGGACACAAAGCGAGAACTGGCCCTCTCCGATTCTTCTTTAATTCAAAAAGCCTTAGAAGATACCAACAACCCTCTTGAGATCATCAAAGTGTACCGAAAGCTTCGTCACGCAAGACTTTCTCGAGACTTCGAGCGGGCAAAACTAATCGCCGAAAGGCGATCAGGCGCCAGAGGCTGGGATGCAAGAAAAGTATTAAATAAAATGGAAGATGAAATGCTTGCGTCGGAGTTATCAGTTACTTCCATTGATTCTTCAGTACCAGCTACAACTCTGGAAGAAGAAACGAGACTAGCAGTTGAGATGCTGGATGATTTACAAATGTATCTTGAGTCGACTGCTGCTTCGCAGTCTTCTGTTAATGCTAGGGGGATATTATTAGGTCTTCGGTTTACAGATGATAAAATCGACGGACCGTTCTCAGCACTTTCGGGAGGATGGCAGACGAGGGCGTTACTTGCTGCTGCGTTGTTCCAAAAGACGGATGTGCTGATGTTGGACGAACCTACGAATTACTTGGATTTACCATCGATTATATGGTTGGAACATCATCTTCAGACGATTGAGGATACGACCTTGGTAGTGGTTACACACGACCGTACTTTTGCGGACAAAATCGGAACGGATTTGATAGTTTTGAGAGAACAAAAATTGGAAGTATTCGAGGGCACACAAACGGCCTGGGAAGTTGAGAAATGGAAGCAAATCAGGCGAATGACGAAGATGAAGGAGGCGCAAGATAAGAAGGTTGCACATATGCAACAGACGATTGATAATAATGCTGCGGCAGCTAAACGAAGCGGAGATGATAAGAAGTTGAAACAAGCGGCTTCAAGGAAGAAAAAACTAGAGGAGAGGACGGGAATGGAAGTTGGATTGAAAGGTGGGAGGTTTAAACTTAATAGGGATTTGGCTGGATATCATCTTACGAATCGAGCGGAGATCGAGATTCCTACTATGGATAAAACAGCTGTTGTGAGGTTTCCTTTAGACCCTCCAGATTTGCGGTTCCCGGGGTCACTCGTGGCATTGGAGAACGTGGCATATAGGTATCCAAAGGCGAAGCAAGACCAAGTCACTGGTATCAATTTAACGATCCATCCTGGTGCAAGGGTGGGCTTGTGCGGACTGAACGGATCCGGAAAGTCGACGATTATCAAACTGTGTATTGGACAGTTCAAACCTAGAGTTGGGAGTGTAACACTTCATTCCAGGTTAAAGGCCGCATACTTTTCACAGCACACTGTCGAGGAACTAGAGGTTCTATCGGCAGCGAATCCAGAACTTACAGCTTTATCTCATATGCAGGCTTCCGCGCCTGAGCTGACGGAACAAGAAGCGAGAACGACACTGGCCGGATTTGGATTACAAGGAAGGATCACAAGCGATGTACCTATGGGAAGCTTAAGTGGTGGGCAGAGGAGTAGAGTCGCCCTGGCTAGTTTACTGTATACTCCGCCTCACCTTTTGATTCTTGATGAAGTCACCACCCACTTGGATAGCGACACGATCATCAGTCTAGTTGATACTCTCAAAGAGTTTAAAGGTGCAGTTCTCGTCGTCACCCACGACCGTTTCTTTATGAGGTGTGTGGTGGAAGGCGAAAGTGCGCACGAAGATGAGGATGGAAGTGATGAAGACGAAGATTATGAGGACACCGGAAAGGGAACGTACAAAGCCCCGAAGGGAACAGTTTATAGAGTTAGTAAGGGCAACATGAAGATAATGGAACGAGGAATGGGGCAGTACGAAGAAATCGCAGAGAAGAGCAGCAAGAAGTTGATGGAAGGTCTTTCATAAGTCTCAAATTTGAGGCTGGTACAGTTAATATTACACTAACTTTTGTCTATATATATTAATATGACAAACGGTCAGATGATGACCGTAAAAAAATTCATGAAATCATGAATTATAACCCACCAATTAACTCCCCGTATAAAACCTGTGAAGATGTATAGTCCCAGAAAATGATACGTTTACTCCGCAACAGCCCTCTTTGCCATCTCCAAAGCTCCTTCGTATGTCTTGTTTCCTCCAATGAATCCGCTAGCGTGGACAAAAACACATCCATCGATTCCAGTAAGGGTGCTCAAATCCTCATCTCGAACACCCCTCCATTTCTCTGGCAATCCCTTTCTATTCTCGAAGCTATCCTTGCTGATAGAAACAGCCTGGATTCTCCATCCTTTCCCATCGCTGTACAAAGCGTACAAGGTCTCGCCCTTGATTCCTTCTTCTTCCTCAACACTGAACAAATGCTCTTTCCATGGACACGAGATCCCCAAGTTGACGATCTTGCCAGATGGGTCAGTTTCGAAGCGCTTCTTGACAGCATTGACTACAATCTCTCGTGCTGGCAACCACGCCTTGGAGTAGTAGTCAAGCTTATCAACGAAAACATCGCCCATAAGCTTCGACGCCTTCTCAAACTGCGAGTTACTGATTTCGTCGGTGATAGTCTCGTTCCATCTTGGGTTCAAACTACCAACCATGGATGGCAAAGTAATCCCCTTCTCAGAGAAAGCAGGAGCTCCAGCAGATGTAGGGAACGCGGAGATACCATTGTCATTCGCATCAATGGCTTCAATGAACTCCGTGTAAAGCTTTTGGTACAAAATCTCGACACGGGGATCGTTGACGTCAATATCAGTTTTCAAAGAGATGATCTCTTTGCCGAAGTATTTGTAGATCAGACCAGCAGAGGAGAGTCTGGTAACATGTTTGTCAGAGAAGGTCTCAGTGAAGGTACGTTGGTGATGATCGAAGTGTTTGGTATGGTCGCAGACGCCGGTGACGTCGACGATGATGTCGCAGGCTTCGAGAGTTGGTGGATCTCGGGAACGAACTACGGGGGAGTCCTTATAGGTTGGAGTGAGACGGAGGAGGTAGACTGCTAGGGCTTCATCGGCCTACGCGATGTTAGTGGGAGATTACATAGCGGAGTATGGCATGGTGGGGTTTACATGGAAGGCACCACTAGATGAAAATCAGTAAGACGTATAGAGAAATAGTATAGATTGTATATCAAAGACATACTTGTGAGTTCCAATGGTCTTTTGCTCGATCTTGAGCTTCTTTGCAGGATTGGCCAACTGGTCGGCGGCAGACTTAGTGGTCTCCATTGTGGATTGGTGTCGATGTCGTAAACGGGCTGACGGGAAGATAATAGACAGTTGAAGGACTTTTCGACTAGATATTTCGATGCTTAGAGGGGTTCTTGTAAGTATTCTCGTTGTAGCTATGAGAATACGTGTGTTCATGGAGGGGTTGAAGTTGGAGAACCTGGGGAAAGGCTGAGAGGCGCTGAAACCAATCAAAAGACCTCAAAATCAAAGCCAGGCAACACATAAAATGCCACAAAACAGACTCGTTCTTACGATCAAGACTGGTAGTTGCAATTGGGGAGCTGACATGTCGACAGCGGGGTATTATTATGACTCCACCAAGTTCATATTGATATCAAACAAGCAAACAAACAAGCAAGCAAACAAAAAACCAGGACTCCGTTATTTGACATAGTAAACATACAAAGGTACAAAGGTAGACGCTCAAAAATTAATTAGTTAGAAATAGAAGTAGAAATAAAGTGCTAGTGTAGGACCGGCCCTTCCCGAATGATCCTAGCCCTTAGATTTACATCATTTCATATGTATTTGCCCTCACTGGTTGCGGGTAAGCCTCTAACAGCTTGTCGCTTTCTGCCTCTTTCTTTTTCTGCTGCTCTGCCGGTTTCTTGTCTTTGTTACCCTCTTCTTTCTTGTCATCTTTAACTTCCACTTTCTTCTTCTCGTCTGTTGGCATCATCATGTCCGAGCTGGCAATCTCAACCGCTTGAGTTGTGGGTTGATACCAGCCAGTCTGTGGGTTCCAAGCAACTGGTGCCTGTGCCCTCTTCATGGCCTGTTCGTATTCAAACCCCATTTGCGAGTGCATCGCCGCGTTGTTTGGGACAGGAGGGTAAGCATAGCCATACGGTTGCTGATATCCCGGCGGAGCAAGTTGCCCACCGGGTTGAGCGCCATAGCTTGACCATGACTGTTGGGATTGGTAGGACATTCGAGGATCTTGGGAATAAACGCTCATGCGGGGATCGGACATTCTTGGATCTGAGCTCGATATAGATGGCGGATAGTTTCCGTGTGCTACTGTTGGCGACGATGTTTCGTAAGGATATTGCGGGTTGTTCGGGTGAGCCATATAAGCGGGGTGAGTCGGCATTCCCATCGGGTCTACTGGGGTGGGGATCTGCCCCGGCGTTATAGGTTTATTACCCATCGGGAACTGCTCTGCAATAGCCTCGTCCATTTCTTTGCGTTCCGCTTTGGCCATGAGTCTGTCAACAAGAACCGAGTGTGCCTTTTTTAGGGTCTTTTTGACGAAGGAGGAGAGGATGAAGTTGCATTTTAGATCGACGTCTTCACGGATGTAGAGTCCTTCTTTGGGCACCGTGATTCCGAGTTCTAGTGGCTCTTTCGGTTCGCCTGCATAATTTAATTGCTTGTAAGCACAGAGTTAAGGTATGATATTAATTTAATATAAGATATATACCTGGTAAGGAGCCCCTCAAACTCCACATACTGCGAATATCCACCCCAGCAGGCGCTCTACAATGAGTCTGGACTCCATTTGGTAGATCATTGAAACAGGCCGTATAAGAAACATTACCACTAGCGATACCGCCAGGGAGATAATGAACTTTATCTGTCAACGAATACCAGATGCACGCGGCTTCATCGGCAGATGCATTTTCAGGGGCCTTTATGGGGTGTCGTTCGATAACCAACGGGTTGAGATCTATCATAGCCTGATGGTCGTGGAAAAAGTCGATGACTGTTTTCCGGTGAAGGGAGGCGGGGAGGGGCGTTATCGTTGTGAAGACATTCCGCTTTGACATGTAACTCGACATTTTGGAATTCGCTGACGGGGATTTCGGCCGATAGGGCGGCGCAAATATTTAAAGAAGTTTAAGGGAAAATTCGCGATGCTAAGAAAATTAGAGAGAAATGGTAAGGGGAAAGTTGGAATAAATGGGAATCAAGTGTGCGACAAAGGGCTGAGAAAATGACTGACTGACCGTCAGCAGGGTAAACGCTTAGGCTGGAGAATGAACAGGGTGCCCAAAGTTACATGGATACCTTTGGATGACGAAGAAGCTTTTATATGAACGGCGCTATTTGAAAAAATGGAGCTTACTTATCAACTAGCCCAAATGCAAGGGTTACACGTAAGGCCTCGAAGGGAGGGGGGTAAGAAAAGAAAATTTTGAAGAGACGTGGAAGAAACGATCTGTCCTGCCTGAAAAATCCATGTGCAGTTATCGTTTCAGATTATGTTATTGGGGAATTTTAATATAGAAGCAGTAGATTATCTCATCAAGGCGCTTCCTTTGCCCTCGCTTGCGCCTTGGCCGTGGCTGGGGAACCAAGGAAGACATTTTGCCCTCACGATGTCATCGTTTGGTTCCCCAGACTATGTTTGGTTGAGAGTTGAATTTGGCGAAAGCAGTTAGACTTCGACACATCAACAGGTGGATCTGTACTGGATAACAGGTTTCAGAAGCGCCACCAGGCGCATATGCATTACTCGAGCAGATATCCAACATGTAATGCAGTCGAATTGTCGCAGTTTATCCATCCTGCAGCCCTGCCGTTAAAGGTCGTTATCTGACAGGATCCAAAAGGGCAACCCGTCGGAAGCCAAGGCTGGGCTGAAGTCCCAAACGTTTCGATAAATTTGAATATATGCAATATCATGGCAATGGGTAGAAGTTGTATGCGAGGACAAGGGCTACCATGTATCGGCTCGTATTCGTCTGCTCATGTTTTACCCAACCAAGCTATTGCTCCCTCTGCGACGTACGGGTCGATATGGGTTGACGATTCACGTATCTTGAAGGCCTTTCAAGACTCGTGCCTGACTGTGTACTCTGCTTGTGTGGCCAACCGGCATCTGGGTACGGGACTCATCGGCTCACAGAATCGTATCGAATCGCCTAGAAATTTCGAAAAGTCTGCCCTGTGTTGGAAGTATTAGGGTTTTTCCTGTCGCCAGAAGGGCCGAGCTTTGAGGCTCTAAGATCCCGTGATCAATTGCAACTGTCATCTATCCCTGACGCGTCTGCAGCTGAAGCTTTCAATCGCAATCTTCACACCCGTCCCCATCACCAACAATCAACGATCAAAAGTCCCATCCCATTTAATCCGCATTCGGCTTCTGCCAGCCGGTCTTCTTGGTAAGTTTGATCACGATCTTTAAATAGCTGCTCGCGCTCGGATCGGTTCTGGATCGGCCTGGGTTGAAAGTTAGCTTGTCGGTTAGCGAGTCCCATGAGGCAAGGTTGCAACCAGTTTTGGTTCAATCGCAACTGTACTTCTTTCACCTCCGAACTGCGATCTCGCGTCCACCACCAACCATCCAGGTCCACCAACATCCCTCCGCACCAACAGCTTCACCACCAATCACCTGCTAACGCCATCTCTCCAAAGCTCTCTCAAGACTTAATTTTCCTTGAACTGTCGCTATTGATCCCTCTGTGAAGGTTTGAAAAGCCCTTGTTAGCTCTCGCATGTTTCTTATTCTCGGCATGGATGGATGGATCCTTAGCTAACTCGACCAGCAAACAGGACGATCTCTCCACACAATCTACAACCAAAATTTCTTCCGTGTTCTCATAGTTCCCCAAACCAACCGTCAACATGAACGCTCCAGATAGGTTTGTACTCTCCTGTTCCTCTGTGTCAATAGGATGGTTTCTCCAGGGTATCCTCGGCATGGCACTAGCATCTGGCAAGGCAATCAATGGGTGTATTGCACCTCTGTGATGCCCAAGCTCCGGTTTTCCCTCAACACCATCGATGTATTATCACACGTCTCGTTCGAGGCTTCCCATGTTGGTGGTGATGGAGCTGGACGTCCTGTTGGATGGATGGATGGATCGTTGATGATGTCTGGGTGTTGGCAATGGGGGTGTGAGGTGTGAGGTGTTGGGTGTAGATAAGTCTGTGGGGAGCTTTGCTGGGTATCAAGCTGCTGCCACCGCTGTGGGCAGAAATGCCATTATACGCAATGGCCAGCCATACCGTCTACAGCCAACAAAAGTTTCCCTCATTGCCGTTACTCTCAACTATAAAAGCCCCATCTCTCTAGCACCATCATCATCACCATCCACCAACCATCTACACGAACGCCTCCATCATCATCATCATCATTGCACATCCAGCTCCGTCCACACTTGCACTGCTCTCATTATCTCTATCATCATTCCCAAATCCCCAAGCTCTCCATATCTTGTTCCTCCCCTATCCAATCATCGTTTTCAAAATGTCCAAGCTTCCACCAGGAATCACTGAGGATGACCTCTATCCTAAGGACAAAGTTGATCCAAAATCATCACAACCATCATTTGCTGTTCCAACTCGTTCCTTCCCTGCCGAGCGAGCTGTTTCATTCAATCAGGCCGGTGGCTGCTCCACCATCCGTGCTCAACCCTGGAGAAACCGTCCACATGGTTTCCAAGACTTTGCTTTCGGTACTGACGCTCCTGAAAGGTTTGAGCTCTTTATTATGGGGGATGGCGAAGAGAAGTAAGTAAATTATCCAATCCGAAAGAACCTAAATAGCTTGATTGGCAGCTAACATGCTTGACAGGGTCACCGCCGTCGATGAAACCCGTATGAATTTCTTAAATTTTCCCTTAGCAGGCTTGAGTATCGAGAAACTAACATGAGTAACTAGGGGTCCCAAACTGTGTGACCTTCACCTTCAACAAGGAGGATCATACCCTGGGAAACCTCCTCCGTTCCCAACTCCTCAAGGACCCCAAGGTCCTTTTCGCCGGGTACAAGGTACCCCACCCCCTCTTCCCGTCGTTTGAACTCCGTGTTCAAACCACGGATGAGACCAATCCCCGTGCTGCTGTCATCAAGGCAGCACAAGACCTCATTAAAGATCTCACGATCTTTAGAAACAACTTCACACGCGAGTGGGAGTTGAAGAAGATGATCGACCCTGCCAAGGAGGGCAACTAGGCCCTCGTGCCTCCCTCCTTTGTCTTCTTCTTCTTCTGCCTTTTCTTCATCTGTTTTCTGGGCCATAGTGCCATTTTCACTGTCTTAAGATAGACAAACATAATGATAAACTCTATCTTTACTTTCTGTTCCTTTTACGTTCCTATTACTTTGTTCCTACTATTGCATATCCACATTTTGCTCCTTCTTCCATACTTCCTCTTCCTCTGCCTTTTTAGCATCAATTGTATCATACCGGGCATGGTGTTTATAGAATGAATGATATTCTGGTTCTGCTTTTGGGAATCTTCTCGTAATCACTCTATTCTTACTGTTTTTATATCCGTTTAGACTTTTGGGCCTCTTCTCTACATACGTACCTATCTAAGTACATAATATCTACTTACTAAGTATCTATCTATCTAAGTACCTATCTATCTAAGTATCTATCTAGTGTAGGTAGCTACCGTATACCTACATAGGTAGTAGCCATGGATAGGTAGGCTAGGTAGGCTAGGTAGGCACTCCCCCATAGATTTACCACGCACCTAGCTATTAGGGGACTAGGAGCTATGGGTGCTTACTTACGTAACCAGGTACCACCACTACCTATAGTTGTATATACCTAGTCTCGAGGCTGACCTACGTATGAGTCTAGCTATAGAAGTGAGGATAATTCCAAGATGATTGAAAAGAGGAGATAACACACTCCCGTTCTTTGGCACTCGAAGCCCTTAATCCTTTTCCGCTGTAAATAATATAAAAAAACCAGGACACAAATAGTTATGAACATGAAAAATATCCCCCTCGTGTGTACACACAATCCACTCTTCCCCACCTTCCATTCCCGTCTCTAGGGTCGACTGGACTTTGATTCCCTCCTCTTGATGGTTCTAAATACCTAAGTTCTCGCACTTTCCCAACAGCCAAAGCAAAAACAGGTTGAGAGAGAAAGAAAAACCCAACAAAAACATGCAGGGATAACATTAACAAGGAGTACAAAAGAGGAGGAGCAAAGGATAATCGTAAGGTAGAATTCTATAATACAGTTTTAGTGGTGGAGTTAGATGAAGGAGGAAGTGTGGAGATGAAGGGAGAGTGACAAAATTTTGTGGAGAAGAGGTCGCCCTGGGTGTATTTTTTGTTTAGTTTTGTGATTATTCCGTATATACCCGCCTATGATTCCTTAAAATCAAGGAATCGGTTGAAATATGCTTCTTCGTCGTGCTCAGTATCAAGGTAAAGATACGGTGAATTTTCTCTCCTCTCTCTCAGTGATGGCTTCTTGACACCTCCTTCGATCCTTTAATCCAACAAGCCAAACCACCTTCCATGGTCTTCACCCCCCCCTCCTTCATCCATGGAGGGGAAAAGGGTGAATTTGAAGGCCAAAAAGTTCTCATTTATAAGAACTTTTCTCTCTTCCTATTGTATGCTCTTTGATCCTTCAACCACTGTCTATATTGTGACAGCGATCCAATCTTTTCTCCATAATAATCTGGCACTGGGTTTGAAAAACTCTGGAATGAAGGATCAACGCGGTTCTTCTTGATATGAGCGAAGAATTCCTTTTCTTTCTATATTCCCGAATAATATATCTTATATTAGCAATCATTTCTTCCTCCCTGTCGTATATGGTATGATGTGTGGTAAATTAGAAAGGGAAAAGTACCTTTGTAATCTCTCCCATCCACCTTCGATTAGCAATCTTGAAAGCCTGAGTTCCAGCAACAGGTCCAATCAACCACCCAGTAGCACCACAGGCGATCAATCCAATACCAAGCACCATAAGTGGATCTAAGCCCCAAATCATCTTCGAAGGATCAATCTCCTGTGTTCCCAGAATATTAAGACCAATAGTCGACGTAAGCATGGAACAAACAATTGAACCTGCGAGATTGTAGCGACGCTTTTGTTTACGTAGTTTGAGAAAAGTGTTCCAATCGAGCGGGTTTACTGAGGTGGTGGTGGCGCTGGTGGGAGGTATTGACGTTGATGAGGCGGTTGTTGTAGAGGAGAGACGGCGGAGAGGTTGAAGGAACGTCTGGGAGGGTCGGAAGGGAGCATGCAAGAACGGTGAGGCCGTTCGGAGGCCCAGACGAGTGAAGGTTGTGGCCATTGTCGTGAAGTTGGCGGGGTGTCGATAGATCGATGGATGATGGTCGCCCGACTCCGTGCAAGCGGAAGTATCGAATAGAGATCAACAGATACAACTAAATTGTACCTCACTCTCTTCTTCTTCTTCTTCTTCTCTCTCGTGCCTTTATTCCCGTCGAATTCGGCGATCTAAATGCTGTCTTGAATTGATTGGAGTACCGTCGGTTCTTCAATATCGTTATCTCGCAGTTCTTTGGTGGAGGCTGTTTGGCAGAGAAAAGGCAGGTTCAATGCCAAGACAAAAATTTTGAGCTTTTGTTCTGTCGACGGTTTTCCATTTTTGTCTTTTCGATTTCTTCTTGTTTTCAATACCACCTTTTACGAACCCAACAAACCCATCGCTCGTCACCCGACGTTTGCAGCTATTCTTACGAAGAAAAGCTCACTAGCTATTATTTTCGATTCCATCTTATTGCTATTGATTAGTGGTTTACCCTTGCGATAGCGCTTGATTAGAGCTTTTCAATATGGCTGCGTGGGGTATGTGGGCTCTGTCCTCCTGTGCCCCGCTATCGATAAACTCACCGAACTATCACCAACTTTTACTAACTCTTTTTTCTTTCAAAACTTGGAAACATATAGATGACGAAGAAAGCGATGGTGGTTCTCCACCTCCAGTTGTTAAGAAGAGCAAGTTCGATGATGAAGAAGAAGAAGCCGAGGTTCGTGCAACCTTATATACACATACGCACTAAGAAGTCTAACACAGTTGCATATCTAACAGGTCGCCGACGCCTGGGATGCCGAGGACTCCGACGAAGAACGCGAAAAAGCCGCAAAGAAAGCCGAAGCCGAAGCAAAACGTCAAGCCGAACTAGCCGCTAGCAAGAAGTCAAAAACCCAGAGGATAGCGGAACGTCAAGCCGAACATGCTGCTGAGAAGGCACGTCTGGAAGCTGAAGAAGAAGATGAAGACCCGGAATCTATCCGTGAACGTGGTCGTCAGGCTGAACTTGCTGCGGATTTGGCTTCTGCTGGTGATTTACTCGGTGCAGTTGCTGCTGGTTCTCAGAATTCGAGAAGGGTAGCTGCAGATCGTTCGCTCATTCAGCATAAGACCGATACCGGTGAACAGGTCATGCTAGATCTTGCCGACCTTCCATTGTTCCAACCGAAGCTGAAGACCGAATTCGATGAGATCAAGGACAAATTAGTTCCATTATTTGTCAACATGCAAAAGAAGGGCCATTATCCCATCTTCCTTCAGGAGTTCTTTAGAGAAACATCGAAGGGGTTGAACAGCGAGCAGGTCAAGAAAATTTCCTCGTCGCTTACTACTCTAGCGAACGAGAAAATGAGGGAAGAGAAAGCAGCTGATACCAAGGGCAAGAAGACATCAAAGTCCAAGGTGAAGGCTACGGTTACACTTGGTGGCGCTGGCGCTGGTAAGAGCCATACCGCTGATACCACGAATTACGATAAGGAGATTGATGATTAGTACGTTCTTCCCCTTTACCTGATGTTATCTCTTCACTCCGCAGTATAGCTCACTAACGTACACTTCTAACAGTGATGATTTCATGTAAATAACCGTACACCATGGTTTTCTCGACAAACGCTGCTGCAGGGCTGCTCCCATCACCCCGCTCTCCCAGCTTCCTGCATCCCTAATTGCATAAGACGCTCATATCTAGATAAAATTATGCATACGACGTCTTTCTTTCCTCCTTACCTTCATCTTTCATCTATTTTCCTTCATCCGTATTCTTTTCCGGCGTAAAAAGTTCTGGCTTTTCCTTCTTTGATAGCGCAGCTCCTTTTGTGGGGCGTACAAAAAGAAGAATAGGCGTATTTTTTTGGGTGGGATTAGGGGAGAGGAAGGGTTTGGTGGTCTTTTATCTAGATTTATACGATGATGACGACGACAATGATGATGAATAGAAGAGGTGATAGTAGCATCTGATGGGTCTTCATAACTCTATGGCTCGTAGACTGCATTAATTGTTATACGAATAATGCTCTTGAGAACTCAAGCCCGAAGGGCTGCTCTACAATATGCATATATGCCATCGCTAAAATACTAAAATGCTAGATCTAACTTCTAGATCTACTTTAATATTCGCCTCCAACCTCAGCATCAAGATCTCTGACGATGAATAATTCCTTCAGACTACCGTCTCCTTCAATTTGCAGCCCCTTTTCATTCGCCAAATGTAGTAACGAAATAAAGCAGTAACTAGTACTGATATCATTCATTGCCTGCTTCGGATAGTAGGTTTTCAATCCGTTCATCAATGTCGTGAAAGTTCTTGGCACATCCGGTGGAGGTGGTGTCTTCGGTTCCTCCGCCGGTGCCGGCGTCTGTTCTGTAACGGATTGTTGAGGTTTACCCGGTGTTTGTGGAGGCTGGGGGTAATAGGATTTATTAGGACACATAATTTGGGAATGCTGGAGACCGGGAATATACATACCAGATCGATGCTTTCAAACAGCATACCTCTCCACATCGTCTCCTTCAACTTTCTGACGTCTACTTTCTTCGCTACTCTTGCGTATTGTACATACTCAGGACGTATGCGACGGCTACTCGTCACCAATTGTGCGCCATAACCTAGTTCCGGCTTTTTCTCGTCTACCAGAGGAATTACTGGATTTCCGTTCTCATCTATAGTAGGTAGGGCGCCTGCACCCATATCCCTTTCAGGCGAGAATATCTCTCTAGCATCCGCAAAGGCGCCATCATCTTCATCTTCGATGCCACCCAATGGCTCGTCGTGGAAGAAGTTGGCATCGTAGTCGCCTTGTTGACGTTCCGGTGCTGTAACATAGTATTAGAATTTGAAAGGTGTGGGGGTGGTAAAAAGGAGCAGGCATACTAGAAGTAACAGCGATCTCGTTCTGTGCCCAGAACTGCTCATCCATGACCATATCGTCATTATTTTCCCCTTCGGCGCCCCTGACTGGCATTTGGCCCTTAACCGTCTTCTTGCTACGGAGCATAGCCTTGGGCTTAAGAAATAGTCGAATGAGCTGGCGGGAGTTAAAATGCTTGTCATCAGGCAGAAGGTTACGACCCTTATGCCTTAGCTGGGTTTTGGGCATATTGATACTAGCATTTGAGGTGGCGAATAGAGCGTCTGCATCGTCGAGGTTTTGATCCGGAGTGACGAAGTCGATTGTGAAAGGCGCCTTTTCCTTGCGAATTCTAGGAGCTGCATCTCCCTTGTTTCCCTCTGTACCCGCGATTTAGTTATGAGATATCCACTAAGCAGAATTGGCCATATATACAAACCTTTGATTTTCCTAATCTTCCAGTGCTCAGGGCCTGCCCAGTTCTTCTTCAATGCCTCGTCGAAGTAAGCTAGAATGTCCTCCTGCTCAGCCTCACGACCGGCACCGAGTCTAACGGTGTAGTCGTTGTCATTAACATCGAACTCTCCGTCTACGTCGATATCAACTTCTCGCGTGGGGCCCCCGCTTCGCTCTCCGCCCATTGTTTGGTTAGCCCAGGCTTCTCCCCCTTGGCCATATAGGGCGGCCTCGGGGCCTCCTAGGGCGACCTCGAAGCCACCACCCCCAAAATCTCCATCGTCATCGAAGCCACCGGCGTCAAATTCGTTTTCTTGTTCAGCAGCAAGCTCTTCTTCTTCTTTTTCTGTCAGGGCCTTTAGGAAGGGGATGTCAAGTGAGGCTGTGGGGTCACCAAGTGCGAAGTTTTTGAGAGAAGGGCAGACATCAAGTTCTTCGATTCTGTCGATGTCTGGGAAGAATTTTTGGGCAAGAGCATCAAGGTCTAGGGGGATTTCTGGGGCTTGCTCCTTCTTCTTCTTCTTCTCTGCTGCTTGGCTGGCCTCGGTGATAGTATGGTCCATGGTGTCCTCTCCGACCTCCGTAGCATCGCCTTCAGCAACCTCATCGTCACCATCTTCAACATTTACAAGCTCGGCCGGTTCTGCAGTATTTGTCGAGTCTTTGACGTCGTCGCTTGAGTCGAAAACAATCCTCCCATGCTCGTCAATAGAAAGCACGTTCAAGAGTAAACCTTTCGCACCACCTTCGTCAAAGTCTGCAGCAGCTTTCTTGAATAACGGGTCTACTGCAAACTCTAGATCGAATTTCTTAAGCTGCAACTGCGACCAGTCCTTAGCCAGAGTTATTTCGGACCTAGTAGCCCTCTTTCTCGCCTTCTTTCTTCCACCTTCTTCATCGTCATCATCGCCGTCCTCGCCTTCCCCACCAGCACCCTCTTCTTCCTGGTTACCCTTTTTCTTGCCAGAGTTGTCGGCCAAACCGCTTAATAGTTTCCCGGTTTCAGTAGCTACGGAGTCGACTCTCGAGGTATAGATTTTGACACAACCGTCCAGAGTACATGATGCCTTTTGGAAGTTGATGCTGTTTCCTTCTTTCAGCAAGGACATATCATGGAAATAGTCGATCAAGGCGAAATTCCAGCTGTTCGTCGCATTGATTTTCTATATTCCATGCGCTTAGTATGTATTTTCACACAACAGCATATCGGAACATACGTTATCTGTTGCCATCTTCATCCACTCCTCAAAATTCGCCAATATAGGTACTTTCTTCACTGGTGTTTGTGCATTCACAGCATTTACCCCTCCCCTCGCGGCCGGGGTAGACATAATCATTGGACTGCCGCCATCATTTACACCCATTGATTTACGAGGTGTAGCAGCTGCTATGATTTTGTTCAGCTGGGCCTCCTGCAGAGTCTGACGTTTGGCATTTCGACGGGCTTTTTCGGAGTCATCGTCGTTAAGAGGAATGGTTATTGTGGTTCCTGGAGCAGGGTGGGTAGGTGTCGAGCCAGAAGGCTTTTGGTTTACTTTTTTTCGAGGAGGCATGGTTACAACGGTATTTGGAGCTCCGGGGAGCTCGAAGGCGAAGGATCTAAAGCTGTTTATGCTGCCGTGAGGCGGGTTGGGCGTGTCGTGACGTCTGGTATTATCGTGACGCTGTATTGTCGCCTCCACGATATCGCGAAGTTTGGCAGCTGTGTGGTTGCTTTGTTTACTTTGCTATGGATCCGTCGATACAACACAGAAAACAGCGCCACAGCTGCCATGTGGCTCATGCGCTAATGCCAAGACATTTGACAGACACGCAGGGTGGCGGTGTGGCGGTGTTCTCTCTCAGCCAAATGACGTTCCCCTTCCCCTTCAATCGTAGTCTGTCTTGTGCTTGTCGGGCGGACAGTTACCTATTATCTTACCTTACCTTACCTTCTCCGTCAACCCCCCCACATCCACATCCCACATAGTCTCCGACTACCCCGGCACACGATGTTAACGTAGCCATTCATTCCGCACCTTCCTGAAGTTTTTTCTCTCCTCCGATAATTATTACGTACGTAGCCACGGCGCACAGGTGGGCTGCCTGACTGGCCTTGTGCAGTCCAATCGATAAAAGTACTTGAAGTGTGCTGGTCGCAGAAAGTACGGGGTACATGCGTCTGGTACCAGTAGTTTATATACCTATCAGTTGCCCTGTTGTCGAAACCTGCAGCCTTATTTTCTTCCCTTTTTAACAAAAAAACCGTCTTTTGAACAAGCATGCAGTGCCGATAGTGCTTTATTTTTCGAATTTCACACTGGAATAAACCAGAACAAATCCCTCTTTCGCACGCGAGTCTTGGACATTGCCATCGCTCACTGATTACAATCAAGGACGATCTTGAAACCCCGCCTACACGGGGCATACGGCCACTATGCGACAGAATTTAAGCCGTATAACATGGCACATACTGCTATTGTTGGCGGTATTGGCAGTAGCGACTTCGGCGACTGCCATCACCTCGGATTCCCTAAATGATGGATCACGCATGCTGGTCCGAAATGCTAAGCCGACAACGCAGCCGACGTTTACGACCCTGATCAAGAGGGTGCTTCTGCCTGTGTCGAGATTGGAAAAGCGGGATCTCGAAGTGAGTACCTTTCTACTCAAGTATACATTTGTAGTATAATAGTCTAATACTCAGGTGGTAACTGGCGATAGTGTCGCAAAATCCATAAACCGAAATACACCGATAAATGCGCCTTCGTTCGCGAAAATTGCGAGGATGAAGAAGTCGGCTTCTTCGACTACCTGGCCCTTTACTACTGTAACTTTGGCGGCGTAAATTCGGGGTTGAAATTCATACCGATGACGATAATGATAACGTGGATGACGGTCTTGTTCACCATGATCGGTATTGCTGCTAGCGACTTCTTCTGCGTCAATCTTTCCACGATATCAACAATTCTTGGGATGTCGCAAAGTTTGGCCGGTGTTACATTTTTAGCGTTTGGAAATGGTTCACCGGACGTCTTTAGTACCTTTGCCGCGATGAAGATCAATTCTGGATCGTTGGCAGTGGGGGAATTAGTCGGTGCTGCATCGTTCATTACGGCCGTGGTTGCTGGATCTATGGCTATTGTAAGGCCCTTCACGGTGGCAAAAAAGTCGTTTGTGAGGGATGTGGTATTCTTTATGGTGTCCGTGTCATTGGGAATATACTTTTTGTATGATGGAAGGATATTACTATGGGAGTGTGTGGCTATGGTGGGGCTTTATGCTTCCTATGTGATATTTGTGGTTGGGTGGCATTGGTATACGAAACGCCAGAAGAGGAAGAAGATGATTGAGATTAGGACAAGGGGCCATTACACTGATATCGTCGACGAAGAGGAGTTGGAAGAAGAAGAAGATGCGAGTATGGGGGTACAAAGGGGACCGCGGTTGACTTTGAATACAGACTTCAGTGCTTTGGAGAGAAACGACGAGGATGTCAATGAAGATGGGGAGTCAGAGGAAGATAGGATAGAGAGGGAGGAGTTTGCAGAGCTGAACAGCAGTATGAGGTTAGGCAGACCGAGTATTGCGAGGCACGTTACACCAGTGACACCAATTCGGCCGTCTTTAATCGGTGCTCTTGAGGTATGGTTCTTGTTAAATCCACAAACTAGGTGGGCGCTGACCGGTATTAGTTTCGATCTGTTCTACAATCTCTGAACCAGGATAGGAATCTACCTGGAAGATCTATTCATCTTCGAAGTTATTCCGATGACCTACAGGAACCTAGTAGTGCCATCGAACCTGTCATCCCTCGTGCTCGTCACTCGAGACACCATTCCACAATTGATACAAGCGAATTCGAAGCTAGAAGCCGTGCACAGCCTGGAGGTGGCCACCTTGCACCCCCGACCCCTATGGGTGGTAGGGCTAGAGCCGTGTCTGTGAACGACGCGGCTCAGATATCAAATGGGTCGGATTACTTCACACGGCAGACTTCGCAGAGCAATATTCCAGGCCTGGCATCCCCGGGTTCTATCGCCGAAGAAGCTACAGAAGAGCCTCCACTTATTGCACTCGATCATGCGTCGCCACTGGCCGCGCCCCCAGGTTTTGGAAACTACCAACTTCAAGTTCCATCGTCGCAACATCTCGCACCGCCCGGCCTGTCGCCGATAGTCTCTGAGGCAGTATCTCCGTCGGCTAGCCCGTTGTTATCTAGTAGAACTAGCAGTCGGGATGGTAGCCCTTCACGCTATATGGACTCGCCGCGGCCTGTCTCTCGAAGTACTACAGGCAATGGCGATATCCCCATCATCAACCTCCCCCCTTCTGCCACATCCACAGATAACTCGGAGTTCATCACCTTGCCAGTAAGACATCCAAGACTATTCAAGTACTGGCCTTACACCATCCTTCCCGGCCCGGACGTGTTCTTCTCCACCCTTTTCCCCACACTCTACACCTTCAACGAGAAAAATATCTGGGGAAAATTTCTTGCCATCTTCTCCGCCCCTCCCATATTCCTTCTAACGATCACATTACCTATTGTTGATGTTCCCGAAGAACCCAAATCTCGCCCCCCGTCGAGAAAACCCTCTAATGGCGGGAGCGTACTACCGAGCCCCGCAAGTACAGTACCAACGGTGAACTTCGATTTCCAGCCGGCCTGGATGAAGGACAATGATGAACCAAAGGATTGGAATAGGTGGCTTGTTGCAACTCAGTGCATCACGGCTCCAATTTTCATCGTTTTAGCTGTTTGTGCTGGTAAGTTTAATACCTTTCCCTAGTTATACCATTTCTAACCGCGTCATAGGCCAAATACCCCTTCTTTTCCCAATTCTCTATGCTCTCCTCAGCGGGCTCGTAGCTCTCCTACTGCTACTATTGCTCACGAGGACGGATAGGCCGCCGAGGTATAGATACCTACTTTGTTTTGTTGGGTTCGCGGTTAGCATCTGCTGGATATCGTCGATTGCAAACGAAGTTGTCGGTGTTTTGAAAGCCTTAGGGGTTATACTTGGGATTAGCGATGCCATCTTGGGACTTACGATCTTTGCAGTGGTATGTGCCATTATAACGCTTGCAAAAGAAAAGAAAAGGTTATGCTAATTGTAATGTAATAGGGCAACTCCCTTGGCGATCTAGTAGCCGACATCACTGTCGCCCGCCTAGGCTTCCCTGTCATGGCACTATCTGCCTGCTTTGGTGGTCCCATGTTGAACATCCTGCTTGGCATTGGAGGCTCTGGGATATACATGACCATCGCTCCGTCGTCAGAAAACTATTATCAGATCGAAGTTAGTAGCACTCTAATGATTAGTGCGATCACGTTGCTCGGAACCCTGTTGTTTTTGCTGGCAGCCGTGCCGATGAACAATTGGAGAATGACGAGAGGCCTAGGATGGGCACTGGTGGGGATTTGGGTGGTCAGCACCATAATCAATGTCGTTGTCGAAGTTAGTGGAGTGGGTAAAAGATTGGAGTTCTAAGTTATCCGAGGACAAAGTTAGGTATACCATTCTTTTTGGGGAGGTTTTCATTCGTTTATATTTCTCATGGCTTGCGAATAGTTTGGGCAGGTTTGATATCTTCATCCCAGTGGAGTTTAGTCGGGTATGGCTTTTTGGAGTTTTGTTTTATGTATATGCCTTTCTCTTTTCGATTAACTGCTTCACTGCCCATTCCTCTTTCCATGGGTCGAAATTTGGTTTATTTCCCCCCTCTTTTTTGATACATATTGGTTACATACACAATACCATACCATACGAAATTCAAATTTATGTATACATTGAATCCAATATTAATGTATATACTATTAATCTGCCTTATACAAACTTTTAGAGATCATCCAATTGAAGCATCTCAGCTACATTTTACTTCACGGCGAGGTGGTATCGTATTTCTACATTAATATTACATAAGTAAATGCGTGTTTCCTTGCATGTACAGTTCCGGATTTCTCCTTCCCACAGACGTAATCGCTCCAATCGCCATTGCGTCGCAATGATGAGGCCCAATGGTATCTCGATATCTTAATGGTCGACCGGGCCTATGGCCCCCTTCTCCCACCACAATCTCTGCACCAACAAGTATAAGCCGGTACCCTCTCATCCCCATTATTCCAAGAAACTCTTCTAGGCTCCATGAGCAACATCTCGACTACCTTATTCTCCTGCTCAGCTCTCGAACTCTGCACTTTCCACACTACCGCCTCTTCCAAAGCCTCCCATTCCTTTTCTTCTTTCGGGTCCCAATTCCTTACATATCTCCTTCTCTTCATCAATTCTTTGTTCTTGAGTTTCGTCATTTTCAAAAGAAGACCATACATTCTTGTACCAGGTATAAACTGCGGTCCAAGGGTGTAATTTGGTATCCAGAAGTAACTTTTATCTGCGCCGATGAAACTGGTGTATGCGCCTCTACTCCTGGCGAAAGGTTCCCAGTCCACACAACTAAACCCAACATCGTCTAACGACCTTTTCGTCCCATCTCTAGAGTTCATCCAAGTACTTTCGTCGTTTTCATAGATGATTTCAAAACTTGAAATTTCACCTGTTCGAAATTTAGTAAATAACCAGATTAAAGCATCGGGCTTTATAAGCGAAGAAAGAGAATCAGCAGGAATTCCCCTATTATTGTCGAATTTTAAAATCCCCATGCTGATTTTTCGAAGGTTTGGAAGTTTTTTGGAAATAACGTCTGGCATGAATGGTTTTAAAAAGGGTAGGGAATAATAGAAATTCAGGTCGTAAAATATTTCGTGAGATGCTCGTCTTCGAACCCATAGATTCTCACCGATGTTTGTGGTGGAATGTATTGGTGAGATATTCGTTCGAGTGAAGTATACCCAATTGATAGTTTTTAATATAATTTCCGGAAGGGTATTCAACGTTGGAATGGTGTTTATTGCGTATCCGGCGAAGATTACTCGACCTTTTTTCAGATGATCGAGGAATTCTGGGGTTATGGCGAGTGGGTTTATGTACCGATATGGCGGTTGACCGATTAGACATTTTGAGAGACGGGCACTGAGGAGGGAATGGTAGACAGAACAGACTGTGGCGAGGATTCTGGTGAATTTGGTGGATACTTGGAGAAGAGAAGATGGGAGGGCGAAGTTTGGATTTGGATAGGAGATCGAGACGGTGCAAGGGAGGTCGTGGCTCTGAGGTTAAGAAAAGTATACGAGAATCAATTGTTAGTCTGTATGTGACAGGTAATATAATATTATATCTCGCTGTTAATAGCGTATGATACGCAGTTACAAGATTTGAGGCTTGAGATTGAGAGTAAAGAGAAAGAGATACAATATATTCAGTATAAAAAAGAGATCTAGGAAATAGGAAATAGGAAATAGGATATAAGAAATAGAAGATTTGACGGCATACTCTATGAATTCCATTCCGTTCTACACCCAGAAGTTTCATCTCCTCACGCCATTGTCTAGTTTGTATTGGTGATTCGAAGATGAAGCTTATGTTGTGATAATTGGCATCCAGGAAGTGAGAAAATATCTGATAATGGATTTCATGAGGAAGGCGTAAAAGTCTAGATGTCCCCCCTCCCCTCAACAATTAGTTAGATATTTCCAGATGCATAATATATGGATAATCAAAACTTCAATTCTTGTGATATCATATCATGTATCATCGATATCATAAATTAATACAATATTAGTTAGGCTTTTGAAGACCAGAACTAATCCAAAACTGGAACCTAGGGGGGGAAATCTGGAGGAGTTCTAACGGTGCAATATATTTACGGCCTCCTTGCGAGGTTGCAGTCATTTTCATAGCTCCGCTCAGCTCAAGAAGGGGGGATTGACCAATTGAATTCCTAAAATGTCGCGCGCAAGGTGCCGATGTTCCGTACACATACAGAGACGCTAGTGAGCTCGGTAAGCGGGGGTGCTGGCGCGGCGGTTGGGAAATCCTGTTCTGTTCTTGGAATCTGCAACTGCCAATACAGTTCTGGGCACCGAACGAGAGAATTAACCAGGTATATATATAAATCAGCTTGCGGGATGTTGGATGATATCTTTCGACCCTAAATTAATTCAAGAAACCCGATATCTCTGGCGAAGATGGTTTTTTTATTTTTTCCGAAACCTCGAGCGCGGGACTGGAGATGAAAATCTGTAGTCGCGCCCTTTAGACGCAGAGGGTGGTCGTTTAAATACTTCTTTGACAAGCCCAAGCGCCACCGCCTCACGGATCCACTCTGGTACTTACGACTAGAATGAGCAATCAGAATACATGTACCTACTTTAGTCTTCATGCATTCTCGACGAATCCCATTCATGTTTCCAAGATGTTATTTGCCACATTTTCTCCATGGCGCAGGTCAGAAATTTCGCGATCGGGCCGGCGCGGGGCGATACTTATGTCCGCTCCCTCTGCGATCAATTGGACTGAAACTAAGCTCCACGCAGCTAGCTGAAAGACACGTCCGATAACGTTAAAGTTAGTAGCCTTTGGGGTCACGAGCGTAATAGTAATATTAGTATTTGGAATGAGGCTGGATCCGAGACTTATGATGTATAATATATTATATCTTGCCAGCTTTCCCCGCTTCGCCATCTTTATACTATATACTATATCTTATAATATATGATGAATGCTTGATTAATTTCTACAATCTTATTGATTTAATTATCGAAATTGAATTGATCGAAGAGCAACATGGATCGTAAACCAACTTCATTCCCTTTCCTTCCCTATGATATCCTTCATTCAATCTTCGCTCAGCTAGACAATCTCCGCATCGAAGCCAACAAGCCACGCCGTGGCCGGCCTCAAATTCCAACAAATCCAACACATTACACTTATTTCCGCCCATCTGTCGAGGAACTACCTCCTAAAAAGCCACATGATTCCCCACGTCGCGCTGAAATATGGAGAATCGAACAGCGGAATCTTCACCAATCTAAGTACGGGTGTAAAGACGATGGTGCGCCAAGAGTAGCACCCGCACCTTTCGAGGGAGTATCGATATTTGATGGGTTGTCGAGGACTAACAAGGCTTTAAGAGAGCTTTGTGCGCCTTATATTTTTAGAAATGTGGTTTTGGCTTCGGATGATTGTTTGACGATTGATAGGATTGGGTTTTATGCAGATGAGAAGCAGAAGTGGATGTTAAGGTATATTCGGTATGTTACTTCTCTCAGTATATATACGTACATATACTCTGAATTCGATCTTATAATATATGTAAATGTTTCAAAAGAAAAAGTCTTACGCAGTGTATGATTATATATGCAGCTATGGAGCTGGTATTGACAGTTGATATTAGATCCTTCCGCCTTATGTCGACACACGTAACCTGGCCGAACTCACTGGGCGGAAATACATCAAAAGATCTCATCCCAGACCTAGCGGTGACCCTGATCAACCTTCTCCACTCAATCCCAAATCTTCAAACCCTTCACTTCATAATCCAACCCAGTGAACTTGTCTCTGAATTCAAGAAAATCCTGACAACCGCCACGCCGCCAATACGTTTCCCAACCGTAAAACACATATACATAGACATAGACAACGAATACATACTTCCCTTCGTTTCGTCCCCTGAAGTTGGCGGTTTGGAGTCCTTCGAATACAAATCTGCTTACTCCCTCAAATCTGCCAACAAAGTAACTTTTTCGACATTTGGTGCGACGGCCGAAGAAAAGGAAACAGGGTTGTTCGGTGGCATGACTGATGCTAGAGCCGTGGAAGTGATAAAAGGGCTGACGAGTGTTCAGAAGAACAGTTTAAAACGACTCACACTAGCGGCCTTTATCAATGATACTGGGATTGTGCAGATGGTAAAAGCAGGGATACTAGAGAACATAAGAGAAATGGTTCTACTTTATGGTGTTGCCGCAGTAAGTACTCAGACAGGCCTTCTCCCGAACTCTGAATATTTCTTTGTAAAAACGTCTTTAATATCGATATTTTTATGCAATAAAGAGCTGTGCGGCTTCTCTCTCCCATTTACCTCACCTCCGCTATATCCGGTTCGGTCAAAACGACGACCCTATTACGGCCAAGAACCCACACTGCTATATGTCCCGCCGAGAACTATTGACGGTCGTCCGCTCAGGAAAGAAACTAGAAGAAGTATGGCACCGTGATCGATTTGTCTGCCATGTTAAACGACTAGTCGGTGAATGGCATGATGGAACGGAGGTTAATGAGGATGAGACTTGGTGGATGGATACTTGGGCACCGGATGGGGTGGGTAATAAGAATGTTATTAGCCATGGATGGCTGGGCTAGATTCGTTCTTTTGATTGTTAATTCGTTTTTTTTCTTTCTTTTTAGGTGGGAAATCCAGGGGATCGGTGAGGATGGTTTCACGTTTATCTTTATGGCGCGATGGGCAGTTGGGTTTTGGAATTTGGTAGTTAATTTGATATTGGACTTAACTGAGGTTTTAATTCTTGAAGTTGAAGGTCGTGTAGTCTATGAAATCAAATGTTTGATACTGTGATGAATATCAACTTCGCACCAGACTGGCCTCGAGGCGGCCCTTCAGTAGAGAATTGTATATTAAAACTTGAAGTTCTCGAATCGTTAAATTTATAGCTTAGCATGTATGAATGACCGGCTCTTTGGTATCGTAGTCTGAAATCTGTGCGGTAATATCGATTAGTGCTGCCTTTACGCTGGTCCAAATTATACTGTCTTCATATAAATCTTAATACGGCCCTAACCCACTGATGAACCAGGCGGACCTCCATCTCATCAACAACGACCTCCACCCCATAGAAGTCACGAACTTCAACCTCCCATCGCGTCGCCAATCGATTGAAGCCTCCACTACCATCCCATCACGGATCATCATCAAGACTAGCGTTGTTCGACCGTTTCCCTCTGAAACTACGTTCCTCGAAACCTACCATCGCTCTATCTTCATATCGAGCTCCGTTAGCGTAAATTAGCTTCCTATCCCTCTCGGCGCGTCTCCAGCACAAAATTTCAAAATGGGCAAAACTTTCCTCTCACTTCCGTACGAAATAAAGTACAAGATCCTCGCAGAAGCCTTAGGTGACCAATTCGACTTTGTATTTAAGTCGGGAATGCAAGTCCGTGAAGTTCGCGAGAAGGCGGCCACTGACGAATTGGATGACGATGTAAGTTTGAAAATGTTCGGAAGTGAATTGCGACAGCTATAGGAGGAGCTAGCAGCTTGGCTTGGGCTTCCTCTGTCTTCATGTTTTTCTATTAAAAGATTCCACCGGCGAGCAGCATCCTCAGCTCTCCTCAGCTAAAAAAATCTGTAAGCTATGGACACTAACGAGATCATTTTATCCATAGTCCTTGGACCCAAAACAATAGTATTGTCTGTTGGTCCGAGTCGTCCCGACCAGGGTTCCCACCAGATACCTTCTCGTTTGCCACGAATTCAAAACCGTGGCTATAAAAGTCGCATCCGACATGAATAAACTTGTTTCACAGAATCAATCTCAAGTCACGAAGGATGTTGTCCTCAAAGGGGGCTTACCAGCTTGCAGCTACTACGGCTGGGGACAGGTCTTCGACCAGCTTTGGGATGATAAGAAACCAAGCAGGATCATCTTGGCTCATCACCCTCCAAACCCCTGGCACTTTTTAGCCCAGGTTAACAGCATGGCCTCTATGAGGTCCATTTACTTCACTAAGGCAGTAACTACCTGGGGATATCGTGGATTTGAGAAACTCTGGCACACTCATTACCCCCATAACGGCTCTGAGACGGCCTCCTGGATTTCTCTTTTCCTGTCTGCCAACTTCCCTGTCTTGGAAACAATTGCAATCGGTGTAGGTAAGAGGGTTTCTCCTAGGCACAAAAGTGGCCTACCCATCGTCCAGATGCTCCGATGGCTTAGGACGGGGCCACGCAACTGGTTGCAACACCAGTTTGGTCTCCCTCTCTTAGAGATAATGGACGAGCGAAACCCAAGGTCTCGCTCCTTGGAGCTTATCTTTGAGAGGAAAGGTAAAGGAATCGAGATTCCATTGGACCTCAATAGTTACTGTATGCCTCCACTAGGCTACAAATGGGTCAAGAAAATATCTCCCGACTCTGAGATCACAGGGAGGGGGAGGTACATCAATGAGTGGGACGATTTCAATCAAGTTGAAATCCGCAAGGAAGAGGAAGGTGAAGTTCTCAAAGTTAAGCTTGGGCGTATGGATGAGGATGAAATGTATCATTTGGAGGAGGATGAAATGTTTCATTCAGTTTTTAAGTGCGAGGAAGCCTGCCCTGATACAACTGGATTGTTCGAAACATTCCCTGAGTCAATCACCACGGTGTTTGAATAAGTTCTTTCCCTCAGCCTGAGGTAAGCCCGAAAGACCTGACTGACTCCTTACAGCTCACTTCTTTTTACCGGTAGCTATTGATTTTGATTTTGAATAGTCTTATTTTGAATCTCTCGGACACTGGACTAGCTATGATTGTTGCATGTTTACGTTCTGATCATGTTTACGTTTTTCCTTTCAATTCTACTTTGTGGAGTCTCAAGCTACTAGGTAATCCTCGGGGTAAATGTTTCAAGTCCCTCCACATCATGTATGCTACTGATTATCTCTTTCTTCTACATCATCTTTTTTGTCTGTCGTATCAACCTCTATTCATGTTTACAGAGGTTGACCTGATCAACTTGCATGTATGTATGTATATGTACTGCGTTGACCCCCCTAAAATGCAACGTCCGTTTGAACCGAGGCAAACCCCCCTGTTGCCATCCCCAAACGCGATTCAATCGAACATTCAGCGCCCAGCCAACAAAGCGAAGCGCATTCCTTCGACCCTTTAAACTCCCACTACAACCCCATAAACACTTCCACTTTCTCCATACAACCCCCCCTTCGGCCTCTTATACACCACGCCTCCTCTTCCACGATGCCATCTTCAACCACGGGCTCCTCAGCCCTCACCACCGCCACAATAACGGATATCCCACAATCCGAGAATATCGATGGTTATGACTTCCCCTTCGCCGCTGCACCGGATATTAGTACGTCACACAAAAAACAAACACCCCAACTCAAATTCACAAAAACAGAAATCCTCAATTCACTGTATAAAAAAGGAAACCAGCTTCTGACTTGAGTTAAAATAGTCCGTTCGAACCAAAAGGACGCGTACTTCCAAGGCGTGATCTTAGAACAACTTTCGACCATTCTTCGAAACTTCTATGGCGCTCGAATCCTTCATAAATTCAACACTGAGGCTAAAGTCCTGGCCGATCTATTGTACCTCGGTATCACAACATTGGTCGGAAGTAGGACACTGGGCGAGGAATATTGCGATATCGTCCATGTAGACGCTGATAGTAGACGGCTGCCACATTTATTCGTACGGAGTACCATGAATAATCTCCCAGTATCTCGCCGTGGGGACGACACTGACCAAATGTTTTATATGTTTTTATTATTATATATAGCAACGAGCCGGCTACATAATCTCCGTCGTAATACTTCCTTATATTACCTCCAAATTTGCACCAAAACTTCGAGCACGGATGCGAATGAACCTAGACCGACGGGCTGCCAGAAGAGCGTTAACAAAAACTACGAATAACGATGATTCGATGAAGGAAAGGTTTTTTAGATTCTTACATAGGAATTTGGATGCCTTTACGGGAGCTGAGAGCTTGATTGCGGTGCATTTGGCTTTCTTTTATTTTACGGGAGCATATTATCATGTCTCCAAAAGGATTTGGGGGATGAAATATGTACGGTTTTACTCCGGGACCCCTATGGATTTCCACTTTTTTTTTGATTAGTTGGAAGGTGTAGGAGGAGTGCTGACTATTTTTCTTCTTTTTTCGTTTGACAACAGATATTCACGAAGAAGCTGCAACCTCATGAACAACGGGTCGGATATGAAGTTCTTGGTGTATTGCTGCTATTACAAATAGTCGTACAGACATACAGCAAAATGTCAGAATACCTAGCCGACGGAACAGAAGACCAAGGTGTTCAAGGTTCAAAGGGTATGGTTAGCCCGAACATTGCGACAGGAGACGAAGAAGCCAATGTCGATTTGGACAATCCGGAGATAATGGCATTTGTCAACGGTGAGATGGCGAGGAAGTGCACGCTGTGCTTGGAGAACATGAAGGATCCGACGGTATGTTTATCGATACGGTTGTAGGAGGTGTAGAGTTTGGTTGATGGGCGTGCTAATGATATGCTGGTGGTTGTAGTTAACTCCCTGTGGTCATATGTTCTGCTGGACTTGTATCACTGAGTGGTGTAGGAATAAGGTAAGCTACCCATGACACGCACTTGACGAAGTCTACCTAGCTAATTAAGTATTAGCCCGAATGTCCACTCTGCAGAGCTTCCTCTCTACCACAGCACCTTCTAGTCCTTCGTGGTCAGTAGCATAGGGGATAAACTCCTATATAGCTAGCTACCTAGATATATAAGTATTCTGCTTTAGATGTTCATGCGAAAAATGTTCGGTACGATGGGAATGGCCACGGGAATAGATGGAATCTGTAACTCTTTTAATTGTTATTTTACTGCTTTCTTTTGTTAGCAAGCATACTACCAGCATCTTGATTTTTTTTCTGTTTTTCGTAAACTAGTAGGATAGAGCTTTAGAAGACTTTGTAATATACATACCAACCAACTTGAACAATAAGATTGCCCCCACCATCGCACATTTAAAGATTCCAATGCAATGAGGCGAAAGCTTGTCTCCCGATCTGGCTAGTGAACCTCGCTTAATATACCTCTTTTGTAGACAGACTTTGTTGCATTTTCAACCTCAGGTCTCCTCTCCGGTGTGTTGAACGAGAGGATCTAATATAAAGTTGAGGTCGGGAAGAAGTTGTCGATGTCAAAAGAAGAGATGGTATAGTGAAGAAGAAGGAGTTGAGTTATCTTGTAAGATCAAGCCTCCACGTAACCGACGAAACTCAATGAAACGAAATATCATAAACCAGAATAGTTTTCCGAAGACTTGAAACTAAATGTTTTCGGCGGCAGTTTAAAGAATCGGATAAAATGGTTTTCTGAAGATAGTTCGTATTTAGTTCCGTGCGTCTGGTGGGAAATACTATATTTTTGTAACAATCCAAGAACACAGAAGCCAGCCACAGGATTGCGAATCTCCTACCACCGTTTTCGAAAGGCATGTCTCTATCATATGCATTTTGGGAAAAAACAAGAATATAGAGAGATCTCTACAGGCCGTAGTTTTGTGGGGTCCATGCAGATGTAACAAATTTAGTCTACAGCCATTAACATATAAAATTCCATGAAGATACAAAGGCCCAGCCATGATAACTTGACATACCCCAGAATCTTCCAGATCTTTGGCTCCCCCATAAGCTCCATTGAAACTTACCCAAGCCATATTGTCCATGCGGCTTGAATACAATTAGCCGCTGCTTCGATGATGCAATAAAATGCTTGATACCGCCTATGGGGCGATATAACCCTTATCGAAGTCGCTCTCCTCGGCGAATTCGCATTTCCATCCCATGAAGTGACAGTTCCTACGCTCAATGGCGATTTCTCTGTCCATAAACTTTGTCCCGGAATATATTCTTTCCGTCAAAATTGCGTAAAGCCGCTATATCATTTGTAGCAAAGGATATGTGTATAAGCCGCAAAGCCGTCTTTCCAATCTGTGTGCCTCGAATATTTATTTTTCCCTCAGGCGGCGTGTTTCTGTTTATTTAGACAGCTCCGGTTTCCCCACAAATCCTCCATCCCATGTAAATATTCCTTCTGCCAGAATTTACCGTTGCAGAGCTGCTTGTCGGAACTATCTCCACCTCCCTCCTCTCATCAATCCATTGTATCTTTTACCACCTCCTTCCCATCCTCGAGAGGCCCTCAGAAAACCATCGACAAGTATCCAAACTTTGTAGCCAAGGTATTTATTCCCTTTCCCAACATTTCATCTTCCTTGACAATCGGTTGTTGTTGTTCTGGGGACAATCTTTTTCGTCGTCGCGTCTTGATTCTGAAGTTGAGGTTCGTCGTAACCAATATAGATGGATTCCCCTACTTTCAGCTCCCAACTTCCCCTCCAAGACGACCATATTGATGTCCCAGAAAATTCGAGTAACAATGGTCCATTGGATGAAACCGACTCTTATCTCGCTGATAAAATACTAAGTTATTTCGATGAGGACTCTGGCGGTATCACAGCAAACTTGGTAAGTCCGAAAAAAAAAGATTTCCCCTTCGAATCGCACCGTGCGACCGTTACTGACAATGAACGGCGCAAAAGGTTTGGGAGGATCCATCTCAATCTGAACAGACGTTGTCTGATGTCATTGTGAACGAAATCAAACATCTCAGACAAAAGGAACTTGTCGCCTGGAAGGAACTTGACGTTGCCCGGGATCTTGTAAGTAGTTTGTTCGCTCTTGGTGTATTTCCACTAGGCCGGAGCCTATAGTACCGTAACTAACAACCGGTGGTACGTGTTCCTCTAGATTGTTGAAATGATTGGACAACCCGACACTTATTCGTTCTTTGCCAATGACCTCAAGAATCGTCCCGGTCAATTCGCTGAGACTGGAATAAAACTATTACATCATCTCAAAGAGCGTGTCAAGTTTCTGGGAGATTTACCCCAAACTCGACTAATTGACGACGTCGAGATTGAGTATATCAACGGACCCCCATGTAATCAAAGTCTCGAGGACAGTGTTGTCCCTCAAAAGCCCAAAGTTCCTAGACCTCAGCCTGTTCAAACTAGCTTTGGCTATGTAGCAGGCATCAACATTGTAAGTGCCGTAAATCGATATATGTGACTGGTGTTAAGTTGAAGATTGATAATCGTATTAACAAAAGGTAAAATAGGGCGATTGTTGGAGGCGTCGAAAGCAGATAACTGACATCGGTCTCCACTGCCGGCCTCAAGGTTCGGTCCATGGTCGTAAGCAAGAGGGAGTATTCTCTCTCATAATTGCTGGGGCATATAAGGAGGATCGGAATTCTGGGCTGGAGATAACCTTCACGGGTGTTGGCGGCCATGATGAGGCAAATGCTACCAAGAAAGTCGCCCAGGGGTCGAAACTATCTATCGATGATCTGACTTCAGGACCAAAGGCTTCAAACACGTATGTTATATTGCCATTCATTCGCCTCATCTTTTCGTTGTAGTTTGACTAAACTTTTTAATTATAATCCAGAGAGAACTGTGCACTTGCGATGTCAGCTTCCACAGGAAAGCCAATTCGTGTCATCGCAAACCCAGATGCCAACCTGTCGTTTTGTCGCAAAGCTAAAGGGTTTACATTCATCGGAGTAAGTACCTATTTCGTTCTATTAGGATCCACTCGTCTCTTATAATTAAGATATGTATTATTTATGACATAGAGTGTGTACTAACATAAAATCTAAAACAGTTGTGGAAGGTTTCTGGCTCGTTGGTGTATAGAAACAAAAAGAACGTCGACGTACTAAGGTTCCAGCTGTCCCCATTCGACGAGCAGACCCGCACGTATGTTCTAAAGAACATCCAAACGAGCCCACCATCGGGTCCCCCTAATGTTGCTAGCACGAGCCAAGAAGTTGTGCTCCATTTCAAAGTTGATGATGGCACCAATGATTGAATTTGTGGCGGGATACGCTTTTACCTATGATGAATTGTAAGTGTCTGAACAGTATAAATTAGTTCTGTCTACCCTGCCGCACGCATCCGTGGCTAACTAATGAATACTTACAGTGCGTGCACTTTTACCTATAACTCTTGCTCCTTGGCCTTGCTCCCACCCCCTTCTCCATTCCTACTTCTTATTATTGATGAGGTACCTGAGCGTGTGTAAGCTGCATATCTATCTTTTATTGTTTTAAATAGAATTTACTTACCCGATTTGCGGGTCCTCCACACCTGACATCCCTCCTAACGTAGACCAACAAGTTCGGTGACTCCACATTGTTTTTGGGCTCACGAGGTACCTAGGTGTGTGTTAGCTAAATCTTATCCTTTCTACTTATCTTCGAGGATTCTACTTACCCGGCGTGCGGGTCCTCAGGTTCGAAGGGTATTTTCGACCCTTGAGCTACTTTCTTGGTAGCGTTTGCCTCATCATGGCCGCCAACACCCGTGAAGGTTATCTCCAGCCCAGAATTCCGATCCTCCTTATATGCCCCAGCAATTATACATGAGGGATAATGCACCCTCTCGTTTGCGTAGGTGTACCGACCGGTCGACACTTGTGAAAGTTATCTCAAGCTCAGAATTCCGATCCTCCTTATATGCCCTAGCAATTATGAGAGAGAAGACTCCCTCTTGCTTGCGACTATGGGCTGACCCATCGACACCCGTGAAGCTGATTTCGGGTCTGAAGTTATGGTCCTCTTCTTGGGGCCGACTGCCCCAGACATGAACGCTTCATATTTTTACTTCCAATCAGTGTCTGAAAAATTGATATATTAGGTATGAATAGTGTACTAACCGAGGGGTGGGGTAGTCATACCCCCTACTGCTATCGTCCAAAATCCCTGACCCGGAGGTCCATATCACCGGTGAAATGCATCGGGAATTCTCCCGTACGCATATGTTCGCTTCAATGAGTCATCATCGCTTTGTATCTCGAGGTCCTAATATAATACAACGAATAGGAAGGAAGACGATATTGTTAGTTAAGTACTATTCCAACTGTTCATACCTGAGGGGTATGACTGCAACTAACAAAAACAATTTCGTCTCTCGAAGCCCTAATCAGCTCTGGCCCGGAGGCCCTAGGTTCGCGGATAGTTGTGAGATTTTCTAGTCGTCATAGCCAAAGTTGGGTTGGACAGGCTGGGGTTTAGGGACTTTGGGCCTTTGAGGAGCACTGGTCTCGAGACTCAGCTTTTGATCAGGCGCGGGTTCGTTGATGTACTCAATCCCGACAAGCTCTTGCCCGGAGGCCCTGGGTTCGCAGATAGTGGTGAGGTTTTCTCGTCGTCGTAGCCAAAGTTGGTTTGAACAGGCTGGGGTCTAGGGACTTTGGACCTTTGGGGGACAACACTGTCCTCGAGACTCAGCTTTTGATCAGGCGCGGGCCCATCAATATGCTCAAATTCAACATCGTCGGTTGATCGAGTTTGGGGTAAATCTCCCAGAAACTTGGGAAAACTATGGCCCGGAGGCCCTTTGCTTTCGAGAGACTTTGACTAAGTGGGGGGCCGTTGATATATTCAATCTCGACATCTTCAATTGGCCGAGTTTGGGGTAAATCTCCCAGAAACTTGGGAAGACCTATGGCCCGGAGGCCCTTTGCTTTCGAGAGACTTTGGCTGGGTGCGGGTCCGTTGATATACTCAAATTTAACATCGTCGATTGGTCGAGTTTGAGGTAAATCCCCTAGAAACTTGGGGACAACTATGGCCCGGAGGCCCTTTGCTTTCGAATGAACGACTGCGGGCTGGTAGGTTCGATATACTTGATTTCGACATCGTCAATAGGTCGAGTTTGTGGCGGAGAATAGTGTGGTTTTGAATGGCTGTGGCCCGGAGGCCTTCGACCAAGGTTAAACGGTTGTGGGCTATAGTTGAGTCCACATGTACTCCAGAGTCGCGAAGAATGTGATTGATTTGATCCTCGTCGGTTCGAAAGCCTTAGGCCTATGGGCCTCGGGGACGATGTAGGTGCAATCTATCAACCCCTGCAAGGTTAAAGAAAGTTAGACAATTAGTTTTCCAACTGATGAATCTAAAAGTTTAGAAAGATTGTCTAGGTACTTACACAGATTCTTTTCGGTCTTTTTGACGTGAACGCGAGCTTTAGCAGCCGTCCATCATCGAGGCACGGAGCCTCCAAAGCTAGGACTTCGAGAAAGCTTAACAATTTCCTCCCCGACTTGGCGAATTGACCGGGATGATTCTTGAGGTCATTGGCAAAGAACGAATAAGTGTCAGGTTGGCCTATCATATGGAGATGAGCCAATTGAGGGTGGTGTGCCCTCGCTTGATTGATGACTCGTTTTCTAGGCGAAGCCTTTCGGCCTGCCTCGTCGCGTCGAAAATCATCCGGGAATGTATCCCTTCGAAGGAGATGAGGTTGGGGAAGAGAAGAGAAGAGAAAGAATAGAAGAAAGCACTGAAATATATTCAGTGAACAGAGTGAGCAGGATATCAAGGGGGTTAGATGAAAAGAGCTAGGAGGAGTAGGAGTAGGAGTAGGAGGAGGAGGAGGAGGTGGTGGTGGTGATTGTAGATCGATGGGAGGTGGGAGGGAGGAAGAGGGAGGAAGAAAGTTGGAGGAAGAAGATTAGAAGTAAGTAAATTTATGGGCCCTCCCAAATCACTGTCTTAGAATATTAATCTAGTTTCAGCGGGATGGCAGGTTCACATCCTGAGAATATCTCGGCATGACCTACAGGACCGTCAGTGCTAGTGCACAGATTATCCATGGAATGATATCGACAAATGCTTATCAATCTCGTGGATACTAAGAGCTATGTTGTCAAATATATTTCCTCAAGAACAGTCTACAATCCAATCCCGAGGATCACTTAGCATGATAGTGTGAGCTACGAGTATGATCTTCTACTAGTTTTCCACAAAAAGTTCTGGTTACGAGTTGACTGAAGTTTTCCAAGTTTCTATACCATGGGGGGAACTACTCCCCTTCTACACGAACTATCGGACAAATTTACAAGACGACCCGCCTTCAATTGGACTTCACAACAGGGAATCTATTTCACAAAGGAAGTCGTTGAGCATATTTTTCGAGAAACTCTTAAAGAAGATCCGCTAGATTCCTTACAGGATGTCCAATATAAAAAGGTAGGCATTGATCTTGTTGAGACAGGAGGGACATGTACAATACCAAAAGCAAGATATTTATCGTTTATCTACACAAGACTACAGTGTTAACCTACATAAATAGATATCCTCGCTAAAGAGTCTTAGCTATGTATCTAGAACATGGTCCTCGAGGCTAACATGCAGCCCACGAGGATATCACATGGGCTGCACGATTACGGTGGATGGTAGTTATGGCATACTTCCATAAAATGCTCTCGAGGCTATCTCCAAAAGAACATCCCTATATGGCATAGTGCGTGCACTGAATTCAAGATTGTATCTCTCCCACGTGATCACAAGTTATCAAGGACTTAAGTAGTCTGATCGGCAATGATATATGGACTCGAGCCTCAGAAGATAAGTCTAATAAATCGAATTCATTGTTTTATTTATTTCCCCTCTATTATAGCTTTATTACCACTGAACCTGTATTTACGAGAATCAAAAGTTGAGAAAGGAGACAAAAGGCCAACGCCCCAAAGCACAAGAGCATTCGAGGCTAAGAACAAAATTACCAAGAAGACAAGAGGGAGAAAAAAGGCAAGGAAGAAGCAAAGGCACTCCAAGCTGAAAAGGCCTTTTCTCGCCAAGAACGGGAAACTACTTTAATCGGTCCTGGAAATGGAGACATCTCGTTAGTTCGTGTAACGGGAGAGAAAATACCACAAAAGCTAAAGACTTACCGCGATGTAAGAAACCACATCCTTATAAACAGCATCAATACTCTTTCCACCATCAACCTTAACCACCTTCTTCTGGCTTTCAAAGTAGTTCACTACAGGCATGCTAGTCTCCTTAAATGTCCTAAATCTCTTCAAAATACTATCCATATTATCGTCACTCCTTCCGCTAGTCTTTCCACGTTCCAAAAGTCGCTTGGTCATGGTGTCTTCATCGCAGTCGAAGAACAAAGTGAACTGACTAGGAACAACTACCTCCTCGAACTTCAAGGCCTGGTCCATCTGTCGTGGGAACCCATCGATGAGGAACTTGGACTTCTTATTTTGTTCGATGTTACGCTTCATGGCATTTTCGAGGAGAACGATGGTGACTTCCATTGGGACGATCTTGCCTTCGCGAATGTAAGTCTTGATTAATTCACCATAGTCGGTTCCCTCGCGGCTTTGTTCTTCGCGGAGAAGATCACCAGCGGAGAGATGAACGAAGCCATAGTCCTTAACTAGCCTGGCGCATTGAGTACCCTTTCCAACACCGGGGCCGCCGAGAACGAAGATGACTTTAATATCCTTGGGGTCAAAGATGGGACCGTCGTCTCGGAGCCTGGGAAGGCCATCGGAATCGGATTTAGCAGCTGGGACGACTGGCATTTTTGTTCTTTCTGTATATTGAATTATTTATTATTTTAGTAACCTTCCTTCCGTCTTTTCTTCCTTCCGTCTTCTTTCTGTGCAATCAATCCGGTTATAAAAATAGGGAGCTTACCTTGCTTTTTATCTAGAACCGCAGCAAAAGCGACAGCACCGATCGCAAATATCAGCACAAACGGCCAAGCCTTTAGTTTATCGTCTTTTGGAGGTCGTGGTGCGCCTGGTCCACCGATGGGTCCGCTGGCTGAAGTAGTTGGAGGATTTGAGGGTTTTGGTGGTCGCTGTTGATCTTGACCGGTGACGTAGTTTCGGACAAAGCTTTTGGGAGCAGCAGTAGCACCAGAAAGTCTAATATTACTCTGAAATGATTGAGTTTCACGAAATGTTCGCAGGTTGGCTCCTCGGGGTATCTGACGAGCTTTGGAGAGCGAATGTAAGGATTTTGTAGCCCTCTGCAGGGAACGGGAGGTCGAGCGGAAGGAGGCGTTCATTATCGCAGGATTATAAGTAACCCGGGTTTTCTATATAGTCGCTTTTTATAAGGTACACGGGCAATGTCCGGGTGTCTGCAGGTCAGGCTTTGGGGCCGGCCGGGTTTGCTTGGTTGGGTTTGTGGTGGGTTTTTTCTCGGGACGGACACGAAAAACGCGGAGTTTGAGTGACCGTTTGACTTTTCCACGTGGGGCTCGCAGAACAGAACGGAGGGGTGGATCGAGCACTTGTTTCCGGCAGCAGACTAGGGACCTGTTAGACGAGGCAATTGCAATTGAAAGAGTCGAGAATGGGCTGATACTGTCGGTGGGACTTCGGGTTTATGGAGAGAAGAGGGTGATAAGGAGGTTATGGTGTTTGTATGACGGGTTCACGTTTCTGATGCTTGCTCGCTCGGTCAGGAGAATCAAGTTATGTAATCTCAGCTTGGACTAATTAGTGCCAACCAGACCAAAGAGGACTCCGTACGGGATGCTGAAATGAGAAGTTAGGTTATTAATAGCAGTTGGCCAATTAAACTGGAGAGCTTGGTCAGGACCGAACGGAACAGGCTCCCCTTGCCGGCAACCATATGCATATTAATTGGAGGACTGGGGTGTTTTTAATTTGTATTCTGAAGCTGTGATAAGATACATATATCACGACCCGATTTGGCCGAGATACCGGTACCGATATATCTCCAGAACTTCCAATTCAAACTTCACCGCAGAACATGTCCAACGTGGTGGTACAAGCAAGTCCACCAGTCCCTCCACACCATGGCCATATTGGGGAAAGCGTCTGCATATAAACCTTGCAGATGTGTTGTTCTCCTATCATCTAGTTGATCTTGCAATTGATACTTCTCGAATAATTAAGTAAATCAAATCTACATATACTACGTACATTTAAATTTGTTTATTAATCAGATAGATTGGTATTAAACTTGTCAGCGGTTGTATAACCTAAATATATGTCAGTGTACGATCTTATACGCATAAGTGGAAGTTGCAATTAATCAATTGCTCTTAAGCTTTTCTAACCACTCCCGAATTCTTCAATTTTATCGAACCATGCATGGGTTTAACATCGGTCGATAGATACTCAAAAAATTCTGACAGGTATTTATTATTACTCAAACTCTACATATGGGAATGTTCAGTCCTAAATATGACAGTGGTAGGTATATCGATATATATAATCTTCGGTAACATTATATAGGTAAGTATATATGATCTGTTGGATATCCGGCCTCCAATATACATATTGATATATATATTCGAACACGCGCACGAACTCTCTTTCTAATGATTGAGATTTGTATGATCATATGAATATTAACTAATTTTCCATATAAAGACTTAAAATGGGCTTTAAAGGGAAAGCAGCGCTGCAGCCCGCTGTAAAACATTTCCAGCCTGCAGGCCTGATTTGCAGACCCGAGTGTATAAATAAACTCTGTGACCGACAACCTTTAGTAGCTCTGATTTTATTGCAATCCTTTCTCTCTAGTATTAGTATATCATGATTGTCGTTACAAGTAGATTATTTACGGAATTGTAAAAGCGGGCGAGCCCTTGGGTTTAAGCCTAGATACATGCATACACTCTGCATCAATAACAATTCTCGAGCAATAATGCTTTTAGAATGTTATAACACGCAAGTAAACCCTGGCCGCGGTACTATATATCTAAACTCGATTCTATCAGCTAATCAATTAGTTCTAGAAGCTGAAAATATACTCGAAATCGAAGAATTCCAAAAGATTGACACAAGTGGATTGGACTGGGTTCGTATCCGAAGCATATATATGCCCTTATATTATTTGACCTAGATCTTTTAACGCACAGATGGAATGAATGTTATATTATTCATTACCCCCCAATAAAAAGTACCATTGCCAAAAATTATATCTTTTGACCCGGCTTGTCTCTTTGAGATCTATATAAGTAACTCGAGACTATAAGTAACTTACCGAAGAAAAGAAATCAAACGAGGAAACATGTGTTGTTGTTGTTGGACGTTGGGGAGAAAGTGTCTCGGATATAACAGGCCCTTTTGCTCCGACCGGCTATTAACAATTCCCCCAGACAAATCCAAAAGCCAACAGCCAGCCAAACACCTTTGTTCACACATTAATTCTCACACGATCACAGCTCCAAACTTCAACGTTTCAAAGTCGCCCGTTCCATCCCAGGTCGCCCGTAACATCCTCCCAGGCTCGTCTAGTACTCTCCCCAATCTTCAATCCGTAAAAATGCTGGGCGCTATCGCGAGCTTAAACGCTCGTATCCGTTCCAACAAGGTCCTGGATTATATCTGCTCGACTCGTAAGTTCAACTTCCAAAAAAAAAAAAAAAAAAAACCTCAAATTGATGATGCTAACCATATTCACTTTCAAATTATAGACTTCTGGGGCCCGGTTTCGAACTTCGGTATTCCTCTGGCGGCCATTACAGATATCAAAAAGGACCCAGAAATGTAACTTCTCGAGCTTACACCCACCCACCATGATGTCATCTCAACAATTTCATCAATCGCTGACATTTCCTCTCGCCATATAGTATCTCAGGACAAATGACTGGTGCCTTGGTTGTTTATTCGGCGGTCTTCATGCGATACTCGTACGTTATCCCCAGTTTTTCCGGCTTAGGATTGTCCCTCGGAGCCTTTGGCAAGTGTGGAGGATAAAGCCTGTTGCTAATTGGAGGAATCTTCACTTCGCTAGGGTCGCTGTCACACCCAAGAACTATCTTCTTTTCGGTATGTTTAAATGCGCCCCCGGTGGAGCTCTCTCAATCACGTTTTTGTGTAATTTTACTAACAGCTTATAGCTTGCCACTTCATCAACGAGTGCTCGCAGTTAACACAAGGCTACCGTTACCTACAATTCCACCAGTAAATACAATCTTATCCTCCCGTCGCACCCGCTATATGTTCGTATTTCTAACCACTCGCTACTTTCTTTTTATAGCTGGGGAGGACGAGAAATCGCCCAGAAGGCCAAGGAAGCGGCCGGAGAAGCTGCTGGGAAGGCTGAGGACTCTGTTAGCAAGGCTGTCAGCAAGATCAAATCTTCGGCGGGAACAAATTGAACAAAGATCACTTTGGTCTAAAAAAATTTCTATTTAGAACCCGTTAGAGCGATTTTATTTTTTAATCTCAGCTGTATATTAGCATTGCATCGCATATCCTGTGAGAATAGAGAAAAAAATGGGACTTAGTTACTATTCTTCCGCCGTGTCTGTTGGCTAGATTAAGCCTGTGCGAGTCCGCCATGTAGCGGTTGGGATCCGCAATATGTTGGTGAAACGTATGGCTAATGGCCGTTTTGATTTGTGAGTCAGTTCCTGGAGCCGACATCCGCTCCTACTCCCTCCGGAGCGACCCCCAAACTAAGCTATTTAATGCTTTGATATCTACTATTCTCTTTTCGTGTTAGTATCAACTGATAGATAGTTAATATCGATATTGACATTTAACATTTGACAGGAAGCTTCTGGACTTTTAATTAAGTTGGCCCTGAACAAGCTTTTACAAAATACCACATCGACAACACCTGAAGGCTTCGACGTTGGACGGGTTAACGTTAGCTATGTTCCTAATAACTTGATACGTTTCCCAACAAGCATACTATTGAGTATCAGAGTAAAACATACGAAAAAACGAAGAACTTGGCTACGTAATTACGCCTTAAACTTACTTCAGGTGAGTATAACACAGAGTGGGGAGAAATCTGTTCAACAAACCTATCCGATATCATCAATGCGTCTTTCCCAAAGGCCTATCCTAAACCACTCTCTTGGAGCACTAGCCAATGCAAACCCCCTAAGCTAAGAATAGATCATCAAGTGGGTGGTCAGATCTTACCAACAATCATGTATTCTCCTGGTGAATTAGATAATATCACATATTCGACGGGTGTGAGCATATCAGTCGTGTCTACGAGCGGCTCTTAATGTGGGGCAGCCTGTGGTTGTATGTTAACTGACTTCCACGATTGAATAATCGCCATACATGCTTCGCGGTTGAGGGATCGAATAGTATGATTTATGTCCGAGGGACGTTCCAGAGGCAGCGCCGCCCTAGAAAACAGGGGAAAGTCCGTTATCCGAGCACCTATGTGGGTACCGCCATATATATAACTTTACCAAAATATAGCTACTTAAGTAATTGCATAATGCCGATTAAAGAGTAAAAATTCATGTAGCTACTTAGATATTTAGACAAGATGATCTTTTTTTCTACAAACTACCTCCCGCGAACCCGCTGCCAGACGTTAGAAGTCTGACGGAGGTTTTTTAAGATCTTGCTTTGCGTTTTCCAGATCCGTTGCTATTAACTGACCCGGGCCGGTTTCGGCACTAATCGGGTGGTGTGGCAACACAAGAATCGGCCCGAGATACCCGTAAATAACATTTACACCAACCCACACTCAGTAAATCTTTATGCACGTTCTCGGATCTCTCAATACAACCAAGGCGCACACCAGACTGAGAAGATTGTGAGATTCCGCTTCCTGCCGCCTTATCTACCCTATCTGACAATTAACCCTGCCGGTTTCCGTGTTCTAAAATTGACTTGGGCGCAACGACTTTAAACAACAATATAACCACACTGATATTAATGACCGATCTAAAGATAAAATACTTAGAGGGCCCGAAATTATCTTTAATCTTATAGATGTGGAGCAGGAACGATGCATATAAACAGTCTGTGCGTATCTATTTGATCACAAGTCACAATCTCAAATGGTTTACAGGCCAGCGCAGCATAGAAAAGAAGAGTCAATCCAGCAGCCTCGTGATGTGTGATACCTCTCAACCTCAACGAAAATTTGGGAGGGGACCATACATACAATGCGAGACCCCGCACAGAAACGATATCCGAATTGCAATTGAAACATCAAAACGCAAGTATCTGTTTCATCCATTTAAGGCTATTTCCACAATTAAAGGCCTTATACTCATCGTGCTTTCATGCAAATGCATTGTTTGCCCTTTGAACGATTAGGAGAAGGGTTGTTTCGCTCGCCTGATTGTTCCGAATAGGAAATTCAACTTTTTTTTGGTGGCTGCGTGTGTACAACCAGTCATGAGAGGGGATGATAGACAGACACCGAGTAAAGATTGCCGATGGTTTGAGTCGTAGAGTAGGTATAAAGTCGTCGAGATATTGCCCGAGATTTCTGGATTTGATATAAGACATGTATCATATGACTACATAGAATTATACTAAAAAACCGACATTTTATCATCGAAATTGATCATCCTTTTAAAAAAAGAATTCTGGTTCCAATTGCAGCTGTGAGAGCTATATCAGAAAGACGGCAGCAGAATACAACAATAACAACACATATATCTTCGAACAATGCCCAAACCCGAAGCCAACGCAAAAAAGGACACCAAGGATAAGCCTAAAGCAAAAGATCCGTTCCAACAGGGCCACCATACCAGTGTAAGGCCATATCGGAACAACTATTCCCAACTGGAACTAGATATAATTGCGGACGGAATTTCAAGACAAGCTTCAAACAAAGAAATTCTGGAGTCACTCGCACCACATGGAGACTGGAAGTAAGTTAAAAGCTTGGCCCGAGCAGTATGGGTATCTATGTACCCAGCATTATTTGAAATTTATGTTCTGATTCTGTTTCATTCCGAGTCTCAGTGAGAATCGCTTGAAGTACGCCACGGGGAACCGTTTTAGTAGGAAAAATTTAAAGTCGAGTGATGCTGCGTTTATCGTAAGAGAATGCAAGCGTGCCGAGAAAGAGGGGCGACCTATTCCGAGATTCCGGCATTTGGGGAGATCTGGGCAAAGGGTCAAGGATCGGGTTATAAAAAGGATACTGAAGGAAGAACATAAATACGATAGCATAAATTTAGGTATAAACTTTTCCTTTGTGGTCTGACTTTTGGGGTTTTTCTTCGCTAAAAAAAAGATATGTTCTCGCGAATACAGATGAGAGCGAGGAGCCGCGCAAAGTTAGAGTTGAAGAGCCCGGTGAGGAATACATTGAGACTAACTATTCTGAGGGTGCGAACGTGGGACCCTTTGAAGAAAGGGATGGATATTTCGAATTAATACCCGCGGCGGTTCCTTCCTTTGATACCTTCGGAGCCTCTAGCGCTGGTGCAGTGCTTTCCGAGCGGCAAACTACCACCACGAACTTAAGCTTGCAGGGTCGCTACCTGGAGGCTCTAGACCCTTCCTGGGTGCCCCTAGAGCCAAACAATGAATTATATCCCGTCGGAGATGGGTCAATGGTGCAATTTCGTCATGATACCGCCGTCCCAACCGACTGGGGACCCGAGCCCTCAGACAATATCGATTTAGCGGGTTGGCTTCGAGAAAGTAGCGATACTGACTTAGAAACTCTGGACGTCTTAATGAAGAATTTAGCATTAGAGCTCAAAAATAATTGGGAGTGGATTGAATCTCAGACGGGAAGCAACCAGGCGTTAGTAGGTCCCGGACGTTTCGGAGCTCCAAATGATAGTTCTAGGAATCTTGGGCCCACCGATTCCTCTGAGGTCTGGTCCGAACAGTATCTCCCAAGGCTAAACCATTGGATAAATACAGCCCAGGTGATAGCGCTGGAAGGGCTCGCCAGAATCATAGCGGAACGTAAGAAATCGGGTATTCAAAATTTATACACCTGCTATGAGAATCTCGTGGAAAGATGTGAGCCAATAGAATCACTGTTTGTGTACTACTCGGACTGGAATACCAGTAAAATGGTACCGCCGCCCCATATTCTCTTCTCTCTATTCGAGAGCCCCGACTTAATCCCCCTGGAAATCCGGAAAGCCTTTCGCAACAACCTCGTGGAGATTGATATCCCTTCGCCCGACGTACTGGAACTCGAATCGCAGGAGCTTCGCAGAATATTCAAAGCCAACTTCTCGGGGGTTGTACGGACTGTACAGGCCCACCGGAAAAACGAATACTGGAGTAAAGGACTGAAATCCACAATCGTTCACCTGCTTACAATTGAGGAACGATTGGGGCACGACAACTATCTTCTGATTCAAGCAATATTTCGCTTCGCTACCGTCATGGAGCGGGCTGAGTTGCACGGCATAAACGACAAAGATATCATCCCTCTTCTTTTCATACTCCTCAATAAACTTTCCCGGCTGAAACTGGAAGATAGCCCGATTGGAGATATTCCACATGCCCTGATACACTTATATCGTTCGCTTGTGAGAATTCGACACTTTAGCGGAGCGAAAACGGTGCTCATGCGCTATAGGAAGGACAAGAAGAAACTCGGACCTTGGGATGAAGAACTATATCAGAACAAGATGATGATGATGACCGCAATGGAGCTTTTGCACAGCAAAGATGAAAGACAAAGGGCGAAAGGCCTTAGGTACCTTCGGCAAGTAGTGAGGTTTTTCGACAAGAGGACTAATTCTCTACCAATGGTCCTCAGGGTCCAAGGAACTTCTGTCGCCTCCTTCGATTTCTTGCAAATGGGCAAATATTTGAGATTCGCTGGATCCGCCGGAGAGGCGATTACTAGTTTTCTTATATCAATTGAGCATTCTAGTAGATTCTCGGGGTACGAACTATCTCCGCGGAAATATGAAGGTGTCTTTGAACTAGGGTTGTGTTATGAGATTATTGGATTACCTCTGAAGGCGTTGGAGTGCTTCAACGATGACTATGAATATAGAAAGAGAATTGGATTGCTTGATACAGCTGATCTGACTCGAGAGGCCTTGAGGCGTAATCTGCAAAAATGTAGCCTCTCCCAACAGGTACGGCCAACAAATCGAATGATCCAGCAAGCGAGTTCTGAGAAGTATCTTTATGCCCGTCACGAGACGTGTACGCCCAATTACAAGGATCATACATACTTGGACGAGGAGAGTAGTTTTATTACTACCGCTGAAGGCTATGCGGCGTCGTTTTATCACCGGCTCGATGAAGAAAATGGACTATCGCCTGATGTAGTTAGCACTACCATCGGGATCCTGGAATATATAGATCCTCGTACTGATCTTTGATCACCCTGAGACCTATTTGCACTATTTTTCGAGTTTAATGTTACATTTTTTTATGAATTTCTTCATTACCCAATATATATAGTTTAGCAATCTTCTCCAGTTTTTTTTTTTGTTATATGTTTCAAGTTAATAGTTTTCATCAATCAGCTTCTTCATAGTTTGGAGACTCGCTCAAGTTTTGGGACTAAGCATTTTAATTTTGATTATGCGGCTGCTGTCGACATGGTTATAATATAAACTAGGCACCCCTTCCCCTTTGAAATTACTATAGCATCTTTGAAGCTTCCGATTATAGATTAGACTTATCTCGAGATGAAGCTAGAAATAACATCAATTGGTCTATAACTATTATAAAAGGATATCATATATGAAGAAATCATTACTAATAATAAATGCATGGCCCTTCGCAGACGCAAACCACCTCCCTATTAAACATTCTGACTCCCTCTTTTACTTCTATAAAGATCTTTTCCCAATCTAACATTAATAGCAAATTATCTCGAATAACCAGCCGCCAGTACCCCACAAAGAAAACCATGGCTACTTAGTAAACGCCCCCGGGGTAAGCCAACTCATCAATCACCTGCCACTCTTCACTTTCCTGGTATATGTTTCTAATCTGACTTAATAAGTGATTGAGAGCGCCAATGACCAGATTCTTCAAGTCGTTTGGAGATATAATTCCATCCGCGTAATCCATCTCAATCTCGTGATAGGTGCTATAATGACGTTCCTCGCCCGTACTCAAGTCACAAAGACTCAGAATACTCCATTCTGGTGCAGCGGGTGAAACGAACGATTCTTCTTGAGTCTTTATATTTTTACCCTCGAGCAAATTGTAGCCTACCGTACCTCTTGACCGTTCGAATTTCATTTCAGCTATTGGCCAGATGATATCACGAAGGATACCGAGAACACCATTACCCTGTGTGATATCGCCGGGGTTACAGTCCGCTTTGGAAACCTTTTTGTGAACGATTTCCGGGCTGTCTAGGAATTCGATTTTTGCATCCGGAGCATGAGAAGAGGACATTTTGGAGGTAGGGGTAGGAGAGGAAGGGGTGGAGGATGAAGGGGAAGATTCTGGAGAAGTGTATTTAAGAGAAGGTACCATGTTGTTCATTATGTGTTCTCGAGGTTTGTGGTTGATCAAGGGAAGAAATGTTGCAGAATGGGCGAAAAGGTCATACTAGGATATCATTAGTCACTAGCTTCAGAAATCCAAACAAGGCCGGTAAATCGACTTTAGATCTATAGCACAGGGGCACTGCATCATACCTGATCAAGTCCCCCGAACTGAATATCCATCCCCGTAAAAACTTCGCCCAGAGTCTGGTGGATACAGCATAACAATGGACTTAACATTTCGGTCTCTGCGACTTCGCTCGTGCAGTGTGCATCCGTCCGTCGCATCATTACAATGAGTTTGTGAAACTCTTGGATGAATGCTTCGGTATATGCATACGAAGATTCGTCAATGTGCTTGATTTGCTCCGGTGAGACACCCAAGGATCGCAGGACGGCGGTAGTCAGGTGTCGATAATAAGAGAGACGGTGTTTGACGAGGGGCATGGGGTGAACATAGTTCACTAGGAGTGCGTAGATGTCTACATATAGAATGATTGGCTAATATTTGTTAATTGCATCAGCTAGAAATCCTGGGGAACTATCAGAAGGAAAAATCAAACAACTGTACCTGAAGCCCTGCCCGGAGAAAATCCACCATCTTCGTGAGGGGAACAAAATAGCCGACATGGGCTATATGCAGGCACACCGTTAGCCCGTAACCCCCAACAAGATGAACCTGGCTAATGGGTCTCCGTAGTTTGCGGAGCCATCGTGAGTCCGTGTGCCAGACAAATGCGAATGGCTTGCATGATTATACATATACTGGGGTTATAAGTTACAGAGTAGATCTACATACGCTTGCCGGTAGGGGCCGTAACTGCAAGGGAAACAAGTTAGTTCTCTAAAACCCAGGAATGTCAACTTTACTGGTGGGGGCGTTCTTACCCCATGCTACCGTGGGGTGTAGTTTTTTGGCTAATAGGCGTTTGAGAGAGTCTTCCGAAGTGAAAGGTTCAAACAGCGTTTGGCGCCTTATAATCAATCTGTATCTTTCGTCGACAGTAAGTGTGGGGGTCATCTTGGGCTCCATTGTTACCTTCTATTGTGTTTGTTACTTAGAATAGAAGACCTAGAAGCGAGGTTGGCTCCGAATAGGACAATCAGAAGTCTTAATTGATGCACGTAGGCGAAAATAGACGAGGAAAGTTATAAGATATAGAATGGTATTGTGATATGTACCACTTGCAAGATATGAAAGAGATGAATATTTTCGTTTCGAGAGAACCATATCACATTTCGAGCTCTTCAAAAATAGAGATATCACATTTTATATTTCTGTTTAGTCTGGTGGTTCATTATTCAGCCATAGGACCCCTCGAGCTCTCAAGAATCCATAACATGAGCTCAAACTACTAGCAAGGTCCTGAAATGATACTCTGCAAACCAGACTTGATATCATGATACGATGAGACAGCCCTGCACCTGCTCCATGACTATTGAATAAAGCTCAGGAACGGAAAAAAAGAAGTGATATCACAAATTTGAAATCCAGAACGTAATAAGGATACAGCTATCAGCTTGGCAAACGGGAACTTTGTTCCGGTCGAAGAGTAAAGAGGCCGCGAATGCAAGTTCGCGAACCGATCGACTTTTTCCAATGCAAGCGGAAGGGTTGTGAGTCTATACTAGTACTGTACACAACTCCAACCCTAGCTACGGGTACAGCCCCTTCCTTGTCTAAAAAGCGGGTCCGGGGTCGAGGAACTTCACTTGAACTTCTCACGCATTTGGGCATACCAGACTCTTGTGCCAGCGCATAAGTAATTGAACTCAACCATGGAAGCGGACCGGAATAACGGGACCATCCGCCGAATGGTTTCAACCTCCCGCGCTCCGGAAACATTGCAAGGGTGAATCGACGATTGACTGGCAGACAAGGTTTCGGGACAGCTCGGTACAGGAGTCGGAAGCTACCAAAAGAAGCCTGGTATTTCAGTCAAAGCTTTGTGTAACTTCAGGGCATTTTCCTGTCTGGTAGTCGCTCCGGAGTGTTTGCAGGGTATTTTCCGCGAGGAATTTATCTGAACTCAGCTAGAAAGGCTTGCGTGAAAATATGTTAGTCATATATGTAAAATTCTCTAATTCAAGACGAAATTGAGCATACAAACATTCTGGACTGGTCTCAAAATTACTAAAGTACCTATATTAGACTCGACATTTCTCATTCGAAATTAGTTGCATGTTGATCGTGTTCTAGATTTGTGCATCCGGCTGCACGAAGTTACCGAATTTTGGATCGCCTTCGTCTGATAATGGATAATCGGTTCACAACCTGTTCGAAAGAAGTATTATATATGCAGCATGCTCAAATTCTAGTTAGGATGATATTAGTTTGAGCGGTTGGGAACCGAGCAAATTATTCCTGCTGTGTAACAGAGGGATGTTACAGTACCTGCAATACTTGCTAGTTGGTACTTTCGATCATGTTGGCTCTCACATTTGTTGGTCCTCGACCAAATACGATGTCTACATGAGGCACAGACCAGCCTCGAACGGCACAGCCAGCCGTCGAGAAGTAATCCCAAAAAGAGGGGTTGGAAGGAGAGTTCCTCGATCTCCTTACCCTGGGTGAGATTTCTAGATACCTTCAAAAGGGTTCGAGTATGCAGCGGAGTTTTGGAATTAGCATCCTACAGCTCCTTACTTTATCGTCCAAGTCTTCAGCATATCAACGCATTTTCACCTTCAGACCTTCAAAATCCAACATGGTTGTTTCCAGTTCTCGTCTCCCAAATGGGACCGTGATTGATATTGCTCAGATCGACAAAATCAATCTCGCAAAGCTTGAGTTCGGAAACTCGAAAGAAATTGAGAAGTTACGTTCTGCTGCTGAGTCTGATGGTGTATTTTACCTTGACTTCCATGGGAGCGAAATGGGAAATTTGCTTTTCCAGCAACTTGGGGAGATATACTACCTATCCCAGCAGTATTTCGATCAAGATGAGGCTTTAAAGACGAAAGATATAAGAAGTGACCAGAAATCATCTCAAGATAGAGGGTAATTTTATAAACTGGAGCCTCCTAGGTTGAGAAGTTGATACTGATCCAAAAGTACCCCAGTTACAAATCCTGCGAAACGGATCAAACCTTCGAAGTTAGTAACTTGTAGCCTCTGACTTTTCTAACCTTAAAAGTAGTACTAACTCGAATCGTAGATGTCATATGACGAACTCGTCAAAGGTGACCTCCGCCTTCCCCAAAGCCTTCAACCCAGCAGACATACCCTCAAATACTTTTCCGAAATATGCCACAACGCCACACTAACGATGCTCCGCTCCCTTTCAACCTCACTCTCTCCGGACGAACCATTCGAAAAATATCACCAAAAGTCCAAGCAAAACGATAGCGGATTCAAACTCGTCTACGAGCCTTGTATCCCAAAGAAATCAGAAGTCTTGGAAAACAAACATACAGATAGTGGTACCCTGACGATCCTATTCGCTGAACAACTAGGTTTGCACGTACAGCTCGCAGACGGGAGCTGGGGGTATACCGATTCTATTCCTGGGTGCGCTATAGTTCACGTTGCGGATTCCCTACAATTTATGAGTGGGGGGAAACTCCGGTCTCCAGTGCATCGTGTTACCCAACCGGTTGACGGATTCATGAAGAGGTATTTCCTGTCGTACTTCTTACGTCCTGAGGACTCATTCAAGGAGAAGTGCCGTCTCAGGGACTAGACTATACAATTGCGGTTGGCAGGTAAATTCACTTACTAGACTTAATTTGGTGCATTTTGATCAGGAATTAATTGTCGGATTTTCTTGTTAACTCTTCTTTTTGACTTTAAGTTTTTTCCTTTTTTTTTGGCACAGCTGTGTACTAGTTAACTTTAGAGATATTTTAGAACAATGACATGTCGACACCTCAAAATAGTCAAGTCGGGTAACACAAGCCGTGATAACAACGTAGGACTTTGAACCACCCATTCTAATATCGATATCAAGATCTAATTTACACAATTGTACAATACTATTTGTCCATGTTTTCTCAAAAAAATAGTCACGGGATCCGTAAGATCCCTATACCCCTGTCCCTTACCCCGAGCATCGTAGCAGGCGCTCACGATCTGAACAAGAGGCATTAATTAAAAGAAATTATACTCGTGCAACATAATGGTGTCGCGAACTCCCACGAGGAACAATCTGTACTACAAAACCGAAAAGAAAAAGAAAAACATCTCGCCGGTTTCAGATATTCATGCCTGACATTACTTAATCCATGAAACCACGAGCCATTCATGAGACACAGAATGCAGGTATCTCGAAACGGGAGGATCGGGATCGTTGGTATTACCATGGTACCATATGGCCATTCGCGCGCATACATATGCATATGCAAGGACAGGGTGGGCTAGAACTCCCAAGATCTAGCGGGTCGTCTGAAACCCCCCCCCCCCCCCCCCCTCCGATTAATTGCGCTAGTATGAAGTTTCTATCAGGTCACATTGTGCAATAGACATGTGCGGGGGGGGTTTCACCAAAATTACGAACTAAGTCATGATGTGGATATAAATTGAAAAACGGAATGGTATTTTTACATAAAAGGTCCTTTTTGCTAGCCGGGATTACCCGAAGATATCTGAGCCATATGGTATCAATCCATCGGAACAAATCAAGACCAAAAACGTATACCCGTTAACGTTCTAGCTGCAACTGTTGTACTTTTTGTCGGGCCGATCGGTATTGGAACACCAGCTATCTGGGCCGAATGATTAGGTCATGAGCGGGATTATGCACAATTCTACAAAAAGATAGTGTCGGTGAAACCCGATTCACTTGAAGCCACCCGGATTAATCATTTTAAACCATGGACCCCTCCTAAGGAGTTTGATATACGTCGTGAGCTCTCTAACTCGAGCGCTCTGGGACGGACAGCCACCGACACTGCCGCTCCAATTACCACCACCAGCCGACTATCAGAGCATACATCCGGCAAAGGGCTAGCAATTACAGAGAGACCGACGGATTGGGACACCGTCCTAGCGCTTGGCTCAACGGAAATGGACTATAATGCGCACATACACGTATACACAAGATTTTGATTCGCTCCGAGACACAAAAGAAGGGTATCCGGATTTTGTGTCCACCGAGATTCGATTGACTATATTACAAGCACGCTTCAAGCTCCCTATCATAGTAATGTTATCAGTCCGTCCACCGCTCTTTTGTGAGGAAGCCCTGGTACTCTCTTTTGTGATATCACATTTTATCATTTTCTAAATTAGATTCCATAGCATATAGATTTTCGGATATCACAAAAAAGGTCGACCAGTGAATTATCCATTGTCCCCAGTATCCCCGAGCTAATTACACCATGGATATGTGCATAGAATTGTTTGGCAAAGTGCCCCCCGTTATGATGCCGCTTTTGTGAAATTTTGAGCTCTGAATCGTTAAAAATAGAGGTAGGCCTTATACTTCCCGTGAGTTCCTAGTCTGGCGACAGAGTTCCTATTGTCCGGCGCTCATGATCGATATGATACTAAGAGCCAGTTATTGACCATAAATAACTTCAACGCCGATATGGGCCTCATGGGTCTATGGAGAGCTCCTTCGAAATGTAATATCAATTTCTAAATTCTGAGCACGGAGGTTACCAAAAGTGAACTCGATCATCAAAAAATAGGTGAGCGATCCTGGGCTAGATCACCTAGGCGTTAAGAGGCATCCATGAAAGTCGGTATTAGCCTCCCAGGACGGTGCTAGACTCTCAAATTTACGAAGAACGAAAACCTCGGTGGCGCAGGTCAGAAAATCACTACTGACTTATGATATATGATGTGTATGCATTCAATTCTAACTTCGGTATACTATACAGTCCCAAACCCGTAGTGGTTTACAATTTGTTTCTCTTTATACACTACCGAAGGAAACATGATCCCGTATAACTTCACACCTTCAACCTTCAACGGTGGATTTAAAATAAACAATGTACCCAACTACCTCGCAGATGTGGAAAACTTTATTACGCATCGATACTTCACATTATCTTTATACACAATTATATCTCTAGTCTTCACCATCTCCATCTTTACCTTCTTTCCTTCAAAAGGAAGAGTTCATTTTACTCCAATAACCATGGATATCCCCCAAATGCAAATGCAGTCCCCCAAAGATGACTACACCGGCCCCAGTAAATACCGCCATCTCTACCACCACCTCCAAAACCCTGAAAGCCACCCAACCGCCAAACTCCACGCCTGGAAACACCTCCACCAGCTCTTCGACATCACCCTTTCCAAAGCCCTCCTCTCCTCTTCACCCACAATCCTCTCAATCCCCAAATACAGCCGCATAAACCTCACAGACTTCCTTTCCACAGCTGAAAGAAACACTCTAACCCAATGGACATCATACCTCTCCCGTCGTTCATCCGGTGGGAAGCCAGAAATGATTCTTAACCATTCCCACGCATCACATTTCCTCCGTCTCGCTGCTCCTGCAAAATACGTAGACGGGGTATGGCTCAGCGGTCTTCACCGTTCAAATACACCTTTGAACATTCGACCAATAACCCGTATTGCATGGCAAATACTGTCTGAAGAACTAGGCGATGGAGATCTAGCCAGAAACCACGTATACATCTACTCCCAACTTCTCAAATCCCTCAACATGTCGACAAATATAAATACAACTATTACAGCCAATAATAATAATAATAATAATAATAATAATAATAACACAGCTGGAGTACCAGGTGCAGACTCTCAGCTGTTCATCGATGAATCACAAAACGTTCCTGGGAAAGATATAAACAGCTGGATCGCAGCTATCGCACAACTTTCGTTAGGGATGTTCCCACAAGAACTACTACCCGAGATCTTGGGGTTTAATCTGGCTTATGAAGCCGTTACGTTGGAGACTTTGGTCTGTGCGCATGAGTTGAGAGAGTTGAGACTCGATCCTACGTATTTTAATCTACATATTACGATTGATAATGCGGACTCCGGGCATACAGCTATGGCACTCCATGCTGTCATAGAATTGATGAAGACTTGTGAGTCTGTAGACGAGGAGGATAGTATGTGGAGAAGAGTTCAGGCTGGGTATACGCTAGCTCAGGGGTTATCGGTCAACCCGTGTCCGTTGACACAAACGGAACTAGATGTTTTGGAGATATTCTCGAATAAATGCGGTGCTGCTACGTCTGCGCATTTAAGATGTAAAGCTCATATCGGGGGGGCTAAGGGGATGAAACTTGGGGAGTGGATGGATCCTGAGAAGTGGGAAGGGAGGAAGTATACGTTTTTGGAGGTATTGGGGTCGTCTTCTTGGGTTGTTCCTGGGAAACCGGAGGAGAGCAGGTTGATACAGGAGATTTCATGGAAGGGGAGGATGTTTGGGGCGTTTACTGTTAATGAGACTATGGTGCTTAAGAATTGGATATTGGAGATGTCGACTATAAGTGCGGTGGAACGATTTGAAAGGGAGATTGAGGAATCTAAGGGTTCTTATATCCGTTTCGTAGGATCATGTCCACCGGTTTTGAAACCCCAGGACATCGATCCCGTTCATCATACTACCCTCGAAACGGAATCTGAAGACCCCATTCTTCCAGAAATACCAGAAATCCCATCAGAACTTCCCATCAACATCGTTCCAAGGAACTTCGATCCTTACAAGTTACTATTGGCTGCCGCAATACCTCTACAGCACTACCTCTCAAGTTCAACAAAATCCGCCACTCAACGGGGTATGACCGTTCTCAAGATTCTCAGAGTCCTAAACGGCCTGGCCGACGTCGGCAATCTAATCGCCGGAATGGACGAAGTAACAAACCCCTCCGGTCTGGGAGTAATAGAACTGGCTCAGAAACTTCATACCCTCAAAGTTAGCCAAGTCCAATCGATGCAATTAGAATTGGACACAAAGTGGAATTGGTTGAACTCCACATCCCTAGCTCCGGAATCAAACTTCTCGTTCTTGATAGGTGTTCAATACGCCCTCGTCTTTTTGATGCATAGCCCCGAAGCATTCGGTGTGATGAACGAAGAAATCTCGACAAAGATGCAAGAGATAAGTATCAGAGTCAAAGATGAGCTAGAATTTTTAGGCTTCCGGACGAATGAAGAGAGCAAACGGGGTTTCTGGATGACTATTAATACGGTTATTCGTGAGACCTGACAATAATAATCGTTAGACCGCACTTAGCGTCTGGTTTACGAGACAACTTCATTCTATTTCCCAATCTCTTCAGCATATATCCTTCACTTTATTTATTTAGAAAAAGCTAGAACACTATTATATTCTTCCCATTTTTTATTCATCTCATTCGTATCCCTAATAAACAATATCCTTTCTTCATGTACTACCATAGACCAAAGAATCTCAAAAAAAAAAAACAGCCTCCAGATTAACTGCAGTTCTATCAATCGATCGATCGACCCCTTCAGATCTATCTATCTATCTATAACGTTATAACACATCTACCCTCCAAATCAAATCATCGCCTCAAATCTAGCTAACCAACCAAACCGTTTTAAAAGCAAAAAAAACGCCGGTTAGTACAATACAATAGACCATATCATGCATATCATAATACAGCTTTCTTCAAATCAAATCAAATCCCCAAAAACTTCCAAAAGGCAATAGTAACAGCCAACCCATCATGCGGCAACGGTGCCCTCCCGATCCCATCGTTCCCAGTATCTTGGGGGATAACTCCACTCTCGATCCTCATCTTCAACAATTCCTTAATGATCTCCCCGTTGAATTCGGGATGTCCCTGGACTGTAAATATCGCTCCTGGTCGGTATAGCGAGTGAATCTTTGCGTTTGAACTCGATGCGAGGATTTCCATGTTTGGCGGACAGGTCTTGACGATATCGCGGTTCATGAGGTGTAGTGTCTTTTTAAAATAATAAAAAACGGTCAGCCTTCCTTCCTTCCTTCCTCTTTAAGAGAATAATATATCATAGAAAAAGAAATAAATGGGAAAATAAAATAAAGGAAACTCACAATCTCGTCCTTCCCAAAAACCCCCTTCCCAGCCTCACTAACCACCAACCTCGTAGGCGCAACCTCCCACCCATTCTCTCCCCTCCCAACCTCCGCCCCGAGCGCCCTCCCCACAACCTGATGTCCAAAACAAATCCCAATAACAGGTACCTTCTTCTCAACACACTCCCTCACAAACCCCACAAGGTTGATAATCCAAGCATCGTCCCCCCAAGCATTATACCTAGACCCGGAAACCAACACCGCATCAATCTCGTCTTCGTCCGTATCTCTATTCCCACTGCCATCGAGGGTGGGTAGACCTTCTTCGGCATTGTAGCCAATGACGTTAATACGGTCTCGGGGTATACCCTGTGCGTCTGCGGCGTCGGCAAAGAGGGCGGACCAGACCCCTGTGTGGCCGCCACGTTCGATACGGGCGTGGTCGAGTGGTTGGTCGCATTCGAGGACTGCGAGGGTGAATGGTTTTAGAGGCATTATTTATGTATTATTATTATGTTTGTTATATGGATTATATCCTTTTTGGATTCGTTATTTTTCCTATTTTGTAAGAGGTGCGTTCGGTGTGCGTGTGTGTGGTGTGGCGTAGACGTGGGGTTATGTATGTTATGAAGTATCCTTTGACGGATAGTTGGTTTAAGTACCTTGGACCTATTAATATAGGTTTTTCCCCCCCCCGTTCTCTGCTCTTCGGGGAGATGACCTTGATTCCGGTTACGTATGCCGCGGCTTGACCGGTTTCTCGCTTGCACCTTGGTCGACGTATGTATTTTGCGGGTTGGCTGACTAACCTGGAACCGTCGATAGCCGGAAGGGGAAATTCTTCTGCAAACACGTTCAAAACTACATACCTTATAACCATAATTCTACGTCATTTTATCTAAAGAAACTTGGATATTTTAGTATACCAAGTCGTTTAGTTTATTATCCAAGATAGTCTTTATATGAGGGGATCTTCGGCGGGCCGCGCGGCTTTTTTCACGATAAAGATTGAATTTTCCTGGAAATAAAAGATGATTATAAATATAAATAAGCGGCATGATGTTGACGACAAATGCACAACGCAAATCTTGGATTGTTGGAATTTCTTGGAATATATATCAAGAATCTTCAAGTACTTCACTAATCGATGCAATTCAGATTACGAAATTAACAGGCTATCGGCATAAAAGTCGAAAGAAGGTATTGGTTGAAAATATATAATATTTTGTAAAATTCATCTATATTATCCTATCATAAAAAAATCATCATCGAGCCAAACAAACAAGAATAAAAAACAAAACATCATCAAAAAGAAATAAAAGAAAAGAAAAGAAAAAACTATTATACATTAAAAGACCCCGCCTCCAAAAACCAGTCGGAAGTTATACGCGTGTCCGGGAAATTACATCCCTGTCTTATATTCAAAAAGTACACCTCCCAAGTATTAATATTCTTCAGATCAAATCTTCCAACCTAAAAAGAAGAAATCTCGTCTAGCAAGTACTCTTCAATCGGTTTTCGTATTGATCCTTAGAAACCTGGAAGTCCTTTTTGATATATACTATATAAAAGAAAACAAAAGAAAAGAAAGAAAGAAAAACTATTATAAATTAAAAAGACCCCGCCTCCAAAAACCAGTCGGAAGTTATATGCGTGTCCGGGAAATACATCCCTTTTGTTATTCTTCATAAAAAAGGAAGATTATAGTAAAGAAAGAGTAGTAAGATTATCGCAAACTAGGCGTATATCTACCACTACCCCTTTCAAAACCCATCTTCATTCTTAAGAAAAAATAAGAAGAAGGAGAAGAAAAGGAAGATCAACTCATCGCATCAAGCGGGTAAAAACCTCTTTTCCCTCTTTTCTTCCTCGTCGATTATTATAATATAATATAAAAAACGACTGTAAATATCAAAAGGTAAAAAAATAAGAAAGCCAACTCATCGCATCGAGCGGGTAAAAGCCTTTTAAATTTTCCTCCGGTAGGTCGGGATATTAACATAAAAAGAGGCCGTTAAGAAAAATGTCGTTAAATATGAACGAGTGTATCCCAAAAAGAGAAGGGAGAAAAGCCAACTCATCGCTTCAAGCGGGTAAAAGCTCTCTCTCTCTCTCTCTCTCTTTCGAGTAAAGGCCGTGAAAAAGAGAATGTGGGGTGGGATGTATGATGTATAACAAAAAAAGAAATAGTGAACTCATCGCCTCGAGCGGGTAAACACCATTTCCTTTTTTTGTTTCCATCATACAATAACCCACCATCTTCGAAATAACAATCGTGAAAAATGAGGATGTCGTAACTTCGTAAAAGAAGAGATGAGGAGGAAAAAAGGAGAGAAAGAAGATGGTCGGTCAACTCGTCGCATCAAGCGGGTAAAAACCTTCCATTGCGGGTCGGGGCGTAGAGTATGTAGTCGTAAAAATGTCGTAAAAGTCATAACCCCACTAGCTATAGCATCGAAAAAGAGAAAGGAAAAGAGTGAACTCATCGCATCGAGCGGGTAAACACTACTTTTCGTTTCTCTGAGCTATACCAGCTATAAGGATATTAATAATTAATGTCATTAAGGCATTAAAAACTTGTCCAAGAAGAGTAAAAGCTCAACTAAAGATGGATCAACTCATCGCATCGAGCGGGTAAAAATCCTTTAGATGGCTTATACCCTAGGGATCAAGTGAGAAAGTTCGTAAGAGTGTCGTTAAAGATCATAGAAAAGAACCCATAGATCGAAAGAATCGATAAAAGAGAAGATAGTGAACTCAGATCGCATCTAGCGGGTAAACACCATATTCCTTCTACCAACCCCCCCAAACCATATGAACCCCCCTCTTGAAAAAGAAAGATGATAAAAAGAAAATCCCGGAATTCCTAATCAAAGGCTCCAAGCAGAAATAAAAAAGGATCCAGAGCTGAGAAGAAAGAGAAGATGAAAAAGGCATATAAATATGACTGATCAACTCATCGCATCCAGCGGGTAAAAACCAGTCAATCACCCATAACGATCGACGGTATAGATGTCTATAGCCTCTTCCCCACCATCCCAGATAGAGGGATAGAGAAATAAGAAAAAGAAAGAAAAAATGAATGGAGATGAACTCATCGCATCAAGCGGGTAAACATCAACCACAAATGGCAAAGGACTGAAAACGGTCAACTCATCGCATCAAGCGGGTAAAAACCAATCAATCCTGCATGTCGGGAGGGAAATAAAAAAAGATAAGAAGAAGAATTAAGGCGCAGTAGCCAACAAAGGCACCAACATATTCGGCATCTTACTCTCAAACACCAACTCCTCAAGTTGCCGTTCAAAAGTCCCCGGAGGTTGTAAAGTAATCTGATCCCAAATCGTATCCGGAACCTTTTCCAAAAACTTCTTCTTCTCATCACTCAACTGAACCGTAGGATCCGTAAACACTTCCTCTTTCAATTGTTGTCCTTGTGTCCCTTTCCTCCCCGGCTTAAACGCAAGCGGTGATCTAGCACCGGGTGGGATACCGCCGGGTTTTGAAGGTTCCATATTATTCATTGGTACCCCGAATTCTGGGACTGGAGAGGCTACTGGGACGATGATTGGTGGGGAAGTAGTTGTCGGAACTGGGAAATCGGCGAGAGGGGCGACTTGGACTTCATCAGGCTTTATGATACCGGGCGAGTTACCACCCGATAAGATTTCGTCTGGGGGGTGAAATGCAGTGCCTTGGGTTATAGGAATCACGATCTCGCTTGTCTGGCGCTTATCGATTGAAGCGACGCCGCCATTGGCGATTGGTAATGCAGAGGATGTAGAAGCATAGACGAATGCGACTAGAACTGCTGTAGAGACCTTCATCTTTTCGAAAGTATTAGAAACTGAAAGATACCGTAAAGAAAAAAAATGAATAGAGTGTGAAGAAAAGGACCTGCCTTGAAGAAAAAAACCTCCCGTAGCTAGTTGACCGATTATAGAAAGAAGGAAGTATTTGAAGAGAGCAAATAAAAGAAGAAGAAGAAGAACAAAGAAAAAAAGGGAAAGTAGTATCTAGTGGCTGGGTAAATCCCCTTCACTGAATTGTGATCCGATGAACTGATGAGGATAATAAAAAAATAAAGAGGAAGGAAGACCTCAATACTTATAACATCCACAACTACCCAATTGATATATCGTGAGATCCCCAAGAACAAGAAATCATACCATATCCTGTCAATGCAAGCCACATGTATTGAGAAAGAAAAGAAGAAAAAAGGAACCCGGTAACCTCAAGCTGTCAGAAACATCTTGCCGCATACGCTTAAGAGAGGGGTGTACATGTGGGCTTCAAGCTCACACAGAAAAGCAAAAGAACAATCAATGCGACAAGTTGCGACGATGCGACAAAAGCCAAAGAAAAACAAACCAAAAAAAAAAAAAAAAAATAAAGCGGCGAGCTCTGCGATAGTAGCAGAATCAGAAGAAGAAGAAGAAGAAGAAGAAGAAGGGTGATCTTGGCCCTGTTTGGTATTTCACCCCCCAAAGTCTCGAAGTCTCGGTCTAGTTAGCTCTAAAGTATCTCGCACGCATTGCATTCGGCTAATTCTGTGGAGGCAAGGGTTCATTTCCATACCATACCGGAGTATGTCAAATGGAAAGGTTAGTTAAGCTTCGAACGGACTAAGCTACATACATACGCACGCTTTTCCTTCTCGAAGCTTTCTAACAAGGGAACAAGCAGGGTCTTGGCCCTTATTTAGCGGTGAGACCCATGGTTGGAGAGTTTGTGGTATTTTTTGGGGGTTGGTTGGCTGGTTGAAGTTTGACTTGCATTAGTTAGTGCTAGTGTCAGGGCGAAACCGCAGCAGCAGAACGGTACACATACAAACTTCACACTCAGACAACGTTAACTGATTCTGATTCTGATTCTGCAGGGGAAAACCAGTCCATCATTAATGGCTATTCGGTCTAGTCAGATCCCCATAAAACCCCTTCTAAACGACGGCGGCGCCTCTGTGGCATAGTATAGCATTGTTACTACTGTAGAAAACGGGCAGGAAGCAAAGATTGAGAACGCCACAAACCGTTACTTCTTCCGTATCGATATGTCTTTCTCTCTCAATCAAAGGGTCTCAAATAATAAGAATAAAAATAAAAATTGCCCAGTTCGTTAATCAAACGACTAAAACTATTCCAAGGCCAGTATCGCGCACAAATCATACGATACGACAAGCCTGAAGTTGAATTCAACTATCTTAAATTTCACGGCCACCACCAAAATACAATACAAAACCCCCCCCCTTCCTCGATATAGTTTAGATCCTCCTTTCTCAAAGGGAATTAATCGTTCAATCTGGCTTTGACAGATTTTTTTATTCATTATTTCCTTTTTAATCACTCGCCCCCTTCACAGAAACCGAAAAAGTAAAAGGTACCTTGCATCACCGCAAATTTTCAAGCCAAGTCTTCGTACCGCCACACTCTCGCAATCAGAACCGCCAGCCTCTTGCAAGCCATACCATAACTAGACTGTACATTACATATGGCGCCATCTCGCGAGGGGTTGGTGGAAACATGCTGCATTAATACATGAAGGGGAGAGAGAAAGAAAAAAAAAGAATAGACTGCAGACATCAAAAGCGCTTAACGAGAAAAAATAAAAAAATACACCCCTTTGCTTGAATGGCAACAATAAACGATCGATCGAGCTTGCAAAGATATTAATACAATTTAGATCGATACATAGATCCCCCTTTGCCGCAGAGTCAACATTAGAAAAGTACTTAGTTAGTATAGAGTATATCCACAGTACGCGACATACCTGTGTATATGCATGCATGAAGATCTTAATATACCAACCCTTGAAAGTCTTAAGATCCTACATGTACCATTTCCTTTAACATTTTTAGATTTTTGATCCTCCTTGTTATAAGACCGGATACCCGTCAACCGGGTCAATTGATCGATCGTACCATACCAGAATTAGCTTAAAAAACAGGTCAAGCTGGAATTCTAGAAAGCATGCTGTTAATGCACAAGAACGAAAAAAAAGAGTAAAAGATCATCCGAAAAAGCTCTCAACTTCAATTTAAATTCACGATCAATCGATCTAGAAACACGAAAAAGGCATCAGATCGGATCAGATCAAATTTATAATATTTTACTTAAGTTAAAATCGAATCAAATGCAATTCATGTCATCAAATGGCCAGGCGCAGTATACTAGTAAAGAAAGTTCCAATTTTTTTAGAGTAACATATCAACGAAAAGGCAAAATGTGAATAAGGTATGGGTAAAAAAATAAATAAAATAAAAGTCCAAAAATAAGTAATGAACAAGAAGGGTAAAAATATAATAGACGAAGAAGAATTCGAAGGTGAAAATGAAGGAAGATAGAAATATAGAAATAAAAAAAAATAAAGAGCAAAGATCATCCCGGCTAGCTAGCTATAAGCTTCAATAGAACTAAACACTAATACTCCTCGTCGATGCGCAATATAAGGAGAGAAACCCAGGTACAGATGATAGTAGCGGTCGAAAAAAAAAAAGTGTAAGGTATGCAGGCGATCGTTGATCTAAATCACGAAGAACACTCTTCTTTTCATTCATAGTTTCGTGAATGCTCGAACAGAAAACGAAAAAAAAAGTAATGAATCCCTCCTCTTTTTTTAATTCCCTCGATGCAAAAAAATCCCAAGCTATTTTTTTCCCCCTAGAAGAAAAGAGAGAAGGAAAAGAGAAAAAAAAATATATAAAAGCAAAGAACACCGAGAAAAGACCCATAAGAAAAATTAAAGACAAAAAAAAGGAGAATGTTTTAACAAGAAAAGTTGTTATCATCTCCTGCTGCCGCCAGCAGCACCACCTCCATAAGAGTGACCACTCTTCCGTCTGCTACTTCTCCTGTTTTGATCAGCCGCGCTAGGATCCTCAGGGAACGGGTTATCGAGCATATCCTCAAGGTAAGTGCTTGGCGTCCTACCGCCAGCAGGTACACCTAGAGTCGAGCTGATACTGGGAGCTTGAGCATGTCCTTGACCAGGCGAAGGTCTTCGAGCGGTTGGAGTCAACAAGGGAGACGCAGGTGGTGTTCCAACAACATGTGAATCGCGAGTTGCAGGGCGAGGACGAGGCAGAGAATCACGGGATTGGTTGAATGGAAGATTTGTGGAAGCGGCTGGGGCGTAGTATCCGGCAGGAAGGTACTGGGATTGTCTTTGATGGGTGTTTCCGTTGTTGGCAGTGGGTGAGAAGAACAAGGAAGTGTTTGGAGTTGTTCCGAGACCTGTAGTACGCGATGCAGTGCCCAGGTGGTCAAGAGATAACGAAGATCCGGCACCCGCGCTGTAGAAAGACTTCTTGGCAGTCGCAGGAGGGTTGTAACGACCGAGAAGTCCAGCTTTGGAGTCTGTGGTGACAGAATTTGCCTTTCTGATAGACCGACGAAGCTGCCAAGCTACAACCATCCTCCAGGCGAAAGCGATGAGACCGATGAGACCGAGAGCAGAACCGACGGCAATGAAAACGGTACCCTCGGGAAGATCGGATCTTTGCATGTAAGGAGCATTCTTAGTGTTCGGGACAGCTGGAGGTGGATACTTTGGAATGGCGTATCTGCTATTGTCCGGAGGGGTATATTTAGGCGGTGGCGGATCGTCCGAATTACCACCCGATTTGCCGGTAGCGACAACAGTTACACTGGTCTTTGTGGCAGATTCCAAAGAGGGAGCCTCTTCCGTCTGCTGCGGGGGAGGGGTGGTTTTCGCTGGTGCCTGAGACGATTTCTCTTCCTCCTTGGTGTTTGTCTCAGCCGGCTTGGGGTCTTCCGTCTTGGAGCCTGCATCCTTGGGAGGCTCGCTTGATGGAGATGGAAGCTCTGGTGTTTCTTCTTTACCTGTAGCTGCAGGCTTGTTGGTTACGGCAGAAGAGCTCTGTTCGCCATTGTTATTATTTCCCTGGGCGACGACGGTCCCGGACAGGCTGGCGAGGAGGAAGAATATGGAGAGTGCAGATGACGGTCGCATGATTTCCCGGAGTGAAAGAGGAAGAAAAGAAAGAGGTCTGGTCTTGTCGATTGTGTTTTGTATGCTATGAGCCGGTATATATGATGGGATGGGATGGGATGATGTTTTTATGAGAAAGATTCCAGAATAAAATAAAAGAATAAAATGGACAATAAAAAATGAGCACGTCGGCGAAAAATGATGTCTTAACGAACGACTGAATAAAATATAATCAAATGTCGGCTTGTCGATGATTTCGGCGCAGAACCAAAAAAAACTAAACTCTTTTTCGAGAATAGAAATCGAAATCGAAATTGAATTTTGAAATGTCGGACAGAAGAGAATAAGTAATAATGTATGTATGCATGTACGTATGTTCCGTAAATAAGATTCTGTATCACGTAGCACGACTAAAGTCAGCTTTTTGTTTGGTTCTGGTTCGAAGAGAAGCCGTCAAATTTTCAAGCCTCTTTTTTTTTAATCGCCTTTGATCGGTTTTTCTTCTTCTTCTGTCGCTCTATCTCTCTCTATTCCCTGCCATTCGCTATTTTTTCTCAGACGAAACGAAAGGGTTTTTTTTTAAAGTTGTAAAGAATCGGGAGGTCGGTCGGTTGGTCGGCTTCTATTTGGGTGGGTGGCATTCCATTCCGATGGACCGGTTGAGAAGAGTAGAGCGGAGCAGAGCAGAGATTGACGGTAACTGAGGCTTTTTGGCAGAGAGTAAAGGGGGTTTGACGAAGACAGGAGAGAAGACAGGACGGGACGAGAAGAGACGAGAGCGAGAGAGGTCGCCGGTCGGGTATTGAGAGAGAGAGAGAGAAAGAACAAACAAGGCCCCCCAAAAAGGAACGAGGTTAAATGCACCTACCAAAAATGCAACTGACAGTTATTCCCCCCCTGAACAGACTAGTAAATATGGATCAACGAACGGAGTATAGATAGACGAATCGAATCGTAGGATGGATGTAATAGCGAGCGTGGTGGTGATGATGGTTATTGTCGATGATGTTGATGTTGATGGTCAAAACGAGCGACGACGGGGAAAAGAAGGAAAGGAAAGGAAAGGAAAGAAAGAAAGAAAGAGGAAGGAAAAAGGAAGAAAGGAAAAGGAATACAGGCTGATTTCTCCTTTCTTACTAGACCGGTATAGTAAACTTCGTGAAGTAACTTAACTTCTTCCTTTAAGACCTCAAAACTTGGCAGAATCAAATAATTAATATTAATAACATGAATAAGAGAATCAAATACGACGGATACTACTTAGTTCAGAAGAACCGAGAGAGAAAGAGTTTAAAGAGATCGAGACGAAGAAGAAGAGAGAAGGGAAAGATTGCATCGACGCAGGGCGAAATGAGTGAATGAACGAATGAATTCATATCAAATGGATTCAAACAACCTCCACTTTTGCCCCCCCTTAACTGTCAAGTCAACTATGCATCATCTATCAAAAGAATTGCTAATATAATGCGACCTCGAGGCCAGGCAAAGGCAAAAAAAAAGGGTGCGCTTCCTTGTCATCGCTCTAGTCCTGATTCAGGATAGTGGCCTGTGCGGACGTAACCATTCCAGAACATCAGAGACAAATACTAATACTAAAATACTCTATTTAAGGAACACCCACATACATCCATACATACTTACATACATACATACATACATACATATCTATGCGAAGTGTTCAGGCAGGGTTTGATTGATATCTTATCTGTATCGACAGAGCTTCAGTCTATATATCTTATTGTCATTCGATAAGACCCTGAGATCCAATTGGAGTATTATATGTAAGTATGTACATACATGTTACACTGGTGTAGTATACAAGGATGCTTTCTCGCCTTGTACCCCTCTCGCCCACAGAATTCAATAGAATAGAACAAACACCATCACGATCAGTGCAGTCCAGTAACACCACATATGTCACTTCCTCAAACCATCCAATCATACTATCATCCAATCATACTATCATATGATCATGCACGTACACAATATTACACTTTTACAATCGAAAGAATAATTATAATGTCATCTCGCTTTTATTAAGAAGTGTTAAAAAAAGAGAAAAAGGACAAATGCCACCCTCCATAAGTATTCTCATAACCAACATCAAAAGGATTAAAAACCTCCTCTCAATGCATCGATCATATGCATGCGTGCGTGCAAAAAGCTTAAGCTATACCATAAGCTAATAGGCTAAGCTTTCTAGGCTGACCTCGGGGATTTTTGTCTCAGAAGATGGCATCTATCATGATTCTGGATGCCCTGCAAAGTAATAACAATGAAAAAAAGAAAGAAAAGTAGTAAAAGTAGAAACCACAAAAAATTCCATTCAACCCCCTCTCGATTGTTCTGTCTCTTCACCTCACTGTACCTCACTTCACTTCACTTCACCTCCACCTTTTCTTCGAGAGAACGTTCCTTCTCGCATGTGTGTAATGTGAGTGTGAGAGAGTCTGTGTGTGTAGCTAGCTGTCTGTCTGTATTTGCGTATATGTGTGTGTGTGTGTGTGTGCGGTCGTAGTAGGGGTAGAATAGAGGAGAGTACAGTAGAATAATAGAAAAATGCGACCTTTGTGGAGTCTCACGAGGCATCAGAGGGAAAACTACCTCCAGTTGCCACCACCGCCGGAGTTATATCCACCACCACCACCGCCTCCGTTACCACCATATCCACCACCACCGCCGTATCCACCGCCACCACCGCCGTATCCTAAATATCAAATCAGCATCAGTATCATATCATGAAATAAGATATACATATACCACATTGATGTAATGTAATAGAGTAAAAAAAGGGGGGATATGATATGAAACTCACCTCCACGACGTCCACCACCGCCGCCGCCACCACCGCCGCCGGACCTGTCGCTGGCCTTATCGACACGGATTCTTCTTCCGTCAAATCTATTTTTTATTCATCCATTCGTTAGCTACTTTATTTCTCACTGGCATAACCCCAATACCATCTTGATTGATGGAAGGAAAGGGGGGAAAAAAAAAGACTCACTCGGCATCATTCATGGCTTCCTGCGCAGCAGTAGCCTCGTCATCGTTAGAGAATCTAACGAATCCGAATCCTCTGGATCGACCGGTATCTCGGTCCTTGACGACAATCTATAAAATTCATCACAATCAATCGTTAGAGTTTTTTGCTAAAAACGGAAAGAAGAAGAATGTGTCTGGTCGGGTGGGGGGTGAAAAAATCACGAAAGAAAGAAAGGATGAGGGGGAAAGGGAAAAAGGGGGGGGTTAAGAGGGAGGGGTTAACACATACAGCATCTTCAACGACGCCGAATTCCTCAAACTTCTGTCGAAGACGGTTATCATCCGTCCCGTAGGAGAGACCACTATATCATGAAAAATGAATAAAAAAATATGGGTTAGCAATGATACACGCGTGGATACCATTTCGATGGGACTCGTTTTTTTTTTTTTTCCATTGCTCTCATGTCAGGCCATGTTATCGTGCGGACATTGAAACCAACATCTCGTCTATCCACCTAAAGCCATCGACCCAGATAGATAGATGGACAGATAGATAGATAGATGGCGATAGACCAGAGGAAGGGAGAAGACAGAAAACATACCCGATAAAAAGCTTCGACATCTTCGCGATCGTAAATAATAAAACTGAATTCTTCTTCTCAACAAGATTCGTGTGTGGAGGAAGAGTGGGAGGAGAAGAGTTAGGAGCAGAGGAAGGGTGGGATAGATAGATGGGGGATGGTTTCGAAAGAAAAAAAAAAGGTGTTTTAACTAGGAAAGCTTTAGCGGGGTGAACAAACAATGAAAAAAAAAAAAAATCCCGCCCTTCTTTTTTTTTCACTCTTTTTTTTTTTTTTTCGCCACTAAGCAAAGAGCACTTTACTGTGTAATACCTTGATCAGGGCATATGCACAGAACAGGACTGGACTGGATTGGACTGGGACTGACTGGGACTGACTGGAGGAAAGTGGGGAGGGGATGGGGAGCGGTTGACAGGATTGGCTGGCTGGTCAGGCTAACATGAACTAACCCCAAAAAGGCTGCAGCGCCCCAAAAGCGTCTACAACACAACATCCCGCCCGCCTATGATATCATCCACTGCACTCCGCTCCCATTGCATGCGTCTGTCTATACGGAGTACCAGCATCCCCTCTCACTATCTACTATCTACCATCATCATCCCCTCATCACCATCATCATCAGCATCCCTACTCTACTTTTTGATACCAATCAAAACACCAGTATAAACCAATCTTATATCTCAGTTCACAAGTTTTACGTTTTATAAGAAATCTCTGCAAAAATGACAACCATCGTAATCCCAACCAGCACTTCGGTCACCGAATCCGCCGTCATCAACGCCCCCCTCTCCACCGTCTGGCACCTCATCAAGCTTAACTCCTTCCCAGAATGGTGGTCTGCCCTTCAATCCAGCGAGAGCGTCAAGGGTGTTTCCGATGAAACCGATGTTCGTGCCTATTCCATCTCTCCATACTTTATATATAATATAAAAATATATACTAAAATATAGTACGATACCAGGTCTACAAATGGACTTTCAAAGATGGTACCGTCGTTGAAATCAAGCAAGAAGCTCATTCCGGTAATACATTCTATATCTACTTACTTACTTACTTACCGTATATATATATAAGAGTATATTGTAAACTAACGGGAATACAAACCACAGCAATCGACCACTACATCACCTACTCCGCCATCTCCTCCAACCCAGCGACAACCTACTCCTCAGTCATCTCCACCGTCCGTCTCTTCCCCATCACCTCGGGCCAACACCAAAGCAGCACTTTCGTCCAATGGAGTGCCAATTTCAGCGGTGATGCCGATGCTGGCGTCATCCAAGATGCTAGGTATAAACGTCAAGAAGGTTTGGCTGATTTGGCCAGGAAGGTTGGGAAATAAATCCCCCCTTTTTTTATATGTCGTTTTGAACCAAATTATACAATTAACCTAGAAAGGAGGTTGTAGAAAAGCATTTTTCTTTTTTTGTTACAGTTGATATTGATATTGTGAAGTGGGTGGATGGATCGGATGGACGTTGCATACGATCTGATATTTGGAAACAGGGTCTGCTAAGAATGTGAATTCAAGGGGACATTGGTATGGATAGCCAGGGGGCTCATGTCTTGCCTCGGAAGATATATGTCGTAGCGATAGGCATGCATGTGGAGTTTAAATAACCTACAAGGAATCCAAAAGAATGTGAACCTTCATTCTTTCTTCTACTTCGACTACCACCCATCCCATCCGTCTTGTGATACCGCGAGCCGTGGGTATATACTTTCTAGGTTCGTTGAGAGTATGAGAAGAAAGAGAAGAAAACCCTCCACGATTATCCATTTACAACTTTAGTTACAAAAAAAAAGAAAGGTACCCCGCTATAAACGCGTGAAGTATAGGTAGTAGTCTATATAAAATACAATCCAATCCCGACCAAAATCCACCCCGCCTCCCATTCCTCTAAGGGGCTGACCGACCAACCAAGAAGTTTAACTCATCAAAATAAAGGGTAGATGGAAGATAAGGAAGCAAAAAAACAATCACGACCTCTTCCGTCCCCAAACCCTCCTCCCCAGATTTCCAAAACACAGACAACTGACGTAAAGCACGCTAGCAATCCACGTCGTCGCCCCCCAGAACTTCATCTGCAATTCCGCCCCTCCGTGACCCGTTACCGCCAAGTTCCTGAGTTTTTCAATAATACCCACTCCGTCGTCACTGGGGATAGCTACGAAGTCCGGGTTGAAGCCGATCAGAAACATGGATCCGAATACGGCGACGATGGTGGATAACCAGAAACCCGTACGTGTGCGGTCGAGGATGTACCATAATACGGGGTTTGCGGATGCGAGGGTTAAAGTTGCTTGAGATGTTGATTGCCAGGGTAGTTTCCTCTGTATCGAAGAATATCCAAGATTAGTATCATCCCCAATATATAAATCAAAACCACGGAATACACTTATATGGGAAATACTCACAATAGCATATGCAACCCCCACAAAAGCCCCAATACTCCTAACCGCCGGATTCCAACCCGGCGTAACCTCCCCCCTCTCCTCACCACCACTCTTCCCATCATCCTCATCACTCCCACTCTCCCAAACATAATCCTCCCAAATACCATCCACCCACGGCAACAAACTTCCCAAAACCACGGCCGCAATACCCCATGATACCAAATACCCCACCGTATCCCTCTCAACCTGCACCTTCACCGGCGCAATATGGCTTTGATCGTGTAACTGCGAGATTATAAATCCATAACTCGCTCCGGCGGAGAATAATACGATTAGAATACCTATCTGTCGGATTATACCACCGTTTTTTGAAGATGTCGAACGGGAGGAATGGTGTCTTGATAGGTTTGATAAAGGTCTTGAACGTTTGGAGGGTAAAGTAGATCCATCGTCGCCTGAGAGTTCCGTGGGGGAGGTGGGGACACTGCTGGCGTTACCGTTGGATTGTAATAGATTTGCGAAACTGGATTGTCGCGTCGCTCCTGGTGTTCCTGGAACGCTGTCGTAGGCTGATGGACCGTAGATGCCGAATAAGGCACTGGTCGTGAGGTTTCGAATGGATTGCGAACGTTTGGAGAGGGGGCCGGAGGGGGTTATGGAGCCGTTTGCGGCGGTTGTGGTGGTTGCATCTGTTGGAGGGTTTAGAAGCTCGTTTGTGGGTGTGTCTGTGGGCGAGGGGTCGAAGTTGTCGCCTAGGATGAAGCCGCGTCTGGGAGTTGGTTTGTAGATTGGTGGTGATGAGTCTGTCATTGTGTATATGTACTATTTACTACTGGTACTTTTGGGTATATATTATATCTGATGTATAAGATGCCGTTTTTGAAGGGTTTGAAGGTTGGTGATTGAAGTTTGGTGATATGGAGCAAGTATATGAGAAGTGGCGGGTAAGCTGAGGTTTTCGCTGTTTCGTTTCGAAGCTTTGATCAGCATCTGATTCTCAGTCGGGAAGGAGCAGCTTTTTAAAAGCACTCACCTCAGCTCTAAGAACAGACTGTTTTTTTTATATTTCGAGGAACTCCCCGAAATCACGTAACGTGATCTCAATTGAACCTATACGATATGATGTAATAAAATATGTATGGTGATTGAAACTCCTTCTTTTTTCCAAGGAAGAATCCGAGAGAGACCGAGAGAGAGAAAAAACTATCAGGTGCTTCTGAACTGAACGGTTTTTTTTGGGTTGTTTTTTTTTCTGTACCCCAGCTTTTTCCCTTGCCAATATTGGTCAGGAAACACCAAACCCCGGTCTGATTAGAATGTTGGAAAAAAGGTCAATGCCGGACTTTTTTCGGCCGGAGAACTTGTTGAAAACGCCGGGAAATGTAATCAATGCTGGACCCTTTTTGGTACTGTGAACTGTGAAGTGATCGCGAGGACAGGCGGAGAAGGCGGGTTGCAACTGACGAGACTGGATAGATGCTTATCAAATGGTGGAGCTTAATGACGGCTGTACCTGTCAATCACGGTGAAAGTGAGAAGACGGAAAGAAATAAAAATAATAAAAATAATAATAGAAAATAGAAAAGAATCGTGTGATCTTTTATATCTTTTGTATCTTTTGTAAATATCTTTCTTGAAGTTCAATTTATAGGGGAGAGGATACTGACTGGTTTGTAAGTAAGTACCCTCAGCTTAAATATCCCAACGGAATCCGAATATTATATAATATATATACATATTACCTCAATATCAACAGCCAATGCGTATTGTTACAGAACGTTTTGGATATAGCTCTAGAACTCGAAAGAGAAAAAAAGCATGTGAAAGTGTATGTAAGTACATATTAATAAAACAAGATCGAAGAATAGGCCCGGAACATGGCGGGCATGTTTAGGCTCAACATGCTCGAACAGCAGGTCGTGTTCCCAACATGTCGCACTGACTATGTCGCGCGTGCTGGGACCTCGATACTCAACAGTCTGAATTCTACGTACTTGGGACTAACTGTTACTCGATTGGACCAGCTGAGAAATTACTAATTTTCTCTATTTTTTTCTATTTCCGTAATAGCAATACGATATACGAGACGATACTGCACAAGCCAAGTTGTTTCGTGCCCGGGATTGGGGAAAGTCGCCAAGCCTGTAATTAGCATATGGAAGAGACAACGCAGAAAATACCACAAATTCTAAAGTAGTCCGGTATAAAGTCTGGGAACGAGACTGTTCGTATATCGCCAACTTTATAACGGCATTCATTTCAATTAATATAAGTTGTATACTTGCGGTATTATGCTGGAAATTGAATAAACAGCTCTACAATAACATTGGCAAAGCCATGTTTGTGTTCGATTATTCTGGTCCAGAAATATGGGAGGCGAGAGTGTTCGGTTTTGCTTTAAAGTGACAGGTATAATGATCATTTTCATACTTACAGGAGCGGTCTATACTATACTAGTGGGCAGATAATATCTTTTTTATTTGACTTGATTTTTCTGGGTGAATATATACAGGGTTTTACAATATTACAAGTGTATCATTCAACGGGACTGACAAAAAGGACCATACCCTCACGTGTCCCCAACATCAAAAGATTGCCTCTCAAAGATCTAGAACTAACCAAGTAATCCATAGGTAACCGAAATATTTTCCTTCCTCCCTGCATTATCCAACCACCATCGCTAGTCAAAAGCTTCAAAAACTGCGCTGGATAATCCTTTCCTTCCAGAAGATGATCTTTAAGCCAGCGCCAGCCTGTAGGTTCGGCCATGCCAGCGCAACACGGCACGCAAAGCAACCCCATACCTGTTGCTATATATATGCTCATATTATCCGGACTAAGAGTTACCATTGGAAGCACGTCATCCTCGAGAAAATCATAAATCCTCTGGCGATATCCGAATCTATGGATAATGGTGCCGCTGAGAGTTTCGCAAACAGCTATAATCTCCGCGCGAAAGAAATTTGTTTCAATTTTCACTACTAAAAATTCACCACTCTCTGAAAATTGTAAGCTTCGGATATAATGTTTAGATTCTCCAATCACGATCGTGCAAATTTGTCTCCACCCTTTTATGGCTCGGATTTTAACGTATGATAGCGGACCAATATTGGCCGATGCCATTATCTCGCCGTTGGGAGAAAGAGTGTGTCGATAAGTACCAGATTCCAAGTCAACTCACCTTAAAAAGTTTCCCGATGATGCGTCATAAAATAATAACAAATGAGAGGGATAGTATGCGGTGGCTAGTTCGTGAAGAGGGGTGGATTTAGTGGTTGAGGCGTCTTCATCAGAAGACGGGTAATCAGCCGGAATCGTGACTATCAAAACCAGTTCCTTACTGTCGGAGGAGAAGGCAATATCCAAGATTCTTGAATGTACAGCGTTACAATCATCATCAATCCTCAATAGAAACTCTTGTGTAAGATCGCTAAACGAATCGAATGCCAATAGCTTTATCCTGTTATCCGATAAACAACCAAGTTTCGTGCCGTCCGGTGAGAGCGTAAGCAGATCTCTCCCGGGATGATTATAGGATTCTATAGTTTCTGAGACGCACAAGCACTTGCCTGTTATGGTGCTCCAGAGTCTGAGATCTTTCGAACAGTTATATGATAGCGATGCGGATATATCCTGGTTCTGAGAGATAGCTGTTCGCAGCACTGCGCTTCCATGATAATCAACTAGATCGCCATTCGTCGTTTTCAGCGCCTTAGTCTCCCAAATTCGTATCTGGGGATACGACCCTGCAACAAAAAATCTTCCATCCGGTGAGAAAGCACTACAGCTGTGGGATAAGCCGTAGCCAATAAGCCTACATTCGATTGCACCCGTCCTTGCACAGCGGGATTCCATTGTCCCATTTCTAGCGATGATGATGACAGTCTTCCAGTCCGGCGCAAGGCCGTAGAAACGTTCGCTTTCCACTAGCTTCAGGTTAATGATAGGATTCGACGGCTCCTCTGTGCCACACTTTCCTAGGAATAGTTTTGTCGTCGTATCCCATACATTCATGTATTTATACCGAGTGTCTGTATTGAATAATAGAACAGCGATCATTTTCCCACAAGGAGAGTAGAATATTTGAGAACGTTCGTGCCCCTCAGTCTTAGAGATTTTCTGAATGGAGCATGTTTCAACATTAAACAAACCAATCTCTTCCCTTGATCCGAATGCGATAACTCCACCGTCTGGCGACAATGTTATACCGAAGACAGGACTACTGGATATCATCGAACTGCGCAACAATACACCTGTCTCTACTTCCCATGAGTAGAGTATGGCAGGACCCTGTTGGTTGTCGCACCAACCATGAAGATTGAATACGGCGGTAATGGTTTTCCCGTTTGGTGAGAAGAGAGTCGGAACAGCCGGCTGTCCGTAGGCTTCTAGCGTGTGAGTATTTATAAGTGTTTCTCGGTCCCACAACTGTATAAATCCCACACCCATTGCCCTTGCGTATGACGATGAAGCTACTATCTTAGCGTTGGGGGAGAAGTATACCCCATCAGGTATGTCTTGGAGGAAGGTCTTCTGGCGTTTAATTTCTGGCACGACCTCTCCAGTGGCTGCGTCCCATCGCTGGATGACACCATTGCCGGAAGTTAGGAGCAACATCTTGCCACTAGATGAGAATGCCATAGCATAAGCACGGCAGTTATAACCCACCAGGGTTCGCAAGGAATCGCCGGTCGCCGTTTCCCAAAGCTGGATGGAAATAGTTGCCGATATAAATGGCGGTTCGGTTAGCCTTGATGCGGTTGCAATTGTTTTGCTGTCTGGCGAAAATGCTATGAGGCGGGCTATTGTTTTATGGCCTTCGAACTTCCGCACCAGTTTTTTGTTATCAATGCTCCAGATATTGACCGTGGTATCCTCGAGCGCGCATGCAATCAATGTGCTATCTGGGGAGAACAAAATAGACGTTATGAGAGAGCGGTAGTGTTGGGAAATCCCCGTGGATTTTCCCGTCGCAGTGTCAAGTAACCTGATAGTATCTTTAAATGCTAATGCAATCAACTTGTCATCTGGCGAGAAGGATATTAGGCTTTTAGGCTCGCAATTAGAATCAAATGGGCCCTCATCAATTTTGAGGCTCTGAAAAGACGCAAGGTTTCTCTCAGCTGCTATGTCCCAAAGTTTTAGGACACCACTGGCGATATATGCAATCCTTCGTCCATCGGAGGAAAGCGCGAGAGAATTTGCCTCTAAGTCAAACTCTTTCCTAGCCTCCCCCGCCATCATTGTACAAATTTCTATACGATATTTTGCCCTGCCTGCTTTTAGTGCTACTAAGAGTGTTTCTCCATCGACTGAGAATGAAGCAAAGTTAAAAATGCAGTTAACTGCGACATGCTTATATATTCTGTGGAAAAAATGGGTGGTTATGTCCCAAATAACGGCTTCACCGGAGGTAGAGATGGCAAGGGCTCTGTCTCCATTTGGTGAAATGGCTACCTCCCATATTGTGTCACAGTCATTTTCACCTTGTCTCAAAATTGAACCTGTCAACAGATCCCAGAGTGTTATCCTATCGCTAGAAAGTGAAATGATTTTGTTGTCTGGTGAAACGGCGAGACAATAAGGTTCGAATTCGGAGGGTTTCAGAGTCTGGAGTAACGCGCCCCACTCCTGCTGCACTGGCCTTATGTCAATGGGATGAAATATGTCACTCTTGAATTGTTGGCGAACTAAACTCTGCTGGGGAGCAAAAGATAGTGCAGAGTAGTAGGTTTGAAGGGGTGTTTCCTGGATCATCGACCCGAAAGATAGAGTAAAGCGCCTTGCGTCGTATACGAAATTATGTATATCGAGGTTTTTTTTTGCCTATATTTTGTCAGATTGAATGATATAGTGGTGCAGTATAATTCTTAATTTACCAACCTCAGTAATAGATTCTAGGAGTAGAATGACGCGAATACCTTCCTGGATCTTGCCAATCAAACTAAGGGCCTCCAGCCAGTGGAGAAAATGCACCTTGAGAAAGCCGAGTATACCTTTCTCTTCCCGAGAATTATCATCACCCTTGGAAGGCTCGGCAAGACTGAAGTGGTCTATCCAGTAAACACACGAATATCGAATTGATGCCAGCGGGTCTGGATCTGGAATAGAGACATTTTTAGTCATGAAGTCTGGTTCTTTGAGGTTATAAATATCTCTTCTTAAGGTATTAGAAAGAGCCTTGAGGGATTGAGAAAATATCGTGTGATGACTTTCTGTCTTCCATTCATTGTTTAGCAATAATGACCCTATTCCTTTAGCCGATAAAAAATCCATAGCTGACTGGTGTATTATATAAACGTAGCTTTCTCGAATCGTGAAAAAGGACCCGCATTGATCCACCAGTTTTCTGACGACCCCAGGCTTCCTAGATATATCTTTTGGCAATTGTGAAAGGACAGATATTTCCTCGAGATGGAGAGGACGGTACGCCACAGCAACTGTTGATAAAATGAGAGAGCATAATTTTTGGGTCTCTGGTCGTTGTTGCTTCACCTGGTCAATCATTCGACTGTAGACTCTCCATAGGTCTTCCGGGAACTCTTCAAGTATTTGGTTTAGTTCCCAGGAATTTGCTCCTTTTAACTCCTTAGTGATCAGAGAAACCCAAAGGAATGTACCGTTGGATTTTTCTAGCATCGTATCATGTAGCTTGCTAACTTTGACTTCGTCGTCAAACACTGATTTTAATTCGGCAATGCTATGTTTGATATAGGTTTCAACAGCCTTTGAAACGAGTTCCGCGTTCTCATCTTGTTCGAGACCAAGCCTTGTGTGCGAGATATGCGACTGTAGCCCCCGCTCTATGTCCGTGATGTTCCGACTGGAGAGGATCCACTGGACATGTGAGAATTTCGAAGTGTGGATAACAAGATCAAGGAGTTTGAAAAGGTCTGTGATACACTCATCGAGAGCATCTATGACAATGCAAACTTTGAACTGTTTAAAATCCTCAAGGATGCCTGTAAGAATCGTGGACAGAGCAAACCAAGCGTTAGGATCTTGGAAGAGCTGTTTCCCAGAAGCATCGTACTTCTCGCGAATGGCAAGAATAAGCGCTGGATGTTGATTGACGAGCATGTATATCAAACTGCGCAGAGCGGCAGTAGCGTTATTGATACGGGAATCAGTGCCTTGGAAAAGAAAATAAGCTAGGAGCCTATCGGATGATTTATCGTTTAGCCTCGTTGTGGGCCCTAATTCTTCAATGAGGCCGCAAAGTAACATTGTTTTGCCCTTTCCAGGGTCACCCGTAATCCAGAGCAGCTGGGTTTGATTGCGACCCCAGGCTTTGAAATCCTCATGCTCAAGGATCCAGATGTATGAGCCCTTGAGTAGATTTCCCTTAGTTTGTGTGATGCGTGCCTTGTCATCAATCGGGTTGGTTACTCGCAAGTCAGCCAGACATTTTTTATCCTGCTCGTCGAAAGTCACTATCGATATAGAGTAAGCACTGTTTTGGTATGAAAAATCTTCCTTTCTAGATTCGGAATGAACGAGGGCTTGAAATCGAGTAAGCTCACCTTTTTCTGGGATAATAGTCGTAGAGATGCCAGGTAGTGTGTATCTTTCTAATACAGCTTTGGCTACAGATGCCGCTGTAGCGGCAGCAAATGGCTGCCAATCTTTGTTCTTGTGGCTGTCGGCATAGTCACAGACACCCTTAATAACAAGAGAAGGGCTCTCATCAAACGCCCCGGCTCCCTCCATCTCGAATGCAATGAGGTTTCCTTGGATAGCAATTGCGTCCCGATGCTCACTGGACCTCATAACTGTATCTCCGGACGCAATATTCCCCACGAATACTTCGGGTCGTTGTTGTTCCTCATCCGATCCAAGGTTTCTCTTCTTTTTCAAACGCTGCCTTCGTACTAGCATATCATCGTCGCAACAAAGCTCTACACAGGCCGTCTTATCAGCCCTCGCGGCAATAAGTTTCATCCTCTCCAGTACATGAGCTACACTCCACTGGCTCCTGATGTTTATGCTGATAATTTGCTGGAAATAGTCTGTCTTGTGAGATTCCGGGGTAGCGATAGTTAGTCTCGCATTCAGCCTCGATAGATATCTTTTGAAGAGTCGTTAAGTGCCCGGCGGCGTTCTTCTGCACTTCTTGTCTGCCGGGCTCGGTTTTTAAATAGGCGATAAGACTACTAAGATCTTTGTTGAGATTACCCAGATTGCCCTCATCAGCAGCTTTAGGAACATGTTGATTATGATATTGTCTCCCGAAATCGTATTGAAAGATCCGCTCCCCGATAATAACGTCGCCGAGGAGGGACGCCTCCACAAATCCCGACTAATAACGCAAGGCCGATGTTGTAATAACTTGATCTCAGACTAGCCGTCGATCCGGCCGCTGAAGACTTTCCCATCTTTGGGAGGAGTAAGAGCACAACATTGTGTTCACCGAGACGGCCATTTCGGTACGTGTTCGGATCTCCTTGGGCTCGTCCGTACGTATTACCTCCCTCATCCCACCATTGATCGATAAGAAGTGAGATGGCATTGTACTCAATTGGTAGAGCGCAGATTATCGCAATTTGGAAGTCCTGGCGGCCAGCCGGTCTTTCGTAGGTCCGGCCTGAGCTTACACTTCCAGACACTGCGTGTCGAAATGTATCCTGTGTAAGTTCTGGTTCGGGTTCTGAAATTGCCTGTTAGATATGCTGCTTGTTAGTCTCGGGTACAGACTCGAGCGTAGCGTGCAGGTTTTTTGTTGATGATATGTTGCCTAGCTGTGGCGGCTAGCGTTGAGATGAATGTAGATGGAGATGTTACCTCGAAATCGCAATCATTATCAAGTTCGATAATTTCTGTTACTCGGGCGGTTTGGGTCAGCGGGGGAGGGGCTGTTCCCGTGCGACGAGCTTGCCCACAACAGTCCGGATCTTCGAGATCACAACAAGCTGAGCGTTTCGGCGGCTGTGACATTTCGATATCTCGACAAAGTCTTTCTTCTGTTTGACTTCCGCGCAGCTTACTACTTTATAATCTTTCTTTCTCTCTTTTTTTAGCACTTATTTTATTTATTTTTATTTTTTATTTTTTAAAAAAGGCTCATCTGGGTGCTTATGTTAAGTTTATAAGGCTAGCTGGTGGTCTTGTCCTGTCATGTCGATGTCGCAAAGTGAAGAGGGTGGAGCCAACCTTCCATGCCTTTTCGCTTTATCAAGTAAACAAAAGAGATCCTTTCCAGCCTCTACAAATAGTCTTTTGGGTATGTTGGCTCGATAGCACCCTGTCGAATCAAAGCGCCCTCTGCGACATCCTGAGCTGTCCTGCATTGCATTACCGAGCGGGGTCGTAGACTGAGCGCGAGGCTGATAGAATCGAGAATTATCGATTGAGGCATGTACCTTGCACAAGACCTTAGCCCACATGCGCATGCATGATTTTTAAATTCCAGTCCTTTCTTTGAAGAGTAATCTCGAAATGAGGTACAAACGAGGGTAGGGCTGACGGGTAGGAAGTGAATCGCCATTTTATTGATATCGGGATCTACTTCCTAACGAGACGCGCAAGTCTTTAACCATAGTTTTTTTTTAAATAAAAGCTTCAGGACGAATGGGAACATACTACTTTTATCTATGATATGATATGATATGACTATAGTACATGCATTAGTAATGCTATTCCAAAAAGATCCCGCTATACACCTTCAAAGCGCCTAAAGAACGCCAATATAAATGATGAAGAACCTCATAGTTCGTGGATCTTATAACATCCTCCCGGATCCCCCCACCTCCTCTAACTCATCTAATAGCAAACCAAAGATCACTTCTCCGGTGCGTCCGGCAACCTCTCAACCACATACTTCCCCCTAGCACAACTCATAACCGGTACACCCGGAATCTTCCTAATCCTCCTCTTCAAATCCCTATCATTAGTCGCCACGATATAAATCTTACTTTCAATACACCTCCTAACAATACAATCATCTGCATAAGTTCCCTTATGATCACACTTCAACCTCTCAAACCTCTCATCTCTCGCAAGTCTTAACGCCAATCTATACTTCGCGCCTAACTTTTCCAATTCGGCCATTACGCAGTCGGTTACTATGGGTATACATTTTGCGTAGAGACAATCGAGGAAGGCCGTGATAGGGTCGAGTTTGTTTTGTAAAGTGTGGTTTAGGAAGTTGGTGTCCACTAGGATTGAGTAGGGAGGTTTGAGGGCTTCGTTGTATTGGAAGAAGAGGGAGGAGGCGACTTGTGGGCTATTTTTTTGGAGGAGGTTTGGTTAGTTATTGGTATACTTTTAAACGGAGGGTTCTAGGTAGGAAAGGTAGTAGAGCGTACATTTCTACAACATCCTCATCTGGTTTCTCTTTCCGGCGTTTAACCAGCGCTGCTTGTTTCTCTTGGTTCTTCTTTCTATATAGATTGAAGCAAATGGTTAGCTATCTTGAAGAGTAGGTTGGGAAATATTTGAATGAGTGATAGATGGATCATACAATCTTGGATCTCTAGCGCTAAGAACTCGCTTTACTGCGCCGAACTTTCGGGTACGCTTTGCGACACCCATTGTGGTAGTTGGGTATGTGGGAAGTTGATGTTGATGTTGAAAAGGTTGGTGGTGGTTGTGGAGGAAGATCAACAGCTTGAAAAATTTCAAGATGCGAAAGGTCGCGACCCAAAAAAAGCCGCCAAGAAAAAGCAAGCAGCTTAGCGATAAATATCTTGGCAAACTAATTATCACCGACTCGGATTTAAAAAGACCCTTCGATAAACTACGACTGCGTTACGACGAACCAAAATTATTGTCAAAACATCATCTCATATTCCTCTATAACAAAAAAAAGGGCAATCCTCCGAAATTCCGATGAAACTGAAACCGGGCAATGCATATCATATAAGTTCCCACCTCTCCAATGCTTTTAGTTTTTCTTTCCTTGTCATGCTACACCCACTGCAACTGCTCCCCATAATTCACTAGGCCAGCCAGGATGTATCGTACATGCTACCTTAGAATATATACAAAGATTCTTTGGATATTTTTTTTGCTTCATTCATTCAGTCATTCTTTTTGTGATAGATGTAGGTTATATCTAAATATTTATCCTATCCCCCCATGACCTCAGCAGCCTTTAATACATGTATAAGCTGGTGAGTATTTACTGACGGCCAGTGGTCGACCAGGTTGGGCAGATGTTATCTGGGGCAACCAAAGCACCCTGGAATCCGTGGTGTCGTGGAATATCCTCAACACGGTGGTAGGCGTTCAAGTTCTTGTGGAGGGTGATTTCTATTGATTGTATTAGCATATTATGTTCTAGGGGTATATGTAAAGATAGAAGTGGACCAGGGGAAAACATACGGTAAACGGTAGCACTACCCTGTCGGGAAATGATGATGGAGTAGGCAAGGAAGTACTCCCAGATCTTGAACCATCGCTCACCGTACTTGGCCTTGACCTTCTCGGCGTTGGCCATCCAGTTTCGGTACCAGTACCAAAGAGTGGCTATAAATGAAATTAGCATTGATCCGTTCCATGAAAATTTTTAAAAAGGATAACGGATGAAGAACTTACTGGAGTAGTGGACACCGTGGGTATCAATGTGCCAGACCTCGAAACCAGCGCTTTCCAAGCTGCTAACGAAGAAACCAAGAGGAGTAGAAGCATCGGCACCTGGGAAGATATACTTGTTCATGAAGAGACCCCAGATGAGATCCTCGAATTGCCTTCACAATTTATTAGCCCGTGTTTCATATCCCATCGTAATCATTAAATCAAAAACTCACCAAGACTTTCTCAAACCAGCGATTTGGAGCAAGAAACAACCATCATCGTCAAGCATGCCATAAACCTGTCGCAAGAAGCTTGTGAAGTACTTGACACCGACGTGCTCAGCCATTTCAAGACAAGTGATGACCTTATATCCACCTTCTGGGACAGGAATATCACGGTAATCCATGCACAAGATTTTGCTTTGTTCCTCAGAGATACCAGCACGTCGAAGACCATCGTTACCCCACTTGGTTTGGTTGCGACCAAGAGTGATACCAGTAACATGAGCACCATAGTTGACGGAAGCGAATTTGGCAAGAGTACCCCAACCGCAGCCGATATCGAGCATGCGATCACCGGGCTTGACGCCAACCTTTTCGCAGACGACCTTGAGCTTGTTGTCTTGGATTTCCTCGAGGGATTCGGCCTTGTTGATGTCGCTGATGATGCCGGAGGTGTAGATCATACGTGGACCAAGGAACCAGGCGTAGAAGTCGTCACCTCGGTCGTAGTGATCACGGACTTGTTCCTCATCTGCATTATCTCATTAGACTTCCACCCAATCGAATCCTAAGCTGGTATATAAGTAAAAGAATAAAAGAAAGCATACCTTGCGAACGGCTGTGGACCAAAATCTCAGGAATGAAACCCAACAAGAAGAACCTGAAAAGGCTGAAGGTGAAACCCCAAGAAGCCCAATCGTGTCTCAATTCCATAGCTTCCAAACAATCCATCTTGAATTCAACCTTGCCCTCGAAGTACATTTCATGGAAAGTCTCCATTGGGATCTTGTTCTGTCCGGAATACTTCTTGGCATCTTCTGGGTTCTTGAACTTGAGGTAGTGTTCAACTCCCTTGCCAGGGAGTTTGGCCTTCTCATTGATACGAGCTCCTATACGGGAGAGAACGTACCAGAAACTAACGAGGATTGGAACAGAAGTAATGGCGAGGAAGAAGAGGTAGGTGAAGAATCCTCCACCGACCTTGTATTTTAGCCACCATGGTACAACGACTATGGAGCCAATAAGGAGAAGGTTATTGAAGGTCCCGCTGCCGGGACCTTCAGCTGGAAGAGGGGCATTTTTGATGGATGGGTACTAGTTATTTTATGCGGGGCAGATGATAAGACCAGATTAGCTCTTTCTGTCGTTTTTTTTTCCACACGATAACGGAGGGGTCCGAATTGGAGCTTGGAAGCTTAAAAAAAAAAGCGAATATGCCATCCAAACCTGCCAATTGGGAACAAGTATAAAGAAAAAAGGATTGGAAATAACTTACGCCGGTAGTCCTGACACCGAACTCAGATCCAGCAGGAGGAGGAGGAGGAGCCTCCGGAGTCTTGATGTACTCGAAGGTCTCTGCAGAGGCCTTTTCCGAGCTCATGGTGGGCAAAGCAATTGCAAGACAAAGCAAGCAAAGCAACAAGCAAACAAACAATCAGGCCCCGAAGTCTACTCACAAATTTGCTTTGCAGTAGAAAAGGGAGTCTCAATTGGTAAAGGGGGAAGCTGGAAGAGAACTGGAGATTGTGGGAGAAGAGAGCTTTTAAGAAGGAAAGAAAGAAGGAGAGAAGAGAGAGAGCGGAGTTGATATAGAAAATTCAAGCCCAGCAGCCAGCCAGCCAGCTCCAACAACAACAATCTACCATGCACACAAGCAGCTCAGCTAGCATACAACCTAAAAAAACAGGCCGGTTAAGACCAGATTGCGATACTGATAAGAGAAAAAACACCATTCTCACTCACTAATTAGGTATACCGACAAGGAAAAAACCATCCGGGGCCCCTTCCAAATGTGCGCTGTCCGGGGATGTCCACGGACTCCTAGTTTAGGGACACGGTGTAGGAGAGTACCCGCTGTGTGGAATGTCCAAGCTCCATGGAAGCTACATGCATGCTGCACATGCAAAGCTGTAGCTCTGTAGCTCTCTCTCTGGATTCGAGGTACTATACTATCTTCATGTAGGAACATGCATGAACACCCTTGTTCTGTGGCCCTTTGCGAAGAATTGGGCCCATCGGATTCGTCAATCGATGACGGGTTTAATTGTCACCACTGAAAAACCCTTGCAGCTTTTGTCCGCCTGTTAAACGAAAATGGAGAAAAACAACAAGCTACAGAGCTGCACAGCTGTTATATCAGCCTCTCCGCGCGGCAAAATATAGTTCAACAAGGAAAAATTTAATCTCACGAGCTAGAAACGGTGAGAGATGAAACATTGACATTTAATCTCGTGAGTTTTAACACGCGATAAAAAAGGGGGAGCTCAATTCCACGCAATCATATGCGTCCCCTTTTTTTTTCTTAATCAGCCGTCGCCAATTGATGGTTCTGAGGGAGGAGAACACCCCGGGCCTGGGCACTGGGCGTGGAGCTTGCCTCGGTTCCGTACACTTGCAATGGCATTGAATCGTCATCATCTTTCGTACTTCCTATACGCCTGCAAATTTTATTACGTAGAGCATATGTGCCAATCCACATGCCAATTGCTTTACTACTACCCAATTACTTGATTTGCGACGCATCAATGCGAGTATGTATCGTCAGGACTGATGTAGGAGGTGACGACCTCTCCACGAGCTTTTGGCCAGCTCAGTATCTCATTCCAGGCCTTTCTAGGCCCAATATCTATTATACAATATCAACTGCAGGCGATATACCATTGCAGTCGACAAATAACACCCCTAATTAACCACTAAGGAGCGTATGCAATTGACGAATCCTCTAAGTTAAAGATCGTTCTTACGTCGTCTGCTAGGAACCCCAATCCAAACCGGCCTCTTAGGCGCCAAATTCGGCTCAGATCGAGATTCCCTCAAAGACGTCGCATCCTCTCCATCCATATCCTCGGCAACCTCTCTTATCCCATCTCCTCCAAATCCATCCACGACATCTCCAAGTTCCCCGGACGCATGAAATGACACCGTAGGGCCATTACCAGAATCCGCAGAGTTGGGCGCGAATCGTTTATAGTTTAGTTTCGGTGGACTACTACGGGTACGCTGCATAGGCACGTTTGGAGGGCTAGAAGACTCATCATCTGTGAGAAGGTTTGCCTCGTTGCTAGCGCCGCTGGGTACCTTCCGTAAAAATGACCGCTGGGGACTATATCCTGGTCGTGTTTCTCCCTGATCAAGGCTGAGATGGTATCGCACTTTCGGTGGGCCATCTATTTCCGTAGACTCACTGTTGACCCTCCCGGCCAAAGACTCTGAGTTCGATAAAGATCTAGATCGAGACCGCTGCCTTGAAGGTTCAGCGTTGACCATATTCCATCCAGTGTGGTCCCTCGGCGCTCGAGGTTTTACTGAAGCTGTTTGTGCTATACCGCTGCCATAAGCACCCCACCCAGAATGCTCCATCGATGCTTGGGATCTTGCGGCTTCTGATTTTGCTTTTATAGCTGCTATAGCATCATCTTTTGTAGCGACTTCTGCAGCTAGTTCCTGTTCTTTGTGTTCCTTTATTTTCATGGTGGCCTCAACTTTGAGAGGGTAGAACCTCCCGAGTGCTTCTTTGCTAAGATCTCTCATAACCCACATTAACCGCCCAGGATGATAGGGCAACTTCTCAACAAGAATAGCTTCGAGGATACACTGTGCGACATAGGCACTCCCTAGCGGCGGGTCTCTGCACGCGGCAGCGGTGTCTTCCACATCCAGCGTTTGATGATGCCAGAGGGCATAGCATCGTAGATTCGCGGCGCCAGTGCCTAAAATCCCGTCCGGTTTCGATTTGGCATACTCTTTCACCCAATCATACGCCCGAACAAGCTGTGGACCCGCGGTTTTAGGAACCCTAATAACACTGGGTTTCTTCGGCGTTCCTTCGTTCTTTGCTGCTAATGCCTTGCGTTTGTGGTATGCTTCGATGGTTTCCTCATGCTTGACGCTATGTAGAGGGGGTATTGTGGGGCGAGGGTCCAACGCACACCGTCTTTCCTCAATAGCCTCGTATACTCTGTAACTGGCGTATGCATCGTTCGCGGCATCTAATACAAACATATTAGTATCCCTAGTCGAGTTACCGCTGTAGCGTTTTTGTTCTTACAAAACTTCTGGTCATCATTCAGCTCCCTAGACCAATTACTCGTCCTGACATCGCCTTTGTTCAAGGGGAGTTTAAGATGTTCCTTGCAAAGGTTTGTTAAGCTCGCCGGGAGGCTTTTCCCGGGAGCGGGGACATTTCCTTCTGCTGCAAATACGAGGCTGTGAAAATGTGAAAGTTCTAGGACCCCAGCCGGGTTGACATTTATTAGAGTTGACAACCGTGTCATATCGCCTGCGCAATTGTCAATGTAAGCTCTTTGTTGATACAGAGATCTGAGTTTTCTGACCTTTGATCGATACACCCATCTTGAGAATACTAGGATCCTCGAGTATCTTCTTCAGTGTCGGAGCAAGGAATTTTTCTTGACAAATAGTTAGAAGAGACATATAGTAAATTGATTTGGGGATACATACTTGTGGTCGCTGGGAACTTTGCTAGATGAAAGATAGCAACTCTTTCTTGGTTGGCGACTTGTATAACGGAAGCACAATTGCTATTCACCTGATAATCAGCATTACGCAGTAAGGAAATAACTTCCTCTCAGCGTCAATATACCGTATGTCCCTATCGTTAACCGTCGGTTTCAAGATCGAATTCGGAACCCACTCCATATCAAACCCAATGGCCTTATCATTTTCGAACAACTTTGAAACTGTTTCCATCTCATCGACATCCGTAACATAATGTATCTTCGGTGGGAACTTCTCGGAATTTATATAATGATTCATATCGTAAGTCCCTTTCGCTTCGACTGCCGCCGTTAAGACTTCTTCGCTCGCCTGGTAAAGTAGCGAAATATATGGGTCTTTTTCGTCCGTATAAACTATCGGTTTGCCTTTCCACTTAATAATCTCTATCCCTTCCGGAGTCCTAACTCTTTCAATTCCTGGGTCTTCGAATTCCTCTCCTTCTGCCTCTTCAAGAGGTGCGGTTGTATCGGCTTCGATCTCCTCTGCTAAAGCTTCAACGGCGTCTTGGAGAGTTTTAACATCGCTTAAAGGTCCACTCGTCGAGTCTGCTAATAAGTCGCCCTGAAAAGTATCAAACCCCGCAGGAACTGTTTCCCTCTCCTTCCCATCTGTTGTAAGATTCATCAATCCAGCCCAATCCGGTCCACGGAAAGTACGCCTTATCCGAACTCTTCTAGTTGTTGGAGACTCTAGTATATCCGACGGCGAATCTGTCGAGTCGTTAGGCGTATCAAGCGACGACTTGCTGGAACTCATAGTTTTGAAACCTCGAGCTAGGGGAGTATTAGTCGAGGAAGACGAAGTAAACGGAGAGACCGGCGTCATAGGTGAAGGAGCGAAGATAATTCCTCTCGATGGATTCCATAGTCTGTGCGCATTTGTTGGAGTAATAGGCGTCATTGGTGAAGAACCGTTGTTCGAAAACGAAGTTGGAGATGTGGTTGCTGACGGCTGATAAGCAGTATTGAGGGGCGGGCCCATTTTCGTCGGTGTATTCGCCATATTAGCTGCCCCAGCAGCAGCAGCAGCAGCTCCACCAGCACCACCGCTGCTGCTACCACTAACAATCGTCTGTTCCTCCATAATAAAACTGTGAAAGCAGCAGCGGGTTGTAGGCCGTCCGATTGATGTTGTAGCAGCGCGAACTTGAAGCGTGGGTAGGCGTCTGCTCATGGTGGGGGGAGAAGAAGGAGGGGAAAGAAGAAGCTCGAGAAAAGGTGAGAATCGAAAGCCGAAAGCTCAGGTTTAAGTAGTGGTTTGCCGCCGAGTATATACAATTGGTTTGCTATCGGTGGTCCTGTGACTCAAAAGATCCGTGCGAATGCTCAACGTTGTCCAAGGCGTGCATGAAGGAGGCTGTGGAGTGGATACTGAGATATTTGGGGCCGAGGCGACAATGAGGCTAACTTCATGCTTTCACGAATGAATGAAATAAAAACTTCGTAAGAGTGAGAGATATATCGTATGCGATTGGATTTCAGCTTTAAGGAACTAACATGCCTTCGAAGGAGCGACTGGTTTGCGGTGGGTTTGGATGGGATTTCGCAGCGTCGGTGTCTCTGCTTTGGTGTTGAGTTTTCAGCATCTCAAAATTTGCTTGGCGAGCTGGCGAAAACAAAGCGAGCAGGCAATCAGTTGCTTGCTCGCCTGTCCTGAAACCTCAACTCCACCACTCATTCACTTCACCCCTCATCATCATCGAATACACTGGACACAATGACGTCTCAAATTCTCCCGTTAGGTACCTGAGATTACGGTTACCTTATTCGATAGCCGGACGGATCGCTGACATTACCGGGTTGCTCCAGAGCTTGTCGACAAGTGCGTCGGTTCCAAGATATGGGTGGTCATGAAGAGCGAGAAAGGTAACCGAATTGATTTCCCACCATTTGCAGTACAGGCATCATAACTAACACCAATTCAAGAGTTCAGTGGCACATTAGTCGGCTTCGATGACTACGTTAGTACGTGATACCCCCGAAATACCCATCGATACACGCCTGGAACAGGAACGTTTGCTGATAGGTGGGCTGTTGCAGATATGGTCCTGGAGGACGTCACAGAATAGTACGTTCATACCAACAAGTCGTTGATTTGGATGACTGAGGATGTATACTGATTTTGAAATAGCGATGCTGGGGAACAAATTAAGTTGAAGAAGATCCTGCTGAACGGGAACAACATTTGCATGGTATGGTCACCTGATCCCGGCCCTACTCTAGCTACGAATTCTAATTCTATCTACGATGCAGTTAATACCTGGCGGGTTCGGGCAAGAAGGAGCATGATGTCGGTTAATTTCAATTATACGAAAAGCTTTGTTCCCATACAATACATGCTATTATTCTAGCTTCGACTCCTGGGTCCACCTTTCCTTCAGTTTAGTAATGATAATCATACAAATCAACGACGATACCCCGAGCCTTTCATCCCATTACTCATCGGTAACCTGCCTAACCCCCCCCATTCGACCCACAAATTCCTTTCATGAGGTTTATCTCGCCTTGATTAATTTCCCTTGAGTAAACGTGATGAACTCATTCCCACTGATACCCTCTGGGTACTGAAGGTCCTTAACCTCCCATTCTCCAGCACCATACAAATAAGCCTCAGTGGGACGGCAAAGTTCGCAGCCAGCCATTAAGAACGGCCAAATCATGTTCGCAAGTCCTACCACCGAATAAGTCAACATATCCTCCAAAAAAAAAAAAAACTTTGGTGACGACAAATCAGGCATGGAAAACTCACTCTGTGCAATAGCTCCTATGCCTCCTTTCGCCTTTATGTGTTCCAATACCAAGAACTGCCCTCCAGGAGCCAGGAGCTTATACAATTCTGCAATGGTAGCCTTAGGATCTGGAATACTGCACAGAACCTTACAAGCCACGATGGTATCTGCCGAGCCTTCCTCGATCCCGAATTTCTTGAGCGTCTCTGAGTCTTCAACACCGGTGCCAACAATTGTGTAGATGTCGGTGAGGCCCGCAGCATCAATTGCAGCTTGAAGGGCTGGGTGGAAACCCTTGTTCGGCTCAATGCCGAAGACCTTGGTGACCTTAGATTTGTCGAAGTGGTGGACTGTGAAGCCTGTTCCTGGACTATTTTTGGAGGTTTCCTTTAATATGGCGGACTTCAAAAGAGTTATCTTGAGGTGGGCTTTTTCATAGCATACCCTAGATCAAGGACCACACCATAGGCCTGTGATATCGTCTTATTCGTCAACTTCTCATCGGCTGCAGAGGGTCTACCGACAATCGACCAGAGAAATGTAAAGTTTGCCTCAGAGAGCTTCGATTTATTGAAGATATCGAACGGCCTGCCCTTAAATATGAGACCAAAGGCAGCGAACGGGAGACCTGGCAGAAATTAGTACTTCAGTAAGAGGAATCATTGAGATTTAAAAGAAAGAAGAGTCCTTACTAGCAAACCCAGCTGTCAAAAATATGGAGCCGAAGAACAGACTCTTAATCTGGCTGATGACTGTCATTTTTGTCTACAGTAGGCTGCGTTTTTTGTAAATCTGGGGTGGAACAAGGAAGAATAAAATGTTAGGAAGACCAAGGTCCCAAAAGCTTTAAAATTCAATTAATTCCCGGACCGAAGGCCAAAAAGCTTAGTGTAGCGGGGGCTGTGGGGCGTTAGAATATTGGCAACAGGCCTGCAAACCAACTACCTAACTCTCCAAACAAACCAAAAAAACGGGAAGAAAGATAAGAAAGAAAGAAATAAAATATCAGTGCCGAAGCAATGGAGAGAAAGCAGCGCGCAAAAGAGTCTAGTATTTATAATCAAGAAAACCCTCTACTAACTTTATCTCCCAGGATCCGAAATCGCAAAAAGCAAGTACAATTAAATATCTCAGTCAGTAAGTGCCCAATTGAGCTAACCAATTTGAAGTTGCATCTGAAAAGTGCAGCGTGCGGCGAGCAAGCCACGAGGGCCTCCTTGACGGATATCTTGTAAGAACCGGGTCCAGTGACTGGCAACTCGGTTCAGTTTTGCTGTGTGTTGGATTTGTCGTTTCTTGACGCTTGCCCGAAAGGGGAATTTTCGGAGCTCAAACATTTCTGGATCAATCAGCTTGTGAAGCATTGAACGGCTAATGTTACTTAGAGTGGACCGTTGTATAGTAATGCAATGTTTTGGATAGTGGGGGACTGAGGTATATTTGTCACGATATAGAAACTACTATCTGAGGAATCACCTTACAAGTACTACTAGTTAAAGCTTATCTCGTAAACTAGAATTAATTTAATTGCTGCGTGCTTATTGCGAATCTTTGTAATCATTACTACTAGCTATAGCTACTGGGTATGCATCCCGTATCCAGGCGCTCAGGTGTTCTGGAGGATACAGAGCACATCGTGAGGACGATCTCCATACTTAGATCTTGAGCCAAAAGAGGAAGTTAGTGAATGACAAACGCTTTCCAACAACCACATGTCTTGGCATATTATGCGTTGCGCACAAAAAGCACAGGAAAAAAATGAGTTGACTGCGAAATTGGGAATAGCCCAGGAAAGACCCAACCTGCAAAAGTCGACAGTATCAAAGACACCTAACCACCACCCCATCTTTTTTCAGCAAACCTTAAGCCGACATCAAACCCCGGACCTTAGGAATCTCCCATCCGATACTCGAAGCTCCACCGACTGCTCGAGCCAATAACCTGGTGTACTGTGCTTTGTCCAGCTTCTTTTTGCGACAAGAAAGCTTGATTCATATCCTACCCCCACCAGTCAGCCCACTATGGCCGCTACCGTGAATACCCTCCTCGTTGAGGGCTCTTTCGATGACCAGGTTATTGAATTAGCCGATTACTTCGATACTTTGAAGGGTGTGAAGGAAGGCGAAGCTACTCTGTCACAGGAACTGCAACCAATGCTTGAGAAGGGCGAGAAGGAAGACGTTATGGAGAAGCTTGTCGAAGCTAGCTCCGTTTTATCACAAGCTCCAGAGAAGGGTATGCCTTATAAATTTACCGGCATAATATATTCTTATGATGGTTCTAACCTCTACGCCATATAGAGTACATCCCAGCATACAACCTCCTCGTCCACCTAATACGGACCTCTCCACTCCTGCCTTCCCTCCTCGACACCGTCACTGCCAACCTTGCTATTCCTCTTAAGAACTCCCAGAATGGCGCCACTCTCTCCCTCACCATTCTCACTACAATCTTCAACATTCTGTCTCCAGAATCATCGTTACGATCTGAAGTCTTCCGAAGCATCGTTGACATTGTCGACAAGAATGGATTATATGATGCCCTGAAACCTCAGCTCAAGAGCTTGGACCGATGGCTACAGGAGTGGGATGCTGGTGTCGAGGATACCAGGGAAATTCTGGTTAACATAGCTAACGTCGCTGAGAGAGCTGGTGATAAGTATGTTTCTCTGCGCCCTTTTGGTGGCACCTACTTTGGGATCAATTGCTGATATCAAGGCGTAGCCAATTCTACGAGTTCCTCCTCCAAGCTCTCCAAAGGTTCCCAGCAGACGAGGCAGACGAGGATGAAGCCCGAGAGATCGCTATCAGGGCCATCAAGGCCGCCATCACCCTCCCACACCACATGGAGTTCAGCGATCTCGCAGTATTGGAGCCCGTTAAGGCCCTTTCGGCCACTGATCCCGATCTTTACGCTTTCTTCGAGATTTTTGCCGCTGGTGAATTCCAAGATCTTGAGGAGTTTAAGGAAGAACGTGAAGGATGGCTCGAGGAGAATGGTAAGCTCTACAAATTAGTACCTAGTGGTGTGGTTCCATAAGGCTAATGAGATATAGGTATTGATGATGCTGTCGCCACCCGCAAAATGCGCCTCCTTACTCTAACCGCCCTCGCTGCCTCGGCTCAAGACCGCTCTCTCCCATACTCTCGAATTGTCGCTGGCCTCCATATCCCTGCCGAAGACGTCGAACTCTGGGTTATTGACGTCATCCGCGCCGGTCTCGTGGAAGGAAAGCTCTCACAACTCACCCAAAATTTCCTAATCCACCGTGTTTCGTACCGCACATTCAACAAAGAACAATGGGAGGAAGTTCAACAGAGACTAGAAACCTGGAAGGATAGCTTGAGAAGCATCCTTGAAGTTGTCGGACAGGCAAGGAGACAAGTTGAGAATCAATCAGAGAAGGAGAAGACAGCAGCTGAGAGAGTATTGCAGCAGAGTGGAGATGGTGTTTTGGGCGAGGCTTAGATATACTAATGGGGTTACCCATTTAAGGATGGTGTTTCTTTATGCTGGCCTTTCTCTTGCTCATCCCATTTACTATTAGTGCGGTACCCTGTATTTTATAATTATTGCTTTGTATAGGTACACCGCACCTACGGTGGGATTCACGTTTCCCCTTCTCTTTGTGTGATCCTTTTCGATCCCTCCTGTTCTAGGGTTTTTATATCTGCGAATGCGTGTGTTAAGGAAAAGTAATATTCTTTTACGCAGGGCTAGATGGCTTTTCTCTCTCTCCCTCTATCTTTCTTTTTCTTTTTACGAGCAGTAGATAATAAAAAGTTTCTCTTTCGCTGGTATTTAGCTACTCTCCGCGGTGGGTGAGCTTAGGCGCTGGATATATCAATAGTGAGTGTGAGCAGGCTTTACAAGATGCATAAAGGAAATGGCTCAATCTCATAAATTGATCTTTACGAGATATAAAATAGCGCTCGATATTCACGTATAAGGTAACACCAGTATGTGCTTCACTATTAATTAATGATAATCTGTTCAGCTAAGATTATATCTACCAAGTTGCCAACACTTTTATTGGCAATACTACCGTATCGTCCCAAAAAACTGATTGAGAAGGATTGTCCCCATAATCGGGGGTAACGTTAATTAACTTTGCCTCTGTTTTTTGGAGGACGAGCTTCCTCAATATATCTAGATATGGATAGTATTTATCTTATAGATGCTAATATTGATGTCTTCATGGCCAGTCGCAATTGGGATGACGTGTATCTGACTTTTAAGTCTTTACCGCAATGTTTTGTTGTAAGACTGCTTCATTATAATATGAGCTCCTAGAATGTGTCCAACAGACGGATGATAAGAAACCAATACTTTACTTTAGCTAGAGCATGATAAAGTATTTTAGCATTGCGAAATTAATTCCTAATTATGAACCTGGAAGTAATACGTGTATACGTATATACGTATATGGAATGGATATGTAAGTACCTACTTCTTAGGTACCTACATGGTGGCCAGTGCCAGATCTGAGTTACCGCTTGGATCCTGGAGGTGGTTCTGGGCTAGTACTGGTAAATATTACTCCATATAATGGTGCCGTTCCCTCTCTTTACACTAAACAAGCTAAATGAAAACTAGGAACTCCTTTAATTCTATCTCCCTTACTTAACTTTCTTTCTGCCCTAAAACTTTTGTAAATCAAAGCTGGATGTCGAAGCAGGATGGCTCCAGTCTGAGCTCATGGCTAGGGAAAGAATACAACATAAAGTTGTGTTGGTGGATCAAAGAGAGCATCGATAGCTTGGCAGGTTTTACCGAGACCAACCACACCTCTTCGCCAATCTCGACCGGGGATAGCTCTTCATTTTTTTGCGACATCAAATTATCCTCCACATCTTGCGCCTGGTCTTCCACAAAACTTCAAACTTATCATTCTATACACTTTGCTTGTAAAGACACATATAACTCCACAACCATGAAGCTCTTAACAGGTACTCGATATCCACCCCCCAGATAATTCAAGATCCCAAAACGATCTTCATAATAAAAAATAAAAAATAAAAAATAAGGAAGATAGCTAACACCCCACATTCACCATCAATAGCAAACTTCATCTCTTGCGCCGTCAAAGCCTGCAAATCCTCCTCCCTCTCCTTTCCCCTCCACTTCAAGGATGCCGAACTAGCCTCAAAATCCGTTCCATACAACCCTTTACTCCTTTCAAACCTTCTCCCACGCCTCGATTGGCCAGCATTAGTCACCAGCAGCAAAGAATTGGGATTCACATTACCAGATACTAAACCGGAATTACCCCGTCTGTCTGCAACAGCAGCAGCAGCAGCAACAACAACGAGTGATGGGGATATGAATATGGATAGTGGTGTTGGAGAAGAAGATGAGAAGACTTTGAGAATGTTGCACAAGGTTTTGATGGAGACTGAGGTTGTGGAAGGGAAGATGGTATGTGGGAGTTGCGGATTTGAGTATGGCATTCATCAGACAGTAGGGAATTTCCTGCTGCCGAGTCATTTGGGTAAGTTTCCTTGATCTGAATATCGTCAACATTCCAAGGTGGCGTTAGAACTAACGGTTTTTGCATTATAGTCTAAAAATAACTTGTGATAGTATAATTACAAGGTTATACACCAGCATATAAAGCTATGATGGTTCGGACTCCATCGAATGGATAGATACTTACACATTTTATCAATACTATGTAGTGTCGAAACGATACGTACGAAGTTAAATGTATATATAGGCGTTAACGGTAACGGTTTGGGATTATAGACTAAAAGCCATCTGTTATTTCATCTTTTCATTCATTCCCGATCATAATAGTGTCAGATCCACCCTTAAATATCGACCTCTCTCATCATAAAGACGAGATGGGTCGCGAAGGCAGCACTAATCGGCATCTAATGTACATGAATATCGCAGAGACAAATAATCCTCGAAAAAAACCCGAATCCCTATAATAATACAGTACAAGTTCATGTGAAAGCAAAAAAGCAGTTAGGAGAGAACCATTGCAAGTCAGAAAAAGAAGCACAAGAATCCGTCACGCCTGGCTACCCGTCTCCAAAACAACCATCCAGTATTCCTGTCTCCATTTTATTTGCGAGTCCGTACAAAGTTTCGAAAGACAAGAAAGTATTAGAACCAGTAAGCAGGAAAAAAAACATATCTCAAAGCATAGAACGATATCAATAAGATGCAAAGCGACACAGCCAAGACCCTGACTCAGAATATAGCTGTGTTCTAATCGTCCAAAGAGATCTGGTAGACCTCATCATCTTCTGGATCGTCCATGCGGAAAAGATCTCGCATACGAGCTTCGAAGTCGTACTTTTGAGGGTAAACAGGCTTCTCAGCTCGGCGAAGGACGTCCTCCTCCATGGCTGGGAAATCGAAGTCCCGATAGTCATGAATGCCAGCATCGAGGTCGTCCAAGACCTTAGACATTTCTTCATCAAGAATTGGAGCGGTTTTCTTTGTCAACGTAGCAGAGTAACGCCCATTCTTCCCGAGGGGGTGGAATACGCCGTTGCTATCTGGCTTGGGGTCCTTGTAGTAGTGATTTGGGTCATTGTAGTAGGGTTCTACACACAATGGGTTTGGCTCCTTGGGAGCGACAGGGACGAGTTCTTTGGTCCTGGTACCGGTAGCCCAACGTGACTTTCCCGAGGCAGCTGCCCGACCAGAAGCGGCGGACGATGGCCTAACAGCGCCAGCAGATGGTGGTCGGGCTGAGGTAGCGGATGATGGTCTAACAGCGCCGGCAGAAGGTGGCCTAACAGAATTGGAAGAAGCTGGACGAGTTGGACCCTTCTTGGCAAGGGAGGACTTGGTGGCCCCAGAATAGTTTGAAGCCTTCCTCTTGATGACAGGTTGGGTGCCTTCGGTAGCAAGTCCGGCTTTCATGTCGCTGACAAGAGAGTCGATTTGTTTGAGGACATCTTCCTCTTCTTTCTTTTCATCATGATAGGTGAGTTTCTTGAACTGGCTACGCTGCTTGGCAGTGTAATTGGGAGTAGACTGGACATCCTTGAATAAGGTTTGCTTAACCTTTCCCATATCAATTCGGACATAGTCTTCAGGAATGTCGGGCAATTCCTTAGGAGCTGGAGGCATGTACTCGATCTCGGGGACATCCTCCTCTTCTTCGGTGAGCTCCTTAGCTTGAGTGACAGAGAGGCGAGTCTGGCGTCGAGTGCGCTTTTTGATAGAAGAAGGAGTTGTCTTCTCTGGCTTGTTGGTCTGCGATGGATCATTGAACGTAATGATGGTTTTGGCCTTTACGTTCGTATCCTTACCGCCAAGAGGGACACGGCCACGAGGTCCTAAGATATCGTTAGAATTTCATGTTGATATTTGGTCTGGAATCTAGGAAAAAATGTACCGAGTGGAGTTTTGAAGGCATCGGCTTGGGCCTTAAAGCCACTCTTTCCGCCCAAATTCATGGCAGAGACCTCATTCTCGTTGAGTTTCCCACCTGGGGTTTTCGAGAATCCACCCTTGGCACCTTGGAGAGCATTGACTCTATTCTCACGATCTCGAGTGGTGAGCATCATCTTGGTGTTTGATTTTTTTCGTGTCGGTTAACTAGTCGTAGATTGAAGGTTTGAAAGGTTGGTGAAAGCGAGGATAAAGGGACGTGATTGTTGTTGTTTTTTGTTTCGAAAGGATTGAGAGTTTGATTGAAGGGAAATATAGAACTCTTTATATATACTACTGTTTACCACGGGCCACGAAGACTAGCAGTTTTGAGGTTGACGTTTCGTGGCGTATACATACGAGACGATGAGGAATGTAAAGAGGTTGAAGGCGTCGAAGAGGTTGAAACATGTGGTGGCGGTTGGGTGTTGTTGACGAAATGGCTGGATTGCTGGTTGACTGGCTGCTACATATTCTGTGAACGTTTCTAGACCGTCTATAAACAAACGTGGGGATGTGTTGAGATTGTCGTTGTTGTCGTCGTCAATTCAGTCTTCGATGCCGTTGTCGATGCCGTCGTCGCGTCTGGTTACTGGTGATGGCGGCTCTGCACCCAGGCGACATGGTGATGGTGTTTTCGGGGTTGGTAACTGGTCTCGTGTAAATAGAATGGGCAATCACCCCGGCAACGCACAACACAAAACAGGCAGCCAATGAGCACGGGGCTGCCCCTCCTTCTCTGTCTTTCTGGCTGGACCAGCTAAACTGAGCTAAGTCGCCGCCGACCCACAGCAGACCAGCCCGCCGAACACAGGACACCTCCTCTTCTTCCCGCCTCCCTCCAACTTGTCCCTTACGAATCCACCTTCGATATAAAGTATTCTGCCCCTGGTAAGCTGACCCCTTTCACTTCCCTCTCATCCCATCTCGATTTTATTATACCCTCAATTCCCATTCAACTTCCAAGCTTGTCAAGCATCAGTTAAGCTCGGTACTTAGCTGTGCGTGAGTGCGTTCGTTTGTTTCCCCTCTATCCCATCTGCAACCCCACCTCGAAGCTATCACATTTGTATCACATCACATAGTCACTATTTCTCGTCTAAGGGGAGAGACACGTAACACCTGAACACTACAGCTGACACTTACGACTGCTTTTTCTTTCTTTCTATTCATTCTTATTTAGGACCTCATCCGTCTTTCGTCTTCTCTGTTACTCCAAATTTCATAAGAGTTATCCCTATTATTACCAGTATTATTATTCGCCATGGACAGAATTAAGGAGGTATGACAGACAACTCTTCTTAGCTTCAAATTACAATCCCTACCACGCTGCTTGGCAGGGGATGGAGAACACAAACTGACGATCGCTCTTTCCCTTCTACAGAAGCTTGCCAAGCAAAAGGCCGATCTCGACGTCGCCAATGACAAAGTCGACGAACTTGAGGCCAAGATCAAGGAATTCGAAGCCGAACAGACCAAGAAGGAGGGCGAGATCTCTTCCCTTACCAGCAAGAATGCCCAGCTCGAAGCCGATGTAGAAAAGCTCGAGGAGAAGCTTGCCGAAGTCAAGAAGGAAGCTGCAGCAGGTGCGAACCTTGGTGTCACCAGTGATAATTTGCAGAGGAAGGTTGCCGTCCTTGAAGAAGAGGCGGAGACAACAGAGAAACAGCTGAAGGAGACCATCGAGAAGTATGTGCTTCCTTAGTGTTCAGACGATGCTAACGTCTCGTCTTTTTTCTTTCTTTCTATCCTTCTAGCCGACCACAAGGTACTGCCATATACTTTTGAACACTAGCTGATCTAGAATTGATAATACTTAACTCTAGGCTACGCCTCACCGATGTCAAGGCCGAGCACTTCGAACGCAAGGTTCAGGGTGTGGAAGCTGAACGTGACAACTGGGAGAAGAAGTACGAAGAGGAAGTCGAGAAGTACAAGAAGGCTAAGGCCGAACTTGATGAGCTCGCAACCAGCTTGGAGAACCTCTAAATGGCCCACGGCTTTCATATCCTCTATCTCGCGTTTGGGAAGGGGATCCTTGGATGGTCGATATGGGGGGGATTCCCGCACGGTAGGAATGAATTTGGATCCTGCGTTTCGTCTCTCGTTAGACACGCATAGGAATTGGGACAAATTGTGTAGCTTTCTTCCTTATTTACTTGCGTTTTCTTTTCCTCAATCGATCCGATATGAATCACTTTCTTGGCGGCCTGTCGTAGATATCGTGGAGATAGCATTTTCCTTTTGGCACTTCAGGGACTCTTATTCTACCTATTAGATTGTGGTAGTGATTAAATAATTCGTCTTGATGACGTCTAATCATCATGTCTTGTTTCCACTATTCATCAATAATTTATATAAGGCTTTTTCTGGACACACGTTCGCATAGTGGCGGATGACGCGGCGGCTAGTGCTGCCGAAGTTAAGAGTAACGGCTTACATCCCTACGATCAATCGATAATTCACGTCTGATTTTATATCATGATCGAAGAAATGGCAATACTATCTGATTGCACTTCAATTCTATGCCACAAACTTCCATGAAGCATAGCTAGTTAGATACCAGTGTTATTCTTTGTCAATATAGCCCCGCTCTAGAACCCCTCTAGCTCTCTAATACCATCCTTATCAACAATCTTTACCAACAGGCCCTTAAAATCAATAGGCATTCTCCTCTTCAACTCCTCATGGCAATCTTTCATCAGTCCAGCCACTTCCTCAACACCCATACCCTTCTTGTAATGCGCGTCCAAAATACTCAAACAATAGTACTGTGCATACCCATGAGCCGCATATGGAATCTCTGCAGACGAAGCCAAATAATCCAACCAATAAAGCTGAGGCTCTTCCTTCTTGGTATCATACCCTCCGATCAACATGTTAACAGTATAAGGATGTCTACTGCGAAGGCTGCTAGCCAACTCTGTTCTTACAAAACTGGCGACGGAGGAGACAGGGAGGTCTGAGGAGTGGCGCATGGTGTAGAGTTGGGTGTTTGCTTGGATGAATTCAGCGAATTGGATGGTGTCGCCGGCTTCACCGGAGAAGGCGAGGAGGGTGTGGTCGTTTAAGGCGCGAGTTTTGTCATCTGTGTCTTTGACGACGGTGATACCGTGGAGGAAGGCTTTGGAGGTGCCGATTAGAACGAAGTCTTTACCGCGGATGCCGAGAAGGACGTCCCTAGTTTAGTTCTTTATGTTAGTATATAGATCAATAGACATTATGAAGCAGGTACTGGCTTCTGTGATATAAGGATAAGTAACTTACATGGTGGGCTATATGGGAGTGGTGGGTATGTGGGTGAAGAGTGGAGGTAGGTTTATCTGTTTGATTGAGTTGACAAGGAGCTTCAGGTTTGGTACAAAGATCCTGTATGGAGCTCGTAGTTCTTCGCTACGTGATGTTCGAAGATGAAGCCGAATATTTCGTGTCGATGATGGATGGAAGCTCAAGATAAACTGGAGAAGCAGAGTAGTTGTGGTACGCAAGCTAACAACTGCGAGGTTCGTGTTGGAGCTCTCACCCGCCACAGAACCGTTCCACTAGCCACAAATGAAATGGCCCATCTAAGTGGCGGTGCAAAATTTCTGCGGCTTAAAACTTTCGCTGCTAAAGAAGATCCCTGCAAAAAAAATTCATACACAGAAATGGCGTCCTGAAACTTTCAAGCTTTTTCGTCTTTTACATTCTTCATCCCCACCACCATCCATTAGAAGACTCCCTCCTCATGTCTTCATTCTTCACTGCCCCCGCTTCACAGCGGAAGCGCAAGCGATCGGGCACAGATACTCCAGCAAATTCGTCTCGAAAAGCATCTGGAACAGCGAAGCCACCTTCGAAGAAGCGACAGGTCCGCGACGAAGAGATATCGAGTGATGACGATGATTCGATTGATTCCGCAAGCATAGCCTCAGCTGAAGATAGTGACGATGAATCGATTCTGGGAGAGACAGAGGCCGAAAAGCGACTACGTTTGGCACAGCAGTATCTTGATAATCTACGAACTGAGACTGGTACGTCTACTCGCATCCATCCGTTTTCGATCTGCATCATGAGATCGATTGTTCATACGCCGCTTTATAAGCTTACTAACATCTATACTTCTATATTTAATAGAAGAACACGGTTTCGACGCTGCGGATATTGATCGCGATCTCATTGCCGAACGTCTAAAATCTTCAGTCGCAGAAACACACGGCAAACTCTACCGCCATATTGCGACTTCACTCTCCTTCTCCACCTCTTCACCAATCCAATTCCGTCATGCATTTCAAGCCACCACATCCGTAGCAATCTGCCATCCTTACATTTACACAACCACAAAAGACGTCGCTTTGATCAAATGGAAATTTCCAACTTCAGTCTCCTCACGCGCTCATGGCAGTTCGGAAACTGTATCGCAAGAAGAAGAGGGGTTGAAACCTAAACAAATCCGCTGCGTAAGAGGCTCGCGCACCCGTGAGAACCGCCCAACAGACGCAACATACCAAGGCCATATCGACACCATCCTGTGCGTTGCAGCTTCACCGGACGGGAAGTACGTAGCGACAGGTGGGAAGGATTCGCGCATAGTAGTCTGGGATGCGGAGACTTTAAAACCGTTGAAAGTTTTCAAGCACCATAGAGATTCTGTTAACGGATTGGTATTCAGACGAGGCACGAATCAACTATATAGCTGTAGCTCTGATCGAACGATCAAGTTGTGGAGTTTGGACGAATTGACCTATGTGGAAACATTGTTTGGTCATCAAGATGAGGTTATGGCAATTGATTCGTTGGCATATGAGAGGTGTGTAACCGTGGGTGCTAGGGATAAAAGTGCGAGATTATGGAAGATCGTGGATGAGACACAGCTAGTATTTAGAGGTGGCGGCGAAGGCAAAGTCAGGAGAAGAGCGGAACCAGAGGCTGTTCAAGAGGTGGGATATACAGAGGGAAGCATTGATTGTGTATGTATGGTTGATGAGGAGCACTTCGTGACGGGTAGCGACAATGGGTAAGATTTTTCGGGGAACCTCCAATATTGTTTTTTGGGTTCCTGTGGCTAATCATACAATAGTTCCATATCACTATGGTCGCTACATAAAAAGAAGCCGGTATTTACGATAAGAACGGCGCACGGTTTACGGCCATCGATAAACCCATCCGATCATTCTGCAGAAGCAAATCCGGAGGATGTCAACGTTCCTCGGCAACCTTATTATATCACTGCACTAGCGGCAATTCCTTATTCCGATGTATTTTTCTCTGGAAGTTGGGATGGATGTATCCGGGTATGGAAGATTTCAGAAGATAAAAGGAGTATTGAATCAGCCGGAGTGATTGGGGCTGGGGCTGGGGGACAGGAAGCAGAAGAAGGAGGCGTGATGCTAGACGAAGCAGAGTCACGGACACCCTTCAGAGGTGTTGTTAACAGCCTGGCTGTTTACGAGAAAAATTCTGGTCGGGAAGACGAGAGCTGCGTGGTTATCGCAGGCATTGGACAAGAGATGAGGATGGGTAGATGGCTAAGAATTAAGGGTAGGAACGCGGCGGTTATGTTTGTTGTTGATAGGTTGGGGAGGAAGGTTAATGGGGCGTCTTGAAGTGGGTCTGGGAGATGATTTCAATATCACCAAGCGAGCCTTCATGGCTTGAAGGACGCTCTGGAGCCGAGACTACGAAGGCATGGACTTGAACAAAACGGCAAGTCCGAATATTTTAAATAATTGTACGATAACGGGTCTGAATGTTCTCGTGGCGTTTGTAGAAGCCTTTTTTTTACTTCATGATGAATGTGTACTCTAGATGTAACAATATCTTGAGAATCTACTAAGTCTTTTACAGCTGAATTCATACACTCTATCTCATTTAGTATGGGGGGCGCTCACCTCTGCCTTTAGTCTGGTGGAGCTCTATGTGCAACCTCTGCCTTGGCTCATTGTCTGGGGACTATTTCATATGTCTGTCTGTCCTGTGCCCTTGATTAAAACGGCCAAGTCGGCGTAGAAATAGTCTGGAGGACACCCCTTCTGCCTTGGCATAGAAATTTGCAACCCTTGAATTCAGGATATTACGTTAGGCTGAGGAGCCTCTCGACGGATTTTAGTACACATGGTTACTAGTACGGAAGCTTGATGGCCATTGCGATACCACTACTAATGTTTGCCTACTATGTATACCGCTGTTTTTCTTTGATCTTACTACCATATATAAGATGCCTCCTCGTCCCGTCTCGAGGCCAGGTCTAGAGAGGCTAGGGAAAATCATCAGCCTCGAGGAAACTACGCAATGTATACCCTTGGCGATCGGTGCAGTCGCATGAATTGAAACCAATGCAGCAAGCTGTGAATTAAAGCAATCAACTAACAAAGGAAAGAAGAAAAAAAGAAAGTCTGGAAATTTCGAAAGCATCGGCTAGCAAAAATAACGTCTAAGAAACTAATGAATGCAGCCTCGTTCATAGCCGTGGTTCTCTAATGAAAGAATCCTAAAGACCCAAAAGAGAGCCGGAAAAACTGCAGAATCAATGACACACTCATTACGAATACCCTGCCGGGCCCTCCCTCTTTTCGTCCCAAAATCTTCCCACATGGGTAGGATCACTGTCACAGGGAAAAGAGAAAAGAGGGAGGAAAAAAGAAAGAAAAAACGCATCGTGATCGTCAAAATCAAAATCATGATCAGCTTCGAATCGCAATATTTGTCGCACCTTCTTTCTTTGCCTTAACTTTCATCTTCTTCAACATGCATTTAATTCAGTCTCATTCGATAAAATCTTCATATGCAGTGTGAACTAGTTCATGTCGCATAGATACCAGATTAGCCAAACGCCTAAAACTATGCGATGCAACCGGAGTGAGTCCACATTCAACAAAGACTGGTTTAATATAACTTTATTCGGGGCCCGCTCCTCTGCATGTGAGGTACAAAGTTTATTTTTCCGGAATCGTCTGCAGAAGGAAATACGCTAGTGTCAGACTTTATTTTCATTGTGATAGGTTAGGTTTGTTTGATGTGGAGACAAAATTAATATTTTTACTGCATATGCATGGTTACACAGTTATTGCATTGATTCAAGATCATCTGTCCCGTGAAGTATGCTGGTTTAGTAGATCCAGGCTTAAGGCAGAAACGGAATTCATCGATGACGGAGCTCTATTGTTTGCAGTTCGTTTCTAGCATAACTTCTAGGCATATAAGGGGCTAGATGCCGCGGATCCTATACTTATGTTTCGAACTGTGGAAGTGTGTGTTGGAGGGTCTGAAGGGTTGAGCCTGAAGTCTGGGAAAGTCGGATTGCAGTTTGAGGAAGCACTTCACTTCAAAGGCAAATAGGTTATGCATGCAATGGGATCACATTTCGGTCGAAAGCAAGGGCTTTTTCGCTTTTATTCAAGTCGGAAGGTGTGACCTAAATTTCGGGCATTCACGGGAGGATGGAATTACTGTTGGGAGTTTATGTGGCCATTGCATTGGAACGGGATGCATATGCATCATGAGTTCGAAATCGTCGTGTTGATTTTGTGGTGAAATATTTATGTTACACAAGTTTATAGAATGACGCACGCTAACTTATGCCTGAATCCCGGTGTAGATTAGTTCGGTTTCTTGTAATCCGCTATGCAATTCGTCTTTTGTTTTTATTAAAGCATGGAGAGCAATTTTGGCCGGAAGGTTATAAGGTGGACCCAGGTTTGAAGGACTCGAAACATGATCGTTTGTTCGGTGTAGTCTATTATAGGGTATTGCGTATATGTTATATAAGGACCAACTAGTACAGGCTATCCTAGAATACGGCCAGGCACGAGGCTACTAGTATACTTCGGATGGAAACCCAGCTGACTATATTCGACTGTGGGTCGGTCTCGTTCCCAAGTTTGCTAAAACAGCAATAAAAGGGAAGATGCATATGCAACTAGCTTTTTTTTTTGGCAGTCTTGGGAATTAACAAAGCTAAGCACGACTAGGTCCCTACCCGAAGGCACAGCAATTTGAATTCCGGAATTACGCCGCTCCAGCCAACAAAACTAGAGCAAAGAAGATACAATTATCATGGGGGTATTTTCCATGTACTCTATTCATGAGCGCGGAACAAGAATTAATGTGATATCGATCTATCATATTTTAAAGAATGCTGTATGCATGCATGGATGCTGTGCGAGTTAGTGGTAGCATTAAAAATTTGTACTACGGTGTCTATAGTATTGGTTTGATCGATTGAATTCATGAACCCGGTAATTGCTGAGGACAAGCGTTTTAGGTACTACAAAAATACGGAGCACACTAACTTTTGATACCCGAGATGGACTCTGATTGGAATATATAGTGACTTGACGTTCCATCCGTCATGATCAAGAAGTTTCCTTCCTACTATTCCCGTTCCTCCAACGGTTGGAAGAGCTCCACAACCCCATTTTGTTCAACTGTACTCTTAGCAACCTCCACAAAATTTCTCAAACCGGATCTTCCACACTATAGCTCTGTGTGTGTCTACCTAAGAGGTACTTTACGACTACTTAGTGGTCCGGAAAGCAAAAAAAACGAGCAAAATGTCTACAAGTACTGCGGCTCACATTGTTAACCTCCCGACGGAAATCTTTTTCAAGATCCTTAGAGAATTAGACAACAGTGGCGAGCAGCAGGGTCTGGAGCCGGGTTATAGTTACCCCAAGGCCACGGCCTTGGGACGTCCCGACACCCCGGCGGATCCGAACAGAAAGCCTGCCCGTAGATTTGATGCCATTTCGAGATGCTGCAAGAAGTTGAGGGTTCTTAGTTCCCCGTTTCTTTTCCGATATCTAAGGGTCAACGTATCCGATGAACAGATTGCGATTATCCTGTTCCGGACTTATATAAACTCTAACTGGATTTTCCAATATACCAAGTAAGGGTTCACCCGATTGGTCCACTGGTGTAATACATACTGATCCTCCGGTTATTGGACCCCTACAGAAGGCTGCACTTCGTCGTGGATATTCGGGCAATTATTATGGCGAAGTTGCCGACGTCTGTAATGGTACCGAACTTGAATGTCCTCATAAATTTGATTGCAACGTTCTTCCAATACACAGGGAGAGTTGAAGAACTGCACTTCATAGTAAAATCGGAGATTGTTAGCAATGGTATACGCCGAATCTTCAGGTGGCGCCGACAGCAAATCGAAAACTCGCTCTGTAACGTGAGATCTCTGAAATTTAGCGCTGGGAGCGAGTGGGTTATCCGCTTTTGTGGCGGCTATTCCGGTTTACAGGAGCTCGAGAACTCGCCCGGATTATCTGGTCGGGTGTACGTTCCGTATTCCATCGATTTTGCAGGGGAATCTTCGCAATTTTTTGTGCCGCCGGGGAATTCGTCACACCCGCATTATTATAAGTCGGTTTTGAGCCATGTTGGAGAGTACAAGGCTGCCATTATTATGGAGGGGATCTTTGCTTTGCGCAGGGGCCCGGAAACCTTGACGAAAGTGACCATATACGGAAAGTTCACTACAAGTGGGCTAGATGGTATGGTATTTCAGTTCTAGAAGTAAAATATATAAGCTCTCAAGATTAACAAGTGGCATAGTTTTTATCAAGTTTATACCCTTTGTTTCGTACCTGACGATCATTGGAGGGGCAATTCAGGTACGTGTAACCTTCTGTGCTCAAACGCCGCCGACAACAAACTAACTTGTTGCATTTTGAAATATGTAGCCGAACCACGCTCATATCCTAAGCCAGCTTCCAAACCTCACGCTTTTGAATTTTGAAGGTGGACTAGGATGCCCTCGTGAAACCTTTGAAAGTTGTCCTGAGGATATTACCACTCTTTGGCATTTTGGTAGGTGTATTAGAACCTTACAACAAATGTGGATTGAGGGCAGATTCGTTGGCGAAATTGTTCGAGATACTCGAGGTGATGTTTTCCCTAACCATATGATATGGAGAGATACTTTGGTGAGGTGTGATATCCTGAACTCGGGTTCTGGGGATGTAGAGATGGGCGGAGGCTAGACTGTATATAATTGAAATGGGCAGTGTCGGCTTTATTGGAATGCACCGACGCTTTGGACTTAAATTCTGGGATGGAATAAAATTATAAAATTATGGCTGGGTAGATTGCATCTTGAGTACGTTCGTTTGACTAATTGAATTTCAATATCAGAACAGAATTATTCCTTTCCTAACTTCAAGTATATACTTCTCTTATGCATACACATTAGTCTCGTTCCCAGTACACATGTGCTGGAGCGAGCTCTTGTTGCAAATGTCCTCTTCAGCTGTCCATAATCCCAAGAGCGGCGTCTATGCTTCAAGGTTTGAGAAACTAGAATACAGAGAAAGGATATCCTAGTCCCGCCTCTGGAAATGATTATATTGGAGATTAGTCTTGATATCTAATACAATCAGGGGAATGGATATGCGCATACTAAGTCTTGCAGTGGGGGTGGTGTTGAATGGGAGGTCCTTGCCATCGGGGCGTCCTATATATTCGCCGTGGCCTTAGAAATCTACGCAATCTTTTAACAACGTTCAAGCTACCCCGTCAACGCCTATTCTTTTGCGCACTCACCACCCACCACACCATCATCGCAACTATCATCGCCATCAACCATCACGCACTCGAATCCCATCCATCCAATCCTTTTCAAGCCATTGCGGAATCTATTTATAGATTTGAAACCATGCAAAGATGTCGAAACCTGTTCGTTCGTCAAACAGAATAAAAGGTCGAGGTAAAGCTAGTCGAGAGGAACCTGGTCCTCCTAGTCATCTAGCTTCGTCGAACTCGACCCCATTGGAAGCAAACAAACCTGCTAGCGGAAAAGCCACTCAGTCTTCGAAGAAGAAGAAGAATAATACTAAACCAACTAAAATTTCGGGAAGTGGTATCCCTGCTGACCCCGTGAAGCAGCAAGAAGCCAGTTTCATGAGCCAAGATGTTAAAAGGTCCCAGTCTATCCCAATCAAGCGTGAGGAGCCCTCCCCAGCTCCAACGTCTGCCATCGCTGGCGAAGGCCCCCCGTGGTTTGACTACCGAGATCCTCCTGCCTCTGTCGTGAGCCCTATGAGACAAACTCGGCCAGAGGACATGTCCCAAACTCAATTGGACTATCTCTTGAAGCTCTCTCAACACTCACCATCTGCCCCCCCTCCTCATTTCTACCAACAACCACCTGGACTACCATTCAGTATCAATCCTCTAACCACCCCATCAGCACCAGAAGGTAATTTAGAAGAGAAACATCAAGAACTAATGGCCAACCATCGGAAGGTAGCGGGTCGCCAAACCTCCTTTGCCGCTCTCGGCGGGGAGGTCAGAGACCTTCGTCTTTCGGGGGACCGAGTCGCGACCACCATAGCAGCGACTCAGAAGAGAAAGAGGCTCGGTAGCCAGCCTCAACGTGAGTCTCCGCAAGTCCCCAAAGCGGAGCCAACTTTGAAGGAGGTCCCCAATCCCTTGGACTGTGAGATGGCCAAGGAGAGGGCTCGGAGGGGACAGTTCGCTGTCCACTCCGAGCTCTCTGCTGGTGGGATCCTCCAATCCCAATTGGGCTCCTGCAAGGAGCTCTTGGAAGACCTAGGTAAGATCCTAGGCAAACTACCCGTGGCCAGGCAAGATCCACACGCCAAAGATATCCAGGAGGATATCAAAAAGTTCTTGTCCTGTGGCATCGACGGGGGAGGAATCGTTGGATTCCTCGGGGAGGCTGGAGTGGGTTAGTATATAGCTCTGTCACGACCAACTGCGGCTTCAATATACTAATGAATTATTTTCCTTACAGGAAAGTCCACCCTCCTCAATGCCTTGCTCGACATCGAGGATTTTCTGCCCATTGTAAGTCAAACCTTGAAACCAAACCGTTCCTTTGATAAAATATTGTGGCCAAAAGGACTAACAAAAATTCAATACGATAGGAGGAATACGGCAAATTTATGCCAATAGTCCTCGAATTTGCGAAGAGCGGGCCAGGGCTTGGGCCCTTCACCATGGACGTCAAATACGTCACAAAGGCCCAGCTCGAGGAGGATGCAGAGATCCTCTTTAGAGAGATCTACGTCGAGGGGGCGAAGCTTCAGAGGCCTAATACGAGAGAGGCCAAATCAATACAGAGGAGACTCAACCATTTGTTTCCTGATGCAAGTTGGAGCTCTGTCTCAGAAGCTCATGAAGATATCAGCAAACTTTTCGCCGAGGACGAGTCCCTCCAACGAGAAGATGGCATCATCCATGCCATGGATCGAAGGGCCTGCGTAGAGCAGCTCCGAGATCTTACTGTCAGTTTCAGTAACGATAGGCCAACCGAACCGGAAAGGTGGCCTCTTATCGACAAGATTCGGTAAGGCGCTATCTGCCACCTTAGCCCATGAAACCTGTAACAAGTCGAACTAACAGTTTCAATAGGGTCTATCTTGATTCCGAGATCCTGAACACCGGAGCTATCATTGCAGATATTCCAGGAATTGACAAGGAAGGCACCCGCGTCAAAGCCATGCAAGAATATCTCTCTGGTGTTCAAGATATCATCATCGTGACCAAATTGGAATACATCTTCGTCGATGATGTCGATGCTCTAAAGAAGCTCGGTTACGAGGGTGTAACCTTGCTGGATGGTCGCTCGAGAGGCGTACTCGTTACGAATCACTTGGATGTGAGTACCCAATTGCATAGATTCGTCTAAACAAACGACGACCCTACCCCGAAGGCTGAGCGGGAGATTAATGACTCCAACAATTCTAACAAAATTTAATCTGATAGGAATACACTAACGCTAAAGCCAAAGCCCTTTTCAAAAAGAACGTACCTTTCAAGGCCAGGATTGAACAAGCTGAGAAGGATCTCCTGCATATTCAGGGACAAATTTCTGGCAGCAAGTACGTATATTAACTAGTCTATTCATATTATAAGAACAAGCTAATACTAACTACTTCGTCTTGATAGCCGCGGGGAGCGTAAAACCAAGGCTGAGATGATTTCTCTCGCCCAAAAGCACGAAAAAACGTATGTTCAGTCTCAGAAAACCCGCTCCATAGTAAAAGTTTGAAATCTAAACTCACATATTTCTCAAATTAGACTAGAACAGATCTGCTCCTCAATTTTAGATGACTTCATTGAACCACAGGCCACTGTAACTTTCGGAAGCACAATCTCAACCGATGATATCACCTGGCAAGTTTTCAGAGTCGATCCAATTGCCTACGCCAAAACAAAGAAGGATGGCACCTTTCTCGCCCACCTTTATGACAACATGAACATCCAGCAGATGGTCGAGCTACAAGACTACATCGGCGCATTGACCTATCCTAGACAATTTCGTCTTGCAGTATCCAGGTTCAAACAAGCACAGAGCATTATCGCGAATTTGATATTTTGGTGCTCATCCGAAGTCAAGCTTCCGCCGGCCATACGATCATCTCTGGAGAAGACCCTTCTCCAGGAAGTATCCGACCTGGAAGAGGTAAGCAAAACTTTCCCCTTTGCTTCTTGATCACTAATAAGTTGTGGAGCCGTTTGATCAATTGAAAGCGATATTCTAACGCAGGGTGTAGCAAATGGATATTGTTAAATTTGAGATCGCTGAAACCATCTCTGAATCATTGGCGGGGGTCTATGCCCATACAGAGATCGCGGTATATGAAGCCACAGAAAAGGCTCAAAAGAAGATTGTCAATACAACTGTAAGTTATCTCGGTCATACATAAAAGCTCTTCAGAAACTAATCGTCGCATTCTCATTGACAGGCAAATCTGAGTAAGTGTCGCGCGCACATCTTTTCTTGCTTTCTTCCCTTCTTTTTGAATGTGGAACGGGCCTGGGCTAATTGGTAAATAGACACCGTGAGGGCCGTCTGTAAAGGAGGAGGCGAAATTGGAGATACCAACTGGAACTCCTATATCCTTGAAGAAGTCAGAGAGAAGATGTGTGATGCCTGGAAGGGGACTATCACATTCACCGTCCAGATGATGAACACTTTCCAAGCAAAATACTTCGAAACAATCGAGTCCATAGAATCCCGCCTCGAGGGTAAGTCATTTCCAAGAACGACCAGCCGATGCAAGTGAACTAATAGCCTCTATAGAATTCATTAATAATCAAAACGTCGACAACACTATGAAAGCTGCCTTCAAAAACTTGATTGCGAAGGAACTTCAGAATAGTCGCTCACACATGGTTGAAATATGCCGTGACAACGTCAGAGTCATCCATAATATGTTCAGGTTAGACCCTCTTTTGTACGTCGTCTAATTTGATAATCTTACTAAAAATCTGTTGCTGTAGGCATGGAGCCCGCACTTTCCTTCGGCCCGATACACTCAAGGAGTTAATGTAGAACATCTACCAACAAGTGAGAGATGCCAGAGGTACTCATATTTGTCCTTCAATATTTTCTAGAAATTGAATAACTAATCAACTATACCAGGAGGAGTACGTACGAGGAACATAATTCTCGAATCAATCAGTGAAAATATCGAATCCGAAAACATCTTCGACCAGCTTGGCGAAATCATCATGGCAGACATCAAAGCAATCGAAGATTATGTCTATAAATCCATGAAGGAATGCCATACCGAGGTGATCGATAAACTCAACCGCAAACTATCCCATATAGTCTCGGAACGACCTAATGCCGCCAAATCTCGCAAAGATCCGAAGTATAAGCAGGACCTGCTGCAAAATATTCTTACAAACGCATACCCAGAGGTTGAGAAAATCATTAACACTATCGGGAGTTTGAGCCCTGATGATATCGTTGATATGAGGGAAGCGATGATTAACTACGCTTTTCCTATTGTGGAGAGTGTAGACTAATGTTCTTAACTACATGTACTTTAACCCCCCATACTCGGTAGACGCTACTAGTCTAGACAGAAGATTCGATACATTTTGTTTCTACGATTCAGTCTGCATTGAGCGGGAGTACTACATAGTTCGTGGTACACTACCACTCTGAAACCTCTTAGGCTTTTTTTTTTAAAAAAAAATGTTTAATTTTCTACTATACCATGACATGAACACAAACGCGTTTTTGACAAGACAATCTTCATATGGCCATGCGCATATGCGTAGGTTGAAATTTCAGAGCACTGGTTGCTAATTAAAAGCTGATTCTGATACTTGTGGCGCTGAAGTAACCATCTGCCTCACATATACATCTCCGAATGGCTATATTGGTACACAGCCCTAGAATATATAGGCCGGTAGGCCGTTGTCATTAACAAAAGATGCTGCTCCACAAGTCCCTTATGATTTCTAGAATTAACATAAAACATGTATCTATGTCTCTAAATCTCCAGGATCAGGGTAACACCTGCAATCGTGATTCAAAATAACGTACAGTATGCTCATGCAATTGAGTTAGATATCCGTTTCCTTTTCAAATTTTTCGACGTCCAAAACTAGCTGCGCTCTTCTCTTCTCAATATCGGCAACAATGAATCTGAGCTTATCCTTTTCCTTCCCTTCAACCTGACCGACCATCTGAGAAACTGCAGTCCATTGCTTTATGCTTTTTTTGAGGACCTTTTGGAAATCGAAGCACCACGTAACGTTTTCGACGTTCAGAACAAAGGCTAGGTTCCACAAGATCTGGGCTATCGAAGCTTTGATATCGACAAAAATATTCGATTGCTTGATTCCCTTCCCTACCGCCTCTAGCATCTTCCCGTATGCTCCTTTGCCGCCTATTATAGTGTTAGTTCAAAGGTTTTCACTGTCGGTTATATTACAGGGCTTGTTGCCTACTTGCTCTCGCAGCCGTTTCATAAGATGATTTCATAGCAGACTTCACCCTCGCTATCGACAGGGCACTCGATGTAATCTCCCTAAAGGTTGAAGTTTGAAGTTTTAGTAAATATTATATCATGCGGCCGGATACGGTTCATTCTAGGGTGGAGGGGTATACTGTTGTATATATTTCACTCTTCTTGTTTGCTCCATTAGTAACTTGGAGGTTTCAAATGACATCGCGTCTAAGGAGCTTAGAAAAGCATTTCGACTCTCCGTGATCTCAGCAGTCGGATTGGGACACTCCCGGTCAATGATTTCTGTAACAATTTTAGTTCGTGATCAAATTTATGATGATATGCCCAGCTCCTAACGTACTAGCCCAGTCACCCTTGAAACCACCTAGGAGCATTACAACACTTGCTGTAAAAATCGATAAGGACTCTTCGATGTCGACCCAGCAATATTTTTGTAGTTCTAGGATACCATGTTCCATGGAATCCAAAAAACGTCGGTTGAGATCCCTTTTAGGTTGTTTGGGATTGTTGCAAACTCCTCCCCGCCTGCAAACTGCACGAAATGTATCTAAGCAATCGTTTAGTATGCCTACATCAAAGCTTCGATCGGGAGCCCATGAGTACAGGCCATTATGATTACGGACTGGATTGATACAACTACCCAAATTCTAATGTTAGACTGTCATTACGCAGTAGATTCATTGTGATGGGGCAAGTACCTTATAAAAAGCCTGCAAAACGTTCTGGCAATGAGGAATGCCTCTCTCTGCGAGAGCCTCTGTATTTTTAGGTCGTATAGTTAGCAAAATTAATATGCCGCCGTGGACTAAAATACTAAAAGTTGCAACTGCAATGTCTACCTATTTCCTTCATGATATCATCTCTGCATTTAGAGATACGTTTGTCGCACGCAACTTCCAACTTGTCAAGAGCCTGCAAGCAAACTTCGTCAATTTTAATATCCACAAGGTATCAATTATTTGTGCTGGTGTACCTCTTTCATATTGAATGCTGCCGTCTCTAGGTCGGCACAGATACATTTTCTTATCTGCTCCCTTAAACTGCCAAGGTCTTCGACGAGGACCCTCACGTCGCTAACACTCCTCAGAACGTCAAAATGAATGAAATTCTTCACTAGCTGAGCGCTTTGGTTCATCGAAACTCTCCTGCAGTAGTCCCGTAATTGGGGAATTTGCGTTTTCTGGACAGCGGCGTCTTCGGAATCCGGGTCAAGATCTTGATACTGCTTGGAAGCCACTAAAAAGCATTTTATTTCAGTGCCTTCGCCAAGGAACTTGCTATACTCCTCAGCAATACGAGTTGGGACGTATTGGTCCCGAAAGGAGTCACAAAACTCCTTCAGCCTGAGTGCAAAATTAAAAACTATGTCAGTATTCAAGCCACCTTGGTTTCTAATATTTCTAACTCCTAACAGTCTGTAACTGGAAGGTTCTAGGCTGCGTAGAAGGGCACTTACTGATTTTTTGCAACCTCAGCAGCTTCAATACGACTTTTCCGCTCATCAGGACTAGATCGTGTTAAAGTTAGCTCTATAGCTACAATTTCAAGCCTAATTGGGATGTACTTGAGTCCTTGTAGCTCCTGCCTAGAAGGCTTCCTAGCCTTCTTATCTAGTTCATTGTAGGTCTTGGAGAACCCATCCACCATACCAAATTCATTTTTGGCATCATTTGGGTCAAATTGCTGCCATAAAAAATCCAATAGATCAGCAGTGATCCCTCAAACCTCCCAAATAGCAACATGTGCATGCATGTACATGATGCCATGGGAGCTTATGTCTGTGAAGCGAATCCAATAGGACTTACATCACAGCAGGTCGCAACCATTGTAATACTTTTTCTTCCATCAAGTTTGAGCTGTTTTGCATATCCCATTTGGGCAAGGGCCGTCGCGGTATCGTTTGTTAGGATTCGACTTAGTCGTGACACGACGATAATCTTATCCGCCTTTTGAAGATACTTTTGTGCAACGGATGTACGCGCGGGGTTGTTATCTTGAAGGCCTGGGAGGTCAACTAGAACGGCGCCTGTCTCTAGAACCGGGGAATCTAGATAAATTCTTGCGCAAGGAGTGTTAGGCCGGTTAAGTAAAATGAGAGGGATATCTAAGGGTTTACGACTTACTTGACCGTCTTGACGAGCGGCCATAGCTGTGCTTCGTCGTTGTTACTTCCACGACCCGAAATCAGCCGGTGCATCTCCGTGACAAAACGCTCTTGTTCATCACGCTCTACTGTCAACCGTCCGGATTGTAAGCAATCCGATTCTTCGTATAATTTCTCAAGTTTCCCGACCACGTTTTTGATGTCGCTTTCCTGAAAATCAGGAAAGAGAGCTACCAGTTTCGATAGAGCGATCTTATACGCATCGGTTGAGGATACGTCAGACCGCCGTACTTTTTTGGTAGGTCGAGGTTCGAAAAATTCGTCATCGCTCTCGTCTCCGGAGTAGATATTCTGGACATCTGTCTCATCTTGAATATCTTCGGATAGTATTTCCATCTCTTCTTTAGATTCGTCAAGAGTAGCGTACTCAATAACGGCGTTGAATACAGCTTCCATTCCTGGCAATCGTTTGCTGAACTCAGTTGCACAGGATGTACATGCTCTGATTCCGGACTGTATATTTTATATTAGCTATCTATCTCATAGGGTAGCTTGAACGTACTTACTGTTGGAACAATGTTTTCATAGTCAACAAGGGCACTTAGAAGAGTCGATTTCCCTACTCCTGACTCACCGATGAAGGCGATTATAGAGCACGGTCTCACTTCAAATTTCCTCGCCTTTTCTATTTTTTCTAAAATCCCGCGTCCGTCATCTCCAAGTATGTTTAGATGCTCCATTCTTTGCAATTGTGTACAGAGTGACTTGAGAATCCGGTGACCGTCCTTGACAACGCGTCTGAGATCTTGCTGGAGGGCCTCGGGGCTTCTGCTAGGTCCTAGCGATTGCAACCCTGTTGGATTAAACATATCTATCAAAGAACAAGAGTGTATTTTCTTTTGGAAGTAGTGAAAATTAGTGAATATATGCCGCCAACTTGTCCTGCCAGCTGCCGGTGTATGGCGGGGATGTTCAACCGAGGTGCAATCAACCACAACGAACACACCGCCTAAAATATTATTCGGCCAAGAGAAAAAAGGGTAAAGCCACGTCTCTGTGAATGTTTAGTAGACGTGTGACGTGCAGTCGCGGGTAGTTGCAGCTACCAATTGGAGGATAGAGAAACGTGAAAGAGTAAGCGATAAAGATCAAAGGAGTAGGTTAAGGTATGAAGTAAAGAGGGCTTAAGACAACTGGATTAGTGGTGTTGTAGGAAGGTATGTGAAAAGATGGTAGATTGGAGGGAAGGCAAGTGGGTTGGATGGAGATGGATTGAGGGTAAGTGGATTAGATGGAGATGTTATGTGCTGCTGGCAGAGCTGTGTTCTTTTATATACGGGTAGGAGGTAGTCAACACCACCGTCATTTCTGTTGATCTCGTAAACTAGAATTAATGCTGCTGCGATATCTGTGTTTTCTTTCACGCTGTCGAAATAAATCAAGTCGTCCGGAGACCTATGGAATTTAATTATCTTGTTCTCAATCGAAACCTAAAGCATCTCTGAGTGTGCTCTTGTGTTAAAAAGCTTCGGCGAAGCTTGTGAGAGCTGAGTGTGCCTTTTCCTTCTGGGGGTTTATAAGTTTACAAGTTTATCCAATTGAAATTGACCAAACTTACAATACCTAGGTACTTAAGCTTATAAGTATGGAACATAAATTTCTTTCTGGGCGTAAAGCTAAGATTCCCTTGCATACTTTCTGTTCCATCAACTGATTTCCGGCTTCGGAGTAGTATTGGCCACAGCATGAAATTCGACGGACCCGGGCGTGAGTTAAGCTTCGCTTCTACGGTAACGTCTCATAAAAGCCCAGGGTCTATATCGTTTAGCCGCTCTCTTTTAAACGCCGGCACCGCGTAGTCACATAGCCACCCTTATAAATTTAATAAAATGATAGCCCGGATATCTGGATTAGAAGGCTATAGCATGCTAGTCTCGATGCATTAGCTCTAGGAAAGAAATCAATTACAATAGTCAAACCGAATTAACCCGTTAATTCGGGGTCTACAGGACTACCCTGGAAAGAATAGAGCAAGATAATCCTCACGAGCCTCCTCATTGACCGATATTCACATAATACCAATATTGTCAAGCTGCTGCACATGTAGCTACTATATGAAGCTTTCCGGGGTACTTTTTCTTCAATAATCTTGATTTTGTAACATTGCAAGTGAATAAGTACAAGTTTCGCCAACATAAAAAGTTTGTATTGATACCTGTACGCAGTAGCTTTGCCAATTCGATGTTAAGAAAAGATCCTGTGAAAAATAAGCCGACAACTGGAGCTCAGGGATGAGACTTAGGTTTGGGCTTCTAGTTCCAGTCTCTTTGCTTCCTCCACCAACCTATCTTTATAATCCTCGAATTGCGAAAGAATACCTCTTAGCTTGGCCTTTTCCTTAACTTCAAGTTGCCCAGACTCCTTTGACTTTTTTGTCCACGCTTGAACCGTCTTTTGTAAATTATTCTCGAATGGTTCACACCAAAATCCGGTCGCTTCATTCAATTCGTTCTTTAAGTCCTGCAGGTGGCTGCACATTTCATATCCCATATTTTTGAACGGGTCATTGTCCTCAATCCCACTCAAGAAAGTGTATACCATGCGATCATACGCTTTCTTGCCTATAAAATAGTCAATAGACGCTCCGAAACTTATTTATGAAGCTCTCAATTCTCACCACGTATCTTGGCGGCCTCAGCGTAACAACCCTCGAGGGATGACTCGACAGTTTCTGACGACATGACAGCATATAGAACTCTTCTGTAGCAGTTTCGTCAAGGGTTAGTATATATCTTTTTAAAAAAACTCTAAAAGGATTTGGAAGTTAAATACCCCTTCTTCTTAGCCTTTTTGATAACATCAACCCGGAACTTATTCGAAACCTGATGCGAAAGACAGTCGAGGGCCGCCACAAAATGCTTCTTCGTAGCCTCGTAATCTGAATTGCTGAGATTCAACTGGTGACGCCTAGTAACTTCTATTATTATTTTAGCGTCATATTTGCAGAAAAACCTTTACAAATTGAAATTGATACCTTCCCATTGAATCTGAAAACCACCTAGTCGCCTGACAGAATCTATTTTGAAGCTGTCCAACTCATGTTCTATGTTAAGGACCGTGGACTTCCATTCGTCGTAAATATTATCGTTAAGACGATCAAGAAGCCTGTCGTTGAGGTCCTTTTCCGGTTCGGAGCCTATTTTCCAGGTTCCATTTCGTCTACAAAGGGCCAGAAATGTGACTATATCTTGTGTTACTCAAGTGGCTCTACAGCCAGTCTTTTGATACCTTAATACACCCAGGTTTGTAGCTTACCTGGACGCTTATATTTCTAAGACGGTATTCAATGTTAGAAAATTTCTGGATCCGATATGCAATCTGAAAGGAATGGGGTATTTTTTACCTTGCGAAAATCTTGTACAACATTTGCACAATCGGTTTTGGCTTTCCTGACAAATTCACCTATCATATAATTAGTGTATGATTCGAGATAGAATTTCTTGAGATGTTTGAGCCATCAAGAGAACTAGATGAATTGATAAGCTTAAACCGTATAAACGATAATTACTCACCGACTTGTTCAATCATTCTATCGATATTCTCGCTGGTAGCTTGGATGGCTATGTTTCTTAATTCGATCAAGCCCTAGCCAATCAGTTGTGTCAGATCAGGTTTATCAGGTTCCAAGCTAAGAATATGAAATTTATCTATATCTACCTTCTTTAAATCGGCGCCTGCTTCTTTCAACTCGATTTTGATCGCGTTTAAAGTTTCAGGATTCAAAGAGGTGCCAATGCTGGTGAGGAAAAGTCCTAGGCCACTATAGACGCGCACAACATCGGAACTGATGAACAAGGCGGTTATATATGCTCTCTGCTCCACCGGAATCCTCATACAGTAATCCTTCAGCTGTGGAATCTGTGTCTCATACGCTTCGTCGTCGTCCCCGGCGCCCAAGTCCGCCAACTCTTGGTAACTTGTAGAAGCGACGAGGAAGCTCTTCACATCAACATTTTCTTTGACAACTTCGCAGTACTTTTGTGATAGCCGCTTGGGCATTTCTTCATCAAGAGTCCGCCGACATAAATCATTTAACCTAAAAGTTAGACGGCGTTAACATGCAGTAAACTCAATCGATAGTCGGCAGATATTCTTAGACAGGGAGCTTCGACTTACTGTTTCTTTGCCGCTTCAACTCCAATTTTGTAGGCATTTCGCTCTTCAGGGCTATAGAACGATATCTTGTTAGTGCACGTGTACTAAATTATAAATATATTAATATCTCGATGTCGATAGACATTCGACCGCAACAAGATTTCCTACCTAAGGGCTCTTAGAGCATGATTAGAAAGTTTTTCCGTCCCCCTGGAAAGTTCGGTGAATTTTTCCAGAAAACCCGGAACATCCTTGAAGTCCGTTTTGGCATCACTCGGTTTAAATGACTGCCACAAAGAGCAATCGAGTATCAAATTTGCGCAGACGTTAGTAAATTTCTCCTTCTAGCTATAGGTGCTGTCCTATATACTATATAGAACACTCACATCACACCAAGTACAGACCAACGTGATCCTTTTTCTTCCAGCTGATTCAATCTGTCTCTCGAAATGCGCTTTCGCTAGATTTGCAGTTGGTTTACGGTCTAGAGCTCGAGATAGACGCGAAACGATGATGACACGATCGGCCTTCTCCAAGTATTCATTTTCAACGCCCGTCCGTGCGGCATTACTGTCTTGTATTCCAGGTAAATCGACGAGAACGGCACCAGTTTGAAGAACATCCGAATCCAGGTAGATTCTAGCGGTAGGATGAAGTTAGAATGAGGAGGCATTGAATAGGCAAAAATTGATCAAGGGCAATTATCTTACTTGACAACTTTGACTAATGGCCATAACTCAGGCTCGTCGCCACTGCTACCATTCTTCGCCGAGACGACTTTGGAAACTTCATCGACAAACTCACTGTCGTTGTTACTCTCAATTACCCTCTTTCCGCTCCTGAGTGGCTCTGTTTCGTATAGAGCCCTGACCTTCTCAGGGATTCCAGGAAGATCGCATTCTTGAAACCCTGGAAAAAGAGCCTTCAGTTTGTCAATTGCTGCATCGTACGATTGTAGTGAAGATCCGTCAGTCGTGTACTGTGATCTAGTATCCAAGCTTTCCATCGTGGTATCAATATCGTCATCGTCATAGTCAATGGTTCCACCCTTGTCTTGGATCTCCTGGCGAAGAATTTGGACCTCTTGTTCAAAGTCTTGACGCGAAATATATTCGACTATCGCGTAAAACTTAGAATCCATCTCCGAAGTACGGCTACTAAACTCAGTAGCAACACAGGTACATGCACTGGATCCAGACTATTTAGAATACAAATCAGTTATAGCTCTTTACTAACATTACCAAGAGTGTATAGGACTTACAGTCGGAGCAATATCACCGCAACCGAGGAGTGCATTGAGGAGCGTTGACTTTCCTTCGCCAGTCTCGCCGACGAAAGCAATTGTCGCTTTCGCCCCCGATTCACTACCTCCATACGCGTATGTGGGGATGCTTTTTAGAAGCTCGGAGCCATCCTCACTGAGGACATTGAGCTCTCTCATTCTCTTTAATTGGTTAGCACAATTTTGAAGGAGACGCTGGCCCTTCTCAGCCAGCTTCCGCAAGCATTGGTCAATTGCCTCGGGGTCTCTTTTCGGGACCCCAAGGCCTCGAGGAAGTTCTGTAGCCATGATCCAATCTCTAAGAGCAAAAACCTTCAAAAAATTGATCGTGACTGACGAATATATCAATCAGTAAGTTGTTCTAGTTTGCGTTCGAAGTCTGTTACTTTAGGGGCGCTACGATACCTTCAGCTCTAGGAAATTCGGTAAGATAACCTAAGTAGATGATTTAGGGGGTTTTTAGATGGGAGGTGTAGGTGATGGAGTGTGAATAGAAAAAACATCGCGGCTCGAAGAGCTATATCACCCGAAAACGAGGAATATTTTTATTCACGTAGTTTGTACGTCTCGAAATCGACCTCAAAGGAGGGGCATTGTTGGGGTCCCTCATAGGAGGGTCTTTTGTATGGTATAACGCCATGGCGTTAAGACTGAAAGATGGCACAGAAAGAATCCTCTGAGGAGGGTCTTTTGCCATACACCTTTACTAGGACCTGGCATTGGATTTGAAGCTAGACTGAGCCCCCTCCAGTACTCACTACTGGCATTTATCAGGTAAGATAGCTATGACAAATGACTATTATAGTCAGCCTTTCTCCAGCGGAGATATTCAGTACTTCATGATCAGCGAAGGCTTACGGAGGAATTTTCACATCTAGAACTCTGAATTTCAGATTATTGATATCTGGAATTCAATTCAACTTGTTGCTTAAACTGGTGTTATATGTATCGCCAGCTTGAACACCTAATGCTATTTATGTGTAAGTAGGTAGGTCACGAAGAGTCCATTACGAAATTCTAAGGTGGAAAAGTATATGTCATGATTATGAAAATGATATATTTTTGTCCTAGATCTCAAACTAGTACTACGAATAGCTATTATGATATGCTTTATTAAGGGTCATTGCGTAAATCAGGACGTCGACACAATCGATATACCAATCAACATCTTAAATATACCCTTAAACTTAAACCCACATCCGAAAGAGTTGAAAGAAAATGCTGCTGGATCGAAACTAAAGATTTAAGCCAAATTATACGGTATCCACCTTTTTCAATTCCAAATTTCCCATATTCCTTCAACAGTTTCAAATACAAAAGCTTCACAATTCTCTTGTTAAACCACAACCCATACCTTGTCTATAGCTGCGCCTCAAGCTCATTTGTATCGGAAAGTAGATTCTTCATCCTAGGTTCAAATTTTGATATAATCACTTTCAGCTTGGCCTTCTCTTCAATTTCGGCTTGTTCCACTTTGTCCGACAACGAAATCCAATTTTTGATATTGGTCTCGAGCTCTTCGCCGATATCCTGGCACCATCTTATATTTTCCTCGTTAAGAGTTTTCTCGAGGTCTCGTAAACCTAGGGATATCGCATCTTTGATTTCATTGAATACATCCGTTTTCTCGATCCCATCCGATACAACATCGATCATACGACCATAAGATCCCGGACCTACTCGATAGGTTAGAAATGCAGAAAATCATTGTAGTATGAAGTCGCACCACCCTTACCAAATTCTTTCCCCGCATAGTCGTAAGTAGCACGCATAGCTTCTTTGATTCGCCCCGTCGAAGTAAATTCCCGATTTATTTCCCTATTACCAGATGTAACTATCAGATAGTCCAACTGCGAGAAATTGAACAACAGAATGAATCTCACACCTTTGTTGATCATTAACTTTCTGGATCTGGTCTGCCGATAGCTTTTGAGTACCAACGGACATTGCATTCAGTGAATTCAATATAGTCTTCATGCTTTGTTGTAGCTCCTCCGGGGGAGCAGGGCAATGTTGATAAATTATGCCTTACGCAAAAGTCAGCCTTTCATTATTGGTTTCATAGTAGCCGTGTGAATATGGACATACTCTCCCAGCGTCTTTCGAATACAGTTAATTGTTTATCAAGCTTAGAAGTATACTCCGAAAGACTTTTTTGAATCTTTGCCATTGAAGGATTCCAGATTTTTGCGAGTCCTTCATCAATAGTCTGCAAAAGTCGTTGGTTTAGATTTTTAGAGTCAAATTTCCATTCTCCATGTCTTCTGCACACTGCCCGATAAGTATCTGTATACCAATATTGGTCAGTATGTCTACTGTTAAGTCAATCCTAGAGGCGGGATATCCTTCGATACTGAGGTAAATATACTTACGCCAACGAAAATCCTAACATGCATATGGTATGATTGGTCAGATTTGTAAAATCAAGATAAATATGTAACGAGGGTTTTTTTTATTCTTACTTTTCTGAACTTATTCTGGACATTCTTGCAGTGACCAGAGCTGTCTTTTGCAAGTAAATCTACCAGAAAACCAACCGGGTATTAGTTAACCTTAAATTTATCGCATAGCGCATTAAAGGGAAGGATTTTTCTTTGTATACCTGTATTGTCAACAATCTCTGCGATTGTTTTGTCGATGTTTTCTGAACACTTTTGCTGAAGGCCCACAAGTCCCTTTTAAATTTTGAAATCTGTTAGAGGTCAAGAAATTTCAAAGTTACGAAACGGGGATAAGCAAACCTTTTGCATACTGGTCGCAGCCTTCTCAAGATCGGTGCAGATGTTTTCTCTGATATTTTGGCTAAGAGAGGTTCCAAGGTCCTCAACCAGGAATCGAGCAGCTCCAAACGCTCTCCAAACGCTGTTGATGAAGAACTTCGTTCGGTGCACCTTTTGCTCGATAGGTATCTTGATACAATAGTCTCGAAGTTGCGGAATCTGAGTTCGCTTCACTACCGCAAATTCTTCGTCATCTAGTTCGTCTCCAAACTTTTCAATATAATCTTGGTACTCCTTTGATGCTACGAGGAAACTTTTGATCTTGATGTTTCCTCCGAGTAGACGGCCATATACCTTGCTTAGCAAGATAGGTACCTGTTCATCCCGGGTCTTAAAACAAAGTTCCCGGAGTCTTGTACAATACCAAAAAGAAGTCAGTATGTGCTATTTGTCACGTTCGCTCTTGGATCTTACTCTTTATTTGCCTCTTCCGCTTCCTTTTTAAATTTCTTCTGCTCGTCAGTGCTATATAATGGGATATCAGCCTTTACCGTGAGAATAAAATATCAAACAATGTTGAAGAGATGTCAAACCTGAAATTCTTTAGCTCTCGCCGCGATGGTATAGCTTTCACTCTTTTGCTCAGTTCATCATAGCTTGCACAAAAACCTTTGACGTTTTTAAACTCTTGTCGCGCATCGTTTGGTCGAAAAAGCTAAAAAGGCAAGTCTTCAGGAGCAGAATCTTTACAGTTTTGGATGGTACTTTCAAGAGTCCATTAAGGGGTTTCTGTTACTCACATCACAAAACGAGCATATGATAGTAATTCTTCTCCTACCATCAAATTGTAACTGTTTTGTATATCCCATTTCCGCTAATGCCGCTGTAGTTTCATCTGTAAGAGCTCGAGCTAGGCGAGAAACAATAATGACTTCGTTTGCTTTGGCAAGGTACGACTGAGCGACAGCTGCTCGGGCTGCGTTATCATCTTTTAGTCCCGGAAGATCAACGAGGATCGCATCACCATCGAGGACCTCTGCGTCTAGATGGATCCTAAAGTATATAGACGTTTTAGTATTACGATATCAAAATAAACCTCCACTCTATACGTCAGGTAGACTTAATAAAAGAAAGCATCCAATATTGCAAGTGACTCGGGATCAAAGTTCAGGAAGTTCATATTTACCTCATTATTTTGATAAGTGGCCAAAGCTGGGGCTCTGTATCTTCATCGTCACCTCGGTTTGCGATCATTTGGTGGACCTGTTCTACAAATTCGTCTTCATCATCGCTCTCAATAATCTGTTGCCCCACTGATAGTGTCTCGGTCCCGTCATATAGTTCTTTTACCATCTCCGAAACATTCGAAAGATCACAGTCTTGAAATCCCGGGAACAAAGCCTTCATTTTATCTCTTGCTACTGTAGCGGCACCGGCTGAGGAGGAATCTGAGAGACGACGGCGTTTAAATGTGGGTATATTGGTGTTACTTTTGTTTTCTTCGTCTTCGCTCGCAGATAACATGCAATATCCATCCTCGGTGTCAAATTGCGTTCCATCTTCCCCAGTGATATCATATCGAAGTATTTCGACTTCTTTCTCGAACTCCTCGCGTTTGACAAACTCGATAACAGCATAGAACTGTGATTTCATGGTAGTGGTTCGGCGGCTGAACTCAGTAGCGACAGAAGTGCAAGCTCTGATACCAGACTAAGGTCGAGTTTAAAGCCAAGTTAGCATTATATGCCGTTACGATTATTGGTACGTGCTATAATATAGCCCCCTTGGTAACCTAGTTTACGTTTGTAGGCTGGGAACCCCGAACTTACTGTTGGAACGATATTCTCACGATCAAGCAGTGCATTCAAAAGTGTGGACTTTCCTGCTCCAGACTCTCCAATAAACGCAATAACTGCTTTAGAGCCAAGCTGTGCATCTTGGTACTTTTGTATATGTTTTTGGACTCGCTTGCCGCCTTTATCCAATAGGCCATGATCACTCATGTACTGCAACTGTACGCTGGATGACTTTAGAAAACTTTGACCTTCCGCAAATAGAATCTGAAGGCGTTTTTCAATATCTTGGGGAGTCTTGCCAGACGTGGCAATACCTGAGGAGGACGTAGTCATGTTTGTAAAAACTTTGTGCAATGTATTAAAGAGCATATGTAGTCTTCAAACAAGATCGATATTGTTAATTAATCTGTAAGTAGCTACTCAGATGTTCGATCGCGTTAGCAATTTTACCTAGCAAACCCTAAATATGGATTATATGGGTTGGATAAGAGACTAGAATTATACGAGTCTCGAAGATAACGACTGAAAGATGGTTTTATAGCTTGCGAAGCGGAAGGTTCGGTCAACCGAGTACTTTCATACTGGAAAGAAATTTAGAAAACGATGGATATACCCACGAAGTTCTAGATATAGAGTTCTGTGGCTATGCCACCGACAAGTTCTATAGATCTCTAGACTATACCCAACTTGCTTCCAAATTAAACTGCAGTCATGGTCGAAGTCTAGAGCTTAGAAGTCACAACTCACTTACTATACATATTCTAGATGATCAATGGTTCATCAAGAACTATACCATGCCTCTATGTTCTTCGATCGGAAAGCAAAGGATGTGATATATTAATTTACTGGTACATAAGACCCTTAGGAAGGCGTTGTAAGTTTGAAATTGCCGGTCCTATAGGTTTAGATTCCAATAAGGTATTAGAATCAATTCTACTATACCACCATCATGTATTCTGTGCTTCTCAGTACCTAGTATATGTAACTTAGCCTCGTATTGATTCCCTCGATTTTGAAGCATCAAGATACCTAACCTACGTGCGGCTAGCAGTGTTGGTTGAAGGTGGGAGAACAATTTACACTATGTCTCGTACAGTTGAATTGCAATATTGGTAGAGTGTTTACTCTTAGTTGTCGCTGTCGTGCGCCGAGTTTCTGCTCCAAAACGTCTGTAGGCTCTGTGCAAGTAGCTAGTAGCGGTGCGTGCTTAGGAATCACCTCCCGTTAATCCCAACGCACGCACACAATCAACCCACATCGAAATATTCCATCAACCAGCCTCGGCCTAGTCAAAAATCCATCCTTTAGCTCCAAAGAACTCATCTTTCACCATGCCTCGCGCCAAGAAACCCAGCGGCAACAAGCTTGTCGTTTCAGAGGTCCCAACGGGCCGTACTGATAATGCCGTTATCATCACACTCTCCAAAGAAGAACTTCAAAAATACATCAACCGCGAAAAAACCCACTTCTTCCGCGTTAATCCATGGAACCAGAACGTCACTAAAGTCTGGCTCTACATCAAGGATCCTGTCAAATGTATCACTCATGTCGCAATGGTCGGCCCTCTCAAGGCAAAGGGCGAACTCGGACCATTGGGCAGATCCAATGTCGCCTTCAATTCTGGTATTCTCAACAATGGACGCCACAAGCTTAAGGCCGCATACGAAATCACGAGCATTCTCAAACTCTCCAGAGACATGGAGTTCATGCACATAATCGAAAATCGATATTCCAAACCCACTGCCAACGGGAATGTCTATGCTGACAAGCTGATGTCCAATGAGCTAGAAGAGGTTCCTCTTCACAGGATTTTCTAAATCCTTATTGCATTGAATGAATCCTGTTTCGTTTTTGCCGTTCCATGGCTAAGATATTGGTATTCTCCGGTATTTGCTATCCGCTGATCAATTAACCAACGATTTAGTGCTAACTCGAGAGTAGAATCAAAAAAAGGGAGGGAGAACTGGCCGTCGAGCATGTTCCACCGCATGATCATTTTCGCTTCAGACCCTTTGAAATATCATTATCGCCCAGGCTACATTGGTACCAGTTGCTAAGGCTGTATTCCTCATCCACTCTCCTGTATGCTACTACAGTACAAGAACTATTCAATCATCTGACATGTAACTAACAATAGTTTCCAATTAACACAATTCCATGAAACCAAAATATAGTAAGATAATCTTACCCCTGTTGGGATTTATCAGAGTCCCCTGATAGCTCATGTGATATTGATCGGGACCCTTAAGCTGGTAGCTAGCTTTATGTAGCAATGCACTTATGTTTCTAGTTAAAGTGAGGTATGAATTTGTACCCATAGGCTTGTGCGACCTGGTCTTCAGATGTCGAGACTCACTGTTGAGTTCTAGCTAGCGTCCAGACAGGTTAAACCTAGAGTAGTCCACTAATCGAAATAACTATTCTCAACCTCCATGTGACAAAAGTACCCTCTAGAGTCCAAATATTTCAAGTGGTATACAATAGCAAAATAAAGAACCGTTCTTTTTCTTCCTGATTTTGGTTTATTTCGTTTCTTTTTTATTTTTCTTTATTTTTAATGTAGATTTTTGGTGACGAATTGATGATATTTAATAATTTGTGTTGAAAATTGTGTGTTTTTTTTGGTGTGGTTTGTGTTGTATACGAGACCTAGTCTCGGAGCCAGACGCTCGCATACGTATACTTATCTTTGTAGGAGACCATATGAGATCAATTCTGACCAAGTAATATTTTTCTGCCCTGCTTCATACCATATACATTTTATATTCTGATAGGGCAGGGGTTTTTCAGAGACTTTCTGCACGAGCGAGCTCTGTACTCACTGTGAGACTTCAAAGGTGCACCGGTGGCGTGAGAGGCGGTTGGCGTGTACATGTACTTCGCGTTTTCTGGTACCAATTGCAACGAGGCCACATGGGACTACTACTGGTGGCTTCGACCTGTCTATGCAAAGGCACCGAGATTATACGTTAGTCTGGGGGGCGCAAAGGTTAGTGCATCGTTCGCCGCCGTATATAGGCAAGTTAGATACGAAACCGCTTAGTTAGCCCCACCAACCCCTGCTCTTCGATACTCGCTATCATGCACCAAACTACATAATTAGCTTAAAACTTACATATCCCAATACGGAACTACACATGCATTTCAATTGCAATTGAATCTAGACACAAGTTTGCTTTATTGGGACGGAATTCAATCTATCTAACTCATAACATGTGTTCGCGACTGTGCACAATACTAACAACATTAAAGAACTAGCAAGTATCAACTCGGCACTATCGATTCAAGATCTGCGACTCGGAAACATTCCATACCTACAAACCCGTCAGTAGGTATACGTATCACGGGTAAAAGTAAACACGCTTGTACAATACGAACCTAATAATCAGGAATAGGAATCCTTCCTTCACTATCAATCTTAGGAGGACTTGGCCGAGGTTTATTGAATATAATGTTGCCATGGCCATCAAGATATAAATCCTTAGGCGGATAGCCCCTGACATGGTAAGGACGACAATGAGGCTGAACACCTTCGTATCCATGATCAGGCGAGTTCCAGACTAACGTACCAAGTGAAAATTTCTGGCCACAATTGCGATTACTCTCAATCCCGTTGAAGTGGTTGTACTCATTGGTGCGGGTGCTGTTGTTGGTGCCGCTGCTGCTGCTGAAGGTGCTGTCGCTTTTGATGCTAAAATTGCCGTGGGCATTGGATGTATTGCGTCTGCCTATTGGTGATACAGTTTCTGGTACTGGTATTGGCGTTGGCGCTGATATAGTCCCTATTGGCGGTATTGCATTGTAGCAATTAGTGGATGCGCAATCCTTCCTCTATCCGTGTGAAGGGTCGGTCTCACCTATATCAGACTCGTCCCCACTAGAATTACCCTCACTGGGACCAGAATTATCCTCATTAGGATCAGTACCAGCCGTATCAGAGCCGGAGCCAGGACTGACGCTCCCTTCGCCAGAGTTGGAACCCGCCCCGCCGGGATTAACTTCTTCATCAACACCAGGGCTAGAGTTATTTCCGCCAGGGGGGGTGCCTGTCCCGCCAGCCCCACCGGGGCCGGGGTTAGCGGCTCCCCCATCAACTTCGGAGCCAGACTCATTCCCATCAGAGTTAGACCCCATCCCGTCAGGGTTAGTTTCTTCTTCAACGCCGGGGGGAGTACCTGTCCCTTCAGATTTGGAGTCAGTCTCACCGGCGCCGGGGCCAGTAGTTCCTTCACCAACCTCGGAGCCAGACTCGTTCCCATCGGAGCTAGGACCCACCCCGCCAGAGCCAGAGCCGATACCATCTGGATTAGAGTCCGTCTCTGTGTCAGAGTCAGATCCGTCGGAGTCATCCCCAGGCGGCTTGGGCTGGACGTCGACTATAAGTCGATGACCGTAAATGGGAGGCGGCCCTCGCTCAAATCTGAGACGATTTTTAAGAATACCAATCTTCCTCTTTCCTTTCGGACCAGAAACTTTGGCCAGTATGAATGCAGTTCCACTATCGAACTGAGCATCCAAATATCCCCTTTTGTTTATGAATTCCATTTTGGGGTGATTATCAACCTCCAACCGATATTTACCTTGACGGATCAACTTGACATGTTTGGGAGGTATTAGCTGCTTTACTCGATATGATACCGGCTTCGACATGATGCTGAGATGTACGGTATCAACTCAAGGTGTTTTATTTTTATTGTATCTGAAAAGATTGTAATCAATGATAGATAAATTTTGGAATTGTAGATGTTGCTGTTGACGGAATTCATGAAATTTGAAAACAGCTTACAAGGCAAGGCTTAGGAATTCGGGAAAGTGCAACTTTGTAACATACTCATATCGACAGGAGATTCTATGTAATGGCTCCCAAACTTTCATGACGGCTACCCCGCTTTGGAAATAATTCTACCACTACCCCGCTTCGAAAACCGTTATACCGCTCTACCCGTCAATAAATTCCATATTTTATGCTGTATCCTCACAAACTTCGAATTCAAGTTGGTGTATTTGGTTGCAACCCGATATTCTATGATCCGGTATACGGTAGCGACCAGCTCGACCCAAAATTCATGTCGACTCTAGAAACACAAATCGAGGCCGTGACCATGACCAAGGTAACCTGCATCGGCCATATTGCTACAATTTATTCATAGCATTAACTACTTTGGATCTCGTGGTTGCCAACAATTGGCTGATCAGTTTTCTGAACATCGAATATGAGTTCGAAGTTAACAGAAGAACGCTTATGTTGTGTACAGACCAGCAAGGTAGTAATACTTAGGGTCCATGGTATATCCCGGTATGTTCAGGGAATCCAAAAAATAAACTTTTTCCTTACAGCCCCCTGTCTCAACAAGACCCCAAAATAGGATTGTCGCTACACCACCTTCATTGGTCGCCCATACATGCAGGGTTCTCGGTAATATCCATGATCTTATGTATACATGTAGTCTCATATGGTCATGTTTTCTTTTACTGTTCGCACAACATCCTATGCAAGGTTCGAAAGGCCCACAGTACCAGTGCTGCGCAAGTATCTTTGTTTCTGAGATGTAGAGGTAACTATATGCATAAATATGCAATCGCTCCACGGGTCCAGTACTGTATGTAGAGACTCCATATATGCGCGCATCTTTGAACGCAACGCTGGGCCTCAACTAATTTTTCTATTTCGATATGTGTGCAAAATTGGGTTGCAGGTATTTTTGCTTCTCCGCGGATGCAAAGCTAACCCAAATTGAATAAAATTATCCCGCAACCCCTATGCACGCAAAAATGTGACCTAACATCGATTCCAGACAAAGAGGTTTATTGGTGCGGCCACAAGTGCGGCCAGCTGTCAAAATCAAAATGTGACACAATTTCAATGTTGAAACTTGTGATAGAACTATAGCGCTAGCTCTTAATTGTCTGAAACCGTTAACCGAGTTATTAGTCCAAACACAAACTTGAAGGTTCGGCCCATGGACGGGAAACCTTTACCTTTCCGCAAGCCACCGAGCGCTCGAACCAACTTAATTCTTGGTTCTGCACCCAATGCAGATGTCATCTTCATTCTGTATCCGCACAGGGACAGTGGAAGATGCATATGTTCTCCTCATTCTGTATCTAGACATGTCGACAGTGGGAGATGCATATGTTCTCTTCATTCTGTATCCGCACATGGACAGCGAGAGATGCAATGACCAATCCAAGAAGTCTACTATCAGAATAATGAGACTTATCCAATTGGCCGACAGCCAGTAGGAAGACCATGGTGCAGTAACGTACATTTGGGGGTCAGATTTATGGTATTACAACGATCGGAACGGCATTTTTTGGCGAGCAGAATCTCAGTAAAACTGCAATCCGGACCGTTAACGTTATAACGCTCAGTTGAATTCAGTGTTAATTATTTGTCTCGATCTGTCTGAGCAATAAAAAAGGGATGCTTCATTGCTGGCAGTATGTACACCGTTCGAGACTCGCAAATCTTCGGATCGTGGGATATCTGATGGAAGCTATATTATTTCATCCTGCAAGCCAAGTGGTGGATGATACGCATATCTAAGTGGTTTACAGTGACCTCTGCCCTTCTCACTGCTACATCTTTTGAAGTAAACCTCCAATTATAGCAATATCAACATAGGAAACTCACTGATTTCAAATTCTTGTAGTTGGTCAACTACAGCTCTTACGCAACCGACACTCAGATATCTTCGGACTGCCACTGAATTCGGACGGAACTATGACGATGTCTTGAAAGAGACGGTCTTGTAAACGGTATCCAAGCGGAACAGATATCACATGCTATGTTGAAGTTAAACACCGTGAGCTCATGAGGTGTTAACATGATATCCATATCCTACGATGGATATTAGTCTCGTATTGGATGGATCATCTCTCATGAAAATTCTTTTATTTAAAGACAAGCTTCGAGACCCAAGATATTAAAATTTTTAGAAGTAGCACGTTCAACAGACGCCTCATCCAACAGCACTGTCTATTCCCAAAATTCGTCCTTTTTTTTTTTCAAATTCCCAGTCAAAATCTTGATAAATCGTGAGCGTCAGGCAATATACATATCATATACTTGTCTCAAACCAGACTCCGCAAAAAAAAAAATTCTTATACGTATGTATATATATATATATATATCCCCGCTCATCAATTTCGTTCCCGTAGTATATTAATATATCTGAACTAACTTAAACTAGCTGTTATAAACAGAAGTATCTTCAGCAAATACTATCTACCTAGACACAATGTCGTACAAAGTCGGAGAGCAAATTCCTCCACAGCACGTCAAATTGATCCGTCAAGGCCGCTACCGTCTACAAATCGACAACCAGCCTAACCTCAACACTGTTAACCAGGAAGGATACTTGGACGCACAACATGATAGTGGTAATGCGTTCATATTAGCCACAATCTCTGGGGGGCCAAACGGCAGCCGCAAAATTGGGATCCTCAATAATTGCCTGAGGTTCCAGCGGGGCCCACCACCAATTTACGGCCATCGACTTACGGTCAATGATTCAGAATCGGGCGGAGGCAGCTCGGGTGGTACAGACAAGGGTGGCGTTACAAACAGCCACAACAACAACACCACCAATAGCAACAACCCCGTCAACAGCCACAATACCACCCATACCAACAGCCACAACACCACCAACAACAACAACAGCAACAACACCACGAACAGCCACAACCCGGTCACTACCAACAGCCACAACCACACGAGTAACAGCCACAATAACAGCAACAACACCAACAATAGCCACAACACCACCAACAGCCACAACACCAATACCAACAGCAACAACACCACGAACACCAACAGTCACAACACCAACAGCTACAACACCACCAACAGCAACAATAACAACAACAACACAAACAGCAACAATCCCAATAGCAACAACAAGAATAGCAACAATGGCAGTAACTTCGGCCATATGCATAACAGCAACCTCGGCAATAACAGCAACTTTGGTACCAGCCAGGGCAGCAGCTTCGGTAACGTCGGTGGCAATAACCACTTTGTCGATAATGGCTCGCGCCCCTTTACTGGTTATTGAGCGGCCAGAGTCATAGAACCAGAAACTCAATTCGAGCTACTTCTGTCAAGGCTGACTTGACACCGAACCAAATCTGTCCTATCTTAAGGCTATCGAATTTTCTTTGGATATAAATTTTGAGGAATAGCCTCAAACTACACTCATTCCCCCTTTATCAGACGCTTTGCTTGTAACTTCTTTCATTAAAGTTTACTCAATAAAATCTTACTATTACTACTGCTCTCATTATCAACTATCCTAGCTCCACCGTAAGATACCTCCTTTGGTCTTGACACCTAGATTTCTAGCTTGGGTCACTAGTTATGACAAATACATGGTTTTTTGTGTACCCATATGCTAAGTTTTGACATAATTTTGATACCGGCGAGAGATATTCGCTCACATAGCACCTTTGGCTAGCTAGCGTATCTAGATCGATTGAAAACTGGGGCCCTCTTTGCTGCCTTTCTTATGTCGGGTCTCCGCACTCACGGTTGAGGAACTGCCGTAGAACTTGTGGATGAAATGAAATCTGTAGGACAACTAAGAATGCTTCATCTTCAGACATTCCTCTCATATCGATGATGCTGCATGCACGCAAGGATGGCAGATTGTAGTTTTTTGACCGCACCGTGCTATCGATATCATTTGACCGGCAGAAAACCGACAGAAGAAATGGTCTCCAACAACAGGCAGGTGCGGGGTAACGGTATCATTCTCTTAATAGCAAAGCGGATGTATTAAGCTGAGGAATGTAGTGAATCAAAGCGACAGCCACGTACGATACGTCCCCAATTCTTGCATAAATTTATATCCCGCAGATGTATTTTGTATCAGTTAGTACAAAGGTATCTCGCGCATAGTAGCCGGCAGGTATGAAAAACTTTCAAGTAAGTGCATAAGAGGTTGTCCCGTGCCCAAATCTGTAAGCACGGAAGGCTACAAAGTCGCAGCGAGCCGCCATAGCCAGGTGGCTTGCATAAAATAAGTCTGAAAATTGACTTTGCGGGGGGACACGATATCATTTGTAATATCATTTCGTCCTGATTTGAAGCGGAGGGAACACCAGAGTAAAGGGGAAAAGATCTAGAGAGAGAGGAGGAAGAGAAAAGAGGGGGGAGAGGAAAGAGGGGAGAGGAAAGAGGGGAGAAGGACTGGAAGGAGGGACATTAAAGCCCTCAACTCTCGTGCCCATTGTTTCTTAGACACACCGCATGGTATTCCAACCTTGATTCTACACGAAAACAAACTCGAAGAAAATGGACCCTCAAACGGACCAGAAGTCAGTCCTTGGAGAGATATTTCCCGCTCTTCAGGAACTACCGTGCGTAATTGACTACCTCCTCAAATGTGAGTTGTAGCGCCTTCCTAACTTTGAAGAATCGAATTTTAACTAGTGAACTCCAGCACCCTCAATTTTTCTCCTACCAGTTCTGCTCCCATATATTTATGGACTTGACGATTATTCAGGATCAATAACACCTCTGACTATCGCCTTATTGTGCGGTTATGTGTGTATCCAAAACGGCAGCAAAATAAATGGCAACGCTAGCACTCCTACCATACTCGTTCTCATCTATTTGGCCTTCGTCGGGGGGTTCTTGAAGCCCTTGGACAACGGCAATGACAATACTAGCGAAAAATTCCTTAAAAACACCTTCTTAGCTAGTAATACTGGGCGTTGTATAGCTCTCTATGTGATTTATCACTTGGTCGTCAATCCAAATGGTGGTGCTGTTGCGGCCAACAAAGCCACCCCTCTCCTAGTTGTATATGCTGCTTGGGCAGCGGGCTATATACAACTCCCGAATACCAGTCCGAATGACCCGAATACCAGTCCGACTGACAATGTTGAAAGCAATGGTAACGGTATTTCTATTCACCATGCCGGAATTCTCTTCATTTTCTATCTGGTCTGCGAAGGAAGCTTCCTTGGCCGGTTACCGATGGTCGATCCCAATGGTAGTAACAGCGGTACAGGCGTCATCAACCTTAGCATACAACCACCCTCCACAGGAGTTTCGGAATCTTTCAAGAGAGTCTCAATAAGCATTAGCTCCTACGGTAAAGGTAAGAGAAACCAGCAACACTGCTACCTGGGTTGTTTTACTGACCACAGTACAGTCGCTTTTCTGTTCGCTCTAGCATGTTATATGCCAATATACAACGGCCTCCCCCTACCTTTTCAACCTTGGCTTCATTGCCTACTTCTTGCTGCTTTGGTCGTCATAAGTGCCTTTGCATCAACACAGAAGTTCTATGGTCCTTTTAAATTCGCCCGCAACAAGCACCGCTTGCTCTTTGGTTATCTTTACAAACAGCTCGGTGACTGGTGGCTTTGTGGTGCTATTATGATATTCCATCTTCCCTCCACTATTCATGTCCCTCTCTTTGATCTTTCCCTCATCGTCATTTCCCTCGCCTGGATCAAGACCTATCATGATTACTGCAAAGAGCTACGAGTTATCGCTGGGAAAGCAACAGAAGAAGTATCCCGTGCTACGTTAGCGGAATCCGCAGGCCGTGAGTATGCATCTGCTGCTGAGCAATACCGAAAGCAAGTGATCGAAATAACGGCGGTCAGGCGGCGCGACGCATTGCTTGCAAATTCGGTTAGAATCACAGACTATTTTGACTGTACTGCAAAGGCTTGGGCGGCGTTAGATGAGGTTGTTAGACCCGCAAAGCGAGTAGTCAAAAGAGCAAAAGAATTAGTCAAGGTCTCCGAGGAGGCTGGGAACTCTGAGGATTCAGAGCAAGGAGGAGGCAAATTTGAAGATGCTGCCCTAATTTTAGGCGAAGTTGCCTCCGATGCGTTAACCAAAGCGAAGGAAATAGAGAAGCAGCTATCTGACGCTCAGCAAACCGTTCGGTGGTCTACAGCAGCCGTGGAGCAGGACAAGACCGCCCGAGAAAGCGCGAAAGCAAATGCTGATAGAGCTGTCTCCGCTGTTCAGAATCTCGACAACAAGATGACTCATTTGACCAGCACAGCTTTTGCAGCTGCAGAACAGGTTGTTCAAGTCAAAAGATTTGCGGACCAAGCTCTCGTTCTCGCAACTGATGGAGATATGGCATCTGCGCGCGCAAACGTGGGCTCTGCAAAAACTGCGGCTGATAGTGTTGTATCGTCTAAGATTGTACTCGAATCAATTAGAAATGATGCACGGGGGATTTTGCAAACTTTGGTTTTAATCGATTAAAGCTTGACAGAATATATTGGAGGAGTAAGGAGGTAGGGCGTCGCGACAATCACAATTGGGGAAGCCAGTTCTGGGAAAGATGAAATGGAAACTGTATTCAGATCAGTAATTTTTTATACTTAGCAAACTTGCGCAATATATATAAATTCACAGTTCTCAACATTGACCCGTCTAGCAAATTAACTAGAAAAGTATTAATACGACATCTTTCTTTAAGACAATCCAAGATTAGACAATAGGGGCATGCCTACTCTTAAGAGGTTACGTAGGACTCGATCGACTCCACCTGCCGATACATACCTTCTATATGCATGTGGTACTTGCATGTAGGGAATTAATTGTTGCATTTTGAGAATATTCCTCTTTCGGCCAAGTATCTTATCAATTTCAGCCAATCATACTCGAAAGATATTTATTCATACAGGGGCGCCCAGCATGGCTCCGCGCACGACGCGGGGTTACGTTACAATAAAATGATATACGGTTGCGCGGGGGCATCACAGTTCAGAAAAGTGGGACCTCCATTCTTCAATATACGTACCGTACCACCGGTACCGCGGTGGCCACCACCACAGTCCTGCCCCAATAATGGAACCAGCCGCTGAGTCAGCTTCAGCGCGCCCACCTCTTCTACAACTTCCTCAAGAACTCTACTCCGACATCATCGGGTATATTGGCTTAAACGACCGAGCCAGCTTATTGAGAGTCTGCAAATCTTTATACTATCTTACGTATTCATACTTATGGCGAACCATCGACTCAAATATTTATACTTTGGATCGACGCGAGATTTCCATTTTCACCTTGCAGATAAAAAATGTATCCAAACTTTCAGAAATCACTCAAGAGTTAGGAGCCGACGCTCTAGGATTCCGCCATATAAAGGAATTGAGATTTGGATCCGGTGACTTCGAAAACTATAGCCCTTGGGTTAAGATGGGCTTGTTGGATGTTGTCTGTGATCAAATTACTTCTAAAAAAATGGAAATCCTAAAAGTAAATTTGAACTGGGAGAGGTTTAGTAAGTGCACAAGAAACCCCGCAAAAATGGCTCTTGCATTAACCAGGCCTGGGTACTAAGTTCCAGTTGTAAAGGGTTTCACTAACGAACACATAGAACCAAACGACGAAGACTGCGTCATTAAATTCCTTGGGATTTTGAAGAACTATTCCGAGCTCAATATAAAACGGCCTTCCATCATAGCAGTTCAGAACGGGTTAGCTCTGACGTTCCCATTTCATCTATTTGCTTTGGAATGCTTTTCCAGTTTGAAAATCGGCCTCAATAATAGCCTATCTCTAATACCTCCAACCAGAGAATTAGTGAAGGATATACAGGTCCTGACCAAAGTTCTAGCTGGGGCAATTTCTCTCAAACATCTACGCGTCGAAGGGAACAGATTCTTGAATGACAGCCCGTGCCCGATCGGTCAACTGCAACCCCAACTATCGCAACTTCAAGATGCAATTACCAATCTAAAGCAGCTCAGTACCCTAGAACTCACGCTTATGTTATTTCATCCATCGTTTTTCATAGTTCCCCCTCAAAATGTCAAAAGACTACATCTTACGCCGATAGTCTCAGTGGCCTGGTGGCGTCAGTTTGCCCAATGTCCACTTCCAAACGTTGAGAAACTGGTGATATATCCTCATCACATGAGCCGAAAGTACATGGGCGAAGCGGCGACATGGTGGTCTAATACTGACCCAGAGGCAAATCAGGCCGATCCCGGTGACTTTTTATTCAAACTACACGATCTGGCGGTAGAAAGTTTGAAGATATTTGAAACAGATTGCTATTCATACTACTGTCCTGAGGATTTCTTAGAATTAGTAGTTCAAAGGAACCCAGGACTTGGAGAGAAACAGCGGCAGAAATATTTGGATATGCAAATAAAGTGGAAAGCCCATCCGAGGGACTTCTTCCTATATGGTGAAAAGACTAGATGGGATATAGACCCGAGAACTGGGCAACTAAAGCAGTAGTATTGCATATATAGTATTGATCGAAAAAACCCAAGAGTACTTACCAGCTCGATTTTCAGCAGCGCTGATCTCACATTCCGATAGAATTATTTCTCGTGGAATTTTGAAGTTTAACCTATTACCTAAGTTTTCGAACCTTTTTCATTCAGTTATAAATATTAATGTCCACGGAAGGCACATCTATAGCTACGTCCGTAACTAATATATTTAGTGGGTCGTATCACGTGATCCCAAAATTGTCGACAAGCGCAAGCTCGGTAGAGGTTGAATTCTAGAATCCGAATTAATATTCTCGCGAGTGTCATAACATTAAATTCTTCACCCGGATCCAACAAACCTCCAAACCCCTAAAAATGACCTCCAGAATCCCTTGGAACCTACTTCGCCTGACCCTATTCACCAAAAAAGACTGCAGTCTCTGCCAAACAGCATCTCTAAACGCTGTTAACTGGAGACTGGTAGAGACCGGTAACAAAGCCCAATACAAGTCAGTCGATATTTTCGGGCCTGGCAATGAAAAATGGCATGACGCTTATGTAAGAATCAAAAAAATATAAATCAGCGATCTAACTAGAAAATAAAACATTAGTTAGATCTTGAGCTGCGGATTTTGTTTTGTTTTTTGCTAACTAGGCTTTTTTTTTCTGTATGAATAGGTTTTTGATGTCCCCGTCGTAAGTAACCTTCCCAAAGTTTTGTAGAATGCCAGAGGCCCAATGATATATCCATAAGATATCGATCAATCAAATAAGTTTGAATACTAAAATGGATGACGAACAGCTACACATAGAAAACGAAAACGAACCTTCCAAAATTCTCAAGTTGATGCATAGATTCACAGAAGACGAAATAGGTGCAAAAGTACGAGAACTAGGGTTTGGTGATCCTCCCCTAAAAAGTGATTAAGGAAGCGAGGGAGGAAGTCAAGCTTCGGGGGAGACCTTGGATCTTGACAAAGTAGATCATTTTATCGTAGGACCCGGCACTTGGTTGATGTCGGAAACTTCCATAGAAAGATCTTCGCGAGAGGTAGAAGGGGGAAATAACAAGGCAATAAAGACGGATAAGAATAAGAAAAAAGGGCCCCAAAAAATAAGGCACATAATTGTATGCCCATATGAGCATATGGTGGTTGTATCAAAGGAGCAAGAGAAAGAAGGAGCTTTATCTGTATACATGTACACGCTACGAGGTCTTGTCATCCATAGAGAGAAACGCTGAAGACATCTAGAAGACGCAGCGCCGCCCTTTAATTACGAACTCTCAGCAAAACATATTTATGTATTTACATATACAATCCTTCCAAGCCTACCTACTCGACCGAGGAATTTAAACCTGGCCTACATAACTGAACACCCGAACCCGTACATAGCCTTTTCCACATCCTTTTTGATCTGGTACCAATCGCTCCGCCTTGTGACAAACTCATATACTTCTTCTACAGTAAATATTCCCTTAAACCTTGTTCCATCCGCAATAACTGCCGCCATTTGCTTAGCGTGTTGTGGGTCGATAAGATAGATTTGCACTAGTTCGCGCAAGGCGTTATAGTATTGTGTCAGGCCGGAGTTGCGAAGCTTGACAATGAACTGGGTGTAGTGGTTGATGTCGCTAGCAAAAATATTAGGATAGGCTTTCAGATGAATTATGCGGGAAGACGAACCTTATCAGAACGATAGCACCATCGATACTGATCCGCTGGATCTTAAGATGCTTGCAAATCGAAGACCATAATCTCATCCCGACTTCCTGGTTAAACACATCAAGGACATTCTTGTCCGTACTACCCACTAGAAGCTTCGTGTGAGAGGCGACTAAGGAAACAACTTTGCGCGCCGCCTCGCTGGGGCCGAGATCTGTCGGAAATCCAAGATCTCCAACTATGCCGGGATTGTAGTCTGTTGGTTTTTGCGTCTTCGCGAACACATAGTCGACTTCCTTGATCAAGACCTAGATTTTCTGTTAAACCTATTATCCCAGCTAGGGTTTTAGGGAAGACTCACGTCGATACCAGTATTCAACCCAGCTGCAACTCTCTCATCCAACATCTGCTCAAATCGCTTCTTCTCTTTAATTGCCGGGTTCAGGAAATCGTTCTTATCAGTAAGTTTGTGCGCAACTAGTTCTTGCTCATAGAAAACATCCAACATCTGCTGGATCAAATCACCAACATTGACGAGTTCCATGAATTGCACAAGCGGCTTTACGATCACTTGCTCATCTTCTTCAGCTGTAGAGAGTTCGCGTGGATTGTATTGCGAAAGGTGAGTGACTGCTTTGTCAAACCCAGATTTGACATGACGTTGACCCAAGATATTGATCAGGCAGATGAATATCTGCTCGCATTGTTCCTTGCTGTTGTCGCCAGCAAAGCAATATCAGTAGACCATTCTAAGAACTATGATACTTTTAAGTGGTCACTCACGCTTCTTCACCAATCCGGCCCTGAAATCTCACAAAACAGCCAGCTCGTTCCAGAGCAGTTTTAGCTTTATGCACAAGGTCAAGTGCAAGTTCGATACTAAACAAGGTTCGAATACCCTCCATACGAGTGTTAAGAATGGCAGCCTTAGCAGCAAGCTCGGTCGTCGGGGCAGTTTGTGGTTGGGGAGTAACCCGACCGTCAGATATTGGCGTCGGGGGTGCCGCGTTTTCAACAGCCTGACTATCTGTCACGTCTGGGGTTACTTCATAGGGGTTATCGGTAGGTGCATCTGATATAGACGGCGGGGCTACCGTTACTGCCGGTTTGGGCCTCATGAATGGATTCATTGGGAGAGGGAGAGGGAATGCAAGGTTAATTTGCTTCATAGGAGGCAATGGAATTGCGTTCACAGGCATCAAAATGACTTTCTTGAAAGACGCAAGGAAGTCGATTTTATCAGCCTGTCGGTTGATATTGCTGAGATAGAAGGATTCAGTGGCTGTATATTCATCTGTGATCTGTTACCAAAGTTAGTAGGTTTCGTATTTAGTCATTCGGCGCAATTATTGTACCTTTTTCTCCCAAGTTTCTACTTCTTCCTCACATAAGCGTCGAAAATGGTCGAGTTCCTCTTGCAGATAGGTATCATAGTGCGGTTCGAATATCCGAACGACTATTTTTGTAATATCATCCGTAAAATTCCTTTCAGATCCTTTGGCTGGGTGTATCGACTTCGAGAATTGAACCACACTAAAGTAAATATCGGTGATACATTTGAGATAAGACTCAATATCTCGATCATGGGTCTCTTCTAGAAGAGGGCTGATGTATTCGCCAATGACATCCTCCCCAATACGTTCTAAGAAGGGTATCATCACATCAACATCTGGTGGAAATATCCGATCAATTATCGAAGATTGCTCATTTACAGCCTCGCTAAGCAGCGTAAAGAATCGTCGAGCCGGTTCCATGGAGAGGTCTGCAGAATGAAGGTTCCTATCTTCCGGGTCAGTTCTAATCCTTCAAAAGGTATAGGATTTTAAAGAAGCTTACGTGAAGCAGTCCATCGGGTTCCCGAGTCTCTCTCGCTCAAACATCAAGTAGTGTTTAGCTACAAACAAGTCGATAGCCCCTTGTCCCCCATTGAGCAAAATTAGGACATTTGCATATCGTTTCATCCTTCCATCGTAGTCCGATTCTTCATAGCCACTGTTTCCGGTTAGAAAATTGTCCTTGTTGTAATCAAATCTCAATCGGAGCGTACCCTTCAAATTCTCGTAGAACTGCATTCTCGAAAATACTTGACATACTGTTCAATCTCGAGGACCTCTCTGCCCACCCTAAGGAACTGTCACTCTCACTGAAGACTCCAAGCTGCCTCAACATGACCGCTTGATCTTCTGGATTCCGGTACCGTCTGAAAACCACAGGGTCTGCATGATTCCTCGCACTCACAAGGTCGATATAGTAGGGCCAAAGTGCAGCATAGACCCTCCCGTACTCCTGCCTTGCAAACCCTCTTGCAGAACGCACATCCGAAAGAACAGTCAATGTCGGGTCCGATGTATCGACACCAACGAGCTTCGGCTTTTCTTTAACTGGCGCCTGAATATCTGATTGAGTACTCAAACCCATCAACTCCACATCCTGTGCCAATTTCGACACAGCGGCAGCGCTCCCATTAGCTTTTGCCTCATGTTCATTGACGTCAAACAGAGTATCCCCCATGCCAATGCTTTTTCTTGGTTCAACAGAAGCACCAATAGAAGCAGCTCTCCTCCGTCTTTCTTCGTCGGCAAATTTCGCCTGCGCAATTCGCTTCTTCTTTAAGGCGTCTTCGAACCGTCTCCGTGCCTCCCCTTCATTCCAAACACCCATGGCGACGAGCTTGTTTACCCAACGGCTGTCATCGTAAGCCATCTCCCTAAGTTTCTTCGATGCGCGAGCGCACCGCATGAGCGTTGATACCGGTACATAATCGAGGATTGTAGCGATGATTTCTAAAAGTTACACCTATTAGCCAGCCCGTAACCCATAGCAGGTATCAGAATGCGATCAAGGCTACACACCAACCGGCAGCGACGGTAGCGGTCTAACAACCAATTTGGTTGAGTGCAAGGATACCGGTACGCTCATTCGATTCTGGCCAGGAAACGGCGGCGGTAGCGACGTAGGTCGATCGCTGAATCTTTGATTGTTTTCCATATCTGGCGACGAGGTTCCGAGCTGAAACCGAGCTGAATGGAGCTATGATAGGTTACAGATACGAGCCGGGCCGTCTACACGTCGGACGTGATATGGCGGGGTAATAAGATAGGGATAAAGATGGAAAGATAGGAATACAATGTATCATAGTTTAAGACTTTGAACTTGAGGCCAGCGAGGCTGGTCCCCCTGGAGAGTAGGGAAATTTTATCGCTACGTAAGCGGCGGGTGGGTCGTAATATCTCAATATCTGGGGTGGGATTATGAAGTCCCGAAGCTGAGCCTGGCTTAGTTGTTCAGGGTAAGCTTGCCAATTTGCAGCACAAATGCGTTGCCAATGAAAATCACAGATCTTGAGGGCCGGTATAAGACGCTGCCTTGAGCCGGATTAATTTATTACTTCCGTAGGAAAAGACATTTTAGAAGCCGGCGGAACGGGGATGTTTAAATTAAAGGACTTCAATCACAGGTAGTGGTTTAATGATTACCCATATAGCGGTATACCCACCCGTTTGTAACGGTATATGCATGGCGTTCGAGTGGACCGCCGTCATATGCAAGAACGGGTCCTTCTAGCCTTTCTTTATACACCGTTCACGTCATTTCTCGGATAGGAGCACCAAGAGCGGCCTGGTATCGACTCAATAGTTGTAATTATTCCCGCGTATAAGATTACAAGTATCAAAAACGTGGATGGTAAGTTATATATGAGATAGGAAACTCTGTGATTATAGTATACACTTTGAAGCTGCCCTTCTGCTCTAGAATCAATACCCGCAATGCTAATTCTGCCCAAAGAATCCCCAAAAGAAAACAAAGTACAGTGTAAGATATCGTAAGAAGAATGAGATTCGGTGAAGCGAAAGATCTATCTGTGCTTCTTCGGGTCTTGCGCAACGGCGTCTTTCTCGAAGGCTGATGAAATAGTTAGTTATTTATCGGTAGGGGAAAGCTGCTTGAGAGAACTTACATGCATATGATACTTGAATAGAGCTCAAAAGGCCAAGTCCCTTGCTAGCGACGTAGAAAAGGAACAAGCCGAGCAGTATACCCCATAGAAGTGCTATAAATACTATTCTTAGCGACCAGGTTATGGATAACCAAAAAGCTTTAACTCATACCTGGTGTGAGGAACTGATAGTTCGACAGTAATCCTCCAACGCTCTTCTCTTCCTTATCATTCTCCTCAGGCTTGACGTCTCGGGACAAGAGACTTTGGTGTTCAACAAAACTTTGGTGTTCGTGTTCTTCCGGCTCGGGTTTTTTATCGTGGACGAAGAGCCTTGGATCCCCAAGTGGCGTCGAGACGTAGACGACGGTGTATCTCGCGCTCGGAATCATAGAAATGAGAGCAGAGAGGAAATTATCTACCACCAATTCTAGTTAATTATAAGCATACAATACGGTGGCTATCACTCGTAAACATACCATTCTGGCTATGTCCGTTCTTTCGTGCCTCGCCGTGTAGTGGTAGAACCGGGAAATCCAATTTAATAACTTGTGCCGTCGCGTTCTCATCGAAGCTGTTGAAAGAGCTCGCTACACTCAATTTATTAGGACACCATTCCGGTAATAGACTCGCAGGTCAGCCTTCAGTACTTACTGCTGGCATCCACCGTCACAGAGTGTGCCTGACACCTGCTCTTGACATAATCCTCAATTATGTTTAAATCGACCGTCCCAACTGCATCCATCACACCCAAGAACCTATTCGTTTCTGTAAATTTCCGAATTTGAGGGGCACTCTTGGGATCCCTGAAGTCGCTCTCGTGTATTCCCGGCTGTAGAACCAAAATATATGCGTCGGAAGTGCATTGTGAGATGGTTCTCTTGACGGCGTCGAGAAACTGTTCACCGGTCCCAAAACTCTGGAGCCCATCCTTCTGAATACTGTGTGGCAAGCTGTATATAATAATCAGGAACTGTTTTCTAGCAGAAATATAAGACCGGAAGCTTCTTACTTCTCCGTAGAATAAAGAAACAACGGCGATGTATTGGCAAAGGCGGAAACCAGCGGTGCCAGTGCCGCGGTCAGATAGAACCCCGTCCTCATATTGTCGTCTCAGCAGCTGTTCCCTTCTTTGTAATCTATCCTTCCTATCGTATACCGGCCCTCTTAGTGGTATGGTATATGTTGTCGAAAAGTCGCGGGAACGGGTGGAGCCGGGCAATCGAGGTTCGTGTTTTGCGATGATGTCGATGCTGCCAGCCACACAACAGGGGAGACGTCGCCGCCAAGCGTGTCCCCTTACTAACCTAACCTAACCCCGGAAACAATTCGACACCGAACACCGGAGATTTATACCCCTTGCGCGAGCGTCTTTATTTGTCGATTCAATCTTCGGATCTTACTCTTACATTCGAGATTCACGACTTTAAGTGATCCATTGATCAAATTCAGGGATTTCGAACTGCTTTGTTGAATACCGGACAAAGCTACAGCTTGCGAATCAGCCCACGTAATCACGATTGGCGAAGGCTAGGGCACACGACCACAATACAAAAGTTGTTTGAAACGTATTCCCAGCATCAAAATCTCTGGGCATTAGCTGGCCATTCCACCTCTCAACTTAGTAGCATAACATTCCGCGGACCGCGGGCACACCACGGGAATCGAATCTAGTTCATAAATACAGGGGATACGGTGTGCACAGGAGGACCGTGAGACGACAACTTCGACAGTATCCAGACTTGATGGAAGTTCCGAATCCAAGGACGAGACTAAAAAATGGGAGGTGAATTCGCTGAAGTCGAGCTCCAAGATGGGAAGCTACTGCTATGGCTTCCTCTGCCATATCGAGTCCTCATTCTCATCATTGCCGGTATAGTCGAGCTTCCTTATTGCTGTGATACAGTCTAGAAATACTAATTCTCTCTCGCCAGGTGTGTGGGCATGGGGACTCAATCTACAATACCTATATAGTCTTCGAATAGACGTAGCCGGCCTGATCAAATATACTCGAGGAGCACCGGATATACCTATGCACACGTCGGTGTACCGAGTAGCATCCATACTCAGTGCTATGCTGGCGGTGAATCTGATGATATTTTGGCGGTACACATCAGTCGATACGGAGTCGGTTAGGAAATGGGAGATGCTTCCGGGCCTATTGTTACTCGGAATTTTGATAACTTTCGTTCTGCCGATTAACATTCTCCACAGGGAAGGTCGATATCGGCTTCTCAAGTACGAAATAACCATTATCCCGAATTCACTGTTTATGAAGCTAATGTAAAACGTTAATTTAGGAATTTCCGTCGTATTGCATTCGGCTACATCGATCGCGAGCAACGTTTCTCCGACCTCCTCCTTGCTGATGTCCTCACATCATACGCCAAGGTGCTCGGGGATCTATGGATATGCAGCTGTATGTTCTTTACGGGAATATCTTCAACATCCATGCCGGAACGACAATGCGGTGGAACATACATGTTACCTATCATCATCGCTATTCCATCTGCCATTCGACTTCGACAATGCCTTATCGAGTACGGAAGGAACATTGGTCGCCCTGCATCTGAACGAAAGCCACACATGTACAATGCTATGAAATACGCCAGTGCATTCCCTGTTATCCTTTTTAGCGCATTGCAGAAAGACACGGATGCCGGTAGCAATGGCCTCACTGGGGAAACTGCATTATATAGATTTTGGCTTCTCTCTGTTCTCGTAAACTCCAGTTTTTCATTTTACTGGGACGTTGCTAGGGATTGGGATCTGTCACTCTTTTCGGCGGCTCGCTCAAATCCTGAACATCCATTCGGACTTCGCCAAGTTATGATATTCCCTGTTCCCAGCGTGTACTATGCTGCGATCTTCCTCGATGGACTATTGAGGTATGTTAAGACACCAACTCTTACTTTAATGAATATCTTATTAATTAATTCTCTCTTAGGTTGACATGGTCACTCAAACTATCCCCCCATCTTGATCGATACGGCGACCTCGAACTCGGCGTTTTCATTCTACAGTTCCTTGAAATCTTTCGCCGCTGGCTATGGATCTTCTTCCGTGTCGAAACCGAATGGACAAGAACGGAAACAAGAATGGGCGGCGATATCCTACTTGGGGAGTACCCATACAAAAGTGATTCCGACTAATCTACACATTATCATGTTCCACCTACAATGGAACCAATAGCGACCTGCTGGGTGCTTTTGACTTGAGCAATTTTAAAATTCAATGAAAAGGGGGGAATTTCTTGCACATATTTTTGCTATGTTAACGAACCTGAATTAATAATTGGAGTTTCTCGGGTACTCATTAATCTCTTAATCATATTTTCATTTGTATCATATCATATATTCTTTCGATAGTACTTCTGCTCGCCATGCATAAACCTTCGGGTATCAAAATGCTTTTGTTCTTCAAATGTACAAAGTTCTCTTTCCAATATCTTACAAACTCAAAGCACCATGCTTTTAATACCCTTTTAGATCTGATATAAGTTTATAAATCCCCATCTACTTCGCCGTTCTCTCCGTCTTCTTCCGACTCCTCCTAACCTTATCTCTCATCCTATCATCCTTCCTCTCAGATTTAGACAGGTATCTAAACTTCTTTTTCTTCTGCTTTGGTTTCCTCTCCTTCCCTTTCTTATCCTTTGCCCCCTCTTTCGATTTATTCGTATCTGTGGTATTCTTTTCGTCTCCAGCTGGTCCCTCTTCCCCTTCTTCATTTTCTTCGTCCTCATCTTCATCGTCGTCCATAGTCGTAACTGTAACCGTCGTAAACTTTTCTTCGTCTACGAATTCCGATTCTTCGTTTATACCGCTCGCAGCCTCGGTACCGCCCTCACCCTCGTTATCAGTCCCACTACCTTCTTCCTCATCTTCTTCTTCACCGTCACTCCTATTCAACCCCAAACTCTGGTTTACAGCCTCAACATGTAATCTTAACTCCTCTTTCCTCGCTTCTCGTAACTATAAATAATCAATTCAACCCCGTTCGTCAGTCCCAGTCCTCTTTAACAAATTAAAAAAAAAAAAGTATTATTAAAAGAATCCAACATACCCTCTTCCTTTCTTCAACTCTTTCCTGCCTACTCCTTTTCTCCGCCTCCTCTTGAGCAGCTTTTATACGCGCAACTTTTCGTTTATGAAAACCTGTAAGGTACTCTGTTCTTGCACTGCGATCAAATGTGATTTCATCGATTTGATTGTCCTTTTTGTCGTCGCGTTTTCGCTTTTTGGAGGCTAGTGACGGGGCGCCGGGTTTGGAGTATGGTTTTGGCATTTTGGGAGGGTTAGGATGAGATGGGATTGGACGGAGATGTCCTGTCGAGGGATATCGTGATTGGTACGTATTGAAAGATTGTGAGTTATTGCATTGAAGACTTCGGCGACGGGAAAAGGTTCTTGAATATTGGAATTTCTTGTCGGTTAGATGCCTGGTTTGGGACATTTCTGCCAAGGCTACAGTACTAAAATGGCTTAGTGTACTTCTCCAAACTACAACACCAAACACATTATCATGGCTCTTTGCTTCAGCCAGGTGCCAGTAGACTACAGGATTGCTAGTACCCAAGGTCAGCTCAACTGAGTCTGCGTGAGCCTCCATCGCTCTGATATAGAATCCATATTAAGCGTTACCCCCGATCTAGCATGTCACATGACAGTTTTGAAGCTGAAAACTTCTATTTTGATGGAATATTCCGGATATTAAGGCTGTGACGGTCTGTCACTCCGGACGCCTTGATCCGTCACTCAGTCTGGGGAGTGAAGCTCACTTATAACCTCCTCATACCTCTGATTATAAAATCCCTACTATCCCCCCTCCATTCTACATCAAACTTACAATAAGCTATCGAGCTAAGGTCATCAGCATATCTTTCATTCACCCATTACCACTAAAAGTACACAAAGCCCTCAGCGGGCATCCAGGATGACGACAAATATTATCGAGCTATTATAAGAATATCGATTTACCCCTCCCTCCAATCGCTTTTATTTATCTCATAACACCAACCCGACCCAGAAACTCCAAGCACATCATTGCAAAAAAGAAGAAGTGTGGCGTCAAGCAGAACCACTAAAGGCTTCCTCAGCCCCAGCTTATAATCTGCTGCTTCTTCTTGCCCTTTCCTTTCACCCCCATGATCATAAGATCGGGGGGCCCACTTTCACCGCCCCCACTGCCACTCGCGCCCCCATTCGAGGCACCCCAGACACTGGCTGGGGCCGTCCCTTCGTTCTTTCTGGGAACGGGGGCATACTTTGGTGGCGCCTTGGGCAGACTTGGGAATTCTGCCGAGCTTACCACCGCCGCGGAAGATCCTGCTTTTCCTCTTCCAGCTGCCGCAGCTCGGGAGGATCCAGAACCCGTATTCCTGACCGCACTAGCCCACGGCGAACTCCCACCAGTGACGGGCGCCTTGCCCTTTCCAGCAACCGTAACAGCCGCTCCAGGAACAATTCTCCCTCCTCCATTGATATCTGCCAAGCTACCACCGCCACGTTCGATAGTGCTGCTAGTAACAGCACTCCAAGGGCTAGCACCGGCTCTGAGATTCCTGTTCGTCGCGCTCTTAAGTTTCAGGACTCGCGCACCTCCTGCACCAGCAGCGGCAGCGCCACTGCTATTACCCGGCATAGGCGGATAATCTTCGTTCACACTCTTCCATTCATTCCACGCCTCAAGCAACCTTCGTCGCTTCTCCTCTTTCTCAAATAGCTCGCTCAGTTCTCGAAGCAGAGTCGCTAAATCCGCAGCCACTTGAACGTTGAACAGGACCCAGAACGCTTCGATCAAATCACGGGCAGACATCTGGTCTGAGTTGTACGATGATATGTACTTCTTGAAGGTCTCAAGCTTGGATGAGTCGCCATTGAGGAGGCGAGTGGCGCGGCCGACGACCTGCTCGTGCTTTTGAGCGGTCGAAGTTGGAATATTTGCCGGGGCGGAAAACTGTGCAGCCTGCGTGACTGGAGCCGAGCGAGCTGGGGCTGATCGGGCCGGTGCCTGGGCCGGTGCCTGGACCGGTTGAGATGAGATACTCAAGGCGCCCAAAGGTGGGAAGGCTTCCTCTTGTCGGGCAGGTGCTCGAACTGGTTGACTGACCGGTGGTCCAGTCTGTGCCGGCCTTGCGGCGGCGGGAGCTGGGGCTGGGGCAGGAGGCGGTTGGGGTGGTCTTGTCAATTGCCCACCAAACATCCTAGGCGGAAGGGTGTTCTGTGCCGTCTGAACCGCCAAGGTTCGATGGTAGGCAATCTCATCTCTTCTCATAGGTCCATCCGGTGGAGGCGGCTCCGGCGCTTGTGGGTCCCGTCTATAATCTCTCTGCATCCTGCCGCCCCTCCCTCTGCTTGTCGACCCTCCGCCATGAGCGTGTGTATTGCCAAAAGCTGACATATCAACCTTTCTCATATCCTTCAAAGCTCCCTTGGACAATCCCTGCGGATGCTCTTCTACCACATGGGCCTTCAAATCCATTTCACTTGCGAATACAATGAACTTCTTCTCCAAACATTCGGCGTCTGTACACCTATAATGATCCTCTTTAAAGTGCACCTCCAAAGCCTCCCAATTAAGAAAGTAGTTGGGTCTCCCCCCGCTTTCTCTATCGCAAATGAAACACCGTTCGTGGGCCTCCTTACAATGGTTATAGAGCTCATCATCGCCATAAAATCGTTTGTGACAAAAACCACACTCCGGGTGTCCCTTGAAGCCACTCTGGTCCTCGGTACCAGGCACATCATCACCTTGTCGCTCGTGTTTCCGGAGTTCAGGATACGTAAAAAGTGTGTGTTCGTGCGTGAACACCTTTTTGAATCTAGTACACAAATCGCACAGAACCAATTTGTGGGTATTACGGACGTGTCGGTGAAGATCAGGCCAGCCGAGGCAGGCAACATCGCAATTCGGTTCCGGGCAGTTATATCGGAGCAAAACAAGTGTATCCGCCCGAACCTGCTTCCCTTCATACTTAATACCTAATGTTTCATCGGTTGCGGCTATGTCGCTAGAGGAGTATTCTTCGAAGGCTTTTGTGGCATTGGTTGTAAATATAACATAATCCGAATTTGTCTATTGAACAATTTGGGTTAGCGAGTTCTAGAGGGGCGAGAGCCAAGTTGAACATACCCTGCAATGTGGACATTGTTTAGTCTTGTACAAGGCTCGCATTCGCAATGCACAGATGTGGCAGGTCATGTGATTGCAAGGAGCGATTGAATGGTACTGGACCGGATTAGCACAGATAAAGCAGATTTCCTCATTATCGGTGCTTGTAGGTGATGGAGGCTCCTTCCCGTCATTCGCAATGATACCGGTCGAATTCTGCTCGGCGGGGGCATCGGAAGGAGCGTCTGTAGATATAGCGGTTGCAGTTACGTCGATCTGTGAAACTGTTGGTTGGTGGTGATTTCCTCTGTCTCCTCTAGATTGCCCGCCTCGGGCAGCACCGCCTCGACCTCTTCCGCCTCGGTTGCTTCGCTCGTTTCTTTGTTCTGGTCCAGAATTCGCATTTTCGTTGCCTCCTCGGCCGCGACGGTTTCCACCACCTCGGCCTCGACCACGATAACCTCCTCGATCTCCACGAGTACCGCGTTCACCCCGTTCACCTCTCGGTTCTGGGTTGCTGGGAGCTGCTTGGTCCGCCATTGTGCTAGTAGATTCTGCGGTGATGTAGGGGAAATCGTTGGTTTGAAAACGAATTGCTATTGTCAAATGGATTGACTATTGCCTAGACGTTAAGAACAAAAAATATTTCTGGGTATGTTGGAGCTCAGCTAGCTGTTGTGGGACGGTTGTACTGATCGTTAAATTTAGATTCGAAAGTAGAAGCAAAGAAAGAAAGAAAAAAAGGTACAGAACCCCGGAATTTATAGGATGCCGAGAGTAAGGGACGTATTTAAGAGCGCTTATCGAGCTGAATTGATGAATTGGCTATGATGCGAGTTCGAGTCATAAAAAGTGAGGTTGATGAAGACGGAAGGTGGGTTATGTGGGGGGATGGACAAAGTGAAAAAGGTGCGGGATATAAAATTACTAAGTCCAGCATGTTGTAGTCATCCCGCTAGTTAACCCAGCCCTGCAACACGTTCCATCCGAATTAACTGACACATACACCCAAATTTATACATCCGCTCGAGTCTACCGGCATAGTGGTTCGGGAACTAGACTATATTTGCATCTGTACCAATGGGTTAGAATGCTTATACTGTCACTTGGCTTTGTAAGATTTGTACCATGTATAATAAGCTCGAGCAGCTGCATCAGCTCTGTATTACACAAAAAATGTTTGTCACGGCTGACGTCAGTTTGTGATTAGTGCTGGCAACGCAAACATCTGTTGCATTTTATCCTGTCGACTGACCAGGAGAACTATCTCGAGGCTACTAGAACTCAGTAACATTTTACAAGATAAAGACGACGAAGAATATTGGCCTCTCAAAACTTAAAACAGAGTCTGATATGGTGTGCATTTTCTTGTCAGTATCAAATTAATGGTCCTAAGCGATACTATAGTATTACTAGTAGCTACTATAGCATTTTATCGACCCGGTGCATATGGTCTTAAATTAAGACACACATGACATGACTGTGCATAAAACTCTTAATTTAAGACTTTATTCCATAGCCATGTTTTCCCCTCCAAACGCATTTTTTCCGGCCTCTAACTATCGATCTGGATACCTCTTTAGTTCGCTCCTCATCTTTCTGCAATATTGTACCTTTTTAAAGAATATAAACAAAGGGGCAGAAAAATAAACTAAATTGATGCTAAAAAGGAGATTATGGGTGGAAGTATTGCAACTTACAAAGCTCATGATCAAGAAAGTAGCTGGCGAGGTAGATTATAGATATTTTTATCAATTGCCTCCGAAATTCAAATTCAATATTGCTAGTACTATATATAAACCATTCAAACAGACGCTACCTAATTAAATATTAAACATGTACTGTGTGTATTATCAAATCATGTACGCACTAGACCCTGAACACCGCGCTACCTGATCATTACCGCAAAATCATAAAATAAACCATACAACCCCCCTATATATCTAGAAATTAGAATATTACCTGACCTTTTTACTGATTGGAACGGCAGGTGCATGGTCAGAAGAAGAACTCGGTTCTCCAGAAGTAGAGCTGGATCCCCACCCAAAAGTCGGCAAACTGCGAGGCAAAGCCGGTATAGAAGGTAAACCCTTTGGCAAAGAAGGTAAATAAGCCATAACATTACTAACCAATCCATACGCTCCTCCCGGCTCCATCGCTCTCCCCTTATCGATCCCGAATTCCACCTCTAATATCCTCCCACTCGGATGTGTAAGTACCACCACATTGGTTTTCACAACATCCGCGATTCTCGCATGGTAATTCCCAGGAATCCACATGACTTTTTCATCGCCCCTCACCACCCATCCGTTCTTAATTTCCATGTCCACTATTAATTCCCATACTCTCATTCCCATTTCTTTCGATATTGTTATCAACCGATCACCAGATGGTAGGAAGGCAGCAGCAAGTGTAGTCTCCCCGTAAATCTGGTTAAGCCTCCAAAAAGATTGAATGCACCTTCCAGTCTCGGAATCGAATATTTGAATCCCTCCTTTGTCTTGAATAGCCGCAATTCTTTTACCATTCGGTGAGATAACCACTGTGGTTCTCTTCTTTCTAGACTCCGAGCATTCTAACACCACCTGCCCTTCCTTTGTCCCCAGTGGGCGGATATAAACACCAAAACCCTTCGCCCAAATCACCACTCTCTTCTTCTCGCCATCCAAAATTTTCATGCTCCCTTCTTCGAGAAATCTTTGGGCCCAGCCCAAAGTAAGTCGTTCACCCTCAAAAACGTAGTCCTTTTTACAGACTTTTATATCACTGTCGTAATCTATAACCGCTAGTGCCGTTGAATCGGTGCTTACGAAGGCCATGTCCAATATGTCGCCCGAATCTAGCTGATTCCAAACCTCTACTCCAGTTTTTATACTTCGCAGCGAAACGTTTGTTTTAGAGCAAAGAAATGCCATGAGTTCCCCGTCCGGTGAGAATAACATTTCAAGATGTTGATTTTTTTTGGGAGGGTTGTAGGTGGCCTTGAACGTGGCTTTGGAATTATTCGTAACATCCGAAATATTCCAAAGTGTGACTTTTGTCGGATCCGTTATCAAAGCCACAGTATGGTCTTCGTATATCTTTGGTGAGAAGTAGATTTCGTAGACTTTCTTCTGGCCGTGTTCTAGTATAATGCCGTCCCATTTCTTTGTTAGGTCTCTAACGATAACTATCGGCGAGTCCGGAAGACTATATGCGACCAGGCGTAGATCATGCGAAAATACAACTTTCTGTTTACTGTTCGTTCCGGGCTTCACAACCATTAGAAGGTCATTGTATCCTTCTGCAAGTGTTTTGGTAGTGTCATCTTGGTTCTGTGAGTCGTAAATGTCGACCTTGGCAGATAGTTTCGGTGTAGATGGTGATACTGAACTCTCTTTGAACTCGAAAAACCTCCAGAGATAGTATACTTGTAGCGGCGTTTTTGCAATCACATCCCCATATCGCTTTAGGAACTTCTCTAGGTTCTTTATTTTTTCCGCCATCGCCGGTGGAAGGCTTTCCATCCTTTTTTTCTAAATACATTTTCACCACAGGTTAGCTAAAATCCTAAAATTAGAAAAGCGGAATATATTCCCACTTACAGCAGCGGCATTAGTCCTCAGAAACTTTGTCATACTAATAATCCGGTTTAACTCATCAGCCCCTAGGAGGCCAATAAGTTCAATCCAATGCAACCAGTGCTCCTCCAGGAATATCCCCAATTCGCCCAACGGAAGTTCCGCCTTCGCATACATAAAATGGGTAAGCCACTGATGGTACGCAAACCGCAAAGAGGGACGGATGCATTTTACTCTATCATCCATTGCAATCTCTGCCCTCGGGGTCCCGTACATCTTGATCTTGCAAATGTCTTCCACCAATACATTATTCATAAGGACAAAGAGCCTTTGTAGCATATCGGAAAGAATGATAGGCTCCTTAGACGAAAAGTAATGGTGTGAGACCGCCGGTGATCTCGAATTCCGACAAATAATAGGGCATAGTAAACCATTTGCGATTTTTACCTCGGAATCCAAATCTTTCGTGGGGATGAACACCGAGGTTGCTGAATTTATTAGCTGCAGTACTTCAGTCGCCTCGATGCCGTAAATGTCTGATATTATCGAGGATGAGATCGTGTGTTGAAGGTAGCATGCAGATGCGAACTGCAGTATCTGTCGATACTTTACTTTTTTGTCTTCGTCCTCAGCAACATCCTTACGCAAGAGTAATTTATCGAGAAGAAGCAGGCATTCTTCTTGTCTCAGGGACATAGCCGTAGCATCGAGTCTAAAAACCCGAGGTCGTAGGTATTCCGTAATTTTAGAGAGATTGTACCCAGGCGTCAAATCCTCATAAGTCTTAGCCTTCTCGGTGTTTCCAGACTTTGTATAATTCTCCTTCAACATCCAGTAACATATATTCATCTCCTCAAGGAAATTGTGGTCGCGTGCGAACTTGGAGCCCTGGATGAACCACGCCTTAGATACCTTGTCGTCTCCCCGTTTCGTGGCAAGAATTCCTTGAAAAATCATATATTCTGTTCGAAGCTTCCTTTGTAGATCGATATCTGAATCAATCTCTTCATTATTGCTTGGAAGGCGTCTTATATTCTCGTGCGGTACATCTGCGTGTAAACCTAGCCGAACAAGCTCGAGATACCATTGGAGAGGGGCTCTCCCTTTCCGCTCCTCTACTGAACTGATGAGACCGTCGAGCGAGCTAAAAGCGATATCCCACTGCTGCTTCTCAACCGCAGTAGCGATGTTGAGTTTTTGAAGGATGAGGGCATCAAATTCTTGCTGCTGGGAGATTATTCTACTATTTGCAATCACGAAGGAGTCATCTGAAGCGTCTGACTTATTCCCATCATCATCATCATCTTCTTCTTCTTCTTCCTCGTTGGATGGCCCCCACATCGTCTCCGTTTTGTGGGTGACATTGGTAGACTCTGTTTCGGTTTGAATTCTCGATAAGGGTAAGCGATGAGAAGGATACGAGTGCTCTGAATCCAAGTGCTCTTTTGGCGGTACGGGCGGTGCAGGATTTGATCGTTGAGATGGCGAAGGAGATGGTGGAGCTCCTTGAAAATTTGGCAGCGGCGTCTCGGAAACTGGGACTGTTGAAAGTGGCGGAGGAGGAGGTACAGGTAGCTCTGGAAGTCGACCTTCAGCATTCTCATATCCTTGGGCCTCGAATACCCTCCCTTGCCTCCTCCAGGCTTGATTTTCGAAATAACCATCCCTCCCCCTCTCCAAACTTGACTTCCTAACTTCACTATTCTCCTGCCCTTCAACCCCCCTAGTGGTAACGAAAGTCTCTGACATCCTTCTAGGGTCGCCCAAATGAACATCCTCAACCGCTACATTCTCTACATAAGTAGCGATCGGCTTGACTATGTGTACCGTTGAAATTGTCGCATTTTCATTGTAATGGTACGGTGGCGGCGCATCTTCCTCAAGTCCTGAGTTACCAGATCCTGGGGTAGGCTTCCACCGGCTCATTCGTTTAAATATTTTAAACGCCATGGGTGCAGGTTAGGCAAGTAAGTATACATGTGCCTGTCTGATCGATCGGGTAGTCGTTAATATAACGTTAGAACCGGGATTAACGTTGACGTCAATTATCGGGGTTGATCCTAGTCTTTAGTCGCTCTGTCGTCTTATCTTAAAGAAGCGAAATATGAGTAAAACGATAAACTATACTATAGATGTGATATTAACAAGATGGTACCTTTGGGTCTCAAAGATGATGGCTTCCGTGTAGGGTGAAATCCGCATTAATAAATACTGGGTAAGTTTTCCCCATGGCACCGATCCTATCGCATCGATTTGAGAGTATGTGAACGTGGTAGTAGCATGACAGATGGCCTCATTTTATTTTTCCTTGAAAACCTTCGGCCTTTTGCTTAGGTGCCTCACCTCATCTCTTCTTCTCCGCACGAGGCTGCAGGATTTCGATGTTCGCGCGAGCAAATCTATTGGCTGGTGTTGAGGAGGCGCATATGCGGCTGATAAGAAAGCTTCGGCACAAGTATCAGGCTACAATCTTCCTAGTTAAAGGTCATTCAATTCCTCAAAACAAATCTCTCCCCCAAAAAGATATTGGTTCGAGGCTCCAGGAGTTGCACACAGGACGGACCTATAATCAGTAAAGATGAAGAAATAGATATATTTTAATGTACATACATGCCAAATCGACTCAATTCTACCACAAGGAAGGAAGGAAATAAAGACCAAGGAAGAAGACATCACTAGAAAGCCAGGGTGGAAAAAAATAAAGCGATGATATGATATGGGCATCCCGATTATCGATTAAACTCTTTTCTGAACTCCCAGCATTTTGCATTTTGCATTGTTGCACCCTGAACACCAAAGATTTTGAGCGTGTCTGCCAAAGAAAGAACAACCATAATGATGACAAAGAAAGAAAATATGATCCTAAAAAGCGGACAATGGGGAGCGATAGATGGGAGGGGTTCTCAGTATTGCAGTCCCAAGCATAACCGAAGGTCCAAACATGTACTTGTATGACTTTACCACATATATGAGCCTATATAATTAGTAAATCACGAAGCTTCTGACTCTAAGCTAGACGGTGAGCCTTGGTGGCTAAAAGCCGCCGAAACAGGCGACGATGCAAAGTCCTCGCTCTTGATATCTTCGGTCTTCACGTCAGCAATATTGTCCGCTTTATTCATAGGATATAAGTGCCCGCTCAAGATCTTGTTCATTGTGAACATATGTACCTTGGCGGTCGGGAAAACAGTTCGAAGGTTTTCGTCGCAGATGATGTAGCGTTTGTCGTTTTGATCTTGGAGATCGTTTTGTTTTATATAGGCCCAGATACGCTTTACTGTTTCTGGGCGTGATAGTTGTGTTTCACCAAGAAGAGTAGATAGCTGTGGCGAAAGGATGAGAGGTTGCTATGCTCGATGTTAGCTATACTCATGCTCTAGACTGGTATCACCAAGCTTGAGAGTTTGACTTACGTGGAACGGATTGTTTGCATTGATCTTCCGCTTCTTCTTCTTTTCTCCACCTTCCTCGACACCGGAATCGTCGGAAATGGTGGCACTACTCTTCTTCTTCTTCCTCGGGGCAACAACTTTACGTTTGACAGCCGTAGATCTAGAAGGACGGTCCTGTGAGTTCCATTCGGCTTGCATTTTGGCAGCTAAACGAGCGTCATTTTCCAACGACGACGGGCTAGCTACTGACTTGCGCTTTTTGGACGGAGAGGCTCCGGGATCTTCTTTCTTAACAGCGTCATAACCATTTGTCTCTTGTTTGACAGGTTGGACATTTTCCGGGCCGGTTTCTTCTAGGATCTCGTCAAAGCGCTTTCGGATGAGGTCTGAGATTTCGGCCTAGATAATCTTATTAGCTCATCACAAGGATACTTATATGATAGGGTAAAACGAAGAACCTTCTGGTCGGTGATGTCGTAACCAAGCTCCTTCTGAAGAGCTTTACGGACATCCTTAGACGAGATGGAGGCTAAATCGCCAGCCTTTAGAATCCTGTCGATGATTGGAGTATATAGAACCTCGTCGAACTCCATGTCTTCTGATTCGACTTGTTTCTTGACGTCCGATTCAGGTCTTCTTCTTGCACGCTTCACTGTATGGTTTTTGGTGGTCGCAGTAGTATTGGTAGTAGTAGCAAGAGAGCGAGCGAAGATGGCGATTTGCAGATAGGTCCTGGAATTTGTAGGAGAACGGTTACCACTATGGTAGCAGAGCAGGAGCTGTGGGGTGGTAGAGAGCTGGCAATTGTTGACGGCGGTGCTACGGCTTTGAGCTCCAGAGCAGAAACGACGGCTGCATGAAGACAAGGCTCTCCCGCCAGTAGCAGCTCGGCAGAACGAGCGGGAGAGGGATCCGGCAATCGATATTAAAAACAGTTTGCTTGAATGCGAATACTACAGCTGCAGGTCGGCCGGGTTCGTCCTTGTCTTTGTTTGTGGTGGAGATGCTGCCAATTGCGGAGTCTTTCTCTTTGGTGAACTGGTGATTGTAGTTTTTTTGTGTACGTGCGTTCGGTGCAGAATTTCTGATGCAAAGTACCTGCGGGCAGACCTTCCGAGACTAGACAGGGCACGCCACGGACAGCAAACAAGAGCAGAGCCGCACCAGAGCCAACTAGGAAATACTCTAGATACTTCGGGAAGCCAAAATTTAGGTCCGGGGAAGGAGGTCTAAATTTTTTTTCGCGTCAAGAGATCGCGACTCTTGGAAATTTTTGGCCGGGATGCGATGAGAAGAGATCGGGCCAGGTATATGCAGGCTTGTCGTTCGTTCGGATAGTTTGAACCGTGGCCTAACAAAGCAAAGACAAAAAAAGAAGCGCAACTGCAAAGAAGCAATATGAAGTCGGCACAGTGCTGCGCTGCACCGATCAAAGAACGAGAATTAAATTTAATAGACGAAATAGTACCAACAAACAAACAGGACAGACACGAATTGGAAGCAAAGCAAACTTAGTATTCAAAGAATGACTATTGTTTTTTTTTCATATATAATGCATGAACGAGAGTGAATGGGGTGTGTGTGAGAGAGTGTGTGAGAAAGGGAGGGAAGAGAGTAAGCTAGTAAGTGAAAGAGACAACGATCAATTACAAGATCGTACAGAGGACAGAACTAACCCCTTCGGACAGTATTGTCCTACCCCAGACCGAGATAACCGTTAAAGGCCGTGGATTATCGGGAGAGACCAGTTGGGAATATCCGGAATACAACTATTTATGGGACCGAGAGCTCGAGGGGAGGGGAATTCGGAAAGAGAAGAAGTTAGGCTTCGTATCATATATAAGTACTTACTTAGGTACGTATATATACTGATACAGCAAGAGAGGAGAGTCCAGTTAGATGCTGTCCGAAGGAGACTGATTAAAGGAATGCTAATGTAAGCCGGTACATATGCTGCATTGCTCTGGTAAGCAGGTTGAGATCGCGCTCGTGGCACAATCAATCACGCTGCCCTGCAAATGCCAATGCAGAATGTACTTACATACATTGCATCGACCAGCATCTTCTTCTTCAAGTACAGGCTTAAGCTTAAAGCACGATGATGTGGAAGAGCTGATGCCATCCATTTGCATCCCGGTCCGCCGCATGTGCCAGGGGGTTAACGGTCTGGCTGGGCGCCACGTGAGACATCTGCCCTGCTCCACCATCCCTGGGCTGGGCTGGCCTGGTGGGGACTTTTGCTTTGCGGAGATAGCATCGATATCATGACCCATTTACGGCATCCGCTGGCATAACTAATATGCTATGACCATCAAGGTCGTAGTCATTTCAAGATAAGTTATTAATTATTTCAGTCAAAACGATATATTATACTTATACCATATACGCGTATAGATCTCAAGCCGTTCTCGCGAATCTCGGTGGCACAAAATACCACAAAGTCAACACCTCTACGACTTTCTATATGTCGTTGGTCGAGCAAGCCTTTTCTAGAGATGTTATTCATGAATTCAATTCGGATTGATATGTACTTAGTTAAAGCCGTAATTGCGACCCGAGGGACCTATTTGGGCGAAGTTATATTTAATCGGAAGATTGGGCAGATTCTACACCAAATAATGAAAGAATGTTTATATTTTTGTTCTAATTAAAGAACCATTTGCAATCGAGCCACTCTGGCCTGGTCTGATCGAAGACATGCATAACATACAACAAAGTATTACAGTGAAATTCGAAAATTAAAAGGAAAATTCCCGATTAATCGATTGAGGACTAAAAAGACCGTATTCCAGCAGATTTGACTCGAGACACCTTGATCAATTGTCTAAGGATAACAAACCCTCGAATTCAAACCCATATCCGGCCAATGCGTGATCGGTAGGAACAGAAATTCTCGGTTATACACTAGCCCTCAAAGGAGTCGACGCCCAGTCTCCTAAATTTCGCCCTTTCGGCATCACTCAAAACGATATTATCCTCAGATACCAAATTCGTCGCTTGCTCAAAATCTGGATTTCGCCGCTTCAATACTCTCTTCGCTTCAGTACCAGCGAAGTGCTTCCGCAAAGTTTCATCCTCCAAAGCTTGCTGAATAGCAGCGACACCATCTTCCAAGTAATCACCACCAAGCACAAGAACTAAATGAGCATCTGGGGTGGTAAGAAGTTTATGGGCTGCAGCAGCATGAGATTTGTCCAATGGAGGAGTGACTAAGATTGTAGTCTCTGCGAGAGCGACCCAAAGAGGCAAATCCTCATCAAAGCTCCAGCTCAACTTAACACCTATCTTATGGACACCAGCCAGAGGGAACAAGGCACCTTGTCCACCACGGAGAAGAGTAAGAGACGAGGTGACACTCTCGCCGGGCTTGAGATTTTTGATCTCTTCCTCGCGGTCAAGGTAAAAGAGTGTGTGGAAAATGCAGATTTTTCCGGTTGGGTCGGTGACTTGTCCTGAGAGAGTATGCGATTTGAGACTGATATCTGCGGGGACATTAACTGGCTGCTCGCCTGTGTTTGTGAGAGTGAGGTTGACACGGACTGGTGCTCCAAGTGGCACCTCGGAATGGTCTTTGATAGGCTCAACCTTGAATACCAACTCTGGATGTTCATATTCAGTATCTGAATCAGGTGGTGTAATGGGTGGCGTAGTGTTTGAAGCATATCCAAAGTCGACTCCACCAGGTCTAACAAAAACGTCGGGCCAATGGCGGATTTGGAACAGATTCCTATCGGCGTGGTTCCATTTAATGTTCTTAGAAAGAGGACTGGCCGCCGTGGAGCGGTTAATAGCCCTTCCAGTCTGATTCATGAATGAAAAGTCGAGAACTGGTGGCTCTCCGTCGCCACCATCATCGTTATGGAGAAGGCCAAAGGCATGCCCGAGCTCATGGAGTGCAGTACGGAAGTATGCACCCTTGATTGTACCATATCGTGAGTCTTTCCATTCGCCCCACCCTTCTTGAAAGCCGGTTACGACGTGAGAGCTGACTTGGAGACCTTCACGAGGGATATTGTTTGAATCAGTAGCGGAGTTGTCGAACATTACCCCAAAGGCATTCACAGTATTAAATTTTGTGGCAAGCAGATAGTAGCGCCACTCGGTATCCAAATTGGACGCATCCCTCCTTGCCAACATTGTTTGGTGAGATTGGGTTAGGGACCAATACCCGTCCTCAGTATCAACAATGTCACCATCACTTTCAACCACCTTAACCTCAAATCCGACTCGACCAAACACTGAGTTCCAATCCTCAAAGTTCTGACCAACAACGCCGCCATTATCCAACGGCCTTTCAGAGCCAGGGACGTTATCCATTTCGACTGTGAACTTACGATAGAATTGCGAGACACGCCCCATCTTCAACCTAAACTCGACTTGTCCTGTTTTGTCTGAGACGACATCGCCTTCTGCGTAGTCACCAGGATATGGGTATCCAGCTGGTGCAGTCGTCCACTTCATCGTAGCAGTATAGCCACCATCAACGGGCTCCTGAGTGAAACTAAAGGTAGTCTTGTTGGTTTGGACATACTTGAACTTTTGGAATCCAAGTGTGAATGAAGTCCTGCCGGAAGGAACTCATCGATCTGTGTGATACGAAGGTAGTACCGGTAGTTGCTTCTAGCGAGAATTGGGATGCCAGAGGCCGGGTTAGGGGCGGGGAGATTGAGCCAGCGTCGAGGGAACCCGGGGAGGTTAATCAAAACGCGAGGTCTTTGGTAAAGATCCCCGCTTGCTGTGCGCCCTTCAGAGTTGACTTCGATACGTATGGTACCATCATAATTCTGCCCGCCACTAGCAGCAGGCTCGAGATTGACGAGCCATGCACCTTGGTTCAACCACCTGAACCATATTGGCGGCCAGGTTATTGGTGGAGGCTGGAATGGCGGTAGAGGTCTTATGACTGGTGGAGCGGGGACCGGCTCCTCACCATCCGTTGATGGATTCTGGGGGATGTTCCAGGGTAGAATATTTGGAAGAGGTGGAGCACTCATGATTTTAAGTTATGGAAAGAGTAAGTAATTATATAGAATTAATGTTCAGCTTGCAATTGGTAGAGTTAAGAACAAAGTTGCCGCTTTTTGATCGAATTATAGATACTGTTAGGGAAAGATAGTTATCTACTTGGGGACAGTTCCAGGTGAAGCCTGAGGTTCAAGAGTGCCTTATATAATATTCCCAGGGGTTGAAGTCCTAGTACGAGAGTATAAGATTACCAAATCCTGGATCCAAAATCCTGTAGTTACAATGGTAAGCTTGCGATAATCATCGCTAGAAAGGCGAAGTTCGACGTTTAATGATCCTTCGTCATGATAGGACGAATGCCGAAGGCTTACAGTTTTCAGCTCATTTACTTCCCCTAGCAAAAGCAAGAGTATCTCGAAGACTCGAAGCTTGAACATGACGCGATGTTCTAGATCGTGATGTCAATGTAGCTCTACACTTCAACATCTGTCGACGGATCCGCGGACGCCACGGACACTGACGAAACTATCGACGTTATCGATACATATCCGTAATTGCAAAAGTGCACATGAAGTTTCCCCCCTGCTGCAGCCTTAAAGCGTTCCAGCCAATGCCATGCCGATATCATAGACACAAGCTCCCTCGTCAGACTTCGGTTCATCCGACTTGCAGCTGCATGCAGCTTCTCAGCCTCGAGCATCGCAAGCAAGACTCTAAGGCCAGTAGACCATTGGTCTTTTTGTCGCCGCCAAGTCGACTAGCTGGGACATTACACCTTCGCGATGATGATAGAACATGCGGAATTAGAGCGGCTGAAAGAATTGATCCCACCTTGGCGTCTTGTCAACCATCAAGCCGTGTCTGCAGCCCGAACATTGCATAGGGCTTGATCAGGTGAGTGTTGGATTTCTCATTTGGGACGTTACACAAACCACAACTAACCAATCAGCGAGTCGAGGTGACTAACCCTTGCAGTGTGCTTAGACATGCCTGCGGACTCTATCAACGTCACGGCTGCGGCGGCGGTACCGTTATCGCGGAAGAGATATGAGAGGCTCGGTAAGAATATTTTCTTGTTCCCTTCTAGTTCTTTTCTAGGGCGTTCGGAGTTTACACTTTTGAGCAACATCGCAGGATCTGAGCGCGCATGAGGGATTATCCAAGTAAGCCGGCCTCGACTCTAGCTCTTCGTTTTTGGCTTTGTGGCCGCTGGTGGATTATTATATATCGCAAGTTTTGCCGACGGAATTTGCCAGTAAATCAATATCTTAGTGCATTTCTGTGTGCAACTTATGGCGTGAGACAGCAATGACCTCGATCGAGGGAGGAACTAAAAGACAGCACGTAGAAAATGTCCAGGCCAATCAGTATTGAGACCTTACATGTGTGAGTTACTCCAATTTGAATTTGTTTTATTAATCCATCCATTTTCTCAATGTTAGTTTTAAGTTTTGCTGTAGGAAACATTCCGGCTTCAGCCGTCTGTAGGTATTGAATCCGCTAGGATCCCCACTGATCGCCTGGATTCGAGGCTACCCACTGATAGCTAAGTTCCTAGCTAGCTTTGCATCGCATGCAAAATCAACGGTGTCATATATATGCATTTGGCTGAAAGGTTCGCCGTAAAAAAAACTGCATCAGACTAAGCCACGGCGCTCCATAAATCCTTTATTAGGCTCAACGCTATAGATCTATCATCCTGATCAATTGAGGTCAAGGTGGCGGCACCTTCATTCTAACCTACATATCTTTTCAACTTCCTTAGCTCTCTCTTTCTACGGTATCTGTAACTAGATTTACGTCGCGGGAATGGTAAGGTTCCATAATGAACTTCATTGATGCAATTGGCCAGTCTCATCCAGAGCTAAAATTTGACTTCAATCGTTGTATACCAACATGTTCAAATTTCTGCTAAGTGGTTGCACAATGATGCCAAGGCCATAAGAGTCATATCACAAGACTCACAATATCTTTCAAGATCTCATCTCATAGCCGGCTAATTCTTATTTATGCCTTAAAAAAATGTACTCATGATCTTATATATAGAGCATATGGTGCCACGCAGTGACTCATGTTAGCCTCAAAATTAACTGCGAAAGGGGCAAATATACTACCCAAAATTCCGGCCAAAAGACCAAAAAAGGGTGGACCGCGTCTGCTATACGAGACCACATGGGTACTAAAAAAATAATACCCTAAAATTCCTCCCATGAATTCTGATCAAAGCAAATTCCGCGCGCCAGATCGAAGGCGACTGCAACACGAGTCCAGGCGATCAAGTTATAAAATACAACAGTCTTAGTTATGCCAAGCACCAAGAATAGTTATTGTCACGTGGATATTCGGTTGTGTTGCTGTCGCTTAGGGCGTCTAAGCTTCCCCACCAAAACGAAAGCCCACACTGAAATTCTGTGGCCGACCCAAAAATTTGCTTCTGCAGCTCCAACAGACGACACGACCGTCAAAACCCATGCACTCTCCTTTCATTGTCGACTCACCACAGTCACATTAATCGACCCCACCTGCTCCCTTTTAAATACCATCATCTACCCCGAAATTCTACCCTATTGACGGCAGAATATAATATACTACATCACTCCGAGACTACTACTACATCACCTACCGCCCACAATGACGGCAGACGAATTCTACGACGACGAAGAAGAGATCGACTTCTCCGGTATATCTTCATCCGATAAGGCTCCGTTATCGCACCGGTAACTAACTTACCTAATAGATCTCCGAGAACAATATGAAGTTAAGCTAGAAGAGGGCCTTGACACCTTCGTCGTTATCGACGGGCTGCCAAAGGTTCCTGAGGACAACAAGCCCAAGCTTGTCAAATTCTTGGTCAAGAAGCTACAGGCTGTCGGAACGACAAAGGAGGACGCGGTCTATATGCCCATGGGCGATGATGGACAATCTCAAGGGTACTTTTACCGATGATTCAGGATCTTCGGGTGGCACTAATGCTGACGGACATGACGTAGATTCGCCTTCGTCGAGTACGAAACCGCGACCCAGGCCGCCCAAGCTGTTAAGAAACTCAACGGCCTCGCCCTCGATAAGAAGCACACCTTAGCGGTTAACAAGTTAACCGACATTGAACGTTACGGCCGTGAAGGTCGCATCGACGAAAAGTACGTCGATCCGGAACCAGAACCGTTCGTTGAACAGGAGCATCTCCGCTCTTGGATTGGTGACGTTCGCGCCCGTGACCAATTCGTTCTCTTCCGCGGAGACACCGTTGGTGTCTACTTTAACAACAAGAAAGACTCTCCTGAGATGACTGTTGAACGTCAATTCTGGACAGAATCATTCGTCAGATGGTCGCCTCTTGGAACTTACCTCACATCATTACATCCACAGGGTGTTCAGCTATGGGGTGGCAGCAGCTGGAAGCGTATGGCCAGATTCCCACATCCAGCTGTCAACCTAGTTGACTTCTCCCCCAACGAGAAGTACCTTGTCACCTGGTCCAACAAGCCAATCGTCTACCAGGAAGGAATGCCAGGCCTAACACCTGAAGAAGATGGTAAGACATACGTTGTCTGGGATGTCAACACCGGGAAGCTCCTTCGTTCCTTCCCACCTATTGAGAATCCACAGGAAGCCGACAAACCACCAAATCTGCGCAAGAAAATCCAATGGCCGCTCTTCAAATGGACCGCTGACGATAAGTACTGCGCCAGAGTCACCCCTGGCTCCTCCATCTCCGTCTACGAAACACCTTCCATGGTTCTCCTTGACAAGAAGTCGATTAAACTCGAGGGTGTCGTCGACTTCGAGTGGTCTCCTTACGCTCCAACTGAGGATGAAGCCAAGAAGGCTTCCGGTGAACAACTTCTCTGCTACTGGACTCCCGAAATCAACAATCAGACCGCCAGGGTGTCCCTGATGGCCATCCCTTCCAAGGAAATCATCAGAACAAGAAATTTGTTCAGCGTATCAGACTGCAAGCTTCACTGGCAATCAGAAGGTGCCTACCTCTGCGTCAAGGTTGACAGACACTCCAAGCGTGGCAAGTCTACATTCACAAGTCTTGAGTTCTTCAGAATTAAGGAGAAGAATATCCCCAACGAACCCATCGAGATTCAGGACACAGTTATCAATTTCGCGTGGGAACCAAAGGGCGACCGTTTCGTCCTCATCACCGCTGGAGAACTCCCACCAGCAGGCGCCGCCCCCGCCCCACCAAAGACATCTGTCTCCTTCTATGCTCCCGAAAAGACCAAGTCTCCACCAACTGGACCATTCCGTCTCATCCGCACAATTGATAAACGTAACTCTAACGCCATCTTCTGGTCCCCCAAGGGAAGATTCTGCATTGTCGCTACTATTAACTCCCAAGTCAGCCACGAACTCGAATTCTGGGATTTCGATTTCGATGGCGAAAAGAAGGAGTCTGAGAAGGATCTCGCAGCCAATCTTCAGTTGATCGGAACCGTTGAGCACTACGGTGTCACTGATTTGGAGTGGGATCCTTCGGGTCGATATGCGGTCAGCAGCTCCAGCATGTGGAAGCACACAGTACGTTCTCAAACTATTACGATTGTTTTCTATTTAGAATTTGGATGAAAGCTAATTATAAACTACAGATGGAAAACGGCTATCATATGTGGGACTTCAAGGGCAACTCTCTCCGCGAGGATCATATCGAACGCTTCAAGCAATTTTCCTGGCGTCCACGCCCACCAACCATGCTGTCCAAAGAACAACAAAAGCAAGTCCGCAAGAACCTTAGAGAATACAGCAGACAATTCGATGAGGACGACTTGATCCTTGAAAGCGAAGCTTCCGCCACGATTATCGAGGCCAGGAGACGTCTTCTCGAGGAATGGCGCGCATGGAGAAGCAAGACGGAGAGAGAGCTGGAGGAAGAGAGAGAAGACCTTGGGTTACCGCCTCTGGGAGTTGATGAAGAGAAGGATATGGAGGGCGCCACTGTTATCGAGGAGATTGTTGAAGAGGTTATTGAAGAGAAGGAAGAGGAGATTGCCTAGACTACCCCAGTTTCAAGGTAAAGGAGTTGTTGGGGAAGTGGGGTATTGTGCGAGATCGGATGAAGCATACTTTGATTCTTCTGTTACTTTTTTCTTCTTCTTTTGTAACTTTATCCAAAAGTGCTTATTCTGTACATATATGGAAGGGGGGCTGTTGATACAGTTAGCTAATTAGAGCGGAAAAAAGAATTCAAGAGTTGAAGTATCAGATGATATTCCTACATTTGGTATAATAATTCATAATATGAAATTAACCAATGAACATTTTCAATGAACGAAGCCAGTGTTAGAAAACGTTTAAACCGCGTAGAGCTCAAGGTTTCTTTTGATATCAAAATCGGGCTTCTGCGCGCCTGCGCATGCATGTTGGAAAACGTAATCGAGTTTGCGTTGGTTCAGATAAGCATGATTAATGCATATTCAAGGGCTTATCTCTTTAACATCCCGAAAATGAATTTCTACAAAATGCAACTACATACCATGATTTGTGCGAAGAGGCCGACGAAAATGGGAAAAAGATCCCGAGCAAGGGGGAGGAACTTACCGGGTATCTTGGGAGCTTGGACTTCTTTTTTTTTCCTTTCGTTATGCACGTAATTATCACCGCCTTTTTTTTGTTTTATTTTGTTTTTCTGTTTTTAATTGGGGTGATTGATGCGGATGGCTTGCTGGGTTTGAAACCGGGCGTGGCGGTTGAGGGATGTTTTAGGGAAGTTGATATTCTTAGTTAGTATTGCTTTTGCTTCCCATGTTCAATTCATGACACTCGCGATCACGATCTTGACATGATATCCTGGTTTCCCTACATGTCCCACGACGCATAAGCTCGCCTACGTTTGTTACTTTTTATTTCTTTTAATCTCGCCTACAAGGAGCATTTTACACAAAGAAGGAAGCTGCAAGGTAGGCCATCTCAACATCATTGGTTTGTCTTCACACCATCCTGTGGAATTTAAATATTTCTCTATGCTTTTTTTGGAGGATATTTTAATATTCTTGTTTCGCGAAAGTCGGGGGGAAGTCGGGAGGGCGGTTCCGAGACCGGGGGGACCATTCCATACCATACGGGATATGATAACAATAGGATTATTGTATTGTCATGATCATGACATATGATACCAGGGGGTGTCTTGTGAGAGCGTGGGAAAAGGAAAGAGAGGTATGAAGATATATATTTGATGTGGGAACCTGAGCTGAGACGCGGAGTGTGTGTTCGTCATCAAACTGATATCGGAGTATCTGAGCCCTTTTGCGATCGGCCGGCCGGCTTCGCCGTTAAGGATTGCGAGATATGAAAGCTTGAATATCGGATCGAAAGGCTTGGAATTGGAAGGTTGCAAGAGGGGAAGATTGGGTACAGGATTGCATGCATTGGGGTTTCGAATGGTATTTGGGGGGATGGAGAATGCAATGATATATTAAGATATTATATGATTTTAACATATTGTCATATCTGGTATTGGTATGCCTAGAAAATTGTGTCAGGTCTTACTCAGAATATCTACATAGGGTACCTTCTAATATCATTTGGTTTAGAAGGTTTACCCTTCGCTGTTTTTTCATCGCCGTAATATATGGTTGGTCTCGGAAAGGCCATGCATGGGAAGCTTCGAAGAATATCCCTTCAACTTGTCTCGTCGCCATACGAGATAACTCTTAAGCAGAACTAGTTAACACTAGAGCCTTTCGTAAAGAAAATACATATTTTTCTTGTTGGAGAAAACCGCTAGAATAGGCATTTAATTAGAAATTCAGTTAAGCTAAAGATATATGAATTAATCTACGAATGAGTCTATAAACCAATATAGAATAAATAACTACGTAGCCCATATGCGTCTCGCCAAAGTCCCAGGCTTTCACGGGCTAAGTGCTCCAGGATCCCATTCCGACATCCCACTAGCTCCAGAAAACCCTACGGCTATAACCGATACCAAGGCCGCAGATCTCATAAAAAAAAAGAAGAATATATTTCATCTTAAGCGCCTGGGCAGCCTGCAGTATTCCATCATCTCTTGGGGTCCAAGCTCAAATAGCGGACCGTTATATATAGTCGAGCTCGGGTAGATAGGATAGAAAACGTTGGATCGATATGGGGTGATATGCAAGATGCATTGTGTTCAGCTGGACAACTATCTTTTTTCACCCCACTTCTGGCGGCCACTGGTTTGTATGTCAAGGATTATTGGCAGCTTGGCCGATGTAGTCACTTTGTTACTTTTATTGGTTGATTAGACATGAAGTATGTTCCAGTGAATATGACTGAGAAGAATAAAACAGTTACGGAGTTGGGTATCCTCTCCGGGTAGAAGTCTAGACTTTTGAGTAAAGGTAAGCAGCTTGAGATATTCGAATATTCTAGTAGCCTCTAAGACACTCAAAAGGGCCTAAACACCAGACACTTAGGGTTCTCGATTGAAGAGTCATTGATTTTTAAGACAACGATCGATCGTACAGGCTATGTTTAGATATTCGTGTAGTCGGTTACGGAGTCAAATTCCGCGCCTCGTGGCATATCCGTCTATTCCTTCAAGCCATCGGAATCCATACCCTTGGCGAGTTCAAGCCAAGGATGCATAGCGATTTCGTACTCGAATAGGCGTTCCGATCAAAAAATTTTAGAGTAACACTCGAGTATGACTAACATTGTGATGTCGTTTTCAGAGCCCGAATCTCCAGACCAATTAAACCGTGTTGTAAGTTCGAAATCCAACAGCCTTTGCCCAAAGACAACTTTCCTTTCTAATCAATTCCAATTGATACTTCATCCCAAAGAGTGTTCGAAAAGGGATAATTCTTGATGTATCCAAATACTTTAAACAAGCGATTGTAACAGGAGATATATACATTTTAAGTAGATTCCTCAATGCCGCAATTATTAGGAAATATTACGGAGTACGCTTCGACAAAATCGTTATATATCCACCACTAGCCACTGCATCCGAGCTCTGCAGGACTTACGGTTGCAGGGATTCGACTTCGGCGAGCTGGAAAAGGTAAGATTACGCCAATAGTATTTAAATCACTAGCGATAGATTAAATGGATTAGATTGGATCGTTTTCTTTTTTGTTTAAAGAAGGAAAGAAAGACAGTAATCCGGATGTATGAGGAATGACAGGCAAGGGCTTCTGGAAGTAATTATTTTATCGGAAGGGTGTCGCATACGAAGACGTGGGCCCAGATATAAACCAACATGCTAAGAAAGGAGAAGGACCGGCTGCCTGAATGTTCCAAATGCCGACCGCGAACAGTTGGCCTCTGTTCACAGTGTTATAGATATTGTCAGCCCCGAGATACAACATGTAAGTATGTACAGCACATATACATTCACGCGAATGGTCCTGTATGTAGGAATATTCCCGAAAGACTCAACGGAGAAATTATTGGAGAGTTCGGATGCATCATGCAATATAGGTGTGCAGACACCGAAAAGCTAGAACCTCGTCTCCCTTTTCGAAAAGCCTCTCCTGTTGTTCTTCCATTCCTCACGTCGGATTAGATAGAGGAGGGAAAGGAAGCTTACAACATTTCGGCATGTTCTGATGCAAACCTGGATTAGTTCCCAAAGTAGAGGTCGCCGTTCAAATAAGGTGTCGCAGCTTGCCCCTTCCTAGCGTCTTGGCTTCCCGCTGAGCAGGCCATTCGCAGACGCTGTTGCTTTCACGAAGCCCTACAGGCTCCACCTCTAAGAAAGCCACTGGAATAAGCAATCCATCGAACAGGGATTTTCGAGGAGGCCGATATGTCAATTCCAATTTTAAGGTACTTTATTTCCTGTTACGTGATAGAAAATAAATTTTTGCGGGGAAGAGACGGTTTTCTTAGATCTAGCACCTTCGACGAGCAGATTTCTGGGCTGACCGGTGCTCCGAAATCAGGCATTGGCAACGAACGCGTGCTTTGAACGATTCGCTGCTGTTTAAACGGGTTTTGAGCGACAGGCTGCCGAAATTTGATCCAGATCTCTGTCAACTGATCAGTGGAGTCCAGCTTCCCAGATTAGTCTTGACTTGAAGCCGCCATTATTTCCAAGTCCATTCGAGAATACTCCGTAACTGCGAAAGAAAAAAAAATGTTGAGGAGACGAGATAAGTCAAGTTCGAGCCAAACTAGAGGAGCTCGCGCGGTTAGAACATTCTCGCGATAATCGAATCGTTACCGGGATATGTCATGTAGGATGGGCATGCTCCTCGGAGACAGTCCCTTGGCCGGCATCACCGTGATCATGAGTCCAGGACAATGGATAGACGCTTGCGAGGTCACGGACGCTGCACTGTGGATGTTCCGGGATAGATTAGCACACACTTCCCCCGCTACGCCATACTAGCTGTATTGACGATTCTGGTTCCTGGTTCGAGCTCATTACGTGAGAGAATCTCGATTCGGCAGCAGATATTTCTCCAAAGCAGGACAGACAGCTCAGGTGACGAAGAGCTGGATAGGAGTATAAAGAGCCAGTGGTCAATTCTTTTCCGTCAAATGAACTGCAACTGAAGATCAATATCGTATTTTAAGCTCATGGTGTAGCAATCAATTGTCAGCAAGCAGACATCACCGCTCCCGTCGAATACAGGCCAAAGTTAAAATCGAATCGAAAACCGCATTTTTGCCCTTGCCTTACCGAAATTTTCAAGGTTTAAGAGGATAGAGCGAAGAATCCATCCATCCATCTACAAAAAGTTTCTAGACGACGCAAGGACCAGCTTTTGAGGAATCCTCTCAGATCAGATCTCTCTTTTTTTCATCTTCTCTTTCTTTTCTTTTCTTTTTTGCTCGTATCATCAGCCGGAGAGATTGACGGCGTACCTGATTTGAGGGGGAAGAGTGCAGTGGAACTTGCCCTCTTTGAGCTCGCCGAACTGGACAGGCCAGGACAGACCGAACAGGCCTAACCGACCAAACATCGCCAAAACCAAACAGGCGAGCCTCATTTGCATCTGCAACATTGAAATCCGGATCGAATAATTGAATTGCTTTAGCTTGGACGTTGCTGGTTAAGCTAGTTAAGGAGATTAAAATTACAAACGGCTATTACACACAGGTGGATTTTATCTTATACCTTTGACTTGCTTCTTTGGTGTCGTCAACACCGCCCAAAAGCCTGCCTGTGCTCCTGACCATCAACAATAACCTCGACCTCGACCTTCCTTCTTCTGCATTTTACCTACAGACATAACCAGACGCCATTGTTGCACTCGTTCACTAAATTTATTTTCAAACGGTACTTTTATCGCATCGTCAGACCATCTGTCCTTTTTTCCTTTTTTTCCCGACCGTCTTTCGTTATTCCTAGGCAGCCTTGCCCCAGACTGTTCACCACGCCGTTCTCACTTGCATCATCGAGCCTAGCCCCCGGCCTAAGACTCCACGTCAAACGAAACATAACCGCTGCCCGGCCCATACCAAACGACTTCCTGCAGCTAGCTGCCACGACCATCCCTATTCTCGGGAATATCAAATCGGAAAGTCTGCTTCCCGTTGCCTTCTGGAGCGCTTCAGGCTTGATACTTTCCCTATAAATTCCCTATTCCACCCACAGACACACCTGTCTTCTTTTCTTCACAATGACATTGAACGGTGCTGCTCTCCCCCCCAGAAAGTCTCACGACGATTCTAGCCGCCTTAGTCAGGACTTCGACCATCGTGAACGATCTACCGGCCGTGGTGGTGCCGGAAACTTTTCAAGTGCCGATTCGGTTCATCAGGAAGACGAAGAAGATTTTGCCACTCCGACCATTAAGAGCTCTATCTGTAAGTATTAACTAAAGTCATTATATCAGCACTTCGACGCCCTATATCAACACGGATGCAGCGTTGGATTTTTATGTGTCTATGAATTTTCAGACTAATCCATTATGGAATACAATTGTAGACACATCTGGACGTGGAGGGACCGGTAATATGCAGGACAACGACTTTGAACACCCAGAGTACGCTCGCGCTGCTCAAGACGTCGAGATGCTTCCCCGTCGTCCATCCACCTCCGACTACCATGGTGGTCGCTCAGGTGCTGGCAATGTCTTTCACCCATCCGATGAGGAGTTCATCGCTGCCGAAGAGTACGAACGTCGTGTCAAATATGATAGAACCGTACCTGTCGATCACTCTCGTCACGACTACCGAGGTGAGTTTTAATCAAAATCACTTCCTGAAATCGAAATAAATAAGGCATTAGGTCAGGATGCTGACGAATATCTATATAGGATGGGCTGATAAAGGCAAAGACTTCCTCTTTGGCCGTCGCCGCAAATGACTCCATCGCCGGCTACCGTCCCAAACGTCATTGTCCTTCAACTAGCAGCTACTTCAAGCTCCTATGACGTGACAGCTAGCCGGCTGGGAGGGTCCACTTACCAATCCATTTATCTGCCACGAAATACGGACTCTAAACTACGAACTACCTACCTACAAAAAGACAAGACGCAGAAAATACTTCTTCTTCTATCCTTTTTACAATACTCTTTCGTTTGATTTTTTCTGCCCTTTCCGATTACATCCTGTTCTTTTGCGTCAACGAAACCATATCCAATTTATCTAGAGTACCAACAAGGTACTCGGGTATACCCTTCCCTACTCTAGGTCGTTCCTGATTCAGGATACTGAAAAAAATAATATCTTACATCATTCACATAGGCGTTCCGGGATTAGGCAATGCATCAATGATATCCCCTCTCCTCTATTCTTCTTTTTTCTGTCCAAAGTTCAACTTGCGAGTCTTTTGTTATAGTTTCTTTAG